CAGTGACGTCGGCATCTCAAACGCTACGCATGCCGTGGCATGTCGTCTCACGTCGGATGAGCAGCCCGGCGCAAGGGCAGACGCACTCGTCGACCAACGGTGCAGAACTGTGCCAACTTGGGATGATGGCACTTCCAAAAGGAGGTACAGGTGCTGTAGACCATTGCCCGCTGAGAAAGCTGGCTGTCTCAGGATGGGAATAGGTGTGGGTGGCATGGGACGCGGTGTCGTCAGTCTCTGCTTCCACCTGTCTCTGCTCTGGACGAGTGATTTTGGGTGTGCCTCCAACATTTCCACCATGATGAGCGAACCAACACTGCTGACCCGCCCGGCACTAGTTAAACGCTCCCCCGGCTCCTCGTGGCTGACCAACGCATTCTGTAAGAGACTTGCAGCATGGTTTGTGCACATCGCGGACGCTACTGGACTCCTACCAGAGGACCAAGTAGGTAGGTATTTGCTTCTTCCACCGACCCTTCCGCTCCGCATACCCCCGCCTCGTCACCCAGCCGCTGCTGCAGGCAGTGTTGGTGGTGGTGGTAGTGATAGTGGTGCGGTAGGCCAAGGTGTATGGAAGGTAAATTTGCTCGAATGCCCTGCCTGGCCACTGAGGATCCCTGCTACAACTTCACGAGCCTTGGCGTGTTGCTTTTGCCCTAATCGGAGGCAAAGCCTGCAGAGGGTACCCAGAGTGGCTTGCCAAAGCTGGTCAAGGGCCTATATCAGCTTGCTGCAGGCGCGGCAGCCATGCCAGGACACCCAGGTGGCTTGATATAGGTACAAAAGTTGACCACCAATATCTGAACCACAAAACGGACGAGGAAAACAGACCACCACCTTTCCCCAGCATGTTAACTGCTCCCGTATTGGCCACATTGGAGACCTTCCACTGTGAGGGACGGCACGGGAAGCCCGTGCGAGTCGAGCACATGGGCGGTCCTTGGGATTGACGAATGAGCTTCTGCCGCCCCATCCGGGGGTTTCATTGAACTGCGAAACCTGACACCAACTAACCAGCCCGCCGACCATCGCATGCCACCTACTGCATCTCCAGCTATAAGACGCCAGAGGAAGAAGGCCCAAGAGGGGTGTAGTGATGCGGGTACGGCAGAGGAATAGAGTGAGTGCTCTGATCACCTGGTGAGCCAGTCGACCATTGCCTTCATTTCCTTCAATGCCATGCCTTGGGTCTCGCGAAACGTCTTGAATCAGTCCTTGTGCGGGGCAAGCAGCTAAGAAATTTTAGAATATGACACCAGTCCTCCATCTGGGAAATGCAGGCGAGAAAAGACAGGTCCTAAGGTGACAGACCAGGGGGATCCCATCCGGCCCCGTTGTCTTCTTCCTGATGTGCCGTGGGCGACGCCCTCTCACACCAAAAAAAAAAAGGGCCAGCTATTGTAGGTACTCTTCCTTTCTGTAGCGTCCCCAGTTGGCTTTGCTTCTCTCACTCGGCCGGTCAGCCATGCCGAACCCACCCTCCTCTCTAATCGAAAATCTCCTTTGCCATTTCGGTCTAGTGCTGGTCACTCCTGACCGGAAAATACGGTTGTTCCCCTAGGCTAGCAGGGGTCTTCGGGGGGGTCGCGAAGTGTGGTGAGGCAGGGATTCCCACGCGAGCCCCGACCGAAAAGCTGTTGTTGACAAGGGGCCGGGAGAGCGTCGAGGCCAAACAGGGTTGGTCCATGCATGCCTCTTGTGGTGCTGCTGCAGGACCCATCACCAAAAGAAGCATCAGTGAGGACCCATCATCAACGAAATCCCCCCGTCTCATGGGTAATCGACCGACCGAAGGCAGCTAAGTACCTCCTTCTCTCCTCTGCGGTGCCCCCTGTGGACCTTTGTTCGGCTAAGCTGTTTGGCTACTTGTACAAGTACTTGTAGATGCAAGTACACGGTCTCCATTGGTGATGATTCCTCTTCACCACACTCGTCTGAAGTCACAGAGGGACGGTCATTCTCTCGCCCTCTTTACGTACTTTTCAAACGAGTCCACTGGGACGCCCATCCCTCCCCAGTCTGTCCTGAGGCTGTTTTCTACCTCAGCCAGGTATTCTAAGTAGAATGGGACGGCAGAGGGAAAATGGGTGAAAAGATTAAAGTGCAAGATCTAAACAAGGTCTGGCAAAGACGCAGATCAGCCCGAATTGGACATGCCGACGAGAACCTTTTCGGAGCCGCTTCCCTGTCGCCTCGCCTCGCTCTTGGTCTTGTTAATAACTATCAGTCAGTCAAGGAGGACAAACACGGCGTGTAAGTGAGGCCCCCCCGGGAACGCAACGTATTTCCACCGGATACGGAGTAAGGTGAACAGGCGCAGGTGGAGGTACCGATAAGGTACTACCTGAAGACCCATTCAGGTACCTCAACCACCATCCCCTTTTCTGCTTGATCACCGTTCGTCACTCATCACACTCATTGTACTTGTCTACCTCCATGCATGCTGGCTGCTCCGGCTCCTGACCTTGCCAATTAACTACCTCTTATGGGCGTAGTAGTATGTATCTGACCCGAAGCCCATCTTCCCTTTCGTCTCCCAGGCCTCGATTTCCATCTTGCGGTCTCTTCCTGTTTTACATAGACGCGGCTCCCTTCTTGACATTCATTCGACATTTCTTTACGTGGGAGCAACTGCCACTTTCTACGACACGCCCGTCCCGTCAAGAGGACTTAGCGAGGCCCAGGGTGCCTTTATCACTTTCTACTTCCGGCCCGCCTACACATATATTGCCCATTGGGGTCTTGTCATCTACCCCATCGCTGGTTACGCCGTCCAGTCCAGACCTTGTGAGCCGTCCAGACGCAGGGCTTGGATCGGATCAAGCCTCTAGTGTTCCTGCGCCTGCATCTGTTGTGTCTGCGAGGGTGCTTGTGCGTTTGAGAGCCACCGCCGCAAGGAATCTTGAACCCACTCGACAAGGCAGTTGTATGCACAAGAGGGCGAGAGAACTGGATCTATTCATATCGAGGCTATTCCTATTACAACATCTGTACCGAACTTTAGCATCGCCCCTTGGGTCGCCACGCCCCGGCCAAACAAGCTCGACGGTGGTCGCGGGTCTGTCTAGTCGCACTCTGTAGCAGAACCTGGGGACCTGGTTTCTCTGCGCACGAGCACTCAATCTCCACTCGGACCAGAAAACGGCTACACGACCAAGGGACCGGCCGAGAGGCAAGCCCAGCGCGGGTGGATGTACTGTGGTGCATTTGCCTGTGTGCTCTAGTGCGGACTGAGAGACGAGCCGGTTCGTGCTTCTTCACCTTGCCATCCATCCCCCAAAGGGTACTTCCGTGCCCTCTCATCTTCCCGCTTCCTTCTCCAAGTCTGTACTGTCCAGGGGAAAGACTGTACAAGTAGAGAAGAAGAGATCCGGCAAGGGCAGAGAGCCGCTGCTGCTTGTGCGGTATATTCCCTGCATCTCTTAACCCCATACTCTTCCCTTCCAACTTAACCCAACGCCACAAGGCCTGACAATGCAGCCGCGATAATCCAAGCCTTTTCGCGGCGATCTTCTTCTGTCACCTGTCAGCCCCTTCGTCTGTATACATAAACACCAGGCACCCCTCGCACCCCTCCCTCTCTCTCCAGGTTTCCAGACTACTGTTCCTGCATTTTGATTCATGATCGTCCTTTCGACAGACACTCGTCAGTGGGCATAAAGACTGTTAGGTCTTGTATGCCATTGCCATTGCCTTTGCCATCGTCATCACTCTTGTTGTCCACCACCGAGACACTTGCTCTTTGGTATCGTGCCACGGCGGGTGCAAGACTCTCATCACCAGAACATACGGGCGACAACGCGCTGAAACCACCAACCTTTCCACCTACCTGGCGACGTTGGGACTTCAGGGTAGCCATCGCCTCCTCTTGCCACACCTTTCTTCTCATTCAACCTCGGACCATCCCTCCAGGACTGGATTTTGAAGACTTCAACACAGATCCCGGAATCTGACCATGCCATTGGCTCCTGACAGTTAACACAGCCGATTGTCAACTTTGTAACACCTGCCCGATATCAAATCAACTCAGTTTTGATATTGCTCGAATTTGGACTTCTCACAGGCAACACAACACCGCCTACCTTGAATCACCTGCATTGGCAGACAGTGCCAACGAAGCTGGTGCGAGACCCTATTTCTCTTCGAAACGGTTTTGGGAGGCTTCCTGGTAAGTTCTTAGCCACGCTCATAGATGCTTGAGCGGACTCTCTTCTTGCTTCACATCACCTTGGCAACCCAGTTCCAACCTTCTCCCCCAACTCCCTGACCAGTCGATTCTCTCCATCTGTCGTCCATACGCGGCGGGGGAGTCAAGAGCGAGGAGATTCCCTTCTCGCCTGAACAGCGATGCCCCTCTGTTTCGAAAAGTGAAGCCGCCACCTACTAACTGTTCATCAAGTCGATCCGAAACGCATTATTACATTTGCGCATTGTGTTGAACATCGCGTTGCCGGGTGCCGCTGTCACTCCACTGATCAGACGACACAACCCGGAAAAGGCCTGTCGCATATCTCCGGTTTAGCTGGTCGCATTGAGGCCGATCACACTCCGCAGATTCACTCCCTAGCATTATCCCAGGTAAAGCGCAGCCCTTCTCTCAACGAACCACGGTCAGTCCCTGGGCTTCAATCCTTTTTTTCCGGAGACGATCGCGCCTTTCGATAGTCGCTTTTATTTTCTGTTCCCGTTGGAGAGCAACCTTGGACATTCTGCGGGTACAGACCACTGCGGTGTGCTTTGGGACACCAGACAGATCTTTTTCTTCTTTCTTCTGAAAAAGGATGGAATTGATGGAGCTCGTGGATGTCGAGCCAGCGGCTCGTCCGTTTCAGTGCGAGTGGCCGAGTTGCCCAAAGGTAAGCTGAGCTGCTCAAAGGGAGAAAGCGCCGTGCCAGATGAGATGGGTGTCGGTACTGTGGTTTCGGTTCACTGACCTCTGATGCTCCTGTAGAGCTTCAATCGCAAGTCTGACTTGCAAAGACACTTCCGTATTCACACCAATGAGCGGCCGTACGCATGCAGCACCCCGGGCTGCGACAAAAGCTTCATCCAACGGAGCGCCCTCACCGTCCACATCAGGACACACACTGGCGAGAAGCCGCACAAGTGCCTGCATGTGGGCTGCAACAAGCGTTTCTCAGATGTGAGTGCTCTCCCGTCGCTGCATAGTTCGGCATATGCTGACCAGCAGCAGTCCTCAAGTCTGGCGAGGCACCGCCGGATCCATACCGGGAAGCGTCCTTACAAGTGTGCGCACCAGGGATGCTTCAAGAGGTACGTCAGAAACCATCCATCACTTGATATGATGCGAGACGTAGTGTGCTGACACTTGTCCAGCTTCTGCCGCAAGACGACCATGGTCAAGCACCAGCGGCGGTCGCACCAGCGCGGCATGTATTCGGCGGAGCTTGACGACTGCACGTCCGAGTCCGGCACCGAGGAGTCTCCTTCCACACCCAAGAGCGGCGCAATCTCTTGGCCACCACCCGGCAACGGCATGCAGCCCGGCATGCCCCAAGGACACATCATCCACAGGGCGGCTTCCTTCGACAGCTTCGGCCAGCCGATGAACCAGTTCGACATGCAGCAGTACAGCCACCGCCACAGCCTGTCCGGAGGACCCCCGGAATACCACGGCCAGCCGATGCACGGCCAGGCCGCAAACATGCCCCAGCACCCCTTCTACGTGACCGACCAGAGCAATCCTGGCGTGGCCACCATGAACACGGCACCCATGGCCGCTCAGTATCCTATGCAGAGGCAAGCCGTGGAACGCATCGCGGTCGACATCCCATATCCTGCTCCCGGGCTAGCCGCGTCTGTCCAGAGCAGCCCGAGCACGTTTTCCACGCCCGGCCGGAGCCCCTCGACCATGGACCGGTTCTATACCCACCAGCCACCCCAAGCGGCGACGTATGCGCTGCAGGGCGCCTCCCCGGTAGATCAGCAGCCCCCTCTTGTCAACTTCCATGACCCGATGCACCAGCATCCCCAACCCCAACCGCCACACCAAGGACACCCGGCAATCCCAGCCCAGTATCAGCAACCCCAGGCTCAGTCTGAAGAACAATGGGCCTACCAATACCAGTCCCCGGTTGAGGTCACTCCCATCGGGCCTATCTCCGCATATGGCACGGTAGCCTATAATCCCTGGGAAGAGCCAAAACTCGAATTCGAGACCGCCGGGATGACCATGCCGAGTGCTCGGATTGACGAGATGTAGAGTCGACTTTTGCCTCGTCAAAAGCGGCGTCACTCCTTCGGTGGGCGTCGATCTCCTTTGTGTCGTTGGCTTTTGCATCGTGTCTGCATCATATAATACGCATTGCTCCGAAAATATCCAGGCGGTTTTCATTGCGCTTCTCCTTGTCGGCTTTCTTTTCGTTTGTTTTGCTATTTTCCATTTCTTGGCGATATTTTGACACCCTTTGCGGTTGTCTTTCTGGATTTCTTTTTGGGGGCATCCTCTCTCTCTCGACCCTCTTGCGCTGTCGTTGCGATCTGCACAAGGGCTGAGAGAAGCTGGTTTATCATGATCTGGATGGTCGAGCATTTTTTCCATAATATGGCGGAAGCGGCGTCAATGGGCTTCTGGAGGTAGGATGTATTATGAAGAGCATTTTTTCCATTGGAGGTGGGCGGGATTGCTGAGGACAACCAACAACCAGCACATTCGAACGGGCGGATGGGCAGGGCGGGCGGCTGATGTTGAAGACACAAATACCCCGAGAGTTATGATGTTCTGATTTGACGGCCCTTTGCTGTTATGACACTTGGTGATTTTTCACGAAAGCGAAAGATGAGGAAAAACGGGCGGAGATTCGGTGAAGAAAAAAAGAGAGAGTGAAGTCTTCCTTTGTAATGCGGATGCAGGGGATAGGTGGGCGCGAGGCATCTTGGCCAGTCGGCAAACCCCAAAAAGAAGGCAGGAAGAGAGCGATCGACAGAAAAGGACGAATCGTGAAAGAAGGTGAGAAAAACGCTTACTTGGGCGTCGTGAAGGGAGAGGCTGATGGGGCAGCGTATCGAGAGACTGCGCTTGCTGTATTAACGTGTTTCATCCGGCGGTTTCCAGCGTACCTTGATGATTTTCTTGTCTTTTCTGTTTATACGAGGATGATCTCTTTTTCCTCTTGTGTACTTCTAGCAGCTATATTTCAATGAATCTTATTCCCTCGGCTTGAGAAGATCATCCATAAGTGAGAGTCTTGTTTCGTCGAAAACGGAGAGTGGTGATTTGTGCTGTTGTCGACGGCAGAGCACACAACGGGTAAGCCGTCCCTTATAGAGGTCGGATGGTATGCCGAATGCCATCTCTCCTCTCAACCCTCCGAGTGCATGGACTTGTGATGTTGTACGGAGGATTAGCCGCCAGGGAACTTGCGTGTAAAGCTCACGAAAGGACGTGCGAGCCAGCCATTGTTTGCAGAATGCCGAGTGTAGATGTGCTCGACCCGGGTTCAAGTGGTAGCGAGGGAAAATGCTGCTGCTCCGTTGGGCCACCTCACTGGCAGTCGACGGTCACGAATAGTAGGTAGCGAGAGGTGTTCTCTGTAGTTGCCAATTCCGAGGCATAATGCTCTTTATTTTTGCCGGGTATGTCCTTGCGGCTGATAATGAATTATAGAGAAGCCGGTCCCCTTGGCCAAAAGGCCGGTTGTCTGGGGACAGGAGCTTGAGTACACTCTTAGAAGACTTGGAAACAATGGAAGAGGAGGAGGGGAAAAAATGTGCTGGAAGAAGGGCCGGGAGTGCTCGAAATAATCTTGGATGAATCCGGGGTGGCGGCCGGCTGTATCCGGGGAGTGAGAGACGTCTAAGTGACGAGGATGAGGATGTGTTGGTAGATATCATGCAGGTGACTGTTTTGGGAAGTCCAGCTGCAGCAACTCGCTTGCTTGCTTCCATGGCATGTGGGAAGAGCACTGCTCGTGAGCCTGGGCGCATACAACGCTGGTGGGTAAGACAGGACGGTAGTTGTCTAGTGGATTTGTCTCCATCAACGGAGAGGTTTGGAAATGTGCTTCTTTGACACCGGAAAGGAGATCACTATGACTGCCTGTGGAAAGGAGGATTTGAGTTGGGAGAGGAGACAATGTCAACCAAGCCAAGAACTCATAGATCATGGTCAGCGCCGCAACCGAACATATTGAACCCGATGCCTGATGCCCGATGCAGTGCTTTCTGGGTTGTTGCAAGGATTTCCCCTCCCACCTCGCTCCATTATGTCTCATATCTGCTTGAAGTCTTCCTCGTGTCGTGATGGACAAAATTGGGTATTCTGCCTGCCTGTGCCGTATCGTGCCCATCGACAGCAGCATCAGCAGGCATGCATTGACATGTCCGTTCTTGAGTTCATTGGCGGGAATATTGTCTCCTCTTTTCCTGCTATGCAAGTTAGATGGGAAGGCCCACCCACCTCTTTGCATCCTTCTGTTCTGCTGCCCTTGTTCTGTTGGGATGAGTCTCTTTTTCTGCCTCTCCATACAAAAGCCCATGTTAGGTCCAAGCACAGACCTAGGTGTGCGAATGTGCAAGTGGCCTAACGAAGCTCAAAATGCTTACCTAAGCTCCTGTCGGGTCGGAGGTGCCCAGGCCGACTCCTTCCGGCAATTTTTGGTTGGGGATCACGTGTGCACCAAAGATCGACCCACTCTGGCCAGTCAGCGTGCGCACAGTTGCTGGAAGGCTGTGGAAACAGAGGACCTGTGCGCCGGGAAGAACAAGGCAAGGTCGCCGCCTCGGCCGATGACGAAGAAACGACCTAATCGACACCCTCTTCCTGCTGCTTCACCCCGTCCCATCTGTCCCGGGTCCCGACGACGTGACAGCATCAACCACTGACAACACCGGGCGAGCAGTGACGCAGTTGACCTGTATTCTAGAATGTCGGCCGCCTGCGTATTCCGCCTTCCCCATTGAAAGCGACAATCGCCACCGACTCCGACGAGCCAGCTTCATCGTCCTCTCGCATCCGCCTGAGGGAGCCTGACTTGCTGTCGCAACCAGGTGCTGAGGCTGAAGCTGCGGTCATTCCAACCTACTTCTACTCTCATTCACTCGACGACTCTGCTTCTCTTGTACCTTTTTTTTTATTTTTTTTTAACGGATTTCTTCTTTTCCTTCCCACTGTGGGACACCTTGAGAACGTGTCTTGAGGGGACGCAGCCTTGAGGAGGATGGCTTTCTACACCAGTGGCCTGCCGGTAGGTTCTTTGCAGCACAGATCTCACCTCTCCTTCATGCGCCTTACTGATGTAATACTCTACAACAGAACGTGGCAGCAGCTACGACTGAGCTGTGGCCGTCGATCGCAAATACGGTCATGATCCCGTGGAGGGGCCCAACCTCGACACCATCCCCCAAATACAGCCCGCCGCGCCATGCGGCCAGGCCAGCATCCACTCCCTCAGAAGCTGCATCTGTGTCTGATGGTCCCAATCCTCGACTTCCTGTTTTCCTTCGATGTGTCGACCTGTCAACCCTCCAGCACTCAGCCATCGATTCTGCGACTACCTCATCTGACATTCACCAAGTCGTAGCAAACATACCGAAGACCTCGTTTTCGGCTGCTAGCCCAATCTCAAGCCCGCATCAAGGATCGAGCACACAACCTGCGAGGTCAAGATTGGCTCAGAACTGCCTCCATCGGCTGGGTTTGGATTTGTCTCCTATCCGAAACGCCTCTCAACTTCAGTCCGGCCTGCGTTTGATGTCAACGTTCAGGATCTCAGGAGTTCTGCCTTCAAAACGCAACGCTTTCGCTCCTTCATTCTCACCCATCAAGCCTTTCACAAGAATACTGCCCCAGCAGCAAAGGTCTATGAGCACGGGCGGTATTTCGAGGAATCTCTTGGCCAATCGAGAAGCTGCTGCGAATAGAAACCCCAACAGCGCGACTGCTCAGAATGCATTCTACCAAGTTCTCCTCAAGGCCAACATGCCCATGATTGTTGTCGAACGATACAATTCCGGGCGTTTTGCGGCAAATGAAGCAACAACCGAGGCTTATCAGCGAGCGCTGGGTATGCTGAGTTCCGGACATGCAGTTGGAGCTGCCGACCTCACGGGTCAAGGTGGCGTCGCTGCAAACAACACGCATCTCAATGCCGCCCAGCTCCAGGCTGTCGGCCAAGCACTGGCAGCCCAGACCCGTGGTGGCAACATCGCTGTAGCCAAGGGAGCGCAGGGAACCGGCGCTAAGGACGCACCTATCCACGTTGTTGTCGATCAACCCATCAGCGATATACTGTTTCGCTGGATCAAGTTCCTACTGTGGTTTTGCCTCTTCACGTACCTCAGTCTCGTCGTTGTGACGATGATGATCGAAGGCCTGAACCAGTTCAAACGTCCGGGAGGTAGACTTGATAACGAGGCCAAGGCTGAGAATCAAACCACCAGGTTCTCGGACGTGCACGGCTGTGACGAGGCCAAGGAGGAACTTCAGGAGCTTGTTGAGTTCCTCAAGAACCCCGACCGATTCTCCACGCTCGGCGGCAAGCTCCCCAAGGGTATCCTCCTTGTCGGCCCTCCCGGAACCGGCAAGACCCTGCTTGCCAGGGCCGTTGCTGGAGAGGCTGGGGTGCCTTTCTTCTACATGTCCGGCAGTGAGTTTGACGAGGTTTATGTTGGTGTAGGCGCGAAGCGTGTCCGTGACCTCTTCACAGCCGCCAAGGGCAAGGCTCCCGCCATCGTGTTCATTGATGAGTTGGATGCCATTGGTGGCAGGAGAAATGCGCGCGATGCTGCCTATGTCAAGCAGACGCTGAACCAGCTATTGACCGAGCTTGATGGCTTCGAGCAAAACAGTGGGGTTATTATCCTGGCTGCGACGAACTTCCCCGAGCTGCTTGACAAGGCTTTGACTCGACCGGGACGATTTGACCGCCATGTCACCGTGCCGCTGCCCGATGTTCGTGGTCGACTCGCCATTCTCAAGCATCACGCCAAGAAGATCAAGGCTGCATCGGAGGTCGATCTTCAGGCTATTGCTCTGCAGACCTCGGGCATGTCTGGTGCTGAGCTGGAGAGCATTGTCAACCAGGCCGCTATTCACGCCAGTAAGGCCAAGTCGATCGCCGTCTCGATGAAAGACTTTGACTGGGCCAAGGACAAGGTGATCATGGGTGCTGAGCGTAAGAGCATGGTCATCAGCCCCAAGGAGAAGGAGATGACCGCCTACCACGAGGCTGGCCACGCCCTCGTCAGCTACTATCACAAGACTGGCCCCAGCCAGCTTTACAAGGTCACCATCTTGCCGCGTGGTCGAAGTCTGGGTCACACTTCGCAACTCCCCGAGATGGATCGCTACTCCTTCAGCTTGAAGGATTATCTCATCTCGATTGAGATTGCTTTGGGTGGCAAGCTCGCTGAAGAGATCGTCTATGGAAGCGACATGGTTACAAGTGGTGTTTCGAGCGTAAGCTTTACTGTATCCTCTAATATTATTGAATCACAACTAATCTTCTTTTACTAGGACCTTGAAACGGCTACTTCGATCGCTTTCCAGATGGTAGCGCAGCTTGGCATGTCTTCCAAGCTCGGCCCGGTCGAGTACCAGAACCGCTACAAGGAGCTCAGCTCAGAGACGCGAGCCTTGATCGAGTCGGAGGTCCAGAAGACCCTCTCCGATTCCTACGAACGCGCAAAGCAGCTACTCCTCTCCAAGCGCAAGGAACTCGATCTCTTGGCCAAGGCTCTCGTCGAATACGAGACTCTGGACAAGAGCGAGGTCGCCAAGGTCATCGCCGGCGAGAAGTTGCCGGATCGTATCCCCGTCCCGCTCGGCCCTATGACGGTCCCCAAACCCGCCAACCCTCTCGACGCGCTCCCGCCGCTGTCCGGTGCCGAGGGCGACAACGAGAACAACGGCCCGCCGCCGCCAGCCCCTCCCGGGACGATCTAATTTGTATCACAATGGAGTCAGTGTTTTTTGGTTGATGAGTTGTGTTTCGCGATGAGCTAGGTAAATTGCCAGCGTGGGAAGTACCCAGAGTCATGTACATAATTCATGCATGAAATGGCCCTACAATAGCGTATTTGAGCGCTTGAAAATACAATATCCTCTCCTCAACGTCAGGCCCAAGTGACTGGTCCCGTATGTTATGAGCTCATCAATCATGTCTATATCAAGGATCTCGCCTACACATCACGATCATTGACCGAGGTCTTGAGCACTTGAGATCTACACATTTACACATTGCTTCGCGGGACACAGGCGAGGGAGTCAACAGCCTTGTTGCTCATGGTGAATCTAGCTTCATTGCACGCATCCTATCAAAGACCCTCACGGGGGCCATCTGCGTCCAGTCAATTCCATGTCGGGTCATGCCATGTTATTCCGTCCCGTCCCATATCCTCATGATCTATTTGTACATAGCTCGATTCTCGAGCCGTAGACGCCGCCCCATTGAGAGCGGATTCATGAAAAAGAAAGCAACGACCACCCCCTACACCCTCAGAAGACGCCAGCCGAATTTAGAAACAGGAACAAAGATGGAGAAGATCAACGCAATGCAGTTTGGTGACAGGTGGGGACACAAAATGCCGAGGAAGAAAAAGACAACGATGCTGATGCTCGAAATCATAAGAAGTAGTCGCTGGGACCGCGACGACCGCCAGGCGTGTGCCGGAACTCGTCGGGCACGGCAGAGAAAATGCTGAACTTGGAGTTCAGGTCCCTGTCGACAGTCATGATGGATGCAACATTGCCGCAGCGGTAGCAGTAGTTGGGCGCCGACCAGACAGTGACGACGGACTGCTCAGGGAAATGGAACTGTAGAGGTCCTGGTAAGCAAATGCAGTACTAGCCTCGGGGTTTGGGGAAATCTCCAACATACCTTGTAGCCTTCATTAACGAGCTGGTGAGCGCGAGCGATCGTCTTGAGGCCGTTGACGTGGTTAAACTCAGTTGCAACTTTGTCACCGAAAAGCCACCCGGCACCACGGGGACTGACCGCCCAAGTTTCGATATCTTCGGGGTCACTCCAGACAAGATCGCAAAAGGCGCCCTCGTGCGGGATCTCCTGTGCTCGAGCAACTACACGGATCTGGTCGATCGTGCGAATCTCGGGCGAAAGACCACCGTGAACACAGAGGACAGTGCCATCAACAATGGCCGCGAGAACGAGAAAATCAAAGACTTGGCAGCACGCTTTCCAGACCGAGGCGTTGCCGTACTTCTGTTGGCACTCTTCGTAGAACCCATAGACCTGCGTGATCTGGCGGGATTCATGGTTTCCACGAACAAGAACGATTCTGTCAGGATATCTTCATAGCCGCGTTAACGCACTGCGTGTCACATGCACATGGCGTCTGGGGGATACTCACTTCGCTTTCAAACACATAAGAAGAGTAAACGTTTCGAGACTGAAATAACCGCGATCGACGAAATCGCCGAGGAAAACGAATCGATTATCAGAAGGTTGTGAGACCGCATTGACATCATTCTGTTGTTCAGAAGGTGGCGGCGAGCTCCCACGGTCAGCCAGATCCGTTGTGGTGTCACCCTCAACGTCATCATCGTCGGCACTGGGAGCATCGCCATTTCTTATCTTCTTCCTCAACTTCGGGTTGGTAATCTCAGTTGGCGGTTCAAGATCTTCGGATCTAATGACAGTTGTAGCAGTTTGAGGCGACTGAACGTTGGTCTCGCCAGGCATGCCACCGGCAACGCGGAAAAGCTCAAGTAAATCATAAAATTGACCGTGAATATCACCGCAGATCGTGACAGGGGTAGAAACAGGTTGTATGTTGGATTCTGTAGCGTGAATGTCAGCAGGTGTCGCAAGAACAGAACCTCGTCCGAGAAGCGCAGTACGGACCTTCCATCAGGACTTCTTTGACCATCTCGCACAGCTGCTTCATGACAGGCTCCGGGAGGTAGTGGCACTGTTTGGCCTCCTCCAGCCACTCATCTAGTCCAGCGCCAGGTCGGAGGCTCGCGGGGCCCGGCTTCGGCACCGTCGTCGTCATGATCGGCTTGAAAATCTTGTAAATGAGCCGGCGATGGCGAAGAGATGGGCGAGATGAAGTAAGAAGGAGGATGATGAGACGGTGTCTCTTGGGCGAATGCGACGGGAGGGAGAGATATCGCGAGCGTACGGCGATGGCGCGGTCCAACAGGGGGCGGCGGATATTGCTGCTGGTGTTCCTCTTGGGGCGGCTGCTGCTGCGACTGGGGCGGCTGCTGCTGTTGCGGCTGCTGCTGTTGCGGCTGTTGCTGCTGCGGCTGCTGGTGCTGGCGAAACCGCCGGAGTCTCTGTCGCAGGGCGACCTCCGGGTATGTCTGGTTGAATGCTCGCCACCGCTCAAATTGTTGGCGGGCGTGAGCAGGGACGACCTGAACAACGAGTGTTCGCCTCGCGGCGGGAAATCGAAAGTTGGGATCGAATTCGACCGGTGGGCGCCGGTAAACTTCTAGAGAGGTTTGGAAGAAGCGCTGTTCGCGGGGAGAGTTACTGGGGGGACCGTTAAGTACCCGCTGTGCCCAGTCGGAGTACAGAGGGGCCGGATCCTCGTCGAGAGAGGGGGGAGACACGTAGGTCTGAGACTGCTCGTCGTCGCTATCGTCGTTGCTATCGCCGTCACCGTCGATGGCTTGGGCGCCCGAGTCGTGGGGGTCGTGGGAGTCGCTGAGGGGCTGAGGGTCGTTTTCGCCGTGAAGCTCTGACAAACCAGCCTCGGAGAGGTTGTCGTCCCTCTCGTCCCTGGGGCTATCTCCACCCTCCATCTTCGCAAGAGCCAGGAGCAGATTGTTGATCCACTTGTTTGATGAAATAGTGAAGCCTGGTTGGTTCGGAGGTGAGAAGATCCGTGCCGGGATTGACGCTAATCTGAAAAGGGTATCGCTTGGGGAAAGAAGAGGGTGCAAAAAGAGATGGTCCGTGCACAGATTTTGAGAAGCTCAAGTGGTCTTGAACCTAGGCACAGATAGGCTAAACCACTTTAGGCAAAGGCTACAGTACCCCACCAGCTGATAAGATTGATCACCATAGTCACAGCCTTTTAACGCTCTGCAACTGCAGTCATCAACCTTTGCACAAGCTCCAGGGTTATTCAACATCGACTGCTGCGAGATCCTTGGCTTCACTTGGAAGGCTTGGCTGCACAGCAAAGGCCCGACGTAGCCAGCTCTTCTGCAAGAGTCTCGTCTACAAATCGTTTATCAACCCAACGAGTTCCTAACCGAACTACCCTCGCTAGCCCTCACCGTCAGCAACCTTCAACTGAGATGACATTCTCGTGGCTATCACCTCTTTGCCACGTTGATTTTTGGCCAGAGCCGCTCTTCTTTACGACGAGATAACTCGGTCGGTTATGCCAACATGGCCGCACCCCAGGTCTTGTCTCGCAAGGCAAACGGCGTACTACCCATCCCAGCCAGCCAGACAGGGAACGATGCGCCCAAGCCAGCTAAGAACAAATCGTTGATGGAGGGAGAAAAGGTTGTAATTCGCCGCCTGCCCCCCGGAATGACCGAAGAAGAATGTCTGCAAATCCTAGGCGGACAATGGCATGCCGGTGCTGGCAAGGTCGGCTGGTTCTCGTTCCATGCGGGCAAGATTTCGACCGAGTAAGTCCCTCCAACTGTCGCACCAGCCCGCGCTTTCGTTGTCTGACAGGATCAAACAGCCCCTCGAAGCCGTCGAGACCCTCGCGAGCCTATCTACAAGTCCTGAAGCGAGATGATCTGATGGCGCTGTCGGAGGTTGTGAGGACAGCCACGTGGGAGGACGCCAAGGAAAGCTGGACGAACCCCGTTCTCATCGGACCCCCAACTACAGAATTCGCTATGTACAAGAAGATTCCTAACGGGAAGCGACGGAGTGATGGGCGACAGGGCACGATCGATCAAGACCCTGAATTTATGGACTTCCTCGAGGCGCTCGCAAACCCAACCACGCAAAAGGATGGCGAGAATGAGCAGGCGGCAGATGAGGATGCGAAGTCAGGCTCCAGAACGACCACGACACCCCTGATTGACTACCTGCGCGAGAAGAAGGCGAACAAGGCGAAGGAGGCGAGTGCTAAGGCCGCTAAGCAAGCCAGGCAGGAGGCACAGGGCAAGGGCAAGGGATCGAACGGAGACGACTCAAAGAAAAAGTCCAAGTCGGATAAGACTGCCGAGAAACCCAGGGAGACGGTGAAGATATTGACCAAGAAAGCGGCGACGGAAGCTGCCGCCGAAGCAGCCAAGGCAGCTGCGGCGCAGATCACAGCTTCGAAAGAGGATGCACCTAAGAGCCGTAGAGCCGGCATTGCTGCTGCCGCTAGGATCCTTCAACGTGATCTCGGTCTGAGCCCTGGCAACGCCCACAGGAGGGCGCGACAGCAGGCCGCGCAAGCCGAGAGCGAGGCCAAGGCCAATGCTACCAAAGAAGTGGCCCCGGAATCGCCGGCAGCCCCCTCAGGATCATCATCATCCAAAGTTTCGAAGGATAAGGAGCCCGCCTCCACAGGGACCAAAGCCCAGTCGCAATCGCAGACTCAGCAGCCAGCCTCGCAAGGATCCAGAGGCAAAAAGAATGCCACCGCTTCAGACACTGGTAAGGGAAAGGGTCAGAGTGAGAATGCGAATCCGTCTGCGACCGCGGGCAAGCCAGTCGTCCTCCTGAAAAAGAAGGAGAAGGAAGACGCCTCGTCACCAGCACAAACTAGAGCCAGTCCCAGTCCTGCCATCGCTACTGCTGCTCCCACTGGACCGAAAGCTGCCAGCGGAAAAGGCACTCAAGCACAGGGCTCGAGGAGAGGCGCCGCCGCCGCCGCCACGCCCACTGCAGGCGCCACCAGAGCTTTCGTAAAGCACGCAAACCCATCGCAGGGTGTCACGGAGGCGCTGCTCAAGGAGGCACTCAAGGACTTTGGAGCAATCACGTTTGTCGAGATTGACCGACGCAAGGGCTTTGCCTACGTCGATTTCGCCGAGCACGAAGGCCTCGCCAAGGCCATGGCGGCCAGCCCCGTCTCTGTTGCCCAAGCCAATGTCCAGATCCTGGAGCGCAAGGAGACGAAGAAGAACGCTGGCTCCTCGGCGGCCGGCGCGAGCAGCGCAAATGCCAACGCTGCTGCGGGAAGCTCGGCAGCCACCCCGGCCACGCCGACCACGCCGACCGCCGAACAGGCCGAGCAGTCGCAGACGCAGCCGCCGCATAAGCGAGGTGGGAGGCGTCGTGGCGGTCGCAGCCGCGGCGACGGACAGAGCAAAGAGGGCAAGAACGCCGAGGGTTCGAAGGGCGCATCCTCTGCTGCCCCTCCTCCAGCGACGTGATGATCTGATCGAGCCGACCTAGTCTGTCTTAGACAAGTTCAAACATCTTATGCAGCAGCTCTACATCTGAGCGCCGAGCTGCCCTCTCGAGTGCAGTGCCAGGGCCAGTGTTCTCAACTCATGGCATGTGCAGCTGCCCCGTCTCGTCCACGAACAACATGGCTTTGAGACCAGTGGGCAGTGTCGCACGGACACCCCACCTCCAAGGAGCAAGCACCGCATGGGATAGCACCCCGCCAGACCGTGAAGAATGGGAGGGAGAAGCGATGATTCAGATGAATAATTGGACGGTCTCGGTGCCTGGAAGCAGGCCATGTCTCGCATAATCGAGCATGCCAAATCATCCAAGCAGGCACATGCATCCAGCTTGGACGCACCGGTTTGAGGATCCAGTGACCGGCGTGGGATTTTTGCGAGACAAGGAAGAGTCACCACATCGTCTTATGCAGGCCGTCCGTAGGCTGATCATATGGAATCAGATTCAGCTGCTATGCACGGTTGGTATCTCTAGTCAAACAATCAAAAGTCGCCTTCGCAAGTCTATATTGTGGGTTGAAACCTTTCCCCTCCGGATCCCCCGAATACATGAGTGATGCAAAACAATACATGATGGTATATCCCTAGCCATAAAGAGAAAAAAAAACGTACAATCAGACTTGCCCCATATAAACAAAAAAAAACGCCTTTGCAAGTCGCGCCCGACTTTGTCTAGTTTGCCTACTCCGCCAATCCCCCCCCAGAACAGTGAAACCCCTTATTTTTGTCTATCTACTTGTGAAAACAAAGAAGGAAATGCATGGTGCAGGTGGGAGAAACAAGCGTGCGTGCGGAGAATGGGGGGAAGAAGAAGAAGAACAGGGGAAAGCCCGCTCGCTACCAATGCGAGCAGGACAGACACACACCCGGCGAAACAGCCACACGCCCCATCAAGGCTCCCTCGCAAAAGATTGCATCCGGGGAGCGTGTGGATTGCCGCGCGGGGGGCCGATGGGAATGCATTGTGGTTGTGTGTGCCTTGGGATCGCAGCCTAGATCAGGCAGGCAGGCAGGCAGGCAGGCAGGCGGGCGGCCTTTGAGCAGCTGCCGAAGACCTTTCTTCCCTTGTGGGCTGCGGGCTTCCGTCCGGGGGGGAGCTAAGGTGGGTGGGTGGCTGCCTAACGGCCCGCGTTTTTAGCGGGTCTTTTTCCCTTCGGGCTTTCCCGCCGGTCGTCCCACCCGTGGCGTGCTAGGCCGGGCGGAAGTGGGGGTTTAGCTTGCCTGCCTAGACAGACAACCGCCGCCAGCCTGAAAGCTCCGGCGACAAAAAGCGAGAGAGGAGAGGGGAGATGCAGAGTGGTGAGGGTCCAAGAGTGTGTGTCTCAGTGGTGTGGTGTCGGCAGGTGGTTGTTCGAAGGCAATGGCCGATTGCCCCAGGAAATGCTCGTGAGGTTTGCGAAAGGAAGGGGGGTATCTCAGTAAAGAAAATGATGAAGGGCCGGTCGTGATGCAGAAAGGATCAGAGGAGAGACGTAAAGTGGCATGCGCGATTTGGGGGGGTGGGGGGTATTATAGGACCCTCCCCGACATCGCGGAAAAACGTAACTGTTTCGCGCGCGCGGAATCATCACCTCGGATAGCGAGAGGTCCGGCTGCTCGAGTGGTGCTGCTTCGGGAGCGGGGGCGGCGGGTAGTAGCCGGCCGGCTCCTGGTAGTCGTCGTAGTAGTCCGGCACGGCCTGCTCGGTGGTGACGGAGATGGTGGGGCGCTCCGTCCGGGGGACCGAGGAGAAGGTGGGCTCCTGCGCGTAGGCGTACAGCGGCGAGGCGATGGGCGTCGTGGTGTAGGTCGCGTACTGGGCCCTGGTCGGCGAGGAGGGGCCGAAGGGCTCGACGTAGCTCTTGCGGCGGGCGCGCGTCGACGACGAGGGCGCCTTGGAGGAGAGGGAGGTGGCGTCGCTCGTGGCCTCGCTCGTGCTGCTCTTGGACTCGAAGCGCTCCTTGAGGCGCTCCTTCTGCTTCTTGTCGCTGTCCCGGCGGCTCGACGACCGGTGCAGCTTGGTGGTGGTCTCGCCGCCGCTGCCGCCGCTCGTGGTGGGCGAGCTGGCGCGGCGGGCCTCCTTGAGCTGGCGCTTGAGCAGCGCGACCTCGTCCTGCAGCGCCTTGTTCTCGTCCTCGAGGTTCTCCTTCTCCTCCTCGGCGCGCTGGCGCTCGACGTTGCTCTTCTCGACGGCCGACTTCTTGTCCTTGAGGATCTTCTTCTTCTCGTCCTCGAGCTGCTCGTTGCGGTCGACGACGCCGCGCCACGAGGCCTCGCGCTCCTTGAGGGCCTTGCGCAGCTCGGCGATCTCCTCGTCCGACTGCTTGGCCTTCTTCTTCCAGTGCTCCTTGTTCTTGTAGACGCTCCGGTAGGCCTCCTGGAGGGACTCGAGGTCGTTCCACTGGTCGTCGGTGACCTGCGCCGCCGTCGCCCGCGGGCTGGCGGGGTCGCTCAGGGACCCGACGCCCGAGTCGCTGGCCTGGCGCGAGGATCGCGACCCACCGGGAGGTGAGTCACGAAAGTTGACTTTCCTCCTGGAGTCTCCCATCGCAAGAGAGGAGGGGGGGGAGGAACCAGTTGTACGGCCTGGCAGCCTTTAAATAGGTATAGTGCTTCTTTTTCTGCTGCTGCAAGACAGAACGAAAAGGGTCTGGTCTGCCGAGTCCGGATCGGTAGGCAGGCAGCTCATGCGCGGTGGAAGGCAGAGGAGAGGAATGCAAGGCTTGCAGAAGGGTGTAAGTTGGGCCCGAAGAGGGGGGAGAAATATGTGGTTTGTGCTGATTTGACGGAGCAAGCAACCCTGAGAGGGTTCAATGCAGCAATACCCAAGCTAGATATAAGGGAATTCTGGAAATTGAGGGAGCTTGCGCGGAAATTGGGCGAATTGGGCACTGCCTTTGACCAGGGGCCGGGGACAAGGCTGTGGGCAGGCAGAGCGTGGAATGCTGTATCCGATCGACTAATACGTGCGGGAAAGGGGGGGCTTAGGCTCAGGCTTAGGCTTAGTGCGTGTGGGTGCGCAGTCGACGCTTTTGTCGTGTGGATTTGGCAAAGACTGGTTGGGCTGCAACCAGGAGTAATATAAGGACAGGGGATTGAGCCTAATGGGAAGCCCAGGGAAAAATTTTCTGGACAGCAGAAAAGGGCGCGTCCCCAAGGAACCAGGCCTATAAGAGAAAGTATGGGCCCCGATCAAAAGGGGGGTGCCTGTGAAGGTGAAGGAAGATGTGGTCTTATAGATTATGCTTTGTTGTTATTTGCGTGCGTGCCTTGGGGGGGAGGGGGAGGGCAGAGCAACAAAAATGCTGGTTGGCGGAGAGAGAAGTGGTAAAGTCGCGATGGTAAGTGGTGGTAGTGCTGGTGGTGGTGATTGTGGTGATTGTGGTGATTGTGATGGAGTGTGGTGAGCAATGGCGAATGGAAAAGAAAGGTGAAAGAGACGCCGGTCCCCAGATCGTCTTTGCAATTCATATTTATTCAGACACGGGCGACACTTACACTCAGAACCCTTGGCCATGATGGCATTGTGAGATGGCTGCTGCCTTGGGTTCCCTATTCTCGTTGCGACAAAAGAGGGAGATGCGAACCAGCTGCCGACCGACCGGCCTCGCTCTGTTTTCCATGGGGATGACCTGAGAAACGAGGTCGAGGGATTCTCAGTTGCGCATCGAGAAGACTCTCTCCCCAAGGCAACCGGCCGCCGACTAGCAGGGTATGCTCGGCCAGAGAAAGTACCAGTACCAGGAATGCGGGAGATGGTCCCGATGACGAAGGTCCAAGGTCGAGTCACCACACAGACGCAGGGAGACCCTTGCGTCTCGGGCCCTTCCGCCGATGCAGCTTTGCAACACAACATCCACAAACACAGAGACCTGGCCAAGGACTGGACAGGACAGGACGAAGGCGAGTTGTACGGGTACAAGCGAAACACGCACATGCGCATTCCGGCTTTTTCTTATCCCATGTCGCTTTCCGCTTCCCTGTGTGGAGTGTGGGGACAGACAAGAGACAGAGAGACAGAGAGACAGAAGAGACAGACACAAGACAGTGGATGAGGGGGAGGGGATGGAGGAGGGGTGGTGCTCCCACGTCCGTTTCAGGCCTTGCGAGCATGCCATCATGATTGCCATGCCATGCCATGCCATTCCAATCCCCTCCCCAACCTGAAATTCTCCGGCATTCACTTCACGACCATGGCAGTCGATATTGTTCGGCTGTTCTCTTTTCATTCTTCACTGTACGTACAGAATACAGAGAGGGAGGAGACGACGACGACGACGACGATGCTGGCCATGGACATGAACTTGCCGGACCAGCTCGTGGTGGTGGTGGTGGCAGTGCCCCTCAGCGTCGTGCACCCCTCCCCTCCCTCTTCCTCGTCCAGCGACAGCGATACCTCCACCACCATCACCTAGGGGAAGAGCATCATCATGCCGCTTGGCTGCCCAGGCACCGCTGCCTCTGAATGGTCCGTCTGGCTCTGCTCTCACCGAAAACCAGATTGTTGGTGGTGTGAAGCAGGAGGGTACGTTCCCTTTCAGCCCCCAAATGCGGTCCGTCGTCGCCGCCTTAGCTGCTGGGGTACCTAGCGGTCTGCCTACTTACCCAGGCAGTGGCCGTCGACGTCAAGATCGGTCCAATCGCCCTCGTTCGTTCTGTCGGTTGTGAAGGCAGAGAAGCAACATCGGCAGAAATCGTCCTGAAGCACGAAAAAGAAAAACATGCCATCGGCGCGGTGGAGCACAGAAACAGCATCAACTGACCCCCAGGCAGTGGGCGGTCACCACACACATCCTGAACTGGCTTGCACGCACGCCGCCGCCGTCGAGCTTAGCAGATATGAGTCACAATCCGGATCCTGTCTGAGCCGCGGCGCCATGATAGGCATCCCGAGGCCATGCCATTCCGCCAAGCTAGACGACACGCCCAAGCATCTCCCAGCTCTCCTACGTACCTATCGTACCTATCTTCTCACATCGGAAAGAATGGAGTGACAAGGGGAATGCCGTTGTCTCTTGCTTCCTCCGCCTTCCACGCGTCGTCATCCTGGGGGAAGGGGGGACTGTTTCCCTTGTGCGACAAACCGCGGTGGCTTCTTCTGACAAATATTGACGAACTGCGCCGTAGGCTGTCTCGCAGGGCTGAACGAACTGTAAGTGCGGGCAGCAAGAAAAGTGTTTACAAGTACAGAAAGGTGGGACTGGGGACCACCCAAGCCAAGCGAGTTGGAGAATTGATACAGTGGATCCCACGGGGATGGTACCAGTGGCGGGCAGGCAGGCCAGACGGACGGACTGCACCGCCCCCCCTGCCCCGGCATCGGGATCTATGCCCAAATCAGTAATTGTCATCTACCTTGACAGCATCCATCCATACTCCGCACACGCGCCTCTCTGCTCGCAACAATCCCATACCTACAGCGTAGTTCGCACTTGTGCGGAAATGATACGGCACGGGCTGGGACTGGCTGGCCTGGCTGGCCGAACAGAATGCAGAGAGTGCATCTGTCAGTCGACACTGGCCTGGATGGCCTATGGGAAAGCAGCGTCATTTCTTCCCGATCTGTGTCTCGATCACTACCTAGCACATGTAAAGAAGAAGGTGTTGCTGTGACGGGCAAATCCCGGCTCTCGGAACTGCTGTGCTGCGAGGTACGACGACTACCTTGTCTGTATGATGGATGACGGCGCCCCCCAAAAGAAAACTCCCAGCCAACGAGCACACAAAGGAATGACACAAATGAAAACAAAGCTTGCCGAGAGAGTGATCCCGCTCGATTCGCCGTTTCACACTGGATTATGCCGGCTGCATGCAATATCAAATTGATGCTCTGTCCTGGCCTGCAGTAACCACCGACCGGAGAAAGGTCAGTCTCAAGGAGTCAGTCTCGACGACTAATTTAAGTCGCCGCCCATCCATCCAGTCCGCGCGTTTCGTTTCTTCCCTGGGACTACAAGTACTCTAGCAAACAAAACCTGACAGGCATCCACTCACTCATACACGAGATGGTATTTCGTTTCGACTAGCGGCGGGCCTCCCGCAGCCCTATGCATAAGCCCGCCCTCAACTTGTCATCCATCATCCCACCAGCTTTGGTCCGCTGGTCCTGCAGATCGACGTCCTTGGCGAACCCAAGGCAACGAGCAGGGCTACTGTGCGTAATTATGCTCGCTTGATTTGGATTTCGAGAGGCATCCACGCTTATTGTTTCCCATGCATGCATCGACATTGGAACAAGAGGCCGTTGTTCTGCCCCCCACTGGCTCGCAGCGACGAGGAAGCGAAGTCTGTATGATCCCTGCAATTACAAGTACGTGCTAGTCAATGGGGGGCCATGTCTAGAACGGTCGGACTCGAGAGATAAAGACCCGTCCAGGCATCCATCTATCATAGATACCCCTCTCACGTCCTCCTCCGTGCTGGAGACAGTCTGGCAGTGCCGTCTAACTACCTATGCCGCACCCCATCGGAAACACTCGATAGTAAGTCAGGTAGGTGCACTCAAGCCAGACGTCAAGGCTGTGTCAATTCACAAGCAGCAACACCCCAGTGCATGACCGTAAGCACTTGAACCTCCCTTGTGCTCAGCGCTAGCAGGGATAACGATCTCTCTCTCTCTCTCTCTCTCTCTCTGTCTCTCTCTCTTGCACTCTTTTCCAAGATCACGCCCACAATGCCTTCCCGTTCCCGTGAGAGAGGCGGGCCCCATGCTAATCGCGCGCGTGATGCGCTTATCCCCCCTCCCTCCCTCCCCCCCCAGCAACGCACCCTGGCTGCTGACTGGGATGCCTTAAGCGCAGCAACAGGTTTTCGCCTCCCCGCCAGCCTCCAGTATATGACCCCATGCACAAATGTACGACGAGGAAGCATGTCTCTCTGTCTAGGTTTGCATTTTCGAGAGTGGCCTGCCTTGTCCTGTCAGCGAGGCTTTGGGGGCCGCATAGCTGATCGACGCGTAGGTTGTAGAACGCGCGTTGGCTGCCTCTCTTTTTTTCTTTGCTTGTCTTCTTTCTCATCAATTGATTTTTTCCTTTTTTTGGCGGCCACCGGGTCATTCGTGTAGCCCAACTGGGCGCCTCTTGCCGGCACTCTGGTAAACCGTGTCTTGATGCCGGGAATGATCTGTCGGGCGGAGCCACGTGCAGCTGTCAGATGTACATACGGGAGTAGGGATGTCTCACTGCAATGTCCAGACAGAAAGAAGAACTCCACATTGAATATATTGCGACGACGTCTTTTCAATTACAACAGTCATATCTCTCATAGGAACTAAAAAAGATTGTCGGACGTATGTAAAGAAAATAAATGCTTGACCGGATATCTTCTCAGGTGGTTCAACATAGCCTTACTCGCTACTCCCGAACAAATGTACAAAGAAGGAAGTGCAACTCTATCATCGCTGTAGTTTCCAAACGCCCGTGATGTAATAATCAAGTAGTCCGCCCAGTCAGTCTTCCTGCACAAAAATGCCACAAGTAACCATGTCGGGTTTCTAAAGCAGACGATGGCGGTACAGTATCCGCTCGTACGCCTCGACCTTGCGGCGCAGCGCGTCGTTGTCGTCGTAGAGGTCGTCGACCCTGGCCTGCAGCGCCTCCTTCTCCCCGTTGGCCTTGTCAAAGTTGGTCCGCATCGCCGCGTGGCGCTCAAACAGGCTGCGGTAGGACCGGTCCAGCCTGTCGTACCGGTCGCGCCACGACTGCCCGTCGGCCAGGTCGCGCGCCAGCTCGCGGACCCGGTCCGCCAGGCCCTTCTTGTCGTGCTCCAGCCGCCGGTTCTGCTGCCTCAGGGCCTCGCCGTCGTTCCGGGCCTTGGTGTACTTGTTGCGCGCCGCCCGGACCTGGTCCTCGAGGTCGGCGTCGTGGTCGACGGACCGGCGCAGCTCGTGGTTCTCGCGCTCCAGCAGCTGTATCCGGCCCTGGAGCTGGGGCACCCAGGCCGTCAGCCGGCGGACCTCCTGGTCGCTGGCCGTCCAGTTCGCCTTGAGGGCGTAGTTCTCGCGGAGCAGTGCCTCGTTCCGCTCGCGCAGAGAGCGCTCCCGTCGTAGCAGATCGTTCATCTTCTCGCTTGTACAACAGGAGTCATCATCGTCGTAGATGTCGGAGTGATGCTTGGGGTGGTGGTGGTGGTGGTGGTGGTTGTGGGAGTGAGAACGCTTGAGGACGAACTGGCGCCGGCCCTTTGGCGTCGTCTCCACGTACAGCTTTCCGGGCATATGACGGCGGAATGCTCTGGGTGAGGAAGGGTGCTCGAAAGCAGCTACCCCTGGATATCGCCTATGACAAAGAGGAGAGAAAGCTTCCGATAGACTATGGGTTGCTTGCAGGCCCTATATACCCCTGAGGAGGGCAGTGATAAAAGCGTCCACGGGGGTGGAAGGGCAAGGCAGCAGGATAAAGAGGAGAATCGAGGCCCGTACGCTTCACTTGTGAAAGCTCTCTTGTGATGGTAACAAGATGCTGTGGATATGCAGGGACCAAGTGGAACGGCTATGAGAGAGGGCAACCAAGTATGCGTATGCAAGTCACACTTGCAGGAACAGTCGTCGATAGAACGAATGAGAATAGGAAGTCTAGGATCGAGGCTCGATCGGTGGAGGCGGGGGCTGGCTACTTAAGAAATAGTTTGCTCCAGCCCGGTTTGGAGTCATGGCCAACACAGACACACGGGGAAACAGGAAGGACACGGGCAGTGAGAGCAAAGCAATGAGTCCTACCGACTATGTAGGGGAGGGGGGCGTGCGTCGACGAAACCACGAGGCGCAATCCGTGATGTCTTGTCAGGTTGACTCTGGCGCTGGAAAACAGAGACGCCTGGCCGCGGCCCACGAGGAAAACGAGGGAGCGAGGAAACGGGTGTGGTGTCAAACCAGGCAATCAGTCACTCTGGGACCCTCGGGGTGAGACAAGACATGGAAAGCAAGGTACCCGGGTGTTGGAGATGGTGGGCGGAAGGAGGAGAGAGGTGGGAAAGAGAGTGAGAGAGAGTGTGAGAGGCAGAGAAAGCGACAAAGAACCCAAGAAAAGAATGCTACCTGCTTTCTCCCCAGCAAAGGGTGGTGACAAAAGGAATAGGCATGTAAAGTGTGGTGTTGGTGTAAGTCGAGGTGTGTGTGGGAGGGCCGGAGAGGTACGGCGCGCGCGGTTGCCTTGACCGAAGAAAAACTGACGGTGTCAAGCCCATCAGGGAACAAGAGCCTGCGCACTACAGACCCGAAAGGGTTTGACAGGCTTGGCTACCGCATGCCATGGCACTGGGCTTATACACTGGCCATGTGGTACCATGTTGAGCGACGGAATGCGCAGCTGGGCAAGTTGATGGTGGTGTCGTGGGAGAGGGAGAAGGGGAGAAGGGAGGGGTCACTTGAGGCAATGCTCGGCGTGATGTCCGCTCTCTGTCTTTGTTCTGGGGGGGAGAGAACAGAAAAGTGTTACGATTCTCTCTCTCCCGCGCTGCAAGGCTGCTTGCAAGCCCCCCAGTCAAATTTACTTCTGCCCTTCTCACCACTTGGTCCTCCGAGCTGAGCAGATGCGGATGGGTGAGGCTGTGGGGGTGAGAGCTGACAACAACCTTGGAGAAGGCGGACGGGAAAGGGCAAGGAAGAAGACTGGCAGGGGGGGTCCCTAAATTAGGCGCCGGCAGGGCATTCAGTGGTCAGCCAGTCGCCACAGGTGTCCTCATTGGAGGCCTTGCACGCTCCAAACCGCTATTCGCCAGCGCTGGTGGCTCCCATGAATTGGTGGGCATGGTGGGTTCACTGCCACCATGGGCCGCCCACACAACTTGATCTGGCCAAGGCCATCGTCGTCATCTCCATCCAGGTCCCACGATCATGTAGTATTTGCACGACTACCAAATGTCATCATACCTGCTGTCCATGTTCTCCCATCATTGGATCATCCAGACCAGGCCCTCGGCGGTCTTTCCCGACCCGCACCCACCACCCATCACCGATTGTCTGCTGTCTCTTCTAATCTAAACATCACACCCGCAGCCTCGTCTCTTGCTCCTGCTTTACTTCACATATCCAGATAGGCACAATGGCGGGGAGACGACACTATGACAACGAGAGATATTAATAGCTGCAAGGTCCTTTAAAGGGATCGCAGCATCCAGAGAGCTCAAGGGGATATCAATGCAACGTCGTCGCCGGCGAAAACCCAGTTGGGGGCCAAAACACATGCGTCTCTCCAGGAGGATAGGTACCTCTTTGGTGAGCGATCGACGAACGACAAAGCGAGTAGAAGCACATGGACATCTCGGAAACGATCGAGTCCGAGACCTTCCCTTTATCATTTATGACCGCCGGGATCCCCGGATAGAAAGAAGGGCTGGCTGCTGTGTCGTTGCTCGAGGCGAAGCGCGCCTTTTCAAGTCTACGCGTCCTCCCACGATGACTCCCCGCGGCATTTCAGCCGCAGTATGTGGCTGAGGGCTGAAAGCCAGAGCTGCACCTCGTCTTGGACGGCGGTCTTGAGGGGTATGGTGTGTCGTCTCTTTGAGCATTCCGCGCCGTCATGAGCTGTTGCAATGGCATCTCCAGTCTGGATGCTCCTGCTGGCGCTGACATCTGTCAGCCATGCCACTTGCATGTATGAAACATCGGAGACCTTCAGTCTAGCACTTCCGCTAGGTAAGATCACAACCTGCAGGTAGGCGTCTTTCGTCCGTGGGTCCTGCACGCGCCGTTTTTCTTCCCGCTGTACTTCAAGTCAAGTCAACTCCTCGGGGGCCATGGGGCCAATGTCACAATCATGAACCGAACGAAATACAAAGTCTTCAACTCGTTGATGAGGCCACAAGAGCCAAATAGAAACCATGTTTCCTGTAGAAGGTGCGCAAAGGAGGGACATGAAGCGAAGAGTGGCCCAAAGGGACCACCACCACCTGGACAAGCCTCCTGCCACACAAGCAAGCTACCTAAAGGTTTTACACGACCCCCAGCCTTTCCTCGCGTGCGGCTGTTCATCATCTCCCCTGGCCTCCGCGTTTCGCTCGTGCCATCTAGTAATCTCGAAAATGGGAAACAAGAACTTATACAAAAACAGGTTGTGTCCTGCCCAAAATAGTCGCTGAGTGGAAAATTCGAATAAAAAAAAAAGGAGAATTATGCAGAGAAGCGCGCGTGGGAATATGAGCAAGGAAATTGTTGAAACGCCGTTGTAAAGGTTTTTGAAGCCACCCAGTAAAACACAGGAAAAAATCAGATAAATCAGCAAATGCTGGCTGCATTCGCAGCTCGAAATCGTCTCGCTTTCCCCTTACCCATGACCCAAGCCCGCCGTATCAAGATGTGGCTTAGCGGGTACCACCGAGAGCGCTGATCCGGGCACCCGAGGGCCGGTGGATCAAGCTCTCGGCGTGCTTGCCGACGACGCCCTCCTGGGGAAGGGGCTCGACGTCGCTGCGCTCGGCATACTCGTCCTCGTCATCCTCGACGATCTTGGTCGGGATGTCGTGGCCGACCATGTACTGCTGGGACGAGCGCTCGGGGGTCGTCATCGTCGACGCGATCGACATGGAGGTGCTGGCCCGGTTGGGGATCAGATCGGGGGTGGGCGGAATGCTGGATGCCCGGCCAGACGGGTGGAGGTGGCTGTCGTCACCAGCCTCAGAAGTCGTGGCAGAGTGCCCGTCGTCGCTGGGGGCAGCCGAGATGGCCGAGAGGTTGCTGGCCCGGCGCGCATCAGCGGCGCGGCTCTCGATCTCGGCATCCTGAGCCATCTGGAGGCTGTCGACAGCGGCAGAGCATTGCTCCGCAATGTTGCGAATGATGTGCGCAATGGCATCAGTCTTGTCCTTCAAGTGGCGGTCGGCCACGTCCTTGAAGCTGGCAGCGGAGTACCGCTTGGCGGAGCGGGAAGGTGCCTTGAGGCCTATAGTCGCTGCGTTAGCATTCAAATCATCAACTGGCAGGCACAATAACGTACCATCGGGGCCCTCCACCATCTGCTCGGCCTCCTCCTCTTCGTAGCCCTGCTCGAGCTCTTCGAGCAGCTCGTCGGGCTTGGTCAGGGAAAGGATGAGATGCTCCATGTGGTGGCTCTGGCCGCCAATCAAGCTGCGAAGGTGAAGCACAACACGGCGTGCCTCGTCACGTTGCCTAGCGAGAGTAACGTTGGTGTGTTGAAGGGCAGAGAGCTCCTTCTTGTTGCGTTTCCGCTCACGCTCGAGTTCCTCGGCAATCTCCTGTTGCAGGACCAGAGCTTCGAGGGCATCGTCACGCTGCTTCTCGGTGCCGGCAAGACGGACGGACAGGCGAGCATTGTCATCCTTCTGCTGGTCAATAAGACCACCCAGGCGACGGTTCTCACGCTTGTGGTTCTCAATCTTGACCTTGAGGTCTTGAGTCTCCTTGGTGAGCTGCTCAGCAAAGGCCTGGAACTTGAGGAACTGTTGCTTCCAGCTCTCCAGCTCCTCAACCAAGTAGTTGTTCCGCTTGGTGACCTTGCTGAGCTCCGTGTCCATGCGGCCCTTGAGGTTGATGAAATCTTGCCAAGCCTCCAGGGCATCACGAGAGTACTGGTTGCGCTCACGCACGATCTCGTTAAGATGCCTCATGGAAACCTTGGTCATCAGGGGCTTCTTGACGGAACCGCCAAAGACGGCCTTGAGGCCGGTGTTGCGGCCCATCTTCTCGCAGACATGGTCCATCACAGTCATGACGGAGTCCTGGTTCCACCACTCGGGATCCTGAATCGACTCAACCTCCCCGCGCATGACAATGATCTGGCCAGCAGGGACCAGCTTGCCGCCACCGTAGGCGGAGCGAAGGTGCTGGGGAACACCAGAGGGTGTCACGTCGCCGTTCAACGCCTGGGTAAGGCGGGTGACAAACTTGTTACGCTGACCGGGGTTGAGGGCCGTGGGAGGGTCCGAGGTGAGCACGAAGTTCCGGTCCAGGTCCACAACGAGGGCGTCGCTGGGGGCGGTAAAGAGCGACCGGCATTCGGCAGTGATACCGAGGATGTACGGACCAGGCTCCTGGACAAGCTCCTGAGCATGGCGGGCATGGACGACGGGCACATAGAGACCGCTCCACTCGTAGACACGGACGCAGTACCGGACCGACTCGGCGGCCATGGTCAGCATCGCAGGGTAGTGGCTGACAAAGATGATGCGGCGCGTCGGCGAGATAGCGGCCTCGACCACACCAACGATGTTGGGAATAGAAAGGCAGCAGAACAGGGGCCACATGGCGAAGTTCTGGAAGCCCGTGGGCGAGGAAGGGAACTGGTAGCACAGCGCGTAGTCCTTCATGTCGATTCGGACGAGGTCGTTCAATCGCGGGGCAGGGAAACTCAGGATCCGCGAGACTTCCTCGGCGTGGAACAGGTTGGTGGCCTTGTTCCAGTGAATCCACATGCCCCTCAGGTAGTCGCCGAGCAGGTTGTAGAGAGGGTATCTGGAAAGGAAAGACAGGCAGTACGGAATCCAGTAGGTCTCGTCGGGGTTGTCGTAGTAGTCGGTCTCGGTCCGCTTCCTCAGATCCCTGATAGTCTCGGCCCTCTTCTCGTCGGCCCGGGACCACACCCTCAAACAGATACCGTAGAGCGTGTGCGACGAATCCTGCTGCAGAACGAAGGCGTGGTGGACGCAGTGAGGCTGGCTTCTACCGGTGCAGATCTCCACATCATGGGGGAAGCAGGCCTGGAGTCTTGTTAGAAATCTGTCGTCGCACATGGCAGAGTGAACTTTGGGAACATCATTACCCTCATGGCAGCGTGCAGGGCACGAGCAATCTCATTGTCTTGCTCCAGTCTCGGGCTGCTTCCGAGAATCTCGGGGAGCCAGAATTGGCCAACTGCACCTTTCATATGGCCGATCTTGCCCTGCGCCGGGGGCGGCGCCTTGACCCATTGAGACGGCTCCCGGCCGACGCCACAGACCATGTAGGCATGGGTGAGGGTCTTGGGAGTGCGCTGTTGCGGCTTGACGTTGAGAGTGGAAGGGATAGGCTGGGTGATGCGCGAGTGGAGGGAGGAGGTGCGGCTGGGAATGATGAGGTTGTTGTCGCCCTGGTCGCGAGTGCTGGGGCGGTCGCTCGTACGCGGCCGCGTGAACGACGAGTGAGCGTTGAGAGAAGGGGCCATCTTGAAATGGTTGTCTGATATCGGGCCCAGGAAAGTCGAGTTCTCGAAATCGATCAGCTACGGCATCAAAACAGTGAACAGCAGTATTTGGATCAGTCCAGACTGAGGCGATCAAGGGTGAAGCAGTTGCAGGCGTCGTCAATTGCTCTCGGCAACAGGCAACAGCTCTCTCCCTACGGACGGGAGGGTCGAAAGGAATGGCGAGTGGTCGACACAATGGTGAGAGAGGTAGCGAGAACCTCTGTCGAAATGGCAAATGAAGGGAAATCAGACCGAAGATGCACTGTCCAGACCAACAAGGCAGCGGATCCTCAAGTCTGCGGAAGCGATGCTTGCGACAATGGCAAACAGACAGCAACCACGATCTGACGCTGCGACGACAGGACGGATTAGGGGTGCAGAGAGAGGGAAGAAGGGAGAAAGGCGAGCTTCTGTAGGGGAGGGAGAAGGTTGGGGAGATGAGGACGGAGGTGGAGCGAGGTGGAGGGGAGTGATACGCCGCCGTCACGGAAAGGAGGCGAGCAGAGGGCCAGGGGAAGGAGATGGCCCATTCAAGCCATTGCACAATTCCACCGAGCTGGGATGAAGCACGACGCCCCGGGCTGTCGAATGCAGGTTGGCTCGACCCGAGAGCGGACAAGAGCGGACAGGGCATGGAGTGGCCGAGTGGCCGAGTGAAGCAGAGTGGCAGACTCGACTTTGGAGCTTGGGGTTTCGCAGTGCTGACCGGGGATGGGAAAATGAAGGTGGAGCACGCCAGCGAGAGCACCGAGCTGGAGCTACTCCATAAAGGGGGGACTGAGACAGGGGGCTGCATGCAGGCTGGCAGGGAAGGCCAAGGCCCAAAAGGCCGTCTTCTCGCACACCCAGTCTCGACCATTGGCGGGGACGCACTTGGTGACCCTATTCCGGAGCATGTACAAGTACAATACCTGCAGCAAGAGTTGCAGCAGAGAGACCCTCAAAATCAATCACCGTTGCTTCGCACATCCTGAGATGCGAGGCGACCTTGTTTGCCTCCAACAAGAACGAAGCACACGCACACAGACACGGGCGGGCACACGAGAGGGATGGCAGCAAACTTCATCACTGTTGCGAGCTCTCATCTCTTCACCGGACTTTGCCCTGTACGGAGTACTTCCGTCCCAGGACTGTATTGTACTTCCAACACTCGTCAAGATCCCACGCTCTGCCTCCCTCCCCCCTGCTCCCTTGCTTCCCAAGCTCCCCAACCCGGGTGCGCCCCCCATCCTAGCGTCTGGTGTGGGTTGCTTTTGCCAGGACCCTTGGCCTTCAAATTTTCGACGATCCACCACATCCTACCGCTCAGCCAATGGTCACTCCTACTGAAGCAGGGGTGGCTGGAGAAGAAGGAAAGCTCTCAGCGCCGTCCGGGCAAGTCTGGCTCGCCTTGCTCGCCTAGACAGATTGGCACTCTTGATACCAGGTCATGTTATTCACAGCTGGGGGGGCGGCGTTAGGATTGTGATCGGAGTCCAGGTTCTCGCTGTCATGAGCTTCGCTCGGGCTCAAAATGCCGAGAGTGAGGATCAGTGTGGCCATTGCTCTGTAAGCGAACCTTAAAAGAGAGTTCCGTGGGCATGGTAGGTATCCCGTCAACTCTATCATTCTGAGCTGACGGTGGTGACTGATCGGACAAAATAAGCAATGAGAGGCCCAACCAACCACGCTGCGCTGCTCAATGCAGGGAGGACAGGCGAGGCGTGGGCGCTGTGATCGTCTCAACCTACTCGGTAGGTAGTTACCTAGTCAGAGCAGTTGGGCTTGGTCTCTCGTGTTTCATGTGCCAACTTGCAGCGACCACCGCCTGCGAGGGGGGAAGCCTCGAAAAAGCAACGAACAAGTTATCCTTCGATACAACGGGGTGGTGACCTATCTCGACTGCAGGTACGCCGACTCGAATTCGCATTCTCAAGAAGGTGACTTCAGCGGGCATTCAGCATCCCAGATGCCACGAGAGTGAGCCCTGTACAAGTCGTCCTCATGGATCGATCCCAATGGGCAGGACGCTGATGACCGATTGGTAACGAGCGATGGGGCGCCGTTCCAAGTTCCAGCGTCGGGAAGTCCTTCGGTAAGGGCAAGACAGCTCCACTGATCCACTTCCCGCGGAGGGTAGAGGGTAGGCTCGTGGAAGCGTTGAAGCTACCAAAGCATCGTGCTTCAATTGCCATGAGCCTGTTCGACTCCTTGGTACTTGGACAGCTGCCAAACGAAACTTTCCGGTTGCACTTTCGACTGACTGTAGAGATCCCGCAAGTCTTACCTGTACCGCAGATCCTCACAGACTTTCGTCGACTTTCTGGTTCAGACGAGCATGGCAGTGTCGGCACGGCAGATCGGCGGCGAGAAACAGAAGATGAAGGTGTAGGTATCGTGTCCATGTGCCACGGGCCCCTTTGTTTGATGCGGCATATACTTGTACAAGTACTTGTATCACTCGCTTGTGCCAATAGTGGAAATAGTTGTTCACTGCGCGCTTTGACCCATCACTGTGGCCCCAAACGCACAAGCTTCCAAGGTTGTTCATAATACGATACGATCCCCCGCTCTCTAACAAATGCTGTTGGCACACCGGGGGCTAGGGATCTGACCTGCCTAACATGGTGATGCGAGTCTGCTATGACGAGAAACATGATCACTGATCCCGGGTTGACATACCTGCTTGTAGGACGGTTGTGTCGTCCCAATAGTTGCACGTACAAGTATTACGGTACTTCCTCTTATTGATCCACTCGTCCTACTTCATTTCGAGCTGATGTATGCACAAGCACGCCTTGACACCAGGTGCAGCAGGAGAAGGACGGGTACACAGTGGTTCGCTGCAAACAATCTCGCTAGCTGCATGCAATGCAAGGCAATGCGATGGCAATCGAAACAATTTATTCCGATCTCTAGTACGCGGATTGGGTTTCATTACTGATTCACAAAGACCGTTACTCGTGGTCACTCTCGGTCAATACCAGAACGACAATCAATTCTCTCCCCGCTGCACGAATCACCAGTCCAAGTCTGGTCCATGAGCACCAGACTCGATAACGACAAGGAGGCATTACCCCGCCTTGGGAAAAGGTGTGGTGGTCAGTAGTACTTGTAATAAGACCTCTGTTATTAAAACACGGCCTTCCTGGTCATCTTGTTTGGCTGCCGTATCACACCCGTCATGATGCCCTGGCTTTAATTGCGAGCGGTTTCAATACTAACGAACCAAATGTGACAGAAGGCCATGGCACCTCCGTACATCGACGCTTCCATACTGCCCGGCCTAAGGCCCTGATGAGTCTGGTCGAGGTCGCAAGTTGGGATGTCTGCTTGTACGGACACAAGACCTTTGGTAGGTAGCTTTTGATCTGTCTTCGATGCGACGCATGGAATCCCAACCACCGACTGTATCCTCCTCCCCACGTGTTTCACAATCAACAATTCTTCACTTTATTAGGTACCTATCGCAGGAGTTGCCAGCTGACCGAGTGTGGGCGATCATGATTTCGAGCACTGGTTGCTCGGCGGGTGGGTCACTCCTAGCTGGGTTAGGACCGTGCCGCGTCCCATCCACCCATCCCGCCGACTAACTATCGATTTCTCTCACCCCTGAGCTAACCGCTCTGGGCAATCACGTGGACAGTACTCTCCTGGTCTGTGGAAGAGGTATTCAAGCCATGAGACTAGGTACCTGTATCCTCCAGGCTGTCAGTAAGCGGTCTATATAGACGAGATGGAGAATGATACCCCTTCGTGGCTTTGTTTCCTGCTGGAAGATCACGACTTGCCCAATGATTGGTTCGTGGCAGAAGTGACAACCAGGCAGTTTCACTCGCGAGAACCATAACTCTATCACCTTCTCGACCATAGACCCTTGGTAGGGAAGAATATAGTATGGATGAAAACACGAATGTTGATCTGACGTGCGTGGTTGAAGGCTACAAGCTGGCCGTTAATTGTTATACAGTTCATGGCTCTGTGTCAGTCAAAGATTGGCCACGACAGAGAAACCCATATCCCAACTGAAGTCGTGCCAACTAACACAAGGTTGACATACACTTTGATCTTGCAAATCCATTATCTGAGCTTCATCAAGACGCTTAAAAGGTGATCACTTCCCCAATCCTATTACAGTCTGAACTTCTTTCTGGTGACGGGTTGTATGGCCGCCATTCCACGGTCAACCCAAGACCTGAGGCACATGTAGCAGAGCTTCATGTTGACGGTCAGAGCAATCACGTGTGGCTGGGACCCGTGATGTGGTTCGACTAATACTGCATACTGCATATGTAGCTTTGAAATGCGTTGTTGGACTCTGTTGTTTTTGGCTATACAAATCAGGGAGTGAACCTGAAGAGTCCTTGTCCATACTTATATATCTACTATGCATATCTCTGTAGGCTCAGATCAATCCTCGGTGCTCTAAAAACTCTTCAATGGATACTTCTTCTGGCGCGTAGGTGAAACAAGTGAAAAGAAGCGGACGCTATTCAGTCTCCAAGATTCTGGCTGAAAGGTCATAGGAATAAGCATCCCGACAACTCTGAACCCAGTGAAATGCCGTGTCTGTCTTGAAAACAACAAGTCATGATTACTCTTATGTGTCACTAACTGTGTCCGATCCATAGTGTGAATTGGCCCGTACCTAACCAGTAGACCGAGAACGATCTCACTTGAATAGACTCTTATGCGTTTGTCCGACGATGATGTTATTCGGGAGTCAACCTTTATCATGTGCAAGCCAGGTTACACTATCATCTAAACACAGCTGAGGAGACACAATAATCACGCCTCTCGTGAGTAATGGGGCGATAGTCGAGCGGCGTTTTGACCTTGGACTGGGTTTCAACGAATACTAGTCTTATTAAATACCTGGCAGTGATCACACTTATACTGTCATTGTGGACCCAACCTGGAATGAGCATTATAGATATGAAAACGACGAATAAATTTTCTGGCAATATTCAGGCCGACTAGACTACGAGAAGAGCAGGTCATGGAGAGCTTCTCATCCTCACTGATTCGGCATGACAATATGGGTGTCCAGGCTTGTTCTAAGACAATTCTCGTACTATTCTCGAAGCTCAGAAGATACGAAAAACACATTATACGCTTTCATTTGAGTTCATGAGGATTACATAAAATAGCGATTTCTTTGTTGAAGCAGGACCAGAATGATGAGCCCAGTCTATTCCAAGCTCCCCTGACATGGAAATATTAACCATGTCGGGAGAATATAGTCTGCTCAAATATGTGAGAACAGTGTTTACATTTAGCCCATCACTCGAGGCTTTCTCGGCAAGTGAGGACCAGATCAGTCAGCGGGCTTGGAACGGAAGTACTTGAATGTCCATCAAACCCATTGGTTTAGGTGCTGGGATAACCTTCGCGAGTTCCAGTGCAAAGATATGCATTTGGTGTGTGTGTGTGAGTAGCATTGAGACATGTCCTGATGAACTTCTCATAACCATTTTGACCGCAACTCTCATTGGGCAATCCTCAGGGAAGGAAGCATTGACATCTCAAGAGGACGAATTCCATATCCTCTTCAAACCTAGGAAGGGAAGCTGTTTGGATCGGATCTTGCTATGACCTAGCAACGGGTATAGTTTGCAATGGTTGCTTTGGACTGGCATTTTCCACCTAGCATCAGAGAACTACAGTGTGTTTGCTCCAAGATACTTTGTCGAGCTATAGGCCCGCCATCGTGATCTTGTCTAGACGCGACTCGTCATGGTTACAAAAGCAAACCTTTCTTCTCTACAGCTTTGTGCGACCTAACTCTTGACAAATATCGCTGCCCTTGAGGGTACTGTATATTTCGGGAATTGGATTCCCTTCTTCGGAAGCACACACTTCCGTATGCGCGATGGGGTATTGCATCTGCTCGGCTTAAAACATCCACACAAGACATTGTCAGGAGCCAGGATAGCTGTAACTCGACGCGGGCTACTGCTTTGCACAATATTGCAAATACAAAAATAGCCATTCCCAGTACCGCTGACCGAAATCAACAAAGTGGGCAGACAAGTTCAGCACGGGCTGGTGTCGCCGGACTGAGTCCGGCTCCGGTCTTGCTGCTTTGATCTCTCGCATGGCATGGCTCGACGGATCGCGGCAGGTTGAGAGGAGGTAACCATTGCGGAAATTTCGCAATCGCCATTGGCGCAGGTAGTCCTCGCTTCAAAATACCACGCCTGCACCCAGGTAGGTAGTCTGTTTGCGACTGCCTCGTACAAGCGCAAAGAAACCCACCGTCTCGAATTCTACTGTTCTGGCTACCAGCTTCGGATGAAGGACTGCCGTTCGCATTGGCTCGGATTTCATCGCCGATACATCAGACTTGGGCACTGCTGGGCCAGACTCGAGGGAGCCATGCTCCAGAATTTCTGCAAGTGCTCTGCATGAGTATGCGTTACACAGCAGTAGTGCAGAATTCGAGGCATCGTCAATGCACGTATGCGGCGTTTGTTGTCCTGAGGTCGGATCTGGGCCGTGATAAGAGGAGAGGCCGCGGAGGGCCTTCCGTCCCGTCGCCCATGGTGAAAGGGACTGGAAGAAGAAAGGCGCGAGTCAATCGGATTATTTTAAACGCTCGCGTCCTGTGTCAATTGACACATGCAAATGAAGAGCTGATTGTGGACGCCTCAACTACTAGGTACAAGTACTGACATGTGAAAGTACAGGCGCCCCGCCGAGATGGGACTACCTTGCGTATCAATTGTTTCCAGGGCACGATAGGCAGTATCGGCAGTGGCGGGACACCCGGCCAGATCGAGCATCCTGGCCTGCCAAGTAGCCCTATCGAGACCTTATATGGGTCTATGAGCGACTGGATTGAGCGCTTCCAACGCCCGGAGAATTCTTCGCTCCTAGCCTGATAATCCATGGGCCTCATCAAAGCCAAGGCCGTGAGCCTCCTCCTGTTTCGGCTCCGCGAGATTTTGAAGAGAAATCGACTACCCTGTCAGTACCTTGATGCCGAGGACATCACAGTGGCGTGCCTGACTACGTACATGAAATGATTCGAGCCGACAAATCTTGGTATGCACTGCTACCTTGGATTTACCTCGTACGAGCGAGTCGCTACTGTCCAGCATGTGCTTCCGATGATGTGCCGGCATATACGGTGCCAACCTGTAGAGCATAGACATGCGAATCTGATCATGGACAGAGACAGATGGGCACCTGCATGGTCTCTTGGAAGACGGCTGTCTTTCCCCGCCCTTGTATGTACGGAGTAGATGCACAGGCATGGGCTTACGTACGGTGTTCGCACGAGGTAGCCGCAGGCGCGACATCTTAGAAAGAAAGATCGCAAAGTGTCTGAGTTGCGCCAAACACCTCTCCACAGAGAGCACATTCCTGAAGTTCCTTCTCCCAGGAGGATGTTTCATCTCCAGACCCGTCTTATCCGAGCCAATCCAGTCTGCAAACCAAGTATGTTCTACATACGCGGCTGCATCTTGAGCCCTCCCTGTAGATAAAGTTCATTAACGGGCGTCCTGCAAGCAACGAAGCTGCCTGGCGTCATCGATACGTGAACGTGCAGCCCAGCGCCAATATGTGGTTGGAGGGGGGCCACACTTTCACATGCAAAACTGCAACCACAGCAAAGCGAAAGGGAAAATTTAGGTCGAGTGAGTGACAGGGGGTGCCTGGAGGGCCCGCCAGAGCTTATCAGGGTTTTAGGGTGGCTCTTGGGTGCTTTTAGTGGCATGTGGCGTGAGCAGGGGGCATCCGGGAGAGCCTCTGGGGCCTGTGCTGGGAGCGGGACGACATTCTTAGCACCATATCAGGCGCAAACCCAATCCGCCTCGTCCAACCAGGCGTCGAGCTGCCACCCACCAATCCGTCGTGCCAATGCATTAGCAATCCTGGCAGGCTGGCGTCGCACTTCGCTATCGCGGACAACCCTCCCGAGCCGGCGTGCCATGATGTGACTGGCGCGTTGCCTTACGCAGGAGAGGAGCCAGACACCCTTGGCAGAAGAGGCGAGAGAGCGAGAGCTACAGCGAGACACTGGAGCGGCGGACCCCTTCACGAAGCAAGCACATGAAAGAAAAGGAAAAAAAAGGCGTCTCCCCCAACCTGCATCCGGCCGGATGATCGAGGTGCGACTCACTCTGTCTGGAGCCAAGTAGCGAGGTGTGGCGTGCGCCTGCTCTGTCTTAGTCCCTCACCCTTCCCAACTTTCTTTAAAGCTCTTTCCTCTCGTCTCCTGTCTCTCCTCTGCAACTGACTGTTTGCACTGTCGTAAGTGATTGCTCATCCTACATTCCCACACCCGTTCCGCATCTTGTGTGTCTCGATCGACAGCACACACCAGCCCAGCGCCCTGTCTCTGAATAAGCCTACTGTTACCCATCCTCAAGCTCACGGGATAGCCTTGCGCTTATCTCCTACACACACACTCTCTCTCTCTCCATCCAAGCTCCGTTGCTGTGCTTTGCTTCACTGGTAAGCTTAGCTTTTCCTTCTCCCCAAGGGACCTGTGATCTGGTCTGACACCCAAGCTCTACTCGCAGGCCATTGCAACTTATCTCGTATAAACGAGCAAACACCCACATCGAAAACGACATGGCTGCACCTCAGGTTAACGGCGATGTGCCACCTTCCGCCTTCTTCGACGTAAGTGGTGCAATGGTCCCCTCCTCCTCTGCCATCGCTCTGAGGCCAAGCTAACAACAGTTGCACACATAGCACCTCTTGAACTACCCCGTCGTCGCTGACAGCGTCAGCACTGTCAAGCAGAACAAGCTCGGCCAGCGCGGCATTGCCCTCGGCGACTCGGCCTACCAAATCCTCGCCAAGCCCGTCCTTCCCTACCTCGAGAAGCCCTATCAATACGTCTCGCCCTACGTCCGCAAGGCCGACGACCTTGGCGACAAGACTCTGTCTCAGATCGACCAGCGCTTCCCGGTGGTCAAGAAGCCCACCGGCGAGCTGTACGAGGACACCAAGAGCTTGGTGCTCTTCCCGTATCGCTTCGGCGTGGAGCAGAAGGACCATGTGGTATCGGTCTTCACGGGCGAGCGTAAGAAGGCCGGCGGCGATAGCATCGTCCCCACCGGCAAGGCTCTGCTGTCGACGGCTCTGATTGTGACGAGTGAGACGCTTCACTGGGCGAGCAGCCTGATCAGCTCCGGCAAACAGAAGGCCCAGCAGCATGCCCAGCAGCAGGGCAACAACTAGACAGCTACCAGCTGAAGGACGGCTCAAGGGTCACGGGTCTGAGCTTGCCCCTCTGCTCACCTTTGCTCACCCTTACCTATCGGGCATGTCATGCGGCGACCGGGTAGGTCGCATCGCAGCGCTGCTCGCTCCTACATGCTGTTTCCTGTTTCTCTGTTTTGACGACTGGCTTCGTGGGTGCTCCTATTGCAGAGCAATTTTGTTTTCTTTTCCTTCTCGATCCTGGCCGGGTGTCGAGTTTCACTATTGATATTGACTGGTCGCGATCGGAATCATGTCTAAAATACCCACGACTTCTTTTGTAATGTAGGCCCATACTGGGGGGGGAATATCGAATAGATTATAAGTTGATAGGCCTGCTGCGCATGTCGATGGATGTGATGAGGCCCGGGATGTGCTGTGTCGAAGGCAAAATAATGCCGCTCCGAGCGGAAGGGCTCCAGGGCAGGCAGTAGAGGACTGTTGCCGTCGATAGGAGGACAATTGGTCGAATATTCCAAGCCAATGTTCAAGACTCAGCTCATCAATCAATCCTTTACGATAGACTGACTGGGTTCTTCGCGAATCGCAGAGTGGTGATGACTGAGCTGTCTTATGGAATTGCGAGTCATGATTGGTGCAGGATGACTGACCTCTGACAAACAGCAAAGGACTGGCGCTAAGCCGCTTTTGTCACAGGGCGGGCTTAACAACCACGATGCTGGCTGGAGCAGCTGGGCCAGTGCTGGACCAATGCTGATGTAACCGTTACTAAGGGATTATGGCGGGGGCAAGAGAAGCTCTTGACGACCATCGAAACCGAGCATTGCTGTCGCCATAAAGTAGAAAACCCGCGGAGGGGCCAAGCGGGAAGGTTCGTGATATTTCTACCCTCTGGTGCGCCCGGTCTAGATCTAGATACCTACACAATACAGTCCTATTTGTCTGTTGCGACTCCCCAGGCGCATATAAGGCACTTGTCCCTCCATCCTCAACTCCATGAAGACCATTTCGCTCCTGATCTCCATCATCGTTGGACTCTGCTCGGTTATACTATTCCGAGAGCCACTGCTCGACCTCGTCAGACACTCGAAATCCTACATCCTGAACACCAACAGCACAGCTACGCAAGACACGCATCTGCACGCCACAGACATGTCTGTCGCCCGAGCGATTCGCAAGGTCTTCCTTGCCGTGGAGCAGGCCGAGGGCGCGGGCGCCCGAGTCCGCCGCTCCATCGGCACGCCCCAGCTGAAGAACTTTTCGCCCTTTTTGATGCTCGACCACTTCTCGATCAAGCCCGGCGCTGGATTTCCTGACCAGTAAGTTTTGTCTCTCTCTCTCTCTCTCTCTCTCTCTCTCTCTTGTTGAAAAGGAGCTACATATGCTGACATTTTGGGCGAAAACCAAAAGTCCCCACCGCGGCCAAGAGACCATCACGTACCTCCTGGAGGGCGCCGTCGACCACGAGGACTTTGCCGGCAACGCGGGCACCATCGAGGCGGGCGACCTGCAGTTCATGACGGCGGGCAAGGGCATCATGCACGCCGAGATGCCGCGCCAGAACGCGGACGGCTCGGCCAACGTGGGCCTGCAGCTGTGGGTCGACCTGCCGCAGGCGCTCAAGAAGTGCGAGCCGCGGTACCGCGACCTGCGCGCCGCCGAGATCCCGACGGCCCGCAGCGACGACGGCAAGGTCACGGTCAAGGTCATCTCGGGCCGGAGCCACGGGGTGGACTCGGTCAAGGACCTGGCCTACACGCCCGTGTGGATCCTCGACGTCGAGGTCCGGCCGGGCGGGAAAGTCGCGCAGCCGCTGCCGGCCGGGTGGAACGCGTTCGCGTACACGCTCGAGGGCACGGCGCTCTTCTCGAGCGGCGAGGGCGGCGAGAGGCGCGCCGTGGAGCGGTACCACAACGTCGTGTTCGAGCCCGAGGGCGAGGTCGTGCGGGCCGAGGTCGACGCCGGCGCCGAGGGCAGCGCGCGCTTCGTGCTCGTCGCCGGCACGCCGCTCGACCAGCCCGTCGTGCAGTACGGGCCCTTTGTGCTCAACACCAAGGAGGAGGTCTACCAGGCCCTCATGGACTACCAGACGCACTCCAACGGGTTCGAGCGGGCGGACGGCTGGCAGAGCGAGATTGGAAAGTCCATGAAGGAGTGAGGAGAAACCGTTTCGGGGGCTTAGCATTTCAAGAACGGACGGGGCCCCGAGTGCGAGTTTTGGTGCTTTTGTGTGTGTAGATAGGGGTTGTAGGTTTGCAATTGCTTCTTTGGGGTGTGAATTCTGTACCTACTGATACCAAAAAAGTTGTTTCTATAGATTTTCTGAAGTTCAATTTTTTTTTCTCTTTGCAACTCTTCTCGCCTCGCGATCAGTCCAATTTCGGCAGCACTTCGGGAGCGAGTCGCGTCTTGATAAAAAGATACGACACGCGCTCGCTTGATCTCCCATCAGAGAGAGAGTCTACACCAGTTCTCTCTCGTGTCTACCTTACACACGCACGGGTTTGATATTGGCCCACCTTGAACCAGAATCCTCCAGGTCATCTCAATCTGAGGGGAGGGTGAACGACAAGTATCTTGCTTGATCACCAAGGTGCAAGTCACTTCCTCTATTTATCCCTTAGAACTCGCGACTTCGACTGGGGTCTCACCACTGCTTTCCGACTAGCAACTCCCAACACGATTGCGGCATGCATTGATTGCAACAGTCACTGAAATCTGATTTAAAAAGGCTGATTGCAACAATCACTTAAATCTGATTTAAGTGTGACCAGTTGCAAAGACGAGCCAACTTTTGTCATTTAAGGAGCCAGCAAGAATCAGTTTCTCCTAACCACAACCTCACCTCAGGTATGTTATTTATATATTCATTCTTAGGCTCGTACTTACATTGCATCTAGGGTGATATCACTTTACACCACTCTCACTTTGACTTGTTTACCTACTCATCGTCAATATGACCTCTTCTGACCACAGCACGAAGGATGTCATTGACATCTCCGACGACTCGCCAGGTCCGTCACAGGCATCGGGCGCTGGACCATTCCCAGCCCCCTCGACGGCCCAAGCGGCCGCAGAGGTCCTGACCATCAACTCTGCGCAGCCAGGCAATGCAGGCCCCTCCCAGGGTTCTTCTCCTCCCGCCAGCAACGCCGCGGCCGAGGTGGTTCGAGCCCTGGAGGGCGTGCACCGGGGAGTGACGGCCCGTCTGGACAGGACCAATCTGGCACAGCCCATCGAGGAGAACACGCGGGACATCCAGGAGCTCCGGCGCAAGAACGACGCCAACCTCCAAGGCATCACCGAGGTTGGACAGACACTCGCCAGCCACGCGCAGATGCTCCGGGACGTCCAGGCCGGCATGGAAAACCTGTATGGAGGTTCCCCCCTCTCTGCGCAGCCTCCTTCGCCGGAGCCGGAGCCGGAGCCGGAGCCAGAGCGATGCATTATCACCTTCTGGGTCTCGCCCGAGATGAGAGCGAAGATCAGGGGATTTGAGGACTTCTGAGGTGGAAAGATGGATGGGAATGGGGCCCCCCCTTTGATGTAAGGTCATGGACCAGTTGCGTGGTGGAAGCTGTATGGTGGAATTTGGAGCAGTGAGAGAATTCCCGTAGTCGTGGTACTCCGATACATGCTGCATTACTTTACTTGATTACTACGAGCTTGTGTAACCAAACAGGGACAAGAGGTGAGCGATGTACATGCGTGTGAAGACAAGACCAATAGTGACAAGCCACAGCGTTCCCTTCGGGGTCAGCGAAGTGATTGCCACGCCCAAGCCTTGCCGACCCAGGACGGACGGGCTCTTGAGAAGATTGACAGACGATCACAGATCCTCCTCCGGGGCCCCGGGTCTGCCTAACGTGGCTCTGGCAATCAGCCTCGCTTTTGTGATGTCAGATCTAAAGGGGAAGGCTTCTAGAAGGGTTCTGGCCACGGGGTGGCTGCGCAAGCTGGGGGATGGCTACGAAGGTTCGGTCGGGATTGACTTTCGATTTGCCACTGGAACAAGCTTCCATTGCCAAGGTGTAAACCTTGTGAGCTTCCAGAGGTCCTAAGCCCTGTGCTGATTGGATACGCTTCATCTCCCAATTGATCTTTGAAGATGATATCCAGGAAGAGGGATGTTTAAAGGTGGAGACTGCCCAGTGGGATTGGGAGGCTGTGTCTGGTCAGGCGATGACGGAATTGTCGTCTAGGTAATATGGAGTTTCATTGCAGCGGCGACGGTGGATCACCACCAACGGCCGACCGAATTTGGTGATTTCAGTGGAGGGTCCATAATTAAGACCGTTCAATTCACCTGATTGATTGATTGCTCACAGACCGGGCTGACAGTCACCCCGTGTCTCGTGGAGGGCATCATCACTCTTGGAGCGGCCGGGCTGCCTTTGTGCGGCACAGAAGAGGCATTTTCCGTCTACTATCGAGAGGCAAATTCCCTTGCGATTTGGTCCGAGTACCAAGTGTAGGTTGATGAGCCATGAGCTAGGTACATCTCCTTCAATTCTTTATCTTCCAGCTTGAGACCTGAATGGGGTCCGCCGATCGGTTTGCTCTGCCACTTGGGGGACGATGAGATGACGCCAAGCAAGGCCAAGCTTTTTGGTTTACGTAGAGAATCCACTTTTCGGGGGCCCAGGGCTGATGCGGTGCACGGATCTCGGCATGTCAATGGTTTTGGGCAATTGTGATTGTGATGGGAGCTTTGCGGCAAAAGGGGATGCGATGTTCCGGGCGCTCTTTCGACTTAGTCGGGGGTGGCATACGCAATGCGCAGCCCACCGCTCGAGCTAACAGGTCAGAAAAGTTACGCGACTGGGAAGGGAGTCGTTCGCTGCGTGCGGTAGGTAGTCTGCAGGAAGTCCGGGAGAGGGAGTGTAGTGTACCTAGCGCAGAGGTACTCCGTGGTGTCATGAAATCCAAAACGTGTGCATCGCCCTTGTTAGTCTCGGCATCGTGTTAGTGCCGTTTGTAGTTGTCATTGACGGGGAGATGTCCAAACGCATGCCAGCACCGGATCCATCCTGTCCACTTTAGGCTCTTCTCGGGGCGCCAGTCAGTAGTGCTGTGCTAGAGAGCAATATCTTTTTCTCTGCTTCTGCTTCGACTTCTATTACCTACCTAGTACCGAGTAGGTAGTTGTGTAAGATGGCTCATGACCTGACCTGAAGTGGGATTGAAACAGTTCCCCCTTCCCGTCCAACACGAGAGGGTGAGCTCGCGCATTCGCCACAGGACAAAAGGACCCTGGCCGCGTTCGCCCAGCGGAGAAGAGGGATTTTCCCCCTCTCTGCCACCCATGAGGCTTTTCGCCTCTGCTGACGATAGAGTGAATAGTCTTAGTACTTGTAATCTGCCCCGTTCGTATTGATCGTAAAGTGTGTATCAGATAGGTACGGAGCACTCCGTGGTAAGTACTTGTAAACCGAAGTGCCACGACCAACTCCCAGTCATGGCGTATAAGTGGGCCCCTAAAACAACCCTGAGAAGGGCCTGCAGAAGGGTTTCTTGGGGTGAGGAGGCACTGCACTGCCCAGACTAAAACCCCGCACGGCCCAATAATCATACCGTCACACAGCCTTCGCAGTGCCGCATTAGCCTGGACTCCTGGGAGACAACATGTTGGGCGCTAGAACTCGGGTCTGCAGGCCCCCGATTTTCCCACCCTGGCACCTGTGAGCCCCCGGCCAGTAGCGTTTGCCCACCACCATCCCCCCCTTGGCACACTCCACTGCAACCGCTAAACAGGGGGTGCCCACCGTGTCACCATACCGCAAGATGCTGCATCGGGCAACAGCGCGCTCTCGTCCATGTCGTTCATGACAGGCAAGCACCACCCCCAGCTCTGGGGGAGCTTTGTTTCGATAAATACGGCCTGTTTCGTCCTCTCCCTCAGACCACGTTTGGTTCCCCATCCTCCATCTTTCCCCACTGCCATTGTCAGAGCTCAAAGAGCAACTCATCAAATATTTCACTCTGGCCCGTCGCATCGCAGCCCACAATACACATATACAATAGCCCCTGTCTCCTGCCACCACGCACTGAGCTGCAGCTCGCAGAGATCGTAGCAAAAATGGACCACAACACGCAACAGCAGACCTTCACCAACGGAGCCGGCGCAGGAACAGCCCCTGGAACTGCCGGCTCTTCCAAGGCTCCCCTCGAAGCCGGCTTCAAGCCGCAGCAGAACATGGTCGTCATCCCTCCCAAGAAGGAGGACCTCCAGCCCAGCTATGCTACCGTTGTCGGTGCTGACCCTAACCCCCGAGGATGGTACGGCACCATGAGTATGTTTGACCTCGGGACTCCGTCTATTGCGCCAATGTAAAGACTAATCGTGTCTCCGTATAGTCAACGCTCTCGGAGCTATCGTTGGAACTATGGGTGCTATTCCTTGCTGCATCGTCTGCCCTAACCCCTACAAGAGCGTGGGCCAGGGCAACGTTGGTCTTATCACCAAGTTTGGCCGCTTCTACAAGGCTGTCGACCCCGGTCTGGTCAAGGTCAACCCGCTCAGCGAGCGCCTGATCCAGGTCGATGTCAAGATTCAGATTGTTGGTAAGTGTCTCCAGCCACCACTCTAAGAAACGACGGAAATGGACAGCCATTAACCCGACCGCCACCCCTTGCAGAGGTCCCCCAGCAGGTTTGCATGACCAAGGACAATGTCACTGTCCACCTCACCTCGGTCATATACTACCATATCGTCAGCCCCCACAAGGCCGCCTTCGGTATCGCCAACGTTCGCCAGGCTCTGATCGAGCGCACCCAGACCACCCTGCGACACGTCGTGGGAGCTCGCATTCTGCAGGATGTCATTGAGCGACGAGAGGAGATTGCGCAGTCGATTGGCGAAATCATTGAGGATGTTGCCGCTGGATGGGGTGTCAAGGTGGAGAGCATGCTCATGAAGGACATTGTCTTCAGCCAGGAGCTCCAGGAGTCCCTGTCCATGGCCGCCCAGAGCAAGCGCATTGGTGAGAGTAAGATCATTGCTGCCAAGGCAGAGGTAAGTTGGACTGCTATTACGCTGAGGAGTGGATTGATCAGGACTGGACTGACCGGATAAACAGGTCGAATCCGCCAAGCTCATGCGACAGGCTGCCGATATTCTGTCCTCGGCTCCTGCCATGCAGATCCGCTACCTCGAGGCTATGCAAGCCATGGCCAAGAGCGCCAACAGCAAGGTCATCTTCCTGCCGGCTGCCAACCAGACGATGCCCGGCAGTCCGGCGTTCAACGCCGCCATGAACAATGCCTCCCCATACGACGGCGAGCACCATGGCGAGTCGAGCACTTTTGGAGGTGGGGACCCAGGTTTCCAACAAGCCATCAACGCTCGCATCGTCGAGAACATCTAAAAACTCTCGTTGATCAAAGAGGCCAGTCACGCTGACTCTAGGGTTTTGTCTGTTGCACTCTAGCCCATGAACATGAAGGCTGGCAAACCTTCACGACCTAATCCTGATCACTGACAACCACCGCCTCGTCATTTCATCGTTATCATCGAGATCCCTGTTCGCGTTTGCTTTTTTTTTTCCATCTGCAATTTTATACCCAACATTCGAACCGCCACGCTCAAAATCGAAACTGGTCTCGGTCACGAATTCTTGTATTTCTAACAGATCCTGACGAATGACGAGGACCCCACAATGTCGACAGGAAGGCGACGGGGCTAATGAGGAGGATTATGGAGCTTGGATACCCTGGACGACGAAATGTCTCCTACTAGAATGATCGGAACGGTGATCGGAACAGGAGAGGGGACTATGGTCTGGCTTCGTCGGCAGGATACCCACAATCGTTTGTATGTTCATGTTAGGGCTGTTTTATATCCACACGATTCTTTGCAATGTGTATATCGGTGCCAGAGTGCACTTCACTCGTTATGACCAGATGCAATCAATGATATGATATCTCTCTGAGAATGATTATGTCTGTGGCTCGTGTCCTACGGAGAGTGATGAATTCTACGAGTCTGATCCCCGATCGTAGAGTTCAGCTTGCTATCTTAAAATCTTGAACAAAATCCTTACAAAATGTATGAGCAAGCATTTGATATTGAATCACTTTGTTGCTGGTCCTGAGTGGTATCTGGGCGTCTGGCAATTGGTTGATTCCAAACGAAGCTCACGAGTTGTACCCCACATCTTTACTTACCCCAGGTTTTATGATAAGGAGTTTTCCATATCTCAAACTTCTGGCTCCTTCGTGAGATTCTCCGTAAACCCAACTCAGTCTCGTCAAAGGGAAAACCCCGCGAGCGAAAAAGAAAAACCGAAGCTATGCCTCTGTAGGTACCAATTTTCCTTTCGAATGGAATACACTCTTTTTTTGGACATGAAGGCGTGTGTGAAAAGAATCTCCCGAACGCTGACAGCTCTCCTCTCCCCCGCGCACCCGCGATGTAGCCACCTCCTGGGCAAGAAGTCGTGGAACGTCTACAATGCCGACAACATCGAGCGCGTCCGGCGCGACGAGGCCGCCGCCGCGGCGCGCGAGGCCGAGCGGGAGCGCCGCATGCAGGAGGACGACGCCGCGCGGCGCCTGGCCATCCTGCGCGGCGAGGAGCCGCCGCCGCCGCCGCTCCCCGAACCTGGGCCCGATGCCGACGGTGACAATGCCGCCGCCAGACCTCTGCACAGGGAGTGGGGGCCACCGTTCGAGGGCAGGAAGCGCAAGAGGCGCGGCGAGGACGACACGGACTTTGAGATGAGGGTCGCGCGGGAGAGGGCCGAGGTGGGCGACCGGGCGGCGCGGGAGATGGGGCGGGGCGCCGGCGGGGCGCGTGCGGGTCGGGGCGGGAAGGAGGTGTCGCTCGTGGATGCCAGGGGCCACATCGATCTCTTCGGCGCGGCCAGGGCGGATGATGAGGAGGCCGCGCGGCGCGGCGGCAACGAGACGCGGAGGGACGGCCGGCCGCCGCGGAGGGAGGAGAAGCCCGCCACCGCGGCCGCGACCTCTGCGGCCGCAGAGGGCTGCGGCATGCGCTTCGCCGACGCCGGGGGGCGGCGGGCCGGCCTCGCCGACGGGAGGAAGCCGTGGTATGCCGCGCGGGAGGAAGCCGAGCCGCAGGGCGCGGCGGCGGCCGGCGAGATGCAGGTCAAGCCCGAGGACGCCTTCGGGAGGCAAGACCCCGGGCGCAAGGCGCGCGAGGTGGCGCGCCTCTCGGCGGGAGACCCGCTGGCCGCGATGAGGAGCGGCGCCAGAAAGGTCCGGGAGCTGGAGCGGGACAGGAGGAACGAGAGGGAGGAACGCGAGAGGGAGCTGAGGGACCTGAGGCGAGAGGAGAGGCGGCGGGAGAAGAGGCGGAGACACGAGGGGAGGAAGCGCTCCGGCGCTGACGGCGGCGACGACCTGGAGAGCCTCGAGGGCTTTAGCCTCGATGCCCCGCCACCTTCGAAGCAGTCGGACAAGAAATATCGTGACGAACGGCACAGAGACAGGCACAGGGATGAAGACAGGCACCACCGGGAGAGGGATAGATCTAGCAGAGACGATGAGAAGGATTACCGCCGGCCTAGGAGCGACCGGGAACGCAGTGACGGGCATCGAAGCCACCACCGCCACCGCCACCATGAACATTCTCGATAGCGTTTACCTCTTTTATGATACCCAGCAAACGATGTACTATTTTTTACAATTCTCTCCCCCCACGCAACCATGACTGCCTCCTGCACCCACCGGTGCATCATCACCTCTGCTGCCAAGGGAGCTTGATGTCTACGGGCCTGAGATCCGCCTTGACCATATCCGCCAGCGGCTTAGGCCCGGCCTCGAGCGCCTGGCGGATCTCGGCCGCCGTCGCCTCGCTCAGCCCCTCCCTCCGGCTCGAGTAGAAGTCGACCCCTTCCTTGGTGAAGAGCGTGGGCGCGAACCACGTCACAACCCAGAGCTCCTCCTCCTCCCCTTCAGCCTCGGCGCCCGCCCCCTCGGCGCCCTCCCGCCGCAGCGGCCGGCGGCCCCAGCCCAGCACCTCCCAGTGGCTGTGCACGAAGCGCAGCCAGCGCCTGCCCCGCCAGTCCCAGGCGCCCGCGTGGGCCCGCGGCCCGCTCGCCGTGTCGACGCCCTCGACCGTCTTGACGCCGGCGGGCTTCCTGCCGGGCCGGTTGGACTCGTACTCGACGAGGTCGCCGAGGCGCGGCGTGGACTGGCCGCCCGGCCCGCCGCGCACGGGGCTCAGGGGCGAGTAGGTGATGCGGACGTTCTGGGCCGAGCGCCACATGCCCAGCGTCGAGTGCGTGACGGTCCAGGTGCGGTGCAGCCAGTCGAGGGGCGGGGCGGCGGCGGCGGCGGCGGAGGCGGAGTCGTCGTCCTCCCCCTCGGCCTCCCGGGGCGGCGTGGCGACGTACTTGGACGGCGCGCGGATGGTGACTGTCGACGGGGCGACGGCGTTGGCGTCTGTGGAGCTGGAGGGCGTTGGATCTTGAGGCTCGGCCATGCTCGTGTCTGTGGGATGTGATGTACACTAGGATAATTACGGAGAGTAGCTCTCAGGAACTGGAAGCGAAGCTGGTAAGAGGAGCAGGGTTCAGGCTAGCAATGGAATCAAGATTAGGTAAGTATCAGGTAAGAAGAGCGGAGCGGTTCTCAGGGTATAGCAAAGCGAGGGAGAGACACCATGAAGACGAGGAGTTTGCGATATCACTGCGAACGAGGGGCGGTGTCTATTGGAGATCTCTGTCAATGGAGGTTGTTGGAGAAAGCCTCATGGGCGCCACGCCATCCATTGCTTGGGGAAGCTTTGGAGCTTGGAGCTTGGAGCTTGGAGCTCGGACCCCCTGTAAGAGCCAGTGTTAGAGGTGATGTCACAGCGCCGACCCGCTAAATTAGCGACTGCCCACACGTCCCCAGGTAGGTACATTGCCCAAGTACCTTACCCCCCCCCCCCCTCCATGTGCCAAAGCCGGACTCAGCTCAATTGTGCCGAGTCCCTGCATTTCAAACATGGCTGATTGGCATTCGCATTGTTTTGCAGAGGATCCCGTCCGGTGGCCAGTTTTTGCGTCTGCATTTTTTACTTGACTGTATCTCTCGGCATGCTAGGTAGGTAGTTCCTGCCGTCATCCCATGATTTGTTTCCCCTGCCAACATGCCTCAGGCCCTTCCGCCTTTCCTTCCAGAAGAAGCTCTTTCGAGAGAGGAGAGCGCCTTCCCTCATTCCCCAAGCCAAACCCTGCCGGAAACCGCCTAGTGGCTGCCCGGACCCGCTGAATAAGATTCCATCCCGACTCTATTTGACGCTATCGCAATTTTATGTCGAGACCTCATCTGCACTTTTGTCTTCATGTCGAAAACAACTCCCTTCGCATAGCTTCGTACAAATTCCCAAGCTAGCTAGCTAGCCAGCTAGGCCCAAATACACCCTCTCCTCCCACTACAGAGTTTCTTGCCCCTCGTCAAGCCAGCCAACCCCTTTCCCATTCCCTCTCTCCCTCTCCCTCTCCCCTCTCTCTCCCCGTCCCTTTTCCCTTTCAAGAACACACACACCCATGTCCTCCGGCGACGAGGAAGACGCCACCTCGGCCGCCATGGCCGCCATGATGGGCTTCTCCTCCTTCGGCGCGCAGGACCGGCCTTCCAAGAAGCGCCGCTTCAACCCGCGCGCCGACGCCGCCACCGGGACCGGCAGACAGGGCCCGCTGCCGCCGCCGCCGGCCGGGACGGGCGCCAACTCGGCGCCCCTGGGCCCCGCGCGCCACTACTCGTCCAACCTGCCGCTCCACCCCACGCCGCGCGACGACGACGACGACGACGACGACGACGAAAGGCAGCCCCAGTACATCGACACGTCCCGGCCCGTGGGCCACGAGGAGCCCGCCGACCCGGAGGAAGAGGCCCGGTTCCAGGCGCAGATCGACGCCATCGTCGCGGCCGGCAACGCCACGTACGGCTCGGTCGCGCCTCCCCCCTCGTCGTCGTCGGCGTCGTTGTCGGCGCCGGCGCCGGCCCCCGGGCTCGACGGTGGCCCCCTGCCAGCCGCCGCCACGGCGCCAGCTAGAGTCCCAGGAGGGCCGGGCAGGGGAGGCGCCGGCGGTCGCGGAGGGCACCGCCACGGCGCCGGCCCCGGGGGAGACTGGTGGATCGGCTACTACGACCCGAGCAGCAACGAGAACCCGTGGGCCAGGCTCGAAGGGCAGCTCGGCCTGCAGGCCCACGGGTCCTGGCTGGCGAGAGGAGAACGCGTCGGGTAGCGATGGCGCGGGCAATTGGTCCACGAGAGGGACTGCTGTGGGCCGCGGCAGAAAAGCGAGTGCTCGCTAGAGCGAGCAATCACAGGAGATATTCCCCGTCCTCCCTACATCACCTACCAAGAACCCCATACACACTACCTGAGCAGAGCACACACACACACACAAGAAGGCCATCACGTGATAACCCTGGGCAGTGATGCCCGACACGAATCACTCTCATCACATGACGGCAGCATCGCACAGCAGGGCCAGAGCCCAATGGCAGAGCGGGCAAGGGGACGGGGGCAATACGGTGCTCCAATACGGTCACTGGGCTGCGGCCGGTCGCACTCGACGGAGCGGGCAAGAGAGAGAAAAACGGAATTGGTATTATGGCACTCTAAGGAAAAGACAGCAGCATCTCCTCCCCCCCCCCCCCCCCCCCCCCCCCACTCCCCCCAAAGACAAACAATACCTCGTTTGGTCCTCAAGAATGGCTCTCAGAAAGTATGGATTGACACGCGGGCCAGTGTGTGCTGAAGCCATGTGGTGGTTCAAGGGCTCATTGCCCGGGGCGACTGAGCAGCTTTCGGGATAGCTATTATTCGGCCTCTTGTTGAATGTGGACAATCTGAGACTGCCCTGCCGATATTATTGACACAAAGAAGAAAGTGAATTGCATCTAGTGGCTTCGTTGAATGGATGGATGAATGGAGTTACAATAGAGCGTTCAGATTTCACTCCGCCCCTATTCAGCTCTGGACGTCACTTGAACAATAGCAATTGATCACAATCACTTTTCAGTCCTTTCCTTCCCAGAGACTGACTGCCTTCGAATCCGAAAGAATCTTCCCTTCTGCTATAAAAAAAACATTCTGGCCTAAATATTGCAACCTCTTCCATCTTTTCCCCAACATCAAGGTGAACAACGCCATCCACAGATCTGCTCCCCCATCAACAATCATCATCTGTGCACATAGCTCCTCGCATGCTTGCCTTTGGCTTCGAGCTCTGCGATCCCTTTCCCCCCTTGTCTGCTTCGTTCTAGCAACTTCCTCCCCGAGTCTTCCTGCTTGGCCCCTATTCAGGTCCCCATCACCACAGGTCCGCGTCAGTGTGCACTCAGAACCGGGACACCGAGCGTTCACCTCCCAATCACAAAGACAAGAGAAGAACCACCACCATTCCGTCAGCTTTCCACCTCCCGATTACAAAGACAAGAAAAAGCATCACCACCCCTTATCAGCTGCCCCAACCAGGTCAGTAGCAATATGTGTAAGCGCGTCTACACCCTCTTCGTGGCCTGCGGCTGCATCCTGCAGACCGCCGATGCTCTGCACAGCTGCGAGTTCGGCGCCGCTCATCCCGGCTGCCGGTCCGTCACGAACAAGCTGCTCTTCGCCGCCGTCAACGACAGCGACCCCTACTCCGGCATGTGCCCGTACCACAAGGGCCAGGCCCGTCAGGACCGTCGCCGCCGCCGCCGCGCCGACCACGGCAGCGATGGCTCTGCTTCGTCGTCTGCTACCAGCACCCCGCCGACCGATGACACCACCCAGCCTGGCGAACTTGAGCGCAGCGACTCGGGCATCGGCGCCACAGAATACGACGGCATGGCTATATCCTGGCAATGCACTCCTGTCCTCGTTACCTCCGCTGGCAACAAGGACGAGAGGCCCGTTCTCTGTGCCCTTCCTCCTCAGCCCGAGGAGCAGGAGATGCGCGCCCGTGGCTCGCAGCAGCAGCAGCAGCACCGCCACCTGAACGAGAACGTCGTGCCCATCCCCGTCGTCTTCGGCGCTGCCAGCACTTATCTCGCGAACGACGACCTCGGTGACCAAGACAGCATCATCGACCTGGACCAGGAGCGCGGAATTCCCGACGGCGAGGGCCGCCTCCAGCGCCAGCCTCTCCGGGAGCTGTCCTACACCCCAGTCGCCGAGGGCGGCGAACGCGAGGCTGCCCGACCCGCGGACGAGAATCGCGCCGGTGAGGAGCGAGCCACTCCTGGCGCGCAGATCAACAACGAGAACGTCGAGCCCCAGCTCGGCAGTGCTCTCGAGCCCGCTCAGGAAGAGGAACTGGCGTGGGCGGGTTGGGCACCGTACGCCATCTTCCACGAGCCGATTGCCCTTCAGTAGGGTCGAGGACCTTACGGATCCTTTTTCAACTGGTCATTTCCAATGATTTTTCCTGCTCAGTGTTGTCAAGCAGCACTCTGAGCTTTGGATTCTGGTTTCGGAGTTGGTAGGGTTCATCAGGCGTGTTGTTTCCGGCATTCCTTGAGAGGGAGAGAGTATCTGGAGAAAGAAGGAACTTGGGAAGAATTACCTGTGGTGAGATTATTTGTGGTGCATTTCGAGCACCACCTGAGTGAGGGATATGGATTGGTGTTATTTTTGGAACTTTCATGACAAGAGAACCTGTTTGTGCAAGGTCAAACAGAGATAGATACGATCAGCATTGATGAAGAGAGAATTTGATTTTTGTTCCGCGTAAATTGTACAATTGGTGTATCTGTCTGAGGAAATTTCTGTGTATCATGACATCGTGAAAATCGTTCTGTCGTACCCCGATCTGCCATGGGAAACTGAGCCTCGCAGATCGGTCGCTGTTGCACACTTTCCTTCTGAAGGAGATGAATCCTGATCTGCAAAATCAATATAAGCTACACACACTCTCTCTCTCGCGTCATCACTCGCTCTCAACGCCAGAGTCTCTTCGTACAAAAGCCTTCGGCCTGGTCCGGCGTGGCGCGTTCTCCTCTCCCGACGCGGCACGGGGCTCCTAACCCCATGCCTCAGTGGGATATTTCCTCCCCCCGACTCCAGTCACGACCGGGCTGGGCATGCGGTTCTGCCACTTCCTGCGCTCCCGCTCGTGCTCCCGCTCATCCAGTTCCGGATCCCTGTGCCTGTCGATATCAGCATGGCTGCTTGTTCTCCGCTGAGCTTCTGGTCTCTGTAAATACCGGTCCCGGTCACGGCGGCTGCGAGATAACCTCTCCCCTTCCCAGTTGGGCTCCCTTGGACGTTCTCGTAACCTGTCCCTGTCCCTATCTCTGTCTCTATCGCGATCCCGGTCCCGGTCGCGGTCTCTATCCCTGTCCCGGTCTCTATCGCGGTCTCTGTGTCTATCGCTGTCCCTGTCCCTGTCCCGATCCCTGTCTCGCTCCCGCTCGCGGTCCCTATCCCTCTCACGTTCCCGGTCGCTGCCCCGTTCGCGATCCCGATCACGGTCGCGATGCCGCTGGCTGCGACTCCGAGTCCTGGGGCTTTGTTCACCGCTCATATCTTCGTCGTCTTCATCATCGTAGGACCAAGTCCTGCTGAGCCTAGACCCCAGATTCTCGCGGGAGTAGCGCGAGGAGCTCAAGCTGCTGCCATGCGAGCGTGAGCCACTTCGCGGCTTGTCGGCCGTCGAGCCGCCGATGAGCCCGCTCGGCAGTATGGAGGTAATTTTGTCTAGGGGGTGGAACCCGCTGCGGCGTCGCGTCTCCTCTCCACGGTCGTCCCGACGCCTGTGCCCGTCCGGTCTGAATCCTGCGACCGCCGGGGGCGCATTGGGGGCTTCCGGAGGTGCCATGAAGCGGCGCACCGACGGGGGTGGCTGGTCATCGCTGCGCGGGTGGTGCCTCCGCTTGGCCGTCCGAGGGCTCAACGGTTCGTCCGAGTCGCTGGACGATGAGATGTGTCGCGGCTGGCTATGGCGCCGCTGCTGGACATAGTGCGGCGGATCCAGATGGGTCGCCGAGTTAGACGTGCGCATCGGATGCTGCTCGTGAGGAGGCGACGGATAGTCTGAGAAGCTTCGGCGTCGTGCGCGGTCCTCCGCAAATAACCCGCGGCCAAGCCGGTCGGGTGATTCGTGCAGCCCAGCAGACCGGGGAACATACTTGCCCGCGGGGGCGACGTGGGCGAAGGCCACGGTCGGGTTGAAGTACTCCTGCTCAATATTCCGGGCTCGTGGCGAGGAGGAAGTGTGCTGCCTCGAACCCGGCCCACCCGGAGGTACCCGCACATGGGCAAAGGAGCTGTTCACCCTGTCGGAGAACGAGGGTGGCGTGTCGTCCTTGGGTGTGGCCTCGCGGCGTAGTTTCTCTGCGCACTGCTTGTGCCACCGATCAATCTCGGGGTCGGGCTCGGTAGGAAAGGCTTCTTTGGGCAGGTCGGCAGGGAAGGGCTCGTTGGTGTCTGGGTTCTTGAGTCCCCAATTCTTGACAGCAAACTGCAGGAAGGGCACATGTTCCTCGGGCGAGAGCAGCGTCTCGATGCTCTGCCAGCGAACAAAGCCCTTCAGGGTCAGCGCCGGGATGTTTGGGGCGCTGAAGTCGTCCTCTGAAGGCTGGAGGGTGTGTTGACAGCCGGTGACCTGCCAGATGTACGAGATGGACTGATGCGGCGCCTTCAGGAAGAGGGCTTGCGGGACGAGTAGCCGTTAGACATGCAACAGACAGAATGCATCTCTCGCTGTCTCAAATCACAAAAGGTGTCTTACAGTCATAGTTCCCTCCGACAGCCTGATAGTAGGCTGCCATTTTCTTGGGAGACAAGACATGTTCGTTCTTGTCACCGAGTTCGTCAATCTGGAGAGCGGCGGCATCAGTCTCACGAGCGAGCGCACGTACTCGACCGCGATGGATTGGTCCTTACGATATATTGACCGATAGCCCTGAGCAATGCGTCAAGGACCGCGGTTGGCCCCTTGTCCTCCTGGAAGAGGTAGCCATAGTACGCTTTCGCGTCGACCGGCGCTGGAGTCGCCATCAAGGGCACTCGAGCTGAGCAAGGTTATTAATTATCTGAACTCTATCGACTTGGGGCACGGTGGAGCTAGGAGCAGCAAGCGGCAAGATTGTCGGCGGCATAACTGGGTTGGGATGAAGGCAGGTCGTTCTGCACCCATGCGGCAGGCGAGAGTGTAATCGAGACGGAAGGGTGGAGGCGGTGACGATTTGCACGACGACGACTGTGCGTGTGTATGTAAGACCGGCCGGGGGGTGTGGGAGGGATGCGACACAGCACGGTATTTCTATTTGTAGCGGCGACGCGCTCCTCTCTGTGACTGGCGAAGGCAAGACAGGCAGACGCAGCGTGTAGCGAACAGGAACAGGCTGACATCCGGAACGGACAGGTGAGTCAGGCTCGGACCAGACCCTGCTGATTGAGGGCACCGTGATTGCAACAACATGCACACGAGATGTGCGAGTGTGTGAGCCCAGCCCAGGCAAGCAGGCAGCGGAGGGAGGGGGCGAGGTTGGAGGGAGGGAAATCAAGCAGTTTCAGGCAGGGCATCAAGTCCTCTGCGCTGGCCCACGATCGACCCAGGGAATAGCCACAAACTAAGCCGGAGCGACCTTGGCAGGCGACGAGCTGGGGAAACAGATAGCTGTCATGCTAACATGAATACTTGTACTTACCGAGAAACTGTGTGTATTGGGCATGACACTACTGCTAGTGTGACAGCTATTCCAACATCCGGGGCCATCACATCACCGGTACATTTCTTGCGACGCTCGCCTGAGCTGCTGACCGCTCATTGCGCGACACGTGCACCCCTGGCCAAGGCACTTTGCCTTCCACACACACACACACACTCTCTCTCGCGCGACTGGGGATTGTTCCGGATTGATTTCTCGCAGTTGTACAGCACAAGGCAATCACCTTCCTCGGTCCAGAATCCATATGAGCCGCGACACAGCAGTCAATCAGAGCTCATCTCGTCCCACCTTAGGCAGAAAGGCTCTGTAGGATGTGATGCCGGATGCCAGGACCTGCCATCCGCTTGCCGCAGCCCGCAGCTCGATCCGACCGAGCCGGGAAATTTTCGGTGCTTCTCATTGATCTTTGGCGATAGCGATTTGTGTGAAAAAAGGACCGTTTTCTGATGCCAGGCTGGCCGTGCAAATACGCGGTCCGAATGGCTCAAAGAAATGAGGATGTGTTCATTACGTCGAAGAGACTCCCACTCCCAGGGCCCAGGGTTGCCTTGAGTAGGTAGGTAGAGTACAAGTGAGGAGAGTACAAATGAGTAGAGTACAAGATCATATCGTCACATATCGAACCATACACCTCGGACCAAGACCATCCATCCAAAGCGCACGCACAACCTCGTGTACCAATCACCACCCTTCAAGCCAGTAGAGCCGAGAGCCCAATCAGTGAGCCGAAGAGCGGCAGGAAAGAACGCGCGAGATTCAGCAGCTTCCACTTGCCCAGCAAGTCCTTGACGGCCTCGTCTCCCAGCGACCGCGTGGCGCCCGCAGCAGCCGCTAGCAGCTGGTTGTTTGTCGGCCGCATCAGGATCAGGGTGTATGGGACGATGGCGAGGGTCAGGCCACACGCGACGGCGTAGCTCCTCCAGTCGCGGTTCCCCGCGCTGCGCTGGTAGGCCGCGTAGCTGTACGGGAGCAGCGTAAACAGCGCCATGCCGGGGCCGAGGTTTTTGCCAATGTTGAACATGGCCTCCCACTGCCTGGCCAGCTCCTGTGCTGGGACGAGGCCGGCCGCCATGCCCGGCACTGCCATCAGGGACAGGCCGGCAATGGATCCTTTTTGGTGAAGCGTGTTAGCCAAGGAGGCCTGTATTGTACAGGTATCTACTTGTAGATGGAAAGCGGGGGAGGCAAATACCAGAGATCCAGGCAGATGCGACAATGCCAGTGGTGGCCGCGATTCTGATCGCAGGGATTGATTCGGGCATCTTGAATATGTGCAGGACTGTTTGGTTGTATTGATCCGGAGCTGCGTCGATGTGTGGGATTGAGTTGAAGAGCTTTGAGTGGTGATTACTTGGATACTTTATGCACCAGTGCCAGGAGGGTTTCGTGAGATATATGTATGTATATACATACATCTGATATCATTAGCCTCCAGGCAACGTCAGCTTCATCCCACTGGCCACTGGGCTTATACGCTTGTACGTGAGCTACCCGGCCCACCGTTTTTGGCTCCCACTTGCGCCCGTGGTTCCATTCCGTATGGGGTTTATGAGCGGGACAGCCCGGACATTCACGACCATCGTGTCCGAAGTCCGGACCCTCAAAACAGCGCCGAGGTGCACCTGGCTGGCTGGCCGTCTTGAAGCCAAACCTTACACGGTCAAGTCGTGCAAGCACTGACCATATAAGTCGGTGCCGAAATTCTTCATGGTGGACCGCGATTGTTGACCTTGTATGTAAGGAATTGTTCCACTGTTCTGAGCAAGAATGGCATGAGCCACTTGTATGTCTATGCTTTCGCCTTGACAAATCGTCGCACTCCCGCCAACACGACAGGCTCACCATCATCGGACGGCTCAAGATAGTGCACGAAAATCTCGAAATCTGCTTTCCTGACAACATTGAAGCTCCTGTCATTGTTTCCCTCCACCACACCAGTCAAGAGCTCATCCACCTTCGCTCCGCTCTCGCCCTGGCCCTCAGGGATGCTGCACTTCATGACCTTCAACTCGGCCTCCTCCCGGGGAAGGCTCTCGTACGAATCGAGATAGGCCCGGATGAATTCCGTCGCCAGGCCCCGGCCCCAAAACTCCTTGCGGAGCATGTACCCTATCTCGGGCCAGCCGAACTCGCCCTGGAACATGTGGCAGCCGCCCATGCCGATGAACTGGCCCGTCTCCCGCCAGAAGATGGAGTAGTTGAAGGTCTTGACATCGTTGGGCGGTATGAACAAGCTCAGTTTGGCCTGCGACTCGTCCTGGCTCTTGTCTGGCCGGCCGGCCGCTGTCCAGACCATCACCTCGGGCTGGCTACGGAGCTCGAACAACTCGGCGAGATCGTCTTGCGAGCAAGGCTTCAGCGTGAGCCGGGCCGTGTGGATGACTTTGCGTCCTGAGTTCGGTGGCAGCGGCATTGCGGGCAGCGTGGTCTTGACAATCACCCACGGCTCGTTCTCGAGACTGGTTGGAAGCGCCATTGTGTATCACCAAACCCAGAGAAGGGAGCAATTGCTGAGTACTTGGAGGAAAGAAATTGGTCGAGACGGGAAGGGAGCAATCAAATCTGGGAACGGCGAACAACTCATCTTTTGAGATGCTAGGAGATGCACGCCATTCGGGTCAACCATGCTCCTTCTTCCTGCAGGAGGGAAGTGACTCAGTGCGCCATATCTCTCAATTTCCCCGACCTGGCTCACAAAGTGACATCGTGGTTCTGCTCTCAGCAACCAAAAAGGAGTCAACCACCCGGAGTGCAGTGTGCGCCTCAAAAGGGCAGCTGAATGAGTCAACTCCATCTCTCTCGCCTTGGCACGGATTGTAACCACACCGACATTTACTTAGACAAATGCACCACCACCACCAGGGGCTGGATCAGCTCGATCAATTCGAACCTTTTTGAGGGTCTGGTATAGTCTGGCTCGAGTTCTTAGCCCAGTCAAGAACCCTGAAGCTTGTTTTTGAGCCTTAGCGGCACCATCCCCACCGCCTAGTGCTTCGCAGGCTTAAATTCCGATTCCTCCTCAGGTATCGCTTCGTGGAAATCGGGGCAGCCCACCACCTAATTTTTGAAAGCAGTACTTGATAAAAACTGCCCGGATTTGACCCGCTCTAGACTCGACACCATTGAAGTCATGGACGTCTCGAGTCGCCGATCTTCCTTTGTGTTCTTATCGTGAGTTTGAGTGTGAACCGCAACAGCAAGTCTTCCAGTCTTTGCAGTGACAGTCTCGATCCGCAAGAATACCAGCATCAAAATTGCTGTACAACTAGCTCCAGCTACGTATTTGCCTCGCGGTTAATTGCTCGGACCTCTCTCGGCCACGATTCATAATTGTCATACCACCAGAGGCATACGCATACCGTAGAAGGTACAGCCCTGAGACTGCACCTGAGACTGCACCCGAGATCACGGGGGGTCTTCGCCCGGCGAGAAACCATGTCAAGTACCAAGAGGGATGGCGAAAGGGCACTGAAACCGCTCAGCTGCACCACCTGTCGGCAGCGCAAGGTCAAGTGTGACAAGGTCCACCCGGCCTGCGCCCCGTGTCGCCGTATCGGCGTGCCGTGCGTCTTCCCGGACCGCAAGCGCCACCGCAAGCCTCGCAACAACCGCCAGACCGAGCTGCTCAACCGACTGTCCCGCCTCGAGGGTATTGTCGGTACCTTTGATCCCGGAGCCCTCGGCTCCGTCGACCAGGAGCTTGGACCCGGCCCAGGAGGCGCGACACTGCCCCCCGCAACAGCCGGAGCCGCTGTGCCAGCAGGCCCCGAGGCGCCGGACAACCCCGAAGAACTCAAGGCTGTGCCTCTGAGACCAGAGCCGAGTCGTGGCTCGGTCGATAAATATCTCAGCCCAGTCTTCTGGTCAACGCTATGTAGCGAGGTGGAAGGCCTCAAGCAGACTCTCGAGCAACCGAGTGACGACGAGGAAAGCGAGGGAGAGGATGCAGACGAGACCAGCCCCGAGTCTTCGGAAAGATCACCCCCCGCACCTCTGACGGCTACCTCGTATGGCATGTTCGGTAACCCGGCCTCAGCAACACAGGGCTTGCTCACCCAGCCGTCTCCTGAACATATATCATACCTCTGTTCGACCTATTTCACCAACGTGGACCTGGTCCTGAAAATCATACACAAGCCGACCATAGTCAGGGAGATCGAGAGGTTTGTCAAGTCGGGCCGGGCACAGTTCACGTCTACCTTGCCGGAATGCCTCCTCTTCGCCATGTATTTCGGCGCGGCCGTGAGCTCCCGCAACCAGGCGTGCCTGGACAATCTGGGCGAGCCGCAGCACGTGCTGGCCGAGCGCTTCCGCCTGGCCACCGAGATCGCGCTGGCCAAGGCCGACTACCTCAACACGACGGACCTGGAGGTCATCCAGGCGCTGACCATCTACGTCGGCTGCCTGAGGGCCCACAGCGGCTGCCGCGCCTCCTGGGCCCTGCTCGCCCTCGCGGTGCGCCTGGCCCGCGCCCTGGGCCTGCACTCGGACGGCGACGGCTCCAGCTTCCCGCCCTACGTCGCGGAGCTGCGCCGGCGGGTCTGGTGGCAGCTCGTCGTCATCGACATCCGCGCCGTCGAGGACCGCGGCACCGAGCCCCTCATCAACACCGACTCCTTCGACACCATCCTGCCGACCAACATCGACGACGCCGACTTCGGCCCGGACGACCACGCGCCCATCGTCGGGCGCGAGGGGCCCACCGACACGTCCATGAGCCTCTGCAGCGCCATGTCGTCGGGCTTCTTCATCCACCTCAACGACCCGGGCGCGCGCTTCGCCAACGCCTCGTCCGAGGAGGAGATCCTCGCGCAGATCCAGCGCCTCGAGTCCCTCTTCATCGGGCCCTCGACCGACGACCCGGCCCACATGCCCTCCTTCCTCGCCGCCCGCACCGTGCGCATCATCATCCTCAAGTTCTGGCTCTTCCTGCAGTACCCCTTCCAGGCCCGCCTCGCCGCCACCCGCCCCAGCGTGCCCCGCGAGAACGTCCTGCGCACGGCCGTCGCCGTCCTCGAGCTCAGCGAGGTCATCCGCACCTGCTCCGGCGCCGAGCACCACGAGTGGTGGACCGAGACCTACGTCCAGTGGCACCCGCTCGCCGTCGCCCTCGCCGAGCTGTGCGAGCAGACCCGCGGCGAGCTCGTCGACAGGGCCTGGCGCATCATCGACAAGGTCTTCCCCATGTGGAGGGACCGCATCGCCGACGCCAAGCGGGGCACCCTGTGGAAGCCGATACGGAAGCTGCTCAAGAGGGCGCGAGAAGCCCGTGCCAGGGCCCAAGAGCAGCCGCAGGCTGGCCATGGACAACAGCAGCCCGCGGCTGGTGAGGCCAGCAGTGCACTGGCGGGAGGAGACTCCGCTGAGATTGATCTGCCCAGGGCTTACAATGCTCAACTCAATCTCGATCGCAGCCCCCCTATTGCAGCCGACTCCCCATCACTGGTATTGCCTGACTTCAACCAGTTTCCACAGTTTGCATCTAGCTTCTTTAATCAAGATGCCGGGCAGGATCTGAATGATCCAGTAATGGATTGGACAACCTGGACAGAATTTGTCCAGGACGCTTATGATGCCAACACTGATGCTCAAGACATCATGCCCTCGAGCTGGGTGTTGTAGCCGCTCCTCTCATAGTTTTCAATCACAAGATACCCCAGCTCCACTTCATGCATACGTTGAACTCTTCTTTTTGGTGGATGCGAAAATTTTTGACTTCATTTATGCTCTGCCTATTGAGCAAATGCTAGTGACATTTCCCTGAGCCGTAATAAACACCTGGAAACCCGCCCAAATCCCCACTGCACGATACCCTTTAAGCAAAAGTCGACGGTCGCTTCGCGCTGAAGATCTTCTTGGTGGAGGTCTTGGGGACACGGTGGGGGAGGGGGAACGTGAGGCCCTTGGTGGTGAGCTGCTTGATGTAGGGCCTCTTGATGTCCTCGGTCTTCTCGAGCTCGACAACGCGGAGAATCTGAACACTGGTCAGCATGGGCTGTGCGTATCTCAATACGCACGGCAATACTTACGTGAATCGACCGGAAGCGGGCACGGTGGCGGGCGGCCATGTCGGAGTAGAGGGCCTCGACAGCGTCGGTCCTGGAGAGCTCACGGTACTCCTTGTACATGTTGTGAGTGCCAGAGCGAGAGTCGTAGCGGATCCAGACACCGAAGTTCTTGACCTTCAGGGGGTGCTTCTCGGCGATCTAAAAAAAAATATTGAATGAGCAATCTGGCCATTCGCGCATCGAGTCCATCGCAACATACCGCATTGACGCTGACGATCTCGCCGGTGGCCTTCTTGACCTTCTTCAGGCCGCGCAAGAAGTACCAGAAACGGGACTTGGCAACGACCGTGTTGGGAGCGAAGATTCGCATCCGGTACAGGGCCGGGGTAGGGTTGTTCTCGGTCGGCAGATGTCTGCCAATGACCTGGTATTCCTGAAGGCGACCTGGAAACCGCATGTTAGCCACCCGCAAGAGATAATTTGCCTTGTTCCCCCAGTTCGACGGCTGTAATGTCGCCGAGATGCCCCTTGACAATTTGTCGAATCTTCCGTCGTCATGTCCGTCATATCGCGTCAGATCGACTCTAGAAACGTCCAAGTCGCTCATAATCAATTCCTCACTGCCACATAAAATGACTTCGTATCGATAAATGTCGGCTGCCGTCCGTGGGCGTGGTTCCTGGCGCACTTGGGTCCATGATCGCGAAATCGTCGGGGGGCTTCTCGGTCGACATGGCCATCGTTCCAACACCTGCACCGGGGAAAAGTGAAGATTAACTGCTTACCCATCTTGAGAGATGTCAGTACTGAATAGATTGTGGTGGTGATGGACAGGACTCACCTTGAATGCTTGGTCGTTGCTGTTGAGGTTAGCTGACTTCAAAACTTCGACCAGAAATGGGCTGCGAAAAAAATCGTAGTGTAGAAATTCAATGTCAGGGCTGAGAAAACCTAACGCTAGCGAGTTCGAGCCACAAAGTGGATGTGGCGGTGCACGTGGGCCTCGAGCCAGAGGCTGGGGTCTCGAAACTCGAGAGCTGATCTAACCTTATTCAGACAGCTCCACCTACCGCAGCTCGAGCCAATCAATCTCATCATTCCTCTCTCACAAGCTCTCAGCACCACCATACGCCTGCTCTGATACATCTCGGCCTGAACCTTCAAACAACACTGGAATCCCTTGAATCGCGTGGCTTGCGATACGAGGCTGAAGAAGCATTCTCCATCATAATGGATTCGCTTTTTCGCGACTTTGGCGAGGCAACCTCGAAGCGTGCGGGATATCAACTTGCCAGCACTTTCACGCCCGAGGCCCCGTCCAGTGACCCTGATCGCCTTCTGAAGATCTGGCGCAGCACGAACTATCATGAGGCCAGGAACCTTATCAAACGCAACATTCAACGAGCAACATCGTCCACGGGGCTTTCCAGGTCAACAGTAGAGGGATGGGTGGAAGTGTACTATCTATTTTGGAAGGCAATCGGAGAGATCCTGACCGTGACTGGTCAGCTTGGCGACAATGACACGACCTCATGGACCAAAGTGTTCGAGACCTGGAGGGATCTGACCACTGCCATAACTAGAGGCTACACTAATCATGGCTTTGAGGCCTGGTCCATACCCTGCGTCTACGTCATCGGCAAGTATCTGAGGATATTCGCGATCAAAGCTGATGACGAGAGGAGCAAGAACGCCAATGACCAAGGCGCCTCTTTCCAGGACGATTTCGACCCTGAGACAGAGAAGCACCAGCATCTTGAAGACTGTGCAAGACAACTGAACCGCATCTTCACTCTGTGCTTGAGCGACCGAACCCCGGATCTTGCCGAGTCAAGGAAATGGGGCATTTATGGCGTCATCAACCTTCTCTTCAAGACATATTTCAGGTTGAATTCAGCCAGCCTCTCCAGGAATGTCCTCAAAGCACTGAATGCTTACCAGGGCGATATGCCAGCTCTTGACTCATTCCCGCTTTCGCAGCAGGTGACCTTCAAATACTACCAGGGTGTGCTGTTCTTCCTTGAGGAGAACTACACAGAGGTATGCAGCTTTGATCACCGACTCAATATGACTATGCTAACAACACTTAGGCAGAGAAGCATCTGACCGCCGCATGGATGCTTTGTCACAAAGATGCCAAACGAAATCAAGAGTAGGCATCCTGCATCCTGGTGTTCAGTTTGCACCTTGACTAACGTGCACACCACAGATTGATCCTAACCTACCTCATTCCATGCCATCTACTCACCACTCATACCCTACCCACTCAAGAGCTTCTCAGGCCCTATCCTAGACTGCAGGCTCTTTTCGGCCCGCTCTCGCAATGCATCAAGAAGGGTCAGCTGCACAACTTTGACCTAGCACTTCAAGAAGGCGAGGAGGAATTTGTCAAGCGCCGGATCTACCTAACTCTAGAACGAGGCCGTGATATCGCCCTGCGAAACCTGTTGCGCAAAGTCTTCATTGCTGGCGGCTTTGAGGAAGCCAAGGAGCCTGGCGCGTCACCAATGAGGCGGACTCGAGTACCTGTCGCAGAATTTGCCGCGGCTATCAGTCTAGGCAGTCAAGAGAGGATCGATGGGGATGAGGTCGAGTGCCTGCTAGCCAACATGATCTACAAGGTAAGTCACCACTGACTGTCACCTGTGAAGGGGACTCTGCATATGATCACAAGTCCCCTGAACTCAGGAACAGACCACCTTCTCTGTCACTGCCTGGGTGCATGAATTCTCTTTCTCTCATTCATTATTTACTAACATCATGAACTTCACAGAACCTCATGAAAGGCTACATACATCGTGAGAGGGGCATTGTTGTATTGAGCAAGGCTGGTGCGTTCCCTGGTACAGGTGTCTGACATGGCTACTCGATACCTTCAGACGTGAAGGCTGGCTTTTCTCACGAAACAGAGTCATATGCTTTTGGAATTCAATGCAGAATACAACAGCAAAGCCACACTTGGTGTACCATGAACATCATATGGCAGCACTGATACGTCGTGGCCAGCTCTTTAGGAAATCTGTATCGTCAGATCGAGCAGATTATGGGACGACACACAAGGGCCGAAGAAGCAAGAGTCATAGATGGCGAAGCTATCACGGCGCCCTCTGCATACTTTGTGGTTCGCTGCAGCAACTCGTTGTCTGCCGGCGGGTGGTATGAGCAAGTGCTCAATCCCTGGTCATGCACGACAGTGCATTCTGCATGCAGTTTCTAGCTCCTGCCCCATCGACTCACAGTCCCGGCCCGTGTACTTTGATAGCTCGGCGGGATCTTAGCATTAGACAAATAGAGTTGCACAATCATCTTCTCTGCGGAGCGACGTGACATCTGTGAAGGACTAGTCACCCATCCCACCCCACAGCCATCCAACCAGCCGGGAGTATCCCCCGTCCGCCATCACCTCACAGGGAGAAACAGTCGGCACATCAGTGAAAAGAAGTAAACTCAAGTGCATCGGGCTAGAGTCGGGAACAGGGGGATGTACCACATTCACGGTGCAGCTTGTGGAGCCTGTACGTGGAGGGATTGTCCCGTACGCAAGCACTTAAGCTCTCCCGGTTCGCGTGTACCCACACCCTGTGAGTCATCTCTTCTGTGCAAGGATGTTGTGCGAAGGGGTAGGTGTGTGTGGATGCCGCTTGAGATGAGGCTTCAGGCCCCGATTGGTGTGAATGAGCTCCTGCTTGTCTCTTGCGTCTGATCCTGAGCCACACTCGCCTTGCCGGAGTGCAGTAGCCTTGCATCGTGTCAAGCCTCACAGATATGGCGAGACATGTCTCCCACGATACTACCTCTCAGTGGCAATGCTCCCGATCCGGGTTCCAGAGTAGTCCCAATCTCACACCCCATGCAAACAAACTTGCTAGTTAAAGTAGGCCAATCTGAATCTCACGATAATTCTACCCGCAGAAGAGACTGTCAAGAATGATAATGATACAGTAGATTTCCCTTTCCTGCCACTAATCCGGTCTCTTCCTTCGAGATGACAGTCTAACCTCAAGAGCCATAAATTGTGAGCGAACGCAAAAGCTCGGCCCTATTCCCACAGTGTGCCTCATCCATCGTCCGGGATTGCTTCCAGCTGCCTGACGATGCCCACAAGACTTTTTGAAGATGATATGTTACAAGTGAAGACGATGACAAGATCCTCCGAAAACAGCCCACGCCAGCAAGAGTAAGCAAAAGACTACAGAAAAGCATTCACCCCAAAAGAAAACGCCTGCTCCAAGTCTTTGTAATGATACCAATAGTGACCTATCCCTCTGATGGTCGAAATCTTTGTCGTGAGCGAGAATGTAAGAATGAAACAACAGTAAGAGAAACATAAGTCATTAAGGTTCGCGGTTGAGAAGGTGTATTTTTTTTTTGGTGGCCGAGTTTGGTTGGCCAAGATGACAAGAGGCGAGTGTGATGTGACAAGGCAAACTTAGAGTCGCAGTGTGTGCACCTAGAGAGCACAGCCTTGCGGAGGCCTAGAAGTGACGGTTGCTTCGAGGTGTTGACCTGTTTTTTTTTCGGAAACCAGTCAGCGTTGGACACGTGTAATAGCAAACGACGCATGACTTACGAAGCGGTGGCAATGTCATCCACATGATTGCACAAGGCTACAAAGAGGTCGAAGAAGAGTTGGGTGCCTCCGTTGAACATTTCCAGCTGCATCGTCCCGCTCCGCTTGAACGTGCTGCGGCTGCGGATAATGAGAGCGAGATAGTGGGCCCGCAGCTTGGAATCCGTGTCGGGAGTGTTGGCATACGCATATCTTGCCGAGGTGAGGATGGTACTGCACTGGATCCCGGATTCTGTAGTGTGTTAGTTTGACACAGAATACTTGACAGCGTAGCTAGCTCGGCCAGTTCACTCACGAAGGCCCTGCTTCCGAAGCGCGACCCGCTTAAGCTCCTCGAGCCCGTATTTCTCTGCAGCGCAATAGATGACAGTATCCTTCAAGAGGTCACCGTCCACAGCGTGATGATAGATGGTCGACTCGACACCACGCCCATCTTCGGCTGGCGCCTCGAGCTCCCACGAGTTTCGCCTCTTGTTGTGCATCAGTCGAGGGTAGTAGTCGCCCTTGTATAGGTACTCGAGAACCGACGAGAAGATTTCGGGCTCCTCCTCGGGAAGGGCGATGCGCTTCGACTGCGACTCCATGTATTGGCCTCGGAGCAGTTCTTGGAAGAAGGGTGAAGCGCAGAGGACGTCTTCGTGCGCGGCGAAAATCCTCTGTTCTTGGCCGACCACAAGCGTGACGATGGCAGAAGTCAGATTGCTGCAAGCCAAACCGTTAGCTATGACTTGCATACGTGCATGAATAGCCATGACAGTGGAGCAGACATACTTGGTCATCAACGGTGATCCGTCGCTGGCAGCGGTAGTCGCAGTCGTTGCCGTCGTCGGGCGACGAGGGCGTGATTCGTGACGACGCTTCGACACACCGGCATCTTTACTAAACGAAGCGCTGGACTTGTGTATCTTTGAGCTCTTGGAAAAGCTCTTGTTCTGTGTTCGGCTGAACATGGTGGCTGGATGAGACGAAAAAGGACCGGAGCAGGATTTCCGAGACTTATTGCATCGACGACGACGATTTAATTCCGCTAAGAGCGAAAATAAATAAACGACCGGTATCGCAGGCGATGTCGGGTGCGAAAGGTTGTGAAATGAGCATGGAAAATGAAAAACGATGTGATTCTCTACCTAGACAATGACCGACCTACCTGAGGCAACCGACTCGCAGCGAGAGAGGCGAGATTTTGAGGAAATTCCTGAGCGGCAGGAAGGCCACCTATATATAGGGGACAGCCATAGGGGGCCCATGCGGTGGTACATGCACACTTCAGCATTTTCTGCCTGGAGGAGAACCTGGCGCGCTTTTTGGTGATAGTCGTAATCTCGGTGCGAGGGGGGGTCGCTCCGTAAGCGCGATATCAACGCCAACACACGTGATTCTCATTTGCTGGTCAGTGGGTAGGAGGGACGGGGCCGACGGGGGCTTCTGCCAGGGCCGGCAGGGGTGAGGATCAGAAGGTGGAGTTGGTGTGCCGCTGGTCAGACAGTTCAGACACTGCAGTGACTCCCTTGACTCCTTTTCCCGACACCAACAGGGTTGATGGGTGGAAATCGCTCCATCAGCTCGAGGGGATGGGCTGCGGATGCAAGTGCCGGTTGCACATTAGCAGGGCTTGGAAGCTCGAAAAACCTGCCTCTCGTTGCTTTTTTGGGCTCAAGCACCCCCGGCCAATGGCGAAAGTAATGCGGAGCTGACGGATGCAGAGCTGCCTGCTTGCCTTGTCTCGATGTGCGTGAACTTGTGCTGGGATCATAAGGCATCCATCATCACCAACCCCCCGACTTTATTCGCCCAGTCCGCAAATAAAATGTCGGAATTTCGAAGAACAAAGGCGACCAGAATGGTCATGTCCTTAATCGAGTCATACTCGACGTCAATTGAGCAATGTCTGGCCTCGGGTGCCCGGCGTAGGACCGATTGACTCTTCATCGTCCAACGGGCCGTTTTCTCGCACCTGTGAATTATTCATCCGAGCTTCACCAGTATTCACCACCGCTACCACCTACCCCTCTCCATCCTCAGCCGTCGCCGAGTCCAGCTTAGACCGGATTCTGGAAAATTGCTTTTGATCCCAACATGGGTCCCTTGAGTTGGGTTTGTCGCTCTCCACAAGCATCGCCTCCTCCCCGTGTGTGCATTGAGAAACCCAAGTTAAGTCGACGGGCTGCTAACAGAAGTACTTGACCATCCATCAAATCCATCTGTTTTCCGCAGCGGAATAGCCCTCGCAGGTCCCAGAGCAAAGATATGCAATATTAACATTGAGGTATCTCCTGATGAATTCCGTCGATTATTCTTGCCCCCTCCCTCTTGGAAACCTTATCAGGGATGCGGATGGGGATGGGATGTGTTGCCACCTCCTGAAACTCTGCACCTGTTTGAGAGTCCCAGATTGCTTCTCAAATGAGGTTGCTGATGTGAAAGCAGTTTGGAGTTAGCTAATCTGCAATCGCAAATTCCAGTATTCGAGGCCCGTTACCGCCGCGCCGGTGTCGTGATCTGTCTGCTGATGAAGTCGGTGACCGCTTGTCGGCCATCCAGTCGCACGATCGCCTCGTTATGAAAGGCACCAGCGACAGTCTTTTTCTCGACCGGTAATGCAAGCTCTAGACACCTCTGATGTAGTCTTGTTCCCTGCTCAGCGGGAACCAACTCATCTTTCCCAGCTTCGAGGATGAATATCTTTGGTAAAGTTGCATTCTTCGCTCTGTGACAATCGGTGATCGTGCCGAGATTCCTCCAACTATCCAGATGATTACGAAGGAAAGGCCAGAGGTACCTATAGGGTACCCATTTCCAAGGATATAGGATGACCAACATTTCTCGCACCGAGAGAAATGGTGTTTCCAAAATCATTGCTCTCACGGGCATGGGCGCATCCATTGCACATGCAGCCGCTAGGTTCGTTGCAATACCCGACCCAATGCTTTGTCCCCATAAGAGCAGTGTCGGCTTCACCAGTCTGTCATCTTGGTTGTTCGCATAGGTGTTCTCGTGAAGCTGAGCAACCCATTTCACTGCCGCGACTGCATCTTGGTTGATGCCTGTCTCCGATGGGCTTCCCTTGGACGTCCAGTAGCCTCGGTAGCTGAGACAGACCATGGTGACACGAGTCCTTCCTTTGCGCACCTCGTCGAGCTTCGCAATAGGCCGAAGGACCTTTGACAAGTACGGCAGACGAGGTGGAAGCGACGATGCATTGCCTGTGCCACTCAAGTCAGCTCTGGACTGGTTGCGACAGGGTTCACGATCTTTTGTCGTTCTTTCAACCCACCCTGAAAGTATAAGATGTATATGTGAGATGATGGCTCTGAACTCGCCTTTCCATCTGGTAGAGTGACATCTCCAACCGCGAGTGCTATGTTGGTGCCGTCTTCGGCACGGGTTCGTTCCGCCCTCCATCGGACGCCCGTACACTCTTTTTCATATGTCTCGATCCTCTCGCTCCGAGCATTTGGCGGAAGACCTGGCATGTAGATAATCTTGTTCTGAAAGACAATCATCATGAAACACTTCCATACCCACATCGCCGCCAGCAGGCCAGTGAACATGAGAGGCGGCAGAATGAAAGCGTTTGAATGGATCGACCTCCTCTTCTCCCCAAGACCAACGCCAGGCGGGGAGGGCGCGTGGGAAATCAACCATGGCCACGAGCTGGTTTGTAGACGAAGGCCATTGGCTTGTGAGACGGCATGTCGGAGGGCGAGATGACCCAGGCCAAGGCGCCGAATAGTCATGATCTCAATTGGTGCTCATGGACGCGAGCGGAAGACCGGCTGTGAGGCCGGGTCCCCAGTGGTCGGGCCGGGGTAGTGAATAAAACAAGATAAGAGTTCACCTCTCCAGAATATTGGGCAATAAGGTATCACAGCAGGCGTCCTTCACAGGAGCAGAATGAACGAAAAGCAAGGGTACCTAAACACCTGACAAAGGGTCCAACCAACCCAACCCTGTATTCACGATCTCCTGCAAGTAAGCGTGAAGTGAGTTGCATCCCTGATGTGTTCGACTTTGACTCGCCCCAGGTGGTGTCATCAATTCTAGAGTCCCATTCGTCATGCCTGACGGATCGCAACAATGGATGCGCCTCTGTGGGGGCCTCGAGGCCAGCACATGCAAGCGCCGCTGGAGCCGCCTTGACAGCGCACATGCAGCTTGGAGAGCAAGGCGGGGTCGACTTGTGTTTTGGTCCCCCCGGGAGTGGAGGGTGTAAATGGGGCAAGAGCCACTGTATATCACCTAATTTTCGGGCTCAGCCCACCTATGCAACAACACCAGCATCAATACCTACCATCCCCGACTTTGCCCTTGCATTTTCAGTAACAACCACCACCAAAAAGCATCCTCTTTGTCTACGCCGCCACGAGTTGCGGCTGGTCCGACCATGTCGAGCAGACAGCTTAGCGACACCAAAAATGCCCTGGTATCGAATCCAGAGGCGCTCTCAGACCCCGACTACTCAGATGACGAGAATGTCCTGCCTGGCGAGGAGATCGCTGCGGATGACGGTAAGTTGGCAATCAAGTTCTCGCGGGGGCAGCTTAGGTACTAAGTCATTATGATTCTCCTGCAGACTTGCTCGACGGCGAAGACTCGGACACGGACGAAATCATCTGCACCCACTCTCGGGTGCACTCCATTCCCGCCCTGAAGCTGGAACGCTTCAAGAAGGTTCTACGCATCTGTCTACGACAGAACGCTATCCAGCGGATCGAGGGTCTATCGTCTCTGGGCGAAACGCTCCAGGAACTTGACTTTTACGACAATCTCATCTCACACATCCACGGGCTCGATGAGCTTACCAAGCTCACGTCTCTGGACCTGAGCTTCAACAAGATCCGCCACATCAAACACATCAATCATCTCACGGAGCTCACGGACCTCTACTTCGTCTCCAACAAGATCGGCCACATCGAGAACTTGGATGGGCTCAACAAGTTGCGCATGCTCGAGCTCGGCTCGAACCGCATCCGCGTTATCGAAAACCTCGATTCCCTCAAAGCCCTGGAGGAGCTTTGGTTGGCCAAGAACAAGATCACCGAGCTCACTGGCCTCGGTGGCCTGCCCAAGCTTCGTCTGCTCAGTATCCAGTCCAACCGCATCCGCGACTTGTCACCCCTGAGCGAGGTTCCGCAGCTCGAGGAGCTATACATATCGCACAACGCGCTCGAGAACGTCTTGGGACTGGAGAAGAACACGAATCTCCGCATTCTCGAGATCTCAAACAACAAGATCACGAGTATCAAGGGCCTGAAGCCGCTCGTGCACCTTGAAGAAGTCTGGGCAAGCTACAACCAGATCTCCGACTTCATGGAGATGCAGGAAGAGCTGGCGGACAAGAAGGAGCTCACGACGGTCTATTTCGAGGGCAACCCGGTCCAGCTACGGGGCCCGGCCCTGTACAGGAACAAGGTGCGGCTGGCTCTGCCGCAGGTGCAGCAGATTGATGCGAGTAAGTCGAGTCCCCAATTGGCAAAACGCGTTGTGGCTGCAGAATCGGTGACTAATTCACCCCATAGCGTTTGTCCGCACTTGAGAGGGAATGCATGCGCTCAAAGAGCGCTGACGATGGACTATAGCATGGCACGGCGTTGGGGTTTGCACCGTTTATTTTATCCAGCTTGAGCCGTGTTTGACGGACACGAGCTCCTACATGTATCACTACAGGGCAGAATATAGCTTGCCGTGGGTTCCAGAGACTGGAAGACAGCAAGGCTATTAGACTGACAGGCGTCTTCGCCGGCAGGCATACAGACATCCATACAATCAAGAAGGTGGTTGTCCACCTGGATGCCATCGGTTCATCTACATCTTTGATTCTCTTGCTTCTCGGCTGTCAGATGGTTGTACCTGCCACTAGGTTATAGGCGATAGTGCGAGATGCTTCTTGGTGGTGCTCTTTATCTGCGACTTTACCTTCCTCTTTCTTGTCCCATCAATGCATTCCCATGTCTATGTAAACTGGCGGGCCCCTCCTCACTTTCCCAAGGATCCACGCGCCAAAAGATATATGGATGCGGCGGAATGTTGACGCTGTTCAAGCTACCTTGATAAGGATTCCCCCCTCTTTTCCCGCTTCCATGCCGCCCCGTCCGTCCTCCTTTATCGCTGGTATTAATATGTGTTGGAGGGGGTCAAAAGGCAGATGGGCATTTAGCCAAAGATCCAGAGCTTCTCGGTGGGGAAGTACTGTGCGGAGAGGTCAGCAAATAAAAACGAAAAAAACAAAAACACAAGCTAGGATTAGGAAAAGCCCGTCCCAGACCAGCAAAAAGGGAAAAACTCACGTTGGAGGGCTGGTTGAAGCGGGTCTTCTTGTCGAGGGCGCTGATGGCGGCGATGTCGTCGTCGGACAGGCTCCAGGCGGTGCAGTCGAGGTTCTGGGCCATGCGGGCCTCGCTGCTGGACTTGGGGATGACGGCGAGGCCGCGCTGGGTGGACCACCGCAGCAGGACCTGGGCCGGCGACTTGCCGTGCCGCTGGGCGATGCGGGCGACCGTCTGCTCCTCCGTCAGCGGGGTCAGCGCCGTGGCGTGCTCCATGTTGAACTCCTGGAAGCTGGCGGGGCCGAAGGACGAGTAGGCCGTCACGGCGACGCCCTCGTGCTGCGCCAGGCGGACGAGCTCGGGCTGGACGAGGTAGGGGTGGTGCTCGATCTGCAGGGTCGCGGGCGGGACGCGCGCGTACCGCAGCAGGTCGTACAGCAGCTGGGCCTGGAAGTTGGAGACGCCGATGGAGCGCGCGAGCCCGGCGTCGACGAGCCGCTCCATGGCCGCCCAGGTCTCCTGGATCGAGGCGCGCGAGGTGCGGACCTCGGACACGCCGTCGTAGTGCCAGCCCGGCGGGTAGCGGACGGCCGGGTCGACGTAGGCGAGGGCGACGGGGAAGTGGATCAGGTAGAGGTCGAAGTAGTCGACGCCCCAGTCGGCGAGCTGCTTGCGGGCGATGGGCTCGACGCGCTCGCCGTCGTGGAAGGTGTTCCACAGCTTGGAGACGATGAAGAGGTCCTCGCGCCGGACGAGGCCGTCCTTGATGGCGCGGGCGACGCCCTGGCCGCACTCGACCTCGTTGCCGTAGTCTGTGCAGGGGGGGGTGTCAGCATTTTTCTATTGCTTTTTTTTCTTCTTTTTTTTTTCTTTCTTCTTCTTCTTTTTCTCTCCTTCGGAGATCTCTAGCAACTGCAAGGTGGTGGAGGGGGCGTGAAGAGTACTGAGACGGAGATAGTGATGATGGTGGTGATGGTGGTGGTGGTGGTGGTGGTGTTGGTCCGCGAGTTGCAGGGATGCGTGTAAGTGGACAAAGCAAATTACCAGATGTGGAATTGGCTTTAGCGCAGCTAGGTACACGCAGGCAAGGGTACAGGTGGTTGGGTGGGCGAGTGGGTGGATTTGGGGCTTGTTCGGTGGGGGTCTGGTCGAGCAGGGGGGCCAGGGTTCCGTGGATGAATGAAGAAGTCGAGGGGTAAATTGATTCTTGGTCTTCTCGAGGCAATGCAGCTCGCAGGCAGAGAGGTCTTGTGGGCTCCTCTTCTTTGGTCTCTTCCTCTTCTCCTCTCTACATCTCTCTCTCTCTCTCTCTCTCTCTCTCTCTCTCTCTCTCTCTCCCCTTCTCGAGGAGGTGTTACTCCGCCTGGTGATATCGCTGGGCATGGCCGGGGAAAGAAAAGCAGCAGATCTTGTCAACGCATGTACGTACCGCAAGCACCGTCAAAGAGCCTGTAGCCAGCCTTGATGGCGTTGTAGACAGTGTCGGCGCAGGTTGCGTTGTCGACCTGAGAATCACACCCAAGACGAATTAGACTTGACACTCCAGACCTGTTTCCCTGGCGTTTCTGGGCTCTCTCACCTTCCAGAGGCCAAAGCCAACCTGGGGCATCTCATAGCCGCTGTTGAGCTTGATGTTGGGAACAGCCATTGTGCGGAGATCTGAAGGGGGATATTCTCTGAGAACTGGTAGGGGTGAAGGTTCTTGGAGAAGATATCTAGAAACTGGAGGTCAGGAGAAGAACGAGCAGTACGAGGTTTGGATTGGTGAGGTTACTGACTCTTACAACAGTCGTTCAAGAGGAAGGGAAGGACCTGTGATAGGTAGTCGAGAGGAGGGAAGATTGGAATCACAGGTTAAATAGAGGAAGCACAGAGAGACAGCAGGTGACTATCGGTGAGCGGGGGAGATTGTTTTGTTCAGATATTTATACGACCTCGTCCGAGTCCACATGGCAAATAAGGCGGCGGCCCTAGGCCAAGCGACTCAGCCGGCTGCTGTCGAAGGGCTTCTTCATCTAGATGTGACGTGAGGGACCGACATTCCGCGTCTTGCCTCCGACTCTTCGGTACCAGGGCTAGTGCCATTAAAAGATCCCCACGCTCCAGAGATGTATGTGCGTTCAAAACCACCGTCCCAATCGTCGGCACCCGTCGGGGTCTTCTTCAAGGTCCACAGGGCGGTGACGTGATTGGCGGCGGCGGCGGCGGCGGCAGTGGTGGTGCTCGACGGGAATCCGAGTGAACCCAGGACATATTGAGAGAGACCTTGTGAGAAAGCTCACGAACACGACATCTTGGTACTTGGTAGACAAGTATGTCTTGATGGGTGCTGGATTGCCTTCACTCGAACGACAGTCGGGCCCAACGCCCATCTCCCCGAGTACTGCCGCTACCTACGCCCTGCCACTCGTGGAAGGATATCATGACCATCCGTCTCGAGATCTTCCAGAAACTTGACTCGGAGAGGTTCAGGGTCCACAACTTTGCTTTCCCACAGGCGCCGCATCAAGTGGGTTTCCAAGGCGTTTGGGATTTTCTAAACTCACTGACAACAAGGCCGAGTCCCACAGCGCTAGACTTACCCGTTGTATTCAGGCTGAATTGCTAGTCAGCTGCGGCTATTCTGATTATTGGGGCCGTCTAAGTTGTGTGCCTGCTTTGCTGAGCAGCCTCTCGACTCCCCCTCGACAACGGAACCACAACCTTTGTGTCATAAACACGCTTTTTGGGGGGTTGAGACCGGGGAGGATCAGGCGGGAATTTTCGTCGTTGGGTGGGGATCTCCCGCTGATGCATGCTGTCTTATCGACTCTCTTGCTGCTCGGCGCAACCCTCCCAGGCTGGCTCGGGGAAAATATCAAGGATGGGGGCAAGCAAGAGCTTGTATCCTCAAAACGACGCGGCCATGATGGCCTAGATCACACTTGTCCCGTCTGGGCAACCCTCCCTCGTGAGTAACCGGGAAGCAGAAAGGCTGCCTACTGTACTGTGCAAGATAGAGTCGTATTGACTCGGCTTGTTTCCCGAAAGTCGAGGTCTATCGGGGAAGAAAAATGGCATCATGCCCTCCATTATCAATGTCACCAGCCGGCTCCTAATCAGGGCAAGATCATTGGCCCAACGGCAGCCTCATCCGGACCGTCACCTCTCGCGGAGCATGATAAGGAGCATTGATCGATGATTTGTCTCGGAGATACCTATGAATGGCAGATCTTTGGTTCTGTAGGGTAACAAGTGACCGGGTGGTTTCGTGATAAGGTATTGACGGGTATCGACAGGTAGAGCTGCTGTCTGTCTCAAAAAGGCAGTTGTCGAAGGGACCGGCAGAAGGCCTCGGGCTGGGTGAGCCAATCCCACAATACCATGCCACGAGGCATGGACGAATCGCCATTTATATAGATGCGTTATCGAGTTTTGACTATGTATAATTGACAAATGATTAAGAACTATTCAGTACTTGGTGTGTTACCTTCCTATGCTATCATGAGTTTCCCTGGTCATCCCGCGTACTTTTCGTCTTCAAGGAAAACGCGGCTATCAGATCAAGAGCCGGTGGTTTGCTAGAGGCCATATTGTGGAAGTAGAGCATCATGATATGCTGCTGTATGTGGGCAAGTTCGTCCACGAAAGGCTGCTTGGCTCCTTTGAGGAGTGATGCAGGCGGGATAGGCGTGGTGTTGGGCCAACGACGCTCCCCGAGTTCCAGCAACTCCTAGTTGCTTTCTGGTCTTGAGCAACAGCAGGAGCAGTGCTATAACACTATTCGCCACGGCAGTCCGTGCTTGCTCGCCAACTCAACAACTTGGTATTCGGTTTCTCCTTCATCTTACAAAACCCTTTCACCCGGTCCACCTCTTCCCAGCATCACTCCTACTACCATTGCCCAACCCGTAATTCGAATACCAGCAGCCGCAATCGCCGCTCCCGGCCAGCCCGTCCAGCGGCTGCCCGCTCCGGTCCCGACAGTCCGGCACCCCGGCCCCGGCCCGCTGCCGCTGCACGATCTCCACCCGGAAGGGCCACGCCGCAAAGTTGGTCGACGCGTTGGTCGGCGGCGGCGCCGCCTCCACGCCGGGGGGGTAGGTCGCGCGCATGCGCGTCCACAGCGTCGCCGAGAAGACGGTGCCGTTGTACCAGCACGTGGTGGCGCCGGGGGGCACGACGACGGAGACGGCGGCGGGGAACTCGAAGGCGAGGCGCTCGGCGTGCTGGTTGCCGTCGAGCAGGGCCATGGTGACGTTGGCGAAGGACGGCGCGAAGGGGCTGGCGCTCGACGAGACGGCGTAGGTGAAGCTGTTGAGCTGCGCGATGACCCAGTGGAAGGTGGCGGCCGAGGACGCCGGGTCCGAGGGGGAGTAGGTGCTGTACGGGTAGCAGGCGAAGGCCTGCGGGTCGGAGGAGCAGGCCGTGGAGGTGTTGACCAGGGCGGCGGTGAAGGAGTAGGAGCCCGAGGGGAAGAGGGCGGGCTGTGGGCTGGAGCTGCTTGGTGGCGTCGTCGAAGAGTGCCTGGTCAAGAAGAAAGACTTGTCAGTGAGCTGGTCCCCACACAAGTGAAGATGTCGTCAGGAGGGGTCTCGTACTGGTTCTTCTTGCGGAGTCCGATGCCCAGGCCCGCTCCCAGCCCAACGACGAGAGCAACGATCAAGAAGGCCAAGAGGCCGACGCGATACCACCCGCCCCTCCGTCGGAACCACTCCTCCGTCTTGGACGGCGCCCTCGGTGGCGGTCCCTTGTATTCAGACGGGGACTCATCGCTACTGGCTGTGGACGACGGCGGCGTAATCGACCATTGACTGACAGGGTCCGCCGCCCCTGATCTGATCGCCGAACGCCGGCCAGACCGCGCGGGGAGGGCGGGCGCAAGTTGTCCCTGCTCATCCTCCGAGATCATTGGCATCCGGCCAACACTTGCGAGGGACGTCTTGTTGTTCTTGCCTGCCATCCTGAAGGACTCAATTACGCCTGGTCCCGGCGTATCAAAAGACGGCTTGTAAGGCTTCGACGGTCAAGACTTGCCGTGCCACGAGAAACACGCCAACCGTCAACCTCACGTGGGTAGCTCAAGAGCTTTCAAGACACCTCAAGCCATAGGAAGGAAATATGACTCTCATTTGGGAAAGCACAGCGACGACAACGAAGAGCTACGGGTTCCCCAGTGTGGGGGAAGGCCGGCGAGCGGGCTCTTCCTCGGGGTGTCATAGGTTATATACGATCAACCATACTGTGTGTCCTATCTTCCTAGCGGCGCAGACCGTCTCCAGACTAGGGAAGCCGCATCGATGCCCGAAGCTGTGGAAAGGCGACGCCTGGGAAAGTCAAAAAGCAACACGCGGACGAGGATAAAGACGGGGCCCATTACCCAGTTCAGCTCCCGCCTCCCGCCACCGGATCATCATGGGGGGCACCACTGGTGAGACTAACGTTCTTGGTCGTTGCCGCTCCCGACACTAGTTGGCAAACAACCCTCTTTGGGGTGGCATTATCAGGTTGGGATCGCCCGGGCTAGGGCTGCAGCTCCTCATCGAGGAAGCAGGGCGCTGGCCGGTACCCTCGAGGTATGGTAGAGGCCCCTTTGATAACCAAGGACGGAAGGGGATTCGTCATCACACCAAAGGTCTGTGTGACGGTGATGGCCAAGCATTTACCTATCTCGGGCCCTGGATTGCAGCACGGCGCGGACCGCTCGATTGCTTTGCCCATGGGAACGAGGCTTGCATGGACGCATGCGAACACGAAGCGTTCAATTGGGTGTTGAAGAAATGATACGTATTGGACCGGGCCTGAGCAGAACCTTGTCGTGGCGTGCCGAGCTGCAGGGATCGGGTAGATTGGCGCCCTCGGAAACAGCCAACGGCGAGCTGAAAAGCTCACCAAATTGCTTATTTGTCCACAGATGGACTTCTTGTCAACTTCACCGAGCCGCCATATAACTAATCAGCCACGATGCTTGGCCGATAGGCTTGATATTGATGTTACACATTTGTACACTACAGGTACAGCGCACAGTTCATGTGTTGTTCCATATCTACCTATCCTTCGTCGAGGAGTGGACAGACTACTTGTACATGCATATGCTGTTCAAACAAGTGGGCGCTATGGTCAAAAAAAAGGCGGCAAGCATAGATCCCATCATGATGTACACTATCATCTGTCTATGGGCAGAGAGTATTTTATCTAACCAAGATCAAATCTCCGCGCTACGGCTGAGTCTCCTCTGCCGCCGGCCCAGTGACTTCCGCCTGCACAGGCGGGCTGAGAGCATCGCCTCCTTCAACCCACACCTGGGCCAGCTCCTTCTCAATCTCATCCCTTCTCCTCTTCCACTCCTCGACCTGGGCTAGGCGCTCGCGCAGGTCAGCCAGCTCCTTCTCCACGTGCATCTTCTCCCGCTCCGTGCCGATGCGCTCAAAAGCCCACTCGTCTCCGTGCTCGCCCATGCCCAGCACAAGGTTGTAAGTGTGGTACTTCTTGAGCGAGGCACGGGTCGAGATGGTAATCAGAGCTGAAAGGAAAAAAAATCGCTGGTCAGTTTTCGGTGTGCCCCTCTCGTGAGTCAGACGATATTGGGTTAAAAATGAAAACTTACTGATGCCCTTCTCCTTGCACGTCTCGTATAGCAAGCCCTCCACGTCGCTGGACACAGCGCTAGTGCCCTCGTCGATGAAAGCGTACTGCGGCTCGTGGTAGAGCAGGCGGGCGATGGCGACCCTCTGCTTCTCGCCGCCGCTGAGGACGTCCTTCCACTCCTTGCGCGTGTCCCAGCCGCCCTCGCGGTCAGGCAGGTAGCCCAGGCGAGCGTCTTCAAGGACGCGCTTGAGATCGTGCTCGTTCTTCCGCTTCTCTCGCATGTCAGCCTCGCCGTCCGGGTAGATGACCTGGTCGCGGAGAGTGCCGATCGTGAGGTACGGCCTCTGAGGCAGAAACATGATGCCATCCTCCCCGGTGGCCTTGGGACGACTTGCCAGACCCCTGTAGACGGGCCACAAGCCCGCAAAGATGCGCGCAATGGCACTCTTGCCGACGCCGTTGGGCCCTGATATCTAATGCTTGGTCAGTACAGTCGTATCATCAGCAATGGTGGGAAGATGTGTCTGTGACATACCAGCAGGTGCTCGCCCCTGCGCACAATCAGAGACAGAGATTCGATCAGCTCGTCACCTCCCTGAGGCCAGAGACCCGGCGCGACGACAGGCACGTTCTCGAGGCGAACTCCATCAAAGCCCTTTTGCATTGTGCCTTGGACGTCGGAGAGCGAGTAGAGCTCGTTCTCGCGGCCGCGCACATAGTACGCGTCAGCATGCACGCGGTGCATGGTCGAAATGAGAGTGTAGACGCGGCTAGTGTAGCCGGCCAGTTCTGCCAAATCCTTGATCGAGTACATCATCCGGCCCCCAGCGTCGGCCAGGGACAGCATCAGGCGCTTGTTGGTGATGAAATGCCTCATGCGACTGCGCTCTCTGCTCGAGTTGGCAACCTGCTCGGCGATCTCTGTAGCACCGCCGAGACCACCCCAGGCGGGCAGGAAGACCGGGAGAGATGACAAAAGGTAGCCGTACGCGCTCCAGCTGTACTTGAGGATGAAGTCCTCCAAGATGTTGTAGCGGATCTTGAGCATGTAGATGCCCTCCATCCAGTTCTTGAGTGACTTGAACTCTCTGTTTAGGAAATACTTCTCCATATCCGCACCTCCGTAAAAGGCGACCTCCTCGGCGTTGGCTATTAACCTGGCGTGAAGGCTTCTAAAGTCGCCTTCTTTGCGGCCTTCCACGGCCTTGAGCTTGCCAAAAGGCGGAGACAGGCGCCTCAAGATGCTTGCAGTCAGGAAGTAGTTGCTCAGGAGGCCTGTCAGAGCTAGCGGTCCCAAGGAGCGGTAGAGTTGGTAGTTGAAGACACATATGTCGACGAATGGCTTTCCTAGAGAGGAGTAGAGGTTCGCCGCGGCAGCGCAGAAGAGGGTGAGGTCTTGGGTGATGTATTGATCGGCTCCTTGGCCGACTCCGCCATCCAGGTTGGACAGCTTGTAGTAGTTGAGGTTTTCGTTCAGATAAAGGTCATGAACGTATCGCGTGAGACGCGTGCGGAAGGCAATGGAGACCTTGGACTCGAGATATTTGATCATTGCGTTGGTGTATGAAGCAATGCCACCCAGCCCACACCACTATTCGCACTGTTAGATGACGCAGAACAACGAACCATAGACACAGGAATCGCGCGACGAACCTTGGTGATCCCCCAAAGGAATTGTTTGCCGTTGCCTGCCACGAGGTCGCGCACGATCTCGCCATCGAGGCGGGCGACGACCAGCGATAGATATGTGCGCAGAATGAGGAAGCCACCGTGGCTTAGCAGAAGGCCTGCTTCCTTGCTGTTCCACCTAGGGATCATGATGCTCATGAGACTGAGGAACTGGTGGAGGAAGGCCAGGTTGAGCCCGGGCTTGGTCTGGGCTGCCGGCACCACGCCGTCGCCCAGTCCCGACACGCGAGGCGGGTTCAGAAAGAGGCGGCGGTGGGCATCGAAGGTGAGCGGCTTGGTCCCGTGGATGACAACCTTGGAAGTGCTGTCCTTGTAGGGCACGTAGATGGTCCGCGAGCCATCCTTGTTGTGTAGCCAGGAATTGGTCCGGACCAGCTTCCGGCCCTGCTCCTTCTCGTCCCGTCTCGACTTCCACCATCTCCGCCCTCCCTCCGCACTCAGGATGATCGAGGTCGCGAGGGCAAGGGTGGCCAGCAGGCGGGTCGTGCGAGAGGTGTTGCGCAGTCGCGTCCGGATGAGGTCGCTGTACTTGTCAATGAAGGCGGCGATGGCCTCCTCGGCCGCCGAGTGGCGGAGAGTCGACTGCGCAGCCATGTCTGCGCGATATGCGCGCTCCCGCGGTCTCGACAGAGATCAGGGCTCACAGATAGGTTGTATTTGACTACCGATGGCGAGATATCGGGGATGGCTCCATGGAGGGGAGAATGGTCGGGGGATCCCACGGTGTATGTGCCGCGCAGTGCAAGCAGTTCTAGGCTGGCAGGGATGCGATGCGATGCGGTTTGCGACGGTGGCCACTTGAAAAGGCCGTATGCCGCGAGATGCGATGGTTTCCGGATGTTTACAGCTGCTGGAACTGATGGATGGTATGCTTGAGGCAAGGCATCCCGCGGTGGGAGATCGTCTGCTAGTCAAGTGCAATTGGAATTGGGACAGAATGCCCGGCATGTGAATGTACCCCAGATTCAACTCCGAGGCACGAGCGCTACCTGATGGCTAAAGTACCAGCCACAGCTTCAACGTCATTATGGCCAGCACATGACAGCTGGTGCCACACCCGCTCTCCATCCTGCGTGGATCCCTCCAGGCTTCGTTGTCTGCGATATGCTGTCTTGACAACATATGGGGTGGTGCTCGGCGATCTTCGCAAAGCTTGGTTCGTTCACACCAACTTCACCTAGACCCGAGTGAATGCCATTTTTGACAGTGGCGCGACGGCGGGATGTTGGAAATGATAAATCCCAAACCATGCATGATATGCCCGAATGCCATGCAGTCTATCCTCTACAGTCGACGCATATTGCGACGCCCCAGTAGTTATCCACGTCCCTGAACCCCACGGGCAGGTAAGCGAAACTTGACACTTGGGCTCGCTGCCAATTGCCAGCCTGTCTGCCCTGCACGCCTCCTCGGAGAAGGCATTGTGCACAATCAATCACACGAGCGTGCCTGCGCTTCCGGGCTTCCGGGCGAGTCGCCGTCAATGCTCGCTGCTCGGGCGGCTTCCGTTTCACCTAAACTGTAGCTAGAATCCAGCATCTCCACCGCGCCAGTCAGTCACCCTACTTGTCCAAGTACAAGTAGAGACAGCGCACCGGCTTTGCTCTCCGATCTGGGCGGCATCATGCCGCTGGTTATTTCTGGCCCGCCGAGATCCACGTACGGGGGAGATGCCTGGAGCCATTGAAGCTCTGGATGCAAAGAGATATGGGAAGCGTGTGGGTGGGCGCCAACAGAACGCCCAGACTCGCCCAGTGTACAAGTACTGTTGCAGAGGGCGGTTAGGCGGCCAATCAGTGTGTTGGATCCACGACTTCGTGGGGATGTGCTCAGGTTCTCCGCTTCTCGCAGCAGCTAACTCGACCTTCTGGATCTCACTCCCGACACCTAATTTCGAGATGTTCTGCGGAGGGCGACAAGGGGAGGATCATGCAGGTCTGAGCGAACTTCACGTAGCATGCATCACCCGCTGGAGACCATCTCGCTCTGAGCTCGCCTCTTCCAGTTGACGGATACATCGCACGCACCAAGGGCCTGCGCTACTGCCGCACCGTCGCATGTGGCGAAGTGGGCGACGGCAAAGCTGTTTGTCTTGTCTGCATGTTGTCTTGACTGGTGCAGGTGGTGTGGGTGGGAAGCAGAAGCGTGCTGTGAGGTGAAGCCAGTGCGGACTGGAAGCCGGGAAGCTGTCCTGGGCTCCTGGCTGGCTGCTAGGTACCTCCTAGGTAGCCTAGAGGAAGCGGGCGGCGCTGCAGAGACGGTCCGTGGCGTGGGCAGCTTTTGAGGCTCACGAATGGGATCCAGCCAGGAGGAGTCCACCTCCTCCGTCCGGAGCACCTGTACAAGTACTTGTACTCCTTCTTTGATGACGCTGCTATCTCTTTCTCTTTCAATCTGGATCTGATGGAGATAGGGAAGCCAACCCTTGGAAGAGCCTTTCCCACAAGGGAAAGATGAAAACCATCAACCACGAGACGCTCGTACCCCGTCTCTGGCAAAGCAGAATGGTATGGTGAGTACAAATTAAATCGCAATTCTATTTGCAGCGATGGACCAGGGGGGCAGTTGATGGAAGATGGGCAGGCCCGCGGCCGTCCATTCAAAGGCCTGTGGGTGGCCGGTCTCGAGAACTGGATCATGGAAGCTAGAGCCGTGCTGGGGCCAGGTCCAGGTCCAGAGAACTTGTCCCCTGCTAGCGCCCTGTTAGGCCGGAACCTGGCAAGCCGGCGCAGTCTGCAGGATTTCCCAGGTTGGTACGCGATACCGTGTGGGAGGTCAAGTCTGCACTAACAGCTCCCACTCGTCCCGCAGGAACCTCGAAATGCTCCTTTCCCATCTGGCCTATGGGTAATCTCCTCCCCCCCTTCGCTGGGCTCGCTGGCTGCACCTCTGAGCATCCCCGTCCGCCGCGCACCCACCACCACCACCACGGTCCACCACCCAGTGCTCCCCCCCCAGCGCACCCTGCCCGACCTGCTTCTGCGCGCCCATCGCCTACCTTACCTTGCCTTGCCCTTCCTACGACCTTGTCTGTGCTCCTGGTCCATCACTGACCTCCGCGTTCCATAAAATCATTTCGCTTGCGATTTCACCTCTTCAGCCTCCTCAACCCGCCCTCCCCCAATCCGTACTGCGTCCAACTTTCTCTGAATCTCCCGCAATTGTCGCGTTTTTCGTCGTCGCCCATGCACCCTTCTAAGCCGACTGTGCGATTATAGCCCATCTCTTAGCCTTAATTTCCCGGCGGCTCCTCACTCTCCCCCATCCGCCTAGCCACCACCGCCTCTCCTTGTCTCTTTCTTGAGGCTCGCGCGGGAAACTCCCAGGATCCTGCACCGACGTGATCCTATTCGACTCTCCGGATCAGCCTGCATCGGAGCGCGCGCGCACGGTGGCCCGTTCGGCATCGACATCGACGTCCCGTTTGTCTCAAAGAGCGGTGGGCGGTGCTATCGGGAATTGGCCTGCTGGGGCCTGACATCGCCGGAGTAGTTGTCGAGGTAGTTTTTGGCTTGGTTGGCAGCGCTCTGCTTGAAGAGGTTGGTCACACTGCATATTCTTCTTTCCTCTCTCATTTGCAGCCTGTGAGGTCTCGGGGTCGGTTGCATGCCGCGACATCTCGTTACACCCCTGACCTTGGTTTCGCTCTTTCAAGACAAGACGCAGCAGCTCGGCTCGCATCCTCTCGCGTGATCATAGGGCAGGTCACATCCTAGCCGAACCATATTATCTGCTATCCGAGGTTGCGCAACAGAGACACTTTGTGTTGGAGCAGCGGGTTATTGTCAGCTCGGCGACAAAGGGCTAACGGGAATCGTAGTTTCTGTCTATAAACCGTCGCCAGTCTGCCAAGAGACCACGGAGAGACGACCGGAAGCAAGGACATGTCACGAGACATCGAGGAGAAATCACAGGTGGAGATGGTTCCGGAGACATCATCCAAGGAAAAAGAGACATTGGCGCCCGAAGAAACCACCAATTCCAAGAAGGGACGAGGCCTGCTCCACGTACCGTCCAGATCATCCTCTCACAGACACCAACCGTCGCCGACCTCTACAGGCCTTAGTGGTGCCACAGCGAGCGATCCCAGAGGCAGCATGGATGGTCAGTCGAAAGAGTCCAAGGGGAGCTTGATGGGTCATCGCCGGAACGGGAGCGCGTCAAGCAAGCAATCCGGCACAGCCCCCACAAGTACACCCGGCAACACACAGCCAAACTCGCCTGCGACTGCGGCTGCTCCAGCCCGGAAGAAGAAGGGTGGCCTGCTTGCTTTGCTAGGCTGCTGTGGGGTGCCCGACAACGCAAACGCTCTGGAGAATGGGGAGGAGAATGTGCCGGTGAAGCAGTTGGATAAGATCCCTCCTCGGCCAACCACCGCAAGCCACAGCCACAGAACAATCACGCCGTCGGACCAAAATGCTCCTGCAAAGCAAATATCCGAGAAGGAAGCCCAGCAGCCGGCCCATGCGGTCCCCGAATCGTCCAGGATGAAGGGAGCCGCCACCTCCATCGCACAAGACCAACAAGCAACTCCTGACCAGGGCAATGGGGAGGCCAGCAGCAGGACCGTACCTACCGGTGCTCCAGTCGTGACGGTGGAGCCGCCAAATCAAGGAACTGCGGATGTTTCCCAAGGCAGGGCAAACCACAAAGACGATGATGGTGATGTCGACATGCAAGACGAGGAGAGCACCGCAAACCAAAAGGAGAAGCAGCCCGCCACATCCGACATCTTGCCAAAGGTCCCACCACCGCCACCGTCAACCTCGAGTGCACCCATTCCTCAACCTGACCCAATGATGGCACTGGCCGCCCCTGATGTTCCGGAGCAGAAGGCGCTGCTGCCCCCGATCGAACCGCATTTAAAAGGCAGAAAATGCCTGGTTCTAGATCTTGACGAGACCTTGGTTCACAGCTCCTTCAAGGTATGTACACATCAAGTGAAGGGTCCTTGACACATCGACTGACGATGCGTTAGATCCTCCACCAAGCCGACTTTACGATACCAGTAGAGATTGAGGGAAATTACCACAATGTCTATGTCATAAAGCGGCCGGGCGTTGACCAGTTTATGAAGCGAGTTGGAGAGCTCTACGAAGTCGTTGTGTTTACCGCATCAGTCTCCAAGGTATGTTATTCACATTGCTCTGTGGCCATGGTGGCCGTTCCGCTGACATGACATGTAGTATGGTGATCCGCTACTTGATCAGCTGGATATTCACAATGTCGTCCACCACAGGTTGTTCCGCGAAAGTTGTTACAACCACCAAGGCAATTATGTCAAAGACCTTTCGCAGGTCGGACGGGACCTGAAGGACACCATCATCATCGATAACTCGCCGACCTCCTACATCTTCCACCCCCAGCATGCTGTACCTATCAGCAGTTGGTTCTCGGATGCGCACGATAATGAACTGCTTGACCTGATTCCGGTGCTCGAGGATCTTGCGGGCCCGACAGTTCAAGACGTCAGTCTGGTCCTCGACGTCACACTCTAGAAGGTCACATTCTCTTTGTTCCATTTTCAACCCAGAGCACACATTGTTCTCTCAGAGCACAAATCGAGTCTTGCTCGATCATAGCGGAAGGCGTTTGGACGAATCTGCCGGGTGTATCGGCCGACATGCTCTACTGTTTAATTCTGCAAATAGTACGACGGCTGCAGGAGCGGCCGATCTGGCTCTAGAATATTTCCACACCACGGAACCCCTCTTTGTCGAGCATAATTTTGACGCCGGAGCATATGGTCTTCGGGACAGCACCATGCAAGGAGGCTCTGTCTCAGTGGCCCTCCTGGCGCAGGAAGAGCACATGGGTTTCAACAGCAGGAACCGCATGGCCTTGTCTCGGCCACGGCGATCGGCTAGGGCTTTTATGGTCTGGGGATAGGAGGCTGCAGCTCGACGCCCACGGTGGACACTGGACTAGAGGCGAACGCCTGCAACTGCGTCGGCGCAGCCTCGTCCCTGCGTGTTCTTGCATACGCCATCATCGACCGATCAACAGGGCGAGAGCACCCCCCCCTTTTTTCATGTTTCATTTGTCAATCTTACACCTCTTATTTTTCCTTTCTCTTGCTGGGCTATCTACCTTACACCTCTCTTCGTCATAACCACCTACCTATACAAGTAATGTCTGCGAGCAGACAGGGTCAAATCGTATTCGTGTCACGCGCGCACACACTCCCCCCCACACACATGGACATTCACAAATTCTACGGAATCCATTCTTGTTGTCATTTTATGGTTGTACAGGTTTTACACACAGCGGACCCCATCATGCAGATGAGGTAGAGCAAGGCGAGCGAGGGGGCAAAAAAGGAAAGCAAACGGGGAAGACAGGATACCTTCAAATGACCGCGGTGAGCGGTTCCTTCGAGGTCTTTATACATATAGTCTCTTTGCCAAATTGATATACTGGTGAACGTGCGGATCGAGCGAGAAAGCCTTCTGTCTACCAAATACCTGACTTACCTGGCTGGACAACGGGGTGATATTCGTTGCTTGTCCCTTTCTCACAGGGCCTTTGGACAGCATATATCTCGATCCGTCAAAAGCTTTGAAGGGTAAAGATATGTCCAGCGGCACGGAATCAAAGACGAGAAATTCCTCCTCGAGGTGAATGTACTTGTAGGCTGTAGGTAGACTATTGCACTTGGAGAAACTCAAGAAGCTCGCAGTACTCCATACCTACCTAGGTAGGTAGGAGTAGATTTGAGGTCAGATTAGATTGTTGCTCCAGGCGCCTCCTGCCAAAGCCTCCAGGCCAGACTGGACTAGCTTCCCCTTTAGTTACTTGTAGCGCTGGTCCAATTCGTGTGTCGGAAAACCCACTGTACTTGTAGGACGCACCGTAGGACGCACGGGCCCACCAACCTCAACTTTCCCCAGCCCAGCCCAGCCCACAGTAATCGAGGCATGGGGCTGGCCCTTTCCAAACCGTGGCCTCAATTGCAGAGGGTCTTTTTGTGAGCGGAGCTTTTTAGGGAGAACGTATCAACTCTCTCATCTCCATCCAACCCAACCCAGTCCAACCTCACGTCCAGCTCTCACACGCTTTGTGACTCCTCTTCTCTTCTCTCCTTGTGTCTCATATTTGAATTATTTTCCGGTTGTTCACACATCGTCGAGTACTATGGTACGTTCTCGGACTGGCGCAATTGGGCTCGTTTGATCGCATAAGGGAGGAGGGTTCACGATCACTGCTCGGAGCTCTCCCGACACCGCGCGACTTGTGATGCCTCTTGCATCCCCATCTTCCAGATGCCTTGTGGGACTTGCTGACACGGATGATGTTGACAGTCTTCTCCCCGCCCTTCGTCGCCCGCCCCCGGGGCTGCTGCCTCTGGCGCCTCCGTCCGGCCTTCGTCGCCCGCGCCCCCAGGAGGAGCCAAGACCCAGATCCGTCGCCGCGCCGCCGCCGACCAGAAGGAGAAGATTGCCAATGCGCGTCCCAGCAGCACGCGCGCGGCGGGTGCCGGTGGCAGCAGCAGCACTATGCTGAGTACGTGCTCACACGACCAACCACCCTATGTCCAGGAGGGATTGACAGTGCCACTTCATCATGAGATGCTAATATTTGCGTTTGCAGGGCTGTACACCGACGAGTCCCCCGGCCTCAAGGTCGACCCCGTCGTCGTCTTGGTTCTGTCGCTGGTCTTCATCTTCAGCGTTGTCGCTCTTCACAGTATGTGTCTTCTCTCGCGTGCCGAGATGTGGGCTGGGTTCGGGTTTGCTAACGCCTTCCTCTTTCCTCAGTTATCGCCAAGATCACTCGACGATTCTCTAGCTAAATAGGGGGGAGGCGAAAAACGGGGAAACTCGCCACGCGGAAACCAGTCCTGCAGCGACTGTGATCTGTTACGTTGTGCGATGGAAATCACGGCATGAGCGGGCAGGAGTGCTCTCATGAACTAATGGAAGCACCCTGTGCGGACGTGGAGAGATGGCTAGGATTTCAAAACCTGGTGTTGTTGGGGCTAGTGAGCAGCACCTAGTTGAGTGCTGTGGCCTCGGTTCGCGGGAACCTTGTTCCTCGCGTGGGCGAGCGAGCGGAAGGGGTTGCTTGCAATTTTATCTGCGTTGACGGGCTCTTTGTACGATATCCCGGGGTAGATCTAGAAAACAATGCAGTACTAGGTTCTCCTCAACTGTGCTTCTGGGCTCTGAGCTGGCACCTCGCCTCCTGGTTGCGTTGAACGCCAAGGGATCAGTGAGGTACGTCCACGGGTGACATGTGCTGCTGGTCGACAGGCAGCACTATTAAACATCCGGAGGATACGCAATCAGCTAACATGCCGGCCCCAATGCTAATAAGCATAAGGTGTTTATGATACTCGGCATGGCTCCTCTGGAAGAGGCTTAGTCGTCGCTCTGAGCAGTTAGGATATGGCCAAGTGCTTACGTCGCAGGGCGAGGCTGTCCGCTTCATGGGCTTTCTACGGTGGAGCGCAAGCTGCGCAACTGACAGGAGGCAGCACAGCCCGCCTGGCGCTACTTTGCATTGCGTGAGCGACTCGTCAGCACCTTAAGCTTGCTTGGGGTTGGGCCATAGCTCGCAACAGGCCGCCCTGTGAACTTGCTGATTCAGGCTTTCTCTTCAGGATTCTTGAGATACCTGGAGCTAGGTACAGCCACCAAGTTTCACGATCAGGGTAAATGTGCCGAATTCGCCCCTTCATTGATCAAATATGGTTTCCGGTCTATGATTGGGTCGTCCTATGTATGTCATAACTACACCGCACGACAGACAGATCGGCGGTTTATTGGGCGGAGGGAGGAGGCCGGTTTAGCTCGCGTTCTGAGCATCCTTTATTCGTTGGTTTCAGTGTTGGTTCCCAATCCCCCCGCGCATTTGCCCTGCAATCAGGGCCATGTGCGTGTGTCTAGGTACCTTATGTGTTACATCATTGCTCATTACCTCTTGCCTTTCGCCTCCCTCCGTGCCTATGGCCAAGTGTGTATCTCAACCACCACTCTCTACCTGCATTTGCCTACTCGCCTGCATCTCAACGCTGCTTTTCAATGAGGAGGATGCGAGTGCGAGCCCTTTCTCTCACGTCAACACTGCCTCGCCAAGAATTTTGAGTCTCTGGCCTGGCCTCTTGAATCCTCCCATCGGCCTTGTTGAGACAAGCCCGCTCTCGTTCCTTCGTTCGGGCAGGGGTTTCCCTCCTAGCTAAACTCTCCGTTTCTTTGAAAGATTGAGCACCACCTACCGGCATACCCACTTACTTGCTTTGGAACTCGTGTCTGGTTACCTATTTGATCCACTCTGCCAACTGCCGCATGAAGCTCTAGGCAAGCCTTCTCATCTTTGCCTTACATAAAGATCGCACCCGCGATCCTCTCCCAAGACCGCCACGGTCGATCGCAAGCCAAAAGCTCCCCGTCGCCAAGCCTCCCAGTCGCTATACCCTCGCGATGACGGCAGCTCCCCTCACTGGCGGCACGGACTCCCGCGAGGACGATGCCGACTCGCATCGTGCTCTAGTCACCGATGGCTTTGACCTGCCGCCCGATCTTGGCGGGCATTCAGAAGCGCCGCCGGCTTACAGCGAGCAGTACGATCAGATCCAGCTTGAACAATCCGGGTTTGCCGCTGGTGCTGTCGTAACAGGTAAGCAAGCTCACTGAGCTTGGAATTGCACTCCCAGGCTGTGTTTAGCTGACTCCCAAGGTAGGCGATGGCAGAGTCAACATCAACATCAACCAGACAAGTCGCAAATTCTCCGACTTGCTGACACCCGCCCTGCAATCGCAAGTCTACCCGCCTGAAAAGACTGCTATTCAGTCCCTGCCACCGCCATATATCCCACCCAGCCTAGGTGGGCGGCCTGGCCAGACTCCGCCGCCAAAGTTGAATGTAGTCATTCAGATTGTTGGCTCCAGAGGTGACGTACAGCCCTTTGTGGCACTCGGCAAAGTCTTGCAAGAGACCTATGGCCACCGTGTACGGCTGGCGACTCACGCAACGTTCCAGAAGTTTGTTGAAGAGAATGGCCTCGAGTTCTTCAGCATCGGCGGCGACCCTGCCGAGCTCATGGCCTTCATGGTCAAGAACCCAGGTCTGATGCCCGGCTTCGACGCCCTGAAGAGTGGAGAGGTCACCAAGCGTCGAACAGGTATCGAGCAGATCATTCTGGGATGCTGGCGGTCCTGCTTCGAGACGGGCACGGGTCTTGGCCCACCGCCAAAGCCTCACAAGAGGAACGAGCCGCTGGATGAGAGGAGCTTCACATTGCCGACGACGACAGATGATCGACCGTTCGTGGCGGATGTGATCATCGCAAACCCGCCCAGCTTCGCGCACATTCATATTGCCGAGAAGCTGGGCATTCCGCTGCACATGATGTTCACCATGCCTTGGTCGCCCACGCGGGCATTCCCACACCCGCTGGCCAATATTCAATCCACCAACACCGATGTGGTCATGACAAACTTTGTTTCGTACGCCATGGTCGAGATGATGACATGGCAAGGTCTGGGAGATGTCATCAACCGCTTTCGGACCAACGTCCTCGACTTGGAGCCGATGTCGCTGATCTGGGCGCCTGGCATCCTGAGCAGGCTGCACGTTCCCACCACATACTGCTGGTCACCCGCATTGATTCCGAAGCCAAACGACTGGAGCCGCGAGATTTCTATCGCTGGCTTCTACTTCCTCAATCTGGCCTCCAACTACACACCCGAGCCTGACCTGGCAGCTTTCCTCGCCGCTGGACCACCGCCTGTCTACATCGGCTTCGGTTCCATCGTTGTCGAAGACCCGAACAAGCTGACTCGGATGATCTTTGACGCGATCCAAGCCACTGGAGTCAGAGCGCTTGTGTCCAAAGGTTGGGGCGGTATCGGTGCTGATTCTGTGGGCATTCCCGATGGCGTCTTTATGCTGGGCAATTGCCCTCACGACTGGCTGTTTCAACACGTCTCGGCGGTTGTCCACCATGGCGGCGCGGGCACGAGTGCTGCGGGCATCAAGCTCGGCAAGCCCACAGTCGTGGTGCCCTTCTTTGGAGACCAGCCGTTCTGGGGCGCTATGATTGCGCGGGCAGGCGCCGGTCCCAACCCGATACCCTATGCAGAACTTACGGCAGAGAAGCTTGCAGGCGCCATCCAAGAGTGCCTCAAGCCCGAGATTCAGGCAAAGGCACAGGAGCTTGGAGAGAAGATTAGGGAGGAGAAGGGGACGGATGTGGGGGGCAAGAGTTTCCACGAGTTCCTGGACCTCGAAGCCATGAGGTGCTCGATCGCACCAAGTAGAGTGGCTGTCTGGCGGGTCCGGAGAACTCAGATTCGACTGAGCGCGCTGGCTGCTGCCGTTTTGGTGAAGGAGAAGCTGATCAAATACACGGATCTGAAGCCGTGGGTACCTATTCTACTACTGATCAAGTTTGCATTCGGCTGACATTGTTTTAGCTATCGCTCGAAGGAACACAACACGGACGAACAGCCCTGGGACCCGATCTCGGCCGTCACCGCGGCGCTCATTGGAGACGTGGGGAGTATTTCAATGGCCATCGCAGACTTCCCTCGAGAGATGTTCAAGAGAAGCGTGGCGATGAAGGACGAATGCAAGTCCAAAGGCTCTTCCTCTTCTACGGCCCGTGAGCCTGCGTCGGCCGTCACCTCAGAGACTGCCTCTGTTGACAATGCCGCGATGTCTGGTGCTCTCCCCCGTTCGGACAGCGTTAGCGTCTCGGATGGAGCCAGCCTATCCACGCATCAGTCTCATCCTTCTCTAACTATCAGTGCTCCTGAGCACGTTTCCGTTTCCGAACCAGCCTCCGCCTCCGCAGCGGCTTCCTCCGAGAACCTTACTACCACGACGAGCGCCGACCGACCTCTTACGCCTTCGTCTCTAAAGGGCAAGTTGCCGAGTCGCAGTACTTCCCCGAACCCCGGCCCCTCTGGCCTGAACCTCGAGAATGCCCTTGATGCTAGCAAAGGCGTGGGCAGGATCGTCACCACTGGAGTCAGGAGTCCTCTTAACTTCTGTATGGGCCTCGCACGCGGCTTCCGGAACGCGCCAAAGCTGTATAACGATGACACCGTCCGGCCTCCGGAAAAGGTCACGGATCTTGCCAGTGGGCTCAAGCTTGCGGGCAAGGAATTTGGCCTGGGGCTGTACGACGGCATATCCGGCCTTGTGACACAACCAATTCGCGGTGCTGAGAAGGAGGGCGCGGCAGGCCTCATCAAAGGCTTCGGGAAAGGTATTGGCGGATTGGTGTTCAAACCTGCTGCTGGTATGTTGCGCTGTTTCGTGATATCTTCCCTTGGTGAGTGGTGGCAGAACTAATTGCGTGTCATTAGGGTTCTGGTCTCTTCCGGCCTACGCCATGAAAGGCGTGGACGCCCAGATCAGGAGCTTCTTCAGCAAGAGTGTGCTCAACTACATCATAACCTCGCGAGCTTTGCAGGGAATGGAGGAGCTGCAGTCTGCAACGGAAGAAGAGCAGCAGGACATTGTCGCACGATGGGGCGTCAGGAGGAAGGAGCTGAAAGGCTTCTACCACCTCAAGCAGAAGGAGAAGGGCAAGGGCAAGGCAAAAGAGAACGATCAGGGAGACGACAGCAGCGTGACTCCTCCGGCTACACCTTTCAGTCCAGATGACGCGGGCACAGCTACATCACCGCAGGGCAGAACAAGCTGGTTCCATACCCGCAACATGTCATTCGACGAACGCAGGATAGGGCACTCTATGCGAGAAGCATGGAGGGCTCGAAGGTCGGGGACGTCTTCGCCCACTCGTAGCCACCACCGAACCGGGAGTTTCTACACTGCCGACGAGCACGACGAGTTTGAGAAGGCCATCAGAGACTCGGTCCGACAGACTTCGAGGGGCAACCCCGAAGAGGACGCCAGGGTGGAGGAAGCAATCCGTGCGAGTGTCCTGCAGATGCAGCGAATCGCGGAGACGAGCACAATCGGTAGCAGCCGGCCATCGACTCGGGACGACTTCACCCTGTATAGTGCCCCTAGTACGGCCACTTCTGTCAGCGAGCTGCCCACGCACGCCCAGGTCGTTGCCGAGTTGCCAACTCCCGAGCAGCTCAAGCGTGGTCCCGAGCCAGTGACTGGTGATATCACGGACGAGGAGTACCAGGCCCTCATCGAAGAGGCCGTACGGAGGAGCGTGATGGAGAACACGGCTCAGGGCCGCGGAAGAGATGATGACGATGGCGCGGACAATGAGCAACTGCGCCGAGCGATGGAGGAGTCGGGCCGACACCAGGCCACTCGGGGACACGAGGACGACGAGGCGCTCCGACGGGCGATCGCAGAGTCGCAGAAACACCACCAGCAAGCCAGCGCAGCCGGCGCCGAGGCCGACGAGGAGCTGAAGCGGGCCCTGGCCGAGTCGGAGAAGGTGCACAAGGAGCGGGAGCGGGAGCGGACCGAGGAGGAGATCGTGCTCGAGTACATCAAGAAACAGAGCTTGGCTGAGGAGGAGCACCGCCAGAGGCTGGAGAAGGCGAAGGGGAAGATGGCCAGCAAGAGCGGCGACGGCGACGACGGCGAGGAGGAGGAGCTCAGGCGGGCGATGGAGGAGAGTCTGAAAACGAAACTTGGGGGAGGTGGAGGTGGTGGCGGTAGTGGAGGAGAGGGAAGTGGTGGCGGCGCCGGCGGTAGCGGCGGAGGGTCCTCTATGTTTCACCCGGCCGGCCGGGCTGAGCTTCCTTGAAGTTTTTTTTGGTCATTTGCATGAGCGCGAGGAGGGGATACATATATACCCAGGTTTTCACTTTGTATGTTCCTCATGGGTTTTGAGCGAGGAGGTGTGTCACACATACGAAGAGAGATACGAATGCATGAGACTGATGTATACGACTCGCTGGTTGGCCCAATTTCATGACGTGCAATGAGTGAGCAAGGAGGAAGTCTCGTAGCTGGTACACGAACTGGAGAGAGAGAGCGAGGTTCTGTTGAAGACCAGCATTTTGATAATTGCTTAATAACACTTTAGCAATGCTCTACTACTTCGACAAGCATCAGAAGTCATCTTGGTGATATTGGACGGGCTGTAAATGCGGCAGGCCGCCTAATCTTCGGAACAGCAGCAGAAGCTCCAGCGGGAAGTGCCTAGCGCACCCCACCAATCCATGGATGCTAGCACTCTATCTCGACATCCACCCTGCCTCAAGACGCGACAAGCGTGATATGATGCAACGGGCTTCTACAGCACATGTAGAAACAGACGTCTACCCAGTATCCTTTCTCTGTATCTCTCTGCCGATCAGCAAGATCATACATGTTGCTTGCATATAGCTCCCAAACAAGAAGCCCACCTAGTCGCGATCCAACAAAAAACACTCCGGCGGCACACCTTTTGAGCTTTCTTCGCTCGCCCAGCGCACTGCGTCGAACCGCCCTCTTCTCCCCCCTCCCACCCACACCCTCCGGTGCCTGAACACGCCGCATTCAACTCACACAAAGACAAAGCGACACATTCATTGACCTACCACAAAGCATGCTCCGCCGGCCGCCCACGACCCTGGCCATCACGGCCGAGGACGTAGCCGCCTACGAGGACCGCGCCGAGCGCCGCGCCCTCGCGCAGCAGCACCACCAACAGCTCCAGCAGCACCACCACCACCACCACCAGCAACAACGACAGCAGCAGCAAATGCCCCTCTCCTCCGATGACGACGAGCCCGTCGGCGACTACGAGCTAGACTACGAGGAAGAAGAAGGGGAAGAGGAGACGGAGGAGGAGGCCGCGCGCCGCCACTACCAGCACCAGAACGGCGGAGGCGGCATGATGGCGATGATGATGGCCGTCGACGAGCACCACCACCAGGAGTACCAGCACCAGCACCAGCCGTCGCCGCCGCACGCGCAGGTCGTGCAGCACAACCGCGAGGTGCGGCAGCGCCTGCAGCAGCGGATCTACGGGGACGGCGCCGCGGGGCCGCACCGGCCGCAGCAGCAGGCGCAGCAGCAGCAGCAGCAACAACAACACGCGAGGCAGCAGCAGGGCGGGCATGCGCGGGCCGGGCCGGAAGCGACCCGGGCGACGAGGAGCCGCGACGAGAGGATCACGGGCGCTCCGAGCGGTGCTGGTACTGGTGCTGGCGGCGCGGCGGGGAGGAGACGCGGCTGAGAGCTTCCGTCCTATCCAAGTGGGCAACTGATTCTGGGCATGCATACATTCATACTACGGCGTTTGGTTCCCGTCCTCCCGCCCTTCTGGGGACGGCTTGTGTCTACCTGCCCATCTGGCTGGCTACTGAGTGCATGAGGGATTGTTTGGACTGGATCGGGTGCATTGGGCTTTACTACCTGAATAACAAGGGCGGCGTATCGTCGGGAGTGGCATCATCATGGTTTGGGTTACAAAACGGCGTGTAGAAAGGCCATATCTCGGACAGTGGGAACATGGCATCTTGACTTGGGTAACTGCGGAATCTAGGGTATCAAAATGCGAACAGTTGTTCCTTCTCCGCCTTGTCATTGCCTACTAGGGGCTTGTCATCGTAACTCTGCTCTCTTCATTGTTCATTCTTGATCCCCTCCGTCCCCTGGGAAGCAGAAACTTGGTCACTCAACGCGACTCTCACATGATCGAAAAGGACAAAAGAATACACAAAATGCAGCTGTGCAGGATCTCGATTTCATCCGATCTAATGCCAGCGCAGCACCAAACGCCAAGCAAATGAGCAAATGCTTCTGGGGGCGATGTCATCACGCATCCATCCCCTTCTTCCCTCTCACAATCTAACCTGAAATACCGTATTCTTACACATACAAACACACACACACATACCCCATCCCTTTCTCACCCTGAACCATTTCCCCCCAACACCTTTACGGCTTAGGTGCCTTGGGCTTGAACTTGATCTTGAGTAGCGTCTTGGGCTTCGGCGTCTCGGCGGGCGGCGAAGCAGACGGAGGAGGCGCCGGGTGTGCCGCGGGGGCTGCCGCCGCAACCGACCCGTTACTCGCCGGGCCAGCCGTAGGCGGCGCTCCCGTAGGCAACGGCCTGCGGGCAGGCTTGGGGGCGCCGGCGCCCACGCTGGGGCTGCGAGCGGCGTTCGCGCCACCCGACGCAGACGGCGACATGGACGAAGGCCCCGACCTGGCCGCCAGGGACGCCGGGCCCGCAGCGCGGATCGAGTCGCTGCTGTGCACGGACGAGGCCCGCGGCGAGGGCGACACCGACGACGACTCGATCCAGCGTCGCGTGTTCTCGGGCAGGTTCCTCTGGTAGCCGGGGGGCAGCTGGAGCTTGACGAGCTTCCTGGGGCGTTTGGACTCGGCGTGCGCGTCGTCGGCCTTGCGCTTGTTCGACGACGACGACGTCGCCGCCTTGGGCGGGCGCGCCGTGATGTCGGCCGTCGCGCTGGAAGGCGGTGCGGCAGCGGACAGGCCAACGCTGGGCGGAGGAGCCGGCCGAGACGTGGGCAGCGCCGCTCGCTGGGCGGGCTGCACGGATATGGAGTCGATAGCCGGGGCAGAGGCCGATGAGGGCAGCGCCGTACGAGCTGCAGTTGGGGCTGGCGAAGCCTGCGGAAGCGCGCCGAGAGAGGATCTGCTCGATTGAAGCTTGATCCTGTTTCCTGCGGGCTTCTTGGGCTCAGACGGCGGCGGAGGCGACATGACGGAGGGGCGAGCCTCAACGACCGGTGCAGGAGGCAAAGCTGCCGCCGGGGCCGCAGGCGGCGGGGGCGGAGGAGCCTCACGAAGCGGCCGCGGCACAGCCTTGAAGTTCAGTATCAGACGCGGTGCCGTTCCGACACACTCAACCTTCCACATGGTAGGATGCGTGACAGTGACGACAAAGTTGCTCTCGCCCTCGAACAGCACATCGCAGAGCTCGAGAAGGTTGCGTTTCTCGACGCAGCCGATTACGGGCGAGTTCACAGCCTTCCACATCGCCGCTCTGAATTGCTTGTTATCCTTGACCTGCTCTCTGAGAGCAGCGGCGGATACCATGATGTCTGCCTTCCGCGCCACATCGGCCTTCTTGTGTTCGATAATCGAGTCGGCTTGCTGGACTACCAGGGCGCCATCCTCCGGTGGTGCCTGACGCTCGGGTTGTGACGGCTCGCCGGCTTCACCGAAGGCAATGCTGGCCAGTCCTTGACAGAAGAGCTTGAACAGACTGTCTCGCATGAAGGGCGAGCTAGATGTGGTCATGACCGAGAGTAGCAGCCCGAGCACCGCTGGCTTCAGGATGAGGCCAAGCTCTATCAGTGCCTCGAATGCTGTGATGCGGACCAGGTCGAGGGTGCCGTCATGCAGGTACTGCATGAAGTCAAGTGGCGAGGTGGGGATGACGCCGGCCTTCATCAACGTTTTCTTGCATCTCAGCGCGGCAATGGTCCAGATGTTGTGGTATGAAGCCGTCCATTCGTCCATCCTGCGGTATCGCTCAATCTCCTCCAGCGCCTGGTCAAGAAGCTGCTTGCCCTCTGTGTCAACCATGGTTTCATCGTCCTCTATCTCGAGCTCGCCCTCTCCGTCCGAGTCGAAGCTGAAGGACATCTCGGCCTGCTTCTTAGGCGCCGAGTGGGAAGAGGTAAGACTCGTAGCCAGCGCCTCCAAAAGACTAGCCACGTAGAAGTGGTCAGAATAGATATTGTTATTGTTGTTGTTGAATTGCAGTTGCTCCAACAAGAATCGCTGTGCCTCGCGAGGGTGCTTGTCCTCAAACTGGACCTTTGAGATGGCTTTGGGAATCGCAAGTTGGACCATATACTGCCGCTTGTCCGCAAAGTTGTTGGGACGTGGGGTGTTGCTATCGGGGTAGCAGAAAAACGTCCGGAACACGCGAATCAACTGGTCAAGACCCCGAAAGTCAACATCGGGGTCGGCACTGTTCTTCCAGCACTGCCTGGATAGGATATCTGCAGCCATAGTTCGGAGGCCGTGAAAGTATCGATCGTCATACAGAGTCCTCGTCAGGACCGTAGCAGCGATAGGGTGAGCCTGGATTCGGCTCAGATAGACGAGAGTGTCCTGCTGCGCAGCGACGTCCCGATCCTGCTGCAACTGCGAAGTGTACATCCAAGGAGAAAAGTTGGCCTTGCCGTCAAATATCCATTCGAAATCCGAGTCAATTCTTATCCACTCGTAGGAATCATTCTCCATCGCTTTCTCGTCAGTCTCGGACCAGTCAGCGAGCTTCCAAGCCAACATCTCCTCTGGAGTGTCGAGCCTGTCTCCAAGCGAGAATACGATGGCGTCTTCTTGATTCTCGCCGCTTGGATCGGCAAGGGCCGCGGCAGTAGCGCGCTCCTTGTTCTTCTTGTTCCTCTTAAGGCGTTTGTACTTTGTGTTGTAGGGGATGTCGAATTTGACACCGCGTCCTGCGTCCTCGCGGATGTCTACAATGTGTTCATAGGGGGTGCCGTTTGCTTCGTGAATCCGGATGGTCATGGATCCAGTGAACAGCAAAGGGATGTTCTGTACGGGCACACGCTGCCGCTTTTCCAGGAGCTCACGAAAGAAGGTATCTTTCTGGAGGGGCCGCGATTTCCGTTCCGTGTCCTGCTTCTCATGGATGGTCACCTCGACGCAGAGTCGTTTCTTGTTGAATCTCTGTTTGATCTCGAGGTACGGCAGACCAGCACCCTGAACAAACTGTGCCCAGAAGTTCTCGAGTTTCGAGGACTGGCTCGAGGCTGTTCTGTCACAGAGCTTCTGAAAGGATTCAGATGATATGATTTCGTTCTTGATGTCGCCATAGACGGACGTGTTGGCTTTGCTGATGATTCTGGATATGGCACGGGCGAGACTAGCGCCGGCAGAGCCAGCAGCCTTGGTCATCCGCTTGTCCAAGATGAAGAGCACCAGGGGAGCCTTGAGAGCCATGAACTCCATCTGGGAGTCTCCTAGGTATAGAAAAGTGCCCAGATCATGAAGCGATGGGCGTTTGATGTCATCTTTTAGTAGCCGGTCTGCCATGGTCTTGATTCGGAAGCGGTAATCGTTATTTCCACAGAGCCGAGCCAAGAACAAGTCGGTCATATAGTACGAGATGCCCACGGTGAGCCAGATATCCGTGCGCTGGTTTGGCACGATATAAACGCCGAAATATTGGCAGGCTAGAGAGTGAACCAGAGTCCTCGTCACGTCGATCTCGGTGTCGATGATCCCTTCGGGGAAGAGTAACCTCGTGCTGCAGAGCGAGAACGAGAGCAGGGGTACTGTGTCCGCAACCATGTCCTCGACGAAACATACTTTGTAACTGTCGTAAGGGTATCGTCCATAGGTCATGGCGAACTCGTCCGCAGCCGCAGCCAAGGCTTCACAAGAGTTGCGCACCTCGTCTTCTCGCCCGGGAAGACAGTATCCGTGAATCTTGAGAGCGCTGGCGCCGAGCTTCTCGTCGTCTTCTTCGGAGCGGAACTCGGAGAACAGATCCACGTGCTCGAAAGGGCCGACAGCGAAGCCGACGTGCTGGGGAGCAGCAGGGTGTTCGGTAATGTCAAAGGACATGATCTTCTTGGTGTCGTCGTCCTCATCCACCTTCTCCCCAATGAGAACTCCTGAGCACACAACAGTCATGTCCAGTAATTTGTCTTCTTCTGTCATGGCGACATCGCGACTCGAGCGCGGCTTGGGCGGGCGGCTTGAGTTCTTCGAAGTGGGTTGCGAAGCGAGGGGCTGCCTCAAGGCATCGGCAAGAGTCCGCGGGCATTTGACATGGATCTTCCAGGTGCATCGCATGCCGGGGTCGTCGACGCACGGAAAGATGCAAGAGGCGATTCCCGGCTCGTAGGAATGGCGGGTGTAGACATGTGGGTAGCGAGCGTCGTAGTCTTCGACGCCCACAAACTGAAGGCCATCTCGAATGTGGCTGGCGTGAAACGGTATGACGATCTCGTATACGCCCTCTCGGTCGATGAATGCATTGTTCAATACTCGAATCCGCGGTCCACTGCTGCCTTGAGATTGTAGAGAAGAAGCCTCTCGAAGCGATATTCGCAGGGCACCGTCCGCCGGTGAACAGCCCACCGATTCCCTATTCTCCAAGGCAAGATCTTTCCGGGGTCGTGGCAAGAGCGATCGCATGCGCTCTCTCAGAACCGTGTGATGTGCTGGCGTCAAATCATACTCCTTGGGGACGTCGAGAGCTTCGTAGGGGTCGCGGTAGGTCACAGAGGCCGGCTTCTTGCCGTTGACTGTGATCCTGTCGAGAGCGATCTCAAACTGACGGGCGTCGAGTGCGACTTCTTCTGGCTGGTCGTCGCGGTCGAGGCAGAAGATTCTGAGCCTTGTCTCGCCCGAAATGCTGCGCTGTTGAAAATCAACCTCGACCGACACCTCCTGGTTGATTACCAGAAACTTCTGAACGCTTCCTCGCTCCTCCAGAGGCGATGGCTCGTGAGCCTCGAGTGATGGCTCATCCACGGTACCAGGCATCTCCAGCGCCTGCTCTCGGTAGAGCGCGTGCTATGCTGTGGCGATTGAAGGCTGATACCGCGTGGTATCGCGGGATCATGTCAATAGCCACACATAGGGTCAGGCAGGGAGAAATGCCTTTGTATTAAATATAGTGAGGCAAACAAAGGCAATGCTAAGCAAGTTAGAGAAGGTTAAGCAATACCAGTGAGAGCAGACCCATGGTTGCGATCGCTGGCGCACGGACCACCAATCGTCTCTATTGTACATGCCTTCTATTGCGACTGAATAGCTTAGGGCGATTGTGACGCGCTATTGATAGGAAGTTCACTGTTATGGGGCTTCAGCTTCAGCGGGGCTCTTGGCCCATCAGGTACCTAGGTACACTCATGAACAGAGAGCCAGGGAGCTGGAGCTCAGCTTTTGTAAGATCCAAAAAGCTCCCCAAATTAGCTTGAAGCTTTGCAGAAGATTGAGAACATGCATTCATTTTCTTGCGAACTACAGGACTGCAGATGCACATAGGTCGCAGACTAGGGGTATTGGCTTTTACCGATATTTTTATTTTACTTATTCCTCTTGATGCTACCAAAGCAGTACATAAACTCCGCTTCTTGGGGGTATATTCTGATCCGGATCCCATAGGCATGACTCCCACTTCCAGGAGTTTCTACCATCCAGCTAGGCATGTGAACCCACAAACCAACCAATAACGCCAGGCCATGGATGTACAAGTCGTCTTTCTTTTTCTTTAACAAAAAAAACAGTCAAAGTGCCCGAGAGCTCCAGGAAGAGAAAGAGACACCGGCATGCAACCCCATCTGACCGAGTCGAGTACCATAAAACCTTCCACACTCAAACGCCGTGCTGCTCAGTAGTTTTCTACCCACCGAACGATGACAACTACGTCACCGTGATGCCAACAAGATATCTTCAAGGTTTGCCCACACCTCGCCTGTCTCGTCGCTTCCGCCTGGCCTGTGACCTGAGGGTCTCTACGTCTCGAAACTCCTCGGGCAGGTCGAAGTCTGCCTCAGGTGGCTCCGGTACCGGATGGCCCCAAGCCAGCACAGTCCTGCCTTTCCTGCGGCTTTTACTCAGAGCTGCATCCCTCTGGTATTTCTTTTCGAAAAAGGAAGTGAACTCTCGAGGTGGCGGTGGCGGCTCCGGGGTTGGTAGCCGGGCAGGAGGGGCTTTGCGCTGCTTTGAATTCTTGCCGTCTGATTTCGACGACGCCATCAGGATGTCGTTACGCAGCTGTTTTTCGATATGGGCATCAACATCGCTGTTCTCGCGGGAATCGCCATCACTGGTCCGGTCGCTGCTCGTTCGCGAACTCTGGTCGGTCTCGCGGCCCGCGCTGCTTGGGTTTGTCTCGCTGTCATCGTCCTCGCTCTCCGCTTCGTGCTCCTCCTCACTCTCCTCTTCTTCAGAGTCCTTGCTCGATTCCTTTTCTCTGGCCCGTGCTTCTTCGGCCAATGCGCGTTCCTTTTCGAGTTTCCTGCGCTTCTCTTCTTGGCTCCATAGCCTGAACTTCTCCAAGATGGCCTTGCATCCCTTGATGAAATGGGCCCTCGCCGGTTCAAACGTCTTCTTTCTGCTCTCTGTGATGCCGCTGACACCCATGGTCCTCAGCCAGTCATGGCCTTGGAGCCCCTCGAGCAGGCGGATGATCTGATCCTTCTCATGTTGAGCACGTCCCTTCTCCGAGTTCCGAATCGATCTCTCCAGGCGCTCTGCCTTCTTGTGCGCCGGTTCAAAGTATGAATCCGGTAGGGGGTCGTTTGGGGTCCTGCCCTTGTATTGGGTCTCGAGAAAGCCAAAGTTGATGACTTGCGCATCGAATAGATCGGTGAAGAGGGCGTCGCGGTAGCCTCTCACAGGCCACTTATCGTAGGAGTGGGGTGCGTAATTTTGGCCCCTAGCTGTCGAGCCGTGCGGGGGAATGTGCCCCTTGGAGTCAGGAAGTGGCTGACCTGCGACGACGACGATCGGCGTCTCGATGTTCAGGATATCTAGAAAAAAAAAATAGGTAAGGCGCGTTAGCTTGAGTTGATGACGACACCACAATTTTGCAATTGTGGAAGAGGAAACGAGGGAGATGGTGTGCTCACGTTCTTCCTTGGGATCGTTCCCGATTACCTCATCGTAGTCGGGGAAATAGGCGGACAGCTCGCTCTTGAAGCGCGTCGCTTCTTGCGACCGCAGCTTGCGGCCCTGTTCCTTGATCTCAGGCGCTGACGGCTGGAGCTCCTTGAGTTCGTGCTTGAGGCCCTTGATGACCTTTTCCTGGTGTTTGGTGCTGGCTGGCTGCTCAGCCTCGACAGCTCGGTTGGGCTTGGCGGTGGTTTTGTTGCCTGTAGCCGCAAGGGATGTGGGCTTGTTGACAGCAGGCACTTCAGCACGGGCAGCCGCATTTGTCGGCGGAGCCTTCTCCGTCTTACGGGCGCTCTTTGCGAGCAATTCGATACTGATCCGTGCCTTCTTGGATGTGATGGGATCTAGGTCGGAGTCCGACACCTCGCGGGCCCGTTTGGCGTTTTGTACGGTGTTATGGAGGATATTTTGACGCGACGATGCCGCGGTGGCGATAGGCATCCGTCGCTGGGGTTGCGACCGGTGGTGACGCGGTGAGTGCAGGTGGTTCTGGAAGGGGGAAGAGACTTCAGCCCTTCTAGAACGAACGATGGAGGCCGCCATTGCCAATTGAGGGCAATGCGATCATGATGCACCGATCGCCGTTGATGGAAATCTGTTGCACGAGGGCAGTCCGATGTTTGTGGTGTTGTGTCGACAACCTGTTGATTTTTTTCGTCTTGCTTCCTCCCCCGATTTCTAGTGGTGTTTGTGGGTGTGTGGGTGGCTGTCTTGGTGCTGTCTCCAGTTAGCTACGCTGGGTGTTTTGACCTCCTGGTCAGCGCTAGACTCTGGTAACGTCCCTCCAGAATGCCGTCACGTGGAGACCTCAGAGTGGTCGTTTTATAGCGGCCTTTAGGTGGTTATTGGGCGGCTTATAGGCAATGAGCCTGCTGTAGGCTCGTCTGAAAGATGATGCATTGATCGCTATAAATAAGCACTGTAACTCAAAGAGACGTTTCCAGCTCTTCCCTCTGGAATTGAATTCAACCATTCAAACCCTCCTTTACTCAATCTTCACAATAGATGCTTTTAATCAATTGGCTTCAATTCACATCAACAACCACTTTCCTCTTTGAAACTTGAATTGGTTCGCAGTTTGACTAAACAATCAGCACCATTGTCCAAACATTTTCATAGCCATCTGGAATTTAATCTAAAGGGTATCAGGTATTACATTACCGCTGCAATCGTTACCGTTATGAAGAAGCAAATGACGTTCAACAATCACTTATACGTAGCCTCCTCGCTCCCCTTCTGTCCTTCAGGCTCTCTAGGGGTCACGCGTAGCTTCTGCAACACCTGCACTCCCAGACGGTTCTCCTCCCTCTCCTTCTCTTCTCTCTTCCTCTCCTCTTCCAGAAACTCCCTCTCCTTTGCCGCGCTCTCGCTCTTGTCCATTTCCTCTTCCTCTCTCCGCTTGACCTCTTCCGGTGCGATAATCTTGTCCCTCCTATGTGTGATCTTTCGTACCAGATCCTTCCCCTTCCGTCTGGACTTGACGTAGGCTTCAAGGCCGACAAGCACTGCGTAGGACTTGGAGATCGAGACGTGGCTCATGTCGACGCCTTCCTCTTTGAGCGACTTGACAAAGGCTCTGAAATTCGACGCCGGCGGCCGGTAATGGCCACTCAACGGCGACAGAGAGGTGAGTCTGCCGTTTTTAATCTTGATGAGGCCTGCTGCGGATATGCGAGAACCCTGGAGAAACGAGGAGTGCTGGAAGGCGCCCGAGTTCTTGATCCCCACGTACAACCGAAAGCTCGTGTCGGCGACAAAAATCCAGGTGTTCTTCTTGACAGACTTCCTAAGCAGCTTGTTGAAGATGGTTGAAGCCGAGACGTGCTTGACCTTTTTAACGCCCTTGGCCTGATCCATGCCCGGGTTGGCATATTTGGCAGCCCGCGCCGCCTCCAGCTCGGATTCTGAAGCCTCGTCTTCGTCCTCGCTGTCACTTTCACCGCTGCTGGTGTCTCCCAGAAGGCGAGTCTCGTTTGTCGAGTACGACTGAAACGCTGGCGTAGGATCATCCGCGGGTACGATGCCGTGTATGCTGTCCTTCCACTGCTCTGTGGTGTCTATCCTTGCTCCGTTTTTCGACCAACACAGACGGCCGTCCTCGTCCACCTTGACCAAGTAGTACTGCCGCTCCTCGCGGGAGAGATAACGCACTTGCTCTCTGTCCAGCCGCTCTCGCGGGCATGCCTCTATGTCGACATTCCTCCCTTCACCGTAGTCGAGCCAGTAGAAGAAGTTCTCGTGAGTGTCTGCCCTTTTCCATTCCTCGTGATAGGTTCGCAGATTAGACCCGTAGCGGTGTTTCAAATCGACCATTTCGAGGAAGTATTGCAGGCCCATCATCTTGGAGTCCTTCTTGCGCTTTTCTCTGGCTTCTTGGCGAAGCTTCTTCATCTCTGCCTTGTGCTCGGACGCCTCGCTGCCGGTAGTGTCTGATGACTCCGAGTTCGAATCAGAGTCGGATGAGGAATTCTCATCGGTCGTCGCCCTCTTGGCAATGATCGCGGCCTTCTTCCAATTTTGCCTGGCCGCAGTCGAGGACCGGCTTGGGGAGTCGCTCGCCGGCCCGCCCTCGCCCTCCAAGCTTGGCCGAGACAGTACACTGACAACACCGCCCTCGCCGAGCTCTGACCTCGCCCTCGGCCTGGTCATTTCGCGAAACTGGGCTTCGCGCAGCGCATGAGTCCAGCGCGTTGTCGCGTTGACGCCGAGTCCCTTCATTTCCCTGCGCACCCGGTACCCCCGATAGGTCCTCTGGATCAGCGATGCGGCCTTTTGACGGACGCCTTGCTCGTCATCGCTCATGTTGCCCTTCGGCAACCTCAGCAAGGATGACAAGCTTCCATGTCTCCCATGCCGATTCTGGCCTCCCACCCTTGTCGATGCGACGACCGGTGCAGAGGCCGAGGCCGAGGCAGAAACAGAGGCGGCCCCAGAGGCGGCGGCGCTCACTTTGAGCTGGGCATCGCGGGATCGCTGTCGCTTGTGCTCGACCTCGCGCGATCGCTGGACCTCGGCGATGCGCTGCATCTCCTCGCTCGAGGGCACGACCAGGGAGTCCATGTATTCCTTCTTGCGCGACTGCGACAGAGTCGAGCGCGCATCCGTGCTGTCGAGAGAGGTCCTCGAGCCGGGTGCGCTGCTCGAGGGCCGCCGTTCATGTTGTTTTGGACTCTTTGGCGGGGTCGAGGGTTTGGCGGGGGCCGGCGATGACGTCGAGAGCCCGGCGCCGTTGGCTGCGCTGGAACCGGCCGGCAGCTGGGCCTCCTGCTGCTCCTCTCCTCGTTGTCTGGTGCTCATAGCATCAAGGGCAATGCGCAAAATACAAATACATAACGGCCCACAAGGCAAGAACGGCAAAGGCCAAGCGATTTGGAGTTTGCGAGAAGGGTGTCTATTAAAGACTTGGTGGCGCTCAACTCGTCTGCTGAACAGGAAAAGCAGGCAGACTAATAAACCGAGCTGATCTTAGTAGCAGCGACTGGACGGCCAAGTTGGTTGGGTACATCGTACAGACCGGCAGTGGGTGCCGAAGCGTAATCCACTCGGCTCGGAGGCTGGCTTGGACTCATTCGGCCAGCTCCGAGAAAGCTTGCGCTTCAGGGCGCAGCAGCACCCTATTCTTTGCGAGCTGCTCTTTTTAGCACTTCTGTGGATGCGAGCATGGCTGCATTCTGGTCCGACATGTTGGGGGAAGTGCCCCGAGGCCGCTGGCGGTGGCATGGGAATCTCCACCGTGGCTGAGCGACTTTACCTGTAGGTTCAGTGGATGGGGCCTCCAAATAGCTTGAACCGTTGTGTACATATGCATACGACATTTATACGAGTCCTCGAATTGCATCATTCAAGTATCGCGAAGAAAGAAACCCGATTGCATATCGGTGCCGTTTCCCCATATTGTAGATAACGGGATGAGTCCTGTAATGTTATTACTGGGATTAGGTAACTGCGGCCTACGGTCTCAACGATACCTGTGCCGATCACGACCCTGGAACGAATCTCTTGTGGCCTCGATCCGTGACGGGCGGTGGTTGAATGAACCGTCCAATTTTCTGACAAATTCCGACTTCATTCATCGGGTGCATGTTAATTGACACTTGACCATTCCATCCATAATTCTCCAGCGACACACTACCTACATTACCTTAATCGCATTCCCCACGCTAAACAGTATCGCCCTCCAGTAATCTTATGAATCTGTGTCCACTGTCTTGACTGTCTACACGCAATCGTCTAACCAAACACGGGTTCATCCGACAAATCCCCAGCACGGGGGATACAAGTACTTCCCCAGAAAAACATCGACACCACCAGCGTTTCAAGAAAGCACCCGGCCGGCCACGCGGAACCCAGACTCTGCACACCCACGGTCCATGCCCCGAGCGCATGCCTCGCATGGCTGAATGGCGGCGGAGGCAGACCACAAACACCCACGTCAGAACGGCGGCTTGAACGGCGGCGGCGGCGGCGGCGGCGGCGGCGCAAACAGCAAGCACCCTTCCCTGTCGCACGTCCTCCCACCACCACCCCCGGAGCCCACGCGGGCCGCGCTCTTCGACGACGAGTATGACATACTGAGCGGCGCGCCCAGGCCGGCGCGAGACGACGACGGCGCCAGCGGCGCGTCGTCCTCGCCGCCCGTGACGTCGCCCGTCATGCAGCCGCCGTACTGGACCCAGTCGCACAGCCGCACCGTCTCCAACCTGTCGACCGACAGCGTGCTGCCCGTCGGGGCCATCACGCTCCAGGACAACGAGGACGAGAGCGGCCACGCGCGGGACGGCGGGCTGGGCCGGGACAGGAACAGGGCCTGCTGGGCGAAGAGCGTCGAGGTCACAGACTACGTCGTCGTCAACGGCAGCGCCACCAACATTGGCGCGTTTGTCGTCTGGAACATCAGGGTTGAGACGTTGACGGTAAGTCCCTTGGGGCCGTGGGCGCATAGCAGGGCATTGAGCCTCGACTGACGCGATTCGCCCACTAGGGCTCGTACATCAACATAAGAAAGCGGTACTCTGAGTTCGACGAGCTCAGGTACGAGTTGGTGCAGACTTTCCCCGGCTTCGAGGCGGCAGTCCCAACGCTCCCTCCGAAGAGTGTTATATCAAAGTTCCGGCCAAAGTTTCTTGAGAAGAGGAGAGCTGGCCTGCAATACTTTCTAAAGTGAGCCTTTCCTGGGCACCTGATCGAAATCTAGTGTCAAGAACTGACAAAGCCTGCCCTTAGTTGTATATTATTGAATCCAGAATTTTCGGGGTCCCCTGTTTTGAAGGAGTTCTTATTCTCATGAGCGACGTCTCTTGGTTTATTGCATAGTAATACGAGGCTCGCCATGAATAACACGAGGCACAAGATGGACGGGCTAGCATAATCACAACAACAGCGACAATGTTTTCTTCTTTTCGACTTCAGACCTGGTCTGGCCATATGCTACAATCTGCTCAATAATAGGCAAAGAGCTGCTCGACTTGCGACACCCCGCTTCTTCGTGGTCAGTCGAGAGGGCAACGCGCTCAGGGAATCACTTTTAATAAATAATGAAAAAATACTTTTGATATGGTCATTACAGGCTGAGTGCATCTTGTCAGTCCCTTGTACCCTGCAAAACCCATCCATACTCATGTATATTAAAATGCTTCTCTTCTGGTCTAGCAGACAGACCAAACCTCTCTATGAACAGCTCGGAAGCTGCAACAATGCAAATGTAATTCTGGACAATCTCCACAACGCCAGTATCCCAGTAATGCAGAAAATGCAAAATGCTTTTGAACACCTCGGAGGTGTCGGGGACGAGATGGGCCTCGAGCACGCAAGCCCAACCCCTCGTGCACGCTCGTAACTCTGCCGTACTGTCACGCCCAGTCAGAGATCCACGTACAGTCACCAGTCACCGCCGGTGAGCTTCCAACCCCGCCGAGAACCAAGATTCAGGCTGGCGGCTGTGTTTTTCGCGGACTAGTCGCCTCTTCCCAGCGCAGATGGCAGCTCATCTCGATTCTCTGTTTTACGCTTTCTTCTTGCCGTTCGCGACCCCGTTGGCAGCCGCCTGGTGGAGCCTCTTGTTCTCCATCTGCTTGTCGTACGGTATCGTCAGGGCGTTGATGCCGAGGAAGTTGCAGATGCTCGTGATCACCAGGTATGCCCACCGGAAGTAGACGGCCATGGCAAAGAAGAAATAGGCCCAGAGGTAGTACAGCTCGTTCTGGGCGCTGATGGGCTCGAAACCGAAGCGTGGCAGGTTCGCCAGGATGGCTCCGCCTACGAGGGGAGTGAGCATGACGGTCCAGTAGGGGAAAGGCTGGCGCGTCAGATGAGCCAGGATCATCTTGGTCGTCATGCGGCCAAAAACAAAAGACATGGTCATGCAGAAAAGGACGAGATGGTTCTCCGCCATCAAGGTCGAGTAGGGCGAGTAGAGCCAGGCGCCGATCGCGAAGGTATAGACGACCATGGGCGTCCACTCGAGAAATACCGGCGCAACAGGAAGGTTCTTGCTCCGGCGCGCCTTGACGACGTGGTAGATGCAGAAGGGGATGTGGGTTAGGAGCAGCGAGCCAACGATCATGCCGATCCAGATGTCACGAATGGACAGGTCGCCCACAAGGTGTGCGTATCCGAAGAGCATCTTCTCACCGACAATATCGACGATGCTCTCCGTCCAGATGCCCGGTCCGAAGTAACCAGAAATTGCCATGACGCTGCAAGCGATCAAGAGTCCCTCTGTCGGCCCGTTGATGACACCAAGGTACAGCGTGTGGGAGTGATAGGTCTCCCAGGTCGAGAAGAACATGGGTAGGCAGGGACACAGTGCGGTGAAGACGCCCGAGTGGGAAGTCCCGAGGCCCATGGCAGCCGTCTCAAGGAGGCTGGCAAGAGTGCAGTTCAGCGAATCGATGCCGTGGTCGAAGAGTTCACCCAGTCCGCTCGAGGTGCCCGTCCTCCGTGCCTGCTTCCCGTCGAGGTTGTCCATGGTCTGGTACATGAACAAACCGAACGCAAAACTGTAGTATAGCCACGACGGACCCTAGATCACACATCCTCGTCGTCAGCTCGGCCGTGTCCAGTGGGGAGGGGCCGCAGGTCTTGGCGCGGTGAACCTACCGGTCCGACCAGGTCGGGCATGAAGAGCACGAGCAGGCCAATGTTGCCGAGGATGAAGAAGAAGCCGATCAAGGTCACCATGTTCGGGGCAAGCCATAGCGGCAAGAGCTCGACGGCGGCATTCCACTATCACGTCCAGTTTAGCATTCGGGAAAGGGACCGCGGGGCTGGGTAGCCCATAGCACAGCAGAAGCACATACGTAGGGTCGCAAGATATAGTAGGATACCGGTGACTTGTCGACACTTGAATACTTGTACGACTTCAAATGGATCAGTGCATCATCCGAGATGCACTCGGCAGCCGCGCTTTCTACCAGCACTCCTTGTCAGTCCAGGGAAAAGCTCTCCCTCTCTCGATCGGGGTCGGGGTCTAGTGGGGCCGTTGAACGTACTGCTGTTGTTGGGGGCCATGGCTGCGGTCCCTATGAGAGCCAAGAGATCGAGGCGGTAAGGCAGCAGCCGGAGACGGCCGTAGATGAGAGGTATTGGTGGGAAGAAGGCCGAAGAGCTCTATGAACACATGGCAGAGAGTGTCCGAGGGGGAAAGGGCGCAATCACCAAAAGGACGGGTTCGGGTCGGACGCGGTGTTTAAAGGGTGAAGCTCCAAGGTCCAAAAAGTGGTTGAATGAGGGGCGGGCGCCGGCACCAGTGCTATTTTATTTAACATCCGGGTAGTTGGCGTCTCATTTTAGACCCTGTCGTGCAGATCCACAGCACGCGGAGGGTACCTTACGTGCCTTACCTCTTGGGGCCAAACAGAAGCTCTGTTGCCTTCTCGATTCGAGCATCTCCTTCTCATTTGTTGGGCGGCATCTCGTTTTGGTCTGGTCCTCGCGAATCAGATCGAGAGCCTCGCCGACTTGCCGACGTCAGCCTGTTTCCTCTCCGCCAGCACCTAGCCACCTTACTTACAGTAGGTAAGTGCCGAGTCGCATGCCTCGAGGAGCTTTCCCGCTTTCCCGCAGCCATGTGGCTAGCGCGTTTTTCCAAGTTTCCAGGTCTGTTTTTGGCATTTATTCTGGATCCAACCGGGTTCTATCTAGCATGTGAAAGTACAGAGTACCCCAACTAGAGAGGCAGAAACCTGTCTACGAAGTCGCCAATCAACAAGGCTCTGTGCTCTTGTTTCCCTGAAATCGTATTTTGCATGCCAGTGTCACCTGTCTACTCAAAAGTGTATGTTTTCGGTCGTCAAGATGATGAGATAGCATGGAGGGGGCCAGAAAGTAGGCTTGTCTAGAGACAGTCATTGTTTGACATGCGATGAAAACGGAATTCTTGTGTGATTCCGTTGTCTGTAAACTTCTAGCTACCCACCCGGAACACGGCGACCGTGTATCTACGGCGGCAGTATGAGCTTAATTCATACGGCCTTGTCACACCTTTTTTGAGACATATACAAGACCGCCGTCTGCCCGCCCGCCTCGTTCCAACACTTCATCAAAAACAAATTGCAATGTCCTGTCGCAGCCTTCTCAGACCACGATGAAGCCTCCCGAACTGTCGGGACTGAGGTCTGGCGAGTTATGGATGGCGATCAAATGCAATTACAACGCGTAGTATCTTTTAGATGACCAACGATCAAGCACTTGTGGCAACCTGAGGTCAAATTTGCTATCAGCTTGCCTTGATCAGCCTGGGCAGCAGTGCTGGGCCGGCTGCTTTTTATTCAAGTAGGTGTATATGATATTGTCTTTCCCGCCAGTATACCTAGTCTCCTCGTTGCTTCATGGGACGACGGGGTCGATTGTCGAAATCAAGGATCCATAATTGGATCTCGAAGTATCCAGGTAGGTCATACAAGTACGCATGCGAGACAATAAATCATCAAAGCCAGTGTTGGCTTTCTTCATGTATGGCTTTCAAACACGCTCGAGGTCCTTCGACACGTGCCTACCTGTCGAGGTGCACCACTGGAATCAATGTTCAATCCCGTGCCAGGCACTCTGTCATAAAGTGAGCAGCGAGATACGTTATCAGACTTCTTCCATTTCTTATTGATCAGATTCAACAAAGAAAACACTGAGCGATCCATGGCAGATGCCGCATCATTCCCGAAGCCAATTTTCAAGACGCCGACCCAAAGAGAAACATGACAGTATCCTGATCCCAGATGCCGCTGCAAATTTGACGGTTTAAACATTAAGTAGTAGATTAGTTTGTGCCCAGTTCAGAAAGCACTCCTCCCGACTCATACTGCTGAAGACCACACTGCATCGTCGCCTCCACGCCAGGCCATTGCCAGCACTGGCTAAATCACCACATCCTCTGCATCATGTTTATAGCATCAGGGCCATACCGGCCACAAGGCCGCCCACGACAACGACGAAGCCGACGCGTTCCGCCCCTAGAGCGGGAGCAGCGTTCTTGTTCACCTTGGAGTTGGAGTCAGATCCCGAGCCGGAGTCGCCGCCAAAGCCCGAGAAGACCTGGTTTGACTGAGCACCGCCCGTGGCAGTGGCTGTACTCGAGGAGGATGTGGAGGTGACACGGCTGGGGTTCCGGGCACCGCAAGGGTGGTCTGCCCGGCAAGCGTTTGCACATCCATTGTTGGCCTGTCCGCAGGCCTTGACGCATTGGTTACCCCACTCCTGGCAGACGAAGTAAGGCAGGGTAAGCGAGTATTCGGAGACGTTGGGCTGCAGGCCGTTGGAGCAGACACAGCCATAGGTCAAAGTAGCCTGGCAAAACGGCCAGAGTCAGCACACGTTCTCCAATCAGTCTGTTTCGCGAGACGTCGTGAGCAGGATTCTCAGGACTGGCACTTACAGGGTCGCAGGTGTTGGTGATAGGCTTGCCCTCGGTAGTCTGGGAGCAGATAATGGGGCACGTAGACAGCTCTGACTGGCACCAGTATTTACGGTCGGTCTGCGAGACGCTGTCGGGGTTGATATAGTAGTCGGCTTGCACGCTGACAACGAAAGCAGCGGCGACGACGCCCACGATGTTCCTGAACGAAGGCATGGCTGGATATGAGGGCTGGACGGATAGGCGTGGAAGATGTTCGGTTCGCAGGGCTTGAAATATTCTGTGTTTTGCAACAATGGCTGTTAGCAAAACATTCATGATGACATTCTCTCGTCCCAACCGTAGGGCAGGCTGCCCCAGAAAGCATTGAGGACACTACCGGCCGGGTACGAAGGTAGCATGCCAGTGCAACGGTCACAAATATTTACCTACCTCCAACGGGCCGCCGGGTAATAATAGACCTGACAATGGAATGTGAGGCTTGGTACCTGAGCGATCGTAAACGGTAGAAATTTCAAAGGGCTATTAGGTGGTAGTAAAAACAAAAAGTATATAGAAGAATAGTCTACAGAGTCAAGAAGCAAAGGGGAATGTTGTTCAAGGGGTTTCAACGAAGGACAAGCGAAGTCGATCACAACTTCACGAAGCGAGCGTGTGAAGAGCAGAGCAGAGCAGAGCAGACGAGGGAGACGAAAGTGAACGCCTCGGGTTATCACAGCTTAAGAAGGGGACCGACGACCACTGTGAAAAGGAGACCGGGGGTCCGGGCACGGCCATGGCCTGTCAATTTCTGTCCGGGGTTATCCAGAAGGCCATTCATGATTGGGTCTTCGACATCTCACCACCACATCTATCACCACATAATGGGACAAACGGGGCTGGGATGCCGGGGCATTTGCAGTTGCTTTTCGCTAGGGTCCTGCCTAGCTGGTGTAGCGACAAAATCCCGTGCCAATCAGGCGCCTGAATGCAGCTCAATAATGGAGCTCGCTAGAGGGAGCTTGCCCGTTTAACAGCACTACGGGGATGGGGGGCAGAGGTTGCAGGGATGGCTGCCCCATAGCCGACGATGCACACGCGCAGCCTCTGTTCATCTTGGGGCCCACGGTCCTGTCTGGGCTTGGAGGTGATGCTAAAAGGGAATACGCTGCTTGGCTGGTGTCGAAGCTACCTTAGTCGAGACCCCTCAACCTGATACAACGGTACCATCACAGTCTTGCGATATCCTGCCTTGGTGCTACATATCTCCATACTTCCAAGCACGAAGCATGGAGGACCTGTGATGACCTGCCCTCTGTGGTAAACAGCCCCTCAGACGAAACCTCTCCTGCAGCATTTGTGCGTCGCCTTTCTGATGTGTCGATTATCAAGTTTTGGCCTTGTTGAGACAACACACCATCAACAATCATCAACGGCAACGGCGGTAGAAACGTACCGACCTAGGTGGTGGAGATGCGCCCCAGCTTGAAAAAGTGTATGCACAGGCAGAATTGTCCGCCAATGGAGATAGCGGCCCTCCGGATGTCCTCTGCGGGCGTACCCAGACGGCTCCTCTTCCGCACGGGATCCTTTTTTACGATATCGTGCCGGTTTGCTCTGCGTGCTCATCCTTGATGTGGCGAGCATACTTCTCGTATTCTGCAGGCGGCGCTGCAGCTAAGTCTGATGCACCCTCCATGTCTCCAGAAAAGTTGGTGAGCCAAGGTGGACTGGCTTGACTGCCTCGGAATCCTCCCTTGGTTCTGCCCAACCTTTTCGTCATTTGGACTCCAATTGCTGAGAACACGACGGCAACCGGCTGCCCTGGGGCCTGGTGTAGATCTCCCGTATTACAAAACACACACTGCCCGGGTCTCTGGAGGGGAATAGGCCCGAGGGCTGCTTTTGTGAATTGTGCATCAGCTTGAGCCAGCACTACTTGTAATATCTCTGAGCAACTCTGTGGCCCACAGAACAAGCTCAGGCACTGTGGTGCACCGGGCCCAAACACGAATATTTGGGGATGATCTATGAATGATCCTCATGTTCCAGTTTGGCCTTGACTGTGCTGACTTGGGTGGAGGCTGTCTCGGCAAGAGAGAGAGTAAAAGCATGATGAGCATCGGGGAAGAAACAAGCAAAACTACCTAGGTACCCAAGTGCTGTGCTGCCATACCTACATACCTGACTTGTGCGGAGCTCCGGCCTCAGCAATGAAGAAGCATACAGTATGTGAAGTCTTTCTTGCAGACATGTTCCGCCACACAGGTTCGATACTCGACCAGATCTCATGCTGTGCAACGAGATGCGGCGTGGTTACTTCGAGGGGCTGGCGGGCTGGCACAAGCTACTTGTAGGTACCTCCATTCAGGCTCCTCATAGCCGTCCCAAGGACGCTAAATATTAGAGACTCGACGAAGTCGGTAGTGCCATCCCTGGCTGGGGCCTTTGCTGTGCGGCGAAGCATTAGCACCTTGCCAAGACCCTGAATCCAGGGGTGGTGCATGGACAGGTTTCCCATGCCGAAACCGCGACATAACACATTTCCTCATCCATTCGGTCAAGGTTACGGACCCCACCACGAGGACACAGCATCTGGCGCATCACTCCGCAACTTTTGCTATGGTGGCAGCATGGTCTCGACGTGATAGGTGATCAGTGTCCTGCTTGCGTGTGGCGCCGCGTGTCTGCCATGAAGTCGCTCCTTTCCCCGACCCTGAGGCGCGTCCTCTTGGTCTTCCAACTTGCCGTCCTGCCTGTTCTGTCCTACACGGAGCTCTCCGAGGGCACCTTGCGAAACGTCCCTGCAGCGGGCGACGACTTCAATATCGACCATGGCAAACTGCTCGCGCCGATTCTGATCCCCCGGGTGCCTGGCACACCCGGCTCCGACAAGGCGCAGCAGCACTTTGTTGACTTCTTCGCGCAAAGCCTTCCCAAATGGAAAATAGAGTGGCACAACTCCACGGCCAAGACGCCGGCCACGGGAGACAGAGACGTCCCCTTCCGGAACCTCATCTTCCAACGCGATCCCCCTTGGGCTGCGCCGGGGGATGTTGCACGATTGACATTGGTGGCACATTACGACAGCCTCTACAGGCCGGAGGGCTTCATAGGGGCCATCGATAGCGCTGCTCCATGTGCTATGTTGCTACATGTTGCCAGGAGCATTGACGAAGCCCTGACAAAGAAGTGGGAGACCATGGAGGCTGAGGGCAACACGGGTGATGGATTAGATGAGGAAAAGGGTGTCCAAATCCTTCTCCTCGACGGTGAGGAGGCATGGGTCTCTTGGACGCATACGGACTCGCTGTACGGCGCAAGGTATGTTACAAAACTTGAAGCGCTTGCCCCTTTGGCATATGACTAACCAACACGCTTGCGCAGAGCACTCGCCGAGACTTGGGAGGCCACACCTCATGCCGCTCTCTCATCCTTCAAGACCCCCCTGAGCTCTATCAGCCTTTTTGTCCTGCTTGACCTACTGGGGTCAGAGGCGCCCCATGTCCCTTCCTATTTCCAAACTACGCATTGGGCATACCAGCATATGGCCACAATTGAGAAACGTCTGCGCGACCTTAACTTGCTCGAGAGCAAGCCGCCATCGCCGTTCCTACCAGACCATGATAAGAAGTCGTCGCAGTTCGGCAGGGGCTTTGTGGAGGACGACCACGTCCCGTTCATGGCCCGTGGCGTCGACATTCTCCATATCATCCCTACACCGTTCCCCCCAGTCTGGCATAAGATGGACGACGATGGTGCACACTTGGACATACCCACGCTCCAGGACTGGAGCAAGATTGTCACTGCATTTACTGCTGAGTGGCTTGATCTAGACGGGCTGCTTCCGCCGAACTCGCAGAGACACAAGCGGGATAACAAGACGGAATTGTAAGAAGAAGCTATCTTGAACGATTAGATGAATTAGATTTATGTCTGCGTCAAATTGACTTTACTCTTTGATACTCCTCTTGAAGTTACACGGCACATTCTGAAGACCAACAATACTAATTGTGTACGTCACAAATCACAATTCTGTTTACTTCAGTCTCTCAGTCTCTTTATCTGTCTCTACCTACAGTTACCTACCTATATATAATTGTCTCCAGTCCCCAGAACATGAACAGAAGTGCTACCAATCCGGATGGATCACAGGCTCCAGCGCTTCTAGGCACAAGTTGAGAGGTACCTTAGGTACACGTGATAGCGGTTACCCACCAGCGCACGGGCCAAGGATGAGCGCCACGTAACAGCTCCAAGCAGCTTTTGGCGTCCTAGCAAGGTGTTCTTTGGGAAGCTCTCCAGCTTTGTCTCATCATCGTGCAAACCAATTCCCGACAGCGAACAGCCCACGATGCGGTTCTCACAGCCAATTGTCTCGACCCTGCTCCTTATTGCAGCTGGTGCTGTCCAGGCAGCTTCGTCATGGAATTTTGATGACGCCACCCTCGCCGTCACTTCCAAGAAAGGTGCCGATGGCGCCAAGCAATCGTAAGTGCTCTTTGGCGCTGCGGGAGGGCGGGCAATTCAGCAAATTACGACTTTCTAACGCAGCTTGCAGGCTGAGCTCGAAGGCGCCGCTCTCAAAGGTTGTTAGTGTCGGAGCGCAGGATACGGTCAAGGTCAGCCTGACGACCAAGGAGGACGGCAAGGGCAAGAGGCCGCACCAGGCATTCCTGGTCCTGAAGGAGGAGGAATCTGGCCTGGAGGCACCATTCCCCCTCACGGTCAAGGACAACGGCAAGGCGATTGTTTCAATTGTGAGTAAAGCCAATGCGAAAGGAATGGGGGGAAAAGCACTCGATACTGATGGACTTTCCATGCAGGCGCAGAAAGATATTCCTGTCCAACTGCTTCTTTCCCAGAAGGCTGTTCGCGCCTCTATTATCCTGGCCTCTTTCGGGTCCGCTGAGGGACTCGAGTCGCCTCTGTTCAGCCTGGAGTTCAACCTTGACCCGAACGCTCCGGCGCCCAAGTACGAGAAGCCCCTCCGGTACGGCAAGCTCCCCGAGCTAGCACACACATTCCGGGCCGACCCACGCAACCCGCCCAAGATCATCAGCCTGGCCTTTGCCCTTGCCGTGCTGGCCACGGTCCCAGCGCTACTTATCGGCGTAAGTTGATGTTCCATGTATGGTGCTTCCTTGCGCTTCCTACTAACGTACCAATGACTCCAGTGGCTCGTCCTCGGCGCGAACCTGAACCATCTCCAGAAGGCCATGGGTGCCGCCCCTGCCTCACACGCTGCCTTCTTTGGCTCCATCATTGCCATGGAGGGTGTCTTCTTCATGTACTACACCAGCTGGACTCTGTTCCAGACCCTGCCTGTTATCACAGTCGTAGGGGTTGTGGCGTTGTTGAGCGGCTCCAAGGCTCTAGGCGAGGTTCAGAGCCGACGCCTCGCGGGTGAGAGATGAGTGCGGCCCGTCGCTATCAATCTGAAATTCCTTTCGTTTTAGGGAATGATGCGATAACGTGGATAGAACATAGCCCAGGCGGGCTGGTCCAACTTTGATTGCACAAAATGTACTTTTAGAGGAAAAGGAAGAGGGTTCACTCAAGATAACCCATACAGAAAACGCCGTGGGGCGATTACGACGTGTTATGCAGGAAAATAGATCATTTCATTAGGGTCATTACATCGTACAAGAGCTATCCGGTCCCTAACGTCTCTCCCAATTTCTCTGGTAGCAATAAATTACCCGGTCTGGTCAACAATGTTCAGTGAGTGAACGCGGTCCTTGACTTCTCGTCCCTGGCAACTTCCTCATACGCCGGAGGCATTACCCCCGAGGCCTGTGCTTCGGCAGCAGATGGGACCTCACGACGGGTGAAGGAGTCCTGCTGCTGTGGATAGACGGGCGCCCGTGCGGGCGGAGGTCCCATCGCGACGGGCGGGGGCGAGGAGACGACGAACTGCCCGTCGTGACGACACCTGCGAGAATGGCCGCCGCAGCACTTGGCTGCGCGGCGCTCGGCCCGGTGCTCGGCCCTCTCTATCCGGCGCCCGGCCTTGTACTCGGCCTTCTCCACGCGGCGCTCCGCCTTGTACAAGGCCTTGTCCAGGCGGCGCTCGCCTTTGCTGCGGTAGCAACCGCCGTGTTGTTGGTGCTGCTGCTGGACCACCTGGGGCGCCAGGTTGTAGCCCGGCTGTTGCCGTGGCAGTGGTGACTGTTGTGGCTGCGGTTGTTGCTGGGCGTGGCGGTAGTGGCCTCTGTCGTCTTTGTCCCCGTCGTAGCCAACCGTGGTTTGCGGCTGCTGGTTGGGGTAGTGCTGGCGCCGGTCGGACTGCGCGTTGCCCATGGTTTGTGTCCGTATGGGTGGGTACTTGTATAGTGCTTTGGGGTTTCTTCTGTTGGTCTGGTAATTGAGGGCCTGTTGTATTTTGAAATTTGTAATTATTGCTTCACAACAATGAAATACGGCGACATCGACATGAAAAGGAAGAGGAAGCACAGATGTGTATATTTCTACAGTCCTAGGCCTGCTACTTATCTCGCCCACCGAGGGGTTCGAGCACAGCCGACTCGTCATCTTCTGCAGAGATGGTGTGGTGGCAGCGGTGCGGACGCGAATGCGAGTGCGACTGAATGCATTGACTGTCAGACTGCGTACGCGGCCCGGACTTCGGCCTAATGCCCACCCGAATGGCGGCCTCAACCTAGCGACCCCAAAAGTCCCCTTACCCACGGGTGCTCCGCCTCGATCTGGCGTTCTGCAGTGGGACTAGCGTGTTGCCCAATTCGTTGGAGTTGATGACCTTTGATTGGGTAAGAAACGCATGCGGTTTTGTGACGATGCGGGGAGCTTAGCCCTGTCAATCTTGGTTCAAGTCGATTTACAGCTGTCTGTCTGGGGGGATCTGTGTTGACATTGGAGCACCACAACTTTGAGATGTTTCACGATGAATAGGATAGGGTGATTATGACTGAATGTTAGTTTATTGAATTAGGGATCAACAGATTAGTTCTTGAGCATGTAGGTAGTGGGATGGTACACTAGGTACATTTGTAGCGTTGCCAAGAAATAACAACTCCGTTGTAACACATTTGACGACCGACAAAATGCCCAGGCCATGTCTCTGTTTTGCTTTTATGTCAGCCCCAGAGAAATTTGGGCATTTTCCATCTGGTCTAGCTCCTTGTACACTAGTATCTCATGTTGCTTTGGGAACGCAGCATCACAGCATTCGCGACGTTCCAGATGAAGTTCCCGAGAACAGTTGCCCTATTACCTGTCTCGGATGGCATCAAGTGTGTCATTGATCGTGACCTACATGTAAGCTATAAGAACCATATCACTCAGGCTATTTATTACAGTTTTACAACACTCTCGTAGTGGGAACGGCTGCAAAGTAAAGGCCTGCTCTCCTCCAACAGACCAACGGATCAGCTCATTTGATTGCTCATCATTGATGCCCACTGTGCTTGATCTCGGAACATGCTACCGGTCGAAGGCATGGTTGTCCAGAGAGTCGAGCAGTGCAGCCCTCGAGCTGATGCGTATCGTTCGGTTGAAGCTATTTCTGCCATATCAAGCGTCTTAAGTGTTCAGACATATTGCATGTGTAAGGGCATCACGTGTGAAGTCACAAAGGGCGAAAATGACGGACTTGGATTTGTTACTCGTGGAGCATAACAGCTACTAGATCGACAACAAGCCCCTCCACAGCTTGCAATAGTGTCTTGGTGGCCTTTCTAAAATCAAAAACACTTACAAACACCACTTTCTCTCAAGGACTACTGCACTTTTCCTAGCTTTACCTACGTAGAACATGTGTAACGCGCATCTACCTCAAATCACCATCTCGTCGAGCCTCCCAGCAGCTCCCCGCATCGCGAGATCTGGACCCACATGGCCGCTCGTCATTGGCCCGAGGGTGCGAGCTCCGATTAGATTGAGGTTTCTGCCGGGTGACCTGTGCTCTGGTTATGTCAGCCCACAGAAGTCACAATTGGGTCTCATCTAACAGCTGGAGGCATTGATCACGTCTGGAAGGAGGTAAAATCGCGTATTTTTGGTCAAATTTCCCATGGGGGGAGGATCACGACAGCTGGAAGAAGGCATCTACAGAGTTTAGGGGTCGGATTTAGTGGTGTTGAGGCGCCCACAGCAGGCAAAAGGGTGGTTACATGGTAGATCAGGGACCCCGGCAGGCTCGGCCTGGCGCGCTAGGAACTTACCGCCTCCCCCAATCGAGTTAGCGCAATTCGACCTTTGTTTATTAACTGTCGGTACGTCAGAGCCAGACGCGCTGGCCGCTCCTTCATACACATCACTCACAAGATTCGAGCTTTCCAAACATCAACTCGCAACTGCTTCTCTGCTTCTCTGCATCTGCACGGCATCTTGCCTTTCCTCGATACCACTGCTTGAATCTTTTTTTGATCAAGAGACCCAAATCGGAACACTTTCACCACCCATACAGAGTGCTCAGCACTTTTGTCTCTTCATTTTCCACCATCATCCCATCGCGTCTTGGAATCCGTGTTTTACATACAAGTACACATTCCCCATCATTCCCCCTTCTTCTTCTTGGTTACCAACCATCATCATCACTTCTTGCTGCATCGGCCTACACACGTTCCATTGCTATCACACATAGCTCATCCGTTTCGCGTCATCTTAGGATATGTATCCTTTTGATGACCCGCCGTCGTCGACGGGCACACACGGCACCGTGACGCAGTCATCAGGCCTCAACTTTACTTTCTCAATTGCACCTGACATGGATTCGACACGCCAGCGCCAATATCGCGCAGGCCAACATCGTGTTGCCAGGTCTACCGGTCGCTTCAGCTCCAAGCCTGCCGGAGCTGCTGCTGTCCAGAATCTACCCAACACCTCTGCTCTTTTCCGCTCCCGAGAGTTTGCCGACTGGAGCAGAGAGGAATTCCTTGCCACCGACAAGGAGAATGTCGACCCCAACAATCGTCAAAAGGCGCCTATCTCATCCCGCCCAACCCCTCGATACCTTAGGACACGCTACCAAGCGACTGCTCAGGACGACACTGGCAGCTCTTCTTCTTCCCTCTTACCCTCTGTTCCCTCCGCGCAGTCTGCGGTTCATCGGGATCTTTCTTCCATCTCTTCAATCAATTCTTCACAGCCGAGTCCCGCGAAGAGTACGCGTCAGCCCCAGGACAAGGCCCAGGCGCCGTCCAGGATACCTGCTCTGTCCAAACCGCAGGAGCCGTCGTTTGCCATCCCGAATGGCACCTTTGTCGGCAACATGCTCTCCGGTGATCCGGACCACGGCGTTACTACCTCCGGGGTACCTGTTGTCATTAGACACGGACGGGCTCGCCACGACCCTAAGGGCGAAGGCAAATCCCACGCTACCCTCGAAGGTATCGAGGTCAACCAGACCGAGAACGATATCTGGATTCACATTGACAAAGTCCGCCAAGTCGCGACCGAGCTTAATGAGCAAAATCGGGTCGCAGAGGACTTGGCAAAGCTGCGTGACGAGAATGATCGTCTGCGCAAAGCCCAGGCTCAAGCCCTCGACGAGCTTCGCGAGGAGCTCCGCGAGCAAAGCCGAGCCGCAGAGGCCAAACTGCGTGACGAATATGATCGTCTACGCAAATCCGAGTCTGAGGCTCTTGACGAACTCTACCGCGATCGCATCCTGGCCGACGAGTCTCTGCACGAGAAGGATCGGGCCGAAAAGGAGCTCGCCAGCCTGCGTGATAAGAACGCCGCTCTGCGCGAAAACGTCGACGACCTGCAGGGAAATGTCGACAGTCTGCAGGTAAAAACCAACACTCTGCTCGAGGAAGCAGACGTTAGAGACGAGGAGATAATGCGTCTCAGAAAGCAATTGAAGAAGGCCGAGAAGAGAATCTCGGCCGTGGAACAAGCAAAGACCCAGGCTCAGTGGCAACACAAGAAGTTGTCCGTGGAAGATGGCCACAAAGCGCGATACATCACCAGCCTCGAGAACAAGGTCAAGAACCTTAAGGAAGCCTTTGATAACGATCGAAGCATTCACGATCTATACCGGCAAGTGTTCAGTGCCCAACACGAGGCCAGTGAGCGTTCTGCGAAGGACCTTAAGCAGGTCAACGAGAACGACAGACTCAGGGAGGAAGTGAGGCTGGCAAGGGACCAGGCCAGGTTCGCCGTCCGCGACAGGGATCGCGATCACGAGAAGATTGAAGCACTGCGTGCACAGTTCGAGGAGGTCCTCCAGGACCAACGGGAACGCCTCAAGGAGGGCGAGCAAAACAAGCAGCGTTGTAAGGCACATGAAGCATTCGCGGCCAAATTGTCGGCCAAGAACGCGGCAGTCATGGCTCGCGTGGAAGCTGCCTGGCCGCACTTGCCCCCCGAGTACCGGGCGATGCTTGGCGAGCCCGATGCAGAGAATCCTGGCTTCTTCAAGCCGGATGCTAAGAACACGTTGCAACGTGTACGAGAGAATCTGGCCTCTCAAAAAGATGGCGGTGGCAGTGACCTTGACCAGACCGACAACAGCGATAGCAATAGCACAACATCTCACCCATCCGAGCATGATGCGGACGACCGCAACATGACCTCTGGCTTCTTCATGCCAGATATCACCATTCACAGCGAGGACGAGCCTGAGGCATCCGCATCGAACAGTCCAGACCCGAAGGGTAAAGGCAAGGCTACGGCGAAACCGGCGGAGCCGTCCTCGAAACCAAACGAGGCCGAGAAGGCCACTCCCGATGACGCTCAATCACTTTTTGAGGGTCTTTGTCCCCACAACAAGTTCATGTGCCTCGACTGCCTGAGAGAGGAGCGCCGGAAGACGAAGGCCAGGGAGCAAAAGCGATACATGCCGGTTGAACCCCAGATCCCGGCTTCTGATCGCCCAATCCTCCCGCGCGCAGAAGACTTCACCCTCCGACCAGTCTTTGCACCTTCATATGCTCTCGATATGGTCTTGAATGAGATGAGACTAGAGATCAAGAATCTGGGTGACGAGATGATGGACGTCGTTCAGCGCATGAACAAGCACGACGACTCGGTCGACGCCCGTGGCCGGGAGAGGCTCGAGAGCGAGCTCAAGGAGAAGACGGGGCTTCGGCGACTCAAGTGCCGGCAGCTTTACCGACTCTTCGATGTGGTGGAGGGCCAGAAAACGGCAGGGCAGCGTCCTCTGACGCAGGCCGAGGTCGACATGACCGTTGCTAGCGTTCTGGACGCTAAGTACGACGACGATCCGCTTGCCAAGCCCTAGCAAGGATCGACCTGGGATGAGGGGGTGAAGAGCATGTTGGAGTACAGGCCGGTGTAATATAGCATAGTTATGGTCAGGTCGTTGGGGAGTGTAAATGGTTTCACTTGGGCAGGTTTATGAGTGACATCGGCATCAGCTTAGGCAGGGTTTTTGGTTTCTTGTTGGGGTTTTGGGGCGCATTGCAATTGGACCTACTGCAAAGGTAGATGAATAAAACAAACATGCAATTCACTCGTTGTCTTGTGTTCATGGTGTTGATTGTCTTCAGCCACCTGCTTGATGTGGCGATGCTTGAGCCGCGAAGTTGTAGTTTGCGGGAGAGAGTGCCAGGTAAGAATGTGGATCGCAATCCAATTGGCGCAGCCGCGTAGTTGGTTGGGTTGTGCTAGCCCCGCGCTGTGCTTCAAGGCGGCTGGTCCAACTTTGGCGGGCAGTCATTGAACTTTAGCTTAAGCCTCGTCAACTTTTATTCACTATAGCACAACCACACCAACCCAACACCGAGTTGACACGCTTCCTCGACAAGACCCTGAGCCAACTACATATCAAGCCAAGCCGAAGGCGCACATTACCGCTCCCGAACGCGTCTCCCTCCACCCCCCAAAGCCCGCCGGCACTTCCACAGACTCGCGCACCAAGATGGCCGACGTGGAGATGGAGATTGACGATGCGCCCGCGGGCCAGAGCCAGGCCAAGGTCGCCGACATGCAGACCCACGGGCGCGCGACGGCGGTCCGCTCGATCGAGGGCTGGATCGTCATGGTGACCAACGTGCACGAGGAGGCCGACGAGGAGGCGATCCACGACATGTTTGCCGAGTTTGGCGAGATCAAGAACCTGCACCTGAACCTCGACAGGCGGAGCGGTTACGTCAAGGTGAGAGAACTGAGACTTGGGTGCTTCTTTCTTGAAGGGGGAGGGGAGGGGGGGGGGGGCTTCATCACATAGCTTGCGCCTTTGTCTCGATGGGGGGGCCCACCAAGAGATGGGAAAAAACTGACCGTTTTTGTGGTACGTATAGGGATACGCCCTGATCGAGTACGCGACGCTGCAGGAGGCGCGAGCCGCTATCGACGGCGCCGACGGCCAGAAGCTGCTGGACCAGACGATCCACGTCGACTTTGCCTTTGTGCGCCCGCCGCCCGGCAAGGGCAACAACAGGAGCGGCGGCGGCGGTCGGGGCGGCGGCGGCCGCAGGAGGAGCAGGAGCCGGAGCCGGAGCCCCGGTGTTGATGCCGGTGCGGCCGAGGGCAGCAATGGCAAGGACGGCGGCGAGGAGATTGCGTGATTACGAGGGCCTGCGTTCCTCTTTTTCTTTCCTCCCTGGTGGACACAATTGGGGGAGGACGGTACACCGATGAAAAGAGGTGCTGTTTTACGAAGTCTTGGAGAGAGGGCGGGTGATGATAGGTTAAAAACAAGGGGGAGAGGTCTGCCGACACCGGTCATCTGTTTGGGACCAGCGGTCCGGACGCATGAAAGTCGTGTCGGCATCGTGTTTGGTCAGTTACAAGGTATGCTACTTTTATATCCATCCTAGTTATCAAAGGGGAGACCATGAGATGCTGACGAGGCAAGGAAGACTTAGATTGCGAATATCTACACCATGTGTCTGAGGTGCCTTTTTGATTCTGCTCTGGTCGCGTGTGGTCAGGGGCTTTCCTGGATGATCCCTTGTATCATTGACGGCAGGTTGAACTGGGAAGCCACTTCGTCAGTCATAGAAACGGCATAGACGTATCAATAGCACGACGCAATTGGTGAGATTCTTGATGAATACACTGGTATCCTCTCTACAAGGGAACCTGTCATAGGCCTTGCTATGCTGTCCCGGTAACTTGCCATATATTGTATCTGTCAAGTTGAAGACACCGCATATATTCAGTTGGCTACCCGACGCCATCGTGTTTCAACCAGGCCAACCCTGTAGTCAAACGTTATGAACAATCAAGAAAACACCCGATGTATAATCAGAGATCTAAGCAAATGCCGTCATATCAAAAGTCGTTATCCTTGTAAACAAAACCTCGCCCTCGCTTTTATGATCTCGCATATGTCCAATCTCCCGTGGCCTTTCTTCCAATATCATACCATCATCATCTTCAAGAAAATCTACTTCCTATTCAAACTCAGCAGCCTCTTCATCATCCCACCCTGCTGTTGCTGCTGCTGCTGCTGCTGCTGTCCAGCAGGCGGCGTCATGTAGTATCCATCCTCCGGATACTGCTGCTGCTGCTGCGGCCGCTGCTGTTGCTGTTGCTGTGTTGGAGCGGCCGCGGCCGGCTGCGCCAGGTCCTCCCCGTCGTACTCGTACCACAGCTTGGGCACGAGCAGCCTGTACGGCACCGTGATGCCCGCCGGGTCCTTGGGGCTGACCTCGACGTTGAGCGCGATGTCGAGCCCGCCCTGCAGGTTGACCTCGAACTGCTCCGCCTTCCTGCGCTGCTTGGTCGACAGGCCCGTCGGCGTGCGGTGGAAGGGCCTGGGCCGGAACTCTTCTTCGTGCTCCGCTTGCTCGTCCTCCTCCTCGCCGTCGCTGATCTCCTGCACGCGGCCGGCGGGGGCGGGGGCGACGGGCATGGTCTGCGCGCGCCGCGGCTGCGCGGTGAAGTAGCTGTCGTCGCCCTTGTCGTACTCGTCGTAGTGGTGGAGGTGGCGCGGCGGAGGGGCGCCAGCACCGCCGCGCAGGGCCATGCCGCGGCGGTAGGTCTCGTTGTACCCGTCATGCCCGTAGGGGTTGTCGTCGTCGTCGTCGTCATCCATGTCCAGGTCGTCGTACTGGCCACGCGCTGGTCTGCGCGGGGGCGGACCCCTCGCGCCTGGGCCGCCGGGAGCTTGGCCGGCGCCCGCACCTGCAGGAAGACCTAGGCGGCGAGCAGCGGCTGGCGGGAGGGGCTGTTGTCGTTGCTGCTGCTGCTGCTGCTGCTGCTGCGGATGTTGTTGTTGCTGGTAATAAGCTTCCTCCTCGCTGTCGTCGTCGCCCCACTGGCCATTGATGCCGCCGTCATCGGGCCGGCCTGAGCGCCGACTGCTTGAGAGGCGGCGGAAGAGGTTGCCTGGCCTAAAGTCGGCGCGGGTGAGAGATAGGGTCCGCTTCGGCTGGACCGGCCTCTCGGGGAGCGCGGCCTCCGAGCTGGAGGCGCGACGGCCGCGGCTCAGGCTGCGGAAGAGGCCGCCTCCTCCCGATGACGCTGGGGGAGGATGATATGCGCTGGGGGGATATGAAGGCGCCGTAGGCTTTCTCGACTTGGACAGGCGGCGCATGATGCCGCCCTTGGGTGCCGCATCGGGCGGGGTGCCGAGAGGGGTGATGTCAAAGGCTGACTGGTTCGGCGTGGGCGCCGGGGTGTTGCCGGGGAGGTACTCGCGGATGGAGCACCAGTTGCGGTGAGGCAGGAGGCGCTTGTTGTTGCGAGGCTTGCCGTCGACGCCGTGCGTGAAGACCGGGATCATGTCCTCGTCGGTCTCGCGGTCGAAATGGTGGACCTTGTTGCGCTTGTTGAGCACGTCGGCCAACATGTCTGGCGGCGGCGTGTTGACGATGGCCGAGGAGATGACGTTGGGCATGTACCGGAAGTCGCGGTGCTTGGCGATGCCGAGCTTCGGGTTCGAATAGAACTGTCCCACCGCAGCGAGGTGGACGTCGCCACTGTTGAGAGTTTGCTGTTAGCGACTTTGCATGGAAATGGCGGAGGAGCCGAAAGGGCGAGGTGTAACATACCTGAGCATCGTGATACGGAGGGACTTGTCCGCAGCAAGATCCTGAAGGTCTTCGATGACCAGGGTCCGCTCGTCCTTGTGATTCTTAGCCGTCCAGTGATCATCGAGGTCGTCTAGGACCTCAACACCTCCGTCAAACTTGTTCAAGAAATTGCCAAACATGCCCAGCTTGCCGAGCGCCTTGACAGGGTCCATAAGCCTAGAGGTCAATCTGCGGATGCATGTTAGTTTTGTGAGCCGCTTCTTCTTTCGTGATTAAGCAAACTCACATGTTTTCCAGCCAGACCAGTCTCGGGTAGGCAATCGGCACACCGAGCAGAACCAGGAGGTGGTCCGTCTTGCCCTTAACAATCTCGGCGTAGCATCGATCCATGAGCTTCTTCCAGGTGTCGTCCCTCAGGACCTCTTCTCTCGTCCTCTCCGTTCGCGCATCGACGGCTAGGAGCGCAACCTTGCCGCCGAGGTGCATAAACAGACTCCTGCTATTCTCGTGAATGTACGGACCCGGCCTGACACCGAGAGTCCAGCTGGGCTCGGACGCCTCGGTCTCGTCCGGCACACTCTGCTGCTGGAAGAGCATATAATACTTGAACGCGACATTGCCGACACCCGAGAAGACGGGCGAGTTCATGAAGTGGTGCGGGTAAGACCCGAAGCCGTCGATGATGTCGTGGTCGTCAAACATGTTGACCATGGGGATCTGCGAGTTGGCGAGGCCGAACAGGCCCTGCGAGAACCACATGCAGTAGCGCTCGAGGTAGAAAACCTCGAGCTCGTCCTGCAACTCTGCCGTGAAGGGTGCGTTGTGCTTGTGCAGCGGGTTCTTGATCTCGAGCCACTCCTTGAAAATCTCTGTCTGGTGCATGACGGCATCATTGTAGATCTGGTCGCCGCCGCCTATCATGACATGGAACGGACGTGTCTGATGCGTGTTGAGAACGTCGCGCCACATGGGGTCCGGGCCGCTGAAGTCGTTGGGATCGACGCTGAGGCTGAAGCCGTTGCAGCTGTGGAACATGATGTTCATACACTCACCACGGGCCGGGACCCAGAAGCCGGTTGCCGGCCCGCGGTTGATGCGATACGCGACTCTTTGCTCCTTGTCTCGGAGCTCGACCTCGATGTTGAAACGCCAGAACGTGTAGCCTCGCTCGGCGTGCAGACGGAAGCCGCGCACGTCCTTATACTTGTTGACTTTTTCTCCGTCAACAGCGACGCGCTTACGACGTGCTGCGAATGATCCTGGCAGCTCGGTCATGCCCTCGGGTAAAGCTTCGTCTGGTGGGCTCCTCGTCTTTTCAAAGAGTCCCTCATCTGTCTCGTCTCGCGACACGTCCTTGCCCTCTTCGAGATGCTCGACAGGCCTCACATAAAGCGTCTCACCCTTCCTACCAAGCTTTGGATAGCCGGCGATCGGATCTACATATTCTGGCGGCAGAGCCCCCTGGACCTCGTGCGGCGGCGGTGGCAGGAGCTCGATCGGCTGCAGGAACATCCGCAAGGTTGGAGCAATGTCGTAGGAGGACTCAGAATCCTGCGTCACAATCATCACACTGCCTCTCCAAATGTCTCTCTCCGTGACAATTCCATTACGGTTTGTGCGAGATGCGACTCGCTCATGGCGAATGCCACAGAACCGTAAGAGCGGACCGCACTTCAGATACAGTGGCGGCTTGAACCGTGTAGGCGCTGTAATTTTTGTTGACGTGCGGTCAGCATATCGAGCTGTTTTCAAGGCGAGGGGTTTTGATATAATGGACCAGACCAAACTTACCATGCTCGTCATACTCGCCATCAAATGCCTCTGCCTTTCTTGGTCGAGCTCCAGTACTGCTCCTTCTCCGCTGCGAAGGCGGTGTTTCCCACCAAGCTTTGTCCTTGTCGGCTTCGTGAATCTCTGGGGGAGGGTCGTCCGTAAGATCCAGTAGTGCGCCGGACAATGTTCCTACTGTGGCCTTCTTCCACTCATCCAGATACTGAGGTGGTTTGTACATCCCCTGCCCTGGCTGCAACTTCTCGTGGTTGCGATAGACCATGTTGGAGACATAATGGCGATGCCCGCCCTCATCCTCTCGTTCGTCATGGATCCTGACGGCGCGCCGAGCTGGCACAGCGGCCGCCGCACCGAGAGCTGCGCCTGAAACAAGGCGGCCACCAGTATGGGGAGCGTCCTGGGTTACAGAGGGCTGAACTGGATTCTGAAGTGGAGGCGGCCTCCTTTGGTCGGGGCCTCCGGCTGCCCTGAAAGTCTCCGACCGCTCTGGACCCTCGTGATACGAACCAGCCGTGTTGCCGGGAATCATTCGCGGCATGTTCGGACCCGGGTCGCGTTGGCGCACGGACCCTTCGGCAGACCGATCCATTGTGGAGACGCCGGGATCGCCATTTCCAGCATTCGGGTTAGTCCGTGATTGGACTGTGGGATACTTCTTTTCTGCATCCATTCTCTGATTGTACCATGGATCTCCGGGGGGTTCCTTCTTCAATTTGTTGCTTCCATTGCGAGTCAGAGAAAACCCTCCCAATGGAGGGGATGCCTCCGGTCCCGGTGCGACCTCGTTCGCACGAGGAAGGTCTATATCGTTCTTTGCTGCTCTCTCGCGGAAACTGAGGTTGCGCTGGGGAATACCGGAACTCTGGACCGCCGACGGCACTGGTATCCGGGACTCTGGGACTTGCGTACGGGGTGACCTGCCAGAGACTGACCCGTAGTGCTTGCCTTCCTCGGGCGGGTTCTGTGTCAAGGGTCCACCGTGAGACGAGACATCGGACTGTACTTCGATCGGCTCGAGTGGCATGCGGACCCTCTGCTCGCGCTGGCCTGTTGGGGCACCAGCCTCCTTGAAGCGGACCTGCTGTGTCGCGGTCTTCTCGCTCATGTCTTTGCTCACACGCTCCCGGGCCAGCTTCTCGGCGGCCTCCATGCGTGCTCGCTTCTCTTCTTTGGTAAGAACGCCCTCTAGCCTCTGCAGAGGAGACCGGTCCTCCGTAAACTTCTTCCGCCGGCCGGATGGATCTCCCAAAGAAGCACGCCTCTGGTGGTCCTGTGGCGACCAAGCCGCGTCCTGGGGAGTTCCATTGACCGGCACCGCGCCTGGCCGACCTTGATACTGGTCGTAGCCGCTGGAGCGGCGGCGTCCGTTGGCATTGGCGTCAAGCTTCTGCTTCGACCTATCCAGCGGCGGTAAGTCAGTGTGTGGCGAATCCTCAGGAGATGGCCCTTTGTAGTATTCCTCTGCTGCCGCGGCCGACATATTCGGGGGGCGGTCGTTCCGTCGCATATTGGGAGGGACTGCAGCGCCACCTGATACTGTGTAAGGCAAGCCGCCGTTCCCATACGGATGGCGGTAGCTCAATGGAGGGCCTCGCGGGACTTCTGGCGCGGCTGGCGGTGGCGCTTCGCCGTCGTCGGCACCAGCATATCTTGCCAACTGCTCCTCTTCCTCCTGATTCCGGCTTTGGCGACGCCGTCTTCTGTCTGCGATCTCTGGTGGGTATTGGTTTTCGCCGTAGGGGAGGGTGGGCGGTCGGGGAGCAAGACCTCGTTCGTTGAAGCTCGAAGCGGTGGGTGAGACGAAGGGACTGCGGGTGGACTCGGTCGGGGCGTCGGTATATGTGGTCTGGACAGACACTCGGTTTGGTCTCGGGTGAGGCTGGGCGCTGCTCTCGAGAGATTGTCTGCGATTGGCGGCCGGGTCGAAATCGCCGCCAGAGGTGCGCTGGGCCGTGGACTGAGCAGCGCTTCTTCCGCCGGCTGGCAGGCTACCCCAGTATGGCGTAGACATGATCGCAGGGCAGCTGCGTCGTCGGGCTTGGATTTGTCTCTCGGGATAGGACAGAGGCGGTGGGCAAGGGTACTAGAAAATGTTTGCGATTCGCTGAGTTGGCAGTTCAGGCATCATGCACGTATTCCGTTCAGCTGGCCAATGCCGTCGGGACACACATGCAGCAGTGCTTGGGTTGGTTGGGCGGTAAGGGCAGATCGATGCAGAAAAGAGCTATAAAGAGACAGGCCCAAGGTAGGGTAGCTAGGTAGGAAGCTCGGGACAATCGCGATGCCAGGAAAAAATGAAGAGGCTGACGTCGAAGAAGCTTGGAGCACACACCCTGGTCACACTGGAGAGACGCAAGCAAGCAAGCAAGTACACGCACACACACGCACACCTCCTCCGCTGAAACGGAGCCGGTCTTCTTTCACATTCTCAGGAAGGGACCCGCGCGAGTTACAGAACGTCAAAACGATCCGTCCTGAGGCTAATTCGGCCTCTCATTGGAGACTCGGGTAGTTGCATGACAGTTCAGCCCGAGCTGGTTGTGTCTACGCCTCACCGCACTCCGGACACTCGATCACCCACTTGCATCTCTGGGCCGGAACAGAGGTGAGCGACGGAAAACGAAGAGGCGGTCGATTGGGCGCAACAGCTCGTTCAGCTAGTTTTCAGCAGGGATCCCAGGCCTTTTCTTCCGCACGAGGCTAGCAACATGGCCGGGAAGTTGGCCGCTAGCAGGGGTAGACTGCGTGCTGGCTGATCATTCGGCGGTGGGGATCAGCACAAGCGATCAACTGAAATGGAAATCTGGTGGCTGGGGATGATGCCAGGGCAGAAAAGGTCTGTTCGTATCAACAATCCTGCTTCTCCGGTGCCACGGCGTCGATTCGTAGGGCGGCCCGTGTGATCATGGTGCCAATTGATGGAGGGAGCAGATGTAAACGGGTAAATGGGCCGAAAGACGAAGGCGACGACGTTTGGGGCAGGTGGTGAGCATTTGGCGGCTACCCGAATTCCTGTCTGATGTCTTTTCCCCGCCAGCAAGCGGGAGTAGCCGTCCTTTTTTCCCAAGCCAGACGCCGCCACATGAGAGAGGCATGCTCTCTCTCGGGAGACTGGAGAACGGAGCGGAGGCTAATCTGGCTGACACGAGTTTGTTGTGCAAGTAGCCTGGCGTCGGTGTCGTTTGGGTGCCAGCTGCCAGACAGGTGCCCAGTCCTGGTTCCACGTTCAGGCAAGTCTGGTACAAGTACTTGTACGTGCTGGTCTCACCAGCCCTCCAGGGCTGTCTCTCCAAACGTGATGAGCCTGCACTACCCGACCAGTCGTTTCCTGGATACCTGGCCCTCTGCTACGTCGTGTTTCATTGCTTGCCTCTACGTAACAGCAGGAGGCAGGTGTACAAGGACAGCACTTGGAGTAACAGCCAAGTGGACACCAAAAATAAACCGGCTGATGGCAGATCAGGTTCTGTGCTCCCTGATTCCGTGTTTCGTCTACGAAACAAGACAGCCCCCGTGCGAGACAACCGAACCTCGAGTGTTTTTCTCTGAGATACCGGTTACTGGACCCTTTAGACTCTGTAGTCTACCTACAGCGAAGATCAAGGTCTTACACTTCTCAGTCCCAAACATCGGATTTGGCACGAGGTCGCATGCTTGTGTTCTGGTCTGTGATTCGCCTCAGCGCTTGGCGGGCAATGCTAGCAGCAATGGGTTTCCCACTCTGAGCCACTCTAGTGGCTGCTAGTAGCGTTTGCACCTCTGAAGCTCCTCTGGGACGCCCGCTATTCTGACCCGAAAACGTCTGGCCTGGCGGCTCCGCCTGCGTGTGCCGCGTAGTCGCCCCCATCTTTTTTTTCTGTAGTGCCCTGTACCCATGAATGAATACAGGGTCTGGTGCTGGGGGCTTCGGGGGGGGACACATGTCCCTTGTTGAAAGTCGACAGTGATAGCCGTTCGCCAAGTAACTACATTCGCATTCTGAGAATAAGGGCATTCATTTTCTCCCTTTTGCAGTAGCATTGCATTGTCCGTCATCTTCATACCATACGCCATTGCTTTCTGTGTCCAGACCGCCGTCGGATTTAGTGTCTGCCGCTTTGGTTCAGACTCGTCCGGCGTGCGAACCTTACTCTCGACATCTCCCTCCCGTCATTCGCCTCCGCACGCGCGGTTGCTGACTAGAGGCCAACCTCCCTTTCTCACTGACCACGACACCTCGAACAAAGAATACCCGGTATCACCATTCGCACGCATGCCTGAGTAACAGTCCAATCCGGCTCACCTCCCTCTTTTTATCCCTCTTCTCTGCGCGCTTGGCCGCTCCCGACCGGCTTCCCGCGCCCGAGTCATTCTTTTCGCCTCCACGATGAAGCTCTACGCGCTGCTGGGCCTGCTTGGCTTGTCGACTTTTGCTGCCGCTGGCGGCTCCGAGTCGCTGTCTCAGAGCTACGATACGAATGACTACTATGTCCTCCATCTCGAGCGAGACGCCTCCCCTGACGAGGTGGCCCTGCGACTGGGAATGGTCCACAAGGGTCCGTTAGGGGAGCTGCAGGACCATCACATGTTCGCGTCCCGCAAGGAGGCGCATGATGTCGTCAAGAGAGAGATCCACGAGAGGAAACGGAGGAAACGTCAAATAGGCTTCCGCGACGTCCTCGACGGAGTCCTCTTTTCACAGAAGCAGGCTCTGCGCCAGCCGTGGGAGAAGAGGATCATCCCCCGTCGCCCTCAGAACATGGTGAACCCCCCAACCGATGAGCAGGAAGGCCCGGATGCGCAGGCGGTGGAGAAGCAGACCAGAGTCATCGACACCCTCGACATCAGGGATCCCATATTTCCCCTGCAGTGGCATCTTTTCAACCCCGTTCAAGTCGGCCACGACGTCAACGTCACCGATGTCTGGCTGCAGGGCGTTACCGGAAAGAACGCCACCGTCGCAATCGTAGATGATGGTCTCGATATGTACAGCAACGATCTCAAGGACAACTTTTATGCACAGGGCTCGTACGATTTCAATGAGAAGACCGAGGAGCCAAAACCCAGGCTGGCCGACGATAGGCACGGCACACGCTGCGCCGGTGAGGTGTCAGCTGTCAGGAACAACGTCTGCGGTGTTGGCGTCGCCTATGACTCCAAGATTGCTGGCATCCGGATCCTGTCCAAACCCATCTCGGACGCCGACGAAGCCCTAGCTATGAACTACGACTTCCAAAACAACCAGATTTACTCTTGCTCTTGGGGCCCGCCTGACGATGGTAAGAGCATGGATGCACCCGGCATTCTTATCAGGAGGGCCATGCTGAACGCCGTACAAAACGGCCGCGGCGGGCTCGGCTCCATCTACGTTTTCGCTAGTGGAAACGGCGCTCTGAACGAGGACAATTGCAACTTTGACGGATATACAAACAGCATCTACAGCATCACTGTTGGTGCGGTTGACCGGAAGGGAAAACACCCCTACTATTCCGAGAAATGCTCCGCTAGCTTGGTCGTGACCTACTCCAGCGGAAGCAACGATGCAATCGTGAGTACATCAAAGCCCCAAGATTAGAGTCTCGCGCCATGATGCTGACCACCTGCTAGCGAACTACTGACGTCGGACCCAATAACTGCGCCGACCAGCATGGAGGCACATCGGCTGCGGCTCCTCTCGCGGCTGGTATCTTTGCTCTCGTGCTGCAAGTTCGCCCGGATCTCTCCTGGAGAGACATGCAGTACCTGGCCTTGATGACCGCGGTTCCCATCAACCTGGACTCTGGCGACTGGCAAGAGACTAAGATTGGCAAGAAGTATAGCCACACGTTCGCCTACGGCAAGATCGATTCCTACGGCATTGTCGAGGCGGCCAAGACCTGGAAGAAGGTCAAGCCCCAGGCATGGCTCTTCTCTCCCTGGATTCATGTCAATGAGGCCATTCCCCAAGGCGAGACCGGTATCTCTGTCAGCTTCGACGTGAACCCCGACATGCTCAAGGAGGCCAACTTGGAGCGCATCGAGCATGTCACCGTGACCATGAACGTAGCTCATACCCGCCGTGGCGACCTCAGCGTCGACCTCGTCAGCCCCAACAAGGTCGTCAGCCATCTTTCCGCGACTCGCAAGAACGACGAGGCTACCACCGGCTATGAGGACTGGACCTTCATGAGTGTCGTCCACTGGGGCGAGAGCGGTCTCGGCACCTGGACCGTTGTCGTCCGCGACACCGTCGAGAACGAGCACACGGGCAACTTTACCGACTTCCACATCAAGCTCTGGGGCGAGGCTCGCGACGCGGAGAAGGCCACCCTCCTGCCCATGCCCAACGAGGACGACGACAAGGACCACGCCTCCATCATCTCCACCACCACCACGGCGGCCGCCACCTCGGCCACCGTCAAGCCCGACCCAGAGGTCACAAAGCCCGTCGTCGAGCCCGGCGTCACGCCCACGGACCAGCCCACGCGGCCCGTCAAGCCGACCACGACCCCGGCCGACGGCGCGCCCGCGGCCGCCGAGACGTCGGCGGCGCCGACGAGCTCCTCGTGGCTGCCGTCCTTCCTGCCCACGTTTGGCGTCTCGTCGCGTACCCAGATCTGGATCTACGGCGCGCTCGGCCTCATCGTCGCCTTCTGCTGCGGCCTCGGCGTCTACCTGTACATCGCGCGCCGGCGCCGCCTGCGCAACAGCCCGCGCGACGACTACGAGTTTGAGCTGCTCGACGAGGAGGAGGCCGAGGGCCTGACGGGCGGCGCCGGCGAGAAGGTCCGCGGCGCCGTGGGTCGCGGCGGGGCCGGCGGGCGCAAGGCCAAGCGGGGCGGCGAGCTGTACGATGCCTTTGCGGGCGGCAGCGACGACGAGGACGAGGACGAGGACGACGATGGGTTTGCTGCCGGCGGCGCGGCCGGCTATACCGACCGCAGCGGGTCGGACGAGAGGGTCAACGAGAAGAGCAGGAGGAGGAGAAGTGGTGACTCGGCACGAGGGAGCCGGGAGGAGGACGACGAGGAGGAGGAAGAAGAGCAGCACGTCATTGGGGCCGACTCGGATGACGATGAGGGCAGTGAGGATGGACAGGATCGGGGCCTGGTAGGGCGGTGAGTCCACCACACCTGGAGTCAACCCGGGGCCGGCGTAATCTGTTTGGGGTCTGTTGTTTTTCCTTTTAGAATAACCAAAATCCATTGCGCTTGCGTTTGTTCTTTTCTTTTTTACATTATCAGCATTCCTGGGAGTTCTCTACGGTCAACAATAGGACGAAAACAAAGTTCTCTCAGCATGGGCTTTTCCCCACGCGTGCCTTGCTTGCTCTGTCTGATCTGCCATCAGGTGTGGAATAACGAAATGGGATGCGATGGGGAGGGGGGGACATAAGACTCAATACTTGTCAGCGACGGACAGCATTTGCCTCTTATTTTGCAATAATACCGCATCAGAGTGTAGTAAAGCTATTCGAAAAAAGTAACGCCCGTTCATCATGAAGACTTGACAAGCACACACACACACGCCATTACCTACCCCCTTTGCATCATAAGCTGCCCAACCCCCACCAACCGTGATCACCTCACATCTACACCGGTGTCTACGGCACCAGAACGCCGTCCTTCTCCATCTCCTTGACGTACCGCTCCCAGATGTTGGCCACGCCGTCGTAAAAGGTGATGTGGGCGTCGGCCAGCGCGCCAAACTGGCTCTTGAACTCGCAGCGCTTGATGCGCTCAAAGTCGGCGACCTCCTTGACGACCTCCTCGTCAAACATCTCGCTCGTCTTGTGCGCGCGCTCCACCTCGGCCGTCAGGTCCTCGATGCGCATCTCGAGCTTGCGCTGCCGCTCGCGCCGGCTCTGCTCGTGGTCCACGCCGCGCACGTCCTCGATCTTGCCGCGCAGGTAGGAGCCCGCGCCCGCGAGGGCCCCGCCGGCCCCGCCGCCGCCGCCGCCGTGGTAGCCCGAGGCGAGCATGTCGCGGTCCGCGGTGCTCTTGTTGAGGTACTCGGTCAGCTGCTCGTAGTCGAGCTGCTTCTGCTCGCGGGCCTTGAGCAGGTTCTTGAGGGCCCCGCTGTAGGCGGCCATGTCTCGCAGGCTGCCGAGGTAGTCCTGGTCGGTGTGGTCCTTGAGCTTGTGCAGGCCGGCGGCCGTGTCATCGACCGAGGCCGCGAAGGCGTGCACGGCAAACTCGACGCCCGGTTCAAGCGTGATGAGCTTCTGGAACTGCTCGGCCAGATCGGCCAGGTCGGCCTCGAGGTCAGCTTCTCGCCGAGCCACGCGCGCGACGACCTTTTCGACGTGGCCGAGGTCTTCGTCTAGCTTGTCGCTGCGTTCGCGCACTTCGATGAAGCGCCGGTCTGGCCGGTGGACCTTGGTGAAGGCATTTATGAGGCTGTCGGCAAAGTTATCGAAAGCGCTGCTCTCTCGGTCTCGGTCCGTGCTGGCCCGCGCAGACCGGGTTCGCATGGTCGCATTCCAGTCCGGTGACTCCAGGAACTGGTGAAGGATTGCGGCGCGGCGCAATATAGGATGTAGTGAGCAGCGAGCGAGAAACCTCTGTAGAGAATGAGCACGTCGTGAGGTGAACTCGTTGTCAAAGCGGCTGTTCTTGACATAAGACTCCATGCGCTGCTTGTCCGGGAGCGGTGGGACGGCGCAGGCGGGATAATCGCGACATAGCGTTTTGTAAAGGAACACAAAGTCTGTGAAGCGGCGACGGACAGAGACTGTAGATTTGGAGAAGGATTGGAAGGTGGTCTGTATAGATGGCAGAGATTAGTCCAGTGTACCACCAGAGAATGTAGAAACCAGGGCGCTAATGTGGCATTCATGGTACTCACATTCGTCGTGATGAGATAGGTGATGTATCCCTGGCCACCGCCGCCCTCGTTCTCCTTCAGCGGCGAGGATACAGTGCAGCTGAGCGTCTCTCCGCCAATGCCGGTGCCTTCCATTCGGTGGTAGTCGGGGACCGGCTCATCTGGATCCTTGCCGTGGGTGGTTTCTAGGATCGTGGCACCTCCCTGCGGAGCACTGCTGGACCCTGACGCCTCCCCCCGCTGCTCGCTATGCCATGATATGTTTGAGAAGTTGTCTTGCTCCATGATGGCCAGGGAAGGTCAACACCAGAGGAGGGACAGGAACGGGTGTCCCACAGCTGCGGGATGACTATGCTGACTGATTGCCCAGCAGGGAAAGAGGAAAGAAAGAGGTCGACGGAAATTTGGTGGGAGATTGAATGATCGAGGAGGTTTGCAACCCACCTCGGAGTCTTGCGAAAGCTGGGTCTGAGTCTGGGTTACTTGGAAGGCCGTCTGTCGTGGAAGCTTGTGAAGGAAGGCTGGGTGTTACGATTGGGGGGTTGACGTATGGTGGGGAATTGGCGCAATCGAGCTCCAGGAGGGCTGCCTTGGGGGGGTGCCAGTTAACTATGGAGTTAGAGCAGTGACGGCGAATGGGTGCAGATTACCTCACCAAGAAAGGTACCGCGCTAACTTGATTCAACCTCACATTTAGCGCACGAACCAAGCCTATGACGACTCGCTGAGCTCCGGTGGGCCAGGACCCTGGGGAATATCGCTGATTCCTGGCTCGTAACACTTCGAGGAGAAGAACCGCATTCCCATCTGAAAGAAATCATGACAGCGATGTCTTGGTTCTGGCTCACCAACCTTACAATAAAAGTCTCGGCCTGCGCCAAACCCATACTGGTCAAAACGCAGTCTGTGCACAGGAAACTTGGAGAACGCTGTCTTAAGTGACTTGAGTTATTGTGAACTTCTATAGTTGAGGATATTCTATCCCAGTCCTTGTGTGTCGAGATGATTGTTCTATAACCTCCCAAAAACCCTGGTTATCCCGGGGGCCCGTTTGCCTCCGCTATCTTGTAGTACAGGAGAGGAACCGTGCCCCTCATATGCCATAGACAAAAGAAATAGTACAATGCGTGCGATAGCATGCCCCTAGTTGTCGCCACCCTTGGCCGACTTCTCCGCCTCATCACGCCTGACCGCGTCGATGTGGTCCTTCTCGGCATCCACTGCTTCGCTGACCTGCGCCTTCTCGAGGCCATGAGATTCGGCATGCAGCTGCCTCTCCTCCTTCTCGTCGATGTCGTCCACATCCCTGGGGGTGGCAAACCCTGTCTCCTGGTTCTCCTGGTTCTGCTCATTCTCCTCCTCGATGAGGTCCTGCTGCTCCTTGAGAACCTCGAGACGCTGCTTGTTGGTAGCAGCACCTTCAGCGTTATGAACCTCGAGTTCGATCTCGTGGAAGAGCTCCTCAGGGATGGCTGACAGAACACCGGTGAGCGCCTCGATCTGAGTGGCGGCGCCCGACTCGGCCGTGCTCGACTGGCCGTACATGTAGGCGTTGCTCAGGACAAGCAGAGTGGACGGGACACCTTCCTTGAGACGCAGGTCCAGCCAGGTCTGAAGATCCTCCCGCAGCCTCGCCGGCGACACTCCGTGGGACTTGATGCCCCTGCTCGCACATGCCGTCTGCAACTCTGATACCGTCAGACTCTCCACGCCCTCAAAGCTGATAGCTCGGTCGTCGCGCTTGATCTGCCGCATCCTGTGGCGGATTTGATACCGGAGCATCATATCGGTACCAAACGTGTTGAGGTTCATGTATCGGCACATGGAGACCAACTGCGGCCTGGACAGGTTGTCTAGGGTGAGATCGTCCTTGAAAATCTTGCATACTTTGATCACATCCTGGGCAGTGGGCTGCTCTCCGGTTGCCCTGACCTTGCGGAAGAAGTTGGTGAACTCCTCCTTCTGTGCGGTCGCGGGGGTCAGCGGCAGGCCGGTCTCCTTCAGCGTCTGCTGCAGGAAGGAGCTGACCTCCTTGCGGGTCAGTCTGAGCGTAGAGGCCTTCTTGTCCTTGGACTTCTGCCCTTCGTACGTGCTGGGCAACAGGTTGGGGAAGAGCTTCAGTGCAACGGGAAGAAGCAACTCGGCGAATGGCACAATGACAAAGACGGAGAAAGGAACAAGCCGGCCAAGATCCTGTACAGTGCGCTGGAGTTGCCTGTTTTCCCTCCTGGTGAGCTCATAACCAGCTGCCATCTTGAGCGCGAGCCGGCTGCTGATCTTGACCTCGGTGGCCAGCAGCTTGGTGCCATCCCAGTAGTGCTGAACTTCTTTCTTGATCTTTTGACCCAGGGTCAACTTCTTGTCCTCTTTCTTGGCCTCTTTCTTCTCCGCTGCCGACTCCTTCTCGGCGGCAAGTTCGGAGAGGGAAGCAGGTCGGGAAGCAGCCTCCTGGGCTGTCTTCTTCAACTCGTCGGCATCGGCCTGCTTCTGCTCGGCAGAGGTCTTCGGGGCTGCGTTTTGAGACTCTTTAGGCAGGGGTTTCTTGGCTTTCTCTGCATCGAAGCCAGGCGGGGGACCGGATGGCGGGCCCGAGCTGGCGTGCGTCTCGGTCGAGAGGTTCCGCACGGGTATAAGAAGAGCAAGCGCAGGGTTCTGGTGGGCGAGGATCCTCGAGTTTCTGGCCAGTTGCATCGAGGAAGACCGCATTGCAGTCCTTGATATGGCGCGACCTGTTGATGCGTCAGTATGCGGGAGTTTTGGATGGCGCATGCAGGGTCTGTCTGTAACGCACCGTTGCCCAGGAACGGGTTAAGGACGACCGCCCGGCGGGCGACACTGGCTGATGCGCTCATGCTTGGACTGCTGCCAGAACAGATGTGCTAGACGTGGGAGATAGACGAGATGGTGTTCCAGATGGTAGAGGTACGAAAGAACAGGAGAGAGTGTCGGCAGTGGGTTGAGAGATAGAAAGAGTGATGACGGAACAGTGTGGGTAAGATGCCCGTCTTGTACGAATAGGTAAGTGAAGTATCTATCCCCAGAAAACCCAGCCAAGCCGCAAGTGCCCGAGCCAAAACGCAAAAGTGCCAGCGAATACTGGCCCAATGGTCCCTCCAGTTATCCAGTTGCAGCCCGCGCTAACTCCAGGGGGTTCTCTCAGCGTGGCGGATCACGTGGTGGACCCTTCTCCAAGTACCCGCCAAAGCTTATTTTGGTGTGCAAGGTACCTGGCTTCTAGCCTTGGATCCGAATGCCCGATACGCCCGAAGACGCACTGTGAGCGTTCAGAGGCAGAAGACGGTGGAAGTTGGACCCTCGAAGCACCAAGCCCACAGTGTGGAGTCCTCCTGAGCTTTCTGACCTGCAAGTCCTCAACAAAAATGGCTCTCCTATTACTGGCCGTCTCTACTTGTACTTGTAAAGATGTACTTGCGCCGTAGTCGACTCGCGTGCTGTGCTGAGCAAGACTCGACTCGATTCATTTGCCCCCCTTTCTTGCCTTCTAAGTTTACGACTTTTGCAGCCCTTGCAGGAGGTCTAGATCTCCGAGCCACGCACACCCAGGCCAAGGTGCAAGGGGCAATGCCTTGTGGATTGCATTGGCAAATCGAGCCTGAGTCGAAAACAATCAATATGTTGCCCCTCGTTTCGCAGCACATGCCTGAGTTCCGTCTTGTCCTCCAGCTGTTCCTCAGCAATTGCATGTCTCGAGTTAGGGAATTATCCACGGGTAACCATGCAGATGTCCCGAAAGAGACAAGACTACCTGCCATCCCATTCATATCTTGAAGTACAGAACAGAATGAACATTGAAGCACCTACCTAGTTTATCTGTGCGAGTAGCTGTCCCGGTATTACCAAAGCGGTCGATTGTGGCTTAGCTAAGTCAGTGCCATTTGCCGCTCTTAGTGGCAGATCCACTGCAATCAGATCTGTAGCCTGTCGCGAGTGCTGTAGAATGCATGTGAGCCTGGTCTCTCTCACGCCGAGCCCGTTCACAAACTCGAGCTCGGACCCGAGATTGGTATCTTCAATGAAGCCAGAATCCATCGTCCAGCAATGGAATCGTGATAGTTCGACTCATCCTCCGCACACACACCATCTGTCTAACATCCTATACTGTGTGCCGCATGTGTTGAGTTGGTCCGTGTGATATATCACAGTTCATACAACACCTTGCCACCAGAGCTCCGAGACGGACCGGGAACGGACGGCAGCTCCGACTCATCGCCGAGGATGGGTGAAGGAACGGAGCACCCGGGCAAACGCCGGAGGATTCTGGCTTGCGAGCGCTGCCGCCACGTCAAGGTCCGATGTGAATTTGATCGCTACAGCGGCGATTGTAAGAGATGCCAGCGTCTCAGGTGCGAAGGCCCCTCTGATGCGCTCACTCAAGGTGCACTCATCAAACTCATCAATGCTCACATGTGCCATACTTTCGCAGGCTCGACTGCTCCCTCATGCGCGAGCCTCGTACTGAACCGCCTGAAGGAGGCCGGATTGCGCAAAGCCCGGCGCCCGGCTTCGAGTCACTCAATTCAAGGTAGCATCTCACTCTGAACTACCCCTGGCTCATTCATCTAACGTACCGTCCTCTCGCAGACTAGATCGCCACGAGAGTCTCCTCGAGAGCCTTCGAGCAGAAGTGAAAACCTTGACTTCACACCTGAACAAGGACAATTCAACCGATACATCATCCCAGAGAGATGACACGGCCACGGCTTTCACCAGCGAGAAGGACTGGTATGGCCACCCGACCAATGCTCCGGATACCACCACGAATCTCGCGCCCATCAATATCATGCGTCGCCAGTATCCCGGACGTAGTGGCATCGAGCGTCTACTTGATGCAACAGACGACATCGTTATCCAGGGCATCATGACTGAAGAGCAGGCGCTCCGACTGGAGCAGGTGTATGTGCTCGTCATGGCTTCAGCATCGCGGATCCCCGCTAACTGTTCTCTTTCCAGATTCCTTCAGCGGTGCGGTCCATGGCTGCAGATTGAAGACTGGGCTGGCATGGGCAGCAATCTCGTCACCATCCGCAACAAGTCGGCATTGCTCTTCGCTGTGTGCTGCCTGCAGGGTTGTCGACTGGATGATGACTTTTGCAACTCGCCGCAGCATTACACACTGTACGAGCACGTGCGCAAGGCGATGCAGAGGCTGTTCCTGATCAGCCCTTTACCGACAGACGCATGTCTAGCGCTTTTGATTATGACTGTGTGGAGTACCAGCCCAGAGGAGACTTCCGAATTCATCGACAGCTGGGTCCTCAGCGGCTATATTGCACAGCAGGAGATGCTCAACCTCAGCTTCACCAGGATCATTTCGAGCCTGAGATCCGGAGCTGCAAGCCCGCTGGATAGGTTGAGCCTGAGGCTGTGGAACTCAACGTGCTTGTGCCATCTACAGTGAGTTCAATAGTTTAGAGCTCAGGTGAGGATTTGGCTGACCGTATTCAAGGTATGCTATTGGTACTGGACGGCCTCCAACCATTGCCAAATCCTACATTGAGCAAGCACGCACCATCATCGACTCCTTTGAAGCATCGGCTTACGATGGCTATGAGCTCGCTGGTCTCGCCATGCTCATGCTCACGGAGGAGGTGCTGTCCGAGGAGGTCTTCTCGAGATATGGCCATGTCCAGAGGGCAATAACGCGATGGAAGAATCAATGGCACCACCTATTTGGTATGTTATCACTTGATTCTGGAGACGGGTGACGATTAACACGAGGTCTAGAAAATCGAGATGATCGTTTCTGCTCGATCAAGTTGACTTCCAACTTCTGCCAACTCGTGATAACTCGCAGAGCTCTTGAAGAGCACAGGGCGCAACGGCAGAGTCGCATCATGGACGGCCAGAATGGGTCAGACATTGGCCACGAGTCAGCCTCATCCGACAATCGGCAGGCCCAGGAGGCCAAGCTGTTCGAGCAATGGACTGCGCAGAGCAGGGAGAATGCTCTTCAGCTCGTCGAGACATTTGGACAGTTGCCAGGCACTATCGTCCGAGAGCTACCCGACTTCTTCTACCTTGTCGTAACCTACGGCATGACGGTACTTGCTCACTTCATCTACAAGCCCCCGCTGCTGGGCGCATCCGCCATCACAAGCCCGCGAAGCAACGAGGAGATTGCGGCGATCCTGCAGGACGCTATGGCGCATGGGTCACGTACAGGATCCAAGACCATGAGATTGTTCGAGTTGACGATCACGAGGCTGGCAGAGGCGTTGGACACGCACCCGGGAGAAGCTACGGCCGGCACAGGGAACGGGGCCATGGCGGGCGGCGGCGGTATGACCGGGGTAGACCGACTGCTCGGACCCGATGCCACCGGTACAAGCGCCGACGTATTGGGCTTCTCTGAGAACTGGGTCACACCAGATCTCGAGGCACTCTTTAACGACATGCTTCCCGAGTTCCTTGTGCCCCGGCCATAGGACAGAGACAGAGGGAGAATTGGTTACAGTTGGTGTGGTTTTGGATGATCTCAACTCCCCCAGTCGTAGTGACACTTAGCCGGTGCTTCTTCGCGTATAGTGATCAATGCTGATGATCTCGAGATTAATGAAATATCCATGCCTGCATTTTGTTTTGCAACAGTACGTCGTCCCTCCACCATCCATGTCTTCACTGTTGCATCCACGGCTTCAATGTCCAAGTCCGTCTATGTATGTGGTCATGCACACCGTCCATGGAACCATCATCCCGCCCAGTGGTTGACCCCACGAGGGACATGCTCCGTTGCGATTAGGGGTCTCTTAGGTGGCGCCTCGTGTCCACTGGTGTCCCAGGCGCCCTGGTACACTTGCCCAGGCGACCAATACGCGTGCTATCGCGCCCACTAGCCCGCTGCTGAAACCCCTCCAAAGTCACCCACCGAGCGGAGCACCTGCGCCGGTGCCATGCGGCCCACCGACCGATATGCACATCCGCTGCGACTGCTGCGGGGGGAGATATGGCAGGCAATTGAAACCTGTTGCCGATCATCAGAGCCCGTCATGCGGCCGCTGCCAAGTCTGCTGGAAACTTGCGACGGCCCTTGACTTCGTATCGTTGATTCTTGTATTTCTTTGTTTCCTCGTTTCTCTTCATCCCATATCTTGTCTATACATTGTCCAAGTCCCGCTGGGTTTTCGTCCTCGCTCTCTTTCCTGGTTCAAGGTGGCACTTGTGCGTCCTTTCTTGGGTTATCATTGCTGAGCGGCTGTACTGCATTGCTTGCTTCCAACAGAGTCGCTAGACGATTTGAGTTGTTTTATCCCTCCTGCCACGAAGCATTGGATGTACATCGGGGTGTTATAAACTTTATAGAGTGTCTCCAGATCACGATTGGACAACTTACAGCTCTTCAGGACACTCACAGACCTCTTGGCGAACCTGGGTTGAAACGCCCTCAGGTCAGGGCTGAGAGGTTGTCTCGGCAAGATTCAACGGCACGGCGTGGCTTTCACTGCGTTTTCGATCAAGCAGAGAAAGCCAGGGGTTCTATCCTGCTTAGCATAGGCAGTGTGAATGCCTGCTACTGGGACAAGATCGCCTCTGCTACGACTTGAATAGCTCCTCTTATGAGAATGCTCAAACGGCAACCTGAGTCTCGATCGCCGTCATGATAGCAACAAGGCTCTGGGTTGCCGCCACCGCGGTTGCCAGTATAGCCAGTCCAGTCACAGCAAGGTCATTTCTCCCCTTCTCAAGGGATGTGGCCAACGCGGAGGCCGATCCCACCCTATCCAAGGGCCAGATCTTTGAGGACATGCTGTCAGCGCTCAAGACTATGCAGGACACCTACTTCCAGCCCTGGCTGGGAACATGGCCTACCGCCATCGACTGGACCGCCGCCGTCATGGGCTCTCACGTCGCCGGTGCTCTCAGCTCGCTGTCTCGCGGCTTTGAGCAGAAGGAGCTGGCTGAGTCTATCGACTACAGGGTTCGGGAGAACCTCATCACAACCTACTTCTCCCAGCTCATCAGCTACTACTTCGGCCAGGACGCAATTGCCATTCGGAACGAGGCTTACGATGACATCCTCTGGGTCGTCCTGGGCTGGCTTGATGCTATACAGTTCATCAACTACCACGCAAAGCTCTACTACCCTTCCTCCCCCATCGCGGACCCGCAGGGTGGCATTGCTGGCATGCTGCGCAATCAGACCTGGTACGGAAACACCTGGATCCCACCTTTTGCCCACCGATCCCGCCTGTTCTGGGAGTTTGCCGTCAAGGGTTGGGACACGCGCCTCTGCGATGGCGGGATGAACTGGAACCCGCGCCTCGAGCCTTACAAGAACGCCATCACCAACGAGCTCTGGATCTCGGCATCGGCCAACATGTACCTCTTCTTCCCGGGGGACGATAACACCTCCCCCTACATGGCCGGCGCCAGCGGCCCGCACGACCCGGCCAAGCCGCACGAGCGCAAGTACCTCGACGCCGCCCTCGACGGCTACGCCTGGCTGTCCGCCTCGGGGATGACCAACGACCAGGGGCTCTTCATCGACGGCTTCCACATCTCGGGCTACAACCAGAACTCGTCCAACACCAAGTGCGACGTCCGCAACGAGATGGTCTACACCTACAACCAGGGCGTCGTGCTCACGGGCCTCCGGGGCCTGTGGACGGTCACCGGCGACGACAGGTACCTGCGCGACGGGCACCGGCTGATCCAGAACGCCGTCAACGCCACGGGCTGGGACCTGCGCGGCGACCGCCCCGTCGACGACCTCGGCGGCCTGAAGCCGGGCCAGCTCCCGCCCTGGCGCGGCCTCGGCCGGGGCGGCGTCATGGAGGACCAGTGCGACGTGTCGGGCGACTGCTCGCAGGACAGCCACACCTTCAAGGGCAACTACTTCCACCACTTCACCGCCTTCTGCGCGCCCCTCGACGTCGCCGTGCCGCCGGCCTCCTCCTCTTTCGCCTCCGGCTCCGTCGCCGGCGACCTGGCCGAGGTGGCCCGCGAGCACGACGCCGCGTGCTCGGCCTACGCCCACTGGCTGCGGCACAACGCCCGCGCCGCGCTCGCGACGCGCGACGGCAGGGGCGTCTTCGGCATGTGGTGGACGGCAGGCCTGCTCAACCTCGGCGGCACGAGCGGCGGCGGCGGCGCCATCGTGCCCACCACGCCCGACGGCGACGGGGAGCGCGGGGTCGACTACCGCACCTACGGCGTGCCCGACGACGACGTCTGGGTCCCGCACGGCGGCGCGAACGTGGCCCACTCGGCGGCGCGGAACCTGCCCGCCGCCGCGGCGTACAGGAGCGGCCAGGGCCAGGTGCCGCTGGACTCTTCGCGCGGTGGCAGGGGGCCGGGCGACGCGTCGGACCCCAACACGAGGGGCCGCGGCCGGACCGTGGAGACGCAGGGCAGCGGGCTGGCGCTGCTGCGGGCGCTGTGGGAGGTCGAGAACCGGATGGCGAGGTGATATGCCGTCGGAGACCCCCTTTTCTTTTTCTCTTTCACAGTTACGATATCTTGCCTTGGACGCACACGTATGTATATACTTTGACCAGAATCGTTATGAGATGATATGCCTAGATAAATGCAGTATGACTCGGAATCAAACTTTTTTTCCGAAATAAGCCTGTCTACTTAGGCCATGAGAGTTACACATGCTTGAGAATCATCGATGCGCTGCATTATAAGCTATTCTACTTACCCCATCATTGGTAAGATGAAGCTCCGTTTCCCTTCCCCGACTCGAAATGTCCCTCCCCATTGAAACTACGATAGAAACCCTGTCTCCATCTAATCAGCCCATTCGTTCCTCATGCCATTCTGCCCGCTGCGGCTCGAGCTCGCACCAGCGAGCGCGTCGTCCTCGTCGTCCTCGTCCAGAGCTCGAGCGAGCTCGTCGGGGTCCTTCATCTTGGCGTCCGGGTCCACCGTGCCGTCGATGTTGTGGTCCCCGTCCAGGCGCTGCTCGTGCTCCAGCGTCGTGTCGTCCGCGCTCACCGAGATGCCTCGCGACCCCCACTTGGCCCTCTGCGGCCCGCGCCCGGGACCGGCCTCGCCGTTGCGCGCCCCGCCGCCGCCGCCGCCGAGCGCGGGCGCGTTCTCCTCGTCGTCGCCCTCGACGTGGTCGAAGCGCTTGCCGAAGATGCGGTTGAGGAGCCAGCCGCGGCGCATGTCGTCGGCGTCGACGACGCCGCCGTTGCGGAGCTTGACGCGCTGGCGCGAGTAGTAGACCCAGGCGAAGTCGATGTAGAGGGCGGTCTGGATGATGCCGAAGATGACGGAGACGCCGTTGGGGGCGTGGTCCGAGGGGTCGAGGCCGCGCCAGATCCAGTTCAGGACGTAGAGGGCGCGGTACGAGCCGAGGGCCACGAGGTAGAACGAGTCGATGACGGTGGGCACGGTGGTCTGGCGCAGCAGGAGCAGCTGCGGCAGGACGCAGACGGACTCGAGGATCTCGGAGAAGTTCCACAGCCACTGTTTCCGGACAGCGTTAGCGCACCGGCGGGAGGAAAGCTTTTGGGTTTTGACAGTGGGGGTGGCTTACCCAGCGGAAGCTCCAGGAGGCCTTGTCCTCAAAGATGAGCATGGCGAAAGGCGAGAGCAGGAGGGACCCGGCCGTGACGACGGCGCCCATTTTCCAGGCTAGCTCCTTCTCCCTTGTTCTCGGATAGACCCATCGCATGATGGCGATGATGTAAATCGACGAGGTGATGTAGAATATCTTGAAGAAGAGGTTCCATAGGTACCTTTCTCGAAAGATGTCGAGGTAGCGGGTGCAGAAGACGACGGCATAGAGGACCTGTGTTATCATAGACACGCCTGCAGGCCACAAGGTTAGCTGCTGGCTATACCGCTATATCGTAGAGGCGTTCGCAGACGTACCCTCAGCACTTCTATTTCGATGGATGGCGAAGATCAGAATCGCCTTGGATAGGAGATGGGAGCAGTCTCCCAGGATCCGGAATATCTGCGCCTCATGTCAGTTGTTTTTGCCAGCCGTTTGTCCCTTGAGAGACAGATTTGTACTGACATTCCATCCTCCCATCTTGGCGATTTGTCCAACACAATGCAAAGGCTGTGGGCGGGATTACGGTGTTTCGGGGATTTGTTGGAGAGTTGAAGCTCAATCGGGGTTGCGCTTAGCTTGCTTCGTTCATCGCTCATGAGGATACGTAACGTGCGTGCGGGGAGGCTAAGCGTCGGAGCTCTCCACCCAACACCTTCAAGTCAATGAGGCGAGCACTGGATGCACAAACCAGCGAGGCAGGTTCTGGGAAACACGGCGCAAGTCTCTTCCAAAGGCCACCTATACTTAGGTTTCGATCTTTTCTCAAGAGGAGAGGAGCATCTACGAACAGGTATAGTTAGATATAGGTAGACTAACATCTTACCCCAATACCCAAGGACGGCGTGCATGCGTGGATGTTACGTGGACCACCACAGTGCTGCAGCCTGGGACCCGCGCCAGCGAAGGCGATATTCTGGTTGGAGCTCAGTGGACGTTTTGGGTGGATTCACACCCGCCCAGGCGCCCGGAAAGGTGCTGCTCGGCCTGGACTTGCACCGAACCTGGGGGGAGCTCAAACCCATCCCGCCAATGCATGCCTGAGGCCATGACACACAGGGTCGATGTGCCTCGCCTCGGGTGTGGACTCTATGATTCCTAGATTTCAAGTCATCCTCCAACCTGGAGTTGACGAGAAAGCTCGAACATTTCACTCGTCGCACTTTGTGCGCTTGTACAATCTGCATCATCGCGTTGGGCTAGCACTGACGAATAGCCAGTCTATAGACGACTGCTCCAAGCTCGACTGGTCCAAGGTGGTGTGGCGTGGTGTGACTGCGACCACGACTGCTTGCATTTAAAGAGTGCCAAAGTGCTTAACGACTTGCCTTCAAGATGCGTCCCAGTCGGATCACCATACTCGACCCGACCATCTGTTTGGCGCTATTCCAACTAATTCATCCGTTGGCATCTTTCGCTCGCTCCTTTGGGAAAACGATGCACATGGCTAGACGTGTCTAAGACAACAACTGCTAATCTCTATTTTCTCCAAGGCGTGGCAGCTAACTAAACGTAAAGTTGATACTCGAGTTCTTAGCCAGCATTAGCTTGCTACCTCAGTATTGACCTCCACTCGTGCAGAGTATCGAGAGTTAGGTAGTACGACTCGTCTGCGGTGTCTTCATGGAATCCGTCCCGAACCCCTCGAGATCTAGTTGGAACCTCTCCTCGCCCTGGACGCTGGATGTGATCTACGTCGCCGATTCTCGGGCCTTATGTCCTTTGCCCATGCACCAGAGCTGATCCTGGACACAGCGTCGGACTCCGGCTCAGGCCCTGGTTGCCTGGCTAGAGGCAACCAGTCACCGCCCGCTGGACCAATGTACACGCGACCTGTCTCGGCCCTGGCCTACGAAGCAAAGATAGGGCATATGCAGCCGGGAGCGCCAAGCAAGCGGGCGCGGGAAAGGCTTGCCGTCCGGTCCTCCTCTGCATCACTCGCGTAAAACATTCCACCAGGCAAGGGGCTCGCCGACTAGCCGGAGCCACTTATCAAAAATGACAGAGGAGATTTGCCTTGAGGGCGACCTACCTAGTCATGCGAGCTATGGTGGTCTCCTAGCCCGTGTGCCGTTGCTTCTTGGAGTCTTAGGTGGTGTGTGATCAATCTCAGCAATTCGGCACCTTCCACACAAACACTTACACAGGACCTTTTTATCACCAGTAGATTCACCCAGATTTCCGGTTCCTAACAGGAGTTCTTTAGTTCTCCGAGAGGCCAGAGAGGCGGGGAGTCGCACCTCAATGATGACGAGAAGTATCTGGGCGGGTAACCGGCTTCGGTGACGAACTTGGCTTCTCCCTGATCGGGTGAGACAGAAACAGATGCTATGATTGTCGGGTTCCAGGTGCAACCATCTGAAGCCAAAAGTAGGAAGCATGTCTCATTCCGCAGACCAGACCAAGCAATCACACGCTTCCATGCAGGAACACAAGCCGAAGAAGATCCCGGTCTGCTTGCCTACCTCATGAGATAGACAGCTGCCAAGCGAGTTTAACAATTGCTTTGTGAACAGCTGTTGTGCTGGGCAAGCCGTGACCCCATCTTGGGGATGGATGCTTTTCTGATGTTTGCCTGTCTCTACCCGATGCGCAGTTCTACAGATGCCGTTTCTGGCCCACAGATCATCCATGGATTGGAGCTGAACGGCTGCGCCGATGCAGGCAGGCGACATGAGCCGCAAATCGATTCCATCCCACCAGTGGGCGTGTTGCAAAAAGCCGGGGCATTGAAACGGGAAAAGAGTTGGTATGCGATTCGCGACGGCGGTGGGGCAGTTGCGGGATGGATCAATTGGCTTGGCGTCAATCAAATAAGCATTTGCCATTCACACACATCGCCCAAGGACAATGTTGATCCCCCTGACCTCTGACAGGAACGAGTAACAGACGCCTGGTACCGCTGGGCAACTCTCTTATCTCCCTCCAAGCCAACACTCCAGCCACTGCTGCTCGAGATGCTGCGTCGTGGTGCCTCGACATTCTTGCCATTCCTGCCAAGACACCTAGTTCTCGACTACACAATGGATTTGAGTTACTAGACATCCTCACTCTCGTCTATCTCCTTGGCACTCGTCCGACTGCCGGCACAAACGGCGTTATCGAAGAAAGAGACACGAGATACAGACCCGCCCGAATTCCACCTAGGGATTCAGTGGCAGTCTCGACGGGGAATTGCATCCCCATCCAACGACTCCACCATCCAGAGTCAAGGTGTGGTGGTGTGTGCCATCCCGGCCCTTGCAGACCGGGGGGGGGGGGGGGGGGGGGGGGGGGGGGGGGGGGGGGGACGAGTGGGCAATTTCGTCATCTCTGTCGAATTTTGTTGTCTGGGCATTCCTGGCCCTGCTTTATCATACTACTGCGTGTGTGCATACAAAGACAATCCGAGACATCTACTACTGTAGTTCTGCCCAGCCTTGAATTGGGTGGATTTTTCGACTCGCACTTTGACGGAGCAAACGACGCGCTCTGTACACTTTTGCTGGGGGGGCCTCTGATCAGCATGGCACGCGACCCGATGCCCAAACAAGACAGTGGTTGCGTGTCACCAGTACGAAAACCTTAGCTGCAGGCGACGGCACAGAAGGCCCGGGCTGACCTCCTGTATGACGATCGAAAGGCTCGGCCTGGGTAGTCCCCTGTCTTGCTTGTCTCTTGCTGAAGCCGCTAATTGATTGTTCCTCTTGTCATATCCCGTCGTTGTGCTGTCCAGCTCGGGTAGCGCCTCGATCGCATTCCCGCATCCCTTAGGATAGTAGTAGGGCGATCTCTTGGAGCATATCAGCTTTCCAGGAACAGGTGTCCGACTAACACGGCTCGAGTTTCTGATTCACGGTCGCTTTCCTCCATACTTCCCCCTTCCCCTTCACACGCCATGTTAATCTTGTAATTGCTTTTTGAATTGTATCCTTTTTTTTTTTTTTTTTTCGCTGCTTTCTTTTTTTCTCAATACACCCTCGACACTTCGCACGAGCAACACATATTCAGACAGCGTCTGCTTTCCTCGCCACTTATACAGTACCACCGCCCTACACAACATCGACTGGTCCAAGCAGACAAGGACACAGCATTTACCTCGAGCCTTGCCTGTGCGCTTCTGCAACACTCTTGTCGAGTTACTCTGCATCCTGAGTCGCCATCGGAGGCTATTCCTCTCTCGTAGCTCAGGATGCGCCTGGGCAGCCTGCTCTGCCTCGGCGCCTTTCTCACAGAGGGACTCGCAGCACCACTAGGGAAACGAGATGCCGATTTCGAATCCGTGAGGAGGAAGCAGCGTGTGAACAAGAGCGGTTCTCGTGGAAACTCACAAAAATACTTCCGTAAGTCACTATTGTTGTGTTGTTCTCAGGGCCGCGCGGCCTCTCAAAAACTATGCTTCGGGTTTACGCTATTTGTGGGCGACGTTAGCAAGGCCGCTGCAAGGGAGTGAACAGCCCGATAAGGTCACAGCATTGCTCTGCATTTGTTTATCTTTACTCGTTCCTCTTGCGCGGTGGCAAGCCAACTCGCTATTCATGACGATGTATCGCTGTTGCTAACTCATGTCTTGCTCGCAGATGAATCTACGTAAGGCCTCACAATTTGGGAGCTCAGATCTGACAACTCTTTACTAACTAATATATTTCCTTCTCTCAAGATTCCATCCGCATTATGATGGCCGGTATGATTGGCCATTGCGATTCCATTACCATCTGGCATTATTGCTAAACTATGCTGTAGCTTTGCGGAAGAGACCCTGCCCTACCATGAGCAGAAAGAGGCGCTCAAGAATTTGTTACAAACATACTTGGCCACCTTCTCTGATCTGGGCATCGAGACATGGCTGATGCATGGATCTCTCCTGGGCTGGTGGTGGAACAAGCATGTCAGTCTTGATCTAGTCTGCTCTCCGAGGCACCAGTTACTGACCTGCAGACCAGATCATGCCTTGGGATACGGACGTCGATGTGCAAGTCACCGAGTCCAGCATGTACTACATGGCCGCATACTACAACATGTCTGTCTTCCACTACCGCACCCCGAGGATACCGGACGGGCGCGACTATATGCTTGAAGTCAACCCGCACTTCAAGAACCGCGAGCAGACGGACAAGATGAACGTCATCGACGCCAGGTGGATCGACACGTCGAGCGGCTTGTTCATTGACATCACCACTGCTCGGTACAACCTCACCCATCCCGAGGGAGAGGGCATGATGAGTTGCAAGGACGGCCACGAGTTCAGGGTCGGTACTGCCTCGATGCGTGGCAGAAATGAATGGATGCTGACGTGAACAGGATACGTATATTTTCCCTCTCCGGGAGACAGTGTTCGAAGGCTCGCCGGCCAAGATCCCATACCGCTACAAGGAGATTCTCCAGGCCGAGTACAGCGCGAAGTCCCTATACAACAAGGACTTTCACGACCACCTCTTCGACGACGCCAAAATGGACTGGGTCCCCAAGATCAAGCAGGTCACCCCCGAAGAGGAGGAGGCGGAGAAGAAGGAAGCGGAGAGGAGGAAGAAGTGGGAACAGGCCGGCAAGGACCGGCAGAAGAAGTTGGACGCGCTGAAGAAGGCGGAGGAGGAGGAAAAGCAAAAGAATGCGGCGCACAGGGCAGATGTGCACGAAGCCCACCAGGCCGCCGATGGCAAACCTGCTGGCGACAAGTCTCCGGGCGACACTGCCGCTCAGTCGCCGCCAGCGCAGAAGGATGCAGCAGCGGCTGCGGACAACAGGGACGCCAAGGCAGGGGGTCCCGTAGAGCCTGCGAAGACGGCGGCCGAGAAGCCTGCCGATGCGTCAGCCCGCTCGCCGGAGACAAAGGAAGAGGCAGCAGTACCGCCGCCGAAGGACTCCAATAATGCACCCCAACAACCAGAAAAGAAAGATGCAGAGCAAGCCAACAAGGACGCCAAGGCAGAGAGCATCGCCGCCGCGCTCGCTCCGGTGAAGAAGCCGGCAATGGGTAGCACCAAACCCTTTGTGCTGGCCAATGCGGAGGCCAAGATCGAGGCAGAGGCTGCAAAGAAGGCCCAGAAGGTGCAGCAGCAAGAGGAAAAGAGGCGCGCAGGAGAGCTGAAATTGGAGGAGGCTGCTTTCAGGCGTGAAGCTGACCACCACAGAGTCGTGGCGAAGCTCAAGGACAGCTAGAGGCCGGCTGGCAAGCTATTCGTCTGTGTACTAGGTGCGAGACGAAGTGCCGATTGGGTTTTTGGAAAGACCTCGAAGGACCTTGCTGAATGTTTTGGGAGTTTTCTTGGAAAATGATACCAACATGGAGACTAGAACAGTCTCCCTCCAGCATTGCAGACAGTTTACAAGCATGTAACTATATCACATCCAGCAACGGAGTTGCTTACTTTATGACGGAGTACTATATTCACCGTATGTCTGATTCATCGACGGGGGCATAGATCAATCAATATAACATGATCTGTTCAAATGTAGATCTACAAGCGCTGCTTGAAGTTGAGCCGGAGGTCCTCTGTTGTGTTGATGTTTGATTCAAATGAACGATCCATGGATGGATGATGGCTGGCAATTAAGTTCACTGAGTGCTGCTCAATTGCGGACCTGAAGCCCCAGCTTTGCTGCGAACTTTGTCGCGGTAGGCCACTGTAGCGACCTCCGGGGACCACTGCAGCCACCCCCGGCCCAATGATACGCGCCCCCATCCACCGTCGATTTACCCAAGACGCGTCTCCGTCTTTTCGAAAGCACAAAGCAAGGCCAGCAGCATCTGAGCAATGTCATTCTTTACACTCGGCACAGCCAACGCAGCTCCATACTGTAGATGAACTAGCTGTACACAGTTATCTCCCGACGCAGATGGCAGAAAGTCAGTTCGCTCCGCCCAGCCCTCCAGTCGCGCAAATCAACTAACAACAAGATGCTACAGGTCGCGCAGAGCGCATGCTCGGGCGCATGCGCGGGGCCCAGTCAGTTGCTCTCCCGGCAGAGTCTGCGCATCTTTTGTGTCGAGAAAGTAGCTGACCTCTAGGTTTTACTCCCTCTCTCAGGCGACACGAAGTAGCGGACATCTCATTCGGCTTCGACCTCGGCCTCGAGAGCCCCGACGCCGCCGCCGCCGCCGCCGGTGGTTCTCCGCCGCGCCTGCCGCCGGGACCCCAGCAGCGCACGACGCCCAACTCGTCGGCCAAGAGGCGCCGCCTGAACAGCTCGCAGCCCCAGGAGCAGCTCGGCTCCGCCGCGCCCGTGCCCGGCTCCGGCGGCACGCGTTCGCAGCCGCGCCGCGCGGCCAAGAGCAGCAGCCCCTACGACATACCCGAGTTCAGCGAGGAGGAGAGCGCGGGCGCGAGGGCGGCGGGCGCTGCGCCCGCGGCGACGGGGCCGAGCCCTAGGCTGGGAGGCCTGACGCCGCGGCAGGCGGGGGTGCTGGTCGAGGAGGTGGGCGAGAGCCCCGCGGACGCGCCGGGGAGCGGGTCGCGGAGGAGGGTGCGCATCAGCGGCGCGGCGTCCCAGAGCGCGGCGCTGCAGAGTGTCATCGGCGGGAGTGGAGGGCGGCTCGGCGGCCATGACGACGACGACGAAGATCCCGTGGCTGTGTCTTCACCGCTGACCCGTATGTCGAGGAGGAGCGAAGCGGCGTCCGCGAGGTCGGGGCGGACGAATCTACGGAGGGTGACGCGTGTGTCGCCTACGGCCGGGGAGGAAGTGGATGAGCTGTCCCCCGTCAGCGCCGCGGCGGAAGCACCACATCAGGATGGCGGATCATCACCTCCACTCGGGAGGCCATCTGCGCGAAAGAGCGCCCAGGCAGCACAGTCGGCGGCGAGATCAGCAGCGAGGAGACAGCCCCGAAGCCCTGCAGACCAGGGCGAGATTGACGAGCTCTCACCGACAGCATCTGTCGAAGCAGCAGCGCAAGTCCCGTCGTCATCGCCGCTTGTACAGCGGTCAAGACGGCAAGGCCGCCCTGCCTCAGAAACCTCGGTGCGTTCGAGCACCAGGAAAAGCACGAGGCCGGCTGCACAAGCCGTATCCGAGCCGGATGAACTATCGCCGGACCAGCCAGCAAAAGCGAAGCGAGGCCGGCCTCGCAAGAGCCAGGAAGAGCCCCCTCCTCAGCAGCAAGAGCCCGAAGAACCCGAAGAGGCGGAAGAGATCGGCGAGAAGGAGGCTGCTGCGCGTCTGGGTCGGAAGAGGCCTCGCCGTAGCCTGCACGAGCCCTCGCCCGAGTTGGGTTCTCAGCCTAACAACGAGGAGCCAACTCCGGGCCCGAAGAGCCGCCGCAGGCAGGCAAAGCCCAGCCCCGCAAAGCAGAAACAGCCACAACAACAGAACCAGCGGCAAAGGAAGGGCGAAGGCAAGGCGCAATCGCGGAAACGCAAGGCTGTCGAGGTCGAAGCTGGCGAGCCCGTCCCGGTGCAGGTACAAAGGTTCACGAGGAAGATCCATACGGCCGAGAACGACACGGACACGGACATCCTGGCGGCGGACATTCCTTACTCCAACCGTGCTGGCGTCAACGCCGTTGATGTGCTCTCGCAGATGTGCGAGGAGATCATCGACATGACCCTCGAGAAGCTGCACGAGAACGCCGTCAACGCGGAGGACGCCGCGACGAAGCGGGAGTTCAGGGTCAAGCTCCGGGCGGTGGAGGCCTTCCAGGAGGAGTTGAGGACTCGACTCCTCGAGCATGTGAGTTTCCGATCCCGCAAACCTACCACGTCCCGACACCTAATGAGACTGACGAAACAACACATAGACGATCGCCCTGGATACGCTGCATGCGCTTAGGAAGCGCGTGCGGGCTGCCCAGAAGGACAAACTGGCTCTACGGGACGAGATTCTGCGCATCAGGGCCGAGCGCGAGCAGGTCGCGCTACGCATGGACGCCACGAGGATGCGGCATGAAGCAGAGCGGAAAGAGGCACTGGTAAGTCTTCGCTCTTTCACCGCCCCCCATGCCGAGTGAAATCTTGTACTCACTGTTTTATCCGTTAGCATCATATCGAACTGTCTTCTACCATGCACGACATCGACCTCGTCGTGGAGAAGGGCCAGGCGGCGCCGGAGCTGGCCCCGGCGGAGCTGAAAGTGGCGGAGCTGAACAACCTGGAGCTGTTGATCAGCAGGGTGGCAGATCAGGCGTGTAGCAAGAGCGATGGTGGCGGCGTGTTGGGGCATCTCAGGGGCTTCAACGAGTTCCTCGAGAGGGCGGCTGCTGTGCTGGAGGGCCGATGAGTCTGGCTACTATACCTACTGTATGAGACGAGTCTAAGGTCGGACACAAGTCCTGGCCCGGCTATGAATGACTTATGACAACGCTGGGTTCGTAACTTGATTCAAGGCGAATCCGTTGAAACCTGAAAATAAACTATGGTACCATCCATTCTGGTGGGAGCTGACTGTGGCCATCATTATTCATGCTTTTGTTCGCTATGTCTATATATCAGAGATATGTCTCACAATCGCCAATCGTCCATCATACAGGTATAATTACACGTCTGGAAGGCGTCCACGAATACCCGGCATCGTCGCACCGAGCTCTACGACTTGCCGCTGCCGCCCCAAAAGAGGCTCGATATCCGGTCTCCCACGGTCTGCGTGCCCTCCTCCCTGCGCTGCCGCCGGCCCTCGGCCTGCTCGTCCCACAGCGTCTTGACCTTGGACGCCACCTCGGCCTTGGCCCGCAGCTCCGCCCGCATGGCTTCCTCCTCGGCCGCCCGCTCCTCCTCCGGCAACTTGTCGAGCCGCGCCTTGAACCGCGTCTGTACATCCACCGTGTCCGCCTCGTTCTCCGTGTTCGTCGTCGTCGTCGTCGTCGCTGCCGCTGCCGCGGGTGCGGGGGGCTGAACAGTCGATATCAGCGGCTTGAACGTCGGCACCGGCTTGCCCTCGGCCTTGGCCTTTTCTATCGCGGCCTCCTGCTCGAGCATGCGGTGGTAGAGCGTGTCGGCGTGCAGCTGGATCTGCTCGTCCAGTTCGGGGGATCGCTCCTGCGTGGACAGGTAGCCAAGGGCCTTCAAGAGACGCTGGATTTGGTTTCATTTCCCCATTAGTTCTCTTCGCTCCCCAAAAGCACAGCACATTACCTGCGGGTGAAAAGGGGGGGGGGGGGGGTTCGTACCGACTGCATGGTGTAGCACCGCTCAAACTTGCGCACCTGCTCGCGGCACATGGTCATCCGCGCCGTCCAGTCGCCGCGGCGCATGCAGTTGTTCCAGTCCTCCTGCTCGAGGGCGCAGTTCTCGAGCGCCGCGCGCCCGATCATGGCCCGCCGCTCCTTGTAGCCGTCCAGCACGTCCATCAGCTTCTCGTGGTCGCTCTTGGCCTCGGCCTCGACCTCGGCCAGCGGCCGGTACGTCTTCCACAGGTGCGCGTAGCGGCCGTCCTGGTACAGCGACTCGGAGGGCAGCGCGGACTTCTCGGCCGGGTTGGCCCCGGCCGAGGTGGTTGCAGCAGTAGCGACATTCCGTGTTTGTTCAGCTGGTTGCTGGTCCTGTGCTGGCTTGGAGCTGGATTGGAACTTGACGGGGGACTCTTTCTCGAGGAACTCGCGAAGCTTCGGGTCGAGCTTGCGCAGGGGGTCGTCCTGGTCGGCAGAGCCGCCGAATATGCTACCTAGCCATCCCATTGCGGTATTCCTTGGTTCACTCAGTTTGAGGCCATCCAATGCTTTCCGGGAGATGTCCGTGTTGAAGATTTGGGCCTTATCGATTAACAGTTTTGGGTGACTAAGCAAATGTATTTGCCCACCTGCACCAAAGAAACACCCGAAATATACTGTAGGCAAGATTCATGACATTGTCAACAACGTAGAACAAGTAAGAAATGATGGCCAGGAATGAGCAGCACAATCGTAGCAGTGTCGTGATCTGCAGAAAGTCTACACTTGATAAGCTTAGCTTGCCCTGAACTTTGAAATCTTGCCTTCATAGCGTTCATAAGCGAAGTGATGGCTCATATCCAGCACCGAGTCCTTCACCGCAGTTGCATGTGGGTATTGGATGCCATCAGCAGGTATCACTCTTGGGTCAATGTGAGGTAGTGGTTCGACAAGTATCACAACGGACTGCAGGAGGGAGAACAGGTCTGGTAAACAGATTGCAGATGAGCTTTTCGACTCCGGGATCCGTTGTGCACCGAGATTAAACACACAAAAATAATCCAGGTGGTTGTTTGGCCATGCCTGGCCCAGTCCACCGTCCAGCACCTCACCCAGTATCCTCATTCCTCTTCGTGATGAATTCGCGGGTACGTCGTCATAACAATCCTCACGGTTGGGTTGCTCGAAAAAAAGTTCCATTCAGAACTGCTTCTATAACACATTTTCGTGCCTAGCAGTTGCCCGTTTGACCGCCATCCCTATTCGCAGATGAAAGCCCTCATGCAAACCCACGCCTTGAATGCCAAAGGAAAGCGACCCGTTTAGAACTTGCTGAACTTCTTGACGCCCTTGCCAGTCCGGGGAAGCACACGGAGAACGTTGAATCGCACCTGCAATGTCTTTTGTCAGTCCCGATTGCCAGAGATGTGTCGCGTGTCTCGCAGCCATAACGTAATTTTGGCCCGAGGGAAAAAAGACCTACCGTCTTGCTCAGAGGCCTGCACTGGCCAACGGTAACCTGGTCACCCTCCTCGACACGGAAAGCCGGGGAGCAGTGGGCGGCAAGGTTCTTGTGGCGCTTCTCGTAACGGGAGTACTTGGGGATGAAGTGAAGGTACTCGCGGCGGATGATGATGGTACGGTGCATCTTGGTGGAAACGACGGTGCCGGTCAGGATACGGCCACGGATGGAGACGAGACCAGTGAAGGGGCACTTCTTGTCTGCAGTTCGATCAGGTCAGCTTCCCTCGCTCTTCTGAGAGTGGTGTCCTTGGAATCCTTCGCCCTTTGTCGCGTCGTCCCCGGTTCTCGAAATTTGCATCCACGACTCCTCCCAGCCAAACATATCGTCCACGTACCGATGTAGTTGCCCTCAATGGCGTTCTTGGGGGTCCTGAAGCCCAGACCGACAGACTTGTACCTGTGCGAAAGAACGTCAGCCTTGTTGTGACGTGGATATCGTGGTGTTTGTCGAGGGCTTATTTACCAGCGCCTTCCATTCTTGCCGGGGCGAGCCGTGCGAAGCTTGGTCTTGGAGTTCTGGAAGATGTGAGGCTGCTTCTGGAAAGCGCGCTCGCTCTGGACAGTCAATTCGGTCGCCATCTTGACGTCTGTTGGTGGTCGAAGACGGTGATGTTGTTGACGGGAGTGGTGGTGAATCGGTGTGAAATGGATCAGAGGAGCCCCAAAGGTCAAATTTCGAAATCCAATTGTGGGAGTTGCAAAATTTAGCGATGTGGCAGGAGAAGTGGGGGGAAATTGCTGCAAGCCCCAATCAAAATGCACGAACCAACCAAGCCCAGGGTACGAAGGCTGCAAAGTGTGGCTGGTGCGGTGCGTAGGGCCAATTTGGAGACCCACTTCTTTTTTTCCCTCTTCGCTCTTCGCAGTCGTGGCTTGGCTGGAGCGAGCTGGTGTTAACTACGGAGTAAGTCTGCCTCCCGTCAACCCCTGTCAGAGATCACCGCTGTAACCATCACAGACGCCCAGGTGCAGCTTTTGATTCAGTACGAATCTTGGATGTCGACGCTTACACACTAGTAACACAGACACCGAGTCCCATCTCACTGGAATCATTGCATGCCAAGATCTACAAGTATGGGAGATATGGATCGAGATGATCTTTATTGATAGGTTCTCATCCAGGCCAAAGGGGCCCTTCTTTCAAGCCACCTTATCCCCTACAGCTATCTACCACCCTGCATCTACTCGCTGAGTCCAACCTTCTCCAAGCTCAGCTTCCACAGTTTCTCCTCTCCTTCCGGATCATATGCCCACTTTTCATGACCGAATGCCAGTTGACCATAACCCTCAAAGGTCGTCCCTTCTGAGACTGGCGGAGCGATTTGGCAGTCCTCGAGGAACACACCACCCTTGCCCTCAAGCTCCCGAGCAACAGCTGCGAAGATGGTCGTCGAGCAGCCCTGTGCCGTGCTCTTCATGTACTTCACCGTGAAGTCGTCGCCCCTGGCGAATTCCATTATCTCCGGTGTGTACTTTTGCAGTGGCGTCTCGATGCCCCCGGGATGCACGCTGTAGCCTTGGATCCCCTTCGATCCGTACAGTCGAGTGATTTGGTTTGCCATCCAGATGTTGGCCGTCTTGGAATTGCCGTACGCCTTCCAGCGCTCATAGCCCTTCTCCAGGTTGATGTCGTCGAGTTGGACAGTGCTCACACGGTGACCGGAGCTGGACAGGTTGACGACGCGGGAGTTAAATTCTGGGGTCGCGCCGGCCAGCAGATGGTCACGGAGAAGACAGAAGAGGTAGAAGTGTGCAAAATGGTTGGTTCCGATCTGCATCTCGAAGCCGTCGGATGTGGTCTGCCGAGTGGGCAAGGCCATGACGCCCGCATTGTTGATGAGGATGTTGAGCTTGGACTCTCGTTTCTTGAACTCGTCGGCGAATGCTTTGACACTGGCGAGGCTCGTCAGGTCCATCTTCAGCAGGTGGACTTTGTCCCAGTCGAGAAGAGCACCCAGAGCGGTCTTGGCCCGGTCGAGGTCACGGGCCGTGCAGTAGACGGTTGCGCCAGTGGCCGCCATGGCTTCCACCGTCGGCACACCAATACCAGACGAGGTACCGGTCACAATGACGACCTTGCCGACCAGGTCGGCCTCCCGCTTTTCATCTTGGATGATTTGAAGACCAGTCGGGCGAGCGTCTCCCGCGCCTTTGCGATGTTCGGGCGTGTGGACTTCGGCGTAGCGAGACATCTTGAAGAAGCAATGCCTTGTTGGACAGGTGTTTGACTTTCTTTAATCGGGACTATCTTGGATGTCGATGGGATGATAGACTGAAACTCGTCTTGTCGAGAACAGCATACAGCCGCCTTAAATAGAAGAGTGTTCGATATCTAGAGCTCTCATTAACAACCCACTCCCAAAGGGACTTATCCTATCTCCGGACGGCAGCCCAAGGCTTGACTAGGCATTGCGCCAAAATAGTACCCTTCACCCTTCACCATGATTAGTCTCGCAGGCAACGATCACGAACTATCTGACTTGTGCCATGGCTTCGTGGGTGTCGAGCCACGCTTGTCCCGGTCTTAATGGTGCGGACTTGGCTGGAGATGAGCGAAGTCCATGTTGGCTGGCCAATCACCGGCGTCATTGACACGGCCGCACAGGCGGGTGATGCGGCCGCAAGTGCGGACTGGATCCGCTTTTAAAGCCGGCCTTCATACACCTTATTTTCAGCAGAATCAACTGCTCATTACTAAAGCTCGACCCAGGCTATTGACAACCCGGTCTAATGGGGTAATTGGTAGTTTGCTAAGTACGGCGTGATGCCCGCTCACTTGACTGACCTATCTTCTCTGCGCCCCGCGAGTTTCATCCTGATCCCATATGACAACAACTGATGACAAGATGGGGTCCTCAACTAGAAACATTCAACTCAGACAGTGCTTTGCTGACTGGAGGTGCTGATATGTGCTCTGAGGCAGCGCCAGTCTGCGAAGACAGACAAAACTGATGTATGGGGCCCAAGAGATGAGCCCGAGATTTCGGCCCGAACTTTCATATTTCGAGAGAAAAAAATGCTCGAGACGGCTAACAATAAAATAAAACGAGGCTCGAGTAGATTGTATGATACATATGAACCCCGATAGATCACCAAAAGGACCGTTCCGTAGACCCGGCCGCTATAGATCAACGCCGTGCTGTGGCCTGTCCTAGGCTTCATGGCGGCTACCTGATACCCGCAAGGACCCCGAAACGCCGGAAAAGCAGAGCTGCTATTTACAAACACACAAGACACTTCAGGCGACAAAGCGTCTCTCAAATTCCCGGAAGAGCTTGGGGCTGATCTCGTCGCTGCTCAAGCCCTCGACTTCCCACAGGACGCCCTTCTTGTCGTAGTGGTCTAAAAGCGGCAGGCTAGTTTCTTCAAACTTGCGGAACCGCTCGCGATAAACGTCCTCGCTGTCGTCCATGCGCCTTACCAGCGGCTCGCCAGTGACGTCGTCAAGACCCGCCACCTTGGGCGCATTGAAAGTATCGTTGTACACCCGCCCTGACGGCTCGTGGACCCAGCGTCCGGCGATGCGCTCCATTATGACCTTGAAGGGCGTCTTTAGCGACACGACGAGGTTTATGGGGATGATTTCGTCGAGCTGATCGGCCTGCGTGGCTGTTCGGGGGAAGCCATCGAGAAGGAAGGATGCGGAGGGATCTTCGGATGGCTGCGGCGGCGAGTACTGGCCAGACAGCGTTGGGGAGGAGATAAACGAGGCGGCCTCCGCTTCGGCGGCTTGTTCTGCTTCGAAGGATTGCGCATCAACAGAGATACTAGAAGACGACAGTGTCATGATGTTGGAGCTCTTGTTGGCAAACAACCACCCACGTTGGTTGAGCTCGTTCGTGATGAGGCGAAGTATGAGAGCATCAGGGACGAGACCACCAGCTTTCATCGTGCTCTCCACCTTGATCCCTGCCAACGAACCATCGTCAGTCTCGAGTTCTGAACCACCGGAGTGTGTAAATGCTTACCGAGAGGCGTCCTGTTTTTGACATTGTTCCTGAGTAGATCGCCGGAGCTGATCGACGAAAGCTGGGGGAAGCGTTGGAGCAAGCGCTCAGACTGCGTCCCCTTGCCAACACCAGGTGCACCGATGAGGATGACGCGAGCGGCCTTCCGAAGCCTCATAATAGATATATATACAGTGGTTCCACGGCAGCAAAAGCGCTCGACGGCGGCGTCCGTCCGATGCGAAAGTCCCGAGCGCGCAGGTACGGCGCAGACGTTGTACCCAAAAATAAATGCGGGGGAACCCGGAGTCGATATGCGTTGAGCAAACAATAGAATGACGGAAACAATTTCAATCGCGCAGACGTGGCCGGATTGCCTCAAGGAGCGACCATAGCTGGCTTGCTGGTACAACGGTGCAATGGACGGAGGAGGACAAGAGCAAAATGCTAAGAAGAGACGAAGCGAGAACTTGGCAGCGAAAGGGTCTACACAGGTGGATGCAGGGAAAATGGGCAGCGCGGTTGAGATGATGGATGGATCCTGGATGGTTCGATCTACAACGACATTACGGCCTGTGCTCGCTGGCTGAACGGACAATTAATGGGGGGTTCGGCGCATCGGGAGCAATTGAACGGCGCATTTCCTTCACCACAGCTCCCTTGAGCGCGGGGAAAGCTTGTGAAAGCGAGGCGCGGATTGGTTGACGGTGGCACTCAAGGTTAGGGCGAGCAGGGATTCGCTCGAACGTCAGGGCTGACATCCCGGCCCTCAGCAGAAAAAAAGCAGGCAGGGCTCCATTTTGTTGAGCAGCTGGCTGTCATGAAAAACTGCGGGCCCTTGCATTTCACGCTCGCTCACACCACCATCAGCGACGATGTCGATAAGATGTCGGGTTTCACAGAACGTACGTACAGCACCTGTGGGTGTGCAGTAAATGTACCGTATCTGGCTCTGACGAGAACACACTGCCTCAGTTCCCGGAGGATAGGTTGAGTAGCACTCCCGTGCCCGAAATCCATGCCAACAGCCGACTTGCCTTTCGGGATTTCTTGCTTTACAATCTGGCATGGCCGACCTCCGTCGAGTTTCGGGATTTTATTCTCACAAGGCCCGACAGCACATGCATTAGATTTCAGCAGACTCCGTGCGGTAATTCGGCAACCGACTCCTCTCCTCTGTGCCTCGGCGACCAGTTTGGAGCTGATGACACCTCCGGCTTGTGCCAGTCAATAAGCTCTAGGCATGATGGCCTTAAATCCGGCGAAAGTTGGTCAAGTCAACTATTCGTTCATATGCCTACCCGTACTCGGTAGTTGGATCTGGAGGCCAGACATATCCGTGGCTACCACCAGCGCGACAGCATTCACCGTCGTCGTCGATGTGTACGGAGTCATAAACCTCCTGCATACTGTAAACCCTTGGGAACTTATGCTCAGGCCATTAGCAGGGTCGTAGGTAGTGACTGTAGCTAATCTGTGCGATTGATCAAGTCAAAATCATGCGCGAGTACCTAGTACCATGTATGCAGGTAGAGGTTAGTATCTAATAAATGAGACCAAGAGCGTGTGCTTTGATGACGTCGAGATCCTGCAAGGGCTGCCGCCTCTTATCAAAAGTACTTGTACCGAGGAGAGTTCTTTCCTCGCCAAGGGTGAAGCCCACCTAAAATCGTCGTCACGGCAACAATCGATAATTTGCATCACCACCCTCCCCAGCCAATCATACAACAGCATTCCATAAACACGTCGATGGGCCTCGACATGCGCGACCATTTTCTATGTGCATGCTCTTTGGTGATGCCCGTTCTTTCGTAACCCCACTCTACCTACCACTGTTACCAACAACACCAGCGCGCAAAGATGGCCGCTCACGATGATGCCACCGTGCCCGCAACGAGGCGCTCGCGCAAATCCACGACTGGCCTCTCGCCACGAAAGGCAATGGACAAGGAAAATGCCACTGTCGACGTCGGCAGCACCCTGGCCGCCGGTCGCAAGAAGTCGCGAAGCAAGAGCATGGGTCCTGGCGGACTCGACGTGTTAAAGTCGGGAAACGGGAATAGGAGAGTTGTAAGTTACCCAGATCCCAGATGCGTACAAGTAACGCGCGCATTTCTGATCAGCTCTCTTGTATAGTCTCTTGCAGCCCCGTCGCGACCGCCACCGCGCTCGATCCTGAAGCCAACAATTCCGCTACTCCCCGAGATCCCTCCGCACAAGTCAAAACGCTCTGGTGGCGCATCAGAAGCAAAAACATCGCCCAGTTCCGGCGGCGGCGGCGGCGGCGGCGACGATACAAATGGCACCAAGATCGCGCTTCGTACCGAGGAGGAGCAGCAAGCAGCAGCACGCGAGCGCGAGGCCAAAGAGAGAGCAGCACTGGAGAAGGAAATCAATGACCGCCGGGAAGCGCGTCGCAAATCCCTGGCTAATCGGAGAGTCTCGTTTGCAGCCGAGGCGACTCTGCACACTTTCCACGAGGTCGAAGACATGCTGGACTCAACTACCTCGACAGACTCTACCCGCCGTGCATCGGCCATAAGTGCACGCTCCCCAGCGCACATTACACAGGATCATGCTGGCTCTGACGCGTCTGAGCCCCCTTCCACCCCGCCAGAGCAAGGTGAAGAGATTGTACCAGAGTCACCAGCCAACCAACGGGACCTTCACCAGAGGAAGCACCGGCGGAGCTCCGGTGCATCCGCACTAGACTTTGACAATGGAGATGATACGATGACCTCCACCGTCTACGATTCGGACTCTGAGCATGGCGATGTGGTGGAGGAGGAGCATATCGACGAGGATGAAGCCTCAGACTCGGACAGCGACTCCGATGAAGGCGACGGCACTATGATGACAGTTGACGGAGATGAGATGACCTCCGCTTCCATGATGTCCGCTCGCTCTGACGCTGACTCTACTTCCGGGCTGGACGAGAATCTTCGACTCGCGGCACAGAACGGCCGGCAGGCGCAGCCTATTGACGAGGATGAAGAGATCATCCCTGCCTTCGCTGGGTGGGGTAAGAAGAGCAACGCATCAAGCGCTGGTCCCCGAAAGTCTGTCGGTGCTTCCCCTAGTGAGAGTAATGGAGAGGACGACGAAATGGACATGGACATGGACATGGATGTAGACATGGACATGACCAGCGCGGTTGGAGGGATCATCAGGTCTGCGACCCGACACGAAGCAGACGAGTCCGAGCAAGACATCGACCAGACCCAGGACATGTCGATGGACGTCACTAGAGCACTCGGTGGCATTCTTCCTCAGCAGAAGGCCCCAGTCCCTGATGATTCTCCGTCTGGCGAACAGACCATGGACTTGACGACAGCTATAGGAGGAATCCAAAAGGGCGCCCCAAGCAACAGAGACAGTTTTGATAGCCAGGGCAATGAGGACATGTCCATGGAGCTGACGACGGTGCTCGGTGGCGTCCTCGGTGCAAACACGAACAAGGGTGCAAAGAGGCAGAACCGACGCCGTACTATCAAGGACCTTGAGAATGACGATGCCACAATGGACATGACTGTCGCCGTGGGTAAGATCATCCCTACCACAAAACCCAATGGCAACGACGAGGAAGAGGAAGCCACGATGGGAATGGATATGACCACGGCCCTTGGAGGGATCATGAAGCCATCATCTCCAGCAAGGAGGCGTTCGGCTGCCAGGAAGATCATGGAGGAGGAAGCCGATCAGCCCGATCCGGCCTCAACGACAACTTCGCTAGACATGAAGGCATCACCAAAACAGTGTTCACCACCCACCAAGGCTCAGGAGGACGACAACAACACTCAAGGCCTGTCGGCTTTCCGCGGCAAAGGCCTGCGAAGAAGCCTGGATGCCAAAGGTGCCAAATCTCCTGCATCAGCAAAGAAGGTATCAACTCCGAGGTCTGCCAAAACCACAACCCCTTCGAAGATCGGAACTCCGCAACCAGACAAGCCCAAGACGCCAACAAGAGCGTCGCCACCTAGAACAATGATGGCTACACGGTCCAAATCTCCGGTCTCCAAGTCCACCACGCCTCGGTCGGCGTCAAAATCAGATGGTCAAGGGTCGACAATTTTCCAGCGGGATGCTACGACTGGTCTGTCTACCCCCCGTGTTGTCTTGACCCCACAGCGGCGCCGTTTGTCTGGCCTTGGTGTAGACAGATCAGGCCTCGGCTCACCAAAGGTCGCTGAAATGCTTGAGCGTCGCGGTTCCATCGGCGACACCGCAGGCGACTTCGTTGTCGGTCAAGGGCAGCCCGCTCGGAGGGCAGTGACCTTTGAGGACCCTCGTGCCATGGAAGAAGAGCTTGACAAGGAGCGACAGGACGAGGAGGAGAAAGAAAACAGTCGCCGTATCCTCGAGCGAGAGGCGGACGGTGAACTGGATGGTGCCGACGCTACGCTCAACCTCAAGGAAATGATCCAAGGCCTCAGTCCAAAGAAGAATCCTCTAAAGGGCCGCAAGAGCTTGCACGTTGGTAGTGCGAAGGGTGTGCTGGGCAAGCGTCCTCTCGAGCTGGACGACGATGAGGATGCCGAGGAAGCAGACGGTGTCAAGAGGCTTAAGGGGCACCAGGCCAGCCCAGTCAAGAATGTGAGGCTGCAACAGCCACCATCAAAGGCGGAAACGACGGGAAGGAAGACTCGATCTCGAAAGAGTTTAGAGGACCCGTCGCTGAATAACATCACACCTAGCACAGCCCGATCTCCTACCAAACCCTCCTCTGTCGCCAAGTCGCCAAAGCAACACGGTCGCTTCAAAAATGTCGATCTCGAACCGTCAACGACAATCAACTTCGACGAGCACGCGCCCGTCAATGTGGCTGCGATTCAGCCTAACGAAAATGACGAACGCATTCACCTTCAGGACTTCCTCAACATGACCAGCATTCGCTTCATGGAGCTGACGACAACCAAGCGGCGGCATACTGTGGCGCCCTCGGCTCCGAATGATGGTCTTTCCAACGAGGATAAAGACACTGCTTCCCTAGAGAGGTGTGTCGTGGCTGGCGCATGCACCGTGCCCATGCTGGAACTATACCAGCATTCCTGCAGGGAGCTCAAGAAGTATATCCATGAGGGCCGCTCCATTGTCAGGGAGATCGAGACCGAAACCTTCGAAGAGAACCCACCCTTGTTTCGTGAATACATGTCGGCGACTCCAGATTTCCGGGTCTTGATGGACAACCAGTTCAAGAACGTCAAGACTCATGCTCGCCTCCTGAGCAAGGCGATGTGGTACGAGTGGAGGATGAAGCTTCAGGAAGGTCTCAGGGAAGGCCTGGTTCGAAATGCGGAGGGCATGGAGCGCGACGAGGAGAATCTCCAAAAGCAACGAGACCTGCTGGATTCTGTCATGCCCGGGCTCTTGAAGCAACTTGAGGCCCTCGAACGCGAGCATGGACTACTTGAGGAGGCTGCCCAGGAGCTGGCTGACTGTGACCCTGCCGACCTCGAGGGCGCTCGGGCCGAACTACTCTCTGTTGACGACGACATCGAACAGAAGAAGAAGATGATTGCCGAACTACAGTCTCAACTACAGGACGCTGAAACCAACATTTCTCGGCTGTCTGGGAAGAAGCAAAAATGTCTCGAGGATATCAAGGAGGCGGACAAAGTTCGTGAGGAGTGCCGTGGATGGAGTGTGGAGGAGATCTCCTCATTGAAAGGTAAGTCTAGCCTGACCCGACTTGAGCATCTGACATATTTACTAACACAACCCCCAGCACGAGTCGATGATATCGAGAAGAAGCACGGCTGGGCTGTTACGGGTTGTCAGAATACCACCGTCTCCATGACCTACCTGCGTGAGATTGAGCTGGTTTTTGACGCCAGCGCCTTCCAGCCAGGCCAGCCCAATTCGCGCATCGACCTTTGGTACATCGCCGACAAGCGCAACCGGGAACCGCTGCCGCTCACGCCGGAGAAGGAGTTCTTTCTCCAGTGCATCCGCGACCGCGTGCGGGGCCTGCCCCAGTCGCAGACCAAGGTGAGCCGCCTGCTCGGCATCGTCAGCGCCGGGTGGAAGAGGGCCCGGGCCGTCTCGGACAACGTGCACCTCCTGGGCCTGACGCAGCGGACCAAGGTGGAGAAGACGTCGGACTCGTCGATCGCGGTCAAGAGCCTGCTGGTGCTGACCCCGCTGGCGACCAAGGTCGAGGTCGCCATCCACCTCCACAGCCTGGAGGGCGGTGAGGGCGGCGTCGAGGTCGCGGTCGCGCCGCAGGCCAGCGTGGTCTACGGTGAGCAGTTCAACGCGGCCAAGATGAGCGAGTTTGTCGCAACGCACATCCCGGACCGGGTCAGGTCACGAGAGGAGCAGAAGGAGGATGAGAGCGACTGGGGCGCGGTAGCGCTTGAGCTCCAGGAGCGGCTCCTGGCCAGAGGAAAGAAGTAGAGCGGACAGCGAAGATACGCCAATTTTTGTATTGTTCATGGGTTGGTTGGGTACATTATCCACATAAGGCGCTGCTTCGGGCTCTTGATGACTTATGAAGGGGTTAATGGGTGCCCTTCTGGCACGGGCGTTCTGAGGATACGGGTTGATTAATCGATGATATTTCACACCTCACTTGACAAGATCGTAGTATTTTGTTCTTTGCATGTGTCTGATCGGCTTGGATTGATCGTCACACCATGTTGCACTATTGAGGTGTGGGGGACGGATCTGGTTGCTAGTGACACCGTGCAGGCCAGCAACCAAATCACTCCTAACTGCCATATAGTGAAAACGAATACGCTTTGAGATTAAGTTGAATTGATATTATTCCTTTCTTTATTGACTTTGAGATGTTTTCAAGTTTCCAAGGCTGAAGCCCGTTGCGCAAGACTCAAGCCTTGTCCCCGACTCCCCTGACAAGCACTACCGTCCCCTTGTTTGAAGAGCCGTGTGATCCTAATGGTTGTCACAAATAGATGAATGGCCACGCATGGCTTCGCTGATGGAATTGATACTCTCGATGTGCTTGACTTGGAGGTCCTTTCCGTTGAATCAAATGACAAAAGACAGATCTCAAAGAAAGGGCAACAAAGCACCTTTGTGGGGGATTTGGCATATAGATCTAGCAAGCCACTATTGTTTCCTTATTGGACAGTTCTGGTAACTTGCAATTTTGATTTGTATTAATTGATAATAGCCGACTTGCATTATTCAGAAAACACCTACTCCCTCAAGAAGGTCCATTGTCACCTGGCATGCGCAAACGCAACACATAGTGAGAGCGTACCAGATGGTCGCGTTCCGAGGTTTTACCGAGGGCTAGCAAAAGACAAAACTGCAAACGCCATTTATTGTGAGATTTATTTTTGCTTTTACTGTTGAGTAATTTCTCAATAGCGACTGACAAAGGCACTTTTGTTGTATTCCAGGTGACTGATTCACTGTGTTGTGCTTATTGTTTAGTCACTGTGGGCATTGTGGTTGAGTATTAAATGGATCTGTTGACCTTGGTTGACTATTCACTGCAATTTACGTCTCAATAGCTATTGAATTCACTTTTCGCTCAACTCAGGTCTCGAGGAGCAACTGTCTATATATTTCCCACTTTTGACGGCCACCCAAACCTGAACCTCTTCTTTCTCTCCCACATCAGAACAGAGATTTGAGCCAACACCAGATACTTTGCAGAGCATATATCTTCGTTGCCTCCACGTTTTCAACACTCTTTGTTCTTTCTTCCGCGATACCATTCTTTTTCCATCATGTACCAGGAACCGCAGTTCGCGTGTGAGCTCCTGGTCATGATGTTCCTCACGGCCATCGCTTTCATCCGCCCCGATTCTCCCATCGTTGCCGCCCTCACAACGATCGTCATCCCCGTCGCCATGGTCGCCCGCTCCGACGATGTCAGGTTCGTTGCATCCTGGGTCCTGTTTCTCGCCCACTGGTGCTACATCGTCGGATGTTTCTTCTTCGCCGCTCTCATTTTCCTTCTCTTCGGCATCGTCGCTGTTCTTGTCCCTCTCCTGGTCTGGCAGGAGGTCAAGAGCCTGCAGTTCAAAGCCAAAGCCCGTTTCGCCGCGTATGTCCTCCGCCGGAATGCTAACCCAGGACGACGGAGGCACGCGAGGCGTCAACTGCAGGCACCGCGCGACGCCATCGAGAAGGAGCTTCGGCTCATCAAGCTCCTGGATTCCAGCTGCGCCAACCTTTGGGAGGCCGTCGAGGCCGAGAAGCCTCGCGTGCTGAAGGCCTTTGACTTCGCGCCTCCCGAGGCTGATTGGTACCCAGCTGCGGAACTCCTCCGAACTTGCCTTCCGTGCGGTCCTCGCATTCCGATTGCTCCTCGCACCCTGGAGGAGCACGACCGCACGAAGAATTATGAGTCCGACGAGCGCCTGCCTGATGCCTTGACGTGCTTCAACCACCAGATCGACATCGAGGTCTGCCGCCTCGAGCTGGAGGTTGAAGACCTCAACGGCATCTACGAGCACAACGACAGGATCAAGGAGGCCCTCTGGTCTGAAAAGGAGAAGTCTCTCAAGACGTTCAAGTGGTTCGTGAAATTCCTTGGCGAGAGGGGAATGATTTTCACGAACACTCCTCGGAAAGACTATGATGGGTCCGACTTGCTCCCGTCGTCGTTGGTCTTCGAGCCTCTCAACTTCCAGAAGAAGCAGCCCCAGGGGCCGCTGACGCTGAAGAGGCCGAAGGTCCAGTGGTCTGAACTTCCCCAGCCGAAGTTCACAGAGTTGGTGGGGTCCTTGTTTCCGAACGAGAGCCCTGCCCAACCACTGGCTCAAGAGGCACCTGCGACACCGAGCCAAGAGGAACGCGGCCCCGACACAGCCCATACCTCTGGCTCGGAGCAGGGTACCAAGGAGAGTGACCCCTGCGGCTTCCCCTTTGGTCCTTGCCACCATATCCCAGAGCACTTGAAGTTGGATCTCACTCCCGTTCACGAGTCTGAGGAAAGCGGCCCTGACACAGCCCATACCTCGACCGACCAGAACGCGGAGGCTCTCACGCCTGACCATGAGGAAAGCGGCCCCGACACAGCCCATACCTCTGGTCCTCTCTCCAACGGTGAGGATCCCATCCTCTCCGACGATGGTGACGATGACTGGGTCACCACCGACGATGAGGATGAGGAGCCCATCCTCTCCGACGATGGTGATGAAGATTGGGTCACCACCGACAGCGACGACGACGACGACGACGACGATGACGATGACGAAGACGACAACGACGCGGATGCTGGCATCCCGTCGGGACCCGCTTCGTCTCCTCTCCCTCCCTTGCCGCCCTCGTCGCCTTTCCCTCCGACCCCGGTCCCAGCTGTGTTTACTGCTCCGACCGTGGCCGCGAGTCCTTCGCCGAGTGCCGAGCCTGCCCTCCCTCCGTCGCCTCGCCTTATCCCTCTTCCTCCGTCGCCCCCTCTGCCCCCTCTGCCTGCTCTGCCTGCTCTGCCGCCATCACCTCGTCTTGGGCCTCTCGCTCCGTCCGCCCCATCTTCGACCGGTCCAGTTTCGCAGGCCGCGGCCGCGGATGCCCCTGAGCCTGTCGCCCCCGCTCAGAGCACGAGCTTCAATCCTTTCTTGTCGGCGACGCCGTCGCTTCCTGTGTGGTTTCCAGCTCCCACCGCACCTCCCGCCGCCCCAGTGTCAGCGCCGACATTTAACCCTTTCGTTCCGGTCAGCTCGTCTTTTCCGCCGGTTCCGTCGTCTCTGTTCCCTCCGACCCCTCTTCAGCTTGTTCCGTCGTCTTCTATTCCTCCGAATCCTCAAGTGGCTGCCCCTGTCGTCATCAGCGAACAGCAGATGGACACAGACTCCGATGAGGAGGAGGGCATAGAATTCGAGGACGTGCCGATAGGGCAAGGAAATGGTACTTCAGAAGACGAGGGTTTCCAGATGGATCAGGACACGCAGGTCGATGACGAAGGGAACATGGACATCGATTCCCGGCCCGCTAAGGACGAGGATACCATGTCTGATGGCGACGAAGAGGCAATGCTCGTTAATAGCGAGAACTCTGCGCCATCGGCAACGGACGATGTCCATGAGCAAGGCCAAGCTCACGACGGCAACAACGACCAGGGGGACAATGATCCCGTGGACAGCAGTGCCGCCGCAGATTCGGATTCCGATGTCTCCGAGGCGGACATCGCTGAGATGAACGCTGCGAGCTTCGGAGACGACTGGGTTCCGGGACAGTCAACTTCGGCACCTGGACCGACCAACAACGCTGCGCAGGGCACAGAGGACGATAGTATGGGCGAGGTCGGTGCGCCCACTCCTCCTGTTGCGCCGGGCTCCAGTTCAGCTCAGCCGACGCCGCAGCGGTCTCCGTTCGCAGCGAGCAGTTCAAGTTCCCAGTCTGCTCAGCCTGCCCAGCGTGCCCAGCCATCGTACCTTGCGGCACCCCAAGCCTCGTCGCTTGGGTTTACCGCTTCGGGTACTCCACCTCCCCCGGCCTCGTCTGCTGTGTCTCAGACGTCGCCGGTTATGTACTTTGGTCCGGTCCGGGCTCAGCCATCGTCTTTCGTCGCGGCACCCCAGCCTCCTGTGTCATATGGGTTTACCGCGTCGACCTCGGCTGCTCGCTTTTCTCCCTTTGCGGCACCCCAAGCGCCAGCGTTTGGGTTTACCGCCACCGCCCCGTCTGTCCGGCCGTCCCCGTTTGCGGCACCCCAATCCTCGTCGTTTGGGTTTACCGCGACGGCACCAGTCACCCGGCCATCTCCTTTCGCGGCACCCCAGGCGTCATCGCCTGGATTTACCGCGTCGACCTCGCCTCCTCGTCCGTCTGCCTCTGCGGCACCCCAGTCTGGGTTTACCGCTACGGCCCCGACTACTCGGCCGTCTTCGTCGGCGGCACCGCGAGCCTCGTCGTCCTCTGCCTCTGCCAATGCAGTGGCAACTTCTTCCACGGCGCCCAGTGCGGCGACTGCGGGCCCGTCCACGTCGAGCTCGTTTACCTTTGCGGGCTCCTTCTCCACCGCGGCCAACACATTTGACTCCGCTTCGATCTTTGGGTCGGCCATGTCGCAAGTCGCGGCGAGGTTCGACTGGGCGCCGCGTCCTCGGCCTGGATCCGGTAACAATCCGTTCGTCCAGGCGCCGGCGTTTGGCACGGCACTCGCGCCGCTGGCGGTCCTGATGGAGCCGATGCGTTCGGCTGTGCGGGTGGCTGTCGAGTCATGGCGCCAGCAGGGGGCGACCATGGTGGCCGACGAGCTCGAGGCCAACTGGGAGACGATGTTCCGAAAGGTCGCCCAGAGCAAGGCCAACGGCAACGCAGACAAGAAGCTGGCTACGACCATGGAGGAGGCAAAGGCAGTCGTACGGCACTTTGTCTACCGCGTCGGGCAGATGCGCTCCCTCCAGAAGGCGCCTGAGCAGGTCGTCGAGGAATTCCGCGACAACCTGTGGAGCGCGATCATCGCCCAGGACTTCCTCCCCGACCCCGACGACGAGGAGGAGGAGGAGGAGGCGAAGTTCGCTCCGATGCCGGAGGAGGCCAACGACGAGGACTCGGAGTCGGAAGTCTCCGAGGAGGAGTAGTTGGCCATTAGTGGTGGCACGTATCGTCTGAATCTTTCGGTAAGTTCACAAGGACGTTGACTTTGGCCACGACGCAATCATGCTAACAAGCTGTCCCTCCAGGTTGAACACGATAAATTCGACGATCTTTATACTATCGACTGACGACGGAATATACCTTAGTCAGCAGGACAGACCGAGCTATACTCGTGTCGTCCTTCTTCGACCCAGGCCACCAATGTCAGACGGCAACGAGGCAGCAAGCAGGGCCCCGGTCTTCATTGATCGGGTTGCTGAGCAGTTCTTGGGCTGATTAGATGGACTTGATTGATCCGTCTATCGCCACGTCTGACATATGGTACTGGTTAACAGCCGACGGTTGGGTGGCAATGGAGGGCCTCGGTCTTGAATGATCGAGCATTGGCACCCATTCAAGAGCGACTGGTATTAATTTATCGGAAGCTTAACGTCGCTGATATCTTATACTCTCTCTTGGTGGTTGTGTGGTTACGGAGGGCCTCGGCCTTGATTGACTGAGCGTTACCACGCATTTGGATGCAACTGATATTGAGTTATCGGGAGCTTCACACCAACGACATTCTTCGACATTTTTCGGCGGTTGTACTCCAATGGAGGGCCTCGGACTTTATTGACCGAGCATTGTGGTACATTTGGGCTTGACTGGTCTTGGTTGACCGGGAAGGCCACGCCCAACAACTTTCTGGCATGGTTTTTGGTGTAGGAGGAGGACTCTCGACTTGTTGTTTTGGCAGGGATATTGAATATTTTGGAGTGCATATTTCATGATGCACAAAAATGTTTTGGTCATGGCGCTTCCTGAACGATATCTTTTCTTCGAGGCGTACTGCATAATTGACTATTATTCCGCATATGATTAAGTGCTTAAGGCTCAAAGTGTACATGATAAACTCTAGAGTGATTCTGATCTTTACATCTTCTAACTCGGCCCTGGCGCATGTGTATTTGGCTACGCAGACGCAATGAGGCTGTCCACCGGTTTGCCCGTGGCGTTGGTAAGGATCGTGCACATCCTCTCCCATATGCCTCTCATCTTGGCGAGCTCGATGGCGTCGCCTAGGTTGCGCATAACAGAGTTGACCTCCGTCGCCTTGGCCTTCTTCCAGTGGATAGATAACTCGCGGATGATGGGTGGGGTATCCTCCATTTTGTAGACCAGCTGGGCCTCCCTAGAGGAGTTCTAGTCCTTTATAGAGGCGTAGATGGTCAGGATGCATACTAGGATGCTGAAGATGCCTGTGTTGATGAGGAGCTTGATGATCTGGGAAGCCTCTAGACTGTTTAGGATGTACTTCAGCTTTTGATTGTAGGTGGTATAGGTGATAGTCGCTCTAGTAAGATCATTCTGAACCCTCTCTATAAAGCACTAGGTATTATTAAGGGTACAGTCTAGATTATCTAACTGAAAAGTGATAGGTGCTATATAGAGGAAAGTAAAGTTAAGTTTAGAGTCTATATTAATATCAGTAGACAGGTTGTTAGTATTAATATTATTATAATCCTCTATATAGTTAAGAAGGTTCTAGAGGTTAAAGAGGAGTAGTAACTATACTTTATCCTACATATCAAACTTATCATTAAGTATGACAATGCCCTGGACATACTAGAGGATAGATATATTAGCAATAGAATACATTCTGGGATAGAGGGAGCTACTTACAGTATACATCCAGTTGATCTGGTCCTCAGTCATGCCATCTAATTCAAGCTCAAAGTTACACGACATATTGACTTAGAGAAAATGTTGGCTTCAAGTCGGAATGGGTGCTGGTCTCTAGAGGTGAAGACGGGTGGGACAAGCCGTTTAGACTTAGAGAAAATATTGGCTTCAACTTGATGGCTGACGCGAGAGAGGACAGATGTGAATGAGATTTGAATCCGATGTGAGATGCGGAAGGATGCGCGCAAAGAGGGTGGACACAGCCGAACTCCAAACTCGACCAAGGAGACCCACCGTCTCGATGTAGCTCCTATCCTGTAGTCCGTCATCCATCAAGTGATTCTCTAATTATTACAACTTGCGAAGAGTTACACGGCACAGTGATTGTTACGAGCTTCTCAGCCTGGAGGGAATTCGGTCTCGTAACGGATGCTGTCAGGACATGAGCCGGCTATTAAACCTCGAATATGGAGATTGCCATAATCACTGACTGGCCTAACTCTGCGTTCTTAGGCACACCAATGGTTGGATTGGACCCGCGAGTGTAATGAACTGCCTTGTTTCCATTCCACAAAAAGTGACAGCTGTAAAGGCAAGGCTGGATACCTCGGCTTCAAAGTTGCACTGTTTCTCGGGGCTCCTGCACCAACTTTATTTAGGTTATAAGAGAAGGGAAATATCATGCTATCTTCCGTGTAGCGCGTAGCTCAGTACTCCAGCTCGTTCACCAATATTTGCAACGTTAGACAAAGTATCGCGACATTCGAAGACTAATGGAAAGCAAAGCCTAGCTCCTTCAATTCGAATCTGCCTGGACTCAGTCTTCTCACTTGGTTGGTCTCGCATTGACAAAGTATTGTTTTCTTCGATTTACTGCTGTTGTCATTACAATTGTCAAGCAAATATAAAAGGCAACCCCTCAGTATATCAACAGGAGATAACTTTCCACCCGGGTCCTCAATGACCAAAGTTCCCCTCAATCTCCTAGATGAGTGCAACAGTATTGTGCAGGTCTCGCTATTGTCGTGCATATCAATCAGGTTGCCTATCGAGCTAGGCTGGCGATAACTAAGCCCACTGAGGGCAAGCCATTAAGGTCCAGGTGATAATAGAAGTGAGAAGCTCCTCAGATTGTCAATAGCATCTGAGATAGCTATTGAGAAGGTCACCTCGCACCGTATATAAATATTTCTTCATTCCAAAATTCGAGAATCTCCTTCTTCTTTCCTCAGACTCTTCAGATTCACCAAGAGATTTCGAGATCGTCTCGATTCCAGATCTTTCTCACAACAAGACAGTCAACAACAACCAGAACCCCTTGCCTTTCTCTTCCTTCTTCTTCTTCTTCTTCTTCTTCTTCTTCTTCTCTCTCTTTCCCACCAGCCATCAGACCAAGATGGCTCCCACCCGCCCCTCCGCCTCGCCCTCGCCTACCCCCCGCCGCCTCCGTGACCCGCTCAGAGCGGTTCGGAACCGTCCGGCCGTCAAGAAGCCGGCCAAGAAACCCTCCCCGATTGTACTGACTCCTAATGTCTCTCGGGAGGTCGCACGTTCGATTCGTGCGCAAGAGCAGGCAGCTGAAGTGCGCTGGCTTACCAGCGCCTTCGAGAAGCTGTCTATCCTGTACTACGACCAGGAGATGGAGATCGACCCTCCAACCGTCGAGGACGTCACCTCGATTCTATCGAGGTTGATGATAGATCCGACTGTCGTCGATCTTTCCGAGATGGTCTCTCGGCGGACGTTGGAGGATCCGTTCCCCGGCGACGTCGAGATGTACGCGGCGGACCTCCCGCGGGCTCACACCCACTGGTGGGAAGCAGGGTCGGGGCTGGCTCAGCACCAGAACCTCATGGTCCTGGGCTGAATGAAGCTGGCGGTGGCAGAGAGGCTATAAGCCTGGGAAAGGATACATACCTGACCCATTACTGGCCGCTCCCTATACTTCTGGGCTGAGTCTTCAATGTCACAATTCGGACGCATGTTTACTGGGTTCCGCGCTGGCGCGGGCCTGGAGTTGCGATTCTCGATGCGGACGGCGAAGCTGCTCACGGAGAACAGGGCATGACTTGCGTGTGGTTGGTTTGATGGACGGACCCTGGTCGTATGCAGAGGTGCGGTGGTTCGATTCCACCCACCAGACCTACGCTTTCGACCTACGCTTTCGTTTCGGTGGTCGTTGTACGATAGGAGGACGAGGCTTGCTCTGTTCTCAGGTATCATTGACTATCCTCCATTCTTACAGGATCAAACACTCTAACCATAGCCTTAGGGAAGCCAATGTGTTGATAGAGGCGCTGGCAGAACCTTGTTCGGGATGATGAGTTGGTATCACATCGAATGTATTACATCATGTCGCTCGATCTTCGCACTCGCCCTGAAGCAGTCGAGTTACGATCATGTTGAAGAATACTGCCCGCACTTACACCACATGTTCTCGAAACGCGCCATCAACACGATTCTGCAGGAGCCAGGGCAGGGTTGAGTCAGTTTATTGTTGTTCACTACTTCGACAACTACCGACTCTTCAACTTTGTCCATCCGTTCGTCCCAGAGCTTCTCGTCTTCTCTGTGCTTCGCTCGACACGAGGCAGCGCACCAACCTCTGCCCTCGAGGCGTCTAGAGCAGTCTTCACCGTCGCCAGACTCTCGACTCCAAACGTCGTACCATCAGACGTACTGCGGGTGTGACCCTTTGCAGAATTCACCTTGTCTGCCTGTTCATCCACGGCCCAGGCGTCATCCTCCAACATCTCCCAGTCGGGCATTGGCGCCTCGCTGTTCAGCTTGCTCTTCATCCAATCACACAACATCTTAGGATTGTGGAGTTTGAAAGAGCGCGTCACAATATCACTGAGGAAATCGTGCGCAGTACCATGGGCCTGCCGACCCATCAGAGAACCGGCAGTGGCCAAATCATCAAGGCCGCCATCGTCCGGCTTGTTCTGCGGGGACGAAGATCCAGAGGACGTAGAGAAAATCCGTCCTGCCGGGTTGCTGTGAAGCTGGTTCCCAATCAACAGATTATAAAGATTGCGACCCATATTGGCGACGTCTTCATACGACTTTCTTTCGCCAATCGGGACACCTTGCGAACAACAAGCCCAAGCAATGTCATACGCCAGCAAGGCCACACCCTCCATGAACATGATGTACGCTTGAGGATCTTCCTTGGATAGGATTGGAAGGGGCTTTTCGATGAAGAGGGGCCGAGGCCTATGCACTACTTGCCGAGACTCTGGGGCCGGGGCATGGAGCGAGGATGTACCAGGAAAGGGGACTTCTCCGTGGGAATACGATGAGGCGAGGGAGAATATTGTTGGTCGGGGATAGTCGGGATGAGGCAACGTTATCTCAGCGGGAAGTCGAATTGCTAGATAATGAGACGCAAGCATCAGGATATGCGTCATGTGCGACAACGATGTCGATATTGTTTCCGGAGATAGAGCTGTTCCAGACAATTAGCAGCAGCACGGCGAATCATTATCAAGAGCCAGAGCCTTACCATTCAAAGAGCTCATATCAGGAATCTCAATGCCTCCCACCTCGTAACCATAGCGACTCGAAGTGCCCTTCTTCAGGCGACGGAGCCCATAGAGCCTTGCTGCCTCCATGCACAGGAAGCCTCTTGTGGCCGCCATGCTGTCATAGCTCCTGTTCCACTTGAAGGTCATCATACTGATCGATCTCTCGACGTCGTCCAGTTGTCGTTCACGCCGCGCCGCGATGCCACTCGACGCAGATGCAAGATCGGACTTTCTCCGGGAAATCAGCGTCTTCCTCCTCTTGATATCCTCCCGTGCAGCTTCGACATCTGCTTTCAACCTATCAGCCTGGGCGATGATCTCGTCAGTCCGCCTGACAGCCCTTTGCTGGTCACTTCGCCAATCATCGATGCGAACTCGCTGAGCGGCGGCGGAGTTCTTTGCACTTGGATCGCTCGCTAGGAGCGCGTCGATCTGCTTCTCGAGGTTCTCGTTCTCGATCAAGGCTCGTGCGTGCGCCAGGCGCTTGTCATAGAGCTTATTCCTTGCGTCCACTGCACATAGAAATGGTAAACGCTGCGCCTGGTGCTGGCGACCGCAGATATCGCAGTTCATCCTGGGTCGTGTCGCAACCGTGCGGTGAGACGATCGAGCCTTCGTTGGGACCGGATACCGGTAGCGATGCGCCCTGGATGCCCTTAGCCCATCACCTGAGTTCTGCGTCGATATTGTCTCTTGGAGGGCTTCTGTTCACGGCAATATACACATTTCAAGAGTCCACCAGCCGGAGAGAGCGATGCTGAGGCAAGTGAGACGGGTTTGAGTCGTTGCAAATCAAACTGTTGGAGGCTGAATCATGATGCAAGATGCAGCCTTCCAGCCAGTGTCGTCACAGGGCCTCCGATAAGGGGGCTTATCAGCAGCTGACACCCCCTGTAGCCTACCGCTATTTCGGCACCTGATCCACCATCTCCGTCAGCTAAAAGCCTCCAGGCTTGGTTGGCAAGAAGCGCCGGGGCGACTCCGCAAACGTTTGGCAGCCCTTTTTGGCAATCCGAAGAACTGGACATTTGGTGTGAGATGTTGGATGGGTGTTCGCCTCGATACCAACAAATGTACGGAGGTACAATTTTATTGACCAACTGACTGACTGACTGGCAAAGCTGGGCCGCCGCTGCGGAGGTCGCAACACTTTACATCACTTCACATAGTTACCTATGTGGGAGAACTTGAAGCCGGCGTCTATTCCTGCCACTTACTGTACTTGGTGAACGGGTCTAAAAGACGACGCCATCTCAGATTGCCCACTCATCGGGAGCCCAGATAAACGCAGGACTGCATCTCATAGCATTTTGGGCAGCAACGCTTCTCACTTGAGGCACCGTCGAATCACGATAACGGATCCCCGCAAACTCACATGCCGTGCTGTCTTTATTCCCCAGAGAAGACTTCGGGCCGCTGTCATTTCAGTGCGGCCCATCCCATGCCACACATCACATCCGCCCTTTCATGACATTTATTGGCCGCCGCTTCCTAATTATTTCTTCATTTCACACCTTCCCCTGTCAGCAAGGCAGCGAGACGACAAACCCAGCTCTATCACAGGCCTGTGCGCCTTACAATCGCATTCCTGAAGCCGGCCTCGATTTGACTGGGGCTCGATCTTGCACGGTGAACAGAAAGTTTTGGCGCGAGGCAACGCGAACCCTGCTCAACCATGGCAACCAGCCCTCCACCAATACCGGACCTTTCCCCAACCAAGTCCATTGCTCAATCACCCCCAAGATCGCCTTCCAAGTCGCCTTCCAAATCATATCCTCAGTCGCCTACCAGATCGCCCCTCAAGTCTCCCATCAAGGCCTCGTCTCAGGAGTATCCCGATTCTCCCACCATCACACCACAAGTGGAACCTCTGGTTGAAGGACCAACTACAATAGGCCTCGAGGAACTAGAGACTATGGCATCAGAGAGCAGGAACCAGCAAGGGCAGCAACTCCGTTCGCAGATGAGAACACCGGATCCCCAGGTTCGACGCAGTCAAGCAGGCGGCGGCCAACTGAATGGCCAAAGAGCCAATGTTCAAACCACGCCAAGCACGCCTGGTCATCTTCCTCCATTCGATTGGGACGACCTGGAATCGCGATACGAGCAAGCTCTTGCCGAAGCAAGTGAGCAGGATAAGGAGTTGCTCCAGGAATTCGAGAGTCTGGTCAAGGTGAGAACGGGTTTCGCCCAAGAAACCCATTCCTCGGCTTGCTAATTTGGCATCCCAGTACTTCAATGTTTGGGCTTCAGCAGCGTCTGCGCACGACAATGAACGTGCCACGAAGCGGTAGGTTTGCGATTGATTGTAGTTTTCCCATTTCTTAGTGCTAAACCGTCCCAGACTGCAAACTCGCGAGAGGTTCGTCAGGATCTCTGAGCAGAGCCTCGACCAAAGGAAACGACATTGTAAGTATCACGGAGCGGAATCAGGCTGTATATCCCGCCTAACCATGCCCAGTAACCGAAGTCGTCCGTGCGTTCCAAAGCGCATTGGCCCTGCTGAGCCAGCACTGAATGCGACTCGCCTACCCATAGATGGTATTGCCGGCCTCGAGTGCGTATTGTCCAAATCGCCTGAGAGTAGGTGGCGGGGGTCGGGTGTAGAAATGATATCACTTGTACTATCAGCTTGACACGACGGACTTTCGCAGGGAAAGTTTGCTAACGAGATATGAGCCATGACGTCCTGTTTGCTATTACTTTTACTTTGCCTTTTCCATTCATGAATAGGAGGAAGAACAAGGAATCATTTTCTTTTCCTATTTACTTAAGGTAGCAATCATTAATTAGAAGCCCCGTGCCTGTACCCAGGAGCAATGCCAGTGTGCCACGTGATTGCGCGTAGGGCGAAGCTGTCGCCTAAAAACTTCGAGGCCCCGAGCTTTGGAGCTCTGGTCTGTTCCACACCACCACTGCTGGATAAGGAATTGGAGAAAACTGTCGACCAGACGTCGTCATGGTGGGAACCGACAAGCTCACCTGGCAACATCGCGGCGATGGCCCCGTTTGAGATCCCACAAGTGACTCAGGTTAGTAGTCTTCACACTGCTTGCCCCGTCAATCGCTTGCGCTGACTTACAACCAGGCTGATATCCTTGGCTTCCAAGAAACACACTTCTCTCTGCATGCGATCGCCAGCTTCGACTCGCAATTTCTTCAGCCCCTCGGCCACGAAGCTGAAAAATATCAAGACGGCAACGAGACTGCCGATTACATAGACGAAGACGACGATGGACTTGGTTACTACGCGGACGGCGTGAAGCGCACTCTGACAGACGAGCAAATCGCGATCTTCCGGCATTCAGAACTCGAGGCGCTGAAACGGGCTGCCAGAGGCACGGCCTCGCAGCGCCGTTCGAGCCCTGCAGAGACAGGACAGCTCGCAGATGCGAAAGACTTGGAAGATGGAGAAGTATTGGGACCTGCGACCGACGCCGACACATCTTCTTCTTCTAAGAAGAGGAAGAACCGAAAGAAGGCCGCTAAGAACAGGAGGACAGAGGAGAAGAAGCCTGACCTACGAAAGCGCACCTGGGATGTGGTTGACAGCGGGCTGGAGAGCTTGGATTACGACGAAATGGAATCGGCACCAAAGATGCGAGTCAACCCATCCCAACGGCGACAGATCTCGTACGATGATGGGTAGGAGTGCAAGGCAGAGTTGGTTCTATACCTTATCAGCAAGACTGCGTGAATCCTCTCGGTTTCTTCCTGACTCCGTTCATGTCGCCAAGAACTCTTTGAGCTCCTTGTATGTCTGCACAGGAAAAGTAGGTGTGCGATTTCCTTCTTTTTGATGCCCCCCTTGCATGATGAGACTATCGTATCGTCATCCTTAGCCGGAAATCCGACCTGGGAATGTTACACGCGGGCTTGTTCTGCGTGTCGCACTTCTATGGGAGGAATATGTCGAGTTATAATCTTCTCTCTGAACTACCCATACACCATCACTTTTCTTTTCACACCATTCGCTGAGCGTATCTTTGCACACAGCTAACTGGTTGGTATAGGCAGTCGGCGGCGAGGCAGAGTTGGGAAGTCAGCTTCCATCGAAGCCATTGCGATCTGGTCGCGTGTCTCCGTGGAGCTGGAGCTGGCACGCAGGACATGCTGCAGTGGTGGCAGCGGCGTACGATGCGCTCCTGTCAATGATTTGATTGTCCGACTTGAGTTGCAGGATAATTCAATCACTTCTCCGAAAGGCAGAATCTGTTGAGAGACATGTGATCTAAACTTTGACCTTCGTATCAGCTAAACTTTAAATGCATTGGGTTCCTGCCTCTCATGAAATGCTCGAAGGGCGTGACAGTCATCTGAGCAGGCGCTCTTGTCTTGAGGTGCTTTTTTCAAACAAAGGCACCGAGTGTCACCCTCAATTTTATTTTCTTGTGAGAGAGCACCCGTCGAGTAGTTAGTTTGAGGAGTGTTGCTCTCCCATCTGGCCTCTCATTCCAAGCCTCTTATTCCAAGTCAACATCGCGCTTAAAACAGGCATTCTGTAAATCCTTATCTTCCACCTATCACCACCCCACTTGCGAAGTTAAGCGCCGCAGACGCGGGGTGGGAGGGGAATTCCTCGCTAAAGCACGACCGGATCTGCAAACCCACATCAAATCGCACACTCCCTCTGCTCAGCCTGCCTCTCCTCCTGCTCAGATAGCGTTACCCCTCCAGTCGCCCGCGACGACAGACACGGCCTCCTCAGCAAGAAACCATCATTTTCGGTCGACACCGCGCGTTGCGACGCGGTACCATCAGCCGCAAAGATGGCGCGGGTCTATGCGGAGGTCAACCAGAACATGCCCCGAAGCTACTGGGACTATGACTCCGTCAACATCAGTATGATAAGCCTCGGCGACCTCTCCGCGTCACCTCTTCCTTCCGGGCCACAAGATGCTAACTATCAGCTTTCCATCCAGGTTGGGGAGTTCTCGAGAACTACGAGGTTGTCAGGAAGATAGGTACGCCACGACACTCCCCAAGAAACGCGCCCGGGATAGAGATGGATTGTCAATACTGTTATTGTGCTCGTGACTAACTCACTGGCACTGCACAACAGGCCGCGGAAAATATTCGGAGGTCTTTGAAGGCATCAACGTCGTCAACTATCAGAAATGCGTCGTGAAGGTCCTTAAGCCTGTTAAGAAGAAGAAGATCAAGCGCGAGATCAAGATTCTGCAGAACTTGGCAGGTGGTCCGAACATCGTTGCGTTGTTGGATGTGGTCAGAGATCCCCAGGTAAGAGATTATCTTTGCCTTTCTCGCATCGTGTCACAGTCTCCACACAGGCAGGCAGAGAATGGGCCGATACTCTACTGCTAAGATCTTTGCTGACCGCTCTATACATGCGCAGAGCAAAACCCCTTCGCTCATCTTTGAATACGTCAACAACACCGATTTCCGGACTCTTTACCCCAAGTTCAACGACATCGACGTCAGATACTACATCCTTGAACTGCTCAAGGCGCTAGACTTTTGTCACAGCAAGGGCATCATGCACCGAGATGTGAAACCCCATAACGTTATGATCGATCATGAGAACAGAAAGGTTCGCGTCCTCCAATCTGTACATTCGTATTCTCCTCTGACAGATGCTAACAAATCATCATAGCTGCGCCTTATTGACTGGGGTCTGGCTGAATTCTATCACCCCGGCACGGAGTATAATGTGCGCGTCGCATCTCGCTACTTCAAGGGCCCTGAGCTGCTAGTCGACTACCAGGAGTACGACTACAGCCTCGATATGTGGAGTCTTGGTGCTATGTTTGCCTCGATGATCTTCAGGAAGGAACCATTCTTCCATGGCCAGTCGAACCCGGATCAGCTCGTTAAGATTGCCAAGGTCCTCGGCACCGATGACCTGTTCGATTACCTGGACAGGTACGAGATCGAATTGGATTCCCAGTATGATGACATACTCGGTCGCTTCCAGAAGAAGCCGTGGCACAGCTTTGTCAACAGCGAGAATCAGAAATTCGTTAGCAACGAAGCCATCGATTTCCTCGACAAGCTGCTGCGATACGACCACATGGTATGCTCCCAAGTCTCATCCCTCCGAAGGGAGCGCCTTGCTAATTCTCTTTCCAGGAACGCCTTACTGCAAAAGAAGCGATGGCGCATCCCTACTTTGCCCCTGTGCGCGACGAAACGACGCTGCAGCAACTGCTCGCCGGCAACAACCCCACTATCCCTCAATCTTGAGCAGACGCTCCCCTGATCCTGTTTCAAGGTCTCAGGGCAGTCGTTTAGATACCCCTGGAAACGGCTTTCTTTGGCGCAATGGCTGTGGTCACCAGCGCGCATATGCGACGGAGTTCAAGTTTTATCACGCGGGACGGACGGGCGGACCTAGCATAGCAGAAGATGGATGGAGTCCAGCGAGAGCAAAGGATGGATTGCACTGTTTGAGACACGTACAAAGGTCATATGTGGCGCTTTTCCGGTGTCACCCTGAGGCGCCAAGCGTTGAGTGGCCGTGGCACGTTCTGATGATGCGATGATTTTCATTTCGTCGAGGGCAGGGGACATGGGCGTGGGGGTCAAGCGAACTCAGCGACAAGGTCTGTGAGGTTACCGGACATCGATTCCAGGTGATGAGTACTATCTTGCTTGGTAGGACTTAGATAATTCAGCGGAGACAATTTTTTTTCTCGTTCAAATTTCTGCAGGGCGTCTGATTTTGTGCATGTGGCACTCTGCTCCTTAAGCTATGAAGGATACCATGCTCATTACAAGCAGATGAAACAAAAGTCCCTATCGCATCTGAACCCATCCTCGCCGCACCTCCTCATCGACCCGCCGGGCGTCTTGACCAGCGACTCTGTTGGACTGCTGGACCTTCTCGCACCAAGGCTTCTTCTCTTCTGACCTTTCTGCGGCGCCGAAAGCGGCTGGGCCGCCGTGTTTTCGGAGCCGCGTCTCGGCCTCGGCGTGCTGACCGACTTGGAGACCAGTGGCGAGCTGTACGAGGCTGCGAGCGCAGGCTTGGATCTCTTCTGGCCGCTCTTTTGGGCGCTGAGAAGCAGACCGCGACGGAGTGAGGTCTTACGCACCGCTGATGATGAGGCCGTTCCACTGTTGTGGCCGAACAGCACGCGCCGGGTGGCCGGATCGGCCTTGGGCCGATAAGGGATGGGCTTGCGCTTTGTGGAAGCGGAGGAGGCCCCGGCCTCGAAGGACAGCTCGTCTTCTTCCGAGTCGGAGATGAGGGAGATGATGCCAGTCTTGGAAGAGCTCGGCGGGTTAGAATTGCTGTTCAGACGGCTAGTTCTTGACTGGGTCTGGGGAGTGGTCGGATCGACCACGGTGATGCAGTCCTTGGTGGTAGGTTTCTGCGGTGAGGCTGTGCGGTGCTTTGAAGGGGATTGGCGCTCCTGTTCGGCGTCGGCTGTCTCTGCGGCACGCTCCTTTGCGTTCTTTGCTTGAGCCTTGGAGACTTGCTGCTTATTACTCTCTTGTTGATCCTGTGTAGGCGCTCTACCTGGAGAGGAGGCCAATGGTGCCAATTTCTGTTTTCTGGATCTTCTTCTGATTTCAGCTGTGCTGTTCTGCGTGGTGGACTTGCTGTCCTCGAGCAAGTCAACGACTGGTGCACCTTCTGAAGGCAGCATGGCACTCGTAGCCTGCCTGTCTTTCGACTTGGTCGGTCTCCGTATGATCAGCCCACCCTCGTCGTCTGAAAAGCCGTACGAGGGATCCAGAATGTTCCTCTTGAACGTCTCCTGGGTGGTAGTCCTCTGGTGTGCTTGGGAACCAGTCTTCACTGTTGCCCCGGGCTTTTCCGCGTTGTCCTTGTCACAAACTCCTGCTTCAGCTTCGACTACCTGCGAAACAGGAAGCTCTGGGCCATGATCAAGCTCGATGACAAGCCTCTCAGCAGGGAAAGGTCTTGAGACTGATTCATCGCCATTGGTGGCCCCTTGCAAGGTGGTAGAGTTTGTTGAAAGGACCAGCTCACTGTCTCCGGTTGTAATTGAGGTGACTACAGTTTCCTTCCGTGAGTTGGCGCGACGCCTTTTGCGGGGATTAGCAATCACAAGTTGCTTTCCTGTGGCGGATATCTCAGGAAGCGTCTCCTCGTCCTCGTTTGCCAACGTTTGAGCCTGTTCTCCAGAGAGCGAAGGGGATTGCACGACGACGACAGCGGGTTTGACTTTCGCGCGTTTCGTCAGTGACGTCTTCTGCTTCGGCTTCGAGCCGGGTTTTGCAAGCGGTATTGTATTCGGCCCTTGCTCCAACGTAGACAACGATTTTCGACCTGATTTTTGAGACACATGTTTGACAACGACGTTGTTGCCCTGCAGACTTTGAGGCTTGGTCTTTATGGCCATCTGTGGAGCTGTATCAGCCTCTTGCATCTCCAGGTCCGCTCCTCCGATAGCTTCGCCAATCCTGCGTTCAGTCGTGCGAGACCCAGCCGCTAATTTCGTTCGAGGTGTTTTTGCTTCCCTAGGTATCCTGTCGACAACTCCGAGAAGAATGTCGTCTTCGTCTTCCATACTTTCAACTGCCATGGGAAGAGCCCTCCGGATCACGGTCCGGGTGACAGGCGCCTTGACCATCCCGATGCCGGAGAAAGGCCTGAAGCCGCTGGTGAATGTCTGGACGGGAAGCTCAGGGGCACTCCACATAGGATCGGCAGAGAAGGCAGGAGGGCCAAATGATGCAAATGAGAGCGGCCTGCCCATGAATTGCAGCCGTGATGGAAATCCCGTATCAGGTGGTCTCTGATTTTGTCCTGCAAGGGAAGATGCCCTCGGCCACGCCTGAGTGAGTTGGCCATGTCTATCCTGCGCCGGAGGCGCTGCAATGAGCGCTGCATCCTTAGCCGAGGGCTCATTGACCGGCCTGCCACCATGCAGAATGCGATCTTCCTCGTCAGACGAGTCTTCTTCTCTGAAGACGTCTGTACTTTTAGCAGCGATTAGACCCTGACCGGCTGGAGCATCCTGATCCTCCTCATCGTCGCTTCGCATAGATCGTAGATGGCCATTGTCGACCACGATCTCACCGGTCCTCAAGTCGATCTCGTCGCCGACATCCGTAAAGTCCCTCTCGTACTTCTCAAAGATGCTCTCAAAAGTCGACTTGAGCTTGTGCGCCGCCACCTCACGGGATCTCTGTAGCTGGTAGCCGGGGTCCTGCTTGGCCGCGAGCTCCTCCGGGTCCAGGTTGAGCTCGTCGTCGTCGTCGTCGTCATAGGGCGCATAGGCAATTCTGGCTCGCTTGGCAGGCGGCTCCATTTCGAGGTTGCGCACAGCATGGGTCTCCAAGCGGGCGTATGTGGTTGTACGGGTTCTGATCGCAAGCATCGATCCCTCAGGATACCGCGTAAAGTGGTTTCTGAGACGCGTCTGTCTACGCGACTAAGGTCCAACGGTTGCGGTCCCAGACCCACTAAATCAGCGTCAGCTCGGCACCTTACAGAGCAGTTAGTACTGCGAGTGGGGGTGCCCTGTGCTGTACTTACCAGCTTTGGTGGGGTTTGACGCCATTCATCCCAACATTGATCACCTGGACACTCACTTCCTTTGTCTAGAGGATGTTATTTGAAACAACTACATCCAGCCGAACTGTCGACATCTGATCTCGCACCTCGCAGACTAGAGTGTCTACAGCCACAAAAGTTCACATGCCTCTACAAGCATGGGAACAAGAAGCTACCAATAATGTATTGCCAGAAGTGTCGCACGCCGTTGCGCCTAGACGGCTCTCTGGAGGACCTCAATCCGGCTGCCTATGACCTCCTGGTTGGTATGTCATCCAGAGGCCTACTTACAGCGAACTACATGCTAACCATGCGCAGCTGCATCTTCCCAGCAGCCGATCAAGAAGCCAGCTTCACCACGCCAGCTCGCGCCTCAGGAGAAGGGCAGGAAAGCGCTCTACGATAGAATCTCTAGAAATGCAGGCCCTGCGACGTTCAAGAGGCACAGCGGCGCGCCGCATCGCGAGGGCGGCTTGCGCGACAGCTCGGCCATGTCTTTCATTCTTCTCACCGAATCCCAAGTCGCGCCACCGGTTCTGTCTCCGACGCAACGGGCGCAAATACCAGGATCACCTATCTCGAATACGGATGGCAGCATAGATACTGAGGACATACCACAAGCCCACGAGACCGAGCGTATCACCAAGCTCTTCGAGATACTCTCTGCACGATCGGACATCGATCATCCTGTTTGCGTGGAGTGTACGGATATGCTAGTAGAAGGTTTACAAATACGACTGCAGGAGGCTGCGCAAGAGCGCGAAGCGTATGTGAGCTTTATCAAGAAGATGGAAGCCGACGCCCCTACGGATGAAGAGCTGTCTGCCCAGAAGCAGGCACTAGACAAGGCGAGGAAAGAGGAAGAAGATGCTGTCGAGGAGCTTAAGCGCCTCGAGAAAGAGAAGGCATCGCTTGATGAAGAAATTATGGCTCTGGAGGAAGAGTCACGGCAGCTAGATATCGATGAGGAGGAATTTTGGAGAGATCGCAATGCTTTCGCCACCAAGCTCTCAGACTTCCAGAATGAGCGCGATAGCATCAACTCCAAGTTCGACCACGACTCGCGACTGCTTGAGAAGCTGCAGCGCTCCAACGTGTATAACGACACGTTCTGCATCAGCCACGACGGCACTTTCGCGACGATCAACGGCCTGCGCCTCGGCCGTCTGTCGAACAAGCCCGTTGACTGGCCCGAAATCAACGCGGCTTGGGGTCACGCCCTGCTGCTCCTGGTCACCGTTGCCGACAAGCTCAACTACAAGTTTGATGGATACGAGCCACAGCCCATGGGTTCTACCTCGCGCATCATCCGCTACGAGCCCGTCTCGCCCAACTCGAGCCGTTACGGGTCCCAGCGCAGCTCGACGGCCCCGCCGCCCGCGCCCAAGAAGCACGTCCTCGAACTCTTCTCGTCGGGTGATATGCCGCTAGGCCTCACCTTCTTGCACCGCAAGTTCGATAACGCCATGGTCGCATTTCTAGAGCTGGTGCGGCAGCTGGGCGTCTTTGTGCAGAGACACACGGCCGCCGAGGGCAACCCTCTGAGCCTGCCGTACCGTATCGAGGGCGACCGCATCTCGGAGGTCAGCATCAAGCTCGGCATCGCCCAGGACGACGGTTGGACCAAGGCGTGTAAGCTTACGCTGACGTGCTGTAAGTTCCTGCTGGCGCATGCGAGTAATGTCAACTCGAGTCGGACGGCGAGCACTTGAAAGGGGGTCTCACATGAAGATGGCCCATGGGCCGGACATGATCACGGGGGTTTTTGCCTGAATCTTGGAATTTAGTGTTTTTTGGGGACTTCCTATTACGGGCCTGGCGTATGGAGCATTGTACTTGGCCGTGGAACACATAGGCAGAGAATAACGAATCACGTACGAAACCCTTCCTTGATCTACGTTGTATTGCGCCGTGTGATCGCTTGTTCTTCGAATATAGAGAAGACAATGACATGAAGAATTAGCTAGCTAAGCTATGTCCGCACAACCCGAAACACTTCTGAAGTATGGATAGATATTGTCGTTGAGTCATTAACCTGGGATCCTACATGGCCACATCATTTATCTGTCATAGAACACAAAATGGACCTTCATCACGTTCTGCCACCCCTCAATCATCCTCGAACGAGGAACTGATGCCATCGTCCTCATCGTCTTCCTCATCATCTACATCGCTCTCGGTGCCATACTCTCTGCGTCGCCGGCGCAGGAAGTCCTTGAACCCCTTGCTCATCTTGACCACGGCGTTGAGGTGGGCGTCGGTGACCAGCACCCGCTCGGCGCCGTCCTCGAGGGCCTCGGACTCGGCCAGCGCCACGGCCGTCTGCAGGCCGTTGCGGATCTCGCGGCCGTTCCAGCGCAGGGCCTGCACGTCGGCGCTGTCGACGGCAAAGTCGCGCGCCGAGCGCGAGACGAAGACGCGGCCGGCCGAGTCGCGCTCGAGGCGCTCGATGTTGTTGTTCCAGATGCGCAGGCGGTCGGCGTCGCTGAGGCGGCGGTAGTGCAGCGCGACGTGGATGCGGCTCGTGAAGGCGCTGTCGAAGGCCTCGACGCGGTTGGTCGTCAGGAAGAGCACGCCGCGGTAGTACTCGAGGGCGCGCAGGAAGATGGAGACGAGGCCGTTGCGGTGCAGGTCCTTTGTGCGGCGCTGCTCGAGGTAGACGTCGGCCTCGTCGAGCAGCACGAGGGCGCCGTACCGCTCGCCCAGCTGCAGGAAGTAGTTGAGGTTGCCCTCGACCGACTTGGCCGACATGTTGGTGCTGATGTCGCCCGAGGTCAGCGACAGCAAGGGGCGGTGCGTCAGCTCGGCGACGCACTCGGCCGTGCACGTCTTGCCGACGCCGGGGGACCCGTGCAGCAGGAAGATGCGGCCCTCGCCCTTGTTCTTGACAATGTCGCGCGGCCAGGGCGAGACCTTGCCGTCGGCCGAGGCGAACTTGCCAATGAGGGCCTTGACGGTGAGCTTGATGTCGTCGTCGAGGACGAGGTACTTGAAGGCCTCCCGGTCGGGCTTGACGTCTTGGAGAAGAGCAATCGAGATGTAGCTCCAGCGTCGCTCTGAGAGAAGGAATGCAGGGATTTCGTTGGAGCACACGAGATAGTAGAGGTCGTTCTTTGGAGGCTCGCTCTTCAACGGGTCGAGGTCCTCAAAGTTGGCAAGGGGGCTCTTCTCTTCTCGGTCTTCCCGGCTGCAAGCCATGCAAGAGCATCGAGGCTTGGACAGAGGCAGGTAGTCTTTCGGAGGGTTGGTAATGAGCCCGTGTCCAGGGAGCGGAGGCGGACGGCCAGGCCGCCTCTCTCGGAACCTGTCAGGTCCGTTGAAGTTGAAGCGTTCGTAGCCCTCAGCATCGACAATGAGGCGCCCTTTGAAATGGCCCGTAGCACCGCCATCCTGATCCACCAACTGGCCATCATACTCCTTGTAAGCTGGCTTCTGGACCAGCTCCCAATAAAGCTTGCCTAGTTGAACTTGCTTCTCCTTCATTGTCAAGCCGCCTTGCTGCTCCAAATCCTCAGGGAAGAAGGCTGCAGGGACAATGGGCAGCGTTTGAATAGCCCGTTCGCCAGGGAAGTTGCGCACGCTGAAGGACTTCATCTCTCGCCGGAGTTTGTTACTTTGGAATTCAATATTCCAGCAGGCCACGGAAAAGGACTCGAGCCTCCTGTCGTTGCCCACGAGGACTGGAGAGACGCTGCTGATAACAAATGGCACCCATTCATCATGGTCTTTGTGATAGACAACCTCGCCCGGCTTCAGAATGTACCACAGCCACTGGAAGGTTGCTGTGGGAGTGTGGTTCTTGTGCAGCTGCTCTTCCTGGCGGATTTTCTCGCCAAACATCTCCTCAAGGAAGGCCAAAAGAACGTTGATATGTTCCGTTGTCGTCTCCTTGTAAGCTTGACTGTGGCTAACGGGCTGATTGTATGCATAAGCCGCAAGGGCCTGGCGGTGATGGATCAGGATCTTGTAGGGCGCCTCGATCCTGCCATCGGCGAATTCGACGCCCGGATAATAAGCAACAACGGCATTCAGAGCATGCTTGAGATGAGCAGAATGGATAATCATCTCCGTCTTCTCTTCCTTGGCAATGTTGAGCTCATCTTGCTCGTCTTCCGAGTCCGAACAAGAATCCTCCGAGTAATAGTCCATGTTGTGAACAGGGCGAGGTCCGCGGGTGGGCCGCTTGACATAGGCAGAGACCTTGGTGCGGATTTCGAGGACAGGCTTCTCGTTCGAGTCTGGGTCGATTTCAATGCTCTCAGTGGACACATCGATAGGCCGGTCACTCTGGCGTGTGTCCACGAGGCGCCCGCCTACGTCCCGGTACTGGACAACGTACAGGATGGGAGGAACTTCGCCATCTTGAAAGACTTTGCTCTTAGGAGCCAGAGCGAGCAAGTCCTTGATAAAAGGAGAAGCTCTATCAGCAGCCCTGATGGCCGTGACATCTTCGAAACTCGCTGTCGAGCTTGTGTCTTCCGGGATCTGATGCGTTGTTAGTTTCATAGGTCTGATGATTACATGGGGACGGGCTGCTACCTCGCGCTCAGCTGTACCGCCCATCTTCAGTTCCAGAATGAGCTCACGGGTAGGTGTTTGATTGATGGCTAGAGAAGGCTGCCAGGAATGGGATCGACAACTCGACAATACAGTGCCTTGAAAGATATCAAGGAGAGGTCCCTGGGCCAGGAGGAGGATTCGGACAGCAGCTTATAAGCCGAAGGTCCATGAGGGGGGGTGGCTCGTCTGGCCAACAAGAGAGGCTCATACAGCCTGGCATCATCCATGATTTGTCCATGCATGAGATCGGAGATGCTGGCTTCAAGGCTGCCATGGCTGCCTGGCCTGATAAGGTGTCGTCCATGCATGATGCACCAACATGACTGCAGGGGAAAGGCAGCCAATCAAGAACACAAACGCCCAAACAACACGCCGGGATTGGGGATGCACGGGGGTCTGACAAGAGGGCAGTGCAGAAACTAATGCAGTTTCTCCAAATCGATCAAGTCAGCGGACGCCCTAGTGGTCGGAAAGGTCTGTCTGAGTGGCCTGGACTCTGGATGCCTCTCTGTACGCACCAACTCCACCAACGCAATGACTTGGGGTAGGTAATAAGCCAAGGCAGCCACATGCAGGCCAAACCAGCACTTTAGGCCATGTAGCAGCCAGTAACGTTGACCACAAGGCTGAATGTGAACGGCAAACAAGCTGCCGGAAAGAAGACCAATATGCACCTTGTCAGCAAGCATCAAGCACGTAATGCCTGTTTACATGCTTCGAATTCGCCCGAGTCACATCCGCTGAAACAGACACCGGTGATCAACTCCTCGACTACTTTGCCCAGTGTTTAACATCAGCAATTGAATGCAAATTGTCATTCGCTCCGACACCCCGTAAAACCCTGCCCCTTTCGCTGTTCGCTATTGCAGCCCCTGTTCTCTATTTTCAAACCGACATGATGCATGCTATAAAACCCAATCAGCCTAACTCCCACCCAACCCTTTTGGTGTCATGTTGCATATCTCCACTATGTGTTGACAGCACTACGAAGTGATATTTACGACGCCTAAACTTTTTTGTGTGTATATAACCAGAAATCGCAAAGCCCTTTAGAGAGACACCTATGCATAGAGCTTCTTCTCGTACGACTCCATGTTCACACCACCCTCGAGCTGCGCGCTGGCCGTTCGGAGCTCAAACCGCAGAGTGCCGTTCAGGGCGCACTCATGAAGCTCCTGCAGACTCACTCTTCCGCAGTCCTGGAGGGAGTGCTTCAGGCCAGCAGCTAGGTATGGCAGGAAGCGACCGATAGATCTGTAGTCACAAGTCAGCATTGGTTCACCATTATATGGAATAGTGAAAACATACCCCCGGTGAGCAACGGAACCCGAGACACCCTGAGCAACGAGGACGCTGTCACCCTCTGAGAAGTAGCGCGCGGTTCCAGCATTGCTGGCCTGGCTGTCCTTGCCACCGCCGCCGGCCTTCTTGTCCTGCATGGCATCAATGCTGCCCATACCACGGTACGCCTTCACCAGTTTGCCCTCTCGGGAAACAAACGAAGTGCCAGGCGACTCTGTGGTACCCGCCAGGAGACCACCCATCATCACAGTAGACGCGCCCAGGGCGAGGCCCTTGACAATGTGGCCAACGTTTTGGATACCGCCGTCGGCGATGCAGGGAACGCCAAACTTGGCAGCAAAGGAGCTGACGCTGTATACAGCAGTGGCCTGAGGCCGGCCAACAGCCATGACCTCCTGAGTGATGCAGGCACTGCCGCTACCCATGCCAATACGCAGACCATCGACGCCAGCAGCAATCAAGGAAGCAGCCTGCTCCCTCGTCACCACGTTACCACCGATGACGTCGAGGTCAGGGTGCTCCTTCTTGATCCACTTGATCATATCGATCTGGTACATGCTGTTACCCTGGCTGCTGTCCAGGATGACGATGTCCAGGCCAGCGTCGACCAGCTTGGCCAGGCGGACCTTGTCCTCGGGGCGGGTGCCAATGGCAGCAGCACAGAGCAGCTGCTTCGAGTCCGGCAGCTTAGAGGCCAGAGGGAAGTTGTAGTTCTTGGTCAGATCAGACCGAGAGATCATAGACACGAGGTTGCCGGACTTGTCAACGATAGGCAGCTTGCCCTTCTTCGACTTGGACAGAATCTTGTTTGCTGCAGGAAGGTCAACTCCAGAGGGGGCGGTGATAAGATCGGTAACCATGACATTCGCCACGGGTTGGTTCAGGTCCTCCTCAAACTGAATATCGCGGTTCGTCACGATACCCAGCAGCTTGGAGCCGAGCTTGCCAGACTCTATATATTGATGTGGTCAGTCGACAATCTTGATCAAAGCACATCAATGATAACAATAAGTAGTGTGTTTGCTTCTGTCATTCTACATCTTTTCTCCCCATGACATTTCTGTCTTGTACGGTGGAACGAAAGTTAAATTGGATTTGATATAATCATGTGAAGCGGAGCAACAGCGATCGGGACCACGACACTCGTCGGGTGGCAATCAAGTGGATAAAGGCGTATTTGTATCGCATTCTAACAAAATTTCTCGAGATGATGAGAAGAAACTTGGGAAACTTACCAGTAACAGGAAAGCCACCGAATCCCCACTTCTCCTTCAAAGCCTTGGCCTCGCCGACAGTCGTGTCGCGCTTGATGACGACGGGATCCATAATAAAGCCGTTTTCGTACCGCTTGACCTTGCGTACCATATCGGCCTGGGCATCTGGGGAGCAGTTGTGGTGGATGACACCAAGACCGCCCTGTAGAGCCATGTGGATGGCCATCTCGTGCTCAGTGACGGTATCCATGGGCGACGAGACGAAAGGAGTCCTCAGAGAGATCCTCTTGGTGACGGGGGAGTCAAGGGTGACTTCAGAGGCAGGGAAGCCAATGTAGCCGGGCTGAAGGAGGAAGTCATTGTAGGTGAGACCACCATGGACCTTGGAGTCCATGAGCTCCTGGATGCTCAGGCCATCGAGGTTGCTGTACTCCTTCAGAGCAGCCTCGGCATTCTTGTAGTCAAGGAACTTGGAATTCCCGTTGACACTGCTGACAACGCCGTTGGAGAAAGGCATTTTGAAGAGACTTCGGGCTACAGAATGTGTCAGCTATGGATGGTCGAGACAGGAACCTCGAGACAGGAACCCGTGTTGGAAGGGACGCTCAAGGCCGCCAAGAAGACCTACCTATACTGTGATTTTACACTCAGAAAGCACACTGAAGTCGAGTTCGAAGGATACCAATGAATACGATGAAGTAGCAGACTGGATTGACAGTTGCCTAGATCGTTCGCTGGTGTCTTCTCCCCATTAGAAGAAAGGAAAAAAAAAAGAAGAGGGAAGCAAGAGACGGCGATCCACTGAAATTTTTTTGTAAGCTCCTGCCGCACACCCCGCTCCACTGGAGGACTGGACCCTGGGCCTGTCGTTGCGGGGCTTTCTGGCGGTCAATTCAGCAGAGTCAGGTGCTGTGGCCAAAGCTGGTGCTATTGATTTACTCGGTGCTGGGATAACAGTCTTATCTTATCGTTATCGAGATAAGAGTGTGCTCCCAACATTGAAGTACCCAAGTACCCACGCTCGAGCCAACAGACCTCCAGCCAGACTGAACCCGGGTTCTCAGGCTGAAAGGTGGGTCCACTGGTCTGTGCTTGGTGTCGAATTGATTGGGCCTGGGCCTCTCCTTTGCGCGTGACGTATTAGCGGGCGGATCGGAGCCAGGGTTGCTCACGCAAATGGCAAGTAAACAAACAATGTGCCGATTGCCTGGGCGACTCGCATCGCTTGAACAGAGGAAAAAAGGGCACCCCTCCTCCATCAAGCACATCAGCCTCCCTGGAATGCGGCCAGATACTAGGGCTTCCTTTTCAGACGTCAAATGTTCACGGCTGAATGCGGCATGAGGTTATCCCCAGGATTTTAATCGCTGCATATTTTCCACCGTGTCATTCCTTGCCAGTACCATTTTTGCGCTGTGCGCGCCTCGAGACAGTTGATATTCAGTCCACCTCAACCTCAAGCTCGACCTCAATTCCCTTCTTCAGTGGACATATTCCGAGCATCAGCATCGCATGCAACATCAACAATCCGCATCGCATCAAACAACACTCGCACTCGCCCTCGGCACTTCCACCTAGCATGCTCAGCGTCTCGTTCGCGAAGCTGTGATGTTGCCACCGGTTCAGACTTCTTCGGCTACCATCTCCAAGTGCAGGCACCCACCGCTAGAATAATCGTTGTCAAAGATGTACCGACAGCATCCCCTGCGACAATCACAGACAGCCGATTACTCCGTGAATCGCCAACCATCCACGGCATCCTCAACAGCGTCCTCCGGATACTCCTACGCGTCTGACCTCAGCATCGCCAGCAGCATGTCTTCTGCGCATTCTAACGGCTATGCGTCCGTCGGCCACAAGCGGGGCAAGAGCGAGGTTAGCAGGCTGTCCGCATCCTTCTCCGGCCTTGATGTCTCCCAGACCCAGTCGAGCACAACCGACATTTACAGTACCGCCCGAAGGTCACTGCGCCCGCTCCCACAAGCTCCCGGTCCGGCCCCAGCAACAACCAAAAGCAGCCCCGGTCGCCATGATCGTGGGCAGAGCGTCGACATCGGCAAACTCTCTCTGTCTGACACTGGCCGATTTGTGCCGTCCCCTCCTCGCGTATCTGGCATTCGCCCAACGTCCATGCTTCTGACCCGTTCCGACTCGATCAATCGGGGAGGCAGCGCAGCAGTCGCCCATGCCCATGCGCCGCCTGCCGCACCTCACCACTCCCACACAGCCTCGCTTCCGGCGCCGGACCTAGAAAGTCTCGGCAGATCGTCTACCAACCAGCTTCGTACCCTGTCCAAGCTCGCCCAGGCCGGGTCTGTTGATGGATTTGCCCTCAGCGCTCCCACACAAGAAGTCATTGGCTTGAAGGGTCGCCGCCGTCTCCAACGAACCGACACAGAGAAGGCAGGTCGCCCTGGTCAACGAAGCGGAGGGTACGGCTGGGAGGGAAGGAATTGGATGGATAAGCAACGCCAGTTTCTACAAGCCTATGAATATCTTTGCCATATCGGAGAAGCAAAGGAATGGATTGAAGATATCATCCATCGGCCCATCCCGCCAATCGTCGAGTTGGAGGAGGCCTTGAGGGATGGCGTCACGCTTGCTGAGGTTGTCGAGGCACTCAATCCCGATAGGCGTTACAAAATATTCCAGCATCCGCGTCTTCAGTACCGACACTCGGACAACATCGCCATCTTCTTCCGCTACTTGGATGAAGTCGAGCTACCTGATCTCTTCCGGTTCGAGTTAATCGATCTCTACGAGAAGAAAAACATACCGAAGGTCATCTACTGCATTCATGCCCTGAGTTGGCTTCTTTTCCGTAAGGGCATCGTCGATTTCCGTATCGGCAATCTTGTCGGCCAGCTCGAATTCGAGCATCACGAACTCGAAGCGATGCAGAAAGGTCTCGATAAGCTGGGAGTCAACATGCCCAGCTTCGGCAATATGGGAGCCGACTTTGGTGTGGAACCGAGTCCCGAACCTGAAGAGACCGAGGAAGAGAGGATCGACAGGGAGCTCGCCGAACATGAAGCCGGCGTCGTGGATCTCCAAGCCCAGGTCAGGGGCGCGCTGGTCCGTATGAACTTGGGAAGAACGATGCAGCAGTTGTGGGATGCGGAGGACTGGATAGTGGACCTACAAGCGCGCATACGAGGTGACTGGGCCCGACAAATCATCGACTATCGCCTGCAGATGAGACTTTTCGCTGTGAATCTACAGAGTGCGGCCCGCGGGTATCTGGTACGACGACGCGAGATCCAGAAGGAGCAGTTTTGGAAGAGCAAGGAACGTGACATCCTTAAGCTCCAAAGCTTGATTCGAGCGAACAAAGTTCGCACTGAGGTACGCGAGACTCGATCTTACTTACTCCAATGCGCGGCGCCGATACGGGAGGTGCAAGCCGTGTTCAGGGGCTACCTGGCACGCCAGAAGGTCGACGATCAACGACACGAGACGAGTCGCTTGACTGGCCCTATATCAGATCTCCAGTCAGCAATTCGCGGAATGTCATTGAGGAGGCGGCTTGGTGACGAGGCGCAATTCTTGAGAAGCCAGGCTCAAACCATTCGTGGTCTGCAGTCTGCTGCAAGGGCCATGCTGACGAGAAATCAGATCGATCAACAAAGAGAGTCACTTCTCCGCTTCACTCCGAAGTGGGAAACTCTGCAAGCCGTCGTCCGAGGCCGCCTCGCCAGAACCAATGCGAATGCACTTCGCGCCGAGTTGAAGCACCATTCGTCAGCTATCTCGGCCCTCCAATCCTGCATTAGAGCTGCTGCGGTCCGGAGGGAAGTCGCCGAGACACTTGAATGCTTGGAAACCTGTGCTTCTCCAACAATCGAGCTGCAGTCCCTGATACGTGGTATGCTGCAACGCCGACGTATAGCGGCCGATGCCAAATTGCTGGCGCGCCAAACAGTCAAGATCACGGGTCTTCAAGGGCAAATCCGAGGCCATTTGTTCAGGAAGCAGCACTTTGAATTCCTGGACCAGCTACGAGCAAACGAGCAAGAGGTCATATCTATCCAGGCCCTGGCGCGTGCGATGATGCTGCGAGCAGATGTCGGTGCTCTACTCGCCGAACTTGACGAACAAGAAGACTCCATCATCGAGATGCAGGCGGCAGCTAAGGCTTTCATCGTCAGAGCGAAATATGCGGAGAAGAAGCGCTTCTTCAAGGAGAATATGCAAAAGGTCGTCAAGATTCAGAGCTTCGTGCGAGCAAAGCTTCAGGGCGAAGCATACAAGAGTCTCACCACTGGCAAGAACCCTCCTGTTGGTGCCGTCAAGAACTTTGTTCACTTGCTCAACGATAGCGATTTTGACTTCAACGAAGAGGTCGAGTTTGAGAGGATGCGGAAGACGGTTGTTCAACAAGTACGGCAAAATGAGATGCTCGAGCAGTATATCGATCAACTCGATATCAAAATCGCCCTCCTCGTCAAAAACAAGATTACCCTCGACGAAGTTGTCCGGCACCAGAGCAACTTTGGTGGCCACACCGGCACGCTTCTCGCCAACAGCACCATGGCCTCTGCAAACCAGTTTGACCTCAAGGCCCTCAATAAGAGCTCACGGAAGAAGCTGGAATTGTACCAGCAACTATTCTTCAATCTTCAAACCCAGCCTCAATACCTGGCGCGTCTGTTCAGGCGTGTTCGTGAGCAAGGCACTGCTGAGAAAGAATGCAAGCGGATCGAACACCTAATGATGGGGCTCTTCGGCTATGCTCAGAAACGCCGCGAAGAATACTACCTCCTGAAACTGATTGCGCGATCGATACGTGAAGAAGTGGACGGCATGGCCTCTGTTCAAGAATACCTACGCGGTAACTTTTTCTGGTCCAAGCTTCTCGGTAACTACTCGCGATCTCCTCGAGATAGGAAATACCTGCGCGACCTATTGGGGCCTTTGATCCGAGACAATATCATCGAGGACCCGGCGCTCGACCTGGAGAGCGATCCCATGCAAATTTATCGTTCTGCTATCAACAACGAGGAGTTGAGTACTGGCAGGCCGAGTCAGCGGCCCCTCGATGTCCCTCGCGAAGTCGCCATCAAGGATCCCGAGACAAGAGAGCTATTCATTGACCACCTTCGAGATCTGCGCCACATCTGCGACCAGTTCTTGATGGCTCTTGAAGATCTGCTCCCACGGCTTCCTTACGGCTTGCGATTCCTCTGCCGCCAAATGTTTGAGGCGCTCTCCCAACAGTTCAAACGCGAACCCCAACAGCAGCTCTTGCAGTTCATCGGCAACTGGCTGTGGAAGTTTTACCTGCAGCCTGCTCTGACGGCCCCAGAGAACGTTGGTGTTATCGAGAAGCAGCTCAGCCCACTGCAAAAACGCAACCTGAGTGAAGTTGCCAAGGTGCTCAGTCAAACTGTTGCCGGCCGGCATTTTGGTGGAGAGAACATCTATCTTCAGCCACTGAATGCCTTCCTTTCAGAATCGATGGAGCGGTTCCACAACATCATGAGGCAACTTATCTCAGTACCGGATGCCGAGAGCACTTTCGACATTGACGAGTTCAACGACTTGTACGCCAAGAACAAACCCACCCTCTACATCAAGATGACGGACATCTTTGCCATTCACAACCTCGTCGCCACGGAGTTGCCCGTCATCTGCCCTAACCGAGATGACATGCTCAGAGAAATCATGCAGGAACTTGGTAGTGCGAAGAACAACGAGAGTGAGATGACTGCCGCCGGTTCGTCGGATATCCAGATGTTCTTGACCCCTAAACTACACGACCATGAGGACCCAGAAGCCCAGGTCAAGGCCTTGTTCATGGAGACCAAGCGCTGCATTCTGTATATCATCCGGGTGCAGACGGGACCGAGTCTCCTGGACATTTTGGTGAAGCCGATCGCGCCAGAGGACGAGCACAAGTGGCAGATGCTTCTTCACGAAGACTTTGCTGCCGGCAACAACACAAAGGGCGCGTACTCCGATGCTAACATGATCGACGTATCGAGAATGTCCTACTATGATCTCAAGCGGACAGCCCTGGAGAACGTCATGCGGCTGGAGCACATGGGCCGCATCTCGAAGCATAACAACTACCAAGACATCTTGAATGCTATCGCGCTTGACATCCGCACCAAGAGCCGCCGAAGAGTCCAGAGGCAGCGAGAGCTGGAGGGCGTCCGACTCACTCTCAACAACCTGCATGAGAAGGCCAAGTATCTCGAGCAGCAGCGCAAGAGCTATGACGACTACATCGAGTCAGCCATGACTACTCTGCAGAAAAACAAGGGGTGAGTTTGTCCTATTATTATCTAACAAATTAGTTCTTGAGGGTATCCCGAATGCTGACCGAGAATGCAAAACCAATAGCAAAAAGCGCTTCCTGCTCCCATTCACCAAGCAGTACAACCATCAGCGCGAGCTCGAACGCAGCGGCCGCGTGCCCAAGTTTGGCTCGTACAAGTATTCCGTGCGCTCCTTGTCGGACAAGGGCGTTCTCGTCGGCTGGGCCGGCGTCGCCGATCGCGACTGGGACAAGATCGACCTGACCATCTCGTGCGACGAAGTGGGCGTCTTCACCATCGAGGGCTCGCGCAGCCACATCCAGATCCCGGGAGCCAGCGCCCTCGTGCCCATCGAGGACCTCCTGCAGGCGCAGTTCGAGGCGCACCAGTTCATGAATCTGTTCGAGGGCAACCTGAGGCTCAACGTGAATCTGCTGCTGCATCTGCTTTACAAGAAGTTTTATCGGACGCAGTAAAGGGGGGGGTGGCAGAAACGAGCGCATGGGGTACGTCACATTTCATGGTGAGGAGGTGTATAGGGAATAGAGGGAGAAATATGACGGACGATTACTGACGAGCAAGCGGGGGGCATTTGTTTTCCAACGCATGATGCATTGATGGAATGGCGTGCCGAGATGGGGTTTATTGTCTTTGTTTTCTGCTGCCGAGTAATGACTTTGTAGACGGCGTGGAAAGGATTCGCGGCGTTGGTGGGCCGAGTCTGTCTCGACCGACTCGAGAACACTTCGACGGGCCTTTGGGTCTTCCTTCTACTGGTTGCATTCAGACGTATTAGGTGTTCATGTTGATTTGATGAAGGGAGGAAATAGGAAGGGGGTTGCGTTTGTTCAGGTACATATATAAATCTTCTCACAACCATCATTTGGACTTTGCACCAGCTTTTTTCTTCCGTGATGATCTCGTATCTCTTGAGAGCTTCTATGGCCTTGACGTGGAGGAACATAACTCGCCCGTGATGTAATTTCCGAGGTGCGTAGTTATGCCGTCCGGTCGATTGTCCATTCTCGAAAATCCTACTCCTGTCCCCTTAAGATTTGTTCAAACTTGGTATCTTTTGTTCGCCTTTTCCCATGCCCTCTCCAAATCCATCCAAAAAGAAGCAAAAAAGCCATCATCTCGTGTATCACATTACCCCATTTTATATAGGTAGGTATATATGCTCGCCAAGAGGAACCCGGTAAAAAAGAAAACTCCCGATATTATGCATAAAGCGAAGAACAGACACAGCAAGGGAGAAAAATAATATAAAGGAACAAAGGTAAAAAAAGAGACCCCACCCAGCTGGAGAGGGGGGTTGTATCGCTCTCAGCCCTCGATCTCGTCGTCCCCTTGCTTGGCCCGCCAGTCCGGATCGTCCCTGTTGTGCTCGAGGTCCTTGCCGCCGGCCGACATGCTGCGCAGGCGCACGTGGGCGCCTGCCGGCCCGGGCCCCCCGACGATGGTGCTGCTGCGCTTGACGATGCTCTGCGGCGACAGGGGCGGCGAGACGGGCGCCAGGTCGTCGGGCTCCGGGATGACCGTCTCCTCGGGCACGCTGCGGGCGTTCTTGCTGGCGGCCAGCTTGCGCTGGGCGTCGCGCGCCAGGCCGTCGTCGTCGTCATCGTCACTGCCGTCGTCGCCGTCGGCGTCGATGTCCAGCATGGCCTCCTCGTACAGCTCCTCGATGTCGCGGGCGTCGACGGGCCGGTAGGGCCCCTCGCCTTCGCGCATGAAGAAGGGCGGCACGGCGCCGAGGACGGCGATGGCGGCCAGCGTCCACCAGCCCGTGATCATGTACCCGCGCTGCACGCCCCAGGTGAAGGCGGCGCCGGTGAGGGCGGGGCCCGCGGCGCGGCCCACGCCGCTGAAGGTGGTGGCGAAGCCGTTGAGGGTGCCGAGGATCTTGAGCGAGGGCGCGGCGTTGGTGAGCATGATGGTGATGCAGGGGAAGCCGATGATGCCGACGAAGCCCTTGACGAGCAGGATGAGGCCCAGGGCGGCGTAGCGCGTGCGCTCGGTCTGGATGAGCCCCGTGTAGGGGGTCACGAGGTAGACGACGGGGTAGAGGAGCACTGTTTGTGCGGTCAGCGAGTGTGGGCGGTTAGTGGTACTCTTGGGGGGAGAGACGGACGGAAAAGGAGTTGGGCAGGCAAGGGTGGAGGAGAGGGCTTGCGGTGATGAGGGACTTACTTGCGAGTCTGTAGCACCTGAGCGAACCGAATCGGGTGCAGAGGGGTGGGAAGATGAAGAACTGGATGACGCCGCAGGCTACTCCGTAGGCGGTGAAGATGGTCCCTATCCTCCCGGACTCCAAGCCGAAGCCGCCAGAGAACTTGAACGGTAGCTTGGTGTTGTGCTTGTCAGGCACCTGGGTGGGATAGTTCAGAAACACCGGAAGGACCTGGTCGTAGGCGACGGAGTGCAGGGCGAGAAAGGTGTAGCACACGAGGGCCATGATGGTGTCGTAGGTGAAGATGTCGCCGGTCTTGGGCTCCGGGGTGATGTCCACGATCAGATCGGCGGGGTCCCTCTCGTCCTGGGTGAGCAGCGGAGCAGAAGCCTCGGCGTCGACAAGCGAATGTCTGCGTAGGTGCGGACGGGGATGGCGTTGGAAGGACCGGGTCAGCTTTTCGCCCAAGACCAGACCCCAGTCCCTGCTGTGCTTCTTGCTTGCAAGTGTTTCCTAGCAGTTGTCAGGCCCCGTGCTTCCCTCACAGTATGCGGTTACAACAACGTACCTCGAGGAACAGTGCCGCAGTGATGACGGACAGTGTGAAGAAAACGCAAGCCACGAGATTGGGCAACGCAAATGGAAACTTTTTGAGAAACTCGATGTTGCCAAACAACGAAGGATATTGCTCGGCGGGCTTGGCAAAGAAACCGCCAAAGGCAGGGCCAAAGACGGAGCCTATCGACCAGACCAAGGGCATGATGGAAAATGCCTTGGGTTGAAGTACCTTCTCGGGAACCATCTCGGCAACCATGGTCCTGATAATGCCAACTATGACGAAAGGTTAGTCTACTCGCTGTGACAAAAAAAAATACAAGAGGCGCATACGCACCATTGCCGTTCCCGGCACCGAGGAGGGCTCTGACAGCGATAGCCATCGGCAGAGAGGTCGAGATTCCCCAGAAGATGAAGCATATCATGGTGCAGGTAAGGCCGAGGAGGATGGTAGGCTTTCGGCCTATCCGGTCGGATGCCCAGCCCCAAGGGACGGCCGTGAGACTCTGGGATATTGAGAAGATAGCGCCGACAATGCCGGCCCACTTTGCGATGTCATTCTTGCCGATGCCAAACCCCTTGATCATCTCTGGCAGATAAGGGAAGACGGAGGTCAAGGCGAGAGGTTCTGAAAACCGAACAACGGCTGCAGCAGAGGTTAGTTACTCTGCCAGCAGAAGAGAGTGGAAAGACGAGGACTGTGCGATAACATGCCATGAGGCTGTCACGGACCGTGCTCGTTGGGAAGGAGGGATTCATAGTAGCCTTGCTGCCAGAGACTGGACGAAAGAAGGCTCCCTAGGCCGGATGACGAGGAATAGGGACAGTCCACATGATGCCGGTCCCAAGGGGACGAGCCTATCCGGCTGTAGAAGAGTGAAAGACAGAGACTGAGTATGACTAGAGACAACAGAACACCTTGACGTTTGTCGTCAACTTACCAAGAATAGCCAGCTGCTTCGTCGGCAGCCTGGGTTCCAGATCCTTGGCCATGTTGATGAGAAGCCACCTAACTCGGCACCAAAGAGGTTCAAGGGCTATGAGTTCAACATGCAGATAGCGCGGCTGGGCGAGGATCTACGAAAGCCTCGCCTTGTGTGGGTTTCGACGGTCGTTGTCACTTTGTTGCGTGGGGACAGCCAAGGTCTCACGATGAAAGAGAGTGCAGGAATGGATTTCTTCTTGTCAGTCTAAACTAGCAGAGAAGTGACATAAAGAGCCTTGAGCGTCAAGAGGGGAATCAGACAGCACGTAAAGGACAGACTTGGGACAAGAGAAGGGCGTTGACTATGATTGGGAAACCAATAACAGACATAATGGAAGAGGGAGGGAGAGAGAGAAAGAGAGACGCGAAGAGGCAAACACGACAGGCCGGAGATCGGGAGGGAGTCATAGAACAAGCCTTTGGATGGGTGAAAGCCCGCCGTGAGCCGGGGGCGTCAACTGCAGAGTGTGGCCCGCCTGCACGACGGCCATGCACGCACCTTCACGGCAGCGCTAAGAGAATTTGGCTGTGGGAGTGGGCCCCGGGACATGGGTTTTTTTTCTTCGTCGCTGTTGGTCTCGCACCTACTTGTACTTGTAGTTCTCTAATGCTCCTCCGCGCGGTGCCGCCGGAGCCGCAAAGGCGTTGAACCTTCGGCTGTCGCGCCGATGTCAACGGGCCGGTGTATGACATGACATGACATGACGTGACTTGACGTGGGTGCAGCAGCAGCACTTGGCAACGTGAACCCGGTGCTCTGAGAGACAGAAACAAAACTGAAGTCTGAATAATCGCCTCTTCATCACAAGGCAAGACAAGACAAGACGGTGGGTACGGCGTTCTCTCTTGAGCAGTCATGGTGACCCCCAGATTTTTTTGCATTTTGGCAGCGGTGATGGGTCCGTTGTCGGGGCCTAGAGCAGACAGGCCCCACCCTCCACTGTTTCTCGCCCCCTCCTTTTCGGTGCACTTTGCGGTGTGACCGTGTGAGTGCAGCATCCGATTGGGAAGCAAAGAAAAAAAGGCTGCGCTCTGCCTGCAGTTCGTCTCAGTTCCTCCGGTCGGTGGCTGGCAGGTCTGCAAGTCTGGTGCCCCCGATTAGACATAATCAATCCCATGATTGGCTGTGTTTGACCGGGCACCGGTGGAGATCGTCGTCGGTCCTTGCACCGTCAACGGACCCTTGCCGTCACTCACTCATCTCTTGCATGAGAGAGTGCACGAGGTCAAGAGGTGAAAAGAAGGAACTGCAGAATAGGCAGTCCATGTCGGACCGTCGAAAGGTGGAGATTCAGAAGGGAAAACAGTGGCTGTCGTGTGTCCAGTGACGAATGGCCGAGTGAGAGTCCATGGCGATGATCCGAGCCAAGGCCAGGCCAAGCTCGATCCATTTGCAAAGAAACGAGTCGCATCTCGGAGCCTCAAACAGTCTTCATATCTACACCAGACCTCAATCGAAGACACAAGGAATCTAGATGTCTGGTCAATTGCATGTCAAGAGTGATGGCATTGAAATACTTGTACCTGGGACTATGTACCTTTGCACCGAGTTCTTGTACTGTGACTGGACTGACCAGATCGGCAGTGGTCCGAGCGTTTTCCCCAAATAGGCAGCTCCTCACCCCAATCTTCAAGTACAATCTAAGATTAGCTAAGTCGGGTCCCTCCTACTCCGTAGAGCTTGGGTGGCGTAATCGTAATCGCTTTGCCTCGGGCACGACCTTCACACAATCAATCGCATGAGTGAAATAACACAACTCGGGTGACAGACCTGTCGAGGCTCTCCCATCCCAGTTGCTCTGTTCATAGATAGCCCTTTCCCTCAAGCTTGTCCGGATCTCTCCCTTCCCAATCCGGACCACCGCCGTCCCGCTGTTTGATCGGTGGAGTGACGCCATTCCGCACCCGGCCTTGCACGGCGCCGCCGTCCGGCCAAGATGCCCGGAGAGCACACCCCCTTGATAGCCACCGTCCAGGTCGGCCCGCCCCGGCACCGCTATCCGCACAACATTGTCCGCCGCTTCTGCACCATTGCCCTCTCCTCCATTCTCATCTGGTTCCTCGCCGCTTTCTTGTTCACCGTTGCCTTCGGACCCAAACACCCCCATCACCGGCATCGTCACGGCCACGACCAGTGGTCGTGGCCCGGGTGCAAAGACAGGAAGCTGAGCTATGAGCAGCTCAAGGAGATCCTCCTCGATACCCCGGACAGTAAGCTCGCCGAGAAGTGGCTCGAGTACTACACATCCGGCCCCCATCTAGCTGGCCAGAACTACTCTCAGGCCCTATGGACCAAGGAACGCTGGGAAGAGTGGGGTGTCGCCTCGGACATTGTGACCTATGATGTCTACCTCAACAAGCCCGTCGACCACCGCGTTGCCTTGCTGGAGAAGTCCAAGAAGGGCACATCATCTTGGAAGGTGGCCTTCGAAGCCCCGCTGAAGGAGGACGTCATCGAGGAAGACCCTACTTCAGCGCTCGAGGACAGCGTGCCTACCTTCCACGGCTACTCCGCAAGCGGCAATGTCACAGCGCCCATCGTCTACGTCAACTACGGATCGTACCAAGACTATGAGGATCTGCTCAGAGCCAACGTCAGCCTGGAGGGCAAGATCGCCCTTGCTCGCTACGGCGGCATGTTCCGGGGCCTCAAGGTGAAGCGCGCCCAGGAGCTCGGCATGGTCGGCGCAATCCTCTTTAGCGATCCTGGCGACGATGGAGAGATCACCGAAGAGAACGGATACAAGCCGTATCCCGAGGGTCCTGCACGACAGCCCAGCAGCGTCCAGCGAGGGAGCGTGCAATTCCTCAGCTTCGCCCCTGGTGACCCAACTACTCCAGGCTATCCATCCAAGCCCGGCGTCCCTCGAGGCCCCACGGAAGGTTTCATCCCCAGCATACCCTCTGTTCCCATCTCTTACCGGGATGCACTACCAATCCTCCAGGCCCTGAATGGCCATGGACCCAAGGCCAAGGACTTCAACAAGTACTGGACTAGAAATCTGGGACTAAAGCATCTGGGTGTTGACTACAACATCGGCCCAACCCCTGATGATCTCGTGGTCAACCTCTACAACAAGCAAGACTACTCAATCACGCCCATTTGGAACGTTATTGGTGTCATCAATGGCTCCATCCCTGACGAAGTCATTGTCGTCGGCAACCACCGCGATGCCTGGGTTGCAGGCGGTGCTGTCGACCCCAACAGTGGATCGTCAGTCTTGAACGAGGTCGTTCGCAGCTTCGGCAAGGCCCTGGAGAACGGCTGGAAGCCGCTGCGAACCATTGTCTTTGCGTCGTGGGACGGCGAGGAGTATGGCCTGCTGGGAAGCACAGAGTGGGTAGAGGAGTTTGCCCCTTGGCTCGACCACGCAAACGTCGCGTACCTGAACCTCGATACCGCCATCGGAGGCAAGCAGTTCGGCGCGGCTGCCGCGCCTCTCCTCAACAACATTCTCTATGAAGTGACCGCCGAGGTCCAATCGCCCGACCAGTCGACTCCTGGCCAGACTGTGCGTGACACCTGGGACGGCAAGATCAAGACGATGGGCAGCGGTAGCGATTTTACCGCCTTCCAGGACCGAGCTGGCATTCCCTGTGCCCACGTCGAATTCGGCGGAGGCCACAAGGATCCAGTCTACCACTACCACAGCAACTACGACAGCTTCTACTGGGTCAAGACCTTCGGCGACCCGGGCTTCAAGTACCACAGGACCATGGCGCAGATCTTTGGCCTGATGACGGCCAAGCTCGCAGACGAACCTGTCGTCTCCTTCAGCGCCGTCGACTACGCTGACGCACTGGACGCTTACATCGACAAGGTCGCTGACAAGCTGGACATGGTCCTTGGTGCGGTCGTCCTAGATGTCGACTCCCTGGACGACGAGGAGCAGCTCGCGCTGCGCAGTGGGACCGGCGCCGGCAGGCTCGAGCTACAGGCCAGCAAGAGGCAAGAAGCCGAGGAGTTCAAGGCCTCGCTCGACAAGCTGTACAAGGCCGTCTGGGAGTTTGCCAAGCAGGCCAACACGCTCGACGCGCGCGCCGACGAGCTGAGGCGCAAGGTCGACGAGCGCCTGCCCTGGTGGCGCTGGCCGGCCAAGCTGCGCCTGGGCTTCCAGATCCGCAAGGTCAACGACAAGTACAAGCAGCTGGAGCGCAACTTCCTGTACGAGCCGGGCCTGGACGGCCGGGACTGGTTCAAGCACGTTGTCTTTGCGCCGGGGCTGTGGACTGGATACGCTGGAGGTGAGTTTCTCCTCCCATTGACTCATAATTTTACCCCGTGTCTCTCAAGTCGGCAGGTGAATGCTAACGTGGCTTGAACTTGTAGCTGTCTTCCCGGGGTTGGACGAGAGCATCGACGCCGGAGACTACAAGAACGCGTTGAGGTGGGTTGACATTATTGAGTCGTGCATCTTGAAGGGTGCCGAGAGCATGTAACCATTTTCTGAAAGGAGGACCTTGTGAACAAAAGGGGGGGCTGGGGAGTAGGGACGATAATTATCTGAGTACAGTATAGCGAAGCATGAAGAAACAGAACATCTAGCCCTCCGCTGAGGCCGAATCACAATATCCCACATCTTCCTTATTCTCGCCCTTGTTTCTCTCCCAAGTCGCATCCAATACCTAGACCCTCTGACACAAGTGCCGGCAGTAAAGTGCTAGGCAACGGGACCACGATGGGACCGCAACGGGAAGCCCAACGGGAAGCACAACGCTCTCTCTTGGCAGCGGGGGATGGTCCATGTCTCCGTCTTCAGCTGGCGTGGGTCCTCGACCAGGGAGAGAATGCCTTGAGGTAATTACTTACTTGTAGTGTCCCCAGTAGTTGCTTCAGCCGCACCTCTTTTGAGATTAGGCCTCATCTCTTTGAGTACCGAAACCCAACTCTTGCTTTTTCCAACCCTGCCACTCTTGCATCACGGTCGTCTTGGCCACTATGACTGCAAACATGCTCTCAAAGGATAGAAGGTCGGGAAAGAGTGGCCTGTTCAGTTATCTGGATGAGATTTGGTATTGCATCTGTCAGTGACAATATATCAAACAGGTCCTCGGTCAGCCCAGATCTGCCTTTCTCCTTCTTTGAAGACCAACCCAAGTGGGCTGCCGTCTAAGCAGCCTGCACTAGAGGGCATACGTGTGTGTGATGTACTACGTAAGCCCGGAAGACGTTGCGAAGGCATTGTGAAAAGATCATCCTCCAAGACCACAACCACACGTTCATCGGGCACTGGACCGTGACCCCTGGCCACGGTTTGATCAACCAAGGTCCTTACGAAACAGTGATCGCCAAGCTCGACACTCACTGGACGCTCCGTACTTCGCTAAAGTAGAGCTAACATTGGCTGGCCCTCTTGCCAACCCCTGCACCGACCGCCCTCTGCCTCTGGGGGACATGCAGCAGGCCTTGCAGAAGGACCCGTCTGGTGGAGGTTTAGCACGCATCTGCCGCGGTTTGACGAGGCAGACTTGCTTCTCTGAGGTGAAGTTAACTGAGCTAGTTAAGCCAAGACTTGAGGGATGAAGGGCGCGCAGTTGCTGCTTGGCGGCTTGCTTGGATCTGGGGGTGAGTGAGCCCTTGACCTTGATTAGCTTGAACTGTTGTGATGACAAAAGCTGTTTGATGTCCCCCCTTCCCAGCTGTGATCGAGTCTTTGCTATTGTTTCCTCTCCTCTCCCGACCCGAGGCTTCATTTCCAGTTATTGGTGACTTTGGTTTTGTTTTCTTTTCGTGATCCATCCATTTGTTGACTTATACACACTTCTCTTGGCCCATTCGAACTACACCCTCCTCGACATAAACTCGACTCGGGGACCAGAAAACACACAATGGTGGCAATAGCTCCCGGCCGGGAGCACATCCCCGGGCACCCCAAGGCCTTCATCGCCGTCCGCTTCATCTCGCTCATCATCGGCCTCGTCGTCCTCGCCTGCGATGCCTACAGCCTCTCCCGCCTCGCCTTCAGCGGCAACTCCCTCATGATGTTCACGGTAAGGTTTCCAAGAACACGAAAAACCATCCAAGAAAGATAAATTTCTCTCTCTCTCTCCTTTTTTTCAATTTACACAAAACGCTTATCATCATCGTGCTTCTTCTCCCCCGCCCGCAGTCCATCGCCAACCTCATCACCTGCCTCTACGTCATCGTCGCCGAGCTCGGCGTCCCGGCCGCGTACAACTACTGGCCCGTGCTGGGCCTCGACGTCTTCATGGCCGTCTTCTGGCTCGTCTCGTTCGCCCTGCTCGCCTCGCAGGTCGCCCCGCTCTTCAAGGGCGTGACCTACTGCGACTGGTACTACGGCTGCTACTCGTACGAGCTCGAGGGCGAGAGCCTCGCCTGGTCCGCCGTCCTGGCCGCCGTAGCCGGCCTCGGCGGTCTCGAGTTGTGAGTCTTTTTTGAGTTTTGGCCTCTTCTCTCCGCAGCAGAGGGGAGGACATAGCATATACTAGATGCCTTCGAAAAGAAAGAAGAAGATCCTCGACTAACGCTTGCACCCCTCACCCCTTCTCTCCCGGAAAACAGCGCCCTGTACATCGTCGCCCTAGTCATCGGCTCCATCTACCTCTCCCGCCACCGCAAGGCCGGCGGCCACTGCATGCCTCTCGGCGCCGGCGCAGCTACCAGCGCTCCCACCGCTGCGGCGGCCCCAGGCGGCGAGAAGACCGAGGCCGGGGCGACCTACACCTCGACGGTGCCCCTGCAGGAGCAACAGCCGCCATACCAACCACAGCAGCAGCAACCCGGCTACCCGGCCGGCCAGGCCATGACGCCGCCGCCCCAGCAGATGCACCAGCCGCAGCCGTACTACCCGCAGCAGACGCCGAGCCCGCTGACCGCGCAGTCGTCGGTGGCCGGGTATCCCCCCCAGCAGCAGCAGCAGCCGCAAGCGCAGTACCACGAGGTGTCTGGGACACAGGCAGGATACAACCCTCAACAACAACAGCAACAACACCAGCAGCAGCAGCAGCAGTAGTGGGTACTTGCAGTGGAAGCGTGATGATGGGCGGTGGAGAGGGGTTAGCCTATGTATCACATTTGCACGGCGCAATATTCGATCAAGATACATCCCAGGTGATGATGTTGAGCAGTAAACAGGGAGGGGTCTAGGGGTAAGGAAAGAGGGCCGGGTTTGTCATGATAACCAATATTTGAATGCTTACGATTTGTACCCTTTGAGCCTGAGCTACGCATTACACAATACACAATACACGATACAAAGATTCCAGACAGAGATATTGGCCCAACCTGTGCACTAAAGCTGTTCGCCAGCCAAAGGGCCGAGGGAAGAAAGGCCCAGTAGAAGTCGGTTGACAAGACCTTCGAATGCAAACAGATCACGAGAGAAACTCGAAACTGGCCATGACGGTACCTATGCACAGGAATGACTTCGGGTCATAGCGTCCTCCGCCAGATGATTGAAAGTATACATATGCAACATGCTAATCTGCACCACCTCCGCCCACTCAAAAAAACAAGTAGAGAGACCAGACTTCGGTCCTCTCCATCTTCTTCTCCCTTCCAGCTAATCAATCCACCATACAAGAGTTCGACATTAACAGAATAGTCCACAACACACACGTCTCTTCCCCCCAACATGCGTGTTGCTTGAGCCGTACAATGTGCAAGAAGCCCACGTCCTATGTCGATGCCAAAAAAAACCCCCAACCATGCCATCCGTTTCCTGGGCTAACTCCTGGATAAAGTTCTGCTTGGGCTATTGTCGAACACGAGGATACTTCCGTCAACCTCCCTTCTATAACCCAGACAAGAATGCAAACAAACCCCGGACGTCCTCTCCGTCAAGCCGTTAAGCCCTTCAAGGAGGAAAAGCCGATACTGAGAAACGCCGGGCGTCGCGGAATCGCCACTACCATCCACATAAAGTCGTTATAAAGAGGAGGCATAGAGCATGCCCCCCAAACGCAGCAAAAGGCCGTCATGCAAAGCGGGCGGGGGTATCAAAGCAGAGCCGCAAACCGAAGCAATGCCGTATACACACAAGTGAAAGATAGAGATGATTGTTTAGGTTTTTTTTCTTCGGAAAAAAACCGCATTTTCGTTCCACATTACTTAAGGACAAGGCGCGAGTGGAGTTGCTGGGGGGGGGGGACTCATGAAAAGTCATCGTCGCCGTTGGCCATGACGAGCCGGTCGATCCGCTGGACGAGCTCCTTGGTCTCGCGGGCGATCTCAAAGGCGATCGGGGGCAGGGTCTGCGTCCACATGCGCCACTCGCGGTCGTTGGGGCCCTTGCCATCGGCAGCGAGATCCTCGCCGCGGTCGCCAGCTTCCAACAGCCGCTGGCGGCAGGTCTCGAGGCGGTCGAGCATCTGACCGCCGTTGCCACTCGATTCGGTCTCGGAGACAACCTTGCCCACAATGTCGGCGATGTCGTTGATCTGGCCCGTGATCTCGTCGATGGCAGCGTCACTTCGGATGGAGCCTACAAGATTCTGAATGGTTTGGACCAGGATAGCTGTCTGGTCATCCAAGTAGATCTGCAGCGTAAAAAAAAATTAGCAACTGCTCACTAGTAGAGGGCGTCGTGAATCAACCGACCTTGAGGTCCTCATCTCGATTCCGCATGCCATAGCCATTGGGCGCCGGCGGCAGTGCCTTGGAGACACCCATGAAGCCCGCGCCATTACCATTAGGAAGACCGTTACCGCGCGACATAGGACGCTTGGCTGAATACCTATCCACCGACTCTCGCGGAGAGCTGATGGGACTATAAGCAGAAGAACCGACACTAGCACGGGGACCGAGTCCCTGGAAAGGAGGTGGCGGAGGCAGTGACTCTTCAGTCGACAGGGTAGTCGACGTTGTCTGTCCATTGCTCCGCGGCGAGAAGAAACCGGTCGAGTCTACCGGGGTGATGGTGCCGTCATCATCGTCCTCGAGCTCCCCAGCCGGGGTTGATCGGATCTTGACGGTTCGCAGTAGTTCGACAACGGCGGCGACGAGATGGGACGCGGCAGCATCCAGTAGCGAGACGGGCGAGATTCCAGCAGACATCGCAAAGTTCTTGGCGGCCGTGATGAGATTGTTGGCAGTAGATGACACGCGCGCCTTGAGTTTGCCTTGGAGCTGCGCGACCTCACCACTGCTGGCGGGCGACTCATCAATGTCCTTGGTAATCCTGCGCACGCTGACAACAACAGCCTTCATCGAGTCAATGGCCTTCTCTGACTCCTCTGTCCTCGCCCGTCTGAGCAGCTCGTCGATGGCAATCTGGAACTTGGTAACGTGAACGTCCTTAACCATGCCGTTGTCCATAGTAAAGCCCTTCTCCCGCACATACTTGCCCGCATCTTGATCGATAGTCAAGCCCATAGACGAAGCCCGCATGTTTCGGAGCTGTGTCTTGGTGCGGGCATAACGATTGCGCCAGTCGCGCACCTCTTGTTCCAGGGATTCGATGGTCCTCTCCAGCTCTGACTGCTTCTCCCACGCGGAACCACTCTGCTCAGAGAGCAGCCTCATCTCCTTGAGGAAACCCTGGGCCTCCCGGCGAACCTCCTCGGTGACGGCTTGTTGTTCCCTCAACGTCATCCTCAGTTCCTGGTTCTCTTTCTCGAGCTCAGCGTTGCCGTTGCCAGCCCCTTTGCTAAGATTCGAGTTCGCAGAAAGGCGGAGGGATTCTACCTGCTCTCGTAAGTCGCGAGTTTCCGCTGCATGGTCGTCCCTCATCCTGCCCAGTTCTTGCTGAAGCGAGTCGTTAAGGTTCTGGGCATCGGCCAGTTGCGATTCGAGGTCTCGGCGGAGATCAGCAAGCTCTTGCTTCTCCACGTTCGCCGCCGTGGCTCGAGAACGCTCTCCATCCATTAGTGAGCTCAGCTCATCGTCCTTTTTCTTCATCGCAGTCTCCATGTCATCCAGCCTTGCGCGCATTTCTCGCACTTGGTTCTCATAGTCCTCGATCATGCGTTTGTCGTCCTATAAAGACAAAATTAGTGCATGTGCGCATGTACGGTGCCAAAGAATAACATACCTCAGAGCGAGCAGGGGGGAAGGGCGGGTCGTCTCGCTTGCTCTGTCTCCGCCTCCCGGGAGAGCCATCCAGACCATAGGGATCTGCGTTTTTGTTACTGACAGGCGACGCAGGCTCGTCATCTTCCTCCACCATCGTACTCTTGTTAGGAACTATAGTATTGCTCTGGAACTGCTTTGGCTGGGGCCGATCATAGTTGTTTGGCGGCAATCCGGGCGAGGGAGGGACACTGTAGCCATTCCCCATGGGCGGGCCCATACCGCTTCGCATGGACCTGATCGAACCGGACTCGGAAGGCCGCCTGATGCGGTTGGGACCTCGGGGCGGGAAGCCACCCATACCATTGACGGGTGTACCAGTTCTACTGGGAGCACGAACCGACGAGGCTGGGCTGCCCATCCGCGGAATGTCGCCTGCAGAAAATCGAGGAAACCTCCTCTCCAACTCGACAAAGACATCCGTCGCAAGATCTCGAAAGCGCGGAGGCCCTAATGATGACAGCTTCTGTCTCGCCTGGTTTCGTTTCGGATGGAAACTCTCCTCCGGCATGAGGTAGGGCGGCGGCCCTGCGTTGGGAGGAGCGTTGGGGGGCCTTCTGGCGAAGGCCTGTCTTCGCATAAGTTCGTCAAACACATCCGTACTGAGCTCGAGGAACTGGACAGAGGTCAGGCGCTGCAGCTTGTCGCGGGCCTTGTTGGGTTGGGAGTTGGGCTTTCCATCGCGAGAAGTCGAGGACAGGAAGCGCTTGAGCGCGACGTAGTGTTCCCCCAGTATGCCCTCGGTATCCTCTCCTCGCGTGCTCCTCCCGCTCTCGCTTCGTGCATACAGATTCGTTGCCGTACTCGACCTGCCGATCGACGGCGGTGGTGAAGGGCCGCCAGCGCTGCGCGGCCCTGGGGGGAAAGCGGCGCCATTCATGGTTCCCATCGAGCTTCCCGAGTTTGGAGGCGAGATTATCTGGGAGCGGGAAGCGGGATATGGCCCGTCGGTGTCCCTAGGCGTGTACGCTGACCACTCGTTACTTCCTATTGAGACTGGAGATAGAGGTGCATTGAGTCCGTTCATTGTACTCTAGTCAGGGCCCAGGGTGGTTTCGAAGAATGGATAGATCGATGTCTCTCAGCGGGCGCTAGGCGGCAAGGCGACCGCTCCCGCAAGACGGCAGCTAGGCTCCAGCTCTCAACCCACGCGAAGCAGGTGTAGCCCAAAACTCTATTCCTTCGTTCTCGGCGGTCTCGCGATGCTCCCGTCACACATCCACAAGGGCGGCGGGAAGGAGAATTAATCGGTGGTACAGCGACAGCCGGCGGCGGAGACTGGGGGTCAGTGCCGTGCGACAAAAGGGCGGGTAGACGCTGTGTGCGGTGTCTTGGTTTGCTCGTGGCACGACAATCCGCGACGCAGTCTCAGCAGATGTGCTGAGGCATGAAACGTCAAAGGTGGTCGCAAGGGTGGTTCGGCCAATGGGTGAAGGGCCTGGCGGCTCGAAAGGGGGTTGTGCTTTGATACCGACACAAGAGGCTCAGACTCGATTCGGAGGGAAGAAGAAGCGGCACAGCCTGAACTATACACAGATGGAATGTCGCGAAATCGCAAAAAAAAAGATTAAGGCTCGCGCCAGGCTGCTGAGACTCGGAGACGAAGTGACTATGGACGCCTTCACAGAATAGGTTTGAAGAAGAGGCCCTGGGCGAGGAGCGGCGGTGGTGCAGATTGCCGATCAAGGGATGCGCCCCCCGTCCGTCTAGAATCAGGGCGGTGGTGTCTCTCCCTCCTCTCTTTTGGTTGGAGCGGCGGGCGGGTGCGCAGTCTGGCTCTGGGCTGGTGCTTGGTGCAACGACTTGCTGGGGTCTTCTTTGGGTCCAGGTCCAGAGGAGCAACTGCAAGGGTGCGTGGGTGGCTGAATCTGACTGGACCGGCGGGCGGTAAGATGGGGATTCGATACAAGGAACAAGGGAAAAGGTAGCGCAGCATGCACTTGTCCCCTTTCTGCTAACGGCGACGCAACGGCCTCGAGCAAGTCACTGGTCCATCCGCTTGCCTGGCCCAAGGTGGTGTTGGTCACGGAAGAGCAGCCCAAGGATTTGGCCGACAAGGCCAGGATCCAGTTAGTCAAGTACCCGACAATAGTACACCAAAAAAGTGCACGCGCCAGAATCGGAAGGTTGGAACCCTCGAAAAATTTGCGAATGCTCTAATGTCACCGTAGTCATGCAAATTGCATGCCTACATATGTACCTACAGGAACCTACAGATAGTTCTCCATCAGGGCTCCAGTAAGGGTCACGGGCGTTGGCACCGCTTTGCCTGTTGATGAGGCTCGGTGTCGAGGCCATTATCCCCGCTCCGTAAGACCTTCATTCTTCCTGAACACGCGGGCTGATCTTTCGATTCAAAACAATACCTAGGTAGCTGACGTTTTTGCCTTTCCAGCGGGGTTCCTTCCGGGGGATTCGTCGCTTTGTTCCTAAATATGAAGCTACAAGTACTTTCGTAAGATTTCCTTTCAGAAACCGGGCAGACAACCGTACGTGGGTACTTTCAAGGCCATGGATAATTTCAGTCAGCCCAAAAGTACCTAGGTACCTAATGCAAAGACCCGTCAAACGGTAGGCGGCGTGGGGTCTTGGGTATCGAAGCGTGCGTACCTATCATGGCCATCCTTTCTTTCAGCTAAAAAGGGGATCTGGGGCATGAAACGCCCACCACAACGCTTCACCCGCTGGCTATTAACCGCGCAAGTGGCTGCATCTACGTTATTTGTCAGGCACGGCACCTGGCATCTGCTATACCGCACCTATTTAAGCATACATGTAGTCTACCTAGGTACTTAATAGCTATGATAAACCGTTTGCGAACCTTTATCCTCGCGCCATCTGTTTGTCTCCCTGACAAACAAAGAAGCTTTCTCGAAGCACACGATCACTGTCGAGGTTGCATCCACCAGTGTACCTCCATAGGCATGCGCATACAGGTACGTACACCCCGATCAAAGCAGAACCCAGGCCTTGCTTTGATCCTGGCTTCTGCTTTGTTAGGTCCCCTTTTCGGGTTGAGGGCATTAGACTCGATTCGGACATGTCCATTTCGCCTAATGCCTACGGTCGTTGGCTAGGCCTGCTGAACCCAGCAGTAAATCTCCCGAACCGTATTACGGAGTGCCTTACCTACAGAGATGCACCAACAGGCGAACGCCGGAGGCTCTGGAAATTTGGAGGCTCACGCACTGGCCTAGCTGAACCGAGCAATGTACTTGTAATGAATGACCCAATCCCAACTGACCATTGGGGACTCGACAAAATTAAACATTCAGGTAGTTGGGCACGGTAGGTACGTTAACCGCCGCGCACCAAACGAGCCGAGACCAATCGCAGTCCTACAGGTTGTCGCCTACAGGGTCGTCGCCCAACAAAGCTGGGTCGTGAACCTGCCGCTCATGAAGCTCCCATCTGCATGGATGGAGCTCGATGAGCAAGCCACTGACACAGGCTGCCTTGTTCTGGCCTTGCCCCTAGGTACTCCGTAATTTCAAGGTCCCAAACCGGCCCCTTCTCAAGTCGCGACCGGCGCCTTAGCGGGGACAGGGGCATGCGTGGCGGTGTACTCCCCGTTATCATTTTTTCGTTGCAGGGAAACCGGGGTTTGTCCTTGCACGGAGGCATCCGATCGGGCAGACGACCACACGATTTAGAGCTGGTCCAACTGGGAAAGACACGCAAGCTTGTAATGGAGTCGCAGACTGTCTACCTACCATAGCTGTCGTGAACCGCCAGCATGGAAGGTAGGTATCTCGAGCTTCGTTCATGGGTGCAGCTTCTCCATGCTCTTCGGCACTAGGCGCCAAGTAGGTAGGTAGGTAGCTAGGCTTTGTAATGAGCTGATGAAAAGACTTGTTCAAACATTCCTCGGCTCTATTAGATCTCCAGTCCGTACCTCCAAGAATTCAACTCTGTCTGCCAAGTACGAAGACCGACATCTGCATGCCTCACTCAGCATCTACCACCCTCTGCAGTGGGGCCGCATTGCATGCTCTCATGGCAATATGGAATGTGATATGCGTCTGCGAGATATGAAGGATCCCAAGAACCACCCAGCGATGGAAAAACTGCCTGCCGCACCCCAAGAAACCAAAGGCATAGAGTCAAGGGTAAAAAGAAAAAAAATCCATTCCGTATGTGAATCAGGTCTCTCCTGAGCGCCAGCACAATGCCAATAATGCTAGGGGTATCTTTGTCCCAACCAACCGTAAACTCCGTAGTACAAACGCCGTCCAGATGGGTTTGGATCCCATTTCCCGTAAAACTCCATCGAAACCGTCATAAATCAAACATCAAAAGCTGGTCAAACAGTCAGGATGTCCGCTCTTGGCTTGTCCGTTAAAACCAGGCCAAGGTCCAGGTTGCTGGGAGGTTAGGCCATCTCTCTTGCCACTCAGCCAGGATGTCCGGCACGCGTTCATCAAAGCTGGACCGGGCAGCGGCGTTGCCGCTGTCAAAGGACATGGCGCCGACCTTTTCCCGTTCTTCAGCTGCTGCCGCATTTAACGAATTGGCAAGGTCAAGAATGCCTCCACCTCCGATGGCCGCCTCCTCGTGGTTGTCGCGGATGTCTACATTGATAACATGAACTGGGCGGTTCAATGGCGAGCCTCGAGCCAAAAGATCATCAATGACGGCATCCCAGCAACGTTCTTCACAGGTGATGACCACATCTACCACTCCGCCCTCGGTCCCGTCACTGCCCATTTCCTTAGCATGGTCGAGCCGCGGAATGCCAATCTGCCAGTCTTGCCACCTCTCAGGGCCCCATTTCACACCACGATTCCGTCCAAGCATGTTTAGAATGCCATTGGCACGGTAAAGACGGGGATCTTTTGCCTCCAGCTCCTTGTACATGCTATCATAAGAGGTCTTGTTGAAGTGGTACACATTGGGTTGCGTGATGGTTGGACCAGGCAGTCGTACCAAGGAGCCTGTGCCGAAAGATATGACGGGATAATGGGCTTGGGAGAGGCGAAGATGGGCTTCCATGGATCTAGAGGTAAATGTCAGCATATACGAATCCCAATCAACCTGCTGCTCATCGCGTCGTACCTGTTGTTGTTGCTGGCACACACCGTGCAAAACTTTAGTTTGAAGCCACCACTGTCTTCAGCTTGTCCATTCTGCTGTACAGCATCCGCAACTGGTGCGGCGAGGGCGGCTGCCCCGTTGGCAGCCTCTGAGGTGGACATGTTTTTCGTGTTGATTCCACTATGCGGCCAAAGGCTAAGGCAAACGCCACGCGAATGTCAGTGATGAGAGTCTTCCGAGCAGAGCGGCGGCATGAGACAGGCTTTGGGTGGAAATATCAGATAGTTTGCGTAATTTGTAATTTAAGATGTCATCAAGCGACTCAGACAGCTCCAATATGAAATCATCATAGAAAGGCGTAGGGAAAGTTGGGACAAGGAGGTTGAGGGCGTGGATGACAACGTACCTGATGCATACCGGGGCAATTCAAGCTTGCTTTCTACAGAGCTGCCAGCTTTGAAGACGGGAGCAGCTAATGTAACAAGCCTCCTCCTTCTGGATTTCCGGGAGCAAGACCCAAGTTTCGACACCGGGTTTGTGAAGCTTTTGTGGTTGACACCAGTTTGATTGAGCAGGTGTCGAATTTGACGTGAACAAGGGCTGTGGTCAAAGCTTGTGGGTCTTCAACAGCCAATAAGCACGCGGACTGGCAGCCAGCTCCCGACCAGCTGTGACTACATGTAGAGGTAGGCACTGGGCAATGATGCTCAGCAATAGCAATCCAATAGCAGATCAGTCAGTGGGTGCAAGAGAACAAGCCTTCAAAACACAATTTGAACGGTCTAGATCACCAGGAATTATCTATTCATATTCGTTTGTAATAGCAAGTGCAAGTAATCAGACTTTGAATCAATTGCAAAATATCGATGTACTATGAACTGCGTAAATCAGGAAGACTCTCTTTTTTAGAACCTCGATAGCGCCGTTTTGGGAAATCGTACAAATGTGGTACTCGCTATGGTCTGCATCCGTCTCGTTGTATCGAATGCCCCGGACCGTCTATACCTTAACCTTCTTAGCAGTGCTGCCGTTCGTCTCCTGCGCAACGGTCTCGTCCAATGCCCTCTTCTCCGGCTCGGCGGCAAGGTCCTTCTCCGCCTGCTTGAACTTGGCGTGCTCCTCGGACGTCAAGTCGGGAAGCAGAGGCTTCTCCTCATCCGCGGTGAGGTTCAAGTGGAAGGTGCGGATAATGGAATCGGCATCGTCGATGGCGAGCGGCCTTACATCGGCCATGGCCTTGATCTTCTGGGTGCAAAGCTTGACCTGGGCATCGGTCATCGACAGACCAAGCTGCTCGACACGGCTCTTGATGGCGTTCCAGCCCGTCAATCTTGAAGCGAAGTGGACTAAAGGCAGAATCGTGCGTTAGGTGATTGTCCAAGTCGCATCTTGTTACTGGTGACACATACCGTAGCGTGAAAGACCAAAGTCCTCGGGCTTGAGAATCTCATATGTTGACGGGTTGTTCAGGATAGCCTTGGCATGGATACCAGCCTTGTGGGTGAAAGCGCACTATCCGGGGTGTTAGCCAGTGGCAATGGATATGTTTCCAGAGAGGTCCTTAATGTGAGAAAACGTACGAATCCAGTGATGGGGTTGTTGAAGGGGATGTTGATTTGCACTGCTACTGTTAGCTTGTTGTTGCCTCGAATGGAGGGTTTAGGCTCAGTCAACAACATACCCGCATCGGCCACAAGGTTCTCGAGATCCTTGAGCTTGTGAAGCTTGTATTTGCTGGTGACATATTCACGGTCGGCGACAATCATCCTCTTTTGAACGTTGTTAGTTTCTGGATCGTAAAACGAATCACGGGTCTTAGGACGTACCGCCATCAGGCCACCCAGGGTGGTGATGCCATTGCGCTCGCCAATACCTTCATGTATATATTAGTACGAATCCAAAACGGCATAGAGGCGTCGACTTCGCCTGTCGAGAAGTGTTCTCCCGGGTAGGGCCATAAACATACCGAGAACCGAGGTGTCCACTATGGAGGCATTAGTACAAGGATGGCAATGCACAGAGACTATGAAAAGACTTACCATGAGTTGCACCGGCTTCAAGAGCACAGTAAGCATTGGCCACGGCGCAGCCAGTGTCGTCGTGCTGGAGTGGGCGATTAGCTGAGCTGTCTCCACAATATCGGCTCGAAGTAGCGGTGTCACAACGGCCGCAAGTCCGCATCGTTTCAAGAACTGAGAACGACGTGTGCGTCATATGCACGGTCGGAATCATGATGGGTACAACTTACGAAATGGGTCTCGATATCGCACCGGACGACACCACGCAGAGCTATTCATGGATGATTAGCCAATGTCTGATCCACGAATACTATTCATCGCATCGAAGATGAGTAGCCCTAGAAGTAATGATAATTAACTTACTCCTTACGAGGTCGTAGACCTGTCTGGGGCTGGCACAGCCGACGGTGTCCGCAATACCCACGCGCGTGACGCCTACCTTGTCAACAGCGCTGTAAACGGAGAGGAGGTCGACGAGGTCGGAGCGGAAAGAATCCTCGCTGGAGAAGCGGATCTCAAGGCCCTTGGACTTGACAAACTCAATGACCTCAATGGCAGTCTATTGTAATGATGAGCACGGTACTCTTCACATGAGAAAGGGGACCGAAAAGGCCCTGCAATTCGCTGGAACGGTAGTGACCCACGTTGATGATATAAGTCATATCCTTGCCGTGCGAGTGCTCGCGAAGGTAGGACGAAGTGCCAATGACGACGTCGAGGCCGTCGACACCCGTCTCGACGGCCAGTCGAGCATCGTCCATGTGGCACCGGACGTGGGTGAGAATCTTGGCCTTGAGGCCAAGCTTGCAGATCGCCTCGCAGTCCTTTCTGGACTGCTCGGAGGCGGCGGGCGAGGTAAGTTCGATGTAGTCGACGCCAAAGTCATCGAGGGCCCTGGCAATCTTGATCTTGGTCTCGGTGTCGAAGAAGGCGTTGGCGAACTGCTCGCCCTCGCGGAGGGTAGACTCGACTGGCGGCGGACACGAAGATCAGTGGATGCACTTCTTGTTGCCAATTGGCGACGAACTTACTGATCTTAAATCTTGAGACATTGCTCAAGAAGTCGCCGACGGGTCTGTAGGGGCTGGAGTGTTGCGGCTTGGTCTATCAAGCAGTGCAATTAGAGACTTGAACGAGGGGACCTGACATCACACGCCTCTTCATTGGACACAAAATAAAGGCTTACGGGAATGGCAGTGAAGCCAGGGTGGGCTGGAACACGGCAGGTTAGCTCTGGAGCACGAGAGACGGCCCTCGTGGGCGGATGGAGGGCATGACAAACAGGCATCGGAGCCATTGGTGCCGTTAGCACCGTTAGCATGGCCGTTCGAGGCCGGGGCGGCGTCGGGAGTTGGGCACATTGTCGCGGCAGGCTATGTGTGAGGGTAACGAGGGTTCTGAGGTGCGTTGGGTTTGTGTTAAACTTGGAGAACAGATCAATTGATCAGCCGGAGTCGTCCAAGAGTCGGTGGATATAGTTTTTTTACTTGCGTCGTTTGAGTCACCAGCGGCAAAAAATGGGAAAAGTGTGGGGAAGAGAAAGGCGGACAGCCTGGGGGGCTTGTACGAAGTGCAGAGCAGAAGCAGGAAAGTGGATTCTATTCCGATCCCGCAGCAACTGATGTCGTCCTGGGTGCGGCCAATTGAGCCTTCCTCCTATCAGAACTTGGCGAAAAAATTCTGGACGCCCGCCTCTCACCGGTCCACTGAAAGTTTGCTCGTCTTTGGCTATTACTCGACACTAAAGATAGCCGCAGCGTGCTGCCGGGGCCGAGATCTCCCCTCCGGAATTGAGGTGCTCGTCTCTCGACCAAACGCCTACGGAGTAAGGCGGTGAATGGAATCTAGGAAAAAAGAGTTGGTTGGTGCACTTGCAGTGACATGGGGTACGTCACGAGCAAACAGGCGCTCAGAGAGGCAATACTGTGGACATTCTGCAAGGAACCCCGCCTCGTCCGTTCCTGAGTGGCCAGTTGGCCACCGTTTGCTATTGGTGATGGGTCTTTTAGCAATCCAGCTGATATCGTGTGATATGCTCGCTCGAGGAGTCATCTTGTTTGCTTCCTTCTGTAGAGAAGGGAGATATCACATTGATACTTGCACTTGGAACCTTGCGCGGCTATTTTGTAGTTGGTAGTATTGGTTCCCGTCGATAGTTAGGATGGGCGCCAACGTGTCGATATCAAGCGCGATATATCTTTGCTCTGTTTGGCATAATGATTATCCATGGTGCCATGTGGCAATTGAACCACCGAGAAGAACAACCCAGCCGTTGGTGATCAGTGGGGTCTTCTCTATAAGGTCTCGTCCTGAGATGAGATGACAGCCTCGGTGTCTGGGCGCAGTGTTAGAATTGTTTTTCCGAGAGCCAAGGTTTCCCGCCACTGGAATCGAAAGAACCAGGTACACTGGTCCGCATTATAAGAGCTGTTTAAAGCGGCAAGTGTGCACAGTGAATATTCGAAATGGGCATGCCTCTTCGGGATGTGCCATCAAGGCCCAAGAGGAGAGGAGAGAGAGAGACAGAAGACGGATCTAGACTTTTCTCAATGTTCGAGGCGGTGTGCCGGGGTGTGAGTGACCACTTGCAGAAAGGAACAAATCTCAGCATTGACAGGTAAACTCGGCTCGGTGGTGAAGGCAGGCGATGCCACCTAAGGCTTGGTCTGAGTGGTCTCCGTCAGATGGCGGAATAGCCTCTGGATCATGATGCCCGAGAGCATCAGACTTTTACCTACCTTGCCTACCTAGTAGTTAAATGAACCAAATAGCGACAGGCCTCAGCCCGAGTATTGCGACTCATTGCAAGGTGGGGTTTGTCAATCATCCCTCACCATAATCAGAATTTAATATGGTCTTTGCTTATTTCGTTCTAGGAAAATGCATTTCTCCAAGCGACATTCCTGTCGTTGCCCATCCGGTCCTAATGACAAACGAGAGAAATTCATTGCAGCAGACCATGAAGTTGGTCACCAAGCTACCTAGGGTAGGTCGAGTCAATCCCTCACAATCACCATCTGGGATGAAAACCGGTAGGCGTCGCAGCAGCAAGGGTCGTTGTTCCTGCAAGTACCCTACGGGGATGGGCGTTTCAAAGTAGATCTCGCTGGAGCTGGCACTATCTAATATTAGCTAGCGCATGCCCGTTAGATCTCGAGGGCCTCATGGCCATTGACTCGTCTCCAGCAGCTGTGTGGGTTTCGACTGCAAAGCACCGCGCTTATTCGTAGGACCACCGAATTGATGGGGGGTGGTCGGGCAGAGAACCCCTCCTCCAACTCGTTAGAGAGGAGGAAATGATGAACTAGAGGCCCCGAACAGGCGGGTACAGAACGGTGCTCCACTGCGTCAGGCGCCCGAGTGTTTCGTTGGACAGCCCAGTCAGAAGCTGGCGGCGGGTGGGTTGTGTTGGTGGGTGCAGGTGCGTGCTGTGTGTCTGCGTCGCATCCAGCACTGGGAGCTGGGCAGTTGTTCTTTTTTCCCCAGGAGAGGAGGGGATCGTTGATATTGCTCTTTGCTGTCTTGTTTCACATCCACAACCCTATACCACACACCGGGTATACACACTGCCTGGACGAGGCATGTGTGTCTGATTTGTCTGCTCTGGTTGACCGTGTCTTGATTGTCTCTTGTCTCTTCTCCGACCAGATACTTGAGAAAGAGAGAGAGAGACCCTTGCTTTTTGCCTCTTTGTCTTTTGCTCGACCTCATCCACCACACCCCCCCTCTCCTCTCCTTCCCGCTTCGAGGGACATTCGATTGAGACATTCTCACCACTTTCCATCATTCTCCCATTCCCCTTCTCGGGAGGGAGGACCCCGTAGCGCAAAGCGCCAGGGCCACCTTTCATTTCTGAGCCTTCCTGGTGTTGTCGCATAACACTCCGTCGTCAGCACATCCCCCTCCTTTTTTCTCCTGGCAGGAACCCGCGATAGGCTCTCAAGTCCGCCGCACCAGGCAGAACCACCTGCGCTGCCGCCCAGGCTCTCGAGTCAAAAATAGATCGCCAACCACCACCTACCTTGTCTGGTCCCCGCTCCTTGTCATCCCCCAGCTTACGGCGACTCTTCACTGCTCCGTACCCGACACCGTCTTCGCGGACCAGACTATTCATTCCGCCTTACCTGTCAGGTCAGATCTTAGATCTTCCGATTTGATCCCTCCAGAAGAATCCCAGTACAGAACAAGCAGGCACAGGCCGGGCTGGTGTCGTGTTTGGATCTCGGTCCGTGGGGCTACCTGAGCGAAGCGTGTGTTGACCAGGATAGCGAACCAGGGTGGCCCTCCCCAAATTTCCCAGACGACTCGGGCTGAGCAGACCCCCATCGCCTCTGCGCCGGCTCGCTATCCACGATGACGGCGGTCATGTCGCCTGCCTCCTCTCCAGCAACATCGCCGCCAGTTACCTCCTCAGCCTCGCCGCCGCCAAATCCCGCCGCGACCCATCCTGCACTCCCTCCGCTCATCACCTCGCCGCCGTCTCGGCGGTCCACGCTGTCGAGACCAATGTCGCACGCCTCTAGGAACCGTCTGTCGCAGTACTCGACTGGTTCGATACCGTCGAGGTCACGACCTGTGTCTCACATGTATCCGATATATCCCTCCAGCCTCCCGTATACGCTTGTGCGCGACTTTGCGTACCCTCCCGGCCATCCTATGCACTATGGCCCGCCACCAGAACCCTCGCGTCCGCCGTCCGGCATGACAACTCCTGCCAGCGAGTCGCAAAGGCGTCTTTCGGACCCGCCCATGTCCTGGGAGACCAAGCTCAGCTGGGAAACTGGCTATTGGGGCGGCGGGGAAGGATTGGACCGTGGGAACGACCTTGCGCCCATCCATCTTGGCGATGGCCCTCCCTGGAGCGAGGACGAAGACCTGCAGAGTCCTGTTGTCAGCTCGCGACACAGGAAGCACAAGTCGACCTCGGCAGCTTATGCTGGCAGGCAACGAGCCGCCAAGGAGGCCGGCGAAGGAGGCTCGAGCATCCTCAACCCCAATAACTTCGACCAGGACCGAGGCTACTACATCGGCACAAGTGGTGACGGGAGCGAGCGGTATTATGTTAATCAAGGCGAGGAAGCCAACGGGCCGGGAGGAGAATATGTCACATATCCGCCGAACCAGGCGAGGCATTCTCTGAATCCCTATCATTTGGCTGAGCAGCAGCCGCGCCAGTATGCCAATCCTGGCGCCGATTATCAGTCTGATTCTGACGAGTCTAGTGCGAGCTCTTCGCCCCAATTCCACGAGGACCAGTCGAGATACTCTCGAGACTACCAATTCACCATCACGTCGCCAGACGAAGAAATGCACGGCAAGGCCGTTGCCCTGTTCGACTTTGAGAGGGAAAACGAGAACGAGCTTCCATTGGTCGAGGGTCAGATCATCTGGGTCTCGTACAGGCACGGGCAGGGCTGGTTGGTCGCTGAGGACCCCAAGACGCAGGAGAGCGGCCTTGTACCGGAGGAATATGTGCGGCTGTTGCGGGATATCGAGGGCGGAATGACGAGCCTCACTGGGCAGACGGTGGACGCGGTCTTCGGCAGTCCCAATGATGTCGGTACGCCGACTCAGGCGGATCACCAGAGCTTTGGTCACACGCCGACTGCGAGCAATGCTTCCAATGGCTACCACCAACCCGTCGTGTCCACTTTCTCGACCTCGAGCAAGGATCTGGACCCATATCCGCAACATCTCCTGGGTACCCAGGCAGGACAGCAGCCGCCGCAGGTCGTGCATTATCACGGACAGCGTGGAGGCAGTCAGGCAAACACACCTACACTACAATATCACCAGGATGTTGGTATGATGCGCCGAGGAAGCCAGGATACCAGCGGGAAGAAGAGCGACGCGAACACGGCCTCTGGACTGGAGACACTGCCTGACGCGAAGCTCGAATCTTCGAAGACTCCGGTTCAGGCCACCGCCGAGGAAGAAGGAGAAGGAGAGGATGAAGCCAAGTGAAAATAAGATGGCACGAGTGCTTGAGAACCGGTGACCTTCTGGTTAGAAAGTCGCGGCCTAGCCTCTGTATTATAGATGGCCAGTGGAAGGATGTGGCATTTGGATGTATCAACTTCTACGACGGCCTTCAACATCGGCGTTTGGAGAGCGTGTCGGGGCGGGACAGATTTTTCCAGAACACCACTGGATGAGATGAGACGGCATTCTGCCTTGGAGATACACCTTACGACTTGATGACTCTCCTTTTCTGGGAAAACATATTCAGGACGCAAGGGATGGTTTCAACGCATTAGTCGGGTCGGTTGGGGAAGGGAAGCTCGGCATTTCTTTTAATGATCTATCTGCATTAGAGTGTCTAATGAAGCGAAGCGGGTTGAGCGTCTTGTTGAGTCTACGACTGTACAAGCCGGCCATGTTTGATTAAGTTGTCAATTGAGCACGATTGGAGTTACTGTACATTCTTGTTTGCTTCTATTTGCTCCATATGACATAGTAAAATTACAAGCCTGACTATCCTGGAGGCTGTGGCATGTTTTTTTCAGTTAACGCAACATAACGTGGTTCCGAGGTCAGTCTTCGTACGTCTTCTTTCTTGAGGGCCTCGTTGTCCTCGGCCTCGCGTTTTCCCACGGCGGTCGAGTGGGCGATGATTGATAAGCTAGAGTCACGTGGCAGGTACCCGAAGACGTCACCACAGCTCCTAGGTACCTGCCTCGAGTGCTAGCTCCAAAGCTCCGTGTATTTCCTTCCCCTCCTCCGGCAACTCCAATTCCAACCTGACCCGGCCAATTGACTTTTTGGGTTGATCTACACACCACTAATAAGGCAGATCAGCTTTGTTTCTTTTCCAACCGTTGGATTTTGAAGCCATTGACATTCGGATAGAGTCCGCACAGTAGCTACAATGTTCGCCAGATCAGCAGTCCGGACTCTTCAGTCCGCCCAGCCCTTTAAGCAGGTATGTTTGGATGCGACTCCTCTTCCCAGCTACCATCTTCATGCCCATGGCCACATCGATCGGGCGCTCTCAGCTCGATGCAGCTGGCATTGGTGTCGTAGTCTATTTTCATGGCTTTGCTTTGGAGAACAATGTATACGTCAAGCTGCGGAAAAAACTGACCATATGACATTAGTCGATCCGCCGCTACGCAACCGAGCCCAAGCCCTCCGGATCCGGCAACACCGTCCTTATCGCCTCCGCCGCCGTCGCCGCCGGTGCTGGCGCCTGGTATTTCTTCTCCAGCAACCCCGGCGCAGCCGCCAAGGCCGAGGCTAAAGTCAAGGATGCCGCCAGCTCGGTCACGGGCGCCGCCGCCAAGGCCGCCCTGACCGGTGGTGACCAAGGCTTCGTCAGCCTCAAGCTCGACGACGTCGAGATCGTCAACCACAACACCAAGCGCTTCCGCTTCAAGCTGCCCGAGGAGGACATGGTCTCTGGTGTTACATTCACGAGCGCCATCCTGACAAAGTACAAGCCCGCGGACGCCGAGAAGCCTGTTATCCGGCCATACACCCCCATCAACGATGAGGGTGAGTTCTTTTCTTCTTGTACCCACCTGATATTATGCATACCCCTGGTTCGCCTGGCGAGTCATTGAGGGGTATGCCCTGATGAACAAGGCTGACATTCGCGCGCGCACGCGATCGCTGCAGACGCCAAGGGCTACATGGACTTGCTGGTCAAGAAGTACGAGGGCGGCCCCATGTCGACACACATGCACGACATGGTGCCCGGCCAGCGCCTCGATGTGAAGGGGCCCCTGCCCAAGTACCCGTGGACTGCCAATAAGCATGACCATATCGCCCTCATTGCCGGCGGCACTGGCATCACGCCCATGTACCAGCTCTGCCGCGCCATCTTCAGCAACCCGGCCGACAAGACCAAGGTGACGCTTGTCTTTGGCAACATCGCCGAAGAGGACGTCCTGCTCAAGCAGCAGCTCGCCGACCTCGAGAACACGTACCCCCAGCGCTTCCGCGCCTTCTACGTGCTCGAGAAGCCCCCCAGCTCTTGGGCCGGAAACAAGGGCTACATCACCAAGGAGCTGCTCAAGACCGTCCTGCCCGAGCCCAAGGAGGAGAACGTCAAGCTCTTTGTCTGCGGTCCTCCCCCTATGATGAAGGCCATCTCCGGCCCCAAGACCAGCCCCAAGGACCAAGGTGACCTCGTCGGCATCCTCAAGGACCTCGGTTACTCCCAGGACCAGGTGTACAAGTTCTAGATGTAGGATGTGGTGATATGAGCTAGAAGGATTGCCACAAGGGGACAGATAAACAAGATGACCTACTGCGAGAAGAGGTATCATTGCTTTGCTGCCGCTGTACCATTAGACAGACCTTTAGACATGTTGAGAGACGTTACAGAAGAGCTCTAGGCCCGAAGATAAAGCGACCAGGGGAAATTTCCCATCAAGATCTCGCCCTTGCCCATATCGAAGAGCGAGCAGCGATTTCTCTCTTTTCACCCATTCCTTAGTGACATCAACTCGGTAGCGTCGTGATACTTTTCCAGCTTCATGTACTCCTCGGCCAACCTCCACCTCGGGCGCAGGTACCCGAGGCTCTCCCTGGTGTCGGCCAGCCCGCGCTCCATCTCGGCCGACCCGTTCTCGCGCGCGAGCCACTGGAAGACGGCGAGCCCGCAGTAGAGCGCGTCGAGCACCAGCGGGCTCACGGCGCGGGGGTCCACCCCGCTCAGGCGCATGTCGCGCGCCGCCAGCATGGTCTGCCGGCTGGCGGCCGTCAGGCCCTCGACGGCGCGGCTCTGGAAGGCGTACTCGCTGGGGCCGAGGCCGTCGAAGCCGCAGTCCGAGACGGGGCCCTTGGACGGCCCGTCGGCGAGGTTCTCTGGGCACGAGTACAGGTCGAGGACGAGCACGACGGCCGAGGCGAGGAGGGAGCGCGCGGCTTGCAGGCACGGGTGGTACCGGTGCTGCTGCTGCTGGAGGGCGTCCATCTCGGCGGCGATCGTGTCGGCGAAGGATGAGATGTGCTCTAGGAGGGCCTTGGCCTCTGCGATGGGCTGCTGCGGGCCCGCTGCCGGGTTGTTGCTGTTGCTGCCGTCGTCGTCCTTGCCGGAGTGGGAAGACGCGGCCGGAGAAGGGAATTGCTGATTGTTGGTAGCTGTAGTAGTAGTACCGATGACGGCGGACGGGGGCCCCGAGATGGCGGTCGGGGAGGCGGTGACGAGGGCGCGGTAGCGGTTGCGGGCGCGCTGGCAGTGCGTCGTCGCGCGGGTGATGAGCATTGCCGTCTGGCACAGGCGGGCAAAGGGGGGCCGCGGCTCGGAGAAGGGGAGGGAGGCCGGGCGCTGGAAGGCGTGGGCCATGTCTCCTTCGTCCTATAGAGATACGCGAACAGCTGGTCAGTTAAAGGTGCAAGTGAAGAGTGCCAAGGGAGTGGGTGGCTTACCCAGGCGGTATCATCAGCCGGGAGGCTGTCCGTGTCCAGGGGCTCTGCCACTGCCAGCCTCCTTTTGCTTCCCAGCGACAGCGCGCGGTCGAGGATGTAGATGGACCACCAGACTCTTCTCCTCTCTTCTGCCTCGGTCCAGGTCGTCTGCGGTTCGATTAGTGCCGTGATCGCTCGTGTACTCTGGGCGACTAGGTAGCACCTACACATTGTCCTAGAACAGGCGTTGAATCACTGAACGACGGCAGACCCAAGATGTCCGCATACCGAGAGCAGGCCCCGACAGTCATCCACGCGGCTGGGTAAAGAGCGTGGCTATACTCGTACAGGGCTACAAGTATCATAGCCTGCAGGTAGAGCAGAGATATGGTGCCGCTGGATTCAAGCAGGGCAAGCATGCGTTTGGCTGCCGTGTAGTACGCGCATCGGGAACTCGGCACCCCTTCCACGGGAGGAGTAATGATGACTTTCATGGCCAGGAAGAGCAAAGCTAGGTCCGCGCCGCCGTCCCAGATACCAAGGTTCAGCCTCTTTTTCGAGATCATGGGGAACCAGGGATGGATTGTGGCGAAGTACTCGGCGGCTACATCTTGCACGAAGTTGGAGCCGCTGAGAAGCTCAAGGACTTCCTTTGATCGTCATTAGTAGGTGGTGGCTTATATTCAGGTGAATGGATCCTCGGGGGACCAAATGAACTTACCATGGGCACGTCAACAGGTCCTCGGGGGAGACCCATTCGCGTCCACTTGTAGCAGTCAATATCGAGGAAGAGTGCAGGGGGACACGTGCTTTCTGCCGGAGCCCATAGGGGATCCGGAGCGGCCCTGGACACGCCGTATCCATTTGAGGAGGGAGGTAGCTGCGGAGCGATCGGGGCCGGAGGAGCGGCGGCCGGGGCCGGAGCGGGCCCGGATCCGTGGCCTTGCAGCCGCGACTCGAGGTCCAGGAGCCGGGCTTGCAGAGCGGCGAGCTCGTTGGCCGACGGGTTGTTGCTGGGCACTTGCTGCAGAGGATCCGTGTAGTCGCAGGGTCGACTCATGCGAGAGCAGAGGCTACAGCTCGGCAGCACCTTGTCGCATTTCCGCTTCTGCCGGCGACAGCTCCCGCATGCTTGAGGCGCGCGGGGGGTGACGTAGATATGGCCGTCATCCCGCGGCACGAGAGCGAGGGGAGCTATTTGCTCCATGTGTTGGAGGGTATACAGGACACTCTTGCGGATGACGAAGCTGATGACGCCGTTGGACTGCGAGACGATATTCTGGCTTGCACCCGGAGAGATGGAGTAACGGAGTCGGCGTTTTAGGTAGCGGGTAGATGCAGCTTTCAGCCCGCACTAATGCAGCTCAGAGTGGTCCTTGAAATGCTTCGTTCGGAATCGTTCCATGTTCTCCAGTGGTGGCTTTGCTTAGCTCAGCTAACATCTATTTGCTGTACTTTACTTCAATGGGCAAACAACAGCCTGCAGAGACATGGGCAACAAAAAGCCATTTTCATGATGTATGAGCAGATTCCTGAGAATGTTGCGATTGAGTATGTAGACAGGATGAACAACTCCAATGCGTCTAGGTACTCATTTGCACCTGTTTCTACAACAGGCAATGTGTCTCCCCATTGTTGCTGGGCCTGAGACCTGACCCCTGGTCCTTAATATCCCATCATTAAGACTCGCGCGTACAATCCAGGTCCAATGTTCATTCGATTATTTATTATTATTATGGAGGGGCCTTTTGATGCCTCACTGACCTGGGAAGCTCATTGACTTCATCGATCGATCCTGTCTGGAACGACTTAATCCGACTGATATGGCCGATTCCCTGAGAGCAGCAAGAGGCCAACCGGTCCGCGGCAACCCGAGGACGTCCTCGCAGCGCTCTTCTGCATTGTATGACGAGCAGTACCTCCAGCCCAACTCGTCCTACGCGGCACGCCACAGCCTGCGCTCCGTTGAGTCACGCTTCTCGCTGAACGAGCACTTTGCCGCCACACGGCGCGAATTTGAGTTCGGATTCGACGATGCCTCGTCGATCCTCGAGCGCGCCACGCTCATGTCGGTCGGCGGCAATGATGACACCCTGCGTCTTGACGGCCTCGGCCCCGAGTCCGGTGTAAGCGCCGAGGATCAGCTGTTTTTGGACCTCCTGAGGCGCAACTACCATGAGCTGCTCTGCATCACCAGGGCCCAGTCCGCCTCCCCAGAACAGGTCCGGCGAGCCTACTTTAGACTATTCCGCCTCCTGAAGACAGAAAAACTGTCTGGGCAGTCTCGTGTCCTTGCCAATACCTACTTTGCTGTCGTTCAAGAAGCCTTTGAGACTCTCATCGAGCCTTCACGACGGCTGCAGTACGAGCTACGGCTGCAGGATACTGAGGTCGATGATGCTCTAAGCGATGTCAGCAATGACCCCAACGCCGCTAATCTCAGCAACACCGACGCTGCTTGCCAGTTGCTACAGTGGCAGCAAGCTGAGTTTGCACCGGGATCCGACATTGGTGTCCGCTTCGACGGGAGCAAGGCTCTGCACCATGCCCAGCGCAGGCAAGGTGTAAAAGGCATGCTGGACCCGCTGGACTTCTCAGTCAGTCAGTCCATGAGTGTCTTGCTCCCCAGGCTGGGGCAGGTCAGCGAGAGACTGTTGCAGTCAGCACAAGGCAATCTCGGCCGGACGAAGAGTCACCATGCGATACCAATACGCTGTGGTGTCCCATTGTTCAGTGTCACGGCATCGACATATGGTATTATGAGAGACTTGGCCTCGATTCCTCCGATGCTCCTAGCCGACCGCTACCAGCCTCTCCTCCCCGAGATCGTATCCAGGGATCGCTTACCGCAACTCACGGCAAGTCGCCCTTCGCCGCTCGTGGCCGCACGGTATCGGCAGGAGATCTTCTGGCGTCCGACCAGTGCAGACCAGCACGTCCACAGCCTAGGTGGACCGCGCCTCCCAGATACGGTGATCGAGATCGAGTCCGGCTTGCTCCCGGAACCGTCCTTGACGACCCGGATCTCTAATGTATTACCAGTCGAGGGTGCCGAGGAGCCAATCTACACCGAGCTTATGGTGTCGAAGCCCATCCGGCCGACGCCCCTCAAAGCTCCGCGACTAGGACTGGCTTTCCATCGACGCTTGGGCGAAGGGAATGCTTTCCTCTGCGCCGACAGTGGGGATTGGGCTTTGCGGCCGACGGAGGAGACCTGCAGGTTCTTCGATGAGTTCTCCAAGTTTGGCGGGAAGATGCCGCTCAACGATATCCCCTTGCGAGTGGCGCCGACTGTGGAGGTCGGCTACAACTTCAGTTCTCGTCAAATTGGGCTTCAGACGGGACAGGCTCTGACGAGGTCGGCCGACAGAGGTCTCAAGGGACTTGACAGAGATATAGACTTCGCCACCGGTGGTGGCTCCTGGACCGTCTCAGCAGCAACGAGCTCCAGCTCGGCGGCCGGATATCTCCGCTACGGTTGCGAACTTGATCTGCCTTTCCTCCCATCGTCATCGACATCACAGCCTTTACACCTGGAAGCCGAGCTGTGTACGTCCGACCCATTGCTTTCCGGCGGGTATCTCGCCGTAAGGGCACTCAAGCGCATCGGGCTCCTGTCCAAACTCGGCCTGGAGGTTGGCGTGACCCCATACAACCTGCAGGTCTCGCTGTACTGGTCCCGCAGCAACCAGCGCCTCAAGCTGCCGCTCCTCCTCGCCAACTCGTCGACCACGCCCAGGCTCTTTTCCGCGCGGACGCTGTTCTGGGCCTCCGTAGTCCCCTTCGCCACCCTGGCGGCCGTCGACTTCGTGTCCCGCCGCTGGCCGTCTCGCCCCCGGGGCAGCAAGACGCGGCGGCTGGCCGACCTGAGCAGGGAGCAGCTCTCGGAGCTCGTGTCCCGCCGGCGCGCCGAAGCCGACGAGCTGACGGCCCTGCTCGCTGTCGCCGTCGAGCCGCGGCAGGCCGTCGAGCGGGCGCGAGGAGGCCTGGTGGTGCTCAGCGCCAAGTACGGCGTCAAGGAAGGCGACGCGTGGGTCGCCGACGAGGAGGTCGCCGACGTGACCGTCGCCGTCGCGGCGCTGGTCACGGCCGCAGACGAGGACGAGTCCTTCAACGACGCCGGTGCGGACGGTGGCGCGGGCACGCCCCAGCTGCTGATACCGGCGGGGTTGCGCAAGAGCAAGATCCTTGGGTTCTGGGACCCGGCGCCGCTGAGGAACAAGGTCCTGCTGGTGAGATATCTCTGGAGAGGAAGAGAGGATGTCGTGGAGGTGAAGGGGCGAGAGGAGCTGAAGCTTCCCTGAACCCGGACGGCTCAGCCACGTTCTGTGTGGTTGTTTTATGTGCACCATGTATGTTATGAAGTGATGAAGGAGATGGAAGTCCGTGTGATTCTGTACACATTGTCCACAATGTCCACACTGTCCAGCATATACTGTTTAATGGCTGAGATCTCATCTCTGTATGGAAACTAATAAAATTATATCCCCTAAGAACACGATTTTGGTGCCTAAACGCCTGGGAAAAGACCGACTAAAGATCCTCTATCGGAAATTCTTCTGTGCAACTCTTCTCTCTCCCCTTCTCTCTCTTCATCCACAACTAAGGCATTACGCTCACCTCCAAAAAAGAAACCCCCTTCCAAAAAAAGAAATCCCTTTTCTACACCTCACGCTCACTTCCCGTCAATGACGTACCCCATCCGTCACTTCTTTCCGAAAATAACCTCCCGCAGCCCCTCCCTCTCGCCGCTCTCCTCGCACATGCCCCGGAAGATGCCCCTCCCGCCGGCGCCGTCCTCGCCGACCTCGAGCTCCCACAGCTCGCGCGGCGTGCCAAACTCGGCGACGCGGCCGTCGCTCAGCACCAGGATGCGGTCAAAGTCGGCGATGGTGCTCAGCCGGTGCGCAATGACGAGCAGCGTCGACCCCGTGAACTCCTCGCGGATGGACCGCTGGATCAGCGCGTCCGTGTGCATGTCGACGGCCGACGTCGCCTCGTCGAGCACCATGACGCGCGGGCGCGAGACGATGGCCCGCGCCAGGCACAGCAGCTGCCGCTGGCCCTGCGACAGGTTCAGCCCGCCCTCGGACACAGGCGACTGCAGGTCCTCGAAGACGTTGGCGTTCTTGCGCGTCGGCGTGGCGCTGCCCTCGCTGCCGCCGCCGCCGCCGGCTCCCTGCCCGTCTCCGGCCGTGAGTGCCGTCGGCGTGGTGGCGCCCGTGCCCGAGGAGATGAGGTGCACGCGCTCCAGACAATCGCGGAGCTCGGCGTCGGAGTGGTGGTCAAATGGGTCGAGGTTAGAACGGACTGTGCCCGAAAAGAGGACCGGGTCCTGTGGAGAATTGTTAGTCATGCATCTGTAATGCGGTTGTTATCTTTTCTTTCCGGTTTTTAGCTCACCTGGGGAATAATGGCTAGGCGTGATCGCAGATCATGAAGGCTGATCTTCGAGATGTCCTGCCCGTCAATGTAGATTGTACCCGACCGAGCTTCCAAGAAACGGAAGAGAGCTAGGGTCAGCGACGACTTGCCGGCACCGGTGCGTCCGACGACACCAACCCTCTCTTGGGCATTGACGTTGAAGGTCAAACCCTTCAGGACAGGCGGCAGATCTGGCGCGTACGAGACAACCAGGTCGTCGACCTCAATCCGACCTTGCGTCGGCCACGCGGCGGGCGGGGCCTTGCCCTCGAGAGACTCGGTGGGCAGCTCCGTGTACTCGATGATGCGTTCGGCGGCGTTCATGTTCAATTCCACATTGGCATACAGCCGAACGGTCCACATGATGCTGTTAGCAAACTCGAGGGCAAAGGCAAGCGCGAAGCCGGCCAGAGCGGCGTCCATACTAGGGGTGGCCAGGATGAGAACAGCAACGAAGACCGAGTACACAGTCCCAACGAGATTCATCTTCCAGCTGACCCATCGGTTGAACAGCCACAAGTGCCACGTCGCCGTGGACCAGTCGTCGAGCCTGGTGTACATGCGCTCAATGTATGTCTGCGCCTTGTCGAAGCCACGAATGGTTGAGACACCAGATAGAGCAGAGCCGAACTGCTCGAAGACGGGCGACTTGGTGTTGCTCTCGAGACGCTTGACAGGGCGCGCGCCGTTGAGGTAGAGAAGGGCGTACCTGACGCACACAAGGAGCAGCACCAGAGACAAGAGAGTAATGTACGGAGAGACAAATAGTCCAGCGACAATGACCCCAAGGAGCGAGATGAAAGAGCCGCCGCCAAAGGACAGTGAGTTGGCCAACTGCGAATCAATGATGTGGAAGTCTGCCGTGAAGCGGTTCAGGATTCGGCCAAGCGGCACAGTGTCCAGCCATCGCAACGGTGCTCTCAGGACGACGAAGTTGAGCTTCGCAAAAAGAGAGCGACTCGCACGGATGGAGCCGAGGTAGATGTAGAAGTACTTGTACGTGCCGATGAAGGCTGAAATGGCAGCAAGGCCGACGTACACACTCAGGTAGTAGACGACATTGTTTTCTTGCGCCGCAGCGGCGAGATTCGAGGTCGCGGGGCCCAAGGCAGAGTGCTGTAGACTGTAGATGTAAGTGAACGAGCTCATGGCACCCGAGGAGCCATTGACGCTGGAAACAGCCAAGGCTTCATTGCCTTCGCTTGCCGATGCCCACAGACGGATCCACCAAGAACGGCCTGGTGTATTGTTAGCGAGTCTGTACATTCAAATGACGATGGTGGCTAAGGGCTTCAGGCATACCGATTGTGAATCCTTGCACCACTACAAAAATAGTGATAGCAAGGAGCCAGTACGACCAGCCGCCACTGTCCTTCAAATAGGTGGTGTAAATCTGCTGTTTCACGGCTCCCTCTTCGCGCTTCTCCTCTTCGACAAACTTCCGGGCTTGGGACCTCGATGAAACCTTCTTGAGAGTGTCCCCGTTTGCATGCTCTTCCTCATCATCCGCGGAGTCGTCCGAGTTCACGGCGGTGGCAGCAGCAGTCTCGTCCTCCCGAATCTCTTCCTCTGTCTGCTCATGGCTCTTGATGTGCTCAAGAGTGCCATCTTCCTCCAGCTCAGAGAGCAGCCCTGCGTGCAGGACACGTCCGTCACCAAGCTCAACCAAATACTTTGTCTTTTTCTCGCACAAGGCGACATGGTGGGTGACGAGTATCCTGGTTCTCCCTGCTGCAAGCTCGCCGTTGAGACACTTATCAAAGATGTGCTTTCCGACATGCGCATCGACAGCGCTGAAAATGTCGTCCATGACAAGAATACCGGCTCTAGAGTAGATTGCTCTGGCGAGCGTGATGCGCCATTTCTGGCCGCCGCTGAGGTTGATGCCATTGGCGCCGATTTCGGTATCCTCTCCGTCGGATAGCATCTCGAGATCCTTCTTAAGGGCGCAGACCTCGATTGTCTGCTCATACCGCGCGGGATCGTATGGAAGGCCGAAAACAATGTTGTCCTTGATACTTGCGTTCTCAATCCAGGGGATCTGTGCAACATATGCAATTGAATTGGGGATGATCCAGTTGCCCTTCGTGGCCTTGTTATCATGGCGCTCCGCAGGCGAGGGTGGCTGGGGAACAGTAAGACTGCCTGATAAGACGTCAACCTCACCAAGGATCGCCGACAACACCAAGCTCTTTCCGGTGCCAGTCTTGCCAGAAATGACAGACAGTTCTCCTTTGGGGAAAGTCACGGTCACATCTCGCAGCACGAAGCGCTCGCTATCATCAATCTCTTGATCCGCGGGCCAGGCGATGGAAGCATTCTCGAATGCGACTTCAGGTCCATTCTTCGCAACGTGTTCGATATCGGAGCTGGTGAGGTAGTGCTCAATGCGGTTGATCGATGTCCAAGCGTCGAGCAAATCAGTGGTGAGTTCGGGGACGACGGACAAGGTCACCTCGAGTGATCGAAACACTCCCAGGCTGACAAAAGCCACCGACGGAATCAACTGGCCGTAGAGCGCAGCGTAGACAGCGAGAGAGATGGCAGATAGCGCGATAGGACTGGTCACCCAGCAGAAGAGAAGGGCAGTGTCGGCAAGAAAGACATCCCAAACACTCCCGAGCTCTTTCTCTCGCACGTCACCAATCTTCTTCTCCCACTCGGGCTCCAAAGCAGAGAATTTGATCTGCCGGATGCCCTGCAACGCTTCTGTGACGACCTCGAGTTTGTCGTCGCGGATCTTCATCAACCTGTCCTGAGCTGCAGCGTATTTTTTGGAGAAGAAGATGTTGACCGGCATGATTGCCAGCATGGAAGCAAGACCGGCCAACAAAGCCGGCCAGCCCAAGAGGCTGGCGAGGAAACCAATGGAAATGACAAGCCTAAACACGCTGCCGGGAAACATCTGCTGGTACGCACAGAAATCGGCCACTCGCTTGCTGTCGACGCCAATCAAGTTGACAGTCTGCTGCTTCCCTTTCTTGACCGCCTCATCATCATCAATGTCGGCCTCTTCTTGAGCGGGCACTTCTGGACGATCGTTGGCGGTCGATTCTCCGGCAATTTCGGCGACAGCAGCCTCAGCGTCATCGGTGACGCTTTCCTTCTGCGATGAAGCTCCCGTGCCCTTGACATCCTTCTTGCGCATGGCTTTCTCGAAGATCAAGGTCGATAGCTGAGCGCGAATTGGAACAGACAACTCGGCCCAAGAGATCCAAAAGCCGTAGTTTTCGAGCCATGCCTGGGCAACGATGGAAACTCCGAGCCAGAAGGCCCAGGCCCATACGTCGACGCCGTAGGTATCGCCGGCATGCCTGCTCTCAAGGATTCTGAGAAGTTGAAGAGTCACCCACTGAGGGGCAAAGTTGAGGAACGCGGTTCCGAGAGTCAGGACCCATTGTATAGTGAACACGACCCAGTGTGCCTTCAGAACAGATAGCCATAGTCTATGGGAGGAGAATTGGTGCGTCTTCCAGTACCTCGAGACGTCTCGGGCGCGGCTGTAATGGTCTGGGCGCGGGAGATCTTCCATATCCAGGTTCTTCTTCTTCCTGGCCAGGGACAAGATGCCGCTTGGCCAGCTAAAGTTGAAACGAGTGAAGGCCGAGACTGTGTACATGGTGTCGACGAGCTTGCCATTGTAGTACACATTAGGGCGCCGGGGGATGGCAAGGCTGGCGCAGGCCAGAGCCAGAACTGCAACCAATTCGATGATGCGCAACGCAAATAGGAATGGGGACGTATGCAGCAGTTCTTCTGCAAGGCGAGTGCCCTGTACAATCACACCAATGGCAAGAATGGTGGCAGATAGGAACAAGTACAAACCGAGGTTGTAGCTCGTGACTGGGTGCCTCGTCGAGGCGATAAAGACTGCCTGGAGGACTAGGAAGAACTGCCCGCATATGGTAAGCCGATTTGATCAAAGAAGACGCCCATTTGTTTCAATTGGAAGAATATCTTATGGCTGGTCCGTATGGACTTACCCAAGCTGCTTCGCTGGCCCAGTTTTGTACCAAGTAGCCAGTTGCTACGACGGCATGGGCAAGGCGGGCAAAGAGACCAGCCACGGCGAGCAAGACTATGATGGCCTTGGCGCTCTTGTTCGAGAAGGCCTTGACGGCCTCGGGAGTGCTTTGGCCATCTGGATCTTCGTAGATGAGGGTGCTCCTCCGCTCTCGCTTGCGGAGCTGTATGATGAAGCTAGACACGGCTGGCAATGAACAGAGTCCGATCACGGCGAGGCCGGTCGCGTTGCCAATCAATTCGGAGTCATGGCTGCTGCTCATGATGGTAGCACATGAGCCTGTTGACGACGTGTGATGCTGAAGAGCCTCAGGAATACCTCGTGCAGGCTGAGCGGAGCAGGCAGGTTGGTTTAAAACCCCCCCGAGTTGCGGGTCCGTTCTGTACGAAGTACGAAGTAGGATGGCGCCAAACCAGCTGCCCGGGATGTCTAATTGTTTTGAGATGCTCGTTCGCGGTTGTGATGACCAACAGAGATCCCACACGGAGATCCACCCACTCGGTTTCGGCAGGTTCGTTCCTGTTCCTTCCCAAAGATGGACAGGCAGGCAATGGTCGTGGTTGCTTCCGTGACTACAAGGACTAGAGATCCATGGCAAGAACGAATAGAAAACTTCCTGAGCGGGCTTATGCGAGAATGGGGGAAATGGAGACAGATAATGAATCACTCTTTGAGGACTGGAGTCATATGGATGTCAACAATCAGCAATTACACAGCCTTCAAGGGGACAGAACATGGCAGTCACTACCTAGGACTAGTGACGACGAACAAGGCAGCAACTTTGTGAGGTAGTTCGAGATAGGAAGGCAATTGACAGAATGCGAGCTAGGAGGCAGCGGGCCCTGCGGGTTGACATGGGGAGGCTAAATGCTTGACCCATTGACTCATGCGGTGAGAAAGGACCTGGTGGATGAGGGTCGGATCGTCCATGAAGTATGCACCACCACCACCACCACCATCACCACCACCCGAGATGGTAAGGGTGTCGATACCTTTGTCATAGGTAGAGGCAGGGGGAGAAGGAGGGAGGAGGCGGGCGAGAACACCACCCTCAATCCATCTATCTGCCTCTCTCATCTGTGAGGATAGACAAGATGCCCACTCAAGCAGCCTCAATACCCTGTCCGTGACTGCATTAGCCCGGCAGCAGGTGAAGAAGGATGGGGGTCAATTCAGTCGGAGTGCCGCCTCTCTTCGGGTCAATTCAGTCGGAGCCCGAGATGTTAGTTTCTTTTCTTTTTATTTGTTAAGCTCGCCGCCATTTTCGGCTCGCCGTGGGTGACTAGAGGTGTGAGAAGGAGGGTGAAGTGAGGGGCCTTTCCAATCTGAACCCTTCTAGCGCCGGGCGCGGCGGTGGGCTGCGGATGCGTTTAGCGGTTGCAGTGGGGCGGGTGGCAGCTGGAGGACCTCGACATGGTGATGGTGTCTAAGTACTGTACCTTTGTGCATGCAATCTTGAAGTGAGCCCTCTTGGTCAGAGGCTCGGACCTGGTGGTGAGGCTTGGTTTGGATACAGCTCTGAGCTCCTTTCTTGCTTGGATCTCTACTTTCACACACGCCAGGATTGTCACAACACAACGAGGTCATGGCCGCAAACGGCGACAACCATCAGTGTGATACAAAAAACAGTGCGCAAAACGTCGCTTCATCAGAGACTAGATTTGTGCAACCGACTGCCCGAACTCGACCCATGCACAATGTCCAATGCAGGGTGTCCAGGAGGATGTCCACATGTTGCAAGAGCATATAATATCACAGCGCACACCCTTTGCATGCGCCCTGTATCGCCACCCAAGGTGATCTCGACTGCTGAGTGGGCAGCAGAAAACGTCCTTCCGTTCCATGTCGGCACACCTGCAGATGTGGGCCCAGCAGCCCCCGACTTGAAAGTGCATCTTGTCGTTTCCGAATGACCATGTCTGCATCTGACATGCCGCCCCGAGCTGTGTCGCACTTCGTCTGCCCCAGTGCTGCCTGGGGTCCGAATCCCAAGCACATTACCTCCCCAAAGGGCAAACTTCGGGAGAACATAAGATAAGCACGGAGAGATTGTACAGACTACCTAGGTATTTCAGAGAGGGGAGGTGGAAGAGTATGAAGATGGCCCGACTGGGCTTGACTATCTCATTACCTGATATCGTCGACCTCGGAACAATTGCTAGGCAGGGCGTTATGCACAAAGTAGGTATGCACGTTGTCTCAACATTCTGATGTGAGTCATGCACCATCCGCCACTGCAGATGAGACTGTGCGGACAGGACGATCAGGAGGGACGAACTCATCCAGGACCCAGATCCGAACCGGGAACCGTGACAGGCACGCCTGCCGGGGTGTCTCTGGACAGGCGACCGGATGCCGATTCCGGCGAACGAGAGGAGCCTGGTTGGCCACGGCTTGGGCCAAGACCAGGGTGCTTGAAGCTGGCTTCAGCTGCTCCAGTGCGCAAATGGAGTAAGGAGACAGAGCTCCTGCATGTATGTCTGGGTCCAGCGGGTATTCCGTCGATCCTGGAGAGAGCGCATCAACAATGCCATCGGGTTGAGACACAGAAGAGCGAGCAATGCTCCTTGGATCCTAACGAGTGCCTGGTTGGCATGCGGCAGGCAGCATACGTACCTAGGTAGGATTTACCAGGGGGGCCGTCGCACCACCACGTGCAGTCCAGAGAGAAATGTCTTGAGGAATTGGTAAGCGCGGGTGGTGTCCCTGGGACCGGAACCTTCGCAGGCTGGCTCAGAAGAGGAAGCGAGTACGGAGTACTGAGGAAGGGTGGTTGATTGGTGCATGACCAGCTTGCAAAACGCGTGTTGACCAGGTTCCATCCATACCTCGACGACCCCATGCCGGTCTGGAGGGAAGCGAAAGAGGCTTCGGGCCCGTGCTGACTTGACCTGGAGTGCTGGACAGAACAGGTCTGACAGGATATTAAACGGTAAAAGTGGGAAACACCCATGCAGCTCGGTCGTGATTCGTCTGCGCGCTCCCGGCACGAACACGGTCAACACGGGTCGGCGATGGTGGATTAATTGCCCCTAGATGATGAGATCAAGATCACCAAGAGGACGCGCAAAAACCCAAGGAGTCGTCGAATCACATCACTCGCATCAAGTCCCGTCTCGAGCCTTGTCTCTCGTGCCTGTGTTTCGTGGAGCATACGGGGCCTTAATAAGGAGGTATTGTTGTGTTCTCGAGGCACGTACTTTAGTTCTACCAGTAGTACTCCGTAGGTACTGATAGGCCGGTTACGTTACCTGGTACCTAAAAGGCTACAGGCATGCCTCGGAAACGTGTTTCACACTTTCACCTATTGCAATCTGTGCTGCCCTGGAGGCGGGTGGATGAAAGGCTGCGGTACTGCATGATTGTCCACAGGCCCAGTGAATCAGATCTCGATAACAATCAATCCTTTTCAGCCCTAGGGACCGCGAGAGAGACCAGGCCCTGCTTATTAGTGCCAAAGCCTCCTTGCTTTTCCTTTAAAAAAAAGAAAAGAAAAAGAACACTTCAAGTCAGTCGTGGATCTCTCGCTCCCCACCTACCTATTCCTTCGTCAAAATCATATTCCACCCGGACAAGACGAGGACAGACCTGAATTGTGGTCGTGCTGAAAGGGCACCAGCAAACCCGGTGCACCAATAACCACCACCACCGCCAATAAACCAGCCAACACTCACCTCGACCTCGCTGGCCTCGATCGACCACTTTCCCCCATCCCCACTTCTATTTTGTTAGTGAGGAGCAAGCGCGCATTTGACTTCCGCGAGATCCAACTGAATACAGCTGCATCGCTGTCTCACCTTCCACGAGATCCAGCTTTGTCTCCTCCTCCTCAATTGAATTACGAAGCGGATGAGAACACGTCAACGAGACCTCTTTCACTGACTTGTAGAGCGCCATCGCCGCAGCCGCCTCTTTGGCCGATTTCGCCTCCATTTGCCCGGCATCTCAACCCTGCATTCTCATGCCACGCTCTTGGCGCGCGCGCGGTTGGTAGAGCTACTTTATCCATAGGTTGAGCCACCAGCATCTCGACTCTGAGCATCCCTTTGTTATCGACGAACTCGGCCCTTGCCCCCAGACTGCGCAGGCCAAGCGCATGTGCGCAACCTCCTCCGACGATAGCTCTTCCCTGGGCGATCTCATGTCACGATGAAGAGTACGCCGTTGATCATCAATTGGCACGACCAGAATGCCCCCATCTACTCGGCACACTTCGAGCCCCATGGCAAGAGCCGCCTAGCCACGGCTGGCGGAGACAACAACGTTCGGGTACGTTTCCATACTCGGTCCAGCAAGGCCAGACCTGTTGTCCGAGTTGACAAAGCTGATATGCGGGTGATACTAGCTCTGGAAGGTCGAGGGCGAAGGAGAAGACCGAAAGGTTGACTATCTCTCAACCCTCTCGAAACATACCCAGGCCGTCAATGTTGTCCGTTGGGCCCCTAAAGGTACTGTTGCCACTCCTTCGGGAACGTCTACCTTCGTTGCTGACCTTTTTCCCCCTTCCTAGGCGAGCTGCTTGCCTCGGCCGGCGACGACGGAAACGTGATCTTATGGGTGCCTTCCGAAAACCACCACCCGACCTTCGGTACCGATGGCCTTGAGGACAAGGAGACGTGGAGAACGAAGCACATGTGCCGGTCCTCCGGTGCTGAGATATACGACTTGGCCTGGTCTCCGGACAGCGCCTACTTTATCATCGGCAGCATGGACAATATTGCCAGGATCTACAATGCTGGCACAGGTGAGTCAGACTGATGCTGCACGTCCGCAAAGATCTAGCTGACATCCACGGCCCCAGGAACTCTTGTGCGTCAGATTGCCGAACACAGTCACTATGTCCAGGGTGTGACCTGGGATCCTCTCAACGAATACGTCGCGACGCAGTCATCCGACCGCTCCGTTCATATCTACTCACTCAAGACCAAGGACGGGCAATATACCCTGAGTGGCCCCGACGACAAACCGTCCAAGGTCGCCAGCCATATCAAGTCTGATCTACCCCCCAGGCGCATATCGTCACATAGCCCAGCACCGCCGGATTTTGGACATCGTTCCCAGCTTGCTGCCATCGACGCCGTGGCTGGTTCCCCTGTCCCCTCTGCACCGGGTACCCCAACTTCGGTTGCCCTACCAATGAACCCACCAAGCGTTGTTAGCCATAGTCGGAGGTCCTCCTTCTCATCTCGGCGCTCAGTGTCGCCAGCGCCCTCAATGCCACTGCCTGCAGTCATGCCTATGGAGGCGTCGCCAAAGCCGATGACAAACACGACCGCCCTGGGCGTCAAAAATGCTAGCCTCTACGCCAACGAGACCCTTACGTCGTTCTTCCGCCGTCTGACGTTCACGCCAGACGGTGCTCTACTGCTGACACCTGCTGGTCAATACCAGACCCAACATCAAGTGGATGGTGCGAAACCCTCAGTCGAGATTATCAACACCGTCTACATCTACACCAGGGGAGGCATCAACAAAGCCCCTATTGCCCACCTCCCAGGCCACAAGAAGCCCTCAGTCGCCGTCCGATGCTCTCCCATCTTCTACGGCCTGAGACAGTCCCCTCCAGTCACCAAATACATTACGATCGATACCTCATCAGGAGAAGAACCTTTTCCCACCTTGCCTGAACCCCTCTCTGGCCCGTCCCCGGCACCTTCGGTGATGGAGCCTCCTCCACCGCCTTCTGTGACCAGCGACGCTGCTCCTCCCGCACCAAAGAATCTGAGCCTAGAGACATCCTCTTCGACCTCAGGACCCAAGGCCGCGTTCGCCCTGCCCTATCGGATGATATATGCAGTGGCAACCCAGGACTCCGTCTTGATATACGACACCCAGCAGCAGACGCCGATTTGCATTGTCAGCAACCTGCATTGTGCAACTTTCACTGATCTAGCATGGTAAGTTGTCCGGATCATATTTCATGCTCATTTTTGTGTGGCTAATCCCGAGCCCAGGGCCAACGATGGACTGACGCTGCTCATCTCTTCTTCGGATGGCTTCTGCTCCACACTTTCCTTTGCCCCTGGGGAGCTTGGTCAAGTCTATACCGGAGAAGTACCGAGCCTCAAACGGCCTGTGGCTGGAGAAACGGCGGTCTCCTCTAGCCAGAACACCCCGGTGCCCACCCCAACCTCCGTGTTTGCGCCTCCCTCGCCTTTCCCATCCGGTGGCAACCAGCACCAGCATCGCGGCTCCACTAGCTCGTTTGCCGCACCATCACCGCCACCAGCCGCATCGTTTGTCAACGCTCGGCCCTCGTCTCCCGCTCGGTCGAATTCGACATCATCCGTTGTCACCCAGGCTTCTACAGCTCCGTCTGGAGTCGTCAACAACCCGACGCTCATGGTGGGCAACGTGCCCAGTATCACAGCCACCAATTCTGCCAAAGTAACGGGTGTCCCTATCACGACCCCACCGGAGACCCCTCGTAGCGCTGCCAATAGCGTTGCTGGTACCAAGAGAGACGCCAGCGAGAGCGAGAAGGAGGACTCTGGGAAGGAGCCCAAGAAGCGGCGTATTGCGCCTACTCTGATCAGTAGCAACGATCCTACCAAGGCTTAGGTTCCAAGGAGTCGGATGGTCGTGACGCCATCGCCCTTGTCACATAGACGAGTGCGTCGCCCTGTGCCATCAGAAGACGGGTGGGCATGGATTGTCAGCCCCTGAAGGGCATGTCTTTTCAATATGAATGAGCACACAGACACAGATGCTGTGTCAAGACCTTGCTCCGCTTTAGCAGGGGAGACGCTTTTTTTGCATTATGGGTGGTGTTAGAAGGTTTTGATATGATTTGATTCTAGGGTTCATCAGCAGCGGGGTGCGATTTCGCATGGCATCTGGCAGCTGCCACATGGGCCCTTTCTTTATGTGACGGGTCCTCGAGGGATGAAGGGCATGTTGCTAGATAGGTATATCCTGCGCCTCATGGGGAGGCATGGTGTATAAGTAGAAAAGAAATACCATCATTCACCTTAACGAAACAACTTGGGAGTGCCCTACGCCATGCTTGGATTATGCAGATCTCTCGCCTCGATTACCTCAATACAGGTCGCCATCCCATCCTCCCAACATAGTCGGTGATGCCCTCATCGCGTAAAATCTCAGCTCCAAGCCGTCCGGTCACAACGCTCCGCTCATGCTCGACGCCACGGACGAAAAAGGGGTACGTCAACCTCGACGACGATGCAATAGTAGAGTCCCCTCCTCGGTCTGCCTGCCCTGCATCGTCCTCCTGCGCTTTTGCCTCCTCCTCCTCCCAGACCACCCTGCCGTGCCGCCGGCGCCTCACGAAGCCGCACGCCTCGCGGTCCATCGACAGGTACCACTTGCGCTGGTGCACGCTGCCGATCGAGTTGGTGGCCCCCGGGTAGGCGTTTGTCCGCCGCACCTCGGCGTCCTCGAGCTCCCGCAGCTCCCTGTCCATGGCAGAAATCTCCTCGGCCTCGGCGGCGGCGGCGACGGTCTGGCCCGGGTCGACCACTTCGTCATCTTCGTCGTGGTCTTGTTCATTGCCTGATGAATCGCCGCCGCTGCTGCTACTACTCGTCTCCTCTGGAGCGGGTGCCGTCGTCCTTGTCCTCCTCGTCCGCCGGCGCGGCGCCGAAGCAGATCGCGCGGCCTTGGCGCGCCCCGCGGCGTCTTCGTCCTTGGTCAGGCGCAGGTACAGCACGTACGGCCGCGGCAGGCGCGCGCCGTCGAGGCGCACGCGGATCTTGCGGGCCGCGAAGGCGGCCGCCAGCTTCTGCTGCTCCGTCCTCTCGTCCTTCTCGCCCTCCTCCTCCTCCTCTTCCCTGTCGCTCAGGCTGCTCCGCCGCGGCCACCGCTGCCGTCGATACCTCGTCTCCCGCGCCCTCGGGGCCGGCAGGACCGAGTACGTGCCCGTGTCCCAGATGAGCAGGCTGCCCGTCTCGCGCGAGGCCGTCTCGACGAGGTGGTTCCAGAGGCAGTGCACGCGCGTCTCGGTCGCGTTGCGCGCCTGCCGCGCGCCGTTGGGCGCCCCCGGCGGGCCGTACATGACGGCCCACGAGGCGCTCGAGCTGCCGTTGATCTGCAGGCGCAGGTCGTAGTGGGTGCCCGCGACGGGGTGGTCGTGCTGGTGGATGACGAAGTGGGCGGCCGTGGGGGAGCCGAGGGACGACTCGAAGAGGGCGCGGTAGGCCCGGACGGAAAGGCGCGGTGCGCCCGCGGGGAAGGGGTGGCGGAGGGCGTGCGACGAGAGGAGGGAGGCGAAGTGCTCGGCGTGGTTGGTGATGCGGGCTTTGCCCGCCTCGATCGCGGCGGAGGACGGTGCTGCCGGGCCCGGAGGCTGCGACTGCTGCTGTGGTGAAGCTTCCTGACGAGCGGACGGTGGTCCGGCCCGAGATGGTCGCCGCTTTGCAGGTGGCGATGGAGAGCCCCGAGACGATGTCGGCTCGGGGAAGTCGTCCAGGCTCCAGGCCAGGTTCCTCTTCTTGATGAAGGGATTCGCGACCAGCTCCGGGCTGCGTGCGCGTTTGGACGCCATCGCGCTTTGGAATGAATGCTGTGCCTGTGAAGCTCTTTAGGCCTGCAAAATATGAAGTTTTACATGACGAGTAAACTTCTACCACGCTTCCTTTGAGTGAGAGGCGGAAGGTTGCCGAAGTCGTTGACGCGGACCGAACTGTGGGTTCCGGTCAGCCAAGGACATCATATCCAACTTCAAACAGCGTTTTGAGATTCTGCCGTGGAATGCAGATACATGCCTTTATCCCCTTTTGCGATGGCGAATTCGACTTGATTCGATGTATTTGCTTTATTCTTGGCAAATGTCAGTTCTGAAGTGAGAGGCTGTATGGAGAATTAGTGTAGTGGTGAATGACGTATGTCCAACTCGGTGAAGCTTCGATGAGATCTTCAACTCATACCACAACACGGTGCCCACCCGACATATTCACCCGCGACCAGCAAGAAAAGGGCCATTTGCCATGAAATATTTGTTGTGTCATTTTGCTATCGTACAGAAAACAGACGATCAGTACTAACACCTCGAGCCCCAATGGCCCTTCGCGAACAGAGAGCATCTACCCCGGTGGACCATTGGTCAGTCCCAGTAGATCGAGCAATACCGAGATAAGCCCTGCAGCCGAGCCGCAGTTCTTATTCTCACATGAAATCGAGTACCAGATCCTCTCCTTGCCTTCCTTTCCCATAATTACACCGTAGAAGTTCCAAAACGCCAACTCCATATTCCATCGCGAAAACCGCCAGAACGCGGGGCACACAACAGATAGCTCAGGCCCGCAGAGCGGGGAGAGCGAAATACACAACCAGGAAGACCGAGAGAGCTGGCAGAATGATGCAGTGAGCGATCAAAATGCCGGTTAGAATCCGCTGTTGAGGCTGGCTGAGCCGGTGGACCTCGCCTTCAGTGTACCAGGAGAGACCCTCATCAAACTTGCCCATCCAGGCCAGGAGGGAGAAGAACGGGAAGATCGAGAGTAAGGCCACGAAGATGAACCAGACTCGACGTCGTGCGATGGTCTCCTCGGAGAGAAAAGCGTCAAGATCGACCGGAATGTTGCCAAAGAAGCCTCCTCTCATAGCGATAGCACGCAGCTCCGGGTCGAGATTCTGGAGGTGACGGCGCTCCTCCAGCGGAATCAGCCGCGAGGGATGATCGAAGATTCGGCGCCTGGGCTCCATGTTGCCGTCGAATGTCTGCATGTACGGGTAAGAACGTGAAGGGGCCGACGAAGCCATGGAAGACAAAGTCGAAATGTCGCCTGCCAGATAATCGTCTAAAGTTGCGCAAAGTCAGCTCATGTTTGACATGGCAATCCCCAGGCCAGCATTTGGGTTTGTCACATACCTTGTGAGTGATAGTTCAGGTCTTGAGAAGCCCGTGAACTCAGAATCGGATCAAGTCGTTGTTGGTAATGAACAGAGTGTGGGAGCCTGGGCAAGTAGTCCTGATCGGAGCGTTGTCCATCAAAGTGAACAGACTTTGAGAAGCGTGTGGGCGTTCCAAGAACTCGTCGCAGGTCAATGTGAGATTCGTCCTCTTGTCCGCTTGCTCGACGTACTGCTTGCAGTCTTGCAGCTTCTGGAAGTGAGATCAAATTGAAGGCGAAACCATGAGATTGATCTGATATGGTCGACAGAGAAGAGTGACGGGAGTTGGAACGATCCATCTCATAGGCAGTCGAGTCCTCGCTATAAGGAGATGGCTGTGCGATTGGCGTGAGCGGTTGCTGAGCCGCGTGACTCTGCACCGATTTCTCGCGGCCCTGTTCGACATCGACTTGTGGCCTCTGGTTTCGAAACGATGCCAGGCGTTGCTTGTTTCTCGTGTGAAGGTTTTGAAGCGAGTCGGTCAGCTTCCCACTCAGTCCATTGGATGTACTTGTATGCATGCTTGTTTGAACAGAGCTGCCAGTGAACAAACGGCCCGAGTCCTGAGCCATGCCATTTACTCTATGCACACGCTGCTTGGCCACGAATATCGGGATCTGAGAGCCCTTCAGATGACGCAACTTGAACCGCGGAGCGTCCCCATCGTTCGTGGGATGCTGAAGAATGCGATCAGTTGATCCATATTCATCGGCCGGTTCCTGCGACCAGCTTGCCGTGTCGGAAACATCTGCAATGCTGCTTCCCGTAGGCTTGAATGGGCCCCGACTTGGGAGGCTTCCTGATGGCAATGCCATTTTCTGGCCACCAGGCTCGCGGCCATCTGTGACTACTGTCTCCCACTCATCTACTTCACTCACTTGGCGAAACTCTTGCGGTGTCTGAAATCCACTAAGCCCGAGGTTCTTTTCGTTCAGCGCGTGAGGATTCTCGATCGGTGGCGCGGATGGTTTGTTGAGTGTAATTTTCACAACATTGGGATTACTTCGCCGTCGCAGAGGCGACGAGAGAGCGGATGCCTCAAAGAAATCGGTCTGCTCATTTTTAGTGAAATGTGAAGGTCTGGTCGGTGACTTATTCAGGCGTAGTAAAGCTGTGTCGAGACACGGAAGGGGGGGAGGTGATGATGACTTGAGTGGACTCCCGTCAGGGCTGCACAGAGTGCCTTGGCTGTGTCGACTGATCCCACTGACTCGACAGAGAGCTGCGCTGACCTCTCGCTCCTTCGACGGCTTGAGAAAGACGGTATATGACTGCTTGTCATACTTGAACGGATCATCGTCTGAATCGCTCGTGAACTCTCCGTTGGAGTGTGCCTGTCCGCTAGCTCGATCCGTTCCACAGCCCCGTGCCCGAATCGACTGGACCCTCAAAGGCACGGGAAAGGCGCTCGTATTCTGCTCTAGAGACTTCTCTTTGAAACCATCTTCGCCTTGTGCCTGTCCGTCGGTTTTGAAGAGCTCTGGGCGGAACCAGGGGGGGATATCTCTTCGTCCCGGCGGCGATGCCGGGGGATTGGGTGTATATCTGCCCGTCAGGGCGAAAAGAAGCTCACTCCTAGGTTTCTCAGGGGGTGTAGGTGTTGCTGGGCCTAGATTGGGGGAGTCTGCCTTGACTTGTCCCCCAGTGTTTGGCTCAGTCTCGGGCTGTTGGAGAGCTTGGTCGGTGATATCAGGCTGGTTGTCGCTGACTGTCTGCTCAGCTGGGTTGCGTTCATTCGGACTCGAAAGATTCTGTCGAGCAGCGGTGCGGTCTGTCTTGGAATCGAAGGGGGAATTTGGAATTTCTGGCGAGCCAAACTGGTATTGTGCATAGATACGGTCAACTGTGTTGCCGGTGGCATCGGATGGCACGAGACTCTCAGTTCTGGCATTGTCGCTTCCTGAAGTGAGGAGCGAACAATCAGGAGAGGAGAGGCCCAGACGAGAGCCATTTACATTTAAGCACTTTTCCTCATGCGCTGTTAGAGTGTGTGTCAAAGATCGGCCGGACAGGTGTGCCGGAGGAGATGCCTTGATTCCCTGGAGCATCGTGTCTGACTTGACACCAGTGCTGTGGAAGGTGCCCAATAGCTGCAGCGGGATGTCTTCAGAGGCACTGGAGTCAATGGTTGAGGAGGGTTTTCGGGACGTCGTGCTTGACGCGCTGCGGCCTGTGATGTTTCGCAGGGCGTCGTCTAGATTGTCAAAACGCAAGCCACGAGGTGTCAAGTTTCGAGATGGAAGAGTTGCTGGAAGACAAGGCCGATCCAGCTCTGGGCTGTTGGGCCGACTTCCTGCTCCGGCAAGGGAGTCGCCATCACTGTGGTAGTTCTTTCCCGGAGAACTCATCATGGACCGACTCTTATCCTGAGTCTTTCATCCAGTGAAGCTCATCCCTGAAGTCGATGCGCGAATGAATCCAACAAACACCACTTGGATTGCAAGAGATAAAATTGCGAATCCAGGAGAAGAAAGAGATAATAGGGAGTTATCGCGTCACTATCGTGGCGAGTGAATATCGCAAGGTTGAGAGATGGCAAGTGCTATCAACACCAGATCGCGAGGGTGAATGTCATAGATTCGCTCTCGTGAAGTAGCAGAGAGTTTGAATGGGTAAGGCCAGGCAGTAACTCGTGCTCCGGTGGGAAGAAACGATGAATATCAACAAGTGGTAGCTTTGAGTATTTCGTGAGGAGGTTGTCAGGGCTCGTTCAGTCTGCGTTCACTTTCGTGTCTTGGCAGGCTTCGTCAACAAACAGTCAAAACCGTGCTAATCTCGCGATTAACCTTTTCCCTTTGAGAGATTTCTTTGATAGCAGTCAAAAGATCGGTCAGTGATGGGACAAATTTAGGCAGGCCCTCCTTCAACCCCTAATGGGCACATTGATCCCACAGTCTGGATTCAACAGTGAATTCCTTGACACTACTAAGTCCATGATGTGACAAGATGCCTTTCAGGCATTGGATACCTGAGATATCAGTGTATTCACTCCATGCCTGGTGTTTAAACTTACCGTGGATGTAATGTAGTTTAAAGCCTTGTACTCCCCAGTACATTCTCTACACTGCACATCGTTTCTTGTCTTCTGCACGCCATTGAGCGTGCCATCTGAAGTCACTCAAAACGAATAGTCTTCAAGTCGATATATATGCGGAGTTACCATCAGAAAAAGGAACTATTTCCCTACAGCTGGACATTGGATGAGACACATGAGGGCAATCTAGTTTCAAACCATTGCCTCCGGATATTCATCAAGAATACTGTCTATATACATACCCATCAAATGCACCTAAAGTCAATACCTATAACATATAATGAATCTATATCAAGATCCAACCAATTCGGCTCTTGACTATCTATAGTAGATTACCGTGATCATAACTGTTTGTCATACAACAGGCATTGATGAGGCCTTTTGTAACATCGTCTATATATGCATTGGACTTATCGAAACACAATGCTAGTGGTATTGTGTAGACCTGGGACTCGGAACCACCATCCCAAGTTTCTCGACTGCTTTCCCGGACCTGACACCCAGACCAGAGCAGTCAATAATGAATCAAACAGGAACATTGAAGCTGTCCCGGTGCCAAATGCCAATGCACAGTGTGATAAAACCACACACTGTAGAGGACCCTTGAACGTGGGGCTCAAGTTAGTGATTGAAACAAAGCGGTGCCCCCGCTACACCCCGCAGACGCTCGCAATTTTGGAGTACCTACCTACGAAACTTGAAACAACGGTCTCCTGCCTGTGGGATGCCAGCGGGATGAAAGCTGCTGATAACGGTTGTAGCTGGTGCAGGCCTTGGCGCAAGACGCGCTTGTCAGTGGCGGGAGAGGTCTAGGCATTGGTGTTTCCACCAAAGATCCACGGGCTGAACTCCGCACTGCACCCAGCTCACGTCCAGCTGTAGCTGAGCTTACCGTACGTTGCCGATGTGCGCCCGACTTTCTCTCTTGAACCCTGAGGCTGTGCCACGAAACGGCACCTGGGCACCTTCCTGACCTTTGATCCCTACTATGCCACATACTGCACACCAGCGGCGGCCATTCGCATCCTCACAGGCGCCTCTGGCAAGACCTTTCCATGCCACTGTTCACGAAGACCCGGACCCTTGATGCATCCGTTAAGGCAGCGTATGCAATAACACCAGCATGGCACGAGCCACATTGACGGGCCTTCCAGAGGAGATCTTACTTCAGATCCTCTCTCGTAAGTCTCGACTCGACCAGCATTCTAGGCCTCCTCCACTGGATAGTTGTAGCTGACTGCTTGTAGTCCTCGAGCCACCCGAATTGACCAGACTGCAGCTGACGTCTCGAGTGTTACGCTCGCTGGCACGCGATGACAACCTCTGGCGCGCCCGATGCTTCGACCAGAGCCTCTTCCTCGAGACGTTAGACCGAAGGCGCCGTATACATGCCTTGATCGAGAACGAGAAGGGACAGGACCCCCTTCCTCAGCCGGGCTTTCCGCTGGGCCTCGGGCACAATGGCTCAATTTTTGGTGGGGAAAGTGAAGACCACGAGAGTCGAAAACGGGAGCGTGTTCGCATCATGGCCAACTGGGATCCTTCATACCCCTCCGAGAAGGTGTCGTGGTACGACGAGTACATACAACGGCATGCGCCCATTGCGGTCAGTTGGCTCCAGCAGCCTCAGATTCGAGATGGTTCCCTGGCGGATGTTATCGAGGCGAGAGGCCTCGCACTTTACCGGCCCAATAGGTCGCCAGAGCAGAATGGAACACGGGATGTGTTGTATGCTGTTTCGCCCCTCGACGACGGTTCCGTCTGTCTCTGGGATGTCAATGGAACTGAGGGCAGGAGGGGCGCAGTTGTCTCCAAGAGCAGGCCGGGCATACTATTCATCGATGGGCCGAGCGCAGATAATAGTAGAAGGTCAAAGAGGGTAGACTCGGGTGTCACCGAGTGTGTTGCTGTGGATAGTGTGCGGCATCGCGCCTATTTTGCCGTTCAAAGCCGTATGTACCAGAACCCCCAACATCCCACCACGCCGAGCTGCACACCACTAACTCGGGGTCTCGGACCAGATCTGATCGAAGTTGACCTGCAGAGGCTCTCTGTGGTTGGTTGTGAATCGTTCCCCTGGTCCATAACAGCCTTGTCTACCGCCCACCACAATCTTCCGCTCACCGTCGGCACCAGCCTGGGCATCCATATGCATGACTTCAGGGCACCCAGTTCTCTAGCCCCAGATCCTCGGGATGGGATCGATGAGTTCGATGTGACGGGGGCTCAAGAGTACTACGAGAGGAGTTTAAGGGTCATATTCGACGACGACCCTCTGCCCCCCTACGCCCCGCTCTCGCAGCCAGGACCGCTGAGCATACTTCATCTACAGAGGCCGGGCGCTGAAGCGGATATCTCTGACGACGTTTTCGTCGCAGGCAGGTTTTCCAATATCCTACATTATGATAGGCGAAAATTCCCTTCTATCCAGGGCTCCATCCACTCCGGGGCGAGGCTCTGTGCCATGACATCGTTACCTTTTCCGTATTCGACCGTGGACAGCGAGCTCCGCCGCGCAGGGCAACTGTCGGTGAATAAAGTGGCCAAGAGCAAGTCAATGACTGGAGGAAGGACCCTGATCGCCTGCGGGGAGTACAACACTAAGGGATCCCTGGAGCTGTATGGCTTATCTCCGTCGTCAGAAGCATCGACCATGGCAGCCGGCGGCCTGCAACAGTCCACTCTGAAAAACCGACAGACGTCATCGCAGTCCAAACTCCTGTCAGTTGCTAATCATGGCACGAGATTAGTCTTCTCCGACGGGTCGGGGTTAATCAAGTGGTTCGAAAGGGACGGTTGCACCGAGGTGAGGCGTCACAGAATCGGACATTGCGAGGGGGCACAAGGGCCATCACTGTTCGCGTCGATGCCAGGATCCGACGACATAGCAAGGAAAATCCTGTGCACCAGTTCAGGGGTGGATAATGGGCGGGTCAACGATAATGACCTACTGTTTTGGACCGGCGAAAAGCTCGGGCTAGTCGGGTTCTCCTCGCAGCCCGGCTTCAAAGCGGATGACTTTGAAGAGGTGGTCAAGACAGCCGAGGAGGAGGCGAGAGAGGCAGAAGAACGGCAATACCACGACAGGATGCGACAGGCCCTCGAACGCCAGGCCGATGACGTTAGGCTCGTGACGAATCTCGGCTTCGGAACTAGTGTGTGAGATCGTCAGCTCGGCGCCGCAAGCGATTGACATAGTCGAAGCACTAGGCTCTCGCTTTGCGCCCACCGCGGTAGTCGTACCCATTGGCGAATTTGATTTGATCTTACGCTATACACGACCAATTCATTTCGTCGCTCCGACAATTTCAAAACCGGGCCGTCGCTGATGATGATGATGGATAGCGACGGACTTGCTCCGAACACGAGCAGTGCTGGACAAACAGGGCGATCTGCGTCACGCATTATCGGCCTGTGCAACAGAATCGGTCCCTGCAGGCCAAACCGCGAGAGTAACCCTCTTGGTCACCATCCACTTTCACCACCGGCCGTACTGTCGCAGCCCATGCCAGCCTGCGGCTGATATATTCGATAGAGACGACGCCACGCAACGAGTTATTGCAACACAGGATTTCCTCCCGACCCACGGTCTGCGGTCTGGACAGATGTCGTGTACGCACCCACCCAATGCACCGTTATGTGTACGTACATACAGACATACATACATACATCAAAATAGACGTAACCGAAACCCGTCCTGTCGTGTACGGTCACCTACATACCTTGAATCTAGGTACAGCAGCACAGCGAAGAGGCACCCCGCCGTTTCACCTGCTGGTTTGCTGGCCCCTCGTACTCCTATGGCTTGGTTTAGAATGGTCGCTTGGCGAGAGGTATCGCGGAATTAATGTCGTTAGTGTCCCCATGAAGATCACCACTCCGCTACCATGGTCACGGCAGCAGCGAGCGTTGCATCACAAGCGAAGCTTACGCAGGTAAGTTCTGGTTGGCGGTGGTTGATTATCGGAAGACTGGGGCGCGACATTCTCGACCGTCGCTTGCGGAGTAGGTCGATCATCCATCTTTTTTTTCCTTCCTGTTTACTGTTCCGTGCAGAGGAGATGCACGAAGCCCAGCAGATTTTTGTGGTATGGAGCGCCAGCGCATTATTATTATTATTGTTGTTGTCTGACCAAGGCAAGCTTGGCAGGGAAGGGGGCGCTGGTGTGTTAGTGATGGCAAAAATGGTAAGCCTTACAAGCCAGAAGTGCTCCAATCGACTGGGCAGGGCGACCAATCACGGCCTGCCTAGCTGGCGATCCGTCCAATGAGCTTGGCTGGGGTTGAGGCACCTTAGGCACCCCCTTGTCAGCCGCTTTACCCAAACCTCTTCTCGCCCTGTCAAATCTTCGCCTCATCAAGGCAAGCCTGTTTTTCTTGCTCTCCATCATTCACTCGTTCCCTCATTCACCACTCCACTCTCGCTCATTCGCGCTGCGGACTTTTGGAGAGTCCATCTAACGTTACCCATCTCCACCCCAACCTCAACCGCTTTCTTCTCCGTACGGTAGAGCCGCCGGCCTGGACCATACCTGCGCACTGCCTGCGCTATCATGGAGCGCGACCGACCAGGGCAAGCGACGCGCGAAGCACTGGCGTCTCATCTCCGCACGAGCCGTTTTGCCTCTTGCCGGCCCTAGGATCTGATCATCCCCGTTTAAGCCAGGATGAACCCTGGGCACCTCCTCTGGAAACGCCGTTTGCTTGCTGTTTTGCCTGATCAGCACGAAACGCTCGGCCTTGGATATGATGTCGTGGTCGATGCTGCTTCGCAATTTGCAAGTGCACCATTTGCCCTTGACCACACGCTCTACCTCTCCCTGAAGAGGATCATCGCCAGGAACCATCCCAAAACCCCAACTCCCTCAAGTGAGTACTTGTATTGACCCTACCGGTGAGAGATAGCAAAGCTAGGGCGGGTCTGTCACCTCATGCGGCGAACCAAAGTTGGTCGACGCTAGATCTGCACCACAGGTGGCAGCCGGGTGGGCCTACCGCAGCAAGAAGCAACTGCAGCTCCTGATCGAAGGAAGCACACCGCTCTGCAGATGTTCGTCCACGTTGACAGACTGCTCCCTGCTCGCTCTGACTGGACTTGCCAACAGCAAACAGGGTCCTGCTGGTCTGGCCGTCTCTCTACCTCTCTCCTTGTCGCGAATGAGGGGCCGCTGAAAGGTTTCCCGGACAGCTAGACCGTCGTCCCCCTTGCTTGTGGAATCCTGTGCGGCGAACCAAGAGAGCCCCCGGACGCAATGGATGGATCCATTTCATCACCGCATGTCCATCCTCCCCTGCGCGTAGCTAAAACAAGACCTGACTACCTGCCGGCCGACATGACTGGATATGCAATGCTCTCCTCATCTTTCTCAAGTGAGAATCCAATATCTGCAACCGCTTGCCTCGCATGCCAGACCGTCTCTTGACCTCTGGTTCTAACGAGTGAATTCCTTCACTCCTCCTGCCTCTTCGTTATCCTTCCTTACTTCTGAGGCTGCAACCTAGAACATGTCTATTGGTACTACGGTCGTGCCGTGTTGTCTGAAACAGTCGTCATTGACGACATTCCTGCTCTAGTCGGTGCAGATTTGGCCTGACGGGCTGCACCCACTGATACCTATCGAATTTGTTGTTGTTGCACACTCGTCGGCCGCTTTTCTTTTCACCTTTGTCTGCCCACCTCATATCGATCCGACTAGCTTTACTCTATCGCACTTCTGCCTTGCGCACCAGACATGTACTATGGCTTCTCGATGGTCAGCTAATGGTGGTAGCTACTCAGCACCACTGGTGTATGCACCTCATCTTGAGGGATACGCTTACACTGAAGGACCTCCCTTCCAGCTCACCGCGCCGTATTATGCTCCGCCATATCCTCACTACACAAGTCCTCAACCGCCTCTGTCACCCAGGCCATCTCAGCCCAAACATGCTTTCTCATCACCTCACGGTCACAGAGGTCCTTATCTGAGGGTCGGGAGACACTGCCCTCAGCAGAGTTGCGATGAAGTGTCTTGCATGTCGCAAGATTTCTATGGAGATATCACATCTAGTCAAGATGCCACCGCCAACGACGAAGACATGGAGAGCGATGAGCAAGCAGTCCAGGGAGTGAAAGCGAGCTTCCGTCGACGCAATCCCGATTCCAAACCCGAGCGGATTCTACGTAGTCTTATTCGTCCAAAGTCTACCGATGCGGAGTACGAGCTTGACGATGACGCCTTGAGCAGCATCTTCTCGGCTGTCAATGCGATTTTCTTCAATGGCCGCCTCACCAGCCGGGTGAACTGGACTTGGTCAAAGCCATCGGACCCCGAATACAACCGCGAGATCGTGGGTCACACTTCATTCAGAAAGGCGAACCACGGCGGATACGAGACCTTGATCACCCTCTCGTTCCCCATCCTCACAAGCCCGAAATACAATCGCCGGCTTCTCATCTCAGCGTTCATCCACGAACTGATCCACTGCTACCTCTTCGTGTGCTGTGGCTTGGAGGCGCGGAACTGTGGTGGCCACACTCCTGGCTTTCATCAGATTGCCAAGATCATCGACAACTGGGCGGGACCCGGCATGCTGCACCTCTGCGACATGGAAGCAGACCTCGAGCACTTCCGCGTCGGGTCCCACGCTTGGACCAATCAACAGCGAAGCCCGTCCCCTGCCCATTACCACAATAGGCACAAGGCTGAGTACGGCCCAAGTTACCGCTACCCAGCTACTGTTGTGTCACACAGCGGCAGCGCCTACTGGGAGCAACCATCCTGCAGCGGGCGCTGGGACTACCCCGTCGCGCCTGTCGCTCGCGCTTAGACAGCGCCACGACTGGCAAAGCCGCATACGTTTGCCTCGCTAGTGATGGTGTGCTCCCGAGACAGGGATCGCCAATGCTGCACTACAGAGGCTTGCATATGATAACCGTCGGACATGCGGTTATATCAAAACCTACCAGCCGCTCAATGCCCAGTTTCTTGTCGACAAAACGTCGATTCGCTTCCCTCCTAGGGGAAGGCAGGCAGAAAAGTGGCCTAATTTAAAATCTCTTCACAATCACTCCTATTTGGTTGGCTTCAACAGCATGGCGACGGCGTTCTCTTTACCCACATCTTTCTGAACAGTACAAAGTTGGATTTATGGGAGGTCTTGTGTGGGTTTGGAGTTCTCTCTCTCTCTTTTTTTTCTCTCTCTTTTATCTTGTTGGTTTTCTCAAGCAAACAAGTCGGTCTGGAATGACGGAAGTATCCTGTCACGCAAGGTATGGAGGCAAACCTTTCATTTTTCGTTATTGGAATACGGATATTGGAAACTCGCTGGGCCAAAAAAAAAGGGTGGTTGTTTTTGTTGGGCATTTGCACGCTCTTGTAAGAATGGCATGGTTTGATATCCACGACATTTAGATTTGATTCCCCCTCACAACACAGTCAAACTGTGAAACCCTTTCCTGTCACTCTCGATCTGCTCCGCTTACGTTCGCTTGTACACCACATCTATGGAAAGAAAAAGTGCCAGAGACTGGCTGTCTTTATTTCATACTCATGGTGACATACGCATCGCTGGGGGAAGGCGGTAATGCCTCTTGGCTCGCGGAAATTCCTGGATTCAAATTGATACTACGCAAAGAAGGAAGAAGCGGTAGATACCTAGGTAGTTGATCAGCACATACCACGGGTAGAAACATAACATCTCCTGAACACACCTGTATCCGATGTGATGGCCATGTGTTTTGCAACAAGTAATTTGACTGTATGCTGTAGCAGAATATTTTGACGATGACTCCTATCCTATGCCATGACCCGATGCAGTAAGAAGAAAGAGGAGAGGAAACAATGTAGAATATATAAGCTGCCCGACGCCACTGCCTTCTTTTCCTGCCCATTCCACTGACTGCCATTAACCCCCCTCAAGCGTCATTGTTGGAAACCCCCACGAGTGCCGAACGCCTCCGGAAGAAGCCATTTGCCGTCTCGCCGGTGCAAGTCCCGCCGCTCCTGCCACGCACCACCCCAGCTCTCCCATGAAACGCCGCCTAGGCCTGGCCCTCCTCGTTGCTGTAGATGGCGTCCTTGCACAGCACGACCATCTTCTTGAAGAAGCGGCGCCACTCGAGCGGGTCGCCCTTGATCTTGACGAACCGCACCTCGAGCAGCTCCTCGCCCTGCCCGTCGGGCAGCGCGTACCGGTCGACGTGGATCTCGCCGTGCAGGCTCTGGCCGCGGCCGTCGAGCGTGCGCACGCGCAGCGTCGTGACGTGGCCGTCGGCGCCGAGGCGCAGGTTGTCGCCGTAGCCCGAGGGCAGCAGGACGTTGAGCTGGTGCAGGGCGGCGCCGAGCATCTGGACGAGCAGGGCGGGCGGGACGGCCGAGAAGAAGCGCGCGAGCGAGTACGAGGGCACGATGTCGCGGAAGCGCTGGGCGTTCTGCGTCAGCGTCAGCGGCACGCGGTTGCTGTTGTTGTGGTTGAACTGGCTCATGCTGGGCTCCATCGCCAGGCTGTCGAACAGGGCGCCGTGGTGCGGGCGGGCGGCCGTCACGGCCGCGTCGGCCCTCGAGACCGGCTGCGTCGAAGACACGGCGAACTGGCCCAGAGAGCGCATGACTGGGCGTTCGAGATCAAAGGCCACGTCGCTGATGGGCACCTCTGGCTGGGTAGCGGAGAACTTGGCAGACCAGTCCTCTGCCGAGGGAGCACTGTCGAGATCCATGGCCGTGTCCATCGCGGCACGACGCTGCGAGGGCGTGGGTTGCTGGTTTGTATCGACGTGTAGATTAGCTAGCATCTGCGTGGCCAGCTCTATGGGGTTGGACACCTTGCCATCAGAGGTGAGCAATGAATTGGGACGTGTGTACCAGGGGTGCTGCCGGATCTGGGCAAAAGAGAATCGTCTGTTGGGCTCAACGTTCATCATGCCGCGCAGTAAAGAGAGCGCCTCGGGCGGTATGCGCTCCCAGAGGGCGTCCGTGCTTCGGCCGCTGGTGCGGACGTACTCTTGGAATTCCCAGCTGGTCGATGTAGGCTCGTCCCAAGGAGTGTTGCCGACAAGTAGTACGAAAAGGATGACACCGCAGGACCAGATATCGACAAGGTCCGCAGAGTATTTGACTGCCCCTGGTGCTTTCCTGTCCATCTTCGCGCTCATCAGGACCTCGGGCGCGATGTAGGGGGGGCTACCACACATGGTGGCACTCTGCTTCTTTTGGCCTTTGTACTCAAACATGGTGGCCATGCCGAAATCGGCAATCTTGAGGTTGCCGTCCTCTGACATGAGGATGTTCTCGGGCTTGAGGTCTCGATGGCCGACGCCCTTGGAGTGCATGAAGCTTACACCGCTCACAAGCTGCAAGAAGTAGAGATGGGCGATGTCCTGCGGGACGCCCACATCGGCTTCGATCTTGTCAAACAGGTCGCCTCCCTCGGCGTACTCCATAGCAATCCACCGCCATACATTGTCCTCACCCGTGGCGAACCACTCGATGATGTTGGGATGCTGGCCTATGTGGGAGTGCAGAGACACCTCCATGGCGATCTGCTTGGCTGATATGCGGCCATGCTTAATGGCATAGCCCTTGTGTATCAGTTTGACCGCAAAGACTGGCGTTTCGCCGTCTAAAGGTTTCGCCTTTTTGATTCTTTTTGGTTGTCCCCAAGTCAGCCCGCCGTCGCCTAAGTCAATCCCTCCTAAGGTATATAAGTGGAGCAACTCACGATGCGTAGGCACCTCGCCCGATTGTTTTCGACACAATGCGAAAGGGGAGATCGTTGGGAAGAGGATCTAATTGCGACTGCAGCATTGCGAATCCTCAGTTATCATGTTCGTCGTGGAGAATGGATATTATTCAAAAAGACAAAGTGGAAAGAAAGGCTGCAAGTCAAGTATCCTCAGACCAAATCAAACACCAACAAACATCGTACATGGAGGAGAAGCAACAATCAACAACCAGGCCCCCTGGAAGGAGAAAGCAAAAGAATTGGCCTTCCTCTCCTCCCAGTGAATGAGACATGCGAACAACAGGAAAGGCTTACCATGACGGTGGTGTAATTTGTTGTTGCCGCCTATGTCGAAACCAATGGCTCTCTGGTTGCGCGTCGCACAGCAGGTCGATCGCGTGCCCAAATCGCGTCCTTTCCACGGGACTTTAATTGATTTGTAGGTAGCGCATTTTGGCCTGGGTCTTTGTTTTGTTTGGTAGGCCGAGCTGGTCACCAAGTCGATTGGACTACAGGCATTGCCAGCGCCGGGTCCCCATCCAAAAAGGCCCGTGCTCCACCCGGGCCACAGGCCAGCCCACAGTGGGTTACCACCGCCGTTGCTCCAGGGCGATGGCGGCCAAGGGTCCAAGTAAACAAGTCGAATCCACTACCACTACTTCCGCATCAGCCCTCCCTTCCTACGACCATATCGAATAATCACTTATTTCATATATCCCTTGACCTTCTCCTACTGTTGGCTTTCCTTTAAAGGCGGGTGCCCTCAACTTCTCGACACCAAATTACGACATTTGGAACTCAAGCAGTATTTCGATAAAAAGACTGACTAAGTCAAGCAGCGATTCGAAAAGGTACCTGATTGTCTGAAACCCATCCCCCACCTGCATCCTCTCCAACACCATTACTAACATCGCCGCCCTCTTCATCTTTAAAGTCCTTTGCGCCACCTACATCCCTCCCTACCCTGCTGGAATAGACACATACTCGGTTTCGCAATTGATGATGGATTTCAGCATGGATACCCAGACCGCAGCAGCACCAGCCGTCCACTCGGCCAAGCTGGCTGGCACGAGAAAGGGTCCTGACTCGCAGAGCGTCACCAAAAGGTAAGGGCGATTCAACACTCGCAACAGCGGGCTCCCGAGCTCGTTCACAGGGCAAATGCTGACGCTCATGGCAGGCTGCAAACAGAGCTCATGCAGCTCATGACTTCCCCAGCACCCGGCGTCTCCGCATTCCCCTCGGCCGATGGCAATATGCTCTCGTGGACGGCCACCATTGACGGCCCCGACGACACTCCCTACTCGGGCCTGTCTCTCAAGCTGACCTTTGACTTCCCCTCAAACTACCCTTACGCACCCCCGACGGTCCTATACAAGACCCCCATCTACCATCCCAACGTGGACTTTTCCGGTCGCATCTGCTTGGACATCCTGAAGGACAAGTGGACCGCTGCCTACAATATCCAGACTGTCCTGCTGAGCCTGCAGAGTCTGCTCGGAGAGCCCAACAAGTAAGTGTATTTCATCTACCGTGTCACGAACTCCTTGATGCTAACGAGGCCTACCAGCGCATCCCCCTTGAACGGAGAAGCGGCGGAGCTGTGGGACAAGGATCCCGAGGAGTTCAAGCGCAAGGTCCTAGCTCGTCACCGAGATATTGATGATGAGTAGGGGCAGGCATCGGGCGATTGTTCGTTGAATAGGATATTGGCGTCACACAGGATGTGCGGTTTGGGCATGACCTTTTTTTTTCACGAGTGCTTTCGACAGCATTGCATTGCATTTGCCCAGGATAGACTGGGCCAGATATCCTCTAGTTTCCGTATGAGCCGGGTTTGTCTCTTCAAGGCTGGACTGCAGCATTTGTAGCGTCAACAGAGTCGCCCTCAAGAAACAACCATTGCGATTCACAATCAATGATAAAGCGCTTCCTGTTTCACGTCCAGAAACCCGAGCCCCAATCCCCCATTCCGTGGAGCCAAGAAAGATGTCGATCGAAGGAACAACCTGCGTGGTCGTCACATGTCCTTTATTGGTGTAAAGCTAAATGCCATGCGAAACTCCGAAATCCCAGATGCCGCCCTGAACCCTTTTTGACGTGACCATCCTCTTACTCCTCAACAACCACGGTGTGCAGGCCCTTGGGGTTCTTGACGTTGACGGCCTGAACGTAGCTGTAGAGCTTCTCCTTGGCGCCCTCCTCGTCGTTTCGCCTCCGGGAGATGCGGACGCGGAGCCTGTATGGAACACCCTTGACACCGCACTCCCACACCTTCTTGTTCAGCTGGGGGTCCAGGCGGACATCGGTGGTACCCTGTCAGTTCCAAGTCAGCAAATTGACCGTCTTCTCTTGTTCCTCGTAAAATCCAGCGTATCGAGTTCTGCCAATGCGAACAGATCCAGTGGCTCGTCGAGAGGGGTGTATCGTACCATGGCCAGGAAGGCGAACTTCTTGATCTCCTTGACGGCGCGGGGAGCTCGCTTCTTGAAGGTGACACCGTGCATCTTGAAATAGCCAAATCATGTCAGTATCCTCTTCTTCGATATCTGTCTCTGAATCTTCCAAATCGTAGGGTGTCCGACGTACGCGCTTGTGCATGTGGATGGTGTACTCTCGGGCGACGACATCAGCGATGGCGGAGCGCTGAGTCTTGCCGGCGGGCTTCTTTCCTTTCGACGACATTTTCTGTAATTGGATGCACGATCAGATACTCGTCTTCGAGGGTACGACTGTTGCGTTCGAGAGAAGGGGGTTGCTGCTTACGGCTGGGCGATGTCGACTTTTCCGTTGATATCTGGGTCAGGATCTGGAAGCTTTTGCACGAGTGGTGAATTTCTCCCTCTAATTGAAAATTATTGTGTGTGCTAGGGAAAGAAGAGGGACCGGAAAATATGTGGCTCCGTTGTCCCGTCCTACTCATATGGCCCGTGCTCCAAATCATTGGCGCTATCATCATCGCCGCTATGTGACCAATTGACGCTAGCCAAAGCGGGTGTGGTGTGTTGCGCACGGGTACCTGAGTACATGCCATTACGAGTTTCACGCTTTGGTCAACCTGACGCCAGCAAGGAGGGAGGCTGTTTATGCTCGCTCTGCACGCAGGATCCGAACTACCTGACGTACCCGTACCCTTCTCTCGTCGCCCATTCGCCTTCATCTCACAATTCCTCCTGCGCTGAGCGCAACTCTTCGCTCGTTTTCTCGTTCTTCTCTCACTACGCCATCACTTGACGAACCACTCCTTGATCTCAATCGACAAATTTACGGCAAAAAGGGCCAGCAGTCCGTCACGTCGGGGAAATTACACCTTGTCTTGTCCTACGCGCGCAAAGGGAGACAAATAACCTGCGAACAAGCCTCCTCTGAAGGGAGAACCGCCTCCCTCGACTCGCAGTAACAATAGTCAACGGTCACCTGAACCAAAATCTTCATTTTTTCTCTGCCGATACCGATTTCGATTCAATATTCTCACAATGGCGGATCAGGCGGTTGCCACGCCATCACCCCAGCCCGATCTAAATCGGAACCGGCTACCGACCTTGTTCGAGGTGCTGAGCCGGCGAACGCTCCCTCCAGTCGACCTGTTCTCGTTCTATATCTACATGAGAGATCAGCAACGCTCGGTGGACTACCTTGACTTCTGGTTCGTATCTTGATTGCTCTCAAGCCAGCCCGCTCTTTTGCTAAACCCCCATAGGCTCGATGTCGCGCAACATATGACCTTATGCCGGCACTACGTCCGTGAACTACGCAGGTCCGTCCTCGTAGGGACGCCGGATGCTGAGAAGGGCCCTGGTTCCAAACGATCTTCAGCTTATCTCGAGGGTCTCGGAGAGATGAGCCACCCTGCTGCCGGACCTTCTATGTATGCTACGGACAAGGAGAAGGACCAGGATGCGCAGATGTCGGCCTTCTTGCGTGACGAAGCATCATTCGTCGCCCACACCTCGCCACAGAGCAGCAACGACAGGAGCCACAGGCCGAGTCCTAATATGAGCACGCCACGGGACCTGACGACTGACTCTAATTCACCGGCACATACCGTTGCAAGACAAGATATTCGAGCCTCGGCCGAGAAGATTCTGTACACATTCTTGCTCCCGGGTGCTGAACGAGAGATCGTCCTGCCCGGATCCATCACGCAAGATGTGACTACCAACATCGAGGAGTATGGTCGCGATGACCCCGAGGTGTTTGATGTTGCCAAGGACTACGTATTCCAAGCCATGGAACGAGACGCTTTCCCCGGCTTTTTGCGGATGAAGGCTCTCGGTAACTTGATTCCACCTACGCTGATCATGCGACTTATCATCGGCATGATCTGCATGTTTGGAGGATTCTGGGCCGCTTTCGTCTTGATCTTCCTTGATAAGTCACGGCAAACCCGACTTTGGGTATGTAGCGGTCTTAAGACTTGGAAATTGCCGGCATTCTTGCTAACACCAGCTAGCTCATTCTCCCCTTCACACTCGGAGTGTACTTCTTGGCCTCATACCAGTATTCTCTGGACCCCATCCTCGCACTCATCGGCCTCAGCGAGTACACGCCATTCAACTTCTCCCGCATTCGCGAGCCGTATGTCCGGAAACTCCTCGCTAAGCGGGCCATCATGGTCCTAGCTGTCACCGCCATAATCGATGCTGGGCTGCTCGTTCTCTTCATCCTGGTTCCTGGGAAGAGGCTATGAGCTCACGCGCCCAGGAATCATTACCCGCAGAAGCAGGCTTCGTCTACTTATGGGCGCCAGTCTATCGGCGCCAAAGTCAACCTGGACGGATCCTGCTTTTGTTATTTTACGACTGTTATGAGGACGGAGTTGGGATCAAATTATTGTTCAGGATACCACAGTGCAAGGTGCACCCCTTAACCTTATTATCAAAATACATCTCGAGGGTTTTGCTCGAATATCTGGCGCCAAGTCCGAGGTTGTCGAGTGGCCAGAAAACAAGGGAACACCCGTATAATCTTTGCCATTTATGGTTTGTCTTTTTTTTTTTTTTACCTTTCTTCCAATCGGCGTGGACAGCCAATGCATCTTGTACCATACTTCTTTCTCTTCTTCTTTTCTCGGCCATTTCACCCTCCAAGCCGATCTAGTCTTATCTGGGCTGCGGGTTGATCTTTGTCCTTTCCACAAAACATCTCATCGGGATGAAAGCGGGATGTTCAGAGTAGCTTTATCATGAGGAATTCATATTATCATGGGTCAAACAAGTACCTCGTGCTTGACGTGATGTATGCGGTGATAGGTTCTAATCATGCAGGCCTTGGCCATCTTCTAATCTCGCTCTGGCTGTTGGCGATCTTATGCTTGTCTCCACAATGGAGGAGCTTGAGTCACAGCCCGCAGCTCCGCCGCCTGTGGCGACTCCTGCGGCTTTGCAAAGTGAAGGCTTCGTTGGTGCGTTCGCCTCTTGAGGGGGGCGAGGCTGATCTTACAGCTTGCGCCGGCTTGCTCTCTTCTTGCCATCGGTTCCGACATCCTCCTCGTCATCCACGTCCATCGCCTCGTCGTCTAGGGTACCCGCTCCGGTGGCATCCATCAGGCTGCTGCCACGCTTGCCAAAGCGTGAGTGCTGGTGATGCGACGAATTGTGAGACCCCGACACCAAGTGCCTCCTGCCGTGACCGCCACCGCCGCCGCCGCCACCTCCGCCACCACCCATACCGTCGTGACCGCCGGCCATGGCTTTCGTCTTCTCCTCCTCCACCAGGCGGTGCATCCGCTCGTCCCACGCGCGGCGCTCGGCAGCGCGCTGGGCGACGTCCTGGCGGATGGCGGCGACCTGGGCCTCGAGCTCGTCGAGCGTGGACTCGCAGCGGCCGGACCACTCGCGCAGGGCGGTCAGGAGCGAGGGCACGGAGCCCGGGGCCAGGTCGCGCAGGGGCGCGATGCTGGTGACCTGGACCTGCTGGCGGGCCGGGTCGAGCTTGGCCTGGACGAGGCCCGCGTACACGGCCGACACGACCGTGTCCTCGAGCTCCCGCGCGGAGGAGAGGCCGAGCTTCTGGATCAGGGAGGCGTAGGTCAGGGAGGCGTGGTCGCGGGCGTGGGTGAGGACGGAGAGCTGCCGGAGCTTGAGGGCCTGGGCCTCGTTGAGGGGCGGCAGGCCCTGCGCCGAGGCGTAGTCTGTGTACGTGCCGTAGCTGAAGATGCGGAGGAGGGCGAGGTGCGGGGCCAAGTCAGGTTGGGAGGAGAGGGCCTGGATCTGGGGCGCCTCGAGGAGCTCTGTGAAGAGGAAGGTGTTTGGGTGTGAGGTCGCTTGCCTGATGACATCTGCGGCGGCGCGGGGGGAGGTTGCTGCTTTGGACAGAGCTACGAATTGCTAGTAAGAAGAGGTGGGGAATGTTAGCCGGTGCTATCATGACTTGAGGAGAGATTCGCTGCCTGGGCTGCGGGCTCGTGGGCGGGCGGGAGAGATCGTACCTCAAGAGCATCGAGAGCCTTGACTTGCTCCATCGTGAGCGATCCGTTGCCCTGATCCTATCTGAGTACTCTGTATCCCCGCCTCTCTCCAAACAAATTGTGTAGGCGATATGGAGGCGTCGATATGGTCACGAAAGATGTGGTCGTGAGAGTGAGCTGCTGTGCTACAAATGAGGCGTGTGCCTGGGGCCAAGCTTTGGATCGACGTCAATCAGCGTGGCTTTGGCGGGGTTGGTTGAGGCTGTCAAGCTGAGGAAGTGGGGAGGTGTGGCTTGCGCGTGTGTCGATACATTTGATGCAGGCAAGTACTTGTAGTGCCCACGGTAGGGACCCAGGTACCCTTAGTGCCTTGACGACACTCGCTCAAGCAATTCCTATCGGAGACAGGGATATGAAAACCCCAAGTTCGCTAAACCAGTTGAGAGAGACTACGTACAAGGAGGAATTCAGTTGGCTGAGGGTGATATTCTTGCGACAGTAGGTATCAGATTGGTTTGAGACGTTTCGTTCGCTTGCATGGTGAAGCACAGGGGCCCGCACCAGGCAGAGCACGCTAGAAAGGCCGCTACGGGACCCCCCTAGACTGTTTCAACGGGAGCAACTTAGTACTGGACAAGGTGTCTGGTAGCCACGGCTCCTCTCACTGCGAGACCCACGTAAAGCCGTTTCGAAACAGGATATCGTGTGTGCGTAGGTAGGTATGTATCTGATTTGTAAGGCTCCTGAGGACTCTGGGACTCACAAGGGCTACTATCCCACTAGCTGATCCGATGGATCTGGCGGATAGTCAAATACGATTCTTTCTGTGGTCAAAGGCCTGTCTTGATCTGACCAGATCTGCACACACCAGAGCATCCCCGCTCCCCTAAGCGGCAGGTAGAGGAAGGCGTCGCCTAAGTTGTTGCGGCCCAGTTGACCTCGAATCCATTGCCGGCCCATGGAGGTAGTGCAGGCCCGAACAGGGGGGTTTCCAAAAGGCGCATATACAAGATAATCACGGGCCATCATGACTATTGGATGCACTATCCAGGCAATGCAGCGGCACGGAGATAGAGCCGTGTCGCCATCCAATAATGCTACGCTCGGTGTGGAGGGCTGCAAGTACATGCCCGAGCACTCCAACTCGCAGGGTGTTGCCGTTGCCGACTTTGCTCACAAAGGCCAGATTGCTGAACAATTTGTGCTTCAATCTTCCTTACGACTCAACCACCTATGTAGGTACCTCTAGATAGCCGCCAAGAAGGGCTGGGAGTGAAATAGTTATCCATACCCCCTGTGGCCGACACCTTTGCTAAGAAACTTGCTCAGAGAGGGTGTGCATTAATGCTCAGCGCAACTCTAGAGACCAAAATCTACATCCTCGCTCAAATCGGCTCTATTCATTACTTTCCAAGACATGCCTCGTGACGACCAACCATTCCCGCTGTCACATCCACGCGTCCAGCGCTGCCGTATGTGCCAGGGTCAAAATCGATTCATGTCTCTGGAGAATGGGGACGAATGGGTTGGTGGCCGGCGGTCTGAGCTCAAGAGTGCTCCTTTTAGTGTGAAACGCCACCAAAGTGCGTCTGTATGGGTACCGCCTCGCCTTATTCGCCTGCCTACATTGGCAGGTCACTCCATCCAATTCCTTCGTATCTCTGTCAGACGGCGGGGGCATCGACTCAAACGAAGTCACTGTCCCAGTGTCGCCTCGCGCCTGGCCCGCTCTGATGTGCAAAGGCCCCTGGTCTGTTGTATCCGCCGCTCAGCCAGCCATCCAAGCGCCCAGTCTCGGACCCTCCAGCAGGGAACTGCATGGTAAAACCCACCGCCGCTGGAGACTGTCTTCAGGTTGAGCGCATGGGGTGCATGGTTCGAGGTTCTTACGTAGGTACTTTATGGTGCAGACAAACGCCCTGCGATTTTGGCTTTTGTCCGGCTTGATACGGGGGTGAGGTATCGTCGCACCAGAAGGGCTTGCTGGGGTGCGACTCGGTAGCTGAATGATATTCCCTGAATGGGTAATCCCACGTCCTGAGTAGAAAGAACGTACTTCTGCCACCTTTCCCCCGTCCCGTGTCGTCCTCTTTATCTCTTGGCTTTCACTTTTCTCTCTCCAGCTGAAGGGAATCGTCGGCGGTAGCCCGGAGCGCCTCGTCTACCATTTCCCTATTAATCATCACCGCTCCCACTTTTTCCCTAGCCACCTCCCAGAAGCTGGTCTTCTAGTCGCCGAGCAATCCGACCTAAGATAACGCCAGTACGCTACGAGGCCTATATCGGCATCCCACAGCGCATGTCTGCTTGATGCGTATGGGTAGCACTTCTCTGGTGTAACTCGGCAAGACCTCTTCGCATTACGTGCGACAGCGAACACTGTGGCGTGGGTGCGTCGTTACTGGCGTGGACGGAAGATCGCGCTGAATTGATCCTGTCTGCCAGCATCAGTGTCAGCCGTCGCGATGGTCCCCAAACCACTTCAGGTCCCTCCGAGGGACAGCCATTCGCGGCGATCTCTCAGCAACCAGACGCCGCACATGGCCACGACGACCCTCAAGGTCGAGGGTATGACGTGAGTAGCTCTCCGCGCACTTCCGACCGATTCGCTCTGTCTGACGTGAGCGGTCCCGTGCTGACTGACCCTTCTTCAGGTGCGGCGCTTGTACCTCTGCTGTTGAAGCGGGCTTCAAAGGTGTCGACGGTGTCGGCAATGTCTCTGTCAGTCTTGTCATGGAGCGCGCGGTAGTGATGCACGACCCGAGCAGGATATCGGCCGAGAAAATACAGGAAATAATAGAAGACCGAGGGTTCGACGCCGACGTTCTCAACACCGACATGCCCTCGCCACGAATCCAGGCCGCCATGATGCCGTACGACGAGTACGCTGTGGACGACGACGAAAATGACGGCCCGCCGATGCTGGTGACTACGGTGGCTATCGAGGGAATGACCTGTGGTGCATGCACTTCGGCGGTCGAGGGCGCATTCAAAGGAGTAGCTGGGGTCAAGCACTTTAGCATTTCGCTGTTGTCAGAACGAGCCGTGATTGAGCACGACCCGGCGCTTCTAAGTGCCGAAAGGATCACGGAAGAGATTGAAGACAGAGGGTTCGGAGCGACGATTGTGGAAAGCAAGGAACAGAAGCCAGAGAGGAGGTCGACCGTAGAGCGACACCATAGCAGTTCGCTGCACGCGATAACAACCGTCGCGATTGAGGGCATGACCTGTGGCGCATGTACCTCGGCCGTTGAGGGCGGCTTCCAGGACATTGACGGCCTTCTACGGTTCAACATCAGCTTGTTGGCTGAGCGCGCCGTTATCACCCACGATCCAGCGAAACTCTCTTCCGAAAAGATCGCCGAGATCATCGAAGATAGGGGCTTCGGCGCAACCGTTATCTCGAGCGTTCCTGAGGCATCTGACCACGCCACGAACTCCTCGACCGTGCAGCTCAAGATCTACGGTGACCCGGATGCTGCAGCTGCCAAGGACCTGGAGGACAAGCTCTTGGCATTGCCCGGCATCAGTTCTGCCAAACTCAGTCTGGCAACATCTCGACTCACCATCAGCCACCAACCCCATGTCACTGGTCTTCGCGCCGTAGTTGAGACGGTCGAAGCCGCCGGCTACAACGCCTTAATGGCCGAGAATGATGACAATAATGCCCAGCTGGAGTCACTGGCCAAGACGCGAGAAATCAACGAGTGGAAGCGTGCGTTCCAGATCTCATTGGCATTCGCGATACCCGTCTTCTTCATCGGCATGATCTTCCCCATGTGCGTTCCAGCTTTGGATTTTGGCGGCCTACGTCTATTGCCCGGTCTTTACCTAGGCGACGTGATCTGCTTGATCCTGACGATCCCCGTCCAATTCGGGATCGGCAAGCGCTTCTATAGCTCGGCTTACAAGTCGGTCAAGCACGGCTCGCCAACCATGGACGTGCTCGTCGTCCTCGGCACTTCTTGCGTATTCTTCTTCAGCTGTGTCGCCATGCTTGTGTCGTTCCTCGTCGAACCTCACACTCGACCAAACACTATTTTTGACACCAGCACCATGCTCATCACCTTCATCACTCTCGGCCGCTTCCTGGAGAACCGCGCCAAGGGACAGACGTCGAAGGCCCTCTCGCGCCTCATGTCCCTGGCTCCTTCTATGGCTACCATCTACGCGGATCCGATCGCGGCAGAGAAAGCTGCCGAGGGCTGGGAGTCGGTTGCTGGCAGCGGGGAGCCCAAGACTCCAAGCCACAATGGCAACGCAGCCGAGGAGAAGGTCATTCCGACAGAACTCATCCAGGTCGGCGACATTGTCGTGCTTCGCCCTGGCGATAAGATTCCCGCCGACGGGATCATGGTCCGCGGAGAAACTTACGTGGATGAGAGCATGGTCACCGGTGAGGCCATGCCGGTGCAGAAGAAGAAAGGCAGCTTCCTGATCGGCGGTACCGTCAATGGTCATGGAAGAGTCGACTTCCGTGTCACCCGAGCAGGCCGCGATACTCAGCTCAGCCAGATCGTCAAATTGGTCCAGGACGCCCAGACGACCCGTGCTCCCATCCAACGGCTCGCTGACACCCTGGCTGGCTACTTTGTTCCTATGATCTTGATCCTCGGCTTCATCACCTTCGTGACGTGGATGATCTTGTCTCACGTCCTGCCGAATCCGCCCAAGATCTTCCTGATGGAAGCCAGCGGCGGCAAGGTCTTTGTGTGCTTCAAGCTTTGTATCTCGGTCATTGTCTTCGCCTGCCCTTGCGCTCTTGGCCTGGCCACGCCCACCGCCGTCATGGTCGGAACTGGCGTCGGCGCCGAGAGAGGTATTCTGGTCAAGGGTGGTGCGGCCCTCGAGACCGCCACGAAAGTGACATATGTCATTCTGGACAAGACCGGGACGATTACCTATGGCAAAATGAGTGTTGCTAGATCGAGGCTCGTGGCTTCCTGGCAGGAGAGTGAGCTCCGACGCAAGGTCTGGTGGACAGTCATTGGCATCGCCGAGATGGGCAGTGAGCATCCTATCGGACGCGCCATCCTGGCGGCAGCCAAGACCGAACTAGGACTGGAGCAAGAAGCCACCATCGAGGGCAGCGTCGGCGACTTCAAAGCTTCAGTTGGGCGCGGGATCAGCGCTACGGTGGAGCCCGCCACAGCTGAGCGAAAGCGGTACAAGGTACTCGTCGGCAATGTCAAGTTCCTCCGCGAGAACAACGTCGAGGTGCCCAAGGAGGCCGTCGAAGCCTCGGAGGAGATCAATGCTAGTGCCGCTGACCGGATCAAGAAGGCGTCCCCAAAGCCTTCGGCCGGCACCACCAACATCTTCATCGCCATCGACGGCGAATATACCGGCCATCTGTGCCTTTCTGACACTATCAAGGAAGGCGCTGCGGCTGCCATCTCGGTCCTCCACCGCATGGGTGTCAAGACTGCCATGGTCACAGGTGACCAGCGCTCCACTGCCGAGGCAGTTGCCTCGGCCGTTGGCATCGATACCACCAACGTCGAGGCCGGCGTCTCGCCTGACCAGAAGCAGTCCATCATTCGCAGGCTCCAAGAACAGGGAGAGGTCGTTGCCATGGTTGGCGACGGCATCAATGACTCGCCTGCCCTGGCCACGGCCGACGTTGGTATTGCCATGTCTTCCGGTACCGATGTGGCCATGGAAGCTGCCGACGTCGTCCTCATGCGGCCCAACGACCTCATGGATATCCCTGCTGCGCTGCACCTAGCCCGGACCATCTTTGGTAGAATCAAGTTGAACCTGGCGTGGGCTTGTGCCTACAATGCCATCGGTCTCCCCTTTGCAATGGGTATCTTCCTACCCTTGGGCTTCCACCTACATCCCATGGCTGCAGGTGCGGCGATGGCTTGCTCCAGCGTTAGTGTCGTGGTTAGCAGTCTGCTGCTCAAGTTCTGGAAGAGGCCGTCCTACATGGACGAGTCGCTCTACGACGAATGGGGACATCTGAAGAGGAAGAGCCGCGGCTGGAGCGCGCGGGAGATTGTGGATAGGGCCCACGAGGGCGCCACGGGTGTCGTGAACATGGTCACTGGGAGGAAGTGGAAGAAGCAGGAGGCTGAAGGATATGTGCCCCTGGCAACCTTGGACAGGGATGACTGAACTGAGCCTCGGGTGGAAGAAATGTCGTCTGCGCCGTCTTGATTTCGTTTGTGCGAACCATTGAGAGATATCCCCTTTGCAGTCATTACCTTAGCACAGCACAGCATAGCACGGGCGCAATGGCGCTTTCTCGCCTAAATGAGACGTCTTTAGACATCTATATTTGATTCCCTCTAGTGTCCACAACAAGCATATGTGGCCATAGAAATGATGCCCGGTTGCTTGATCCAAAGGTGCCGTGGTTACCTGGGATCTGGAACGGTCCGATGAATAATTGCTCATTGAGATCACCTTTGGAACATAGGCATTTGATCTACGGAGTCCACGGTCGAGCCATTCTACAATAAACATCAGCACATGCAAAAAAAAGACACTTTCAAGACCGAGAAAAACAAGGGTAATAGTTACCTACATTATATATATGATGGATCAAGATTGGCTGCATCCAGGTGAAAAGGTAGGTAGCCACTGTAGCTTTAGCTTTCCTTCGGACGCATCACAGTGGAGCTCTGGTGCTGGGCTAGGCTCATGACGTCGCCTAATGTTAGCACGTGGGGCTGTCTTCAGTTCTGTGCCGAACCATCAATGACCCCATCCTTTCCATCCTTGGACATCTCCAACGAACCACCATCGCAACTGAAAGTCAGCTGGCGTTCCATCCCGAAGAGCTGTCGCCGGCCTAGCCACGTACCGAAGACCGCACCTCTGCCTTCCGACAACACCCCGCCCGTTTGTCCCCTCTGTCCCCTCGAGAATTATACAAAGAGGCAGATGCTGTTGACCAGAAGCATCATGTCAAACAGTGGCTCGACTCTATAGCTCTCGCACGACTCAAACACGACAATCAGACTTCAATTGATCAGCCAACATGTCTGGAAAACGCGGCCCCTCGGTCCTAGTATGTTCCCCGTTGCTGGCCCCTCTGCGATATATCTATGTGAGTACCATTATACTAATCCTACTGGCCATCAAGGTCACCGATTCTCGCGAACGCCCTGCCGCACGGGCCGGACTTCAGCGCCGTGACACTGGCGGCGGACTTCCGAGCCGCCCATCCACCCGTCTCATTTCTGTCGATAATGTCCTCCAATACGCCTCTGAGATCCCGTCGGGCCAGCCGCGCGTCCCGCCCGGTGGCGCTCGGCCCGCTGCAGGAACTGCCGCCGCAGCCCGGAGTGCGCCGAGGCGGACGGCGACGAGCGGTGGAGGCCTTCCCACGCTTGCGTCCGCCCGCACGGGACAGCAGAACATGCCGAGCCGTACGACCAAGATCAGCGAGAAACTGGTCTTGCTGCCCGAAACGGCCGCTGAGCAGGCGGCGGAGGACGACGACATCGACCCGGACGAGGTCGCCACGCTGGAGGAGATGCAACAGCGAAAGGACGACGAGGATGACAGGCGCCCGCTGAAGGACGAGGAGCTCGACGTCCTGCGCAAGAGGGGCGGCATACGGGGCAAGAGCTGGGCCGAGCGCCTACCCAAGGTCCAGCGCCGCGAGAAGGTGGCCCGATTGACAGCGTACTGCACGGCGCAGGCCATCAAGATGAAGTCGACAGCCGAGTTTCTGCGCAAGAAGCACGAGGCGAAAACCAAACTCTACGACGATTGTCTCTATTGCGTGTATCATCTTCCGCTGCTGCAAGGTGTGGACGGATACCGAGTGCGCAGTCGGCCGATACTCAAGACGCCAGGCACCGGCAAGACTGTCCTCGATCTCGAGATTGAGCGTAGCGAGCGGCGCGATGAACATATGGGCTATTTCGATGAAGCAGAGTACGGGTACAGAGGACTTGGTGGCAGCCCGAATCACTCTGCCCCCATCGAGCGGATTCGTCAGAACGGAACGGACGAACATGGTCATGATACCGGCCACTCTGACCATCACGACGAGCCCTCGCTGAGCCCTATAAATCGGCTTGTCCCTGACGTGAAGAACTTTGCCGAGATGTTCGTCTTCTCGTATGGTGTTGTTGTCTTCTGGAACTTCTCAGAGCACCAGGAGAAGGATATTCTGGCCGATTTGACGTTCTCGGAGAACGAGACGGGCGTATCTTTGGTCACCCGTCCGCTTGATGAGAGCGATTTTGAGACGGAAGAGTTCCATTTCGACTACAGCCCAAATGTGAAGCGCCCTCGCGTCTTCAACGACATGATCACTCTCCTGCCGCGGTCAGATCACATGGTCAAACTCACAATCAGCCACGCCATCGCGCAGAGTACTAAGCTGTGCTTTTTCGAGGAGAAGATGTCGGAAACGATGCTGGGCGCTCAGCATGTGCCGAAGCGACTTGCGCTGACAGGCGAGCTCAACATGACGAGGACAGAGATCGTCAAGATACTAGGACGGCTCTTCAAGAGCAGAGTGGATATCAACCTCTGTAAGTGGCTTTATTCTCACACTGATCCCTACCAGCCCAGCCGTCTTTCTTTTCCTTTGCTGACAGACCAAGCATCCAATATCCTCGACGTGCCCAACTTCTTCTGGGACTCGGAGCCGACGCTCCACCCTCTCTACGTGGCCATCCGCGAGTACCTCGAGATCGACCCGCGCATCAAGGTGCTCAACGAGCGCTGCCGCGTCTTCCTAGACCTGGCCGAGATATTGTCCGACTCGGTCGCCGACGCCAAGATGAGCGCCATAACGTGGATCATCATCGTGCTCATCGTGGTGAGCATCCTCGTTACCGTCACCGAGGTGACGCTGCGGTTCGCCATCCTGGAGAGGGAGAAGAACAAGGGCAACAATGTTGGTGTCGGCGCGCACATTGAAGGCGGGGAGCAGATGGGGTTGGAGCTGCGGAGCCCGCAGGGCCAGGCAGTCGACTTTGCGAGATACAATGTCTCGCTGGACGATCTGCGGGCGTGGGGAAGGGGCTTGACCGAGGAGCAGAAGGCGGCGATTTGCGGTTCTGACATTGTTGGAACCACATATGCGGGCATCTAAGGCGTGGGAAGGGCTGTCTCATTGCGCAACAATCAAATTGCATAGCGCTGGCGTTGGCATTGGCAAAACTGTACCTATTATCCATTATATTTACTCACGTACAAAATGTCACCATATACTGTTTCTGAAGGGCACATCACTACCGTGAGGAAGAATTTTGTGTGTAAATAGTCAGACCTGAACGCCTTGTGTTTACGAACCGCCAACTCCGCCTCTCTCCAAATCAGTCGCTCTCGCTCGTCGTTTTGAAACACAACACTCGCCTCGCCTATCTACATCTGCAACAACCTCAACGTATATGCCCATTCTCTGAAGTGACCCCTTCCGCTCTTTGATTCATCTCCGCGCGCCCCCATTGGTCCTACCCGTGTCACCCATACCTCATCGGCTCATTCGGTCCTGGTGACTGCCCATGTGGCGGCGGCGGCCCCCCGCCCCATCCCGGCGGAGGGCCCTGGCCGTACTGACCCGGCGGCGGCCCCTGTTGTTGTTGCAACGGTACTCCTCCTCCGCCTCCTCCGCCTCGCATCGCCTGCACGTCCTGCCTGTGGTCGAGGGGCTGCGCAAAGTTGCAGACGTGGCAGGTCACGTCTTCGTAGCCGTGGATGGAGAGCGGGATGACGGGCTACAGAACATATGTGGTGTGAGAGCCAATCGCGAGCGCAGCGCAGCGCGCGGGTCGGTGAGGGAGGGGGTTTTCTTACGATGAAGCAAAAGGTGAACCACGGGTGGCTCTTGATGACGTGGCCGCTGTAGTTTCCGCAGTTGTAGCACCGGCAGACGATGCCCTCGTAGCCCTCGACCTCCTTGCGGAAGGTGTGCTCGCCGCACGTGAAGATGAAGCACATCCTGGTACGCGGCCTACACAGGTACGAGCTCGTGCAAAACGCAGGGAACGGTAGGCGCGGTTATGCTGGTTGGCGGCTCGAGGCTGCAAGATACTCGGTATCAATGTCGGAGGTCGGGGAGTCTACACTGTCTCGAGGTCTGCCTGGAAATGGGAGAAAGCTCTTGGGATATGTAGTTGGAATTCGCGATCAAGTGGTGAGGCCAGGATGATTTAGTCGGGAATACAGGCTATTGGATAAGAACTAGGGATGTTTTGCTATTTGCCGCGAAGGTTCGTGGTGGTGGTGTGCTTATGACTTTGGACAGCCAGCCCGATAGGCAATCCGACCATGATGCGACTGATGTCACTTGGCAAAGAGGCGCAGTCCATCAACTTTTAGCGCAAACGGCGTCCAGTAATTACGCGGCCAGTGCTGAAGACAGGGCGCCGACCACTAAGACTCGATGCCCCAACACCCCCCATAACCTAAAAAAGGGAACGCGTACGGGATCCATGGATGCGGGTGGGCTCTGGAACCTTTCCAACCTTTCCCCACCACTTGTTAGAGATCTCTTGCGTGATAAGATACGGAAGCCTTTTTTTTCTGGATAGCATAGCTGCACGTCAGAACTCTAAGTCCATGACCCTATTCGAGATATCCACGCATAGATGACCTCGTCGACATCTCGCCTTATATGACATGAAGCTGTAACTGAGGGCTGAGCCTGCCACGAAGAGAGGGATATATCTCTTCTCCATAACCTGACCCTTGCACTTCCCTAAAGAAAAAGGACACCACGATGCTCTACGACCTCAACATCGCGTGGACGCCGTCCACGCCGGCCGCCGACCTCGAGCGCACGCTCAAGACGAGCCTCGCCTTGGGCTACTCGGTCGTCGCCCTCAACTACCACCTCCAGCCCCCGATCTCCGCAGCCCAGAGCACGACCTGCGCCATCCCAGACCCGTCCACCCTGCCCTTCGCCCAGTCTCTCATCGCGGCCCCGTCCACCACCTCCTCCTCCTCCTCCTCATCATCATCATCAAGAACCAACGCCGCCGGCGCCGCCACGGCAAACGGCAAGCTGCGCGCCGTCCTGCGCCGCGTCACCGTCTCGACCGCCGACAAGGCCGCCAACTACCGGCTGCCCACGCTGGCCGCGGCCTACGACGTGCTCGCCCTGCGCCCGACGACCGAGGACGCCTTCAACGCCGCCTGCACGGGCACCGGCGCCGCCGCCGACGCCGTCAGCCTCATCTCGCTCGACCTCGCCGCCCACCTCGGCTTCCACTTCCGGCCCAAGCCGTGCATGGCCGCCGTCGCCCGCGGCGTGCGCTTCGAGGTCTGCTACGCGCAGGGGGTCGGCGCGAGCGGCGCCGCCGACCCGCGCGCGCGGTCCCTCTTCATCGGCCACCTGGCCGGGCTCGTGCGGGCGACGAGGGGCCGCGGCATCGTCGTGAGCAGCGAGGCCAGGAGCGCGCTCGACCTGCGGGCCCCCGCGGACGTGGTCAACCTCTTGGCCGTGTGGGGTCTCGGCCCGGAGAGGGGCGCCGAGGCGCTGGGCGTGAACCCGCGCGCCGTGGTCATGAACGAAGGGCTGAAGAGGAGCGGGTTCAGGGGCGTCGTGGACGTTGTTCAGAGCGCTGTTGCGCCGCCTGGGCAGAATATGAAGGCGGCGGCTGCTGATGGCCGCGAGAACAAGAAGGAGGAGGGAGGGAGAGAAAAGGCTGCGAACGGCGAGACGAAAAGTGCCCAGCAGAATGGTGGGAAGCAGGGAACGAAACGCAAAGTCGTGGAAGATGGAGCGGATGGGACCGATGCAAACGGTGACGCCAAGCCGTTGAGCAAGCGTCAGGCAAAGAAGCTCCGACGGGCCCAGCAGCAGCAACAGCAGCAGAACAACACTATAGAGAAGAAAGTCGCATCATAAAAGACGTGGCTAGCAACGGTTTGACGTCAACAGGGCTTTGAGGATTTGCATTGGACCGGCGTTCAGGGGATAGGCAGCTGCATGATACCCCAGCGTTCATAGAGGCAGGACTATGTAACAATTGGCAATGGGAACTTGGCTTGATCTGTTCAATGCAGAGACTTGCTCTCTTGATATGTTGATTTTCATTTTGGTTTTTACTGGATTTGGTCTGTCTAACAGAAAAAGAGAATTACATACAGCTCGAGAACGAATCTACCCGACGAAAGAAACTTGTCACATAGATCAAAAAAGAAAAAGGAAAGGAAAGACGATACGTCTACATCCACTCGTTATACAACCGTCACCCCCCTCCTTTGGGTATTCGTCTACAACATCCACTCGTTTTTTGTGAAACCTCAACCACGCGCGGGCTGGATGGTCTGTGCCAAAAGGTTGCCCAGCGTCAAGACGCTGTTGAGGGACAGACCGCTCACGTTGATGACGGGCTGCGCCTGGGCGGGGTTGGCAACGACCGGAGCCGCGGTGACCGCCGGAGGGGCGTTGATGGCACCGGACTCAGCGGCCGGGACTGCCGCGGCCGGTTGCGTCGCGGCAACGCCGCCGAGGTTGACGGAGCTCGCGAGGTTACTTGCCGAGGTGCCGGGAAGGGGTGCGAGTTTCGGTGCAGCCGAGGTAGCTAGATTCTCTGCATTAGCAACGCATGCTCCACAAGTGACTAGTGAGAGCTCAAAAAACAATAGGTAAACTTACGAGTTGCAGCTGCAGACGTAGCGGGCACTGCCGGTGCCGCGGCGGCAGAGCTCGAGAGGGCGGGGAGGGCGGCGACGGGGCTTGAGGCGGACGAGGCTCCTGGCAGGGGAGCCAGGGAAACAGAAGAAGCAGCGCCGGCTGGGGGAGCGCGCAGGGCAGAGCTTGCGGCAGCAGACGATGCCGCCTTGGACGTGGGAGCAGCGCCCTGGACCGTCTTGGTCGGGGTCCGAGCCGCGCTCGGCACGGGCACAGTCGTCACCCCGACGCCGTTTCCGTCAGCGTTCGGCTTGACCGTCCCCGCGGGGCTCTTTGCGCCACCGGCGGCGGCCGAAGTGGTGGCCCCGCGGGCCGCCGAGGAGACTGCACCGGCCGCCGACGAAGACTGGGCGGCGCCGCCAGCCACAGCGGTGTCGGACTTGACGGAGGAAAGAGACTGCGCGGCGGTCGAAGCCCCGGGCGCAAGCGTCACGGTCTGGGGAGCAGCGGCCTTGGTAACCGTGACCGTCTGGTTCGTGCCGACAGCACCGGCAGCACCGCCGACGGTGACAGTCTCCTTCGCGGTCTGAGTCACGGTCTGGCGGTTGTTCCCATTTCGGTTCCTGCCATTGCCGTTGCCGTTGCCGTTGCCATTCCTGTTCCTGCCGTTTCCATTGCCGTTTCCGTTCCTGTTATTGCCATTGCCGTTGCCGTTTCCGCCTCGATTGCCGCCGCGGCCGTTGCCATTGCCGTTCTGATTCTGCCCGCCCCGGTTCCCACCGCGATTCCCGGCCTGTCCTCCCCGGTTGCCTGCAGTCGCATTTCCACGTCCACCGCCTTGCCTGAATTGGCCTCCCTGTTGACCTCCTTGCTGACCTCCCTGCTGGCCTCTCTGGCCGGCCAGGGCGTTTTCCAGAGCGTTTTCCAAGCCAATTGCCTTGAGAATTTCCGACGCGAGATCTCGCCTTGCCGCTGCTCCTCCGCGGCGATCGATCGCTGCAGCCTACGATTGCCGTCAGTATTGTCCGCTCCTTGCCTGCTTTGAGGCCATCCACCACCACAAGTCTTACCTGAGACAGCGACAGGTATGCCACCACGAGCAGTAGCCACTTGACGTATCCCCTCATCCTGGATTCGTTTCGCACTTCACACGAGTACTATTAGAGATATCGATGTTGATAGGGAAGGACTGTCACAACAGGCCAGCCGTCGCTTTTGGATACAAGTTGTATTATGGGATCAACCCGGAAAATGAAGGAACGATAGGGCGGTCCGCAGGAGAAGAAGCCGTGCGTGCTTTCCAAAGAACCTGCGACGGGTTGGAAGAGAGGGCTTGAGCACACGCAGAACTACTCTCACGAACCACTTTACGACCAAGCGTGGAGAAATGAAATGAAGGTAAGGACCAGACGGACTCTGAAAGCCTTAGGGTGAAGCCATCGAGACTGAAAGAGACCGGCCGAGAGAACGAAGGACCTGAACAACAGCACTCGGGGAAACAAACTAGGAAGAAAAGGATCGCTCAGCAAAGACGAGGCCAGAAGAAGGAGGGGACAAGACGACGATGGAAGGATGGAAGACAAGGGGAGATGCCCACCTGGGGACCACACGTCTCTCTCTGGCCAGACCAGCCGTTGGACTCGGGCCCGTACGTTTCGCAAAGAGCCGGGTCCCAAGGCATGGGCTTACCAAATCTGGACTGGCCAGCGAGTCTTCCAAGAACTCCGTAACACTGAATTACCTAAACGTCCTGGTCCAGAGCACGAGCCATGGAGCTGCACATGGTTCATGGCTTGTTACAGCGGAGGGCAGGGATGGATGGATGACTGACAGCTCGAGGCCCCACGGCGGGCACCGTCGTCGTCGTCGCCATTGGAGTAACAAGGTACGTACGTAGACTAACTACCTACTACTTGGTAGGAACTCCGTAACTACATGTAAGTCATTTGAGCCGCAGACCAGGGGCCGCCGAGGCTGGCCCTTGAGACGGTCGAGGTTGAGTGTAAGCGAGGGCGAGGGCAGAAAGAACAGAGCAGGGCTAGACAATGGCGGCGCTATTGACTCGAAGGAGACGTGGGCAGGGGGTAGCTCGCGTGGGTTTGTGAGGTTATGAGACAGGACCCCTGACAGCTGGTGTATCAGGTTGGCCACTAGCAAGAACTGGGGCAACCCCCTGGCAGCCCAGCAGCACTTCAGCACTCTACTTGTAAGTAAAAAAGTACTAGCCCAAGCCTGCCGGTGAGACAGCACTCCAACGGCGAGAGCAGAGGAGTGGCCTGATGACGGGATGACAAGACTAGGGCCCGTCAATGCATTGCCTTGGACACCAAGTATCTTGTTTGAGCTGGCGCCCAAGCAAAAGGCTGGACTTGATTTCACAGCGACACCCACGAGTGCTGAGAGGCAACATCCAGTACTTTTGAGAGGACTTATGAGGAGAGGATTGTACTCGGAAAGTAGACACTCCAGCGCAGTTGCGATCCCAGACAATCAAATGGACAAGTATGAACGGGGTGCTGGGCCAATCGCGACGTGATCGTGATCGCGACGGCCCCGAGTGGGAGCAGGGGTGGCCATGAGACCAGTTACAAATCCCAGGACGCGCAATATGAGCAGGAGCTGTGACAATGGGTTCAGTCTTCAGGTGCGTGTTGGAGCATGCGCCGTTGCAGCTATCCAGGGGCGATTATTGGGAAGACTGTGGACGTGTGCACTTTTGACGCTGTCGTGCGTGGGCTTGATAGACAGATGAGACATAGCTTCTAGTTATCTAGTTATTGTGTGGTACGAGTAGTGTCATCAACTCTAGAGTAAGTAATGTTTGCAAGCATGTCTTGTAAAGGGTAAGTAGAATGCGAGTGCGAGTGCGAAACATCAGTACAGTTGAGTTGGGGAAACGCATAGTCCGAGACGGGGGTGACACCTTTGATCAGTCCGAACCCCAAATCGCCCAGAGCTGAGATCTGCGCCCGCTGAAGCCGGCACTGCCGCCTTCCTGGCGATCGGGATTTTAGGCTGGTTTCCCAACTTTAGACCACCCGCCAAGCACGACTCACGCTGGGGCTTCCCGATCATGACGCCGTCGATTACATGCCACGATCTCGGACCCGGCGCCCCAACGTCGGCATCACCAACGGGGCTGGTCCCTTTGAATTCACTCCAGAACTGCTGAAGAAAATAAAAGTAGATAATCATAAACCTTTAATCACTCCTTACTACGTTTCCATCAAGCCGGTTTAATTTCTGCTGGACAGCAGCTTCAAGCTCTCTGGCCGAGCCTCGTGTAGATTCATATTGCTGAGAGCCTTGAGACCAACACCAGCCATATCTACTCTCATCTCTCAACGCCAAGAATCATACCCTCTGAAGAACAGGCCTTTCTTCACACCTCGCCCAGCATGGCCCGCGACCCGGTCCGCGTGCTGGACGACTACTACCTGGCCATCACCCTCCTCGTCACCGTCGGCTACCAGCTCGCCTTCTTCGCCGTCGCCTTCGCCCTCAAGTTCGACAAGCTGACCGACTTCGCGGGCGGCACCAACTTCGCGCTGCTCGCCGCCCTCACGCTCGCCCTCTCGCGCCGCCCGGACACCCGCCAGCTCGTCGCCTCGCTGCTGCTGGCCGCCTGGGCCCTGCGCCTCGCGGGCTTCCTGCTCTTCCGCGTCCTGCGCACGGGCAGCGACGCGCGCTTCGACGGCAAGCGCGACAGGTTCCTCCCCTTCCTCGGCTTCTGGGTCTTCCAGATGCTCTGGGTCTGGGCCGTGTCCCTGCCCGTCACCGTGCTCAACTCGCCCGCCGTGCAGGCCTCGGGCTACGTCCAGCGCGGCTTCGGCACGCCCTGCGACGTCGCCGGGGTCGTCATGTTCGGCGTCGGCTTCCTCGTCGAGTCGGTCAGCGACCTCCAGCGCTTCCTCTGGCGGGAGAAGCACGGCGGCGGCGGCGGCGCGTTCTGCAGCTCTGGGCTCTTCGCGCTGAGCAGGCATCCCAACTACTTTGGAGAAATCCTCCTCCAGTTCGGTATGTGTCTCTTATTACCGAAATAGGAGAGGCCGCTTCGACAATTGTCAGTTTGCAGTGCAGCTAACTCTGTCTGTCACGCCTAGGCATTTTCACCATTGCCGTGTCGCCGGCGGCATGCGGCTACATCGGCGGACAGCCGTTCAAGGCTCTCTACGCGACTATTCTGGGGCCGTGCTTCCTGACCTGCCTCCTCATGTTTGTCTCTGGCCTCCCGCTCTCGGAGCGGTCGGGCGCAAAGAAGCGCTACGAGAAGGGGGGTGAGACGTGGGCAAACTATCAGCGATACCTGGAGCGCACCAGCGTCCTCATCCCTTTTCCGCCGCAACTCTACGCCCACCTACCGACATTCATCAAGAGGACCGTGTTTCTCGAGTTTCCCATGTACGTCTTCGACCCGGCCAAGCATGCCGACGCGGGACAGGGCCAGGCAGCGGCAGAGGAGGGCAATCACCAGGGCGGCGACAGGCAGAGCAGAGAAGGACTGGTAGGGAAACAGCAGCAGGAAAGGCGATCGTGAAAGACAATATTGCCTCGTTGTGTAATGAATGATGATAATGGTATTTTAATCCAGTTGCAGATACAATCCCGATTCCCAACTCCCCCAACTAATGTTGCCTCGTTCAACCCCAACACCATGCAGCCCGCCCAAGATAACTCAAGACGACGTAGAAAGGTTACTTAACTCGCACATGCCAACGACGGGCTTCGTCTCTTGGCCCTCGTCGCTGCCTACCGACCTTGACAGGCCTGTGCAAGTGAGGCCGCTTGGCTGATCGAGCAACTCTTGCGTCTTGCCATAGTCGGTAAACTCGGACTCCTCAGAATGGCATTCGCTGCCCTCGGGAATGGGGACCATGGCATTGCTGGTCCAGATATGGATTGCCTTTTTCCAGTCGAGGCCCTTTTCAATGCAGCCACCCTTCACAGAGACAACGTTCTTTGACTGTTTGATGAGGGGCATATGATGTCAGGTGTCCAAGGTTGTTGAATCGAGCAAGCCAACGACACACGTATGGGGAGAGGGCAAGCGACGTACCGGTGAACAATGGAGTAGCCGTGTTCCGCATACTTTACAAAAATAGCTATGTATGGAAAGGCATTGCATTAGTCAATGGTAACACCACTGCATCGAATCCGAATCCCGAGTCTTTCTCCGGGTGCAATGCGCGACTTACCATTGCAGCTGTTGGCCATTTGCAGTTGGCCGGCTTATAATGCGCGGTCCCCCGTCAGCAGGTGGTCCCGATTCCCGGTCACAACTCAGGTAAACAGGGCTGGTTCCGATGCAATACTCACACGTAGCAACTCAATAGCTCATCGCGAGGCAGGGGGAAGCGTGGGAAGATGGCGCTCGTTCCGAAGGCAGAGCCGGTCTGGCGCTGGCACGCAGAGCAGTGACAGATGTAGAGCGCCAGCGGCTGCGCCAACGGCGTCGTGAAGCGGACGGATCCGCACTCGCAAGATGCCTCCATCTCGTTTTCTTGGACTGGGCCGGGGTTTGCACGACGGACGGTGGTCTCTTTTCCAAGTATCAGCCTGAGGCCGAAGTTTGTGGTAAACTGGGCTGGTGTGATGTGGTGTTTCTTCTGCGTCAGCGGCGGAAGGGCGCGCGCCCTTGGGATGCAGTTGGACGAAATGGCTGAGGGACCAATTGAATCGGGACCGAGTATAAAGCGTCAGAAAGTCACAACGTCAATTGCCAGAATCGAAAGTAAGTCAGGGTCCCGGCTGGTTTTCGGTACCAGGTGGCATTCGGTTTTCAAGCTGCAGATTCTTTGTCTGTATGGAAGAGAGATTGACGAGTGGCAATGATCCAGGGGTTTGAATGGAAGAGCCACGTTAAACGCGTGCTGTTCTGAGGGGTGTGGCCTTGAAGCACATTGAGTCACCCATGTCTTGACACGTAGAATCGCGAAGTCACATGTGTATACGGAGTAACTACTACTGTATGCTTGTGAGGGGCTCAGGGAACCAGGTAGTCTCTGGAAAACGTCATTTCTACGAATCGAGCCCCCCGGAATAGGCATTAGGTTTGTCGTGCCGGCAAATGCAAGAGGACCCGAGATGGATGGAGGTGGTGCTGTAGGCAGCAGCGGCAGACTAGCTGCCCAAGTGCGGGGGTCATTTACGTCCAGTCCCCGCGACGGGGGGGAATACGCCGAGCTGACTCGACTCTGTTCGAGAATGAATCAACGTACGTATCAGGGGGATATATTCGAGACATCGAGTTCAGCTTCAATGGTCTCGTCACTGAATACTGGATACTGGATAAGGATAGAGATGAGAACGGGTCTCATAGGTTCATCATTTCTACTATATACCACATTCACACATATAATCTATCTATATGGGTTATTTATTTCACACAAGGCCATACCCGTTTGGAACTCTTTCATACTCATGGCTGTTGTCCAAACAAGCCGTCTCCAGCTTCTTGGCCGCCCCAATGATGGGCAAGTCCACTAACCGCCAGAAGATGTCGGCCACCCAAACAACCATGGGCGTCAGGACGAGCAGCCCAGCCAGCCAACAAACCATCCGCTGGTTCGGCCCATCGATCCCGATCATTCCCCTCAGGCCCTGGCCGAGGATCTCGGGCCGGTAACCCTCGTTCCCAAGCTCGCCCTGCGCCGGCGTGGCAGCGCTGCCGAGCACGGATAGCTGGAACAAGTCCAGCACCGGCCCGTGAACAATATAGAATGCATAACTCGTGCGGCCGAGGTACTGCGGCACACTCCCCTCCAGAAGCTTGCGGACGACCGGCAAGTCGCCGCACGACCAGACCACCGCAATGGCGCTGAGCGCGAACCAGAACTTTTGCGGCGCCAGGAAGTCCCTCTCGGGAGAAAAGGAATGGGGCGTGTGCTGGAGCAGGTACCGGATGCCCGGCGTGTTCTCTCCCTGCCAGTTGGGCCATCCGCCGATGAAGGCGGCCGCCGAGAAGATGCACACATGAAGCAGGCACCGTATGCCTCGAGCCACCCTCCCCTGCTTCTCCGGCGGCTCCTCGAAGCCCTCCAGGCTCTTCCTGTTCTTCTGCTTTCGCAGGTGGAACTCGGCGAGAAGCATGCCGCCGACAAACTCAAAGGCGGCCCATTTGCCCGACCAGAGGAAGTAGAGCAGGAGGCCGAAGACGGTCGACTGCCGAATGACTGGTCTAAGCCTGCACAGCGCAATGATGACCATGAAGAGAAGCATCGAGTGGACAAACTCGATGGGTATAGTCCACAGGTGAACATCGTAGCGCGGCCGCAAGTCGTCATCCCAAGCCCATGGCCAGGTGATGCCGCGCAGCACAACCTGGAACCAGTCGCGCATCTGCTCCGATACTGTGGGCAGCGGCTGATATAGCCATTTCAACTGCACCATGACTGCTATCAGGAATGTCGAGACAAGGCAAGGCCCGAAGAGCCGAATCGGCCGTCGGAACGCCGATGAGGAAACCGTCGTAAAGCACTTGTCCACGTCGCGTGACAGGACCGCCTGGAGTGGTCGGTAAGACAGGGCGAAACCCGAAATGATAAAGAATATGTGCACCATGGGCCTGCCGGAGTATACAAGTCGAAGAAAAGGGAGTTGTATCAACGAGGATCTTTCGGGTTCGGGATTGAGTCCATAGGAGGGAGTAAAGTAGAAATGGTTCTGCTCTGTATAGTGACATATGAAGACGACGAATGAAGCGATTCCTCGCAGGCCGTCAAGATAGGAAGTTGGATGGACTTTCCACCTCGTCCGCCTGTCGGGCCAAGCGAGGTCCGTAATGAAGCTGGGAAGCAACGCGGACAGCGTGCTGCCCACATGTTGCGAGATCATGGCTGAGAGTGTTGGTGACTACCACGGAAAGGCAGTTTTACGAGATCACAAGAAACATACAAGCAAAATGCGAATATGGCCATGCTAAATGGTATTTAAAGGGCACTTTGTCTACGGGATCATCCTCACATTGGAATAAGTGGGATTGACGACCAGGATCACGTCCACTATGGGATGGGATGCGATGCTTGATGGCTCTCCAGGGGGGCTCCTTACTTACCTGCATGTGCATATCCATGTGAACCGATCCATCTTGTTCGGCTGCTGGCTTAAGCTACGCCTGCAGTCCTTCTTCGAGTCAATCATCTGTAACCAGCCCCGTAACAATATCGCCAAGTGGTATGCTTGCAAACAAGACTGTGGAGTAGTAGCATTGCGGCAATCAAGGGCCTGCACAAGATGGCCGGCCCATGGTCACATACGCGGGAGTTGTGATAAGCTATTTTTGGGCCACGGCACTCGAGTCCTTGCCCTTGTCCTGGCCTAGATCTCGACCGCTCAAAGACTCGAGAGAACTCATTCAAGCAACGGACCGTGGCAGCTGCACCGGGGCCGGGCAGTGGATCCCCCGGCCCGCTTTCTTGGCACACTTCAGGGGGCCCATGCAACCGCCGATTCGATGGTGATCGTTTGGCAGAGTTGGCAGAGTTGGATGGTTGGTCAAGCTTGCAACTCTACACCTCCCCGGTCACCGCCGGCAAGATACAGGATCGCCAAGACCCGACAATTCGAGAATCATCATGTCGCACCTGCAGGGGAATGGCGCCCGCGTCGAGGCCAGCCCCCGTCGCAGAAACGGCGTTTGCAAACACGGCATCCCGCAGCGACTGCTGATCGGAGGGTGGGGATGTTTGATGCCGCAACACGTTCTGTGTCAGGCCGCGTCGGGACGAACCCCGCTGGTAGGACGACAACACGTCATCTTTGTTTGATGCTGGCAAGGCGACTTGAAGTCATGACCGATTACTAAAACTTACGGCCTGGCTTTCTGTGAACGCGGTTGAGCCTGATTTGGAAATGTCAATCTGCGCATGCCAATGTATGCCTTATCAAAAGTATACATCGATGAAAGTGACGCAGTAACGTAGATTAAGAGCCATTTGATGATTGGTTTCCTTCCACAATTCGCTTGGTCAGATATGTCTGGGGTGGATGATAAACAGTCGAGGGTTTGACTTAAGTGGCGAGGCTGTTGCAGGGCATAAAAGCCCAAGGGCTGCGTTCGTGAACTGACTTCTTGATCCAGCCTACGTGATCCAGAAGCAGCGAGTTTGTAAGTCAGGGCCAAAGAAGCTCATAGTGGCAAAGAATTTGTTTAGTCGACTTAGATTAAACGTTGTCTTTTGGTTCCGAGATTACCTACTGACTTGGCTTGCCTCTGTCAACCAACTAACAAGCAATATAGGAAGGACACTCGAGACTTCGTTACCTCTGCCTGGGATATATAAAAACAGGAAGAGCGCACTCCAAGGAAGAAGAGTGGTTGTCAAGGCTACTAGAGCCTTCGCTACCATGGTCGGGAAACGTGATGGCCTGCGAATTTGCACTTTGCAAGTCGACCAGCGGTCATTTTAGCAATTTTGAGGTAAATATGCAGTCATCGTCGGAAGCCTTAAAGAAAAGAAAAGAAAACCTTGAATGGCTCTGCCTGAACCTGGCTCCTAATCGTACACATCGCAATATACTTCCTACACCTACATACCATCGGGACCATAAAGTGACAAATCTACTATACTCTCCAATCTCAAAATCCCCCGAGCAACCACCACACAACACACGCAAGACATGAGACTCCAAACCCCCCGCCTTCTGCCGCTACTGCTACTGCTGCTGCTGCTCCTAGCCGCCGGCGCCGGCGCCTACAACTCGTGCATCTACACCTCGGGCCGCCGGCACCGCAACTGGGCCCTCACCGTCGCCGACGGCGTCTCCCCCTGCCCGCTGTCGACCTCGGACCGCGACTGCGGCCTGACCTTCCAGGCCCGCATCAAGGCCGAGTGCGGCCGCCACATCACCGACTGGAAGTGCAAGTGCCTCGGCCTGCCCGACAAGAAGAAGGAAGGGGGCGCCACCGCCGCCGCCGCGCTGCCGACGGCGCCCGGGGCCGTCAGCTTTGCCTTCCGGTCCCCTCCGATATGCGGCCCCGCCGAGGTGCAGAGGGCGTTTGCCGATTCGGTGACGGACAATTCTACCATCGCTTGTATCTAGATGGGTCCTGGGAACCAGCCGGGACAAATGATGGGGTGTGGGTGGGGCGGTTAATGGGGGTTATTTCCTCCCTTTTGAAACCTTCCGCCGGGGTCTCATGATGGGGAGAATAATCAGTCAACAGAGAAAATGGCAATGAAACAATAAAGACTGGTCCAGTGCATGTGGGCAGACCACCATGAATGTGAAAATGCAACTATGATTCTTGAACTTCGTAATTGGGTATCATGCCGTATTTCCTCCTCCCTTCCCCAAGCACTGGAAATACAACCTCGTCTCCTGGCCATGTCGCAGTGCTCGTGGCATCCAAAACGTCAACGCAGCCCCGGTTTAGGCCCCTGCTCCTTCCTCGCCTCGACCTCGATATAAGGCGGTATGTTCGTATCACCCCTGGCCGCGAACCACATCATCAGCTCCGGCTGCGGCGGTACCATCTTGGCGGCGGCCTCGGGGCCCTGCTGCTGCTGCGGTGCGCCACCCGGTGCGATCCCAGCCGCTCCGGCGTCCGCCATCTCCTCATCCTCGTCCTCGTCGTCATCGTCGTCCTCGTCCTCGCTCTCCTCGTCCAGGTTCCGCCGCAGGCCCGTCCGCACGTTCTCGACGCCCCGCTCCCGCTCCTCCTTGGTGTAGACGTCGTTGCCCTCCTCCGTGACGTACTGCGTCACCCGCTCGACGCACACCTCGCGCGCGCTGGCCCACACCTCGCCCAGCCCCGCCGGCTCCCTCGGCGCGTTCTCGTCGTCCTCGCTGTCCTCCTCGTCCTCGTCCTCGTCCTCGTCGTCCTCGTCGCTGTCGTAGTTGTGATTCCCGCCGGCGGCCCCTTGCTTGCCGCCGGACCGCCCCGCGAAGCTCTCGGGCCCGATGCCCGCCGCGAGGGCCGCCGAGCGCGCCCCGTCGACCGAGTCCTCGACGTCGGGCTCGAGCTTCTTACGCAGCAGCTGCATGAGGATGCCCTCCTGCGTGCGGCCCGGGTAGTTGGTCGACGGGTGCACGGCGACGCGCTGGAAGAGGTCCGCGTGCTGCGAGTACACCTCGAGGAGGGAGGCCATGTTCTGCTGGAGGATGTAGGCAGATGCTTGCAGCGATGAACTGCAGTTTTCCGTTCAAATGAGGTTAGCAGGAGTAAATAATAGCGCCCGGGACGAGGCGTGTGACGAAATGAAAGGTCTCGCTAGGCATGCATGCCCGAGACAGGTTGTTCTTCCTTCGATAGGCTTTGCAAAGGGGGGGGAGACGTACGGGTTAGGGAGCGGATGGCTATGCAGGATGTCGTTCTTCAAGCTGGCAATGCTATTGGACAGCTGAGACAGACGACCTCGCGTCGACTCGAGCGCCTTGAGCTCATCCTGAGTGAGGTTCAGAGACGCCATGATGGTGAGCTGTACAGAACCACGGCGACTCGGTCGAGAAGCTGCGTCGTTTGGGTGATGAACGCTGAAGACAAAGAGTGGTTGTGGTTGATCTATGCTTTTTGGGGCTCCAAGATGATGGCGGGACGGGGCAGCCCCAGGAGTGGGGCCTCCCACACCTTTCATCATCGTGCCTTGCTTTAGCTCGTGCAAGGCAGACAGGGATGCAGTCAACGACACTGGACATTGCTTGTACAAGTACTCCGTACACTCCGCCCTACATAAGGTACCTACCTCGACGGAATAGGCAGCCCTTTCCATGTAGAGACGCCATGGCGGCCTGAACGATAGATGGCTAATGTTTTGATATTCATTCTACATAATAATGGTGAAGGGGTGCTAAGATTGCTTGGCTCCAAATCTACATTCTTAAAAAACGCCAAGCTCATGTGAACGCCAGTACTTGAAATGCCCATCGCCCAACCAGTATGTGAGAGCGAAACATGATCCTCATCCAATCTGTTGAAGAGCAGCGGATGGCAGATCTGTTCCTTATCCAAGCCTCGGCTTGACTTGTGTGTTGACGCATAGTCCCGTGGCCGTGGCAAACATGATTCATAATTCCGTGGTCTCGTCCCAGTAAATATTCAGGGGTCGCAAAAAAAGACAAGGAAATAAAGGGAAACTATACACAGACGATTGCGAAACGTCGCAATTACTCTCCGTGCGATCCTGCTTGGTCGACAGTGACCGTCTTGGTAGGATTGCCATACGTGTCGACAGGAGGGTAGCGAGCCATGCGCTCCAGGTCGTCGAGGTCCATGTGTGAGCGGATGTACCTGTACAAGAATTAGATACTCTGCGTGCTGCGGGACAAAGCATGATACTGCTGGCACTTACTTCTCGCGACCGTCGTCAATGGGGTTGTAGTCCCAGCTGGTGAACTTGCCCTGCGTCAAAGCAGACCATACCAACCGCCTCTTGCGCTGCGAGATCAGGACCTCTTGTGTGATGGCATCAAAGTCCCAGCGAGCGTGAGCCTCTTCCTCGAAGGCGTGGAAGATGGCCTGGGTCTCCTCGTCTTCCACAGAGAGTGCCTGCTTCTTTTGAAGCACCTTGACGAGGTCGACAAGCTCGTCGGGGTCGTTGTCAAGGTTGTAGAGCTGCGAGCCATCGGCAGGGCAGATAATGTACTTCCAGGGGCCACGACGTATCATCATCATAGGACTGACAGTGCCTTCGCCCGTGTACTCGGCAATGACTGTATCGTGGCCCTCTTCGCCCTTCAGGTGAGGCAGCAGAGAGAACCCATCGAGGGGAAGCCCTGGCATGGGTTTGGTACCCGCCAGATCGCAGAGGGTGGGCAGAATGTCCAGAGTAGAGACGTTCTGCGAAACGCGATGCGGTTGGAATTGCTTGGGGTGGTGGATCAGCATGGGCACGCGCACCGATGACTCAAAGTACGACATTTTGTACCTGCGTCCGTGTCAGTCAAGGGCATCGCGCTCATGATCGGGGAGATAGGGAGCTTACCAGAGTCCGCGCTCACCGAGCATGTCTCCGTGGTCACCGCTGAAGACGATAATAGTGTTGTCCGACAGCCCACAAGCCTCGACAGTGGACAGCAGACGGCCAATGCAGTCATCGACATAGCTGACAGCGCCATAGTACGCCCGCTTGGCGCGCTTGATCTGCTCATCGGTGAAATTCTGGTCCCAAAGGTCGCAGACCTTGAGGAGGCGCTTGCTGTGAGGGTCCTGGTCCCCCTTGGGGATCTGCACCTTGGGGAGGGCGATGTCGACGCCTTCGTACAAATCCCAGTACTTCTTCTCAATAGTGTAAGGGTCATGGGGATGTGTCAGGGAGACCTAGCAGGCGAGAGAAGGTGCAGTTAGCAAAAAAGTTTGAGATGATCCAGTCACTTACTGGCTTGAAGCACTATTCCAAGCTAGCGATTCGATTCGATCGTCCCGACAAGTCTTGTGGTTTGATCTTTCTTTTTTTCCCTTCTTTCTCTACTCTTTTTTTTTTTTGGTACATACCGTGAGAGCGAAAGGTCGAGAGTTGGGGCCCTGTCGAACGTGGTCATACAGAAATTGCGTAGACTTGTACATGACCTCCTCGTCGTAGTCGAGCTGGTTGCTGCGGACGCAGTGGCCGGCCTGCAGGATGGAGCTGGCATTGTGGTACCACTCGAGCCGCGTGTCGGGCTCATCCCAGTTGACGACCCAGCCAAAGTCGCCAGGGTAGATATCGCTGGTCAACCTGGTCTCGTAGCCGTGCAGCTGGTCTCCAATAAAGTGCATCTTACCAGCCAGGGCAGTGTGGTAGCCCCGTATGCGCAGGTAGTGAGCATACGTGGGGACATCGCTCTCAATGGAGGCGGCGTTGTCAAAGGCTCTGATCTTCATGGGAAGCTGGCCCGAGACCATGCTCATGCGCGAAGGGGCGCAGAGGGGGGAGGGGCAGTAGGCCGAGTCAAACTGGACGGACTTTGCTGCGAGGGCATCTAGGTTAGGGGTGAGGATCTGAGATTCAGCATTGTACATCTTGAGCTGGGGAGCAGCAAGCTGATCCGCCATGATGTAAAGAATATTTGGCATTTGGTTGCTGTTGTTGTTGTTCATGACAGGAGGAACACCCGCTGGCTTTCTGGTCCCTGAAACTGCCGCCGCTGCCTCGGCCGTGGCCTCGAAAGGAGAAGGGGGAAGAGAGTTGAGGTCGGGAGCCATGGTGCGTGGTCGTGACAGATAATAGGGAAGGAAAGTCAAGAGATAGGAAACCCTTCCAAGAGACTAGAGCTGGATATACAACACAAGATCCCGGAAAAGGAAGAATAATAACAGAAAGATATTCCTAGGAGAGGAGAAATAGGAGCGCCCAGGGAGAGTGAACAAGCTTCGTCTGGATGTGCAGGGAGACGAGAGCAAGAGTGTAGGTGTGTCTGAGGGGAGAGGGGGGAGAGATGTGTGTTGGTGTTGAGCAAGACGCGGATCGTGGACAGAAAGGTACACAGCAATATCCGCAACTGCCTTGGTCCTGGCCGTCGACAAGAAATGATGGTTGAAATTTCCCCAGAACCCAGATGAATCAGATGAAGAAGCCTCCACAGTCCAGCAACAAAACAACCGTTCTTTCCGATCTATGAGACAATACCCGGAGCTTATTTGGAGCAGCCTGTAAGATACAACGTCACGGCTAGGAGCCGTTTAATGAGCCTTTGGTGGACAACGTGATGGTCATGGAGGATGGTGCAATCGACCGAGATGGGGCCCAGGACGCCTTTTGTACCTGAGCAGTGCCGGCCAGCGTCCCTCAGCACCCAGGACACGGCCGGGTCGAGACTGGCGCAAGATTGGCAAACGGTCACGAGCTCGTTTGGCCCGGGAGACGCTAGCACAAGCTGATTTCGCCATCAGCACATCGCTTTGCGCGACCGGATAGGCTGTCACACCTCGACTAGTCTCTATCAAGCCTGTGGAGCAGCTTGCGGGGAGCGGTGTGAAGTGTCTCGAGAGTGTGAAAGCCCGTCTTAGACCAAGCCTCCAGCCAGATTAATTTTTTTTTTTTTCGTGGCCAAGAGGACCCCTGTGGAACGCAGCAGCTAGGGAGATCGTTGATAAGCAACCACCCCTCCATCCAATGCAACACCGCCAACTGGATGGGGAATGGGCTAGCAGAAGGACCCCGACGACGCTAAGGCCAGGCACATTGGGTGGGCGGTGCTAACGTTTTTCGACCTAACATGGAGGTAAGTCAGTTGGTGGTCAGAACAGTTGAGCACATGAGCAAACCCAAAGCCGGGTCAAAAAACAGCCAAGCAGCAAATCGGGATCAAGGTCAGCTACTCCGTGTGTGTACGGAGTATGCGCCTGCTCTGCCATGTGTTACCAGGCGGGAAAGGCAAGACGGGGCCGTGTCTGTTGGTGTTCGCTCCGTGTTTGGCCTGTGTGTATCAGCAGCAGTAGCAAATCGGAATGGGCCCGGGCAGACCAGACACGCTTGTTCAAGTGTATTGAGTAGCACGAGCGGGAGCCAATGGGACCAGCACTCCGAGCATGCCGTACGCTTATCTGTCCCTCCATGGTTGACTCAAAGACACCTTGTGCAGTGCCAACTATCTGCGAGAATGTCTGGTGTCTGGTCTTTACGTAAGTGGACGTCCAACGAAGCGACACGTGCTCGGCATTCCTCGTCCTGGCCGTGTGATCACCGACTGCAGAGTGCAGTTACTCAAACCTTGGCAAGGGATGTGAGCGACCATGGCCAGGGGGTCTGCAGCTAATAAGGGAGCACCTGTCGTCCCGATTGGAAGTCTTTGGCCGCCTCCGCAAGCGCAGACCTGCAACCTGCAGCTCCCCCGGTCAAGCGACCCCGGCCCCGTCGGACTTTCAAGGTGAGTACTTGCCAATATTTGATCTTCACTTTTACGACGCACCTGCGGCCCAGAGGTCACACGCTGTGCACATACCTCCGTACTTCTGTTTGATAAGAACCTCCGGCACTACGCGATTGGATCGTTTTCCAAAACGACCACAACATTGACTCTGGCTCTTCCACGAAAAGCGGAGGGAGCCGCACGATTGCCACCCCTCCCACCCCTCCTGAACTTCAGTCGGGGCAATTACTCCCTTTCTGCCCTTCCAGAAGCATGCACCATGGTTCTATGGCGGGATCGCTGGGGAAATTCATAAATGAGAAGTGATCAATATTGAGCGAGGGCGCCAGCCAAGACCAGCCCCCTGCGGATTGAGATTCCTGGGTATTACTTAAGTATGGGATATAGAGAAGACGTGACAGAGCCGCGTGTCTGATCGGCAGTAGTCCCCATGTCGGGCTTCGATCCTTTCACTGCTTCTTGGCGGGAATCTTCTTGACGGCAGGGGCGGTGGCGTTCCAGTAGTACACCATCTGGGCGGCAAGGACAACGTTGAGAGCGAAACCGGCCACGAATCCGTACAGGATCAGCTTGTCATCCACCTCTTGGAGCGTCGTGAAGATGCGCGAAAGCGAGCCAATAAGGTAGTTGAACACCTGCAGGAAGAGCCCCATCAGTCAGACTCCACATTCTCGGTCACCGAATGCTACGGATGTTTTGCCACGACTTACAGCAAAGGCGCTCAACTGGCCAGTCGATCCTTCCTGCCAGATGGCTAGGATCTGCGGAATCTTGCTCGCGACGCCGAGGACGCCAGCACCCGCCTGCAGGTATGCCAGGGTGGGCATGTCGACGACGTTCTCCGAGAAGAGCGAGTAGGCACCAGCCGCAAGGGCGGCCACGAACACGGCCGCTCCGCTGGCCTTGCCGCTGTAATTGAGGACCAGCAGTGTGATGATGACGTTCTGAGCCGTCATGAAGACCGTCTCTCCAAAGGTGCTGAAGGGGAAGCCGTTGCGCACGCTGTACGAGAGGGTGATGAGCATGGCCGTCGTCTCGAGCAGGTAGGACAGGAAGGACACGCCCGAAGCGGACTTGGAGTTGACGAGCTTGAGGATCTGCGGGACCTTGACGACCGCCGAGGCGGCCACAATGCCAATGCCCAGACCCTTGGAGACGGCCAGCTTGATGCACTCGGTGTTGGTCTCGTCAATGTCGAGGATCAGCGCCTTGTAGCACGTCTCGCCGATAATGGAGACGCCCAGGTCCCGGATGGGACCCGGCAGGTTATGCGTGACGGGCTGGAGGGCAGATCGTAGAGCATCCATCTTGTTTTGACGCGGTTTTGGCTGTCTTGACACGTCGAGAGAAAATGTGTCCTGAGTTCAAAAAGACGCGATCGTGTCACAGTGTCCAGGGGGGACTAGTGGGAAACGCAGGCCCTCACGTAAGCATGTACTTGTATTTGCATAGCGGGGCCTCCCCGCATTGACTTTACTAGGTAGGTACTTGAGTGATCCGAATCAGCATATCTGATGGGAGCTCCCTTCTGCTTCATCAAATGTATTTGTGCATGTAGAGTGCGAGACCAAGATTCAATCTTACATGACCTTTGAGAAACACTCAAAGAGCCGCACTGTCAAAAAGACGTGCCAGTTGTATGTGCGCAATGCAAGTAATCACAACGACCCAGACCCAAACCCTTACCCATCACTCTCATGTTCCGCGGCTATGATCCCAAGCCGTTCTCATGAGCCCTGCGCGCTTCACCCCTATTCATTCGGTCTTCTTCTGGCGTGGCTTCCTGGCTTTCTTGTTGCTCGCCTCAAACTTCTGGATGAGGTCCGCGCAGCCTGACAGATTCCGCTTCGGCTCCCAGGTGTTGTCCTTGTCAGAATAGCCCTTCCATTTGACGAGGTACATGTGCTGGCTGCTGTCCGCATCGATGCCTGAGTCCAGGATGGCCTCAACCTCCCACGAGTCTCCGTCTTCCTCGCCTTCAGACTGCTCCTTGCGGGGCCTACCTCGCTTGCCCTTGGTTGCTGGCTTGGTCTGAACGGCCATGTCAGTTGAAGGGCTAATTAGAGCGGGCTTCACGGGGTTAAATCCTCGTACCTTTGCCTGCTTCGTAGGACCAAGATTCTTCTTGGCTTCAGTTGCAGCCTTCCTGGCTGATACAGGGCGAGATGCTGGCGGCCGGCCACGAGCGGCGCGCTTAGCCGGTGCGGGAGCGGCAGCAGCTTCCTCTTCGACATCAGCGACAGCTGCCTTGCGCTTGCGAGAGCTGGACACTGCCGGAGTAGCCCCCGTTGCATTGCCCTTGGCTGCAGTGCGTGGTGTCCTGGTTCTGGTAGTTGTACCCGGAGTCTTTGTCGAACCGGCCCCGCTTCTAGCGGGCGTGCCGTTGCGAGATGCGGAGGCTGAGAGCGATGGGCGGCCGCGCTTTCTTGGAAGCGTGGCGGACGCATCTGCTTCCATGGGGGCAACTGGGGCAACGGGACCCTCGTCTAGCCGAACCACCGTGGGCTCGGGTGAAGCAACCCCGTTGTCATCCTCTTCTTCTTCTTCTTCTTCTTCTTCTCCTTCTTCATCAGAAACAACATCGGGAACAACCAGGCCAGGGGCCGCTGGTTCAGAAGAAGGGAGCGGTTGGTCCTCGCTAAGATTTATCAGTACATGTTCGCTTGTCAGGAAGGGATAAGGAGAGGAGGGGTCGTCCACTATCCAGAAGAAGGCGAGAAGTAACTGGTCCAACAGTCGCGATGTTTGATTGGGATCGCCACGCGGACCAAATTTCAATGAAACTTACACTGGTGGTGATGGAGGCTCTTCTCCGCGACCGAAGAACACGCTCCGAGCTGGCAAGAGGGCGTCCATCATGGTGACGGGATAATGCTATGGAATGAACAAAAGGTTGCGCCAGCTGTCAATTGGAAACCTAAAGGCTCTGAAGTTTTCTTCAGAGTTAGCAGGTGAGCAAAATGGATCGCTGGTTGGTTTGGCCAATGCTGCGCGCGCGAAGGCAGGCAGTGTTGGAATAAGTCGGCGCGTTATGAGCGCATCAAATGTTCGCTGATGACTTTGAAAACACGGGTCAAGTGCTCATAATATATTTAGAGCAGCTAGAAATGAGACTGAAGAGGGTCAATTATGGAAGCACCCTCAAACAAGAAAAAGATTGAAGGGAATTGATGAGATCCCACAGGTTGAGGCATGAGTGAATTCGACTTGCCTTTGCCGAAACGCGACGCGATCGACAAATACCAATGCCAGTTTGGTGAGGTTAATGGAAGCTTAGTCAGAAGGCTGCCAGGATGCTTCCTTCCAAACACGTACTGAGCAGCCACTTACTGTTGTGGTGCTTTTAGCGCCAGAGGCTCCTGTCGCTCTTGTGTATGCAAATTCATCCACGAGAAATTATTTGCCATTCATTAGGTTCTTCATTTGCTTTCGACAAAGATAAATGCGTAAATTTATTTTGCCCCCATCGGCAAGCCCCTCTGCCAATTTGGTAGAAACAAGGCACAAGCTGTGGGAAATGGGGTTGGCCATCAGGCCGCTCTATATTTTTCAGACAACCTCAATCCAACTCTTCTACCCTATCTTTATCGTCGATTTCGGCGAAACGTCCATCTCGGAGAGCCTGCTCTACCGGATTCTGGACGTCTACTATTCCAGTCTTCTTAAGCCTATGCCAAGCATTAGCGGTCAAGTAGGAGTTTTAATCAAAGGATGTACTCACCTTTCAAATAATACGAATAGTCTCTCTGCCTCTCTCTCCTTTTCTTCTTCAGTCATTTCGGGCTCGTCCACAGGCTTCTCAGAATCGACAAATTGGCCCGTAACGGGGTTGAAAGCTCGACCTCTACTTGCATCAGCTTCCGAAGTCGATGGATTGCCCATATCTTCAGGTATCGGCAGCTTCTTCTCAAATAAGATTCCTGATGCAAATCCGTATCCGATGTTCTTGACCAAGGTCGCAGGATCATTTCCCGATAGACCAAATAGCAAGTCTGAGATGGCTTTCCGCAGAGTTGGGGCAAGTGGATTAGACAGGTTCTGCAGCATTTTCGCAGAAGTACTATCTCCCTGCCCTAGAACGCCTTCGCGATCTTTCTCGGAGGGAAGGAGAGCACGCCTCATAATTCTCGAGACTTCCTCGGGTGCCCTGGCATAAGTTCGGTGAATGACAGACACCAGGGGAGTCACTGTTGCCTCCAATTCGTGGTCAGGATAGCCCTGCAACGATTGCTCAAGGAGCTCGACCATTCTTGCTGCAATCGCACCAGGTGCTTCATCAGGGAATAGCGACGATTCCAAGCCGGGGCTTTCGAGCTCGAGATTGAGTAGAGCGTTGATGAATGGACCCATCGGCGCTTCCAAGGGACTGGGGGTAGGAATATCATGCTTGCTCAAAAGCACTAGAAGATGGGGAATGGTAGCAGTGAATGCTGAGGCCTTTTCATGGCAGAGATGGGTTAGATTGAAAAGTAATCTTGTGATCTCCGTCAGTGACAGAACCTGCATAGGGTCCGTCAGTGCTTCCTTGTCTTGCTTGGACGCTGCCTCGGCATGTTTAGCAAGTCGCTGGGCGATGTTGTCGGCCAGACCAGTTTCATCGATGAGCGTGGGAAGCTTGATGGTTTTGCTGTAGGTCGAGAGCAGTGTGACCCTACTTGCCAAAAACTCGTCCTCCCAATCGTCATTCTTCAGCTTGTCGCATGCTTTGGGTCCATAACCCAAATCAACAAAGGTCTGCCGTGCACTCGGTACGAGAAGCATGGCGTTTGCGAGACACTTCAGAGCATTTTGGCAGGTGGTTCTGGAATCGCTCTCCAAGGCGAATCTTGCGAGCGTTTCTATGCCCTGTGATACGGGTCAGCATTCTCGGGCCAGAGACCTGGATTGAAGATAGTTCGCACATCTCTGGTAAAGATTGGATCTGCGTTTCGCGGGTCCCGCCCGTAGATTTTGAGCTGGTCTAATGCGGTATCGCGCTCTACATGTTGTCAGGCATATCTTCTTAGCTCAAGTAGGGCAGGCTATAGTAACTGACCATCAGGTGTGAGGCACTGCTTTCCCAGATCCTCCGTGAGTTTGTCCAGGAGGGTGGTGACAGCGTCCAGCTTTGCTATACCCAAGGTCAACACGGCATAGCGTTGTCAGTAAGGTAGTGTTTTTTTAGACTAACCTTGACCCTGCAAGTCCGCACGGAAGGCAAGCCGGTCCATTCTTATGTCCTCTCTCAGGGATTTGGGATTGTATGTTGCCCCGAACGTGTTGAATTGAAGCAGCCTCTCCACTTACTTCAAGTAAAAATATCGTGAAAGACCGTTTCGATAGGCTACCCCTCTTCCACAGGGCATTTAGTGGGCCTGGGCTTCAACTGCTCGAGCGATTCGCCGTAGCCCAATGGCAAGGTTGACGATGAGGTCTCGACTGCGGATGTGATCTGATCAATGCAAAGCTCATATGAGCTCAGTGATGTAGTGTCAAGTGAGCGCCCCGCTGAGAATAGGACTTCCCGCCCCAAAGTGTGGGGTTGTGGTGCATCTGTGGCGCTAGCTACACGTGTCGGGGGTGTTTGGACGCGCCCAAGGGCGAATGTTAAAGTGGTTCGAAGTCCGGAAAACCCATCAAGACCCCTGTAATTTGAGGCTGGTAAGACGCGACCATCTCGCGCGGGCGCGTTGGAGTCATCTCACCCCTTGTCCGGCTCTGGCTCTGCCGCCGCCTCACGATAGGAGCTTTTCAACTTGTGACCCTCTCTCTCCTTCTCTATATTCAATTATTCCATTGGTATTGTCTTGTTTTCCATTTGTCTTTTCCGGTTTTCTTTTCAACAACAGACCGTGATACCCCGCTGGCGTGACTTGTTGACACAGCCCTCGGATCCTCACTTGACCAAGTCCTAGGACAATGCTATCTGCATGACCGCGAACAGCTCACTGTGGTTTGCAACGTGTGCGGTGTGCACACCCTGCCGACGGGTGGCTTAAGGCTGGCTTGCCGCCATGGGATCGATTGCTCCTCCCTCGAATCTGCTCGAGAACCTTCCCGCGAGACCGCCAACGCCGCCACGAGAGACGCACCATGAGAACGAGACAGCCTTGAAGCAGGCCCTGCTCGGCAGTAAGAGCGAGTCCAGACGAAGCCTCCATACACCGCCCAACGTCTACACTCCCTCTTCGACAGCCAGTGACAGCTCGCGGAGGAAGAAGGTGGTCTTCTCGGCGCAGGCAGAGTATAAGGAGCCTCCAAACTTCGTGGATGGCAGCTCGACACATCCCACACCCGTTTCCGTTCTTCCTCCCAGTGCCTCGAAACAGCCAGGGAAGTCGATCTTGAAAGTCGCCTACGCGCCCAGCCCGCTCCAGTCAACTCATGCTTTTGGGCTTAACGGCGAGTCGATGAACCAAGCAAATATCGCCACCATGTTGGACTCGACGATTAAGCAGCTTGCCGGCAAGGACCGCGACTCGAAGCTGGACGCATACATGATGTTGGGGCGAGCGCTCAAGAACTCAAACAACCTCCCTGACCGAATAGCGCTGCAAGACAAGATGAGCTTGTTTATGCAGTTCATCCAACGCGATATGACATCCAAGACTGCTACGGGCAGCCTGGACTCGACACTGATCAACCATGCGCTGAATCTTCTGAGCACATTTCTTCACTTTCCTGCCATTGCCTCGACTCTTTCCAACGAGTTCGGTATCTTTGTCATTGACCACTGCATTCGGTCGTTCGAAGATTCGTCAATTCCCAAGGATGTCACCCGGCATTTGATGCAAGTCGTTGCATACCAAAACTTCTCACCAAAAGTCATGACTTCCGATCGAGTAGGTCGGATGGTTGTGGCTTTGCACAAGATCGAGGAGCACATCAAGGGGAAAAGCATCGTCATGTCTCGCCTGCATATTTATCGCAGGCTGGTCAAACAGTGCAGGCAGCTTATGGTGGTGCACTCTGACTGGCTCCTCGACCTCTTCACCGACATGCTCAGCAGCATGAAAGAGATTCGTTCATGCGCGATCTCGTTGGGGCTAGAGGCCGCCTTCGCCGTCGGGCGAGAGAAGCAGATGACTCGAAGGGTAATGGAAGTTTTCCAGCTGACCCTGGAAGAGAAGACCTACATCGAGTTCTATGCGGAACGGCTGAAGGCGATGTTGAAGGAGAAGCACGAATCTGCAGCTGTGCCTCAAGTCTGGAGCGTCGTCATTCTCTTCCTCCGAGGGCCGGACAAGTGGGAATATTTTGGCAACTGGCTCCGGATCATTCAGGATTGCTTCAACATCAGCGACTACCATACCAAGAATGAGGCCAACTACGCCTGGAACCGCCTTGTGTACTCCTTGCACACAGAGGACCGCTCACTTTCCAAAATGATCTCCACCCTGGCCCAGCCCTTGGTTGCCCAGCTTCGACGAAAGGGCACAGGCAAACAATCGGATGACCTCCGCCGAACCGTCCTCGGCGGTATTTGCAACTTGTTCTACTACGCCTTCAAGCCTACAACCAATCTCATCCACCTCGACGCATACTGGGACAATGCAGTGCGACCCTTAGTGAAGCAACTAGTCGACTTACGGCCCGAGGAAAGTAAAGAGTATCACAATCAAGCCTGCGCGATCCTCACCGGGCTTTTCGACTGTACAACACCTCGTCGGTGGAGAGAAGAGCGTGTGGCCGACAGCCCGTTGGTTCAGCCTGAAGAGCTTCCAGCAATAGACGCCAAGTGGCTGCGACGCAACTCGAAACGAGTCTTTGCCTTGATAGAGCCACTTCTGGAGAGGACTTTCTTGGATCTGTCTACCTCGCGAAGTGCCACACACAAACTTTGGTGTACACTCATCGGCGCCGTTGCATCCGCAGCGTCCAAGGAGATCAAGGTGTCCCTAGACACTGCCACATTTGTCGCCCACGCCTTTGGCCTGTTGATGAGGATATGGAATAAGGGCCTTCCACAGGCCAGTGAGGCTCACGATGGTCAAGGGCTTCAATTCTTGACGAGCATGCGAGAGTTTGTTCTTGTTATGGTTGAAGCCCTGGGGCTGTTGCCCTTTACCGAAAAACAACTTTCTATGAAACACAACACCTTCATTCCCATCGCTACCCCATCCCATCGCTCTGGCAAGGGAGAAGGCGTGCCACGTTCGCCCTTACAACATCTATACTCGATCCTATTCACCTTACCTCCTGGGATCGCTGACGGAGAAGACTTTGCCGAGTTTATCAAGTCCGTGTTCGCTCCCTTCTTTGCCGCTAAGAACAGCAAAGGACAGTCGAACATCGCGCAAGAGATGCTTCAATCCATGCCTATGGATGCTCTCAGCCCGTATGGGCCATGGCTTGCAGCCTCGGAGAAGATTGCGGCTGGACTCGAGTCTGCCCAGCATAGCAATCAGACTGTCAGCTCGAGCAACGAAGCACTAGTTGGTCACGAATACCGTGACGTGGTCCGGGTCCTAGAGAGGGGACTTCGCTCTACCCCAAACCTGCCCTGGATTCACTGGCAAGTGCTGTGTGCAACGCTCTGTGACCGTGTGAGGGACGAAACGGGTGATGCTGGTCTCGCCATTGCTGTCATCGAGCCGTTGGCTAAGGTGATCCTGGATATTGGCGACCAGATGTCGCTCTCTACCGTTCGCAGTGCTATCGAGCTGCTTTCAGTCGCAGCGCAACCAAGAGACCGTCAAGCTGTAGAAGCCGCTCGTCGGAGAGTATGGGGCACAGTGATTGCTGGTTCTCGGTCCAGCTCATTCGACCCTTTCGATGCATTGTACAAAGCGGTCAATCACACGCTGGTACATTTGTATGCCTCTCTCAATATGTACAACTGCGATGAGGTCGTGGTCCCAGCCTTGAGCGAACTGAGCTGCTTCCTTGACAGGTGTAACCCCCAATTGATGATGGAAACTTTGGTGGCCTTGCAAGATGGTCTCGCTCCCTGGGTCAAAGATGATCAGGCTCAACTCAACAGCCGCCAATCCACCACGGCAGCCGAAGCGGTACGTGTATGCTTGAATTGGCCACCATTTGGCAATGCTAACATACTTATCCTTTAGGCGAAATCCCTCTGGGACAAAGTTTGCAACATTCTCGGCAATGTTGAGAGCCCTGACATGGTTCCCTTGGACGAACTGGAGCCTCTGCTTTCTGCTGCGTTCGAAAGCAAACATCGACATATCGTGAATACTGTTTCAACCGCCTGGAATAGGATTTTCGATCATGCAGAGGAGATCAACTACCCTGAGACCCTAAAGAACATCCTTCTATCTCGCCGATCTGTCGTTGATCTTGTCTTACCAGGACTAGAAGTGTCCAGCGCGGGGTCTCCTGTCCCACGCCAATCCTTTATCGATTCTCAAGATGATCTTGATGCTCTTGGTAGTTCAGCCAAGCGTAACAACATCACACCTCGGCCTTCCTCGTCTCATCGCTCTCTGTCCCCGCTGCCGGTCACCTTGAGTCTGCCCGCCAAGCGACAAGTCGAGAAAGCTCCTCCAAGGTCCAAGACTCCAAAGCGTGCTGCGAAGTTGCGCCATGACGACTCACAAATCCAGTTCGCCCCGATTGACACATCACCCTTCGAGGGCCATGATGTAGAGTCGCAGGTGCTGACAGAACGGCAGAAGGAAGTACGAGAGCGGCAGCAAGAAAATGCTGTCTTGTTTCCCGACATTCGATCAAGCCCAAGTGCAAAGCTGCCCACCCCGTCGCGTGTAGCATCTTCGCAGCCTGCTGCCGAGGAGGCTTCCCCTCACCCTCCTCGAGCTGCCACGCCGGAGGGCGAGGGTGGGTTTGATGACTTTATCACCTCGACGCCAACGCCTCGACGCGGCCAGCCCGTCGCCCTGCCCGAGGGCGACCCGCCATCGTCTCCGCCAGAGCCCCGACGCTACCCTTTGCTTCCCGAGATTGAGACTCGCTCGAATAGCAACAGTCTCATGGACGAGTGGCAGTTTTCATCTTCTCCCATCTCCGGTTCACCAGTGACGGCTGTGCACAAGGCTTCTGTGCAGCGTGTCAGGGACTTTGCCGAGCAAGTGGTAGACGCTATGGACGTTGACCGAGCCGAAGACGAGGAGCCGGATCTCCCTGGTGTAGCGGACGAGACTTTTATCGCCGAGGAGCTGCCAGCAATCAAGCAGCCCGTCTTCAAGTCGCCTAAAGCGCAGAGATACCACAGCGCCACCCCTATCACCCCGACGCGCCTTCTCCGTTCGAGGGCTGGCCAGGAAACTCCCAGGTCTGGCAGTGATATCTTTGTCGATGCACCGACTAGCCCTCTACACTCGTCACCTAGAGTCCGACGAGGCTCACAAAGGAGCAAGAGCCAGCAAATTCTAGACGCCGACAGCCAGGAAGGCGACCAGTCCTTTGTTGTTAGTGAGGGAGACGAAAGAAGCATGCTTAGACTGGTGGTTGAACTGGATCCTCGCGATGCACCGTCTCCGTCCAAGTACAGGAAGCCCTCCGAGTCTCCCGCAAAATCGCCTGCGAAGTCGCCACCAAAGGCCGCTTCGCCCGTCCTCGACTGCATCACTGTTGGTGGATCGAAGAATGGCCGGGGCCGTGCGGCAAAGAAGACAAAATTGGAGCCCACCATACCATCTACTCCTGCAGAGGCCGCTCCGGTGGAGGAGGCTGCCTCGGGCGAAGTCAATCTCGACGAAGATGCTGCCGTGGATGCATCGCAGGAGAGCAGCCGTTCGAGCAGGAAGAAGCGCAAGCGGTCTTCCAAGTCCCAAGAGGGTAGCGGCAAGAAAAGGCGAAGCCGTCGCCACACCTCATCTCAGCTTGGCGCGGAAGAGGTCCCTGATAGTCAGGTTGCTGCTCTCAAGCATGCTGAGCTTACAGAGGAGGCCTCTCAGTCTTCCGTGTTTCCTGAGAGCGAATCCATGGATCTCGACGTCGTTAATGACGACCAGCTGCTTCTCCAATCTCAGATTGCAAGTGAACACGAGGCTCACAGCCAGAGGAGCGAGGCGGGAGAGGAGGGCGGTAACCTGCAGGGGGATGTCTTACTCCACACAGTCGAGGTGACTGACGAGGTTACGGACGAGGTTGTTGGAAGGGTGTCAGAAGATGTCGCATCGGCATCTGTACGAAAGACGGAGGAGCAGAATGTAGAACCCGCCGAGGCCGTGGAAGAGCCGACGGGCAAGTTTGAGCAGATTATGGCAGCTCTACGCAGCGGCCTGGTGGCGCTGCGCTCGGCCACGTTATCGAGAGCCGAGGTCTCCGAGGTGGAGGACATGTGCATGGATGTAAAGAGGGAACTGTACGAAGCCGAGAGGAGGGGACGAGACTGAATAAGGTTTTAATGTACGGTATCATAATCGTGGCGCATAGGGGGAAAACGTACGGCATAGGGTTTTGGCTTTACTTTTAGTCACGAGAGCTGAATCCTGTCACGGAATGCACAAACAAGTTACCATTCACCTCGCTGCTAATGACTTGCTGTGCTATCATCTGTGACCCGCATATAGGCATCTGTCCTGGCAGCCATGCTGATGATGTCTAACCAGACTGGATATAGGTGCAGATAAATATAGCTAAAGATACAGATAGTTATATGTACAGTTAAGGAAGATATAGTTCCACAACTTGCATAGGGACGTGGGTGTCCGTGCTAGTGTCAGTATCAGGTGAGGTTCCAGCGGCGACGTTGCCGTCACCCGGGTTATCAACACCAGTGCCGTTGCAGCCGGTGTGCTGAGTAGCATCAGGCGCAACGGAAGCCGGGGCATCATGGTCGCCCTCGATGAGAGCGAGGCTAGAACGGCTGGACTTCAGCGGCGTTGTCAACCTTTATTCAACTTTGCCACACCCTATGACTGCTGTCCCCAGTGCAGGTCAGCCTGCCTCTCCTCGCATTTCTCTGCCAGAAGCCTGATTTGGGCGTCCCTCATGGCCCCAGTTGTACACAGTGCCCTCGACGGGCACGCCTTGCCGTTATCCTATCCCTGCGAAGGATACACGACTCGTATTTGTTGTTGACCAGTTGAACTCCAATATGAAAAGTGAACTTGTTGGTCACGGATCGCCCTTCTTCGTGAACTGCAGGCCCGCTGGTTGACCAGCCTGAACTTTTGATGTTGCTGGGGTTGGCGTGGGGCGTCTACTGGAACATTTGAGGCAGTCTCCAGGTATCTCGGACCTCCCTTGCCAGCTTGAACAGCTCAATGTCCTCCCATTCGCCCGAGCTGAGCCGGACGAACTTAGTTGCTCCATCAGGACCCTTGGATATCTCCCAGAATTGCCCTCCGCCATAGATGTATCGGATCCGAGGCGCATCGTGGGCCAGTCTAAAGATGGTCGTGGCAGCGAGATCCGTCCCTTCGTACTGAGAATAGTACGATTGCATATGGACAAATAGCTGTGTCAGCCTGGGAAGCTTCGAGACTGCTGTCGAGAGTTGGCGCTGGAAGCTTCTCATATTTCCTCCACCCAGCCACATGCCTATTTTCACATTGACCGCCAGACCCTCAAGTGTTTCCGCAGAATATTCGACAAGGTCCTTGCATACTTTTCCTGTATCATCTGCGCTCGACGCGGAAAGGTCGAATGTCAAGCTGGCCATCCTGAGCTGTACTGGGAAGCTGTTCTCGCTGCTGGTAGGACAGAACAGTTGGCCGGTGTGGACGGTTTGAGGCGTGTTTTCTCTAACGATAAAGGCGAGTTTCCGGACCAAGTCTTTCTCTTTCCCAGATCTGAAGAAGTCGACGAGAGCAGAGTTGAGTCCAGCTAGGACAAGGCGGCGAAGAGATGGAAAGTCAGCCTGGTTGAGAACTCGCTCAATTGGGTAGTTGGCTGTCCAGCTGTTGAAAGCCTTGTTTGTTATTGACAGCTCTTGGAGGAATGCCGTATCCGTCAGCTTTTTTAATGCGAGCAAGTCCTGTACTTTTATCTCCAAGCCGATATGCAATGACTTTAGGCGCAGTAATCCTGCGCCAGTCTTGCCATAGTCATCGCAGAGATCCATGAGAAATGTCCAGTATGTGTCGAGCGATGGCGAGTTTGAAGAGCGCGGGGGACGAAGAGCATGGATGGCAGTGTCACCGGCGATGGACAAGCCGAGCTTCTCAAGCCCAGGGCAGTTGAGAATAGCCGTCAACAGGCTGTGACGCCATCGTGGTAAATCGTCGAACATCCGCAAGACGACGAGTTCGGTGAGGCCGGCGAAATTCTGAAACTTTGGGTTTTGAAATGCAGAATGATGGTAGCGAGCCCCGGGAGAGAAGATCAGAGGATGCTGTTGGGAGTCTTCAAGACACAAGGGTCCGAATTCTTTATCGGTGTATTCAACATGGAGACGCTGCAACTTGACGCAGTACTTTTGAACCAAGTACACAGTGGCCGCAGTCATATTCAAGTTGGACCACCTAGAGAGATAAATAGACATGTGTCAGGCTGAATGCAAAGCATGAAAGAACAAGATTTTTGAAAGAGGAGGGATGACCTACTTCAGCTTCGACAACCGGGGCATTCGAGGTAGAAGGCTCTGTAGGAACGCGTTGTACCGGCCAGACTTGACCCGGCACCCGGTATGCACGCATATAGTTAGGCTTTGGACATATGCGAGAAACCGGGTGCCATTCAGGCCGTTGTGCAGTTTGTTGACATCAGGATGGATCAAGACGAGTTCTCGAAAGAGGTAACGCGAGAATATCTGGTAGAAGAGCTTGCTCGACCTTGAGAGATTCAACAGTGTCTTGCGGTTATAGATCTGCGCCAACCATCAGTTCACAAGTACTTGAGGAATGGTACAAGATAGGCTCACCTGGTCCCCCAAGCAGAGCAGTAGTTCCGGTGTAGAAGCAAACCTTGCAGCACTAAAGCGCGTCTCGTTCATCTGGAGGCTTGTTAACTTGAAGTCTTCTCAGCAAGGGACCGGGTAACGTACTGGCTCATCGACCTCATGGTCAGCGACCACGTTCAGCTTCTGGTGGTAGGGGTCGGCTGCCATAATGGAAACCTTCAGAGTTGCAGATCCGCGTTGCAAAGCTTCCCTTTAATAGGTGTGGGAAAAGAAGTAGTGGTGGATGGATGCGACTGGTGTTGAAAGGAAATGGGAAAAGAACTGGAACGATAGACCTGATCACAAGGATTTGAATACCTTGCGGCTCTGAAATCGGCTGGATAGTGAGTAGTAAGTTGAACTTTTGATTTATAGTTGAGGAAAACGAGAACAAACTTGAACTTCTGATTCACAGTCGAGGAAAACGAGAACAAGCAAGTGAGTGACAAAGTGACGTCCAGCTGAGCAAACAATAGAGATCGAGGCCACTGAGCTTTTAAAAGTCCGGTGGCAAAAGTGCTGTCACTCTCAACTGTTGGTACAATTCTGGCCCTTTAACAAAAAAAAAGATACCATGGCTCCTATTTTCCCTCAAAACCTCTCTTCCCTCAAAACCTCTCTTCCCTCAACACCTCTCTTCCCTCAAAACCTCTCTTCCCTTTCTCTGGTCCTGCGCTAGTTCAGAACCTGGGAGCAATAAACGCCCGCATCGCCTTGACCACATCTCCGTCGTGTTGCTTAAGCAATTCGGTCGCCTTGGTCTTTGTCAACTCGAGTTGGTCCACCTAGCATTGCGCAGTCAAGCGTCAGTACTCTTGACTAGAAAGGGTAAAATCGAAGGGGGGTCTATTCTTCTTTACCAGCAGCGTAACGTCACCGGCGTCCACCTTGACCCTCTTGAGGTCCTTCTTGGCCTCGCCCTGCTTGGCTCCGCCGCCGAGCTTGTTCATAGCCTTGCGGGCGGCTTCCTGGTCGACGTTCTTGACCTCTTCGTCGCCGCGCGGGGTGTCGTCCAGGGCCGCGAGGGCGGCGGCGGCCTTGCGGTCCTCGGCCGACTTGGCTGCCGTGGCGGGGACGTCCTCCTCGACATCGCCGGTCGTGGCGCCCTCGACGACGTTGGGAGGTTGCCTCTCTTCTGCCATGGTTGTGTGAATGCGGATGGGATCGCTATCTGGCTAGTGGCGCTTGATCTTCGGTGTATATACAGTGTGCGAGGTGCTAGACAGATCAAATGAAGCCGAACCCCAGCATTGTTCGAGCTTGTTCGAGCTTGTTTGACCTCCGAACTGGAGCAATCGTCGTCAACTGTAGTTGAAAAAAATAGCGGGGGTGGGGCCAGAGTGACAAGCTAGAGCTACTAGGTCATCGCTTGGTAGCACGGATTTACAGCGGAGGCTTCCGCTGTACCTGCATGGCCTGAGACGGGTTTCGGCGGCACACACTCCAGCCATTGCCGTGTTTGATTGGCTTGTGCCTTTTTGTATACAGATCCGGCTTCTTTGACTCAAAACTCTTTTGACTCAGCCTGGGAGACATGTGTCATCAGGATCTTTCACCCCAATCACCGCACTTCTTTGCTCAGCCCGAAACGACGTTGCCTATAGTTTCCTTGGCTGTGAGCCCCGTAGTGTAGTGAAACAGGGCCAGATACCTCAAGAACATACCCTTGTGGCCTCATCGCTGCAAGCTTGGCTCTTTCGGTGACTTACACTCTCATCGTCCGTGGTCGACACTAGAATTCGCACTCTCAGGCATGGCTGCATCAAATCAAGCCACCGCAGACACTTGGGCCCCCGACTCTTGGAGGTCAAAGCCCATCAAGCAGTGCCCCGAGTACCCGGACAAGAAAGCTCTTCAGAAAGCGAGCAGCGAGCTCAAGAGGCTGCCCCCGATTGTCCACCCGCGAGAGATTGTGCGGCTCAGGCAGCATCTGCGGGATGTGGCGCAAGGGGATGCCTTCTTGCTCCAGGGAGGCGACTGCGCGGAGCTCTTTGACTATTGTGAGCAAGGCGCGATCGAGTCCAAGATCAAGCTCCTGCTGCAGATGAGCCTGGTCCTCATCTGGGGCGCCAACCGCAAGGTGATCAGGATAGGCCGCATGGCCGGCCAGTACGCCAAGCCGAGGTCGAGTCCCTTCGAGAAGGTCGATGGCAAGGAGGTACCTTCTTTCAGAGGCGATATCCTGAACGGCTTCGCTCTCGATGAGCGAGAGTTGGATCCCAACAGGATGGTCCGGGCGTACCACCATTCAGCAGCGACGCTCAACTACATCCGCGCGGCCCTCGCCTCGGGCATCGCGGACCTGCACCGCCCTCTCGACTGGGGCCTGGGCCACGTCCGGGACCCGACGCTCAAGGCCAAGTACTCGGAGGCCGTCCAGTTCCTCACGGACATGCTGCGCTTCATGCACACCATCGGCGCCGACAAGAGCGACAAGCTCGACACGGTCGACCTCTTCACGAGCCACGAGGGCCTGCTGCTCGAGTACGAGCAGTCCATGACCCGCCTGCTCGACAACCCGCTGCACGTCCCCACCGCCCCTTCTTCTTCTCCGTCCGCCCCGGTCGCCACCGCTGCCGAGGGAGACGACGACTCCCACACGCAGCAGAGCCCCAAGATGTACTACAACACCTCGGCCCACTTCCTCTGGATCGGCGACCGCACGCGGCAGATCGACGGCGCCCACGTCGAGTACTTCCGCGGCGTCGCCAACCCGCTCGGCGTCAAGGTCGGCCCCACCACGCCGGCGGCGGACCTGCTCGCCCTGCTGCGCGCGCTGAACCCGGCCCGCGAGCCGGGCCGCGTGACCCTCATCACGCGCTACGGCGCCGACCGCGTCCGCTCGCTGCTGCCGGCGCACATCCGCGCCGTCGAGGACTCCGAGTACCGCCGCCGCGTCGTCTGGCAGTGCGACCCCATGCACGGCAACACGCGCTCCACGGCGGGCGGCGTCAAGACGCGCCGCTTCGGCGACATCTTTGCCGAGCTGCGCGAGACGCTCGCCGTCCACCGCGAGCAGGGGTCCTACCTCGGCGGCGTGCACCTCGAGCTCACGGGCGACGCCGTGACCGAGTGCACGGGGGGCAGCGAGGGCCTCGCCGACGACGACCTGTCGACCAACTACACGAGCTTCTGCGACCCGAGGCTCAACGAGAAGCAGGCGCTCGAGCTGGCCTTCCTGATAGCCGACCACTACAGGGCGGAGGAGAAGAAGGGAGATGGGGCGACTGCGGCGTAGTTATGTCACATTGTTGACTTAGGGGGGGGTTTGAGTAGTACTTCGTTCATAAAGGGTTTCAAACAAGCGTGTCTTGTTCTCAATCTTTAGAATTTCAGCCTGGGAAGAAACCGGCGGGACGAGCAACCGAGCATCGTAGATAAGGAGCGATCAGCTGCCGGCTGGTGATCGCCCAGTATATTGACATATCTATACCTGGCGGCCCCTCTGAGAAACATTTTCGGATGCCTACCAAAGGGAATCAAAGTGATACTACCCCCCCAACTTGACGAGGACCCAGTGAACCTCCGTCACACAAAACCAGCAACAGTACTTTCTTTTTTGATAATTCATCAGAGTCATTTCGAGGCCCACGTCCTTTTAACCCATGAGCACCCACAACAGAGGCTGCTTCTCTCAGATCCGCGACGGCACCCTCCCCACTCCCTCCGCCTCCCGGGGCCCATCCAGTCACTGCGGGACGATGGTCTGCGCGCACTCGAACGCGTCGCCGGGCTCGAGCACCTGCCAGCCGCGGACGGAGCCGGCCTCGACGCAGACCATCTTCTTGTAGCCGTCGTCGGGGCCAAAGTCGGCCATGCCCGCCGCCTTGTCCTGCCAGGGGTTCCAGACGACCACGTCGCCGAGATTGTCGCGCACCACGTCGAAGCGCTTCTTGCCGCTCTCGACGATGCTGACGGGCTCCCGGGGCCCGCCGACAGGCGTGTACACGCGGTCCGTCTCGCGCGTGAAGGACACGTTGGCCGACTGCGTCTTGGCGGCGTAGCCCTCCGTCTTGTCGAGGTACTCGGCCTTGTCGAGGCCGGCAATCTCGGTCTTGTTGATGTCCTGCAACAAAAGTCCCAATTAGCACAACACGGACTCCTCTTTTTCACCCCCTGCGATTCAGATGGTTGGTACAGGGGGGAAAGGGGAGGGGGGTTTAGCCGTACGCTGATGCCAAAGTAAGTGTGGAACAGGACCTGGAAGTCAAACGGCTTGTCGTCCTCGTTGGTCACGACGAGGCTCGTGCTCAGGCTGTTGCAGCCCAGGGTGACGCTGTAGATGAGGCCAAAGGCGTGGGGCCACAGCTTGCGCACCTCGGGCTCGAGGTTGCCCGACGACAGGCCAAAGTCGAGCTTGACCGACAGGTCGGCCGTGGCGACCTCGGCCGAGGACTGGCCCCGGGAGGACTGGAAGACCTCGGACGACTCGGACGTCGACTTTCCGAGGAACTCCCAGCGCGAGGTGCGGGCGAAGCCGTGCTGGGGCAGCTGTGCGGTGGCAGGGTGGTCAGGGGGCGACGGGCCAAAGACCTGTGTGGACCGGCGGAAAACACCAAGCGGTCAGTAATTTTTTTTCCCCTCCAAGCTATAGACCATGGGCAGACAGACGCAAGAGTCTTTCTTCTCGGGGCAAACAGGCAGAACTTACAGGGAACACCAGGGGGATGCCGCCGCGTATCGCCTTGGAGCCGTCGAGCTTGGTCGTCTCGCTCAGCCAGAGCTGTTCCTGGCCGCGGCTGTCCTTCCAGCTGAGGACGGTGGCGCCGTACAGGTGGACCTCGACGCTCTGTCCCGTGGGCAGGACCGCAGTGACGCGGGAGCTGCCGTGTGAGATGCTGACCTGGGCCTGGGGGTTGAGGCCGGGCGTGCTGGACAAGGCGCTGGGCTTGTTGGGGCGATCGACCATCTTGTTGATGAGCTTGGGAAGAGTTGTAGAAAAAGAAGGAGAACCAGTCAAGCTTCTGGGTGAAGAGGATTGGCTGCTAGGTGCAGGCAGCTGTTGCTGCTGTCGATGTGGCAGCAAGAGAAGTGGCGGGGTATGTATGCTTGTCGGCCGATAAGGAACCGATCAATGAGGGGTTCACGACGGGGTTATTGAGGTGAGTTGAGGTAACTAGTTAGGTGAGTGAGCTTGGGCAAAGCACTTTTTGTGGAATTGGCAAGGCTGGCTGTTTGAAATGTCTTGGGGAAACAGTTCTCTAGGTAGGATAGTCAAAGGATAGCAAACAGTCAGTCGTGAGGAAAAACAAAACGTGGAGAAGAAAAAGCAATGACAGCGGCCAGCTCGATGGATGGATGTCGCGAGTGTCATAGACGGGAACCTGGAACCTTTCTTGGTCGAACCCCACACTGCCTCCTAGCACTGGAGGCCGTGAACAGGCCAGGCGAGAGAGCCAAGCGCAGAAGCACAACGGCGGGCGGGGTGATCTTGCACTCGGTGTCAGGAGCTGCGTCAGGACCTCCCATCAGGACCTAGGTAGGTACGGAGTACGGAGTACCTAGGTAGGTACCACCCAGCGGGGCAGGCTAATAATACTGCAGCTATCAAGGGACCAACCAACCACCCTGCTGGCACGTCACACCCTATCGAGTTGACATTTCTGTAGCAAGGGACCTCAAGCTCCAGGCTATTCTTAGCTGGGAAGTTGACTAACTACCTAGGTACCCAGCCAAGTAGTTTCAAGACTCGAGTAAACTAGGTAGGTAGGTAGGCAGTGGACCTTCCAGAATGTAAATAGGTAGTCAATCCTGGCCCTTTGCTGGACTCCGCCGTCGCTCGCTGTGGTGCTGTTAGTCGATAGCCGAGTGCAACGGTCAACGCCCTTCGCCCAACACCCTGTCTGAAACGGACGTTTGGACAAGCGTCCAGACGATCCAGGCAGCTGGATAGCTCGGCCAGCACTTCATTCTCCCAGCTCGGGATGATCAAGCACCCCGAGCCTCGCCTCCTGTCAGTGCGCTCGGACAGCAAAGTCAACATTGCCACGTGCCGAATAACGTCAAAGCTCAAAAAGCACACTACACTGTTGATCCAAGCCGTTTGCGTGCGCTATTGCAGGGGAGAGGTTTTGACGTGCCAAGACCATTCTGTTTGGTAATTTATGGACGTGAATATACAATAAGACAACCCAAATCGTCCCTCCAACGCCGTGGCCATTATATCTACCCAGGCCAATAATCCCCGGCCAGGTAAACGAGTGAGTGATTGTCGACATCGGCGCTGCAGTTGCATCTCGCCGTGCTACCTCCAAAACGCCAGTCCCTTCCCCTGCCCCAAAACAATGTTTGCCCTCCCTAGTTCCAGGTCCTCGCCAGCGGGCTGCCGATCTTGGGCGCAAACTGGAGGCTCTTGCGCCGGGCAGCCATCAACCTCATCATCACGCCCTGGTCCTTTTCGGGTGACAGGATGCCGGCACCCATCACCTGGTACTTGCTCGACTTGGGAGGACACGTCCGCATCATCAACTCTTCTCGAGACGCACCGACAGACTCGTCGTCGTCAAACTCAGACGGCGTGTCGGGCGTGACGTCCGCCGCAAACCGGGCAATCATCTCTGGCGCCGGTGTCTTGGGGACTGGTGTGAGCATGCCCGACATGTCCCACTCGGCGTCTTCATCCTCGCCCTCAGCATCCTTGTCCTGCGGGCTGGGGTCGTCCTCGGGAGTGCGCATCCACAGGCCGCTGTCACGCCGGTTGGCAGGGGTGCTCGGCGCAGTGTGACACTCCCGTGCTTGGTTCGAGTGGCCAGTCTTCGCGGGCGTCGACATCAATACCCCATTGAGGCTGGCCAGAGCTTTGGGCTCCATGCTCTTGCGGCGACGGGCGCCACCCCGAGGGACGAGCTCCGTGTCAATATAGTACGGCGCCTCATCCAGCCATTCATTCTCACGCTCGCAGCTACGCGGGATTGATTAGCACTTGCGCATGATCCGTCTGGTGGATTTCCGATCCAACTTACTCAAGAACCCAGCTGACACCGACGCATTGCACCACACCACCACTCTCGCGAACCTTCTCCATGGTTCGCTTCCCGCCATCCTTGTAGACAACGTGTGTTATGCCAATTCTCGACGTGCTGCTTCCGTTTCCATCCTTGGGAGGCGGGCTGCTGGGGTTCCACGGCCAACTCTTGACGCACTTCGCACCCATCTGAGTCAAGAGCTCAACAAAGATGCCACTGGCATCAGCGCCCTCGCTCGTATGCACGTCAACAAACACGACTGCTCCACGCAACAAGGCCGGATCCACGTCTCGCTTGGGAGTCCTCGCCGGTGTTCCGGCAACTGACCAGCCAGCATCAGACTTGGATGGCGTCTCTGGTGGAACGGAGCCAGCACGCTGACTCTCTCCCTCCGCATGATCAGCCAGGGCGGCCTCGAAGCTGTTTTGCTGCCGCTCTTTCTTGCTCGGCGAATACGAGATGACTGTGGCACTTCTAGTGAGCCCACCCGTCGGCCGATTGGTCGACATGGGCAGTCGTGAGATGCTGTGGCTGCGTTTCCTGATGACTGGACGCGGCGACGACTCATCCGCCGGCTTGAGTGGTACCTTGGAGACGGTGTGGAACTCCCGAGTCGTGATCGGTCGCTTGGGAGTTGTCGCCGGCACGCCAGGGGAAGTCTTGGCTCCCAGAAGCGTAGGGTCTATCGGGATAGAGTTCTCGTCGCCATATTCCTGGCTGGCCTCCGAAGTACTGTCATCATACTGATCCTCGATGAGATCCCCAAGGCGATCCGGCTCCATGAGTGACATCTCGTTGGCCTCGGCAGCAAGTGCCATGTCCTCCTCCGTGGGAGTAATCTCCTCGAAGACCGGAGTCTCGACATCTTCTCCAAAGCTCTCCTCCCTAGGCGATTCGGCCTCATTACTGCAGTCTGCGGCAGGTCGGACGGACATCTCGTCATCAAAGTAGGTGGATCTTGCTGGAGACTCTTCGAGCATGGATGCCTCTCCACGGTTCACAGTGAGGGTTGCTTCAGGTTTCGCAACAGGGGTCTTGTCAGATTCGACCCGATATCCGGTCTTGAGTGGGCTGCTGGCCTTCCAACCGCTGAGTTGATCAGCCAAAGGTGTGAAGCCAAAGTTGGTGGTCCTTCGCTTGATCATGCTACCACACGAAGATTTGCGCGCGGTGCCGTTGCTCTTGGGTGTGCGCGAGCTTCCACTAGGGCAAGGGGTAGCCGGGACTCCGAAAAGCGACTGCGCACTACGTCGGGCTTTGCAGGACGACTCATCGTCCGACTCCGAGTCTGCCTCGTCGTAGGGATCCAAGTCTTTCTGCCTCAGACTGAATGAAGGACGCGCTGGCTGCTGGGGCACAACCTCCTCAGTCGTCGGCGACTCCACCACAGGGACAGCAGTGATCTCGTCGACCTCCATGGGATCGCCCAGATCTTCGGCAAAGTCACTCTCTGCGGCAATTCCAGTGGCAGCATTTGCCTCTGTAATCTTGGGCACCGCCAGCAAGGTGTCCTTCAGAGCAGGGTCTGCATGTCGTGGGAGAACCGCAGATAGTCTGCCTGGGAATTCAAGATCTTCGGGTGACTCCAAATGTTGGGTCTCCTCGCTCATAGCCAAAGCCACCTCGGACTCTTCCTCGACAGCGTCGCTAGCCTTCGCACTAGTGAAAGGATCATCCATGACGGGTGTGGCAAGTAGTGTGGATTTTGGTATAGGGGGCCCGTCCAGGTTGTCCGACCCCTGTCTCCTGGATGGTGCAGAGGCCTTGACTGGCGAGAAGGGCCTCTTGGCCGGAGATCCAAGCAACGACAACTTGAAGGGTGAACCAGGCTTCAGATCCGCCGGGTCTCTAGACTGAGATGACTTGACAGGGGATTGAGGGCGCTTGGCCGGAGACTGAAGAAGAGAAACTTTGAAGGAAGTCGGGTTGGCTTTCTGCGTGCCATCTGTGCTGGGAGGCTCCAGACTAGCTGCAGCGGGGCCTAGTCGCCGAGCAGGTGACTTCATAGTGTCTTTGAGAGGAGAAGGGGGTGGCCTGCGAGCAGGACTGCCCAGGATGATGGAAGAAAGCTCTCGAGGGGCAGTGCTGGATTCAGTCCGCTCAGGAGAGAGAGGCTCCGCAGGCTTAGGCTCGGTTCTGGCGCTTGCTGGTGGCTTGACTGGGCTCTTCAAGAGCGGCTTGTAACGCGTCTCTTCCATGACGCCCAGCTCGTCGTCCGAGTCCATGTCTCTGCAGGCAGCCACCTGGGTGACTTTCTTGGGACTGAGAGGGACGGCAGGTTTATCCTCCTTGGCGTCATGGGCTTTCGTTGTGCGAGTAGAACGACCTGTCTTGGTGGCGACAGCGGCACGGCGCACAGGCTTTGCCTTCAGCCCGGTGGCGGCGTCCGAAGATGTTGCAGTAGCCTTGGATTTTGAAGCGGGGGCCGGGATAATGTTCTCCTTCTCGGGCTCTTCGAACTTGACCGTCTTCTTGACCGTGGTGGACTTTGTCGTAGTTCCGCTCCGGGCTCTGGTGGTCTTCTTGGCGGGCTCGGCAGATGCATTTGCCGACTCGTCTTCTGGCTGGACCTTCTTTGCCCTTGCAGTCCTGGTTGCCTTGACAGGCTCCGACTTTACTGGTTCGGGTGCCACCTTTTTGGCTGGGCGGCCTCGTGTCGCTCGTGCCGGAGCTGCTGTGGACTTCGACTCTGATGCTGGGTGCTCTTCGACAGCAACCTTCTTTGGGCGTCCCCGTGTGGGTCTTGTGGCCTTCATGGCTGCTGGCTGGTGCTCAGTGTCAAGCTCGTCGTGGTCATCGTCGTCTTGGTCGATGTCCTCTGATCTGAGTTTCCTCTTTGTTGAGGTGGTGGTTGTGCGGGTCGCTTTGGCCTTGGTGGCGGCAGTGACAATCTTTGTCGTCCTTGTAGAAGACGTGTCCGCGGCCTTCGCAGCTGCCCTGGCCCTGGTCATCCGTTTCGGCGGTGATTGAGGGTCCATCTTGGCTGCTGGATGAGCGCGTCTTTGTCCGGGTAGTTGCGATGTAGTGGTCGGTTAAGTGATTTGTTTAGGTCCGATGGTGGCAGGAAGAAATCATCGAATGCGAAGAAAGACAATACTGCAAGAAGAAAAGATTTGTCGATATTTACAAGACTTACTTACAGCTCGATGTTGTCGTCGTTGGTCGTTAGTGGTTGTTCTGGAAGGTGTGTGAGGTCGAGGTCAAGGTCAGGGTCCCCCACGCCGTAATAAACAGGCGTCGTTGCTGGGCAACCACGCGAGACTCACCGCACCTTGGCAGCAGGTCTCCACCAATTTATTAGGGGGTACCTCAACTATCCATCCCCAACCCCAGGCCCCGACGTCATATCCTTGTCCAGAATAGGCCGACGTCAACAACAAACAATCCACCAAGCTGGCGCTGATTTGCGGCAGATGCAAGCCATCTCAGTGCCGGCTCAACTTGAAATGTTGCCGCTTCTTTTTTGTCTATTCCTGAGAAGCTCGCTGCGTTTATGACGGTGCCATCTCGGTCTACATAAGTACGTACCTACGTGCAAACAGTGTCAACACTGGCGATTCTCAATCACCAAAGCCAAGTGCTGCATGCCAGGTTTTTACTTTCAGGGTTCTGGATGGACAGGCATTGCAACTGCATCAGAATTTGAAGGTCGTCCCTGGAGCCCTTCCAAGGCTGTTGTGTTTTCCAAAACTGGTCGCACCAGTAAGGCCTTGGGATTGGTCTGCATCTTTCTTGCGTGGGGTGTGATATGTCGTTCGTGAGACAAGCTCTGCCAGGACATCCAAGCTAAATGCCAATGTTAACACAGTCAAGTCATACATACTCCGAGATATGAACCGGCTCAGCATGTCCATAGGCTATCTACTCAGGAAGGTCTCGTCACGTCAGCCTACGTTATGTGCTCACACACCTCAATAATGCACGCAAGATGCAGCAAATCAAGGAAGAAAGTCAGTCAGCGCATCCCTCTACCTAGAGCCCTGTCAACTGCGATTCCCGCCATGAACATCCATTCTCTACACCGTTCGATGAGGCACTTTTCCCAAACTCTTTCGGATGTTCCCATGCTTTGATCGGCCCGCCTTGTAAAGGAGGTACTCCGTAACTAGCACATGCAAGGACCTGAACCACCCAGCCAGCCAAGTTTCTCCCCCGCAAAAGCCGCTTCGGTACCTCGGGGGGACTGCGAAACGTTCATGCAAGGGCCCAACCCCTTTCGAGCCGCAGAGCAAGCCTCTGCGGGATCTTGCAGGGCATTTGAACTAGTTAGCTCCCCAAGGGTCCTTTTGGGGCTCCTATGGACAAGACCAAGTCCGTACGCTCCGTACGAGCATCTGGATGGAATGCTTGTCGGGTTTTTAAGACTCCTTAGAGAACATACCTGACAACTAGGTGCAAGACACTCAAGAGCCAGAGACTGTTCGACAGCCGTCTGAATTGGAATGGAGGCCGCTCAATGGCGACGCTCTCACTCATGCCAACCCCCCAGGTATTAAGCTTTCTCCAAGAAACCCTCTCCGCGTTAACTGTAAGAGGCAGCCCGAAAACAATAGCATCGGGGCTTCACATCGACTCAGTTGATCTCGGCATCCTCGGAGCTCACCGAACCCATCAGCCTTGATGCCCCATAAATTGCGGTTCCCGCGTATTCGCGAGCTGCGTCACACCCCAGGCTATGATCTTATCTGCATAGACAGCCAAGAAAGGTAACAGGTCAGCTCGTACAAATCACCACACGTTAGGCCCAGCAAGGGAGCATCAGACAAGAAGGAGTAAGGTCTTGCACGTAGCAAATCACCGCAACTGGGGCTATGCCCATCAGCCCTCATCGTCAGCCACCACTCCGCGTTGCTGTATCGGCCTGTCGTAAATAAATCCAACCTCCGCCACAGCGTTCCAATACTTCCCTCTTCTTGTATAAGATTGGCGTGGACCCGATTGTCTCGGCGCTGCCAGCTCAGGTCATTCATTGATCCTCTATTAGCGCCTGTTCATCGGGCCTCGTCCGTCCCCCAAAAAGCGAAACCGAAAGTGGGTAGCTCACACACACACAGAGCCCTTATTATAGGAATTTGAGGCTCTTGGAGTCGGAGTTTATATCGAAACTATATCTCACTCTCATTACATTATCTCCCCTCCTTCTCATCCACTGCTGCTTGACCTTGTCACTCACTTGGCGCCCCCAGAGTGACAGTGCGACTTCATTTTTTTTCTTTGCGCCAAGCAACAGGCGCACGCGACACCAGCACCGAGAAAAGAAACGGAAAAACATAAGACACAATGCTACATCACATGGTGCTGTTGCCCCTGGCCCTCTATGGCGCCGGACTAGCCGGGGCCACCCCCCTCTCAGAGCAGCCGTCGTCGTCGTCGTCGTCAAGGCTACGCGGGGTGGAGGCCATCGACGTGCGCGCCCTGCCCAACTCACCGTCCGGCCGCTACGCGCCCAAGGCCGTAGACTGCCCGGCGCAGAAGCCCACCATCCGCAGCGCCGCGACGCTGTCCAAGTCAGAGACCGACTGGCTGAAGCTGCGGCGCAATGCCACCGTCGACCCCATGGCCGACCTGCTGAAGCGGGCCAACATTCCCGACTTTGACGCCGCGGCTTACATCCGCCGGGTCGCCGGGAACGTGTCACAGCTGCCCAACATTGCCATCGCCGCGTCCGGCGGCGGCTACAGGGCGTTGCTGAACGGCGGCGGCTTCCTCGCTGCTGCAGACAGCAGGACGCCGGGGTCAACCGGCAAGGGTGGCATTGGCGGCCTGCTGCAGGCCTCGACCTATCTGGCCGGCCTGTCTGGAGGCGGTTGGCTTGTCGGCTCCCTGTACTCCAACAACTTCTCGTCTGTCGTCCAGCTGCGCGATGGTAGCCCAGACTCTAGTGTTTGGAAGTTTGACCGGTCGATCTTCCAGGGTCCTTCTAAGAGCACCGGTTTTTCGATCCTTAACACGGCCAAGTACTGGAGTAATGTTGCCGACGCCGTCTCTACCAAGGACGACGCCGGCTTCAACGTTTCTATCACGGACTTCTGGGGCAGAGCTCTGTCATATCAGCTCATCAACGACACCGACGGCGGGCCGGCCTACACCTTCTCCTCCTTCGCCGACTCGGACTCGTTCAAGCAGGGCCAACAGCCCTTCCCCATCCTGGTCGCCGACGGGAGGGCGCCCAACACGCAGATCATCTCGTTGAACTCGACCGTCTACGAGTTCAACGTGTTTGAGATGGGCTCGTGGGACCCCTCCACCTTCGGATTCGCGCCGACCGAGTACCTAGGTTCCAACTTCTCCAACGGGCAGATCGAGCAGAACGGCCACTGCGTCAGGGGCTTCGACCAGGCGGGCTACGTCATGGGCACCTCGAGCTCGCTGTTCAACCAGTTCCTGCTGCAGGACATCAACAGCGTCCCCGACGTGCCCAAGTTCGTCCTCGACGCCGTGACCAAGGTCTTCAAGGGCCTCGGCGAGGACAGCAACGACATCGCCCAGTACCAGCCGAACCCCTTCCTCGACTACAACCCGTCGACCAACCCCTCGGCCAGGTCGCAGGAGCTGTCGCTCGTCGACGGCGGCGAGGACCTGCAGAACATCCCCCTGCACCCGCTCATCCAGCCCGTCCGCGGCGTCGACGTCATCTTCGCCGTCGACAGCTCCGCCGACGTCAACAACTGGCCCAACGGCACCGCCCTGCGCGCCACCTACGACCGCTCCAAGGGCCAGATCGCCAACGGCACCCTCTTCCCGCCCGTGCCCGACGAGCACACCTTCATCAACCAGGGCCTCAACCGGCGCCCGACCTTCTTCGGCTGCGACGTGCGCAACTTCACCCTCCGCGCCGGCCAGGTCGCGCCGCCCCTCGTCGTCTACGTGCCCAACGCGCCGTACACCACGCTCAGCAACGTCACCACCTTCCAGCCGAGCTACACAAAGACGCAGAGCAACGACATCATCCGCAACGGCTACGACTCGGCGACGCAGGGCAACGCCACTGTCAATCCAGACTGGCCCGTCTGTCTGTCGTGCGCGATCCTGAACCGCAGCTTCGGCAAGACCAACACGACCGTGCCAAAGGCGTGCGCCGACTGCTTCACCAAGTACTGCTGGAACGGTGTGCTCGATACGAAAGACAACGGCCCCTACTATCCCCAGTTTATCATCGGCAATCAGACGACCAAGGAGAATGCAGCCGTGGGTAGAGCGACGGCTGGTTCAGCTTCGGTTCTGACGCTGGCAGTTGGTCTCGCGGTTTTGTCTGTGCTTTAAGCTTGTAACGATAGATGAGCGAATCCAGATCAGCTTCGAGCTCGGTTGCTCGCGTGCATACGGATTTACCAAGACATATCAGGTCGGTTAGGATAGTCTCCGTGGAGAATAGGGGCAATGTTCGAGCCTGGCGTTCAATAGGTTATTTTCAGGGGGTTTCTCAAACTTACAATCTGAAGAACACGGATCTTTGCAGACGGGTGAGCTGTTAACCTCACATCCAAACTTTCTATTCCAGTGGCATATATGGGAACCTTCCATCAACCTGTATGATTCGCTCCTTCAAAATGCGTCTTGATATCATACAACAGGCATACAACTGCTTCTCTCATTTCGCCATAAGGGAACAAGGAAAACCACATGACGTGATAACAGCGCCATGACAAAGCTCATAAGATAACAAGGACAATATGATCGCTTGATGTAACATTGTGACCAAGATGTCTAGGGAATAAAAAAAAGGGCAATTCGAAAGCAAAAATAGCAGCAAACGCTTTTGAACATGAAAATGCATTCTGGAGACTGGTATTTCGATAAACCACCAGAACAAAACACGGTCTACTGCGACCATTTCAAAACTGAGGCCGTTCCAACGTTGGGGTAATGTGAGGTTGTGCGTGTAGCCGGCGGTGACACCACGATTGTCACCGAAACGTATTACGGTAAGGGCCTTCCACCTTGACATCTTTGATTCCTTCTGGCATGGCTCGTAACCACTCGGCCCAAGTATCCAAGTTCAGAACTTCGTCTGTCAGCCGGATCGTAAGATTAACCATCGGTCCGTTGGGATCCAAGTCCGTGCCAAACGGCAGGCCTTTCCTAATAGGGGCCAATAATATCGATGGGATCTGGGTATTGCCCGACATTTGCATGTGCAATGGCGATGGAAAACTCGTGATTGTTTCCTTTTCAGGATTTCGATCTTGGATAACTCGAGGGTAGAGTGACAGGAGCTTGGCGTGGAGCTCCGCGGCCGAGAAGGGGTTCATGAACTTCTGATTCGCACGTGTTCGAAGGAGGTCGGACACCATGCGGGTAAAGGTACTCCGATCTAGTAGTCGAACATGGTCCTCGCTTGCGGACGCGGCCACAAGTTCCAACACACCTCGTTGCCGGATCATCTTGGATGATGGGTAGTAGGCCGCGTCCATGAGCAGCAACGTGTCAGAAGTAGCGTCTTCAAGAATCTGCTGTATGCCGCTCCATCTAATCGTCGAAGCTGTGTCTTTATTTTTCGAGCTGAAGAAAACCATCTGTATGAGCCTGTGAAGTGGTCCGGCCGCAAAGGGGTGCTTACCTTGCTAGAACCATTTCCCGATTAGCATCCAGAAAGCTGTAGCCATTATAATAGACAATGTTCATGACGTCGCGATGGTCTCGCTCATCAACGAGTTGGCTGATCTTATTCGACAACCACCGCCAAGGACTTTTGCCCAAATCAGGTACCGACGGGATTGCGACCAATTCTGAAGTGTAATGGTATTGTTTCTCAAGGACGATCGCAAGGTCTTTTATAGCATTGCCCGTCTCGATATCCACGTCTTCATTCCAGTACAGCAGCAACGCGTGTGCTGCATTATACCGATTGCGATGGGGATTCGAGATGATTCTTGAAGCAACGGACTGCAAGTCGTTCCTTATACTGTCGATACCCGGTAACGCCGCCGATGCCAGCTTTTCAAGTCGAGGTCCAGAAGGTAAAGGTGTGCGGATACGCGAGTCGTTAAGTAGCGACCTTCCCATGGGCTGACCAGGTGTCGGTGTTGTATCAACATCCATCTCCGGTGGGTCATGCGTGAACAACCCTTTCAAATTTCCAGGGGCCGGGCTCAGAGGATGGACGGCGAAAGGAGCGAGCTCGGGCATAGAAGCACTGTGAGTCTTGTACTTGGTCAGGGCATCTTCCCAAGTCATGTTGTGGTGGCTCGGATGGCACTGTCTTTTGTTAGCATCCCAAGACCAAATGCAACCGCTGTGCTGGTTTTCAGCGCGTCGTAACTCACAGCAACTCTCCTGCGCCGGCAATCTGAGCATGCTCCAAGTTTCCTAATAAGGGCTGCCTTTTCGCGCTGCTGCGCCGACAGTGGACCTGTGCGCCGCCGGCTGGTCCGGCGATTGTTGATGTCGGCACCGTCTTTCACGGAGAATATCCCCTGACTCGGAAATGTTGGTGACGAGTCTGCACTATACGACGTGGCAACACTGTCAAGAGATGCCATTGTCACGGCACTCGCGCTGGTCGCCGTGGTCGAAGTCGACGACGTCGTGTCCTTCCTTACCGGCGGTGAGGCGGAGGGACTATGATGATCAGACCTCCCCACAGACCCGGGTGACAAGGGTCGCTGCTGTGCTTGTCGAAGCTCATCACTCTTTGCCGGAGGAGCCTCGGAGAGACTGGGTGCTGGATGCATCCTTTCCGGTGGACTCGGGGGGGCTTCGAGACTTGACGCTACCTCATCATCAGAGGCTACCGCGGCCAGAAGCCCCAGTTGGGAGCGACAGCGCCTTGTTCTTGTTGGAACCTGTGCCAGAAACAGATCGTCCAGAATCTAGTACGGCGAGAGCAGCTTAGACAAGGGATCGGAAGTCTGGCTCTAGTTCCCGGGGAGCACAGTACACTCGGTCAGCAACAGGAGGTGGCAAGCTGCTGATCAACACTGGGAGGCTCTTCGATCTAGTCTTTCCGTTCTTTTAATAGTATTCGACTCTAGGTCACAAAGAGTACAGCCAGGAGGGAGTTCGAGACAAGTCGAACAAAAGAGGGAAGACAGGAACTGCCCAGATCAAATAACGCCGAAAAGCCAAGCTGCGGTTTCACAAGTTCACTTAGTGCCTGTGATTGTACATGATGCCCTAGCAAGGGAAGCATGAAAGGAGGGTACCACAGGCGCGCAAGCGACGAAGGTGTGAGTGGGAGGGTTCGTGAATCCCCGACGTAGCTGGATAGGTATGGGTAAGTCCAGGGCTGGGTAGGTAGGTATGTATATGGTTCGCCCAGTGTCGAAACGGCGCAGATCGTGTGTAATTCCAAGTGGCACCCGTCCAAAGTGGCGGCGCCGTAGGATCTCTAGTACCGCACAACGGTAGCACAAGAGAGACAATATGGTGCTAGGGAAGAAGCAAGAGGGCCAGTGGTAGAGGTACCCTTGCCTGTCGCTGAGCGCGCGTATGGGCCCCGCCGATTCGACAGTGTGTGTGATGGGGGTCGAGCGGGTAGGGTCTAGTGTTTGGCTGGCGATAGTCTTTGAACCGGTCAAGCAGTTTACGGTTAATGGCAGTCCAGTCGGGCGAGTGTCGTCAGTGCTAATGGCCCGGCCGGCATGCTGGCTAAGACGCTTGCTTGACAAGAGAGGGGCGCCGATGGAATGGGGTCCAAGGGATTAGAAACTCAGATCGCGACCAGGAACCCCGGTGCAGGAATCGGAGCGATGCCGGATGGCTCCAGGTTTGCCCCAAACGGCCTCGACAAGAGCTCGGATCAGAATGCCGCTTTGCGAGCTGTGGGGGGGCCAACAGGTGAGGAGAGGCCTGGTCGTGTGGTATATGAGGAAGAAGAGGAGGAGTGAGGGATGACGATAATAAAAAGAAACAAGAACAAGAATATGACACCCCTTATTCTTACAAGCACGGGCGAAAGTGAGGTTATACAAATGGTAGGTAGCCGGGACAAGTGATGATAGATAATACACTAATAAGCATACAATGACGAACCCAAAGAAGGAAGGGCGGGGAGGGCGAGCGTGCTAGACAGGCAGGTACCTGATATTTGCCTCGACACGGAAGCCACGACGGAGAGGCGCTGTCTGTCTCCGGCATGGAAATGGATATGGCCAAGGACCAGGACATGGATATGGTAGGTAACGGGTTTTATGAACACACACAACAGATGCATTGGATCTCGACCCGTCTGTCCTTTTCTCAATCGAGCCCGAGTGAGTGTGAGCCGTTATGGGCTCTCAACAACCCACCACCCTCTCACCCTCTCTGCCTCCCTCGCTCTTTTTTTCCCTCTCTTTCTTTTCCGGCAAGTCGCTGGAGCCGTCACCACGTGGACCCTGTGAATCGTTCGTCTACCTCCTTTCACGTACATATTCCGTACAGCAAAGTACTTTCGTGGACAAGAGAGGCACGGGCGGCAGCGGCTAGCTTTGGGCTCCCCAGAAGGTACCTTTTCCTTTGCACCGGGAGGGCTCAATGCTGGCAAGCAGAAGATCATTGCAGCTCTCATCTAGGGACCCGCATCGGCCAAGTCATGGACATCAACGGCGGTAACGGCATCGGCATTGTCAACCGCGAAGATCATGGCACCCAAAAGGCAAGATTGGGTCGAAAGGAACGAGAAGAAAAGGATCCCTCCCTCGCTTACTGTCTCCTTCGCCTCCTTTAATGTGATCTATGTCTCACAAGAGGGTGTCGGAGTTCCAAAAAGCACCAGAGCCCCGTCCATCACATCGTCCTTCTTTTTTTATTAATTTTGCCTCTGCCGCGCGCACAATCTCGATGCAGAGACGCAGGTTGACGTTCAGCCACAATGCCTGCATGCCACGCACACACCACGCTGACACGCCGAGCTCATCTTCTTGTTTTGTTTGCCCGATAACTAGCCCGACCCGGGGCAGACGCAGACCCCAGGCAGGAGGACAGCGTGCGCTACCAGCCTGCTGCGGCCAGCCTTGTCTCCAGCTGCTTATCCGATAGGCCGTGTCTCGGTCGCCTGGCTCTCAGCGAAACCCCAGCGGCTATCAGCCGTAGATCTGAGAAGGACTGTACGTACTCCGTACGTGGCCGTGGGATTCTTTCCGTGGCCATCGCTTGAACCACCCCGTTCCTCCACAATGTCCCGCCTCCAGCCAAGGGATCGAGCTACCTTTGATAAATTCCAAGGTTCTCGCTGCGCGCTCGCTTAAAATGAGAAGCCACCATCTGACCGGACGAGGGTTCGCCGGTTTAACCCCGGTCAAGCAGGCGGGCGCTCGCGCATGGTACGGCCAGAGATGTTCAGGCAAGCCTGTCAGCTTTGTGCCTGACCCTCCCTTCTCTGCCCAAAGTCCCCATCATATCATCCCGTCGTTCGGCGGAGACGACAGCCCAACCTAGACTCTTTTCTATCACACAGCACGGCTCCTGCTTCAAGCCCCTGGTCCCTGGGTCTGGTCGTTTGTGTGCCCACAGGCCGAGTCTTTACCGAGATGCGTGCAACAACGCCCAGGATTAGATGCATCCCAACCTTTGTTGAGTCTCGTTCTCTTGCCCATTCGTTACTCACAGGCTGCGTTGCCACTGGTGCCAAGCTCAAGCCACAGGGAGTATCCGTCCACCGTCGCATCCAAGTTCTTCACACGTCTCCCTTCTCCCGCCCGGTGTGCTTTTCTCTCGCTCAACGGCCTCGAGGTGGTCGCCGCTCACTCTGCTCACTCTGCACACCCTACCTACCTACTTGCTTGTTGACCTACCTACTTGGTCCCGAACGACCTACCCACTCCGTCCAGACTTGACCTTTCGTGCGACGATGCCGCTGCCTCCCTCTTGACTCTCCACTTCAGATACAACGTGCCCGAACACAAACTCAGTCAATGGTTGCGACGAGCTCCTACCTTTCCCCGGACGCCCCTCTACCCGCGCCAATGGACGGATCGTAGTCCCGGCGAAAAGCTCAACGGCCCATGGTACGCACATGCTTTGGTTCCATCAGCCGATGCTGAGCGTACATGCCATGCCCGTGCCCGTACCGTACACATATCTGACCGAGCAGACCTTACCTATACTATGCTATGCTCTTCGATACATAGTCAGAGGCCCGACTAATAACCGGACGGGGCTTATTTGCCTTCAGCTGCACCCGGCCGAGTGTATTTCCCCCACCTCGGCTTGACTCGATTTGGACATCCCACGACGTTGCAAGACCAGGGTCGTCTTTCCGCGATCGCCGACGGAATTGGCTTACCTACTGCCCACCTTGGTAGGTCTGAAGGACAGTATGGAGCGGCCAGACCTCTATCACCGCCGCACAGCATCCCTTGGTTTATGATTACTTGATTGCTTGACCAGAGTGATAGCTGAGGGCACGGGGGCGGGCGGGGTCCTGGAATGGGACCTTGATGCTGGTCTCTCCGCTGTCCTGCTGCCGGGCAAATTTCGCGCTCCATCTTGTCCATTTTGTCCCGGCCTATCACTCATCAGATCTACCCGCCCTCAATCTTGTTTCTTTTCTGATCTGTCGCATCCTGTAGTTGGGCGTGCAACAACCCGTGAAGGCCACCCCCCTTCCCGGTCTGAGACGTACGTCCTCGAACGCTCCGGCGCGGCCTATCTGCTTTATCTGATCTCGATGCACCCAGCTCTCTCCCCACTGCTTATAGGGGTAACTAACAGGAACTATCTTTCCAGGTGTTGGTCGCACATGAACAATGGAGCCGTTAGTTTCGCGCCAGTCCACATTTCTCATCAGCTCCTCCTCCTGCTTGCTTCTTTTCCGGCACAGGCATGCGGTGCGTACGCGACACCGGGGCCCTTGGAGCTACTTGTAGATTCTCTCCATCATGATGTCGGGGAGTCGGGCACGGGCTCGGTGGGGATTCTTTCGAGACTTATTCACAAGCCGAGGCTTGAGACCAGCCTCGTTCGAGGCTAGCTCTGCTCCGAAACGGGGGGCCTCAAAAATGGGTTGTGGGAAGCTCACGCCGTGATTCCCAACGCTCAAAGTCCAAGGCCCGAGACCTCGATCCGGCTTGTTGGGGGCTCCTGTGTGTTTCCTTGTGCACCATCGGGCTGAGCCGCGTGAGATTTAACCTTTGACAGCTTGGGGGTGGGTTCGTCACTCTGTTTTTCCCTGTCTGGACCATCCATATGAGGGATTTAGATTATGAAGAGGCAGGCAAGCCAGAAAGGCACTGCCATGTGGCCCAATGGTGCACGAGAGAGCAGCACGGCAGACCGTTGACCAAGTGTGGCAGCTTGTCGCCGGTTGGGGGGAGAGACGGACAGCCATGCCTAGTGTAAATGAGACTGAAGTGTACCAAAGTACGCCGCCGGGTGCCGAAGGTCAAGACTTGCATCATTGCATGGCGCAACGGAGAATCCACCAATCTCTGGATTTCGGCCGCGGAAAGCTCGTCGAGCTCACGCACGTTTGCAGGAGGACCCTTGTCGTCGGGCTGGACCTTGGCCCAACTAGGGACTGCCAGGAAGGGCTTTTATGGGGGTGGGAGCTAGGGTGAGAATGCAGTTCGTTCGGCATGGCCGCTCAACACACTCAGCTCCAGGTCAGTACGTAAGACCTGACTGACCCGGGTCGGCTCGAGGTTGTGACGGGTACGACTATGCACGCGACTGCCAGACTGCAGCATCTTGCAGACTCGGTGTTCACCAGAGGATCCCGTAGCCGCCCAAGGAGACTTGATATCCGTCACAAAACAAGCAGTTGGTCACAAGTGTGCAGGGGTCGAGCTTTTGCCGATACAGTGCTGTACCCTAAGAAGCCGTCCTGTCAAGTCATTTACAGGACCCTTTGCCTTCTTTCGAGCATTGTGTTGGTGGTCTTGTATAAAGTTGAGCCATGTCTGTTTATGCACCTTTTCTAGACGATGCAGCATGCTTGGGATCATAGTAGTAGAATGGCTTGGGCCTGGCCCTGTTTTGAGATGAGCTTGGGTTGCATACACTTCTTGCTTCGAGGGCATCAGGCTACCACGACGCACGTTGCCACCACAATCATTCGAGTTTGACGAGGCAGGATGTTCGAGAACCTACCGATCCAAGCCCCATCAAGGCAGCCAAAGCAACGCTGACCTGCCGGATGTGGGAACTCGGTCAGGTGTAAGCGTTGATCAGTTGGAGTCGTCAAGAAACTCACCGTGGCTGCCAGTCTCACTTCTGATGAGCCGAGAAGCGGTGCAACGGAGACGACGCACAGCTTGTATCGACAGGTGTGCTACACCAGCCATGCCTTGGAGAGTACTACCCAGGTGTTTATTTGGTGGGAGTGTGGAACAGGATCCAGTTCGACTACATGTTTTGCAGCACATTAAGCAGTCTTCGGACGTCAAGACACACCATAACAAGAGTAAGAAAGTTCTACAGATAATAGCATCTTTGCAAGTGGGGACAGTAGAAGGAGGAGGAGGAAGACGTGGAAGGGCATTGTGGTACTTGAACACGATAGGGTTTGCTTGAATTACCAGGGCGGCGTCGTAATTTCGGCGATATGGAAGCACTCCAGTTGTACCGTGAATCTGTTCATCTTAGAGACAACCTTTTCCCTTATGACATACGTTGATATTTGAGAAGACCAGGTGGAGGAGCTCTTGTGCTTTTTTCATTGATCCACCGCCAATGAGGACAGCGTAACCCCCTTTGCTCTCCTCCCCGAGCGATGCTCGTGGGCCAAAGGTGTATTCCAAACATTGAGAGGTCGTGCATTCCCAAGACATTCACAAGGAAGTTTCTATTTGAAATTATCTGATTTCTCACCTTCTTGATTGCAACTCGGGTCCAGTACAATGTGCGATCGCTCTTTGAGGCGTTCGACAAGATTAGGTTGCGTACTCGAAGCCTGGAGGGCAATCAGGGGTGAGTGGGAGAAGCATGCGAGGCCTGCTGAGGAGTGTACTCGGTTTCTCACCTGTATGCTATGCAAGCCCCAGGTTCTGTTTATCGTCACCTATACCCTAATCTAATATTAGGAGTTGTGTGCCAGATACCTTGTTCGCTGGTCCAAGAAAGGCTTGGGTGTACTCACCGTCCATTATGCCCAGAATTCTCCATACCAACAAGTACTAAATAACAGCGGCGCAGTTGACTCGAAGGAATTCGTCTTGAGGTGTGTCAATAAAGGCTCTCGCAGGTGCGACGATCCTCAACTCGTTCTACGAGACGGCCGTCAACTCCTCCTTGATCACTTCGTCCACAGCAACCACTGCGAACCCGGAAGTGGATTTTGTAGGGACTAGCTTTCAGCCTTTTCCCCAGTCTGGTGGCCTCAAAGGGGGTGGATTGAACCTCGATGAGAGACCAGCAGATGGAAGAAAATGGCTGAGAGCCTGAGAGGCAAGTGGCTCCAGCCACGACTACCGCTCAGTGAAGCACCACCCAGAGCGTGACTGATCGTCTCCGTTACGGAAGGCCTCCGCTGGCCTAGGTAGCTGCCTTACCAACTGTATTCCTGGAAAAGAGCATTTTCTCGAATTGTTTTGATCTTCTCCAGGGTCAACTACTAGGCAATTTACACGTGTTGCCTTGCTGGATTGCACATGGCTGACCAAGCTGGCTCTTGACCTGGGAAATGTAACACTCCAAGCTGTCTGACTGGTTCCTTTGACGGAACATTCAGTCACATATATGCAAGTCTACAGCAAGGGAAACAGGGAGATCCTGCACGCAAGATTGGACCCCGACGCGCGATCAAGATGGAGGAGTGACAACTCTTACATGCCAGCTGTCCCTCACAAAGGTAAAGACCAAGCAGATTAGCAGCCGAGCGCAACGAATGGAGTTGCAATCAAACACTTGAATTACGTATGTTTATTGCCAAGTCCTGAAAAGTGCATCATCAAGTACCGTGCCTCACGATAGTGTAACATACTGTCCTTCAAAACTCGTGCCTAGCGAATTAAGAGCTGTTTCTGTCTTCGCCTGCGAACAAGGCCGCACTTCTTCTCACAACCCTCGTAAACAGAGAAAGACAACAAATGGGATAGTCTATTGTACTTATTTCAACCGCTAGTCTTAGTTGTATTTCGAAATGCTGGTTTAGACTTGTGTCAATCTGCGTGTCAATTCAGGGATGACTGTACCTTGTGCCAGACCACTACGACGACACCTTGCTACAATGACTTCGGTCTGAGACAACCAATCTTTGATGTTGAATCCAATTTTGTCGCTTGAGCGAGAATCTACGAGATTGGCCCCCGTGTCTTCGGTTCTTTGGCCGCGTTGACGAGCGCTAGTCACTCCAAGGAAGGGGTCACCAAGACTGTGCTCAAACCGTCCTACGCGGACTTTGTTCCAAGCTTAGAGGTGAGAGAGAAAGAACTATCGCCGCATATGGATATCGTTACAATGATGGCCGGAGAAAAAAAAACGTTGGATATGCTGGCAAGGAAGATGATGAGGTCGACAGCCCACGAGAGCTTCAGACGTCCACATTCACCGCCGGGCCATCAGCAAATGCAAACCGGACACAGGCAACAACAAGCCTCTTCCAAATGACAAACTCGTCGTCGTCCCGCGGGGCATACACCATGACGTAGCTCAGCGGCCAAAATCCCCTGACACCGCTCAGCGGGTGTCGTTCGCCCCAGCCCCTTTCCAGGACCTCCTTGGAGTCAGCCAGGCTGAGGATCATGTGCGAGCTGCTCTCCCCGTGCGCGTGGCAGATCTCGCCCTTGGTACGCTTCGAGTAGCCGGGCAGCTCGACGCCGTCCGCCAGGAACAGAGCGGGCGTGCCGACGCCCTCCAGGTTGGAAGGGCTGGTCTTGAGCAGGCCCGGGTTCGCCGCGGCCAGGTCCTTGAGGAGCGTCTCCATGCGCGCCGTCATCGGCGGCGCCCCTTTCTGCGTCGTCTGCCGCTGCGGCGCCACGAAGCCGGGGACCGTCGGGCGGTCACCGGCGCGCGCGGGCAGCGAAGGGCCGGCCTCGCCGAGGAAGGACTCGTGGGCGTGCGGGCCGAGCGCGGCGCTGTGGCGCGCGTCGCCGAAAGGCCTGACAGTCGTGGTGTCGTGCCAGGCGAAGGGCTGGGCCAGGCCCTGGACAATCCAGCCAAAGAGGTTGTGAGGGATGCCGCCCTTCCCGAGGCTGAGGTAGGTCCGGTACGAGTCGGCGGCCCAGGAGAAGATTGGCGCTGTGCTCAGAGCCCCGATGGCTATGGCCGCGGCGATATAAGGGCGCGCGCGGGCCTGTGCCGTGAGGCGGTTTGCTAGCGAAATAGCTTGGTCCATTGTTCGTTGGTGATGGAATGATGAAGCTGGAAGCTGTTCAAACTAAATGGGCGCGTGATGATGGGCGCTCATCGAAATAAGATCCTTGGTTCTCAAATGACAACAACTGATGTATGTGCCTTTCAAAGACGTTGGCTGCGGCGCCAGAAAGGAAACTGGTTCAATTGATAGGAAACTCTCTCGGATCTTTATTACACGGTGCAATGTTGATAGGCACGGCATTGGAAGGCTCGGATCACCGAACGCCGAGTTCTCATGATGTCAGTCATCAGACGATTTAAGCTTGCGGTGGCGTCAGCTGTGCCGCAAGCCCGGAGGAAGCCGGGGAGAATGATCCTGCCAGCTCAGAGCGCGAATGAACAAACAGTTGGACTAGCGTTAGGATCTCAATCAAATCACCGAAAACACCGTCTCTCGTAAGTCCTACCCCGAGAACATCTTCGGTGGATCGGGTAGTACTTGGCTACCGGCGTACTACGTCGCAGAAGCTAGTCGGACCCGGACCCGGACCCGGACCCCGGGAACGGGTCGGTGCGGCTTGACCTAATTATCATGCCTGAGTGAGCATCAATGATTCTCTTGCACTTGATAGCCAAATCAATCTGAGTGTTTCACACGAGCAATCTCTGGTTAAGAAACATATTTAAGCAAGAGACACAAGGGTTTGTGATCACGATAGATTGTGAAACGCTTTGCTTTCTTCGCCGGCATGGCTCTTCACGCTCTGTGCCGCCCAAATCTAAGATCATTAAAATGCAACAGCCCGCATTCTCTCTCTAATCGAAAATGGCGAACTGAAAAAGTCGCGTGATGTGGCCAGACAATCCACACGAAATGACAAAAGCCCATCAATCCTTCACTCCTGACACCCGTGGTGAACTCCGCGATAGGGCGGGCGCTACACATTATCTATTTACAGGGGCTTCGAGGCGAAGCCGAGCTGCGTGTTGCCGCCGTGGAAGACGACAAACTGGCTCTTGAGGAAGATGTCGCCGTAGATGGCGAACGGCAGGTTGCCGACGGGCTGGATGCCGCCAAAGCAGACCGTGGCTGTCTCGAACGACTCGGAGTCGGCGGGGGCAAAGTTGATCAGCTCGCCGGGGACGACGGCCTTGTGCCCGCCGATGGTGACGGTGTAGTCGGGGAGCTTCTCCTTGCAGTCGAAGACGTAGCCGCCGGCCTGGCGGTTCATGGTGGCGCTCTTGACCTGCTTGTAGTAGGAGGCGACGAGCTGCTCGGGCAGCATGAGCAGGGTGGTGCCGGTGTCGGCGATGGCCTCGTGCGGCTGATTCACAGTCACGTTGTTGCCGATAGAGTAGCTGTCAGTGGTGAACTGCCAGAAACCGGCGGTGCTGTTAACATCAACAAAGGTGATGTCGCCGGTGAACTCGGTCTTGTCGATGAAGCCGAAGTTGTAGTTGCCGGCTGCAGTGATATACAAGTCAGCACATGCACACCAAGCAGTGAATCACGAGCGCAGGTCATTCTTACCTTCGGACTTCTTCAGGTTGGCAGTAAAGAGGGGCATGGCCAGGTCCTTCATAGCGTTGCTAAAGAAGGTCTTCTGCTTTTTGGGCTGAATCTGGTTGATAGAGTCAAATCCCAGACCGAGAAGTCCCGACGAAGCCGTGTCGTTTGTGAACGAGGCCGAAACTCTGGATGCCGACTCGATGGCCTGGTTCTCGACCGTAACACCACCAATGGTCACAGTGTCCGTGTAGACGGTGCCGGACGACTGACTGCCGTCACCATATCGGATGCTCCAGACTGAGCCCTCGACCTCCTTCGCAGTCGAGCTCTTCTCCATCTCGTAAAGCTTCTGTCCGTTGACCTGGGTCTTGGGAGTCTTCGAGCTGAAGACCCACAGGTCTGAAGAGCCGGTGTCGAAGTCCAGCATCAATTTCTGAGGCGGCGTGCCGATCTCGACCTCGGAGAGATACTCGACATCGAAGAGCTGAGGGACAGCCGATACCTCACCTAATTCAACATGTAAGCATCCTCATACCGCACTCGACGACACACACACACAGTCGCATGTGTGCTGGGGCCAGACGAACCTTGATCCGCGCTGGTAGCATTGTCGGTCGAGTTCCAACCCTGGCTGGCAAGGCCAGGATGGGCTAGCTTGACTCCAAGCTCCCTCAAAAAGTCCTGGATGGCGGCGAGGATGTCCTCAGGAATGGGCAGTCCGTACTTGGCGTAGACCTTGGCCACGCTCCTCAGGCCACGGTGGGACATGGAGAAGTCGGTATTGTGAACCATACCGATCTTGAATGTCAAACCGCCAAGGACCGAAATCTCCAGGTCCTTGGGACTAAGCTTCCTTGGCGCGGCAGATACCAGATTGCCGGAGGAAAGAAGGGACGCTGCGACAGCAGCGATGCTGAAGAACTTCATGCTGAAAACGTATCAAAAGGAACGGAGAAAGACTATGACAAGAAGCCCGCTCAGATGCCCACCGCAAGGAACGACGGAGGGGTGAGGAAGAAGAGCAATGAATGAAGGCAACGATATAGGAGCAAAAGGGAACGAAAAGTCCAAACGGCAGCCTGGTTCTAAAATGCAATGAAAGGGATGAAAGAAACAAGTGAGTGTAGAGCTATTAAGTGAGAGTGAATTGTCGCGACTATGCGGCAGAGAGAGTGAATGTGACAAGCTTTTGCCAGCCGAGAAGAAATTCATGCATCGTGCAGCGGCCGTCTTAAGAGGCCTCTGTCTCGACGTCGCGGTTGGACGTGGAGGCACGGGCAATGCTGTTAGAAGTTCTCGGCGTTTGTCGATCCTGTCCTGCGCAGGCCTGCGACAGGCTGGCGAAGCCGCGGCCCCATTGACAGAAATGTGGACAGCTACAGCTGGCTCCAGGTTATTTTGTGGGCGTCGACGAAATTGGAACTGGGGCCAGGGGCCGCGAGATGCCATGAAGTGCAGATCGAGAGAGGGCAGATGTGCAAAGACGTGCTGGGCTGCAATATGTCTGTGACATGGTTTAGATGGCCACGCTTGTGGCAGTGGTTGAAGCGGACGAACCAACTGCTTCGCCCGGACGATTCACATCTTGGCGTGGTGAACAGAGGGACGCATTGGCTGGCACAAGATGGAAGGCACTCTACTTGCAGAGTAGATCTCTCCTCACCTATTCTCCGATGGGACTCTGTCTTTTCTCCATCATGGCGGCAAGCCGTAGCCTCGGGCAAGCTTTCAGCACAGGGGAGGGATCTTCGGGACTGACCCTGGATCTGTGGCACTGCCAAGATGAAACATACCCATTGGAACCAAAAGCTTGGTGGTCACGCTGCATGCCATGACATTCGACGAGCGCAAACACGACAACGGCTGTGGTGCCCGTGTCGCCTGTGTCGCCTCTATGACTGTTTGTATGACTGAGGCTGGTAGAGGAATGGCTGAAGACGACGATGCAGGCTGGCAAGCCGCCCGTCACGGCAAGACACCCCCACGCCTGCTGGACGGAAGGGAGAAGCAACTGGGCAATATATCCTCTCACGAGTTCCAGACCTGGATTGGAGAAAGGGTCCCTAGAGGGGTTTGTGGAGGAGGAGAGATTGAGATCGCCTTGATACTTGGCCAGTCAAGCTAGATGTGGCTTTCATGCCAAGCCACCAATCGTCAATCGTTGTCGATCAGGGGTAACACCATCATGCCCCGCTGGCCGCTGGGAAGATGCTCCCGGACCAAGCAAGGCATGCACGCGGTAGTCTTTCTTTCCTCACGAACATGGTGATTTGCTCCAGCTGCTCCCACTCTTGAGCATGTGATTGTGATCAAGCTGTTTCCATGGATCTATCGGAGAATGATTGAACGCTCCTGTGGTCGAAAGCAGCCGAGCTGGTCTTTTACAATAGTGTCGACTTTGCGGGAATGGGAGCTTGTCAGAGAAGCGCATAATATGGGCGACTTATGATCCCCCTCTCTCAGACAGTGCTCCTAGTTCGACCTTGGCGAAACCAACCATGCGACGTTTCAATAGATTCACAGCAATGCTTGTCCTCGCGGCCGGAGGCAGATGCAACACGTGCCGACAGTATGTTGAGTGTACCCAAGACAACCCGTTACGATGTGTCAGCTTGGAGCTAGGTAGGTAGTTAGGTGGTGGCATTCGTCACAGGCGCGCGACAGCGTGTCTTACATAAGGCGGCTCGCCGAGATTTGTTCCGGGAGTACCAGTGATCAAATGCTAGACTTATCTCGTGCATCTCGACGCTGATGATTCATTGCAAGTCCCTATTCAGAAATGCCGATTTCGCATTACAAATACCGGTGAGTTGGAAAGTAAGTGCTACTGTTTTCTCGACGAGATTGGCCACCCATTTGCTTAGTCGGACTAGGCAGCAATTGGCTGCGTCTCTCTGTCTCTGTCTCTTTCTCTTTCTGTTTCGCGACAGACCCGTGTCGACCTTCCAACAAACCATGGCCGACGGAGAATGAGAAGGACTGAAAAAGATGTACGAACACGACCCTTTGGTTCTATCTTATGTTCACCTGAGGAACTTTCCTCGCGAGAAAGATGCTCTGCACATCCTGAAAAAGGTCGCGTCCCAGGTCAAGCCGATCATGCGCGCGCGGGGATGGAAGGTCCCAGAACTGGCAGAGTTCTTCCCAGACCAGGAGAATCTTCTAGGTAGGAGGAAATCCACTCGTCGTCTGGTATAGCTTTCTAACGGCTTTTCTTTGTCTAGGGCTCAATGTCAATAGAGGCCAGAAGATCTTACTGCGCTTGCGGTACCCCAGAGACCGAAGCCTCTTTCTCCCCGTCGAGCAAATCACCGATACCATGCTCCATGAGCTTTCCCACATTGTACACGGGCCTCACGATGCCCGTTTCCACGCCCTATGGAACCAGCTGCGCGATGAACATGAAGGGCTTGTCATGAAAGGCTACACGGGCGAAGGCTTCCTTTCGGAGGGACACCGTCTTGGCGGTGGAAGACAGCTTCCTATGCATGAGGCACGCCGGCTGGCCCGGGCAGCGGCCGAGCGGCGACAAAACTTGGGCGCCGGGTCTGGTCGGAAGCTCGGCGGCGCGGGTCTCCTACCGGGGCAGGACATTCGCAAAGTCATTGTTGACGCCGTCGAGCGGCGCAATAAGACGCTGCAGGGCTGCGGCAATACAAACCATAATGAAAACGAAATCCGGGCCATTTCTGAGACGGCCACCAGAAATGGGTTCCGGACTCAAGCCGAGGAAGATGCTGCGAACGAAGCGGCCATCGCTCAGGCACTCTGGGAGCTGGTCCAGGAGGATGAGAAGCGGAAGTACGGCAGCGCTTATGTTCCTCCTACTCCAGAGCACCCCTCTGGCAGCGGCGGCGGAGCCGTTGTATCCTCCTCGGCGGCCTATCCCTCGGGCGGCGGTGGCCCAGTCAGCCTACCAACACCGGATCCAGGCTCCTCTTCGGCGGCACCCCAACCACGGACCGCAGCAGAGAGAAGGCCCTTGTCCCCGGAGCCGATGTCTGGATGGACCTGTCAAATCTGTACACTTCATAACCCGGACAACTACCTTTGTTGCGATGCCTGTGGGGTCGAGAGACCTGAGAATGCTACCAAGAAGATTGCGGGTCGTACCTCAAAACGGCCTAGAACAACAATCGACTTGACGACCTCGCCAGCAAGACCGAGTCGCGCTGAAAAAGAGCCCGCTGCCTCGTTAGTACGTCCTCCGGCGACATGGGATTGCTCGTTCTGCGGGACGACTATGGAACGGCAATGGTGGACTTGTTCCACCTGTGGGAAAATGAAGGAAGACTCGAAATAATTGTGCCTATGCTACGACTGCCGATGATTTTTACGACTAGACATTCCTTGTACGTTTACTATTCAGAGATACCCCTGCTATTTTACTTGGAGTTGGAGGAGGGAGCAAATGCTTGAGGCAAGTGCAAGGAAACAGTTTTGATAGAGGAAAACGAGCCATGCATGACCTAGAGCCCTGATTGCAGAATTCGTTCCGCTAAAGACTTCAAGGTGCCATACCGTCCGTCATACTCCCATGTTTGCGCCGCTGTTTCTACTCACAGGTTTTTGAGATGTTGGTGACCCAGCTCGAGCTGATCGAGCTACCTTGACCCCCTGTAGATGTAGACACTATGACGTACAGATTAGCCCTGCTAGAAGAAAGCCTTTGTTCGAGGCACGGCGTAAGCAAGCTCGGCGCCTTCATAGCCCAGCCCATTGCATGCGGCGGTCAAAGGAGAGATGCCACTTCAGGCAAGTGTTCCATTGGTGAGTGGAGCACCTAGGCTGGAAGCTGGGCACTAAAAGAGTCCCTGGACCCAGATCGCCGATCAGAATTGACTCTTCCCCAGTCCAGCTTCGTAAAAACCTCACTAACCTTGGGAATTGCCTACCTAGCACTGGATGGCGCCGGGAGACGGAGGCACCAGGGTCTTGTTCGTCTGCTGTTGATGCGGGTCGGAAAACCAGGAGGTCAGGTTTGGTTGGATCGATGCTCTTGCCTGCGCGACCGTTCCCGCTATCGAGGCGCTTGGCAAATGCCCATCAAGAAGACGTACGGCAGAGACGGAGTAGCGGATTCCCAGACAATCCCATCCCATCACTCGTGGTGATGTGCCCGCTCTCGTGCGCCCCCAACAACGTCATGACAGCCTCCAATGGTCCCCGTCCGCCCAAGACAGGACCCCTCGCAGGCCGGGGTTCGTTCCAACCTGTGATTTGCTCTCGGTAGTTGGCCACCAAGTCGATCATCGCCACTCGCTGTCCTATCCGGGAAGTTTACTATGTGCTATCTGCTTCCGATTGGTTTGGATAGCCACGTCTGTCTCAATTCACTCATTGCCCGAACGGGAAGACTGAGACGGTTGCTCGCAGTAGTCCTGCTAGTGAGGACCCTTGTTCATGTGCAAGAACATCTCACACACACTCCAACGCCACGGTTGTATATCCAGTGATATCCTCACACAAATATCGGCGTCTGCGCTCGTGAGGAAGAGTACAAAGATCGTCTGGGTCCAGCCTTTTAAGATTGCGGCTGCTTCCTCCTTGTGGAGCTGTTGCGGTCGTGTCCCAGACTCACATCGCCTGGAGAGCGATCAGCAGTGTTTGCACCCCAAAGAGCAACGTTGTGGTGGGCCGGTGCAGAATGGACCGAGTAAGCCCTTGCAAATCGACGACTGTTTTGGCTCAGGATGATCACCAGTGGAGTGTCTTCGGGTTGGGGACCCTTGGGTGAGGCGACTGACAGTGCAGACGGCCCAGACGGGGGTTGCTCTGTGAGGCGGTATTTTGTATGTGATTTACCGTCCAGACGGGGCCGCGAGACGCCTCAAAAGTCGCCTCCTGGGGGGTATTTGGTAGAGGTCTAGAGAGGGAGCCCCGGGCATTATGACGACATTCCCACCTCGGGAAACTCCTCACTCACAACTAGCTCCTGCCCGCCGTCCCTTAGTGCAGGTTGCTCTTGCGGCGTTTGCTGAAGGTGCTGCGGCATGATGGGATGACAATTGCCCTCTCTTCTCTCCTCGGATTGATGCGACGGATCCTTTATCATTTCTCGGTCCCGGTGATTGCTGCTGGGTGGTGCTAACCAAAGCCCTGACTCTTGACTCTTGGAACTCAACCCTCACCCGGTCCGTCTTAACCTAAGACCCGAAGCATATAACCACATTCCTTTTGAGTCGTGCACCAACTACACCAACACAAAGCCCCGGGCTTAGGGCAGTGTTCTCGAACGGCCTAGACCACCCGCCCCAAATCACACCTCCACACTTTGCCCGCCGTCCATGAGACGGTGTCTCGATCAGATAGCTTTGTCAAGGTAATCCCTCGACGTTACTCTCAAGCAAAACCACCCTCTCCTCGACATCCTCTCGGGCCGGACCTCTACCCCGTCACAGCTTGACCACGGGCTCTCGCGCCCTCGGTACTCCTCCATGCGCCTCACCGTCACGATATGTCGCCTGATGATGCTTCACGCCCCAGGGGCGGTGCTTCTCGAGAACAGGCGACTCAGGTAGCCTCAATGGACTCCTCAGTATCAAATCTGCCGCATCAAGATCCCAAGGATCCCTTGCCGCCCTCTGCGCCCTTCGACCGCGACTCCCTTTCACCAAAAGGTTCGGTGGCGGCCCAGCAGGATGGCGTCCATTCGCGCATGCGTGACCGCTTTCTTCGAGACTCGCCCGCTCTACAACCAACGACCCTCAGGGATCACTCGACAAGTCCATTCCGTCTGCCCATGCCCATGATCAGTCCCGCACAATTGGCCTTCTCTGCTATGCAGTTCTTGCCTGTTCCGCTGTTGGTCCTGAACAGCCTCAAGACAGTCGTGCTTGCCAATGAAGCCATGGGGCGGCTTTTGGGAATAGTCTCGGAAAAGAGCGAGGAACATTTGGACACCACCACTTCCGTCCTGGATAGGCTCCGAGGACAGTCACTGTCGCAGGTCGGTGTCGACTTGGTTCAGGATGGTAGACCCGTCTGGGTAACGTGGGAGAATCTTCTGGAGTCCCTGGTCATCGAGCTTGGCGCGTCAAAACTGGGCAGCGACGATATTGCGACCAGTGTCGACGGCGACCAGACATCCCCGGCAGAGGCTGCAAATCACAACGACAAGACGCAGGCCTCATCAACCGTCACGCCGAGCACTGCGCTAGATGTGGTGATTACTCGGAAAGCTCTGAGCAGATCCACCATGGACCTCTGGTCCAAGTCCAGAGCTTCCGAATTTCAATCATACGCCAAGATGCTCATCACCGTCTGGGAAGTCGACGATCAGCAGACCTACTTCACTCTAACATTCACACACCACGACACCTCAACCGCCCAAGCCGCTCCCAGACCCAAGAAGTCAGTAGCCCGAGCTAACATCCTAGAGGCTTCTGAGAGAAAGTCAATACCCCATTCGAACTCGCCATCCTTGAGCTCTGGCCAGGGATCCATCTCGCCCTCCTATACTATTAGCCCTGGAGCTGTCGCGGTGTCCTCAAGCCCATTTCCTCCTATGGGACCACCTGCCAAATCGGCCTTGTCAAGCACCCCGTCTATTTTACAGAAAACACTCCTGATGAAGGACGCGCTGCTCGACAATACCGAAATGGCCGTATTTGCCATGTGGAAAGATGGCAGTGTGATGTATCCAAATGCTGCGGCCCGCAACCTCCTCAAGCAGGGTACTGCTCTGGAGGATTTCCAGACCGGCCATGATATTCTTCCAAATTGGGAGGTCTACGATGAAGAATTCACTAGGAGACTCGACCCCGATGAGTTTCCTATATCTGTCCTGCTGCGGACAGAAACACCGTTCTCGAATATGCGAATCGGGATGTATGACGCCAATGGCGAAAAGCGTGTTTTGGACATAATGGGAGAACTCATCAAGGATGAGACGACTGGGGAGACACTGGCCGGTGTTGTCACTGCTCACGATGTCACCGACATCACCCAAATGATCACGCAAATCAAAGAGGACGACGAGGAAAGGTTCAAACTGATATGCGAATCGATGCCACAGTTTGTCTGGACTACCGATCCGGACGGTAAGCACGACTTCTTCAATAACCAGTGGTACAGTTACACTGGTCTTTCCACAGAGGACTCGCTTGGTGAAGGATGGATCAACTCATTCCATCCCGATGATCTACAAGAAACCCTAGCGAGATGGAAACATTCCCTGCAAACTGGGGAGCAGTACATGACAGAGTACCGGTGTCGCAGCAAGGACGGAGAATGGAGATGGTTTCTTGGCCGAGCATTGCCGCTCAAAAATAAAGAGACGGGAGAGATTGTGAAATGGTTCGGTAAGGCGAGCTCCTGTCCGCGAGTGTGCTGTCCCGAATTAACACAATGCAGGGACCTGTACCGACGTGCACGAAAACATCGAAACGAAGCTGGCAGCCAAGAGATACCGCGAACAGCTTCTCAGCGTCATCGCTCACGCCCACGTGACCATTTTTTCCATTGATATCAATAGGAAGGTCACCATGCTTGAAGGTGCTTTGATATGGGATGCAACGAATGAGAACCAACATTCTACAACTCATAGCGTCGGCTCGCAGTGGTATATCGGGCAGAATGTCGATGAAGTCTTTAACCGCCTGACGCCCCATTTGAGACGGGGTGAGCAACCCGGGTTTCTCAGGTCTCTGGACGATATACTTGAAGGCAAAGTCAAGCAGGACTTGAAAGAACACTCCATTGGTATGTGTTGCGTTCCTAGCTGGTTCGTGGCCTTGAGGCTTGCTGCTAATGTTCTTGAAACGTGTCAGATGAGCGGTGGTACCGAACGCGCTTTTTGCCAATATACAGAAAAGATGAGAAACACCTAAGTGGGAAGTCCATCGAGGGGGCAATCGGCGTCATCATGGACGTGACCGAGTTGAAGGACAAGGAAGCAGACCTTGCAGTACAGGAGCGGGAGAAACGGCAAGCCATCGCCAGTGAAGCTGCCGCCAAAGAGGCTAGCCGGTTGAAGAGTCAATTTTTGGCAAATGTCTTTCACCCCTTTCTGGACCTCCCGCTATGAACGGTGCTGACTATGTCCAACAGATGTCCCACGAGATCCGAACTCCTATCACTGGCGTGATCGGCATGGCAGAGCTTCTGCTCGACATGGACCTCGGTCAAGAGCAGCGAGACTTTACTGAGAATATTTATCGCTCAGGAAATGCCCTTCTGACCGTGATCAACGATATCCTGGACTTTTCGAAGGTAGAATCGGGGCGTCTAGACGTTGAGGAAGTCCAGTTCTCGCTTTCGGTCATCATTCGTGATGTGAATAAGATGTTGAGCTTCGCAGCCGAACGCAAAAACCTCGATTTCCAAGGATCCATGGCACCTGAGCTTGCCAACGATCTTGTCTTACTGGGCGATCCGGGGAGAGTGAGACAAATCATTACGAACCTGCTCACCAACAGTATCAAGTTCACCAACCAGGGCCATGTGCATTTCTCTGTCTTGAAGGAGAAGGAGACAGCCGACACTATCGAGGTCAAGTTCGTTGTTGAAGACACCGGGATAGGGATCGACGAGGAGGTTCGAAAGCGTCTTTTCCAGCCTTTCAGTCAGGGCGACGCGTCTACTGCGCGGAAGTTTGGCGGAACTGGGCTGGGTTTGACTATCTGCAAAAACTTGCTCGACCTGATGAATGGCAGAATAGATCTCCAGTCCAGCGTCGGCTCGGGGACAACGGCGACATTCTGGATACCGTTCAATAAACCCCAGGGCGCTCAGAGATCTGACGTAGTGCAGATCGAACCTTTGACTGACAGGTTGCAATCCGACGTGAGCGTGTCTTGCAACAGCTCAGAGCTAGAGCAGCAGCGAATGGGCACACCCCCGACCGAATCGTGCCAAAGTCCTTGGGACGGCAACAAAAGCTCGCCAGTACGGAAAACACGATCAGGCCTCCCAGTCTCAACGCGGCCAAACGAGGATGAGATGCCATCAAAGGACCGCGCCAAAATTCATGTTCTTGTCGTTGAAGACAATGCCATCAACCAGCAGATCGCTACCAAAACCATCAAGAAACTTGGCTTCAACGTTACCGCCGCTTGGAATGGCAAGGAAGCCTTGGAGTACCTCAAGTCGGCCAAGGATGGCGACAAGACCAAACCGGACATCATCCTTATGGACGTGCAGATGCCTGTGATAGATGGGTACAAGTGTACGCATGTCCTTCGACAGCATCTACCGTACAGGGATTTCGTCAAGGACATTCCTATTGTTGCCATGACTGCTTCTGCGATCCAGGGAGACAAGGCCAAGTGTGTGAGGGCCGGCATGGACGACTATCTGGCAAAGCCAGTCAAGAGCCGCACCCTGGAGAAGATGTTGATACACTGGTCTTATGCCAAGCGTGTCAACCTCCCAAACCAACACGGTTCCACCTCGTCAGAATGCTCTGACTCTGTGGACTTGTGCAGCAACTCTGACATACCCATGGTTGGTCACGACGAGTTTCTCCAGGCGATCAAGGCGACCGCGAGTGGCCGAGCCGAGGGAAGATTCAACTCGGTCCAGCCGCTGCCGACACCCAGACCACGCGAGGAGCGACCCTCGGCCGACGGCATCCCCTCGGAAGGATACGGGTTCTTCCCGGGGGGCTCGGATTTCTCGCTTCCGGTCCGGCGCCGGGAGACCGACGAACAGGCGCTGCACTCACGGGACGACAAGCTCATGAACGCTGCCAGCGGGGGCGCAGGCGCGACTCCGCACAGCCACTCGGCTCTGCAGTCTCAGACGGCCACCGGGGGCCTCACGACCGCAAACGTGGAGAAGCTGCAGAGGCAGGAGTCTATGCGACGACAGCACTCATAAAGAGAACAAACAAAACAGAAAAGGGGCCACCAGCAGTGTACCAGCACATTATGTGAAAGTCCAAAGGCCACCGCATACGAACGGCGTTATTTGCTTCGTTTGTACTGGGATAAAAGGGGTGCGAACATTACATACGGGCACACTAAAGGGAGCACAAGGCGGGACCCAGCATTTTGCAGCAACTTGTCTTATTATCTTTTTTCTGTCTTCGTGCGAAACATACAGCAGCACACCTGCCTCTCTGTTTCTCATATATTGCTTTTCTTTTTCGCAAGAAACAGGGCGAACATCGGGACAAAACGGCCGAGTCATAGAACATGCAATTTGGCATATGATACCATGATCGGCGTTTTCTTCTTTTGGGATGATACCATATCGGACTGGGAGTATACTGCTAGGGAAAGGGCCTCAAGTAATGAGCGGTTCGCCGAGGGGCACAGAATGGGGTTATGATACCACAGATGAAACTGGCGGCAGTTCGAATAGAGACATGATTATCAGATTGACTTCCGTCCTTGGCTTGAAAAGTACCCCCTAGCCTGATTGGAGATGAACTGTTTGCACAGATAACTAATTCGGGCTCTATCTAACTGAAAAATATCCTGTTTCTCTCGAGACAAAATGATCAACAGATTTTGGTCACCTCTATACACGCACCAAAACATTCTAGCTCGCATCGAAAGAAACCTTCATAACCAAAGCGAGAACGGCTCTGTGCTGTGTTCCCTAGAGTGTAATGACCACAATCTTAGGACGTCTTGTTCATGTGCTCGAGGCGGATGCCGACGGCACGTCTGTGGGCCTCGAGCTGTTCGACCTTGGCGAGCTGCATGACGGCACCGCCCACGTTGCGCAGACCCTCAGCCGTGAGGTTGGAGCTGGTGATGTGCTTGAGGAACGAGCCCAGGTTGACCCCAGAGTACTGCTTGGCAAAGCCGTAGGTAGCTAGTGATCGACACGTTAGCAATGCAATTCGCCTCTTGAAAAAGTTTCTGTGATTATGAAAGTCCGAAAACACTTACGCAGAGAGTGGTTCACGCCAGCCGAGTAGTCGCCGACGCTCTCGGGTGTCCACTGCCCGATGAAGACACTGCCAGCGTTCATGACCTGGTCGACAGTCTTCTCGGCATCCTTGAGCTGCAAGATCAAGTGCTCAGGAGCATACTCGTTGCTGATGCGCATGGCCTCCTCGACGTCGCGCACCTGGATCGTGACCGAGTGGGCAATAGCTCCGCGGACAATATCGACACGGGGAAGAGCCATGGCTTGCGAGTGAAGCTCGTCCTCAATAGCCTGAAGGTGCTGCTCATCCAGGTCAACGGCAAGGAGGACGACCTGGCTGTCAACACCGTGCTCGGCTTGGGAGAGGAGGTCAGACGCGACAAAAGCCGGGTTGGCATCCTTGTCGGCGATGACAAGGACCTCGGAGGGACCGGCGGGCATGTCGATACCGCAACCGGCGTTGGTATCATTGCTGACAAACATCTTGGCGGCAGTAACGAACTGGTTACCGGGACCAAGGATCTTATCGACCTTGGTCACGCTCTCAGTACCGTAAGCCATGGCAGCAACAGCCTGAGCGCCACCGGCCAGGACGATGCTCTCAGCGCCAACCTTGTGAGCGACGTAGACGATCTCCGGGGTGATGCTTCCGTCCGCCCGGGGCGGTGATGCCAGCACAATCTTTTGGCAGCCGGCAACCATGGCGGGCACACCAAGCATGAGCGCGGTGCTGGGTAGGACGGCGGTACCACCGGGCACGTACAGACCAACGCGCTCAATCGGCCGCGAGAAACGGCTGCAGACGACGCCAGGCATGGTTTCAACATTGAGCGTTTTCTCGTCCTTCTGAGCAGCGTGGAACTTGCGGATGTTCTCGAACGAGACATCTATCGCCTTGATGGTCTCGGCTGGCAATTGCATGAGCTCCTTGGGGAAGGGAGCCTTGAGGACAGGAGAGGTCAGAGAGGTTGCCTTTTCGAACTTGTGAGTGTACGACAACAAACCCTTGTCGCCGTTCTTGCGCACATCGTCGATGATGGGGGTAATGATCTTCATGATGGCATCCGAGGACTTCTGCGACGGCCTCTTGAGGACCTCTTCAATTTCGGCAGGAGACGACGTTGAAGAATCGTACCGCCTCATGGTGATCCGCTCTGAAGTCTGCTTGGGAGCGGCAGCTGGGGCCTGAGCCGGTGCCTTGGCGGCGTCAGCGGGCTTGATGCCCTCCTTTTCAGCCCATTTGCCCTTGGCGTCTCCTTGCCTCCTCTTGACCTTCCAGCTCTTGGCATCGAGACTCCTCTCAACATCGGCCAGGCTGACACCGGCAGAGACTACCTTGGCCAGGGCGAAATAGATCAGGTCGGCAGCCTCAAAAGCGACCTCCTCGGCAGTGTTTGCGTTACACAGCTCCTCGGCCTCCTCCATGATCTTCGCCCGCAGCAGCTTCTCGTCAGAGAAGAGCCGTGCGGTATAGGATCCCGCAGGGGCTGACTGCTTCCGAGACTGGAGCGTCTGCTCCAGCTTGGGGATACCTCGCAGGTTACCAAAGCACCCTGACTGCTCGAGGTGGCAGAATCGGTTCTTTTGCTTGACAACAAACTTCAGTGCGTCGTTGTCACAATCCAGGCTGATCTTCAGGAGCTCTTGCGTGTCTCCCGAGCTCGCACCCTTGTACCACAAGCCCCGTTTCCTGCTTTGGTAGACACCAGTCTGTGTTCGGAGAGCCTCGGCCACACTCTCTTCACTGCTGTAAACAAGACCGAGAGCAACGCCAGTCTCGTCGGTGACTACCGTCGGGATGAGTTTATCAGCTCTGTCAGAAGTCCAAGTCGAGGACATAATTTTGGCCACAGAGAGTTTAGAGGCATCGTCCTTGTTGGCGGTCAATCCGGTGGAAGGTAGGACCGGCAGTGCACCGCACTGAGACGCGAAGTCAATAAACCTTTGAAGATCGGTGCCTGTCGTAGGCTTCATGAACAGCGACGTTATCCTCTTAGCCTTGCACTTCTCGGCCAACTGGCTGTTGCCATCCTTGGCAAGGTCGAAATCAGAGATGAGAAGGCCGCTCTCTGTTGCCACATCGATTTGGCTGGCGTCGGTGATGAGAGGCGCCACCCTTGACCCATATGAGGCATACTCTGATAGATTCTCGGGCTTGACAAATACTTTGCGAGCGCCGGCATCTAGTAGGGCCACAATATCCTCCTTTGAACCAAGGCGAGTGACGTCAAAGTAAGGCTCAAACTCGACATTGTGGCGCTTCAGAAAGTTGAAGACCTTCTCGAGATTTTTCTCTGTCACCTCGAGGAAGATGCATCCCAGACAGCTGACTTCCTCTCGACTGAGGCCCTCCTTCTCCCCACCCAGTCCCGGGGGAATGGAGACGCTCACGAGGAACGGCAGAGGAAGAGTTGACTCCATTGGCAGTGGTGCGTCCAATTGGAGCAAGATTGGCCTTCCAAGATGTGGCAGATGGGGACGAAAGCAGCTGTGACTATGATTGCTTCACGACAGTCCGGAGAGAAGAATGAGTCGACTTCTTTTGCGAATTGGAAATGACTATGCTCTGATTCCTCCCACCTGTATCGGCCGGCTTGGTGGGGAAAATTAATTCTGCCAGTCGCTGGCCATGGGTCATCAGTGCCCCGCCACGGGGATCTTTTAGGCGGTGTGAATTGATGTGACTCAATTGGAGTCTGGTCTGGCCCCAGTGCCTCAATCTTCATGTTGAGCTCAATGTCTACTCCGGAAGATCCCGGTTCCGGACCCCCATTATGTAATCACCTCAACTCACTCAACGCTGCACAATGGATCCCATGCCTGTGCATTGCTACCATTGACCAGACTCCACCTGCCATTGATAGTGCCACTCCAAGCTTACCTTCTATCTCCATATCGACTTCTCCATCCCTGCCTACCATCTCGATTATCGCATCTCACCAACACATCCTTCTCCCACTCCATTACCGATCACACCAATCTGCTGAAAGTGTGCCCTGCCTCAGCTCTCGCCATCCCTTCCCGCATTCTCAATCTACAGTCGAACCTGACACGACACGACAGTCGCGACTCGCCACAGACCTCACCACTGCCAAGCCACCTTCCTAGCCTACACTTTGATCGTCGAAGCGCCCAGATGGCTGACTAGAGCTCAAACCCTCTTACGCTTCCGCCGCATCCCCAGACGCAGTCGTCTGTCCCACCACGTCCTTCAAGGCCTCCATCTCTTTTCAGCCGGTCGCTTTCGGGCGTCCCACGACCCAGGTCCAGGATGTCTGCCGCCGAACCCCAGACCAACGGTGTCGCTCCAGGCCCATCCTCATCGGCCGGCACCAACAGCCAGACCCTCGTCGGCGCAAGCACACAGGCCACGGCCGCCACGGCCGGCAGCCAGTCCGCAGCAGGGCAGTCACAATCACAACCGGGGCCATCCTCGCAAACTCCGGTGCCAGGCTCGCAACAGCAGAACCCGCAGCAGAACCCACAGCAGCAGCAACAGCCCTCGAGCGCCCCGAGGCCACGCGATGCCCGCACCCTAGAGCTCCTCCTCACCGCGCAGGGCGTAACGTCCTACGAGCAGCGCGTGCCCCTCCTCCTCCTCGACTTTGCCTACCGCCACACCTCCTCCGTCCTCTCCGATGCGCTCCACCTCGGCGCCGACCCATACGTCACCCACGCCGGCTCCAAGCCGAGCGCGTCGTCCGGCGCCGCGGCCTCCGCCCCGGGAGCCGACGCCAGCGTCAGCGCCAGCGCGGTCCAGCTGGCCATCGCCTCGAGGCTGTCGTACCAGTTCCGCGGCGGTGGCGGCGGCGGCGGCACATCCAAGGACTGGCTCATGGACGTCGCGCGCGAGCGCAACAAGGTCGCCCTGCCCAGGGTGGCGGCGACGGAATGGGGCGTGCGTCTACCGGGCGAGCGGTTTGTGCTTAATGGGCTGAGCTGGGGTCTGAGGGACGAGTGGGCTCCCGGTGAGGATTGGAGCGCGGGTGAGGACGATGATGAGGCCATGGCTGATGCCATGGAGGGAGTCGAAGGAACTGTGGAGGAGGAAGACATTGGTGGCGATGGCGTTGAGGGTGGCACCCAAGCTGACGTCTTTGGCGACACCATGGAGGAGGATGCGGACATGATGGAGTAGGCCAGCTCGGTTTGGACAGGGAGCAAGCCTACCATTACCTCTGGTCTTTTTCTCAACGGGCCGTCAAATTGCGGGAAGGTTGAGTGGCTATGCAACTCGTGATATGAATCATGAGCACTGGGGCCGTATGGATCGCGATCTCAGGTGCACCGAGGATCCCTACCACAGGATATACCATTATCATTTCGAGAGGCGTTCAGGGCGAGGGCGAATCTTGAGTGTATTCTACAATACTTGTGTATTTATTAAGAGAAAGCTATGGGCTCGGAAAAAAAGACGCCGCGCTATGCCAACCAGGAAAACTTAATACAATTTGCAAGAAGCACGCCCCCCCCAAAAAAACGCCAACAGATCTATCTGTCTAAGCATGCTTATGCTTCCGAATGTATGCCAAGGACTGTCCTCGCGCAGCCATGCGCCCAACTTTGTTGATGGAGGGTATGCCAAAAGCGCAAGTGATTCTTGCCCCAATAGTCAAAACAATGATCTTGTCCGGCCGGAAAACATTCCTTTCTAGGACTTGACCTTCTTGCCCACGGACAAGTTGTTCACCCCGGTAATCATCTCGGCGTTGACGTCTGGGACTGCCAGCTCGGGAGACTCGTCCTCCTTGGGGCCGCCGACCTCTGTCTCGTTGGCCTCTGTCCCCTCTTCTTCCTCCTCGTATGCGAGTTCGTCATCGTACATGTCCTCTTCGTTGTCGGCATCTTCCTCACCTTCCATCATGGAACCGGCCATATGCTCGTCGCCTTCGTAGTACTCGTCCATCGAACCCCGCGAGATGTAGCTCTCGCCGAGCTCCTCATCGAGCTCCTCCTCGTCCTCTTCGGCATACTGGCTCTCATTGTCCTCAGCAGCATCATCGGCGTCGTCCGTGTCGCTGGCGGAGAACTCATCCAGCTCCAAGGGCGTGTCCCGCCAGTACTTGAAGTCGGTGTAATCCTCGCCGCCACCCTTCACCAGGGTGCTCACAGGCGGGAAGTAGTGGTCAACGACCTCGGTCATGTTCACGTAGCTCAGCTTGAGCTTGTTAAGACTCAACAGGTCGAGCGAGACCTCGGCGTTGGAGTTGATGGTGAAGATGCGGTTGCGGGGCACGTCTACAGTCCGATACGAGATCTGATCCGTGAGACGGTTGCCAAATCCGGCGTAAAAGGGGTGGTGATCTGGGCCGTAGAGGTTTCGGATGTCCCGTAGCGTGGCCATCTTGAAGACGTGCGGCTTACGCAGATAAACTTCGCGCCGCAATGCCGCCATCGTCCGATCAGGGGACAGGATCGTGGGTCCTCGAGGCAACCGGTAGTTATCCTGTTGAATACCTGCGAGATAGGTCCGGGTCATGTCAGCCTGGCCGACGGAACGGCTTGTGAGATACATGATGTTGTATCCGTTGGCCACAATGTCGCTATATAGCTTGGCCACGCCAGCATGAGTCCAGTCCCGGCCAATCATGTTCAGCACATGGCCTAGGGCATCCGACTTTGTGATTGTTCCATCGATATCAGAGATGACTACTGGGACTTCGTGCTTCCACAGGTACATGTAGGCAGAGCAGGTGGCGCGGTTGACTGTGAAGCTCATCGAGTTCTCGCCAGGCTTGAGATCGAGTGCCTTGAGTTGATCGCTAGTCAAACGCAACGTCTTGGCGTAATTACGGTTAGGATCACCGACCGTGACGACGCGGCTAGCGACGGAGCCAGTGGTGGTCATAGAACCTGGCGATGTCGGCGGTGTCTGGACACTCATCTGACCAACGGACTCGGACCTCCGATGCGAGGGCAACGAGGTGGACGCAGTGCTGTCATCACTATGATAACCTGGGTCAGAGGCGGCATCGATGGCCAAAGATGGACTTGGGCGTAGCGACGTCTCCATCATCTTCTTCATGGCCGCCTCCTTCGCCTCCTCGCAGCTGTAGATCCAGAGATTGCCCTGCTCGTCCATGCCAAACAAGGCACCGATGTCGTAGTTGCCCTCGAGCTCTTCGCTAAGGACTCTGCGGGCCAAGATCTCGGCGCGGATGGCGTCCTCCTCATTATTCTTGAACAGCGACATGTCGAGCATGAGATCCCCACTGTCCGTTACCTGCGTCGGTATGTCTACCGCGGACAGGCGCCGCGATAGAGTCTTTGCGCGCTCAATGGCCTCGATAGGTCCGAGGGGTGGAGGGCTGCTGGTCCGTTCCGAAAACAGGGGATCCTCGCCCTCCATCGACCCTTCCTCGGGGGTGTCACTACTGGTGTGTGTCCGTGCTCTCTTACGCAGGATATCGTCACTGTAGGGACGTCTAGCCAAGGCAGACCAGTCGCCCGACTTGGGCCGACTATCTGAGAGGTCGGGGGACGTGGACATGGGTGCAAGCAGTCCATTCTCCTTGGGCGCGGAGGTTGAGTATATGACTGCCGGTGGGGGGCGTACAAGACTTGCTGAGCGCGGCTTGGTCTGACTCTCGTCAAGCTCGAGAGGCTCGGGCTCCTGCAGTCCGGCATCGTTGGATGGCTGTGCTTGGAGGGGAGGGCTGGAAGCCGGTGAAGAGATCGGAGAGGTCTGTAGGCTTCGGGGAATGTTGTCGCTTGTTTCGAAGACGAAGAAGGCCTCACCTCCTTCACCCAGCTTCATGGAATAGTCTTGCTTCTTGCCATTGACCTTGAACTCAACCTTCTTCTCGTATGGCCGCAGCAGCGAGAACTTGCCGAACCGGACATGGAAGGGGGAGCAGAGTAAAGAGCCATCCTCCTGCTCAACGACTATGACATCGATAGCCCCGCTGAGGGTGGCCGGGTTGATCGAGTTCCATGCCGTGGACACAGAGTCACTGAGATTGCGCACGTACTGCATCTTGACTGTCCAAGTGCGAGATTCTGCTCACCCCGTCCTGTAGGCCGGGGACAGTCAAGCAGACAGTCAGAGCCTTATCAGTGCTTTCGGGGCGATGCTCTCGAGTTTGTGGCGTTTGCGCAAAGAATGTTGGGGGAAATCGGCAGGTGGACCGAGGCCCCCAGGTAATGAGGAATGGGATCTTCCTCTTGGAATGGTTGAAGGAGAGACACGAGGATGCCGTGCTGCTCTCTGCTCTACTTGGGTCGGAATGTGCACGAGACCTTGATAAAATGTGAAACGGAAAAGTAATTTAAAGCATCGGATTGCTGAGGCCAGAGGGTTGTCGGTTGCAAACACTCTACGGGGCAGGGCAGGAGGAGAGAAGAAGTGAATACGGGCTTATGACGATGAGATGCGATGGGGCGGAGCCTAGCAACAGTTGAGGTCCGCGGGCTGCGCTGGCGCGGGATGCGCCCAACATTCAGCACTGCAGGGCCGCCCCGTTTCCGAATTTACCTGTGCTACAGTGCAGCATTTGATCCCATGTGACACGACTGGCTGGCAGGGATCCGGGGTTTGCTGATGTCATTTAGGTCATTCTCGGTATTGGGAACTAAGTTGAAGTTACTGACCCAGCTCGAATGTTCAAATACCTACACTCTTTTTGCCATACAATCGGCCACTTGACTCTTGGTGCAAATCTTCAACAAGTTGCAGCAGAACTTCCTGATGATCATCAATTGAGAACCGACAGTTTCGTTGCTGCCCCCGAGGTGCTAACAATGAATCCGTAGGTAGTCATGCCCATCCTTGCCTCAAACAAGCCGAGGCATCACCTTGGCTACCTAGTAGGTATTTATCTCGTAGCCTAGGCACCTCCAATGACACTGCAACATATGGCACGGGGTCGGAAATGTACGGATAGTGATATCGAACCTGGAGCGCAAGTTGCGCTTGTGAAGCACGAGGGGTCTTGCAGGTCGTAGAAGTCTACAAATCCTACCTTACCTCTACTACGGACGGCGATGTCGGCACGGCACAGTTGATTCGCCTTTACCCCTCAGTCAACAAGCACGCTTCCAGTGATCTGCTTGCCTAACGCGCATCCCACGACATCGACCCTCTGATGAGAGCAGGTGGTTGTCTTCCACCGTCTATTTTCCCTTTGCCTTGGACGATAGCCATGGCTTCGTGTCTCCCGACACAGCAGGGTCTACTACACCGTTGTGGTGGACCTATTTAACCTAAAATCAACAAGCTTTGCGTGCATAAACAGAATCTCCCTATGTGCTTCAAGGCAAAGTGCTGACCTACTCTATCGCATGTAACCACAATCATGAGCCAGCCCATTCGGCATCAACTCCCCCCTCCATCTCAATCTGACTGCCGAGATGGGGCAAGGCATTTCCCGCTGCAAAAGCACTGGGCTGGAGGAGGTGGGGCACTAAACTCTGCAAGAGGGGCGGCTTTAGTTGCCTCTGCCCAGCCCTGGAGGCCATCCATCAATGCTTGAAACTTGACACAATAGGCATGGTGGCTGACTGATTCTGTGCCGTAGTGCCGCCCTTCCTCGCGTGCATCTTTTTCCTCCACCTCGAGACCTACCAACCACACCCAATGCTCCTCGAGTAGAAGAAGTGCCTGCGACTTGCCTGGACCGACCCCCGACACTGTGCAACTTCCTCTTTTTTTTTTCCGTTTCCAGCAGTTTCGGAGTGCGGATGAGTGGCGGAAGCCGTTGTTCTATGTGCATCCTCTCGCCTCGTCTTGCGCTCGATCGGCCGCGCTCGCCTGCAGCCTCCCTTTGAGATCAATCCTGACCCTGGCTCTGGCTGGTTGCATCCCACCACCCCCCGATATGTTATGGGCCTCATGGACTACGCTTGTTCCAACGCTGCTTGTTTCTTGCGCCGTTCTGTCCTGGTGGTTCAGTGAGCCCAAGACTGTTCATCTCAACCTCATCGTCGCAATCGGCTGCATCCTCTTCTGTTGGGCCGTCGCTCCCGAGCTGACTCGCGACTTCCCTGCCTCGCTATACGCCTACCTCAGGACCGCCATCCACGAATATCAGTTCGACCGCGTGCTCCTGAGGAATGCCACAATGATTGTCACCAGTGCAGCCTTGTTATGGTAAGCATCGGGACGTCTCGTCCGTGCCAAAACCAAGCCGGGGGTGTGTGTGCTGATCTAGGACCCGTGATAGGCTGCTCCGGAGAGCCGTCCAGACACTATGGAAGCCCGTGCCCGAACTCATCAGCATTCTCGGCGTCGAGGTGCCCGACCCGCCAGATGTCTCGTTGACGGCCATTGGGGTTGACAAGGCGACTGTCGCGTGGACTCGGCCACAGGCCAATCGGCCTGTGCAGAAGTTCCTGATCCAAGTCAACGGTGTCAATGGTGAGTACTGTGTTCCTATGCCCTTCTGTCTGACGTCTAATACGATCGGCTCTCCTGACTATTCGGATCAGTGGGCGAGTCTGCCACGAATCAAGATACATTTATCACGGTCTCGGGACTGAAACCTGACCACTTCTACAACGTGCGCGTTATCGCCGTGGGATCGAACAACTTCCAGGCAGGGAGCCGAGTGATCCGACTCCGGACTTTTGGCACTGACGGGCGGCCGCAATTGGGTACCTCGAGACTGCCATCCAGTTTCTCCGCCGAGGACCTCCCATCTCGCCCGGGGGACCAGTCTGACGAGCCCACTTCGAAAGGGCAGGTCACTACGATTGCCACTCCGATTCCGGCTGAAACAACTGCAGCCCTCGCGAGAGAAGGCAGTGCCCCGTCAACAGCAGGCTCCAGGCGGAATACAATCAACAGGAAACATTCGCCGTCAACCACCAGTCTCGATCGTCAGTCGATCAAAGAAGAAGGCGATGATCCCTCGGAAGCTCAGATGGCAGAACTGAACCAGAAGTATCTTGGCCTACGCAGGGAAACCGAGGAGACCGCCGCCCTCATCGCCAAGGAGGAGGAGGATAACAAGCGATTGCTTGATGAATTGGAAGCCGAGAAGAAGGGGAGGAGGCGGGAGCAGAAAAAGAAGGAAGAGCAGACCGAGAAGTTGAAGAGGGAGCAAGGCACCACGGACAGGACAATGCGCAACGCTCTCCAGCGAAAGGCGCAGAAGGAAAAGCTGCTCAAAGAAAGACAGGCCGAGCTCGCCAAATACCACGACAATGTCGCCAAGTGGGAAAAGGGCATCGTGGACATGCGCAAGGAGCAGGAGAGCTACGTCGAGCAGAAGGACGTCCTGGAGGAAGAGCGGAATGAGAAAGTCGAGTCCCTCCGGGAGGCGAACCAGGATCTCCAACAGGAATGCGCGCGCCTAGAGCAAGAGCTAAAGGAGAGACGGCAGCAGGTGAAGGAGCTGGAGGATGCCAGGAAGAAGCTTCCCGGCGGCGAAGAGGATTCAGAAACCCGCGAGAAGAATCTGGAGCTCCGTCGCGATTGGCAGCGGAGGGAGATGGGTTACCGGGAGATGATCATACACGAGAACCGGAGGGAGATCCATCTCGACCGACACATCAACGCGCTCTCCGCCCAACTCCAGCAAATTCCACAGTCTACCTTTGGCATGTACAACCAGGCGAACTCATCTGGTATCGATTTCGATAGTGCATCGCACAACCAAATCAAACGCCGAAGTCACAACAGCAATTCGCTGTCGAACGCCAACGTGTCGTCCCCGCCTCAGCTCTTTTCCATGGCCGAGTTGCCGACCTTCAATACGACTACGAGGACTGCTGCTCCGGGCTTCGCTCCGGGGCCTTTCATGGGCCTTTCTGCGGATCTCCAGTCCGAAGCGGAGGAAGCAGGCCTGCGAGCGTTGCTTGGCGATGCGCCTCTGAGCCCTACTGCTACTTCACTATTGCCGTCCAACATTTTTGCCGACGACGAGCCTCCAAGTCCCACTGCTGGCAAGCTCCAGATCAGTCCGTTTATCCCCTCCATTTCCCCAGACAACGAGCCACAGTCTCCGGCTTCTTCAGGGCCCGCCCTCAGCATCCTGTCCAGTCCACAAGGATCCGCCCACAACCTGCCATTCTCACAACGTGCTGGTGATGCCAGCGAGCGAGGTTCGTTGCGTGGCTCCTTGCGAGGACCAATGTCATCGCCGATTGCCCCTCCTGGGGAGACATTGCCACCGAAGTTCGGATTCCTATCCTCTCTGCAGCGGACGAGGACTGGCAAGGGCATCGATGAAGGCCCCGCTCTAGGCTCGCTCAAGGCGGGTCAAAGCCAGTCTTTTCCAAGGCAAGGCGACGAAGGGGAAGGCGCCAAGCGACGGATCAGCCTTTCGTCCTGGAACATGTTCAACCGCAATTCCACTGGACCTGAACTCATCGAAGGCCAAGTCAGTCAGCCGTCCCGAGGTTTCTCGGCCAGGAGCCTCTTGCCGTTCGGGACAAGGGCCACCAGCGGCATCTTCTCTGAACGAGACCCAAGCAGCCCTAGGCCTGCATCGATAGCATCCTCAGAACTACCGAGGCCTTCGACGGATAGCAACTCTATTTGGGGGCCTCCGGGCGATAGCATGGGCCTGCCGAAGCCCTCCCGCCTCTGGTCTCCAGACAATGCCTGGTCTCGAAACCCGTCTCGCCGACCCTCTATCCACGGATCTCCATCGGCTCTCAAGACCAACTTGGCATCTGCTGAAGATGAGATCCTGGATGATGACGCGCTTCTTGACCCGCAGGCCTCTCCCAGTCAGGTGGGCGTCATCGGCTCTCGCCCTCCAGCCGGCATGAAGGCATTACCGAAGAGCCTGAACCCCACTGCACCGACATTCATGACCAATCTATTCCGGCCAAAGACAGACAAAGACAAGGAAGGAGGCAGAGATAAAGAGAAGAGCAAGGGAAAAGAGAAGTCCAAGGACAGACTGAAGGAAAAGGGCAAAGGCAACGATGCCTCCCTTACGCCTACGCTTTCCGTGGATGAGTCTCCGTCCGACTCGCGCAAATCCCGAGATGGCTACTCTGTCCATACGCAGACCTCGGTCTCGGTGTCAGAGTCGCGTGAGTCGCTATCTCTGGATCAGTCTTTGTCCAACACGCCGTCGGAGTCGAATAACGGCCTCGGCTATTCAGCCAAGGACCCGGAGAATGCTTTCAGGAAGCTCTTCAGAAAGGACAGCACCAGCAAGCTCAGCTTCTCACAGCGGCTCCGCAAGGGCAAGGGCCCTGGGAGCGTGACGAACTCGGAGAAGAATATGGCAGCTGACCGGTCCAGCATTGGGGACATGGACGAGGGTGATGAGATCGTGCTGGGTCGAAGCTACGACAGCGTGACAAGCAGCCCTTCCCTGGCGCCGTCCAAGTCTAAGGAGAAGGTGGAAAGCAAGCTCAAGTCTTCAGGATCATGGTTCGGTATTAAGAAAAAGCCGAAGGAAAAGGAGAGCCTGGAGATGGAGCGCGAGAGGAGCGTCGATGCTGATGCAGAGGAAGACAAAAAGTCGCAGGCTTGAGCCAATTTAGATAGGCTTCTATATGCGGTACATCGATTTGCAGGTTTGGCTTGTGTAAACACAATGATGACAGCTTGAACCACACGCTCTTTCACGGGAAGCCTTGCATAGCGATTGAAGTGCACAGTATATCTGCCAAGGGCAGTCTTAGATGATCCTCTGAACCATCCATCATGTGAAGCTCCGTGAGACAGACGGGCTGGAGTGGCTCACTGAATCGGAAGGCGGTGAGAAAGAGCAGTGGAGCCAAGCCCCCCAAATTTGTCCTTGAGCTCTCGGAGCTTAGCAGACCTGGCGCTAGCGTCCCGAGAGCCATCAATTGTCATCCGATGCCAGACTCTGAATCCGTTTCATCACCGGCCGAAAGCAAGAAACGGCACCGTTTGATGCACCAACACCAGGGTCGTGGTGACCCCAAGCTGCTGGTGATATTCTTCATCCGCACAACTCTGCACGGTTAAGCAGAGCCCCCCCCCAAGCAGAAGAGCCCGTCGCGAAATCCCGCCGTATGGCCGCAATGGCCATCGAGACTCCCACGAGCGCGGTCCGCGCCAGCGGCACCGAGAATCTCCCCATGCCGTCGCGGAACCCGATACCTCTTTCGGCGTCGCAGGAGGCGCAGGTCAGAGATGTGTACTACGCGCGGGTACGGCGGCACTGCGCTGCCGAGGTCAAAGGTGAGGAGGAGCTGCAGTTCTCTCTACATTCAATGGGGTCGAGCGTGGGATGATTCCATGCCCGACTCTACACGCGAAGACTCCTCGCCTAATCTTCAAGGAATTCAATTTACTAACATGTGCCCTTGCCATCATCGTAGCCTTCGCCGAGTGCGCCAACGGCCGCACGTTCTCCGTCCCCTTCGCCTGCCGCGAGACCCACCGGGCCATGAACGCCTGCATGAAGCTGTACGCCACGCCGGCGGAGGAGGACGCCGCCAGGGAGGAGTGGTTCGCGGCGCGGATGGAGCGCGCGCGCGAGCGCGAGAGGAAGGCGAAGCGGGCGCTCGAGCAGGAGAACTTCCTGCGGGAGTGGTGGGGCCTGCCGGAGAAGGACAGGGAGGAGAGGAGGAAGGCGGAGGAGAAGCTGAAGCTCAAGGAGAGGATCGGCGGGTTCGCGGCCAAGGACCGGAAGAGGTTTGACGAGTTGCCGGCGGGCGAGGGCAAGAGGTGAGCCTGGGGAGGGGAGGGGGGGTCTGGATTGGAAGTGTCTCTCCAGGGTGAGGCTGAGAGGGAGCTCTCGGCCGTGTGTCTTTGTTTTCTTTTGCATCTATGGCGTTTACGGATGTGTATGTGTACCTGTTAGACCTGGGGTTCTCTTGCAGTTCGAAAACTCCCCTTTGCACACACTCGAGCTACCATTTTTTTGGAGTTGCGAGGAGAGATGGTGGAACTACTCCATCCGCAGAATTGTACATTAGCATTGCTCCACTGCACCGCGAGAACCTTTGTCAACGATGGTCTTGGGCCAAATCGGAAGCAGGGTTGCAGATGAACTTTGTCTTGTTTTCGAAGATTGCTGATTCCGAGGCTGTCAGAAGAGCAGCGGTTAAGCTGTATTGTATAACAAGCATCGCGCGTAAGCAGTCTCAAGACGCCGCGCGGTAAAACATCTCGGCGTTTCGCCAGAACTTGAGCACACACAACCTGAGTGAATCAATTTGATCTGGCCGCTACCTGCGGCCAGGTGCCTGTGAGATCTGCCATCGCTTGCAGCAGGCTTGTCGATCTATGTGTGCCGGAGAGCAGATACAAGAACAACATGACCGTAGCAGCCTTGAACAGCATACTCACCCTGCCTGTTCACTACTCCCGTAGAGAGAGAAAGCCACTCGAACATCGGGTAACATAGCTTGCATAGTTTGCTCCGCACTTTTAGTGCCCTGTTCTCCTGTGTCTACCGATGCACAGTGTCCATCATTGCCTTCTTTCTGGATGCTTGTCCAGACCACGGTCCAATGGGCTCATTCTTGGAGTTACATCTGTTGAAGATAGCCTGACTGAGTGGGAGGGACAGGGACCCTGAAGTTCACTGAGAGGAGAAGTGAGAAGCCGGGGCCAGGGTTGTCTGCTGCTTCTCGCTTGACTGGGGTCCGGCGTCTAAGTGCAGCGTGATCGGCCTCCTCATTGGGCAACCCGGCGGTCGCCCGTGCGATCTATTTTGGGGGCCGGGCCAATTAAACCAACCCCGTCTGTTGCCCTCGACCAGTAAACGCACTCGCAGGGGCAACATCCCAACAGTCCTTCCCGCCCGACATGCTCCAAGTCAGCGCTTAAAATACTCATACCCATCTCGGCCGTGACAGGTGCTGCTGTGCGTGCTGCATGTAGCCCGAAGCGGGGTGGGTGGAAGGGGGAGAAGCAGTGCATGGACAGACAGTTCCAGTCCTTTGTGACCGGGGGTTGGCGCACCTCCCTCACCGCGGGAAGGGCTAGATATGTGATCGAGGAGAGGGACGAGGCAAGGTAACTAGCTGAAGAGGTAAGTAAGTACCTTGCAAAAGGCGGGAAAGATGGCTGCTCTCGACGAATGGGAGCAGTCGGACAGCGGGCAAGCATCGTCTCTGAGGTTCGATGCGCCAGTCTTCTCCTCTTCCTGTTGTCTGCTTTCTAGTTTCGTGTTTCCGTCTTTCTGAATTCTGTTTCCCGTTTCGTGCCCTCCTCTCGGATCCTGAAATAAACCATTGCTTCCCTGCTGCTACCGAGCCGTCGGTTCCTCGCTCATCCGTCTGCCCTGCTACCCTTTATACATCTTGCCTGGACATCACCACCAGTGGGAGATCACAGCTGTCCAACCCTTCCTCCGGGCCAAGCGGCCCTGTGTCGGTAGCAGCCGTGCCTAATATCAAGCCCAATTTGCATCCCGTCCCTTCCCCGGTTCCAAAAAAGAAAAAGAGGAAAATCTCCTGTGAAGATCACCAGCGGCGCCCGGAGAGAGAGAGGATATAATACCACTCGCTCGAAGCGAGACGACAGAAGGCGACCATGTCATCCCCAGCGACAGTACCCTCAGGAGGGTTCTCTTTATTCCCAAATACCGGGAACAGACCGCCCTCGCGGAGTCAGGTCAGCAGGCCGAGGGCAGCTACACCGCAAAACGGGGAGCAGAGCTCTGCTTCCGACATGTCGCCTCCTCGCCCCGGCCGACAGACGCCAGTTGAGCGCAAGCAGTCTGTGAGAGAGGGCAAGAGACCGGCGACAAACCCGTGGCAGGCAGCCATTGACGCTCACGCCGCCCAACAACAACGCAACGAGCCCCCGGCGGAGCGTGCAGGCCCGGCGGCGGCGGCGCCGTCAGCCGTGTCGCCCAGCGAAGTTCCTCCTCGCTGCGAAACCGCCTTTTCAGAAGCACAGACCTTGGTGCGGAGCAACAGCAACCGGTCACGGAGCTCGATTGCCAAGCCGCCGATCATAGATCCCGAGGCCCCTGGTACCGCGGAGCAGAGCGAACCGGCGCTGCGGTCCATGTTCCCTCAGTACAACCACGCTCTGCCGGTCGACCGGCAAGAATACTACCCGACACAGACCAGCCCGACGCACATCCCCAGGGCCGCGATCAGCAGACCTCTCTACTCGCCTACCGAGGCTGAGGTTCATCACACAGCTGTCAGCCCTCCTGCGCGGGACCGGCACGTCAGGAGTCCCATGAGCGCCGGCTCGACCAGGCCATGGGTCCCGAAGCCGCAGGAGGCGCCGGTGGTTCCGCCCACGAGCACCACCGAAGAGATCCAGAGCCTGTGGAAGGTGGCCAACGGCTGGAAGGCATCGGCGTCTGAAGGCCGCGTTTACTGCCTCAAGATGACGAACGAGAAGGACGCGCCCATCTACACGCTCTCTTCCACCGCCCAGCCGTTCTACAACATCCGGCTGGACCCGACCTCTGCCTCGGCCTACGTCACCCTCTCCCGCCACGACCCGAACAAGCCCTACAAGGGCGCAGCTCCCGGGTCCGCCGCCAGCCCGGGCGGCTCGTCCTCGACCACGACCTTCAAGGCCGAGGGCAAGAACTGGCAGGAGGCCCTGACCACGACCCTCGAGGAGGAGTCGCGCAAGCACCCGCCCAACGACGGCCTCGTCTCGCTCCTCTACCCCACCGCCGCGGCCAAGATGGCCCTCGACCGGCCGGGGGACCCGACGGCCGTGGCGACGGCGGAGCGCGAGTGCGCCCGCCTCGTCTGGGACGACGACTCGGGCAGCCACTACCTCGTGCACCCGGCGCTGGCGATGCCCTTCTGCGTGACCGTCGAGCGCAACCCGGCCTGGAGCCGCACCGAGTACACGCTCGAGCACGCCGAGAGCCCGCAGCACCTGGCGCGCCTGACGCGCGACGGCACCGGCGAGGGCTGGCTCGAGGTCGACACGGCCATCGCCGCCAAGGTCGACGCCGTCTACCTCGTCGACGTCGCCGTCGCCGCGCTCCTGCTCGTCGCGCACACCGACGCCCGGTACGCCCGCGTCGAGGTCTTTGAGCCGCCGCCGCAGCCGCCGGCCGCCGTGCTCGGCGGGGCCGGCAGTGGGGCCGGGGGCAGGCACAGCCGGCAGTCGAGCCGCGCGGGCAGCCGCGCGAGCGTGAGGCTGGGCCTCGGCGGGGGCAAGGACAGGGGCGGCGGCGGCGGCGGCGGCGGCGGCGGCGGCGGCAGAGACAAGGACAGGAAGAGAGGGAGCGGCAAGACGGCCAAGAGGAGCCGGATGGAGGAGTTCGAGATCGACATTGAGAGCCAGACGAGCGAGCTGGGCAAGAAGCTCGAGGTCAAGGACAAGGACGGCCTGCCCGGCCCGGCCAGGGGGCTGATCAAGATCCTGAGCGTCACCTTCAAGTGCTTCATCTGGATCATGACCCTTGGCTTCAAGGCTCTGATGGCGATCGTTGCGGGATTGGCTAGGTGTGTCACGTCGGAGAAGCTATAATGAGGAAACAGGGGCTCGGAGTTTTTCAGGCGATTCTTTTGCTGGGATATAATGACGAGATGTTGCACAGTTTCTCTTTTTGAAGCGCAGGTAGCAAAGGGGGTTTCCATCTCACGTTGATTTCTTTCTTTCTTCTATATTCCCCCCCCCCCCCCCCCCCCCCCCATCGGCGTTGGGTATCGCATAGGGCATCGAAGGAAGGGAAGAGGAGCAGTCCCGGACGAATACCTCGTCCGGCCTCTCAGGTCATACATATTTCGTAGGGCAGAAAACGCCTATTCGCCATGATATAAAAAAACAATAACACCCCAATTTTTTCTTTCCGAGCGCATCACCTCTTCCGCTCACGAATCTTGAACTTCTTGCCGGCCTTTGTGATGCCGCCCACCGTCGCGGTCTTGGCCATCCTGGCTCTCTGCAGCTCGAGTTCGTTCTCCGCCTCGGTGAGCGCCTTGAGCTGCTTCCTCGCGTTCTGCAGTTTCCTCCTTAGCCGCGCCGCCATGTCTGCTTTGCGCTCTGCCTCGGTCTTCTTGCTGTCGTCCTTGGCCTCGGCGCCATCGTCATCCTCACTGTCCAAGTCCATATCGTCGTCGTCCTGCCCCGTGCCCGTGCCCGTTCCCGCGGCCTGGGTCTGCTCGTCTGCATCGTCCACAAACACAATCTTTTTCGGTTTCCTCCTGCTGCCGGCCGAAAACTCCTCTTCTTCGTCCTCGGCCTCGTCGTCCTCGTCCTGGGCTCCGTCGGCTAGCGCGCCGGCCATGATGGCCCGCTGCTCCAGCTCTCGCACCTCCTTGGCCAGCACGTTGCGCATGGTCCGCAGGTAGCCCACGTCCTGCGTCTTGAGCAGGCGCACCGTGTCGACGTCCATGGCGCGGTTGCCCCTGTCGCCGTCGACCGTGCCCGTCCACCGCTTGCCCTTGGAGACGAAGCCGCCGGGCCCCTTGCGGGACAGCATGCCAAAGTAGAACTCATCCTCGTTGCGGTCGGCGGCCTTTTGCCGCAGGGACTTGAGCTGGGCCTTTTTCTTGTTGAAGTCTTTGGCTCGGAGGGAGTAGTCCTGCACGGGGAGAAGGTGTTAGTCTGCGGATTGGGAGGGGAGGCGGGCGCGGAGGAGGCCGGGAGTTGCAATGGGACAAAAACGAACCTTGTGCTTCTCGAGGAGACCTAGCCTCTCGCGCTCCTTGGGCTGTGAGCGCTCTTTGTGATTGCGCCGTTGGACGGCATTTCGCATGGACGACATGGTGGCGGGCGGCCTTGAGTTGGGATTCGGTGCTCTTCTTGATGTCCAGCTTGTCAGATTGAAAAAAATAATGTCAAGTAAATTTAGGCTTATCTTATCGGGTTATCACTCTGCGATGGCGGCATGAGGAGCTACCTAAGTTACATCAGTCGCCCCACCTCTTTTTGGCTACCAGACAGGCGAGACAGGGCCACTAACAGCAGCACTTGAATGTCCATCAAACCCTTCGGCTTCATAAGAATACCTTCCTACATTACTTATGCGGAGTACGGCAACCCCCCTCCTCAGCGGTACGGAGACGGGAGCTTCTGCCAACGACGTTGACATACGGGGGCCAAGTATGCCAACAGCAAGGTTATTTGGTAGGTTGATATGGGATGTCAGGAGCGCAACGAAGAAGTCTGAGAGCAGCAGTTCCGAGCCTCCCATGTAGGAATTTGTAGCGGAGGGCAGCTCTGGACAACTGCCCTGCCATGCCCTGCCCGCCTTCAAGATTGAGTTGGGGTTTATCAGCTCAGCGTGGCGCTTTTTACCTCGATGTTAACAATAACTTGGTTCAGGCTGAGCAGTTGGCCTTCATCTTGCCTAACACGGGTGCTTCTTATGCCATTGGACAAACCTAGCCAGAGTATCTTGGCACAGGAGACAGGCCAACAAATGATCGTCATCTTTCTGCGTGCCAGACCTGGAGAATAGAGGCGATTTCTCTTTCGTTGAAGAATAGTTGGCGGGTCAGTGCTCTCAACCCCATTTGGATCCCACTCACATGCTGTGTCTTGGGTGCTCCCCATGTACATGATGTTGCTGGTGTCGAAGTTCACAGTGACGACGAGCCAGTCGGGCCAGGAAGCCTGTGTGCGAGGGCGCGGTCATCCCAAAGCCCGTTCATTGACGCTTTGCTGGCGTGCGCCAATATAGATAAGTCAAAGTGCGACAATTTTTGGCGAACCTTCAAAGTCAGGGACCATGATGGTGATTCTCCCGTCGCTTTTCTCATAGAGATGTGCCAGGGCCTCGCAGCCACCCTTCGTCAGTTCCATATACCAGACTATCGCTACTTGGGCGGCTGAGGCAACTGGCCTGGGTTGGATCAGAAGAGAAATGAGCCAGGGAACACGTCTCAGCAAACAGTTCCCTTGATGACATTACGTACATGTAGGTACTGAATGATAATATGTGAGACGGGCAAGGCAGGGAATTTGTTCAGATCAGATGACAACTACTCGCAGCTTGAGCATCCTGTATCCGTGATTTGAGAAGATTGGAGAAATATACACGCAATGGGATATTCTGAAGTGAACGGTTCGAGATTGGTATACTGTGGTGTAAGTGAAGTGTCGTGCCTTCCTAAACCACGTCTTTCGCGTTCCTTCCCGTGTAAAGACACCCTACCTAACTGACCTTGAGAACAGAATTCCTCCGCAACCTCTCCTCTTCCTCTTCCTCTTCTCTTTTTCTTCTTTGTCCGAAGATTCGCCCTTGTATGTCCGCTCTGGCTGTGATGTATGAGATCGTGGCTAATGTTGAATGATCTATCTCTAGCGGCTGGCGTTCGATCACTCCCTTTTCGGTTCGTCTTCCTCTGGTCGAGTTGTGGTTTTGGCACGGCTGTGGTCTCTTTCTCTGTGCATTATTTCAAAAATGGCATGTAATGATCGAGCTGGACGACGCAGCAACACCGGAAACAATCATGGAGGCGCGATGGACTTGGCTTCGGTGGTTATTTCAGCATAGCATACAATAAGAACCTGTCTGCTGGACCAGCCAATGCCCCTTCAAGAACCTGGGAGTCGTGCTGCTGATATTGATTGTGTGTGTAAGAGAGAAGACTGGAGTGGGTGCGAATTTGGCCTTTTTAAAGTCATCAGCCAACAGGCGGATCCGGCACTCCATTAGACTGTCCCTACCTATGTAGGTACTCTACTTAGTCATGGAGTCTCACCAAAGGGACAAAAGATGACTACCAATGGGCAAATATCCCATCTCTTATCCTTAAAGCTACCTACAGTCGTCTGGCACTTTTGTACAAGTATTGAGTCCCTACATACCCTCTTATGTAGCTAATGCTCCTAGAGCCTCAAAAGGTATGTCTATAGTTCTCATTTTCTATATTACTTACCTTCTTAGTAATACTCGATCAGAATATCATCTATAATCACACAAAGTCATTTCATATCTGCTGGAGGTTCACAGCCAGTTGCTCAAAAGCTACTCCTCCTCGCTCTCCTCACTGTCCTCCTCCTCCCCGTCTTTCCGTTGCCTGTAGACGACCCTCTCGCAGAGCTGCAGACACTTGCGCACAGGCAGGCCTATCACGTTGTCGAGGTTGCCCTCGATCTTCTCCACCAGTATCAGCCCCGCGACGCCCTGGACCGCGTAGCCGCCCGCCTTGTCGGCGCCCTCGCGCGTCTTGACGTAGCTCTCGATCGCCTCGTCGGCCAGGTCGGCTGCGAAGTAGACCTTGGTCTCCTCGGTGTGCGACTTCATCTCGTAGCCCGGGTGGGCGGCGTCGGCGCGCGGGGCCAGCGCGCACACCGTCGTCACGACGCGGTGCACGCGCGTGTCGCGCAGCATCTTGAGCATGCGCAGGTGGTCCGCCTCGGAGCGCGGCTTCTCGACGACCTGGCCCGAGCGCGTGACGATGACGGTGTCGGCCGAGATGACGAGCGCCGGGTCCGCGGGCACGGCGACGGCCTCGCGCTCGGCCTTGGTCGCGGCGGCGTCGCGCTCGCCCGCGGCGGCCTCCTGCGCCGCGAGGGCGAGCTCGTAGACGTCGAGGCACTTCTGGCGCGCCGTGGCGGAGACGTACTCGAAGGGCCCGTACTGCGCCTTGGAGAGGTTCTCGGGCTTGGCCGAGGGCCGGATCTCGAGGCCGGTGAGGCCGACCTGCGTAGAATTTAGCGACAGTAAGAATGGCCCCAATCTGCCTGCATATATCATACTCGTGCCAGGAGCTCTCTCCTCCGGGGTGAAGCAGAAGCCAGGATTACTCTATGCGACTTGATGTAGTTGAGGATGGGAAGGTCGAGGGGCGGCGGCGGTCGCCGGATCGGGGCGCTCTGTCTGATGGGAAGGGCCGCCTTCTCGGGCGAGGCCGTGTACTCGGGGGGAGGCTCGTTGGGCACTTTTTTGTCGGCCATCCTGCACTATTCGCGGCGAGCAATTATCTTTAGGAAGGGCGAGTGTATCTAGTTAGGTTGAGCTGGTGTCGTTGAAGAAGCTCCCCCACTACGTACGCAATCGGTGAGGTAGGTACGTACCTGGATGCTGATGCTGGGCACTGGGATCCCCCATGCGAATGGCTGAGGGCCCGCCCACTGCCCACCCACCTGCACCTTACCTCATCTGTGGGTCCGCCCCGGAATACTTAGGTAGCGCTGCTTCAGGCGCGCCACGAGTGTGAAGCCTCGGTCACATGCAAAACACTCCGTGATCGTTCCTCACACGCCCCCTCCGGCCGTTCGTTCGCCAGATTTCGGGACCCTTGCAGAGGCGTTGATATACAGCAGACATATAACCGGCGCCTGGACTGTCACAAGACTCGGCCCGCTCCCAGGAGCCCCCATAAGACATGCCCTCGGAAGCCAGGAAACCCAGGTAGCACCCGGATCTGTGGGCTTTGCAGACACGCATATCACCTCTGTCTAGGCGGCCACTGCCAGCATCGCGAGGCCGGCCCGCGCTCCGTTCACACACAACTGTCCCCGGCTTCTCCTATCATGTCCAACTCGGCCAAGTCGGCCTCCCCCGAGGCAAGGGATGGCAGCAACGGCGCCAATGGCGACGGGCCCGACGAGAGGCCGCGCTTGACGGAGGAGGAAAAGAAACAGAACCACATTGCCTCAGGTCAGTTCTCTTAGCTACTTCCCCCGTGTTGGACTTCCAGCATGCTGATGACGCATCAATACAGAGCAAAAGCGGCGGCAGGCCATCAGGGAAGGCTTTGACCGCCTCACCCAGCTCGTGCCCGGCATGGAGGGCCAGGCGCGCTCCGAGGGAGTGGTGCTGAAGCGCACCGTCGAGTTTATGCGCGAGCAGCTCGAGGAGAGGAAGCGTCTGATCGAGGCTGTCGAGGCGCAAGGCGGCCATGTCGACGAGAGCTACAAGAAGTATGACCTACCCTGTTATTCTATCCGTGATTGGTTATCTAACTCATGCTTGTTACAGGTTTCTGGAGGATTCATTAAAGAACCAAGGACTGTCTTGAGCGTCCGTGGCCAAATAATTAAGACGGGGCTGTACCTGGCAATCATGGACTTGTACTCATAGTAATGTACCACCAAAGCGGAGTATTGCCAACGAGCAGGCGCAACTGGATGGCGGTTGGGGGAGAGAAAGGCTTCTAAAATAAGGGCGTACATGGAGTAGCGATGGGTTTTCTATTGGTATGATTCTACTTTTTGTTTCAGGAATTGGAGAAGCGCCTCGGGCTTCATATTTACCGATGACTTTTTGGGCTTTTGTTGGCCCTCCTCCGCCGTCTCTGCATCGGAAAATCGTGACAGATCAACGGCTAGCGTGCCGTTGGCCACGTCCTTAGGCCCAGCCACCATGATCACCCCGTAGCCCTTGGACTTCGCCTCCCGGATCTTGAGCGGCAGGCTCCGGGGGCTGTCGTCGACGTCGATGACCAGCTGAGAAGGGCTGAAGTGCGGGTTCTCCCCGTCCACCGTCCCCGTGAGGACCTTTTTGGATGCCCGCGCAAAGTCCACCACGGGCTCGCTGTCATTCACCGTCAGGATAATGCCTTGCCGGGGGTTGAGCCAGAACGGCCATTTGCCATTGTAGTGCTCGATCAACAGCGCCATGAGTCTTTCGACCGAGCCCAGAATAGCGCGGTGGATGAGCACAGGGCGCACGGCACCCGACTCGGCCAAGAGGGAAGCGTCCGAGGTTGAGGTGCCCTTCGCCTCCAGCTCGGGAGCGGGGGCTTGGTATTCTAGCTCGAACCGCTTCGGGAGCTGAAAGTCCAGCTGGATCGTGGCGGTCTGGTGTTCCTTTCCATCCGAGTCCTTGAGGACGATATCGATCTTGGGCCCGTAGAATGCCCCGTCGCCCTCGTTGAGCGTCCACTCCTGGCCCGAATGGTCCAGCGCCCGCCTCAGCCCGTCCTCGGCCTGCTCCCAGTCCTCGAGGGAGCCGATGTAGTGTTCCTCGGGCCGCGTCGACAGCACCAGCCGGTAGGGGCCGAGCTTGAAGACGCCGTAGGTGCGCCGCACGAAGTCGAGGGTGCGCCTGATCTCGTCCTCGATCTGCGAGGGCCGGCAGAAGATGTGCCCGTCGTCCTGGTGGAAGCGGCGCACGCGCGTGAGCCCGCTCAGCGCGCCCGAGATCTCGTTGCGGTGCAGCGGGCTGAAGTCGGCGTAGCGGATGGGCAGGTCGCGGTAGCTGTGGCGCTGGGCGGCGAAGATGAGGCAGTGGCCCGGGCAGTTCATGGGCTTGAGCCCGTACTCGTCCTCCTCGCCGGCGATGCTGCCGGCGGCGGGGTCGGTGGCCTCGCTCTTGTCGGCGCGGGCGGGCGACGTGCTCGTCACGGTGAACATGTCGTCTGCGTAGTTCTCGAGGTGGCCCGACTTGGCCCAGAGGGCCTTCTTGTAGATGGTGGGCGTGATGACCTCCTGGAAGCCATAGTGGACGTATTGCTTGCGGAGGAAGTCGACGAGGCGGTTGAAGATGCGGGCGCCGTTGGGGAGGAAGATGGGCGAGCCGGGACTGTAGACGGACGTGGTGAAGAGCTCTTGCTGGACGCCGAGGTCGCGATGGTCAGCCGGGGGCTTGGGGAGGGGATTTGATGCTGTCGCGCATAGCCGATGATGACTGCTGCATCTGGACGCGATTCTGAGACTGGCTGGGATGGGAGCTGCGAAGGCGGATCTCCTGTATAGAGACCGCGAGGCCACCCTCGCGACCCTTGATGGGAGCATCACGATGCCGCCGATAGATAGTCGAGACCTATGGACATTTCCCCCCTCCGGCTCAAAGATGGGATACGAAGATCATTCGAGGATTCCAAGCTCCCCCCAGAGCTATGGCAATGTACTGACAGGGATAATTAATTTTTGGAGCTTGCTTTTTCCAGGGCCCTCCCTCGCAATTTGCGGGTCTAGAACAACGGCGGGACTTTAGGTAGCTCGGTAGGTAATTATTACTCGGGATGCGTGGCGCCATTTCATGAAACATTGTGTCCCTGCAGCAGCACCGGAGTGAGCAACACATCCTGTCCACTCAGGAGTCCGGATGCACGATGCCTGTTCCATCAAACCTAGTACCAAGGTGTCGCGCCTGATGAGGACGACGGGCCATTTGACACGCCCCCGGGACCTGGCTGTGTCACGGGAATCGCCCGACGTCATCCACCCTCGGCCACACCTCTCTCCAGGCATTCCCCAGCCACCCACCATCTCCGTCTCCATCAGCCTCAGGACGGACCTGAGAACGGATTTTGCATGCTTCAAGGCTTCTATTATTTTTCTAGATTCTTTTCACGAACGTAACTCTTTTTGTGAAGATCCCCTAGCTTCCTTGCCTTGGGCTTATGAGTCACTGCTCTTCCGTGGCCGAAAGACATCCCGGACGCCGCCTCTTGGTACCCGATATAAGTCACGCGCGCTTCTGCCTATCAAACCCATCTTTCGCCACCTCCACATATATTTTGGCTTGGAGCTCACAGGTCGACACCACTTTGTGAAGATTATTAAAGTTGGTAGAGACTGGAAAGCTCATCTGGAAAGCGAAATCAACGAAGGATCCGTTTGCTTTGCTGCGGCAACACCCTCCATCGGTGAAAGCCGCGCTTCTCCGGGCCGCCGTCATGGCGCCTTCACGGAAGCAGGCCTTGCCCGTCGAGAGTTCATGGCGCATGGTCGAGGGCGAACATGACAGCTTCGACACGTCGATCGTGCCCGACGACGAGGAGCTGATCATGTCCAGCAACCCATCCCAGTTCTCTGGCGGCTCCCAAGGCCAGCTCAGCGTCCCGGGCTCCCAGGACGACGACATCGAGAGCTTTCTCAGCAAAGCAGCCGATGATGAGCGCGTCATCATGAGGTCCCCTTTCCAGCCTTCTGTCCCGTCCTCTGTGAGGCACAGCCCGAGGACACAGAAGCACCGCTCGCCTGAACCAGAGTTTTACATGCCGAGGGTCGAGGTCGACAGTCCGCGAAAGGCGAGCGGCCGATCGCCGAGGATGATGCGGATGGCCGAAGCCGAGTTGCGGCAGCGCCAGGGCTTCAGCAACGGCAGCCCGACGAAGCGATCGCGACGAGGGCAAGGAGCGAGGTACTCGGAAGAATCGGCGTCTCCGTCGTTTGGGGAGCGGCTGTCTCAGTCCTTGCCCAACGCCCTCTTCGAAGTCCTGGCCTGGGCGTTTGGCATCGTTGGTCTCGCGTTTCGCTATGCGCAGAAGCCCTTGGCTATCCTCCTCGCCATCTACCTCATGTTTGGCGGCCTGATCATTGCCCAGAACATGGCGACAAAATCGCTCTACACCTCTTTGTCCCCGGTCTGCCGCATCCCGGGCGCCTCATGGCTTGACCTGCCGTTTTGCCCCCGAATCCCGGCTGGGGGTGCCGGTGCCGGAAGCGGTGCGGAGGGTGGGAAGAAGCCTGTCGAGTTCGACGGTCTCATGGATGTCCAGGAGCGATTCGAAGAGGTTTTGGAGAAGAGCGCCAACGGCGTCTCTCTGCCTATGGAGATGAAGCGCTCCGAAGCGTCAATCCGAGACCTGCGTACCATGGTGCGCTATAGCAACCTTCAGGCCAAGGAGGAACTGGTTCTCGAGTTTGACGGCTTCATCGATACGGCAAGGACGGCTTCAAACGACTTGCAGAAGTTCAATACCCACGTCGGATCCGCTGTTGACTCGGTGATCAGCATCAATCGGTGGACCTCGCGATACATCGACGGGTTGCAACATGATCGCGACTCTCAAGGGTGGATCTCGGAATGGACTGCATGGGTATTCGCGCCTTTCCAGCCTGCCACATTCTCGGAGCGCAGCCTGCTGGACAAATATGTCGAGCACACAGCGCTTGTGTCGGACAAGATTGCCGACCTGATTCTGGAAGCGCAGAATGTCCTGCGGACGCTGACCACGGCCGAGGATCATCTGGGTATCATCTACGACTTTGTCACCCGGACGCAGAAGAGCGTGCAGTCGCGCAAGGACGAGGTGCTCTGGACCCTGTGGACTCTGGTGGGCGCCAACACAAAGCACCTGCACAACCTGAACAGCCAGCTGTCCCTGCTGCGCCAGGTCGACACGCAGCGCACCGACGCCGTCAAGCAGGTGTCGGAGCTCATCGTCGAGCTGGAGAAGATCCAGGCCGGGCTGGGCGATCTGCGCGATAGGGTCGCGGAGCCTGAGATTGTGCGCAGCAGCGGCAGGGCGCAGATGGTTCCGCTCAGCGTACACATCGAGACGATCGACCGGGGCGTGGAGAGGCTGGAGCATGCGAGGAGCAGGATCCGGGCGATGGAGAATGATAGGATCCGGCAGGTGCTGGCCCGGGGCCAGGGCGAGGAACGGCTCATCGAGCAGTCGTAACAGGCAGGCTGCCTGCCTGTGTGACCATGGTTATTTGCTTCCTTGGAGATGGATGATTTGATGATTCTGGATTTAATGGGCGCCTGGTACAATCTTTGGCGTTCTGGGGCTGGATGATGAAGAGACCGAGGCAATGAACAGATGGACTCTGAAAGGCAAAACAAGCTTGCCATGACCTGCGCATTTGGAGTTCCTTTTTTTAGCTGAATGATACCCAATATTTGGACTCTTTGGACGAGAAACTTGAGTAAAAGAACTAGTGGTGAAGCTGCCCCCATTTCGACACGTCCTTCATCCGGATTCTTTTCAGTCAAACTGCCTGGGGGCAGGCGCACCATCATTATGAGCCATTGCTTCTCTTCCACAGCCATGAGCAAGACTGAATGTCGATTCACGATGAAACTAATGTACATTGCTCCTAGTGTTCCTCTTCATAGGTCGGGCGACCCTAAAGAAGTGATGATGGCCAAGGGGAGAAAGGCACTGCCGCACAGCGACTCGACGTCAAGACGTACAATGGAAGAAGGGCCTAAACTCAACCAAAAAAGGAGATAAGACAGTTCAGCTTGGATTTAGTGAAGGGACAAAAATAAAACACGTTCAGGATCACCTGTTTGTCAGACAAACTGACGATCAACCGAACGGCGAAAAGCTCCCAACTAATTCTGCTATATACATCCTTTGACCTTCCAGATTCCCCTCTGCCGCTACTCATAAGTGTGTATGGCGATACAACAAACCACCAGGTTTCACATCCAGAACTGTTCAGCATGACAACTCTACTCTGCTTGGTGCACATTCGTTGTCCTTAAAGTATTAGTCTTTTTATTAGATTCAACACGAACAGTCACAGCCTACATAAATGGCTCAGTGTCTGGAATAAAGAGTATCGTGAAATAATACTGGGTCTATCTGTGTGGGCTATCATTACTCAATGGCATACACAATATTCAAAGGACATTTGGGTGAGGTCATCACGTTGCTAAGGGGGAAAGGTTCCGCTGAATATATTGGCTATTTCCCAGGTAGGTTGATTCGAATTGACAGTAGTTCAAGTAGCGTGAACGTGCGGACGGGCTGAGCTCGATTTCGACGCTTTGTCTGTAAGTAGTGTCAGGTAGGTAAGCCAAGAGAAAAAAGAAAAAGAAAAATCCCGTTATCTGGTTTAAGCCGTTAGGCCATCAACCAGATGCAGGGTTCGTTAAATTCTGTGTGGTTAGATTATAAGAACTTTCAGAAAGATCGAGTTCATGATTTGACTTATGACAATCCCATGAGGCTCCGGGATGTCCAAGGGCTGTTGGCTATGGCCTCAGTCAGGCTATTTCTGCTAACATAAGTAACAACTTACTTGACTATCCATAAGTCCATAGGTTTTAGGTAGTAAGATAGCCTTTTCGAGTTCCAGGCCTTTTTGCAAATAACACATGCTGGAGGTATGAATGATCACCATGTAGCACAATCTAATATAACTATTTGTCATACGGATTCGTCAGAGACAAGGTAAATACTGCCGAATACAGGGAGCCAACAGAGCGCCGGCCACCATGATTGACTTGAATGGGATTGCCTGCATGTGCAATTGTCCATGCTTTGAGGTCGGGGAGACAACGACAACAACAGGGAAGCAATGCGGCAACCCAGGCCGAGTCTGGCCACACCAGGTCTTGGCTGCCACATGCAAGACCCTTGACCTCGCAGCGGGAGCTTATCAGTAGCGTGTGGGGTAGCCTCGAGGTTGTTTGCTGGCAGGGGACCAGATCGGGGCGAGCTATTTCTAAAAGGGTGTATTGATGAATGATGATGGGTAGGTAATGCAATCGGCCGGGCCTAGGGCAGATAAGGAGCTGGCTGCTCTGGGCTGGGCCAAGGGAGATAGATAACAGCTAGGTGCGCCGCCGGGCCGTCACCTCGAGCTACCGACTACTAGGAAGCTCTTAGCTTTTTCGAAGCTTCTCTTTCTCTCCAGGCCTTGCCTTTTCTCATGAAGGCCAGAGTCCCAAGAGAAGACCGGGATTGACAAGATGCATCTTGTGCCAAAAGAGGTTCGTAGCCAAGACCTTCCTGAACGAGCCTTGTAAGTCGGCATTGCCAAGGCCCTCGCAGATGCTAACATGCTACACCATACGCCCAGCTTGATAAGCTCGCCATCTCGCAGCTAGGCTTCCTGGCTCAGCGCCGGCTTGCCAGGGGCGTCAAGCTCAATCATTCAGAGGCCGTAGTAAGCAGCTTCCCTCCATAAAGGGAATTGGGCCGATGCGCTGCCCAGAGATCCCAGCCGACCTCGTACACTGCTAACAGACTTGCTCTCTCTCTCTCCCCACAATAAAAGGCACTGATCGCCAGCAACCTCCAGGAGCTCATCCGCGATGGGCAGCACACGGTGGCCGACCTGATGACCCTCGGCGCCACCATGCTCGGGCGGCGCCACGTCCTGCCGTCGGTCTGCACCACCCTGCACGAGATCCAGGTCGAGGGGACCTTCCCCAGCGGCACCTACCTGGTGACGGTGCACAACCCCATCAGCACCGACGACGGCGACCTGCGCCGCGCCCTCTACGGCAGCTTTCTCCCCGTGCCGGACCAATCGGCTTTCCCGCTCCCCGAGGCGGCCGCCTACGAGCGCAGCAAGCAGCCCGGCGCCGTGGTCGCCGTCAAGAACGGCACCGTCTCCATCAACGAGGGCAGGAGGCGGATCAAGCTCCGGGTGACCAGCAAGGGCGACAGGCCCGTCCAGGTCGGCAGCCACTACCACTTTATCGAGACGAACCCGCAGCTCGAGTTCGACAGGGCGAGGGCGTACGGCTACCGCCTGGACATCCCTGCGGGGACGTCGGTGCGCTTCGAGCCCGGCGACACCAAGACGGTCACGCTCGTGGAGATTGGCGGCAACAAGGTCATCTGCGGCGGCAACAACTTGGCCACAGGCAAGGTAGACTACAGCCGCGTAGACGACATCATAGCGAAGCTGCAACAGGCCGGGTTTGCTCATGCGCCTGACCCCATCGGCGACTACGGGCACATCGATGCCTTCCAGTTGGAGCGGACGGCATACGTGACCATGTTCGGCCCCACGACGGGCGACCTGGTGAGGCTCGGCAGCACTGACCTGTGGATCAAGGTCGAGAAGGACCTCACGGTCTACGGAGACGAGTGCAAGTTCGGCGGCGGTAAGACTCTCCGCGAAGGAATGGGACAGGCGACGGGCAGGCCCGACTCGGAGACCCTGGACATGGTAGTGACCAATGCTCTCATCGTTGACTGGATGGGCATCTACAAGGCGGACATCGGAGTCAAGCAGGGGATGATTGTGGGTATCGGCAAGGCAGGCAACCCGGACGTGATGGACGGCGTGTCCCCCAACATGGTGGTGGGCAGCTGTACCGATGTCGTAGCCGGAGAGGGCAAGATCGTGACGGCCGGCGGCATCGACACTCACATCCACTACATCTGCCCCCAGCAGGCCTACGAGGCCGTCGCATCGGGCATCACGACGATGCTGGGCGGAGGCACTGGCCCAAGGTACGTTCCGTATCGTGTCGTCGAAAAAGTCGACCTGGCCAAGCGGGCACCCACTAACACGCACGCAATTTTAGCGCCGGCACGTCTGCCACCACATGCACCCCGGGCAAGCACTACATGAAGCAGATGCTGCAGGCCTGCGACGGCCTGCCCGTCAACATCGGCGTGACGGGCAAGGGCAACGACAGCGCGCCGTCGGCGCTGCGCGAGCAGGTCATCGCCGGCGCCTGCGGCCTCAAGCTGCACGAGGACTGGGGCTCGACGCCCGCCGCCATCGACGCCTGCCTGTCGGTGTGCGACGAGCTCGACGTGCAGTGCCTGATCCACACCGACACGCTCAACGAGTCGGGCTTCGTCGAGTCCACGCTCGCCGCCTTCGCGGGGCGCACCATCCACACCTACCACACCGAGGGCGCGGGCGGCGGGCACGCGCCCGACATCATCCGCGCCGTCGAGCTGCCCAACGTGCTGCCCTCGAGCACGAACCCGACGCGGCCCTTCACGCTCAACACGCTCGACGAGCACCTCGACATGCTCATGGTCTGCCACCACCTCTCGCGCGACATCCCCGAGGACGTGGCCTTTGCCGAGTCGCGCATCCGCGCCGAGACCATCGCCGCCGAGGACGTCCTGCACGACCTCGGCGCCATCAGCATGATGAGCTCCGACAGCCAGGCCATGGGCCGCTGCGGCGAGGTCGTCCTGCGCACCTGGAACACGGCCCACAAGAACCGCGTCCAGCGCGGGCCGCTGCCCGAGGACGCGGGCACGGGCGCCGACAACTTGCGCGTCCGCCGCTACGTCGCCAAGTACACGGTCAACCCGGCGCTGGCGCAGGGCATGGCCCACCTCGTCGGCAGCGTCGAGCCGGGCCGCCTCGCCGACCTCGTCGTCTGGGACCCGGCCTGGTTCGGCACCAAGCCCAGCCACGTCATCAAGAGCGGCATGATCGCGTGGTCGCAGATGGTAAGTCTGCTTTTTTTCTTCTTCTTCTGGTTCGTTGCGCTTTCCTTTTGGATCAGAAAATTACTCACAGAATGGGATCCCCAACATATCTATATAGGGCGACCCCAACGCGTCCATCCCCACGGTGCAGCCCGTCATCGCGCGCCCCATGTTCGCGCCCCTGGTGCCCGAGACGTCGGTCCTCTTCGTCAGCCAGGCCGCCATCGAGCACGGCGTCGTGCAGTCCTACGGCCTGCGCAAGCGCGTCGAGCCCGTCAAGGGCTGCCGCACCGTGGGCAAGGCCGACATGCGCCTCAACGACGCCATGCCCAAGATGCGCGTCGACCCGGAGCGGTACACGGTCGAGGCCGACGGCGAGGTGTGCACCGCCGAGCCGAGCGAGCAGCTACCGCTCACGCAGCAGTTCTTTGTGTATTAGCATCTTTTGTCTCGTTCAAGCTTGCGAATGGGCCACGTTGCTTCTATGTTTCTTTTTGGAATATCAACTTTTTTTTCTTCTTCCGCCTGAAACTACTTGCATGTGTGACTGAGAGTAACAATGTAATTACACGCACTGCAAAACGCAAAAAACCAGAGCTCCCACCATGGAAACCTATGTCCCAAATTCATCAACTCATGACAAAACCTGACCATCCCTACCCAGGTCCCCCAGCCCCGGTCCCTAGAAAACCGTATTTTCAAAGACCATCGTGTCCCAATATGAACCCCGAGGAAAAGAGAACAAAAACCATACATATACCGAACAGCCGATGAAACCATCCCAGGTGTCTGTCCAGAGGTCGACCGCTCGCATGAGCCGACAAATAATTGCGGGAATAAAGAGCCCCTCCCAAAGCCCGACAAGCGCAATGCCTAGTCAAGCATCAGGCGTATCCGCCTGGGCTCCTCAACAGGGGAAGCGCTCGAGTGCCAGGATCGCGAGGAAGAGGAGCGAGCGAGCGAGGTCGACGACGAGTTGTGTGGATATAAACGCGCGAGAAGAGGTATCATTTTCACATTGAGAAAAGAGCAGGATCAATGTTTGGATCAGCAAGAACATCCGAGAACGCCTACCCGCTCTTAGCCTTCTTGCGTCCAGACTTCTTGGGCTCTGGCTCTTTCTCTTCAGTTACCTTCGATGTCCGCTTGCGCTTCTTGTCCGGGCTGGCGGCGCCGGCCTTAGCGGCGTCGGTCTCAGCGGCGGGGGTGGCCGTCTTGCGCTTGCCGGTGGCCTTCTTTGCCGACTTGGGGGTCTTGCTCGCTGGCTCCTCGGGCTCGTTGGCGGCCTGGTTCTGCTGGAGCTGGTTGGCGATCGCGCTCTCGTCACCAGCATCGTGGTCCTTGCCAGTCGGCATGGGGATGTCGAACTCCTCAGCATACTTCAGAGCCTCATCGTCGGTCATGAGCTTGGCGATGGCATTGCCACGCTTGTACGAGTGAACACGAGCGTTGTAGAGACGCAGGTTGTACTGGTACGCTTGGTTCCAGCCCTGGACGACGAGTCAGTACAGGCCACACAAGAATCCCTTGCGGTCGCATCGCGGCAGGGTGACTTACATCCTTGTCCTTGTGGCTCATGGAACCCCACCGGCGCTGGCCCTCCTCCTGAACAGCTCCCTTGGGCGCATCAGCACCGAGATCGGTAGCAATGATGGGACGGGCAGTCTGCATGTAGAGGAAGTAGGGGGTCAGAGGACGCTTGGGAGCGTTGGGGTCGTGAGACCGCTTCTTGCGCTCCTTCTTCTCCTCGACCTGGGGCATGACAGGTGCCGGAGGCAGCAGGTTCAGGGCGTTCTCGAGAGCAGCGATATCAGCGCCATTCTCAAAGTTGGTGCCCTCGCCGAGGAGCAGATTGGTCTGACGGAGATAGTCGACCGAAAAGCTCTTAATCAGGTCCTGAATGGTGGACAGTCTGGCGTAGACCTGCTCAGAATGTCAATTACAGTCCTTTTGTAAAACGTGCGAGCGCGCAAGCTAGCGCCTAGTATGGGTAGCTTGCGCCGGGAGGGCCATAGCTCCCAGCCGTGGTGGACGCGGGGCCGTGGGGCCGAGACTCGAATGTAAACAATGCGGTGACGCGGGTGTGGATAGCTCTGGGCAGCTTGTGCTGGGCGAGAATAGGAAAATGGGGGCGAGCGTGGGCAGTCTTGGGTGCCTTGGGGCACTCTTTGGGAAATAGCGCGGGCTGAAGGGAAAACAAATCACGTGGGCAGATCAAGGTCAATTGCGCGGTTGTTGCGGGAACGGAGAGGATCCTCGAGCTGGGCTGGGAGGTAAAGGAAAGCAAATGAGCGGAGGGTTGGGCTGAGGGCGCTGGTCTGATGACGCGCCCGGTCGAGGCGGTTGTGTTGTTGCGGGAGGATGGGGTGTGGGAAAAGGCGCCGGGGAAGGCGGTCGAGGGAGAGAAAAAGGACGAGAGATGGAGAAATTGCTACTGACCGAGTCTCGCACGCGGATGAAGTTGTCAACATCAATGACGCGCGGGGGACCACTGCTTCCCGCCTTTGCGGCGCCCTCGCCGGTCTTGGAGCCCTTGGGTCTGGCCATTTTGGCACTGTTGTGGTGTTGCGATGAGTTCTTGAATGGAAATAGTGGTGATGGTGCTGAAGCCCAACTCGCTGCACTGAAGGTTAGTGAGTTGCGGTGATGTTGCGCGATCTTGAGGGGGGAAAGGTGCTGGAATTGAGGGAGAAGAGAAGGGAAAGCGAAGATTTTGGGGCGATGGGGGAACCTAATCCTCTTTATGGCCGGGTCGTGGGTCAGGCAGGGCGCCGGCTGATTTGCGCCGCGCGCTTTTCTCGATTTTTTTTTGGGGGGTGGGAGCCCAGGCTCAAGTGCTCAGTGCTGCCGGCCACCCTATTTTCCCTCTTTCCCTCCAGCGAGTCAGCAGTCCCGCCTGAGCAACCTGCCAACCTGCCTGGCGTTCGACAGGAAAAGAGCGGGTGTCCACCCGACATCCCCAAAGACCGCTGGACTCTTCTAAATTTGGCCGAAGTGATCTGATCCCCCCTCTCCAGTGATGTTGGGCACTGCACTCGTAGCGAACCCCCAAATATTCACTAAAGAGGCTCCCTCTGCCACTACCTCTCAACCTTCTAATCCTCATGCCCTCCCTCTCACTCCCCAGCCTCCTGGCTCGGTCACTGTTTCCCCTGCCCACCCAGTGCTCGCCGCTCTGCGCTCCAGCGTCCTGGGTGGTACAGCACGATTCCTGATTCCACTGATCACCTTGTTCAGCACTATCATGCTTCACGAGCCTGCTGTTTTATCTTCGGCGATTGCAGCTTGGTAATTGAATCCAATGCGCCCAACATGTTTCCACTGGTCATTCTGTGGGCATTTGGCGGAGCAACTGGCGATATTTCCTGTGGTGGCCGACAATACGCAACGTTCTTCCCATGCCGCTTGTTCTGAATCTACCGCTGCTAGTCGCTGATGAAGCTTTTGACCAGGTACCCGAGCGCGCCCGAGATCGCTACAGTACCTGAAGTGGCTCCTATCTTCCAGTGACTGGTCCCCGTGGTCGCACCGCCAATGAGATTCCCGGAACTGCCCCAAGCCTGCACTACTGGTTTGTTTACCTCTTGGGTGTGCTGTAAGCTGCCCCGGGGGTAATTCTGGGCACAGATTGGGGCAAGGAGCCACTGCAGCCTGGGTGGGTCTCAGCGACCAGCACGCGCCTGCCGCTCCCGCTGCTGTTGCTCCTGCTGCCGCTTCCTGTCCATTCCTCTTCATCTCTCCATCTTTGACACTTCATTAACTTACCCAGGTCAGTTGATACCTACCTAGGTACTGTAGTTGTAGTTGAGACTCAAATATTGCAAATTGCATATTTTTAAGTATGTTGAGTCGAGGACGCTCTCAAACTTTGACTCTCGTTGCAATAGATACAGGTACCTATTTGCAGCCGCGAACGCTGGCTCTGATAGCCAAAATCAGGCCAGAACGGTGCCAATTCCACCATCATTCTAGGGAGTTAGAGCGTGGTTAACGCGTCCACGGATGTCGTCCCATTGTTACCTGTAGTCGCTGTTTCGATATCTCCCAAATAGCGCCCCGACCGCCATCATTTGTCGAGCAACCTCCCTGTAGCACTCTGGAGTGGCTGTACCTCGCTGTCAATTGCTAATTGAGCCGTACTTGCTGTATATTTGGAGCACCTACTGCTATCTTTCTACTTCCATCTTTCGACTGCCACTATTCAAAGGCTCGACTACATATACTTGGCCGACCACAATTGCGCTCTCTCGAGATATGGCACCAATATTCTCCCCTCGTAATAGACACCACTGGCTTGATCTGTACGCATCTTCGTCAAACCTCGCCGCTTCTTTCCCAGAAACTGTCGCTTTTGCGCGTAACGACTGGTCTGATCGAGTTGCCAAATGCTGCACTGGGTAGAGAGGCAGTTGATTATACGAGATAACGCGTTCCCTGGCCTTGACCACTTGACATGCAGCCTGTACCAGTATCTCAATGCCGCCGGCTCCCAGATATCTGATGTTGATCCCGCATACTTATTCTTCAGCTGCCCACCCTATGAATATGAAGCTTGCTCCCTGGGGCAAGGGGGATTGCCCACCAAAGACAGTACGGACTGCCCGCAGTACGGAGGTCGCTCGCAGCTCTGAGCGGCATTGCGTCAACTATCAAGTATCAAGTATCGGATAAGCTACAGAGCAAGCGGATATCCTCAGTTGGAAAGACATCCCGACTGGGGTCTCTGCTAGACATGTTCTGCTCAGGGTTACCTAACCCACGGCATCTGGAAGCTCAACAGGGTTCTCTCCGGTTCCCGGCATCGAGCTCAGCTTCAGTTAGCCTCGTTAAAAAAGGATGGGCGGAAGGAGCGTTGGCACCCAGCTGTCTGGACCCCGGACGCGACCGTTGGGTACGATCTTTAAGGTTATTTGGTGGTCCCAAACTCTAGTTTGACGTAGACGACCGACGCTCTACTCCGGTAGGTAGGTACCTAGTCTTCAGGGCCTGGCGACCCCAGTACGTCTTTTGTAGTCTACCTAGGTATCTCTTTAGAGGCTTTTGTTCTCGATGCCAAACAATGACTTATGCACCTGTTGATGGGTGAGTGGTTTGTAGGATATGGTCTTGTCGACAACGCGATCCAATTACAGCTGGCTGTAATCATGTCATATCAACGTGTCGAACTTGGGCGCTTCCTCCGCCAAGAAGTGATTGACCTGCATGTAACAACATGTAGGTACCTCTGGAAGTACGGAGTAGGTCATACCCTGCGTACTCCCTGCCAAGTGATGGCCAGATAGTTGATGGGCTGTTTACAATGGCATCGGCATCTGACTCCATCAACCCATCGAGTTTAGGTTGTGGGATAGCCCTTGCGAGCTCCAGAGTAAGGGTGTGCATGGAGTCATCTCCTGATGAACCTCTGCCAACTTGTTCTTGCCCGTGATAGCTGTGTTTTGGGGCCATGATGCGTAGCTTCAAGTTCTTAGTGACCTCGGGACCTGGTAACCCTCAATCATGAGTGACACGGGTAGGTGTTTCGAAGCGCCAGTCTCACCGTGGGCGGGGACCGCGGGGACTATGAAACACAGGAGATGACAAGGGGTCCAGCTACCTATCCGTAGAGCTAATCTACCTTTGTGCCTAGCACAGCGGGACCCGCCGATGGGTACCACCCTTGTGAGGAGGGGCATTGAGGGATTGGCCCTGGCTGCTTTTCCAGTCGTGTCCCTCCAATGCAATTCAGAACTCTCACGGCTCTAAAGTCTTGGCAGTTTGAGACGGACGTCACTGGTCTGGAGCTGGAGGGCGCGACCGTTTGCTCGGTCGCTCCTGTGCGGGCTTCCCTCAAAAGTTGGACGATTCCTGCTTTTCATTTTCTCCTTGACCGCCTTCTTTCAAACTGGAAGCTCTTTCAACATTGCGAATAGCTTCCTACCCACACAACATACGAACCAACTTTCTCACCTTGTGGTCATCTGCAATTCTCATCTATCGAGCAGCTTGGTAAGAGGCCTTGTCGTTCGTTTTCCGCTGGGGCCTTCGCTGACTATCGCCTTCCAGTCACTGCATCATCAGCACGTCGACCTTCCTACTGAAAAATCCTCAGATCTTCACCACCTCGACACACTGGTTGGAAATCCATCATCATGGCGATTTCCAAGCCATCTCCCCTCGTGTTAGGGTTGATTGTCTTCTTTTTGTTGGTCCGTCCAGCTCGTGCGTTCGGCGCAGGCAACATTGCTGGAATCTCCAAGGTCGAGGGACAGAACTGTGAGTCGCACATTTGCATAGGCCTTTTGGACATGGCGTTTCGTTTTGAGTTCCACGCCACTTCGCTGACTGTTCTCTTGTCTCAGGGCGACACGGTGATATCGAAGATGCTCTCCTCCAGATCATCATGGCTCGCGCTGCCGGCGGCAAGAAGTTCGACAAGCTCAACGTTTCCCGCGTGTACTTCGGCAACTGGCTGCGAGACTACAGCCAGGCCATCGACGTTGGTACTGTCAAGGCGGTCTCCGCCGAGGCCATCCGCCTGCTGCTCTGTGTCCTAGGCTTCCTCTCCTTCGGGTTTGGCTCACGCGAGTTTGAGGTCACGGCCGAGCGTCTGGGCTGCTACAGACCGGTAAAACTAACCTGTCTCACGATGATCTAAACCCAGCTGACGTTTTTAAAGGAACACCACATTGACAACCCTCTTGGGTATGCGGAGAACCAGGACGCTCGTCAGTATGATCGCAGACTTCGTGGTCCGGTGGACGAGGGTGTTGAGCTGGCCATCGACCCCGAGACCGGAATGAAGAACTATATTGCGAATGAGAGAGTCAATATCATGACCAGCGCATTGCACGTTCGTCGTCTCTTTGGCAAATGCATTGAGCTTGCCCGCAGCTACCGACAGAGCCGTAACAAGGCCGAGCTGTACGAGGCACTCCGCCTCATGGGCACCGGGCTGCACTGCTTGGAAGGTAGGGCATACAAGCCATGGTTATCTAAGGACACTCCTGCTAAACTCTCACTTTGCAATAGACTATATGGCGCACAGCAACTACACGGAGCTTGCTCTTATCGAAATGGGAGAGCGGGATATCTTCCCTCACGTTGGTCGCGACACCATGCTTAGAATCCAGGGTGCGCGCCATGAGGTCTACCCGATCGTTACTGGAACGTTTGGCGGCGTCGACTTCCTGCACTCTGTGACTGGTGAAGGTATGCGTTTGAGCTCTCAGATGACGGCCTATTAGTGCTAACAGGTGACACCAGTCTCGGACAAGTTGACACAGAATGAAATCCAGGAGCTCGAGGGCACTCTCGAGAACAGCCAGAAGAACGACACAAGCATCCTGCGGAATCTTCTGGACAAGATCCCCGACGGCATCTTTGGCGGCGATAACAAGAAGCAAAAGCTGGACGATATCCAGCAGAATGCCAACAACGCCCAGATGCAGCAGATGAACATCTCGCCCCGCGAGCCCGAAGAGTTCACTCACCAGATCAAGCAGATCTTTGACTCGATAATGCCAGCCATCGAGTTTCATGATGAGATCCTCAAGTCCATTTCGGAGGCCATTGAGAAAATCCCTATTCTGCCCAAGATCGTGGAGCAACTGGAGGACCAGCTTTCCATGTGGACCTTTTCCATCATGGCTCCCTTTGTCGTCCCGGTCATTCGACAAATCAAGAATGAGCTCGCGACTGGATCCTCGGAGATTATCCAAAGCAGCCAGAATGAGCAGCATGTCGTCTTTGACAATGACCGATGCTCTGACCCCACCCACTCCATGCTTTCGAAGGACCACTTTAGCAACGTAAGCCTCCCTTTTTACAATGAAGTGCCATCCGCAGCTGACGGAGACTGACTTGGTGCTCATAGCTTCTGAACGAAATTGCTGGCCGAACCGCAAGCAAGATTGTCAGCTGGGTTGTTCCCCAGCTGATGGAGGCCTGGGATGACGAGGGCGTTGATATCGATCGCACCCTCAACCGCATCATCTACGGCGTACTTCACCACCCTGCACAGCGAAACATGGGTGAGGACGGCGCTCGGGAGGGCCGTGCCGTGATCTTCCAATCTATTGAGGAATGGTGGAACAGCAAGTCTGAGAACGAGAAGGAGGACTACCGCCGCAGGCTGTCTCGTGATGGTGTTCTCAATGGAGAGAACCATAAGGAGGGCGTCCATGACAGTGGCCACGGCTGTGGCGGTCCTCTGGGTATGCACAAGAACTTCGGCGGCGGCGGCGGCGGCAACAGCATGGAGGACCGCATCGCCGGTGCCGCGGCTGGTGCTATCGTTGGTGGCATTACGGGCACTGTTGGCAGCATTGTCGAGTCCAACACCGGCTACAAGCTGCCGAGCTTTGATGACAAGCCTTCGTCTGGACATGGCGGTGGTCAACAGGAGGAGTCCTCTGGTGGCTTGGGAGGCCTTCTCAGCGCCGCTGGCTCCATCCTCGGCGGCGGCTTCAACAAGGAGCAGACCGAGACCTACCACTCTAGCCGCCGCGATGACGACGGCGGCTACACGCAGTCGACCACACAGTACGGTCGCAACGAGGACGAGAACCGCTACGGCCAGGCCGAATATAAGAGAACGGAGTACCCTGGCGGCGGCTCTCGTACCGAGTATCAGCGCTACGAGCAGCAGGAGGACAGCTACGGCTCGCGTCCTCAGGGCTACGGCTACGAGCAGCGCACCGAGACCTACCAGACCTCTGGCGGTGGCTACGAGTCGCGCACTGAGAGCCGCTATGAGAGCAGCGAGAACCGCCACGAGCATCACTCCGGCTCTAGACACGGCGGTGGCTACGAAGGAGGTCGCCAGGAGGAGAGCTACGGCAGCGGCGATAGCTATGGTCGTAAGGACGAGGATAGCTACGGCGGCGGCCGCCGGCAGGAAGAAAGCTACGGCAGCAGCGATAGCTATGGTCGTAGGGACGAGGATAGCTACGGCAGCCGCCGGCAGGAAGAGAGCTACGGCGGTGGCTACGGAGAACGCCGCGAAGAGGAGAGCTCTGGATGGGGAGGCAGCCGCAGGGAGGAGGAGGACGATCGTCGAGAGGACGACAATGGAGGCGGTCTGCTGGATGAGATTGCGCGCCGGGCCGAGGACGCCTTTGGCGGCGATGACAACCGGGAGCGCCGCAGCGGCTGGGGCTTCTAGAGCAAGCTTCTACGTGACTGACAAATCTTGAGGAGATGGCACAGATGATATTTCACATCGTCAAATATCTGCAGGACCTGGCAATTGGGCCTCGAGGGGAAATTGAGCAAAGACCTCACGGAATGCTTGCCGTTAGGAAGATAGAGCAAAAGAATAAACACAAAATTGATGCGTTGTCTTACAAAAACCATTGCGCTACCCCGGTTTGTCGCACCTATTGCCGATTTCACGTTCACGATCCCCGCATGTGATGCCACCGATTCGAGTGCAAGCCCAGGAACTCAGGTTTCTCACTGAAACCAATCCCTGCGAGTCGGCGCTAGCCCTGAATGGCATGCTACCTACGTACGAGGCATCAGTGCCGTTGCTGAAAGAGGCATTAATATGTAGATCATTTATGACATAGGCGGCACAGAAGTGCACCGTGTGATACCAAGTGATGGTCAAATTAGTTTGACGGAAGTCCTTGCCCATCCATCAAAACCGCCCAAATCTTATAATAACCACAAAACGACTTTAAATTGCGCTCTTTTTTTGCGGTTGTTTTGCTAGCGCATCGCCACCTAAATCTGCTGGCGCAGGGGCCATTTCCTTAACAGCCTGTTTAGGATCGCCTCGCTTACTACATAAACAACCCTATACACTAATATTATAAGGTATATAGCTGTTAGTAGGGATCTGACCCCTTTTATATAGCTATTCTATATATCTAACAGTCTTTTATATGACTTATAGGCCTATATAGCCTTTTTCTATATATCTAGTATATTCTTCTATATAAAGATATCTTATTAGCCAGCTTCTTCTCTCTTTATCTTCTATATTAGATGTAGATATAGCTGTCCTTCCTCTTTCTTTTATACCTATTATAATAATAACTACTACTAAATCTATATTAATTATATAGGAATTAGTAGTATATATACCTATAATCTACTATAAGAGATTAGTAGTAATACTTATATTATATATTAGATATAATAGATATAGATATCTATATAGACTTTATTATTAGATAATATTCTAAAGGCTAATATACTATATAGATAGATACTATATAATAAGATATTAAGAGTAAACTATATAGATCTAGAACTAATAATTAAGCTCTACTAATTCTATAATATATTATACTAATCTATAGAGTACTTAAAGATACTCTCCTCTCTATATTTCTAACTATTTATTAATATAATTTACTATTTCACTTTAGTCTTCTATAGTTAATAATTTAATCTATAATATATATTATTAGAGTAGAAAGATTATATTAGAACCTCTAGTATCTATACTACCTCTTCTATATTATCTTTTAATAGATATTAATAGATATTATAAGATCTTTTATAAAGATATTTAGTAGTTTAATAGCTATTTTACTTTTATATTAGTTAAATATAATAATATCTAATATACTATTAGTAATTCTTTTATAGTCTATAGTAAGGGTTATAATAGCCTAAGAGCCTTTATAATCTAGAGAGCCCTATATTACTATAGTAGCTATCTTAATCTAATATTATAATATATTCTATAATATATATAGCTCTACTTTTACAATCTTAAGATATTAATAGACTATCATCTAGTAATAAATAAGAGGCTAGACCTACTAATACTTATAGAGCTTAATTAATATCTATATAAGAATAACCCTTTTATTATCCTCTATCTTATAGCTAAGAAGTAAATAGATAGTATTATTAAGATAGTATATATAGTACTAAACCTATAGCTCTAGCTATATTTAGAGGAGGGTATAGATATCTAGTAATAGAATCTTTCTATAATAAGTAAGATAATAGTAATCATATCTTATAAGATATAAAGCAACCTCTTTAGAGAAGTGGTTCTTATAAAGCAGTCTATAGATAGACAGGATCACCTCTATACTATCTCTATCTATAATAGTATATATCTATTACTTATATATCCTCTAATATTCTCTTATAGGGATCTTAGCTATTATAGATATATTCTACTATATATAGATAGTAATTCTAATACCTCTAAAGATATATAGTTCTAATAGTTTATATAATACTACTTATATCTATATATAGATATTAAGCTAGTACCTTTTATATATAGTTATCTATTCTAATAGTTATTAATAGATCTCTATATAGTAATTAACTAGTATAAGCTTAACTTTATATATTATAACTAGATAAAGCTATAGGTAGAGCTATATTATAATATATAAGATCTTATTATAATAGGTAATAAAGATCTCTATAGTATTAGTATATAGAAGATCCTACTAGTAACCTATATTAGAAGATAGTACTTTATCTAATAATATTATCAGAACTTAATAATAATCCTATATATCTATAACATCCTTATACTCTTTATTATAATCACTATAAACCCTAACTAGCTTAAAATAGACTATAAGCTTCTTATAGACCAAACTATATTAGACTACCCTAATATTATAGGTTATATATTTAAGATAAAGAGTACTAAACTTATTAATAAGCTTTATAGCAGCCTTTTTAGGAAGTATATAGAGATTATCTAGACTATAGAGTATTAGAAATATAGCCTCCTATATAAACATATCCTTCTTTTCCTCTCTATAGATAACATCCTACACTATAGAAACAGTCCTATACAGATTGATTATATTATATATATAGAGATCCCTATACCTAAGAAGGATCCTAATAACACCCTATATATAGTAGTAGGTATATAGATAATCTATAGCTCTTATAGTATAGAAAATCCTAGCTCTTCTTATATAAGATCTTCTATATTAGACTAGCCTCCAGCCTATTTAAAACACTTCTCTAAGCACTTTATAGATAAGACCACCATTCTTAATAATAGCTATCCTCTCTATTAATAATATAATAATAGTATGATAGTTATATAGAAGATTAATAGTATAGAGGTCTATTTTAATAACTAATATATCATCTCTTATAATCTATATCTAACTAAGAAATATAGAGCCTATATTAATATAGAGATTTACAGCTCTATTAAGGCTGTTAAGTATATCTATAAATATATATATAAGAGTATCAATCAGACTATAGTATATATTATAGGTATAGATAGAGAAGATAAGATTAAGCAGTTCTTATAGGCCTATTATATTAGCCCTATAGAGGCTATAGTACACCTCTTTAAGTTCTACATCTATTATAAGCTGCCTACTATAGTTATCCTATCTATCTATCTTAAGGATAAGTAGGACGTTATATTTAATAAGGATATCAGTATAGAGGAGCTTATATTATATATAGAGGCTTATATAACCCTCTTAATAAGCTAGTTTATATATAATAAGTAATATAAGTCTAGCTATAATATACTCTATACTAATTTCCTATATAAATATATATAGAAATATAAGGTAAAGTACTAGTAATTACAGTAGAAGAATAATATTATTAGCTATATATAATATATACTATTAGTAATAGAAGAGATCTATTTTCTATATCTTATTCTTACTAATATATCTAGTACTATATCTTTTTAAGATATCTATACTATTAATAGTTCTAAGAAGTCTACTTTTAGAGAGGCCTATCTTATATTACATCTATTAGATAATAACTCTTATTAAATATCCTACTTTAAAGAGGCTGCTATATAATAATTAGGGTTAGCCCTACAGTCTCTATTTATTATAGTACTTATTACTAAAGAGATATCTAACCCTAATAATATCTAGCTATATTTTAAGATCTCTTTTTATAATAATCTATAATGCTATATTAAGTAGTTATATCTTTTCTAGCCTATAAATCTTTTAGAGCCTTACTTAGACTACAGGCTCTATCTAATCAGTCAGGCTCTTTATAATATAGATAAGAATCTATAGATATATAGCCTCCCTATAAATATCTATAACTAAGATCTATCTAATAGTAATATTCTTATTAACTATAAGCTTATATATAACTCTATAGCTTAGTAGGTTATTATAAATAAGATTATCTACTAGTTTAATAGCTACTAATATAGCTACTTTAATAAGATTATCTCTATACTATAATAGCACCCTTCTAATATATATTTTTTTATCTAGAGCTCTAGTAGTATAGATAAGATATTTCTATACTATAGCCTTTATGCCTACTACTAAGCTATAGGTAAGATAATCCTCTATATTATATCCTCTAGGATTATTATCCTACTATTAGATAGCAGCTATACTATATACTTCTACTTTAAGATACCTATTAAGATTATAGAAGAGTCTACTTATAATATAAGAAAGAATACCGACCTTATTATATTACTACTATATATATTACTAATTATCTAGAATAAGATCTCTATATAATATAAGTACTACTTTAAGACTATAGATTATATCTTATAGGATATCTATAAGTCTATAACCCTCTTTAATAGTAAGCCTATTATCTTTAGTAATAATTTTATATAGATCTTATTTATAGTTTCTAATAATAATTATCTATAGATAGTATAGGCTTACCTATAGATATCTATATTATAGCTCTCTTTCTATAAGCTCTTCTTAACTAAGAATATATATATAAGATCTACTAGCCTTAAGAATATTATATTTATCTAATAGCTATAAGATCTCTCTTATAATAATACTAACTATAGTTTAGTAGCACTACTATCTATTATAGGGTATAGCATCTCTATAAGGGTATTAGTAGATAAGATCTATCTATAGGGCTTACTTACCTAGATATTAGATGACTTTAATATATTCTAGGATAAAGCTATTCTTATAGTATATAATATTATAATAGTAGAGATTAATAGGGATGTTCTAAAGAGGTTTTCTAATATAGCTAAGATATATCTATTAGTTAACTCTATAGATCTCTTATCTAATAATACTAATAACCCTATACTATAATTTTTAGAGGACTTCTTATAGTCACTAGACTTTATATTAATACCCCTAGCCTGTCTTAAGCTTAAGATTAGCATGCCTATCATTCTTCTATACAACCTCTTCTTATAGGAGGGCCTCTATAATAATATATAGCTAG